TACGATACGGTGAGTGAGGAGTTAGTTTCATTACAGTCGGCTTTATATTTAGGTATCCAATATTTGCAAATGTATAAAAATAACGCTAAACCGAGTATGTCCCGAATTTTATCGCGGCGCGAAAGTACATGTAAATCAGTTTAAAATTGAAAGCATTCTAAGTGTTTTTTTTTCAGCAGATTGTATTCCACTTATCCGAAAACGTTCGAATGTATGGGAGCCCGTATCCGTTCAGTACCCAATCCTCCGAGCACGTATATCACAGTTTGAAACGACTATTATCGTCAGAAATCACAAAGGGAATTGGGCAAAGAATGTTGCGGAAGTATGCTTTATTATAAAATTGTACACCGTAGAAAAATTTTAGTGCTGCAATTTTGCAAGATTTGACGACCGAAGTTCGTGTCATTCGGACCCAACGACAAAACAACATGATGTGTCTATCGTGAAACTGAGAAAACTGCTATTTCGATATTCGGAGAATGATGATATCGAAAAAACGACAGATGTCCCACTGAAGTACTCAATGCTGGCTCAAAAAGGCGATTTGTTTACTGAGAAATACAGCTATCAAGGCTCACACTACTCAATACAAAGAAATACTGCTTCGGATAATAGCGTCGTGATGTTTCGTTGGCGAAATTCACTGCAATATGGCGATGTATTGGGATTTCTCCTCAATGAGAAGTTCGGTGACCGGGTTATTCTACAACCATACATTCTAAATACAGACAACCTATTGCAATTAGCAAACTCACTCCATCAAAATTTTCAAAAAGAAGAAATTAAGCAATGCATTTCGACAATCGGTTCATGCAGATATGGTGCTGTGGTGAGAAATAAAGGTTCTCTATTTTGCTTGCCAATTTCTAACCTTATTGGCTACGCCATCACAGTTCCTGACAATGGAATCACGACTGTTTTACCATTTTCATTCAGACCTATGCTATCTTGAATAAAGTATTTATTGATTATTCAGTGATATATTAGAGTTTATCCGTTAGTCACGGTTAACTTATCTAATTTCAGTTAATACACACTTTTTTCCGATTATAATTTTGTTAAGGATGTCAAAGCGCACGCAGTCATTTGTAAAGCAAATAATTGAAGCGAACGCCTCAAGAAGAGAAATTAAAGAAACTCGTCCAAAATCCAAAGCAACATCGCATACCAATACCAAACGCAATTTGGTTTTACGACAAACTGGATTGCAAACGGTAAAAATGCTTGAATGGTTAAAAAAAATAGTGTTCATATTAAGGCTGTCGTTGACGGAGAGCTCATCGAGGAAGAAGTCGATGAAAATGAGCTGTACTTCGAAGACTATCGTCAAAACGAGCTGGATTTTGGAAGCATCGAAGGCATTCAGGTTGACGATATGCCAAACGACCAACCAGCAAGGAAGCGTAAAATTGTGGTGGGATTTTACATCTTTTTCCTGTTTTCGAATCTTCATTATTTTTAAAGAATGGTTTATGCCCATTAGAACTTGGCGAGGATCTGTATCATTCGACTCCGGAGGAATTGATCGACTTGAAAGTAATTCAAATTTTAACATTCCACTTTAACGCAAATTTACAGAAGACTGTACATACCAATCTCTCTGGAACGTTTCAGTTCGATCATACGAACGTGGATCAATTATGTTCTTCGTCCGATGATCATTTGAGGACAATTGCCTTTGCCATGAAAGGAATCATGTTCACGGTATGTTTTATTTATTGTTCAATCATTCCAAATGTAATGGTACCAGATTTCGCAAAAAAAAGCAGTAAAATCATCAAAAGCCGTAAAAAAATATCAGAACTCGTCAAAACCGGCAAAAACCATTATAATTATGGTTACCGCTGTTTGAGTTTTTTGCGAAATCTGCATAGTACCACAATAGAAACTATAGAAACCCTATTCTTCCAGATAGAAACTTTATCCCAAAAATTCGCGGCAAAGCCAAACAAAAACAATGTGAGTATTTTTTTAAATTTTGCTATTCTCTAAATTTAGATCGACGTGATCGCCGTATACAACCCTGAAGCTCTTAAAGACGCAGAAATAATTATTCGATCACTGGATGGAAATGGTGGGTTTTTTGTGTTTCGAAAGCTTTGAATTTGTATTAAATCTTTTAACAGGAGACATCAACGTGGCCCAAATATTTTTGGAAATTCCGTTCATGAAGGCAGCTCTGAAGCATGTGATAAATACTACTGTCAACAGATTTGTCGATAAGGTATCTTACAATTATTTAAAGTTGCAAAAAAATACCTTCAGACAATTCCGAATAACGATCGTGTGAATTATTCAACATCGTTTAAGCCAACGCCGCCGCACGCAACGCTTCCAGTTCGGTTTGTCAACACAGCGATTGGTATGCTCAAATAGCGCGAAAAATGTTTAAAATATGTTTAAATTAATTTCAGCTGTTTTACAAAAGACGGTTACCATCGCTGGAATGGCTGACGAAACGGCGAATTCTACAATCTCCTATTTGGTACACGGTCATATGACCTATCTCCTGTGAGTTTTCACTTTTTTAGTGGGCCTATGCAGATTTTGAAAAGAAACGCAGTAAAAACCTTTTAAAGAAACTCGACAACATTATAAAGATTCGGCTAAACTAGTCTTAATCAGATTTTTTGCGTTTTTCTCCAAAATCTGCACATGCTGAAGACTGCCTCATGATTAATCATTCAAATGAACTTAATTCAGAAACAATTCACGATCGAAAGCGCGAGCAGTGGAAAAAAATGGTTGATGCGCCAACCAAAATTAATTTATTTATTCTTTTTTCTTTTTCATTTTTTTGTCTTTCATATTTTTTTTTTTAATAAACAGGTATAGAAATCTTTACATCATATAAAAACGTTAAAATGCCAAACGAGTAGTGTAAAGTGAAATGGTATACGAAAAAAAATCTCAATCGAATACGAAAAAATCTCAATCGAATACGAAAAAATCCCAGTCGAATACGAAAAAATCCCAATCGAATACGAAGAAATCGTTACCGTATATGAAGAATTATAGTCGTATACGAAGAAATCACAATCATATACGAAGAATTATAATCGTATACGAAGAAATGCCAATCGTATATTAAGAAATCCCAATCGTATTTGGCCGCGTTTGAAGAGCGATATCAGCGTATACGATTGAGCTTTCTTCGTATACGACTCGGAATCATTTACCAGAGCAGTGGCGCAAGTTTTGGACTCACATCGCGGGTTCGATCCCTCTCTCGAGCGAAGCTTTTGCTATTTGCATTTCCTCCAATGCTCAAATTTCAAGATCTTCAAAAAGTCTTGAACATGATTCACTCTCTAAAATTCGTATTTAGAGATTTTTAAATAAAACAAAGCGATTCCAAGAGATCGACAATCAATCCAAACAACAAATGGTCTCATTTTTGTTGGACAAGCTGGACTGGGATTTTTTGGTCACATGGCAAAATGTTCATTTTTCTTTCATGCTAATTTATATGGTCCCATTTTCTAGTCTCATGCCCATTTTTCAAAATCGGACCATCATTTTTTTTTAAATTTCTATTGCCGAAGACAGGCAATTGTTGGAAATTCAAAAAAATTAGGGCGAAATTCAGGTTTTTTTTTGTTCTCGGCGCAAAATTCACATGTTTCGGCGTGCGCCTTTAAGGTATACGGTTTTTTTGGGATTTTGATTATAAAAAAAAATAAAATTCAATTTTTAGAATTTTTTTCCAAATTTTTTATTCATTTTAGGTATTAGTTTGAATCTTCTCTGACCCAGGGACCATTATTAGCGACTCCAGCGTTTAGTAGAAATCCCGAATATAATGCTGATGAAGCGCACATAATCTTTCTATTTTCGTTGTTTTTTGCGATAAGCAAATCAAAAAATTGTTTATTTACAATTTGTGCGATAGCAGAATCATAAGCCATCCGCCAAAATTTCAGGTGACGTCAAATATTTTGGACCCCCCCCCCTTCAATCGTTTGGCTGTTTGCACCGCCCAAGAAGAAGAAAACGACTCGCACATTCGCAAAAAAAAAGAACTCCACCGCGCAATCAAACTGCCACCCATATCGCCCCGACGAGAAGAGAATGACCTCGACCGAGAAAGTCGCCGCCGAGTTTTCAAGGCTGAACACCAGTCATTCCCCTTTTTTTTTGCTGCTCCTCTGCATTTTTCTAGAAGCAACCAACCCCCCGCCCCCCGTTTCCCCCCTTCTACAGTGTTCGGACCATTTTGTGCAGACGAAAAACGCCTATCGCGCTCGGCCCTCATAGAATTGCAAGGCAAACAATGAGAGACGGAGGAGAATGCGGGCAAAGGTGGCGAGAGAGGGTGCGCGATGGCGGAGGCCGCCAGACAGCCGGTGGGTGGCTAGCGGTACCAGGCTTCGTGCCGACCGCCGGCCTAACACACAGCGCGACACGCTGCGCACTCCGCGCGCGGCGCGCTCTCTCTCTCTCAATGCGTTCACGCTGGTGCTCGGTGTCGGCCGGCCACACGCAGTATTCGGTTGCGTCGCTCGGCAATCGGCCAGTCATTTTTTTTCTCTCTTCTCGTTTCGCATGCTTCTCCCCCTTATCCGGAAATTGCGTAATCGTCCCAATTTGCTTGTGTTCGTCGTCACCGCTGTTCAATATGTATATTACGATCGCCAAGAAAAAAAAAACGAGCGCCAACCTCCATTTTTCCACTATACATATAGAAAATTCAAATTTGAATTACCGCCTAAAAATTAAAAAAAAAGCAGTGCGATGGTCCACAATTGGCCAAGGCGTTCGTTTTTTTTTTTCAAATTCACTCTTCATTTTTTTGCCTTTGTTATTTCACTGTGTTCCTTTCGAAATTTCACGTCGAAAAAAGAATATAACCGATTTTTAGTGTTCGTATCGACTTCAATCAAGTTTTTGTTCGCTTCTCAATCATCTTCTCCTCCTTCTTCTTCTTCTTCTTCACCAACAAACCAAAAAAACCTTGTCTGTGTGTTTGTACCGCTTATTGATGTGTGCTCCTTCCAATGTCAAACGCTTCAGATTTTATTAAAGGTGAGAATTCGTAGAGAAGTGTTATAGAATTCCCCGCCCAACCCGGTGCCACAAATTCGCAATCCTCGCTCATTTCTTTTTCCAGAGGAGTATCCCATCGATCCGTTAGAGAACACCGACAACTTCAATATCATCCAATTTCTTGGTGAAGTTGATTTTGAGTCGCCGCCAACCGACGGTTCGCTAGTTAGTCCGACATCGTCCGACGCTAGCGGAATGCAGCAAGTCATCGCTGATCCAAGGCACGGTTATCAGGTATGGCCATCGATAGTGTCGATTTGGTCAATATTTTTGAAATTCAGAACCGCCGCCTTCCCGAATCGCCGCCGATGACAGACATCTGCGGAAATGCGTCGTCGGCGAGTTCGTCGTCGCATCACTCGGATCCGATGTTCTCGCCGAACGAATTTAATGGCTACTCGGGTGGGTCAAGGCCAGACCTTCTGTTTTCTAATCGCTTTTTTTTCTGTTGTTGAAGGTGTAAACAACAATGGAATGATTCTTGGGGTTCACGAGCTTCACAACAACATCATCCAAGATCAGGCGATTCAGCAGAGTGCGCCGAGAAGCAACTCGACGCAGAACTCGTCACAGCAGCAGCAGCAGCCGAACTTTTGGCAGAATGAGAACCAATCGGGCCAGCAGCAGCCACAGCAGCAACCGCAAGGCCTTCAGCAGCGCAATGAGAACTACCCGACGATGGACAGCATTTACAACATGCTTCAAGCGTCCAATGAGGGTGGCCTTGCGAGCCCGATCGTCGACGAGCCGACGAGCCGCAAGCGATCGCGACTCGACACGCCGTGCGAGACGCCGGCTCTGATGCAGGCGCTCGCCGGCCTGCCGGCCAACTCGTTCAGCGGCGACGAGAACTACAATCATCAGCAGGCGATCAAGTTCTCCAAATTCCAAGAGGACCAATGGAATGCGCTGTTCGACGCCAACGGCCGCCGATTGCAGCAATTGCAAGTGCACGTTGTCGCTGATAAGGGCTTCAATTTTTCGACGATTGATAATTGTTTTGTCAATCAGAAGAAGAACCATTTTCAGGTTTCTTTTTTTGAGAAGCTCCCACTCATCCAAATTCAAATTATTTCAGATTTCGGTTCATGTCGAGGCCAGCGATTCGATGCCGCCGAAATTCGTCGCCTACAACGGCAATCTTGTGCCGATTCGCGACTTCAAGCTAGCGTTTTGCGGAGTGAAAGCCGAGGTAGACAATTGCGTAATCGCTTCCGACATTGCTAGTTTGGTTTAGATGCCGACGTCGGAGATTTGCATTCGACAATCGCGCGCCGATCGCCGCCCGCATCCCCACACGCCGGTGCTGTTCGAGATTCAAGAGCGACGAATGACGAAGGTTTAGCATTTTGTCGACGTCTCCAATAATTTTAGGCCGCCTATTTCAGGTCACCGTGCCGCGCCTTCATTTCTCCGAGACGACGTTGAACAATCAACGCAAGAACTATCGTCCGAATCCCGAGCAAAAGTACTTTTTGCTCGTCGCGCGCCTCTTCGCCACCGTCAACGACGACGTCTCGGTGCTCATTCAATCATACGCTTCCGAAAAGGTTGTCGTGCGCGCCACCAATCCGGGATCGTTCGAGCCGCCCGAGTCGGCTGTTGGATGGCAACGCAATGAGAACGCGCTCTACACACACGGTCCGGTGTCGATTGGAACCGAACGACAAGCTGGCAAGTTGACCGTCGACGGCGACATCTATCTCACCGGACGCGTCATCAATCCGTCGGATATTCGATTCAAGGAGGGAATCGCCGAGAAGGAAGCGCGCGAAGCGTTGGAGAATATGTGCAAACTTCGCGTCGTCGATTATTTCTTCAAGCCCGAAGTCGCCGAGAAGTGGGGTCTCACCGAGGAGCAGCGTCGACGCACCGGACTCATCGCCCAAGAGTTGGCCACCGTGCTGCCGGACGCCGTCAGAGACCTCGGCGATTATTTCGCCATCGACGAATCGCGTGTGTTCTATGAGACGGTGTTGGCGACACAGGAGCTGTGCCGGCTCACCGGCGATCTCGACTCGAAGATTGATGAGAAGGTCGAGGAGATTAGTAAGCGGCTCGCTGAATATGCGCACCGCAAGAAGCTCGCCAGCTCGATGGGCTCGAATCTCAATCATGACGGTCGTTCGTACTCGAACTACTCGCTCGCCTCATCGGCGACGACACTGACGAATCACAATAAGAAGGCGAGGAGGCATCGACGACAGAGGGCTCCGCCGCCGGAGATTCAGCCGATGTGCACCTCAAGGGTCACGCAAGGCACGATTGTGTCGCTCGTCGGCATCATGGCGATTTGCCTTCTCGCCATGTCGGCGTTGTACGTTCTTGATTGGCACAATCGCAACTATGGATACAATCAGAATGCGCTTCCGAATCTTTCCAACAGCAAAGGCGAACCAGCGAATCTTGTCGTGTCACCAAGTAAATTTTTGAAGGAAATTGTTCAAGCAAAAAAAAATTTTCAGTGCAATTCATGCCCACCTATCAGCCCGACGCTCCGCCGTTAATGGAGCACTGCTTCACACCCACATGTCGTTCCTATTGTTGCGGAGAGCCGACGGGCGGCGGCGACAGTACAATGCATGAGGATATGAATAAGACAACCGGCATCGGACGAGCTCCGCAATTCAGCACGAGAAGCTTCGGAACCGGCGTGACGATATTGATTCCCGAATTGAACATCACACTCGATCAGCGTTATTGCATTGAGAGATCGTGCAATATTCGAAAAGGGATATTCAATCTCTTCATTCCGATGTCAAGATTCATGCCCGACAATGCGTTGGAGATTGAGATCAAGTAAATTTTTGAAGCTTCTTCTCCTTTTTTACACATTTCACTTTCAGTGTGCCAAAAGACAAAGCCGTTAATAATTGCGGACAACTGCCGGATTTCAATCACAAGACGTGCGGATCATCGTCATACAATCCGAATGATCTTCCAATAAGCGAGCAGGTGAGTATTCGAAAGCCCATCAAATTTCAAATCATTTTTTTGTTCAAGCTTGGAGTGAACAGCTACGAGTTGTCCGTCGGACGATTTGTGCAATCGGCCTATCGGTTCCGAATCGGGCCGACCACCGAAGCCTGCGAGATGTCCGACGCCGATGGTCTTAATGGAAGCTTCGAGGAATATAACTTGATTTTCTATCGAGTCTGCACCCCATATAATTCAACCGCTATCACCCCATAAATTGAAAAATTTTTATTTTGATTTTTGCAAACCCCCGATTATTCATCGTACCCCCGGTATCCCAATTGTTATGATTTTCTATTTTGTAATGTCCCTCAAGTAAACCTCACATGCGAAATTTCAACGATCAGGTCGAGCCCATTTCTTCGTTTATTTATTGTCTCGTGTTTCGTCCGGAATCTATGTCAAGCTGTCTTCTTTTTTTTTTGAATGAGAACCACCACCTAACAACAGGAAGCTCGCCGTGTTAGGCACTTATGAAACATTTTTTTTTTCCTCGTCTACCCTATTCAGATGTATAACCTCCGCCTCCATGTACACATAACTTAACCAATCGGTGTTTCAAAAAAAAAATTTGTTTTCCCACAATCATAATAAAACTATTTAATCGATCGATGCGCATTCGATGATTCTTGAATTCCGATATCGGTCGATGCGATCGTCGTACCAATTTTTGAAGGTCGTTTCGCCGATATTTGGGACAGTGAGACGATGAAAAATGAACACAACAGCAGCGGACTTGCAAAATTGAGAAATTTCGAGACACCTCTGGGGTCGTCGGATTTTTTTTGCTGTGAATTTTTGAAATTTTTCGATTTTTTGAACGAGTCCGCAAAAATGACCAAGTTTTTAGATTTTCCAATTTTTCCAATGGACTTCCGTCTTCTGATAATTCAATTGCGGTGGAGCTGCTCTGGTAGCTCGAAACCAATCGGATTCGGCGAAATTCGGCTCGGGAATCAACCTTATCCAAAGATCCGATTGGGTATTTTTCGGATCCTGGTGGATATTTTTCTGATCCGATTGGATATATTGGATCCTGTTGGATATTTGTCGGATCCGATAGGGTATTTTCCTGATCCGATTGGATATTTTTGGGTCCTGTTGGATATTAGTCGGATCTGATTGGTAATGTGTAGGATCCGTTTAGTAATATGTCGGATCCGATTGGATATTTTTCTGATCCGATTTTATATTTTTGGATCCTGTTGGATATTAGTCGGATCCCATTGGCTATTAATCGCATCCGTTTAATCTCTCAATTAGGATAGGATCTGACAAATATCCAATAGGATCCGACAACTTCCAAATCTTATCCGTAGAATTACCAATCGGATAAGGTCGATTCCGGAACCGAATGATTTCGAGTTGGCGGCTCGTTGTTCCAGAATTCCGGAAAATCGGTGAGAGTGGCGAAACCCGGAAAACGTCCGCAGACGTTCTTCAAGATTTGCGCGAGAACTCGACATTTCGAAAGTCTCCATTTTCAGCAATTTTCAGCTACAATTCGAAATCCCTGGAACGAGTACCATGAGCATTTGTGGACCATCGAGGCGGCAATTCAAAAAAATCTCATGTTTCGAAACAGTTTATTATCAAATATATTTTTTTTGTCAGGTATTATTAATATCATCATCATCATGGATTTTCTATTGCACAAAAAATGGAGACAGACGATTGATATAGGAATGTATGCCAAATTGGGATTGGGGGGGGAGGACGGGGACCAAAATATACACGATTGGTGATTTTATAAAAAAATCAAATTGACTAGATAGGAAAGGACAGAGATCAAAATGAATAAATTATTGTGGTGGCTCGACGAGAATTGATTGCCTGGAATGTGGAAGGAAGTACGTCAGAAGGAGAAGAATGGGGTTTCAAAACAAAAAAAAACGAACACGAGGGGATTGAATTAGACGAGATACGAGCGCGAGTTGGTCGTCATCGCGTCCTCGTCGTCCCATTCAAGCCCGCCGGCGCGCTGATTCGAATCCATGTGCGGAAGGACGTCGGAGTTGTCCTCCTCATCGCTCACATCGTCGTCATGATAGGAGCACTCGCTCTCGGCGTCCGAATCATCGTCGTCATCATCGTCATCATCGTCGTCTTCCGAGTACTCGTCGAGTCCCTCATTCTTCTCAACGTCGTCGAGCGGATTGACGGTGATGTTCATTCCGCTGTCGTCCCAATGCATACCGCCGTCGCTCTGAAATCGAAAGGATGACGATCCGACGAATCGAGCGTCTGTCGCCTACCTGTCGCTTCGTTTTTCGTCGTCGTGGCGCCGGCGTGTCGCGCATCTTCAGCACACCGACGACCAATAATATCAGCAGGAAGCCGACGCAGATGACGACGACGACGGCGACCGCCGAGCCTGAAACGCCTGAATTGCGGGTGTTGAAATGTTTCGCCAAATTTTGTTTTGCCCCTACCTGCCGACGCGTTCTGGCCAACATCATAGCCGTGATGCGAGAGGAGCGCTTTCGGTCGCGGCAAATCCATTTCGAGAATATTCTGAAATTATTCCTAGATTTTTTTTTGGAAAAACTAGAATTGATTGAGCTGAAATTTGAGAAGAATTGTCGTCAATTAATATGTATGGTCCGCAATTCGTTCAAATTTTCGCTTTTTTCCCAACAATCCGAAAAAAAAATCGCGTTGCGGACTTGTGCATTATATTTGACGACAATTTGCTTTTTTTTTGGAAAATACTAGAATTTTTGGATTTTTTTTTCGGTTTCCTATCTACTTGAAAATGTGTCACCTGGAATTGAAACCTATCCAACACAAAAATCGTTGTTGTACGCCGTGGCATGATGGCAACAAAAAAAAACGCGAATAAAAAGCGGCGGCGCGCTCGGCTACTACTGATTGAATCACGTCGGTGAAGACGTTGTCCTTCTTTGTGTTGGGAAAGCAACATTCGAGTGAACAAAACACTTTTTTTTTCGTTCTTCTTCCTTTTAGAGACTTTAAGGAGAAGGGTAAAGCTTCCAAAAAATGTGACCACCGGAGGTGCCACACTATGTGGCACTTGCCAGCAAATAATAGCCGTCGCATGTACCACTCATGTCGGTGTGATAGCGCAGTGGCGTAACCCCTAGACTAGTATGCGCGGAGGGTCACAGATAAACGGCGGCATAGGCACAATGGAAGCATAGTGGAACGGCTGTGGATATCATAGGAATCTTATATGCAAGTTACACTGATTAAGCGCGACGCAAGCATAATGGAAGTATTGTGGGAAATCTGTGGAACGGAAGCATAATGCTTCCATATAGGAAGCATAATGTAATTCTTAGTGGCTGTGGAAGAAATATGGGACGAATATGGATGGAATGAAAACGGGATGAATATGCTTCCGGTGTTTGCGAGCCGTGGAACAAATATGGATGGAATATGGATAAAATAATCATATATCATTACACATTATACAATTGGCGTCTGGACGGCAGACCAAGACAATTTCTAGAAAAATCAATACAAAAAACTTATGCTATCATATAAACAATGAAAATTTGAAAATTACATGATACACAACATACGAAATTTAGCTTCTACCATTTAATGACTTATGCTACTCAGATTTATGTTAATTCAGTCAACTGTTCCTTACTTTGTTTAAAGATTGCCAACTACAATTTAGTCGTATTAATATATTTTTGCCGGTTTTTCCGAAATTGGCATCGCAAACTACTCACAATTTGCTCCAAACTGGTAGCAGACGCGCGTAGAAGAGGCGTGCCGCAGCATTGCAAAACCGTGCGCCGCTTTGCACAATGCGGCCACGCCTCACAATTTTCGAAATTCGTTTTCAAAATTTTTGTCCTTTTGCTTTTTCTCAATGAATTTTCAAGATTTTTTGTGTTTTTTTTTTTGTCAAAAATTAAAGAATTTTTTTCAAAATTAAAGGAAAAATGTTTTTAAAAAATAAAGGAAAAATTTTCATGTTTATCATTTTCATGTTTATCATCATTCGAAAATTTTAAAATCGATACGATGTTTTCAAATCGTTTCCGACACTTTTAAAATCGAATTTAAATATTTTCTCAATCGAATTGTGTTTAATTTCTCATCGAATCCGTTTTATTTTTATTTACTTTAACATATTTTTTATTATCGCTCGCTTTTTTCTTTTAATTAAACATAATGTTTTGAAATTTTTTACAGATGAAGACAAGATCGAGAGTGTTGTCAGATATAACTGAAACTGCTCTAGAAGTCAATAACAAAGAACCAGAAGTCCCTAACATGGAACCAAATTCGCTCGACACTTCAGATCCAGATAGTCCAATTTACTCGCCAACTCAGCAAAAAAATTTTTCTCCACAGTCCTCACAAACAACAAAATCAACGCCAATTCCTAAACCTTCGTACGCGCAATTTGTAAGTTGTTATCATCAAAAATTGGCCTGTTCGACTCCAGAAATGGTTTCAATTAGAAAAATATGCGCAATGAAGTCTTTATAAAGTACTTCCTAAGTTTAAAGCTTGTTGATTATTTGGTTCCAATCAGGGCTGTGCGGCAATGGAATTGCCGATTGCCGAAATTGCCGGTTTTTCAAATTGCCGAAGAAAATTTCGATCGGTAATTTGCCATTAGCCGAATCGCCGAAATTTCCGATTGCCGTACAGCCTTCGTACCAATATCATTCAGTGGCATTTATCTTTTTAAGTGGGGCTCTAGTACAGAAGTCGCCAGACGCCGACTATATAAAGATCCTATACTTTATTGCAAATATCTATATTACAGATGTTCTTATCCATGGCTTTGGGCAACAACCGACAAATGACTTCAAAGCGAAAGCATTACGCATGGTTCGAGAAGTCATGGATAATCTTCTGTAAGATTTTGAGCTATGACTATTAATTTATTTATTTGATTAAGCGATAGAATGCGCCAACGACTTTAAAGGAAATTTGGTGTAGCGCCGGAAGCGCTCGCGGCGCAATTAAGGAAGCTGCTTGATTCTACCAGCAACCCTCAGATGTGAGTATTCATATGTCTTTGAAATTTTAACCAAAATGCCTTTTTGCTTCAAATTTTGGAGTTGTTCTTTCTTCCGCCAATTCACTTTTTATTTTGTGCACTAAAGGGTTTCCAAAAATGCAATAAAAATAAATTATTTTTATTTTTAAGAAAATTATTGATGTAAAAAAAAACTGATTGTATTTTCTCGAAAAATTTAGTTTACGTAACAATGGTTTACAAGTTTTTCAAATTAATAGGCCCATTATAATCGAAGTGTAGCGACTAGGAAAAGTGGAGAAAAGGTAAAAATTCGATAACGGTTTCTTTCTACAAGCGTATATTTGCGAAAAAAGGATAGGTTAAATGTGCATTAGGACTTTTGCCTAATTTCTTAGCAATAGTTGTTGTTTTTAAAAATATCATAACACGGCTTTTTAACCAAGTGTGAACGATATGAATTCTACTTATTACAGCGTCCCGCTCGATGTCAGTACTGACAATGATTCGAATAGTTCGGCAGTTGCCAGTAACTAATGGTTTGATTATATCTTAATTGAAATTCATTTCATTGTTGTTTTTTTTTTATTTTAAATTAAATAAATGTGTTAATATGAAATAAATTTTGAATACAGCAATCAAATTGTTTTCTTATTTGCCCATATGGAAGGCATACGGCTCATTCCATATACGAAACACGCGGTTCCGCAAAAAAATGCTTCCATTATGCTTCCATATAACTTGCATATAAGATTCCTATGATATCCACAGCCGTTCCATTATGCTTCCATTGTGCCTATGCTGCCGTTTATCTGTGTATATGGAAGCATAATGGAAGCATTTTTTTGCGGAACCGCGTGTTTCGTATATGGAATGAGCCGTATGCCTTCCATATGGGAAAATAAGAAAACAATTTGATTGCTGTATTCAAAATTTATTTCATATTAACACATTTATTTAATTTAAAATAAAAAAAACAACAATGAAATGAATTTCAATTAAGATATAATCAAACCATTAGTTACTGGCAACTGCCGAACTATTCGAATCATTGTCAGTACTGACATCGAGCGGGACGCTGTAATAAGTAGATTATAATGGGCCTATTAATTTGAAAAACTTGTAAACCATTGTTACGTAAACTAAATTTTTCGAGAAAATACAATCAGTTTTTTTTACATCAATAATTTTCTTAAAAATAAAAATAATTTATTTTTATTGCATTTTTGGAAACCCTTTAGTGCACAAAATAAAAAGTGAATTGGCGGAAGAAAGAACAACTCCAAAATTTGAAGCAAAAAGGCATTTTGGTTAATATTTCAAAGACATATGAATACTCACATCTGAGGGTTGCTGGTAGAATCAAGCAGCTTCCTTAATTGCGCCGCGAGCGCTTCCGGCGCTACACCAAATTTCCTTTAAAGTCGCTGGCGCATTCTATCGCTTAATCAAATAAATAAATTAATAGTCATAGCTCAAAATCTTACAGAAGATTATCCATGACTTCTCGAACCATGCGTAATGCTTTCGCTTTGAAGTCATTTGTCGGTTGTTGCCCAAAGCCATGGATAAGAACATCTGTAATATAGATATTTGCAATAAAGTATAGGATCTTTATATAGTCGACGTCTGGCGACTTCTGTACTAGAGCCCCACTTAAAAAGATAAATGCCACTGAATGATATTGGTACGAAGGCTGTACGGCAACCGGAAATTTCGGCGATTCGGCTAATGGCAAATTACCGATCGAAATTTTCTTCGGCAATTTGAAAAACCGGCAATTTCGGCAATCGGCAATTCCATTGCCGCACAGCCCTGATTGGAATCAAATAATCAACAAGCTTTAAACTTAGGAAGTACTTTATAAAGACTTCATTGCGCATATTTTTCTAATTGAAACCATTTCTGGAGTCGAACAGGCCAATTTTTGATGATAACAACTTACAAATTGGGCGTACGAAGGTTTAGGAATTGGCGTTGATTTTGTTGTTTGTGAGGACTGTGGAGAAAAATTTTTTTGCTGAGTTGGCGAGTAAATTGGACTATCTGGATCTGAAGTGTCGAGCGAATTTGGTTCCATGTTAGGGACTTCTGGTTCTTTGTTATTTACTTCTAGAGCAGTTTCAGTTATATCTGACAACACTCTCGATCTTGTCTTCATCTGTAAAAAATTTCAAAACATTATGTTTTATTAAAAGAAAAAAGCGAGCGATAATAAAAAATATGTTAAAGTAAATAAAAATAAAACGGATTCGATGAGAAATTAAACACAATTCGATTGAGAAAATATTTAAATTCGATTTTAAAAGTGTCGGAAACGATTTGAAAACATCGTATCGATTTTAAAATTTTCGAATGCTATCAATTTATTTTTGGTTTCGATTTTGATGATAAATATGAAAATTTTTCCTTTATTTTTTAAAAACATTTTTCCTTTAATTTTGAAAAAAAATCTTTAATTTTTGACAAAAAAAAAACACAAAAAATCTTGAAAATTCATTGAGAAAAAGCAAAAGGACAAAAATTTTGAAAACGAATTTCGAAAATGTGAGGCGTGGCCGCATTGTGCAAAGCGGCGCACGGTTTTGCAATGCTGCGGCCCGCCTCTTCTACGCGCGTCTGCTACCAGTTTGGAGCAAATTGTGAGTAGTTTGCGATGCCAATTTCGGAAAAACCGGCAAAAATATATTAATACGACTAAATTGTAGTTGGCAATCTTTAAACAAAGTAAGGAACAGTTGACTGAATTAACATAAATCTGAGTAGCATAAGTCATTAAATGGTAGAAGCTAAATTTCGTATGTTGTGTATCATGTAATTTTCAAATTTTCATTGTTTATATGATAGCATAAGTTTTTTGTATTGATTTTTCTAGAAATTGTCTTGGTCTGCCGTCCAGACGCCAATTGTATAATGTGTAATGATATATGATTATTTTATCCATATTTCATCCATATTCGTTCCACGGCTCGCAAACACCGGAAGCATATTCATCCCGTTTTCATTCCATCCATATTCGTCCCATAATTCTTCCACAGCCACTAAGAATTACATTATGCTTCCTATATGGAAGCATTATGCTTCCGTTCCACAGATTTCCCACAATGCTTCCATTATGCTTGCGTCGCGCTTAATCAGTGGTGTGGGTTCGCTCCCCCTTGCTAGAAATTGTTTTGCTGTCTTCGTCTCTTGCTGTCTGCTCCACGCTTTTATAACTATGTTATGATGATATCATCAATTTTTCGACGATAAAAAACACTATTTGAAAAATACTCAACGACGTGTTATTGTGGCCTAGTTTTTTCACGGCCACCGCCGAGTGAGAAGGGTATAATAACAACATCAAAAAACATTGAGCCGCGCGTCTGGCAGCGTCGAAATCTGATCCACAATTTTGGCGTATCGCATTTCAGAGCCACCAATTACAGTAGTTTGGCGGGAAATCGACTCACCACGAACATGTCGATTATTAATTGGCAATTATCGAATAATCAGACACATTTGGGCGCAATAATAAGACGAATATGTTTGGGGGTGGCAACACAATTTCTTTTTCGTGTTGTGTCTGATTCTTTCGCGCTTTTATTTATGACCACCAAAAAAAAATTTGGTGGGGGGTTTGGCTGAAGACGGCGAGAGACGATGGCGGCGCGCACAAAATGAGGGGACCAACCAGAAGGAGGCGAAAAAACACTGGACCTCCAGAATCCATACGCTACATCGTCGTCGTCGTCTCCAAAGATTCCTTTTTTTTTCGCCCCCACTAAAGCTTCGACGGAATGAAATGGAACAAAGTAGTTTGGGGGTCTCGCCAAGAAGAAAGCGAGTCTTTGAGGGGGGTCTCGTAGGCTCAACCGTTTTCGAAATGAAACACGCTCATCCCACCAATTTGCTTCTCTTCGGAGCGAGGCAATTTGACATTTTTTGCCGATTTTCAATTTTCTTTTTTTTTTTAGGTCGTTTCACTTTTTTTAAACAATAAAATTAGAGCATATTTTGAAGAAGAATTAGGCAAAAATTCGGCATTTCTTTTGCATCGAAATTAGATTATCGAAATGAGGTTGCGAGACCTAAGTGCTTTTTCGTGTAGCGCGCCTTTAAACAATTTGGCACAATTTCATTTTATTATCAAAATTCTTTAATATTATCATTCCTAATATATATAAAAGCTTTCTGCGCTTTTAAGAGACTGTTTATAATCGAGAAAGCACGTGGGGAAGAGAGACGAAGACAGCAAAACACTTCGCGCCATAGCGGGATCGAACCCGCGATCTCCATGGCTACGAGACAAAACTTCCGCCACTGCGCTATTGCGCACACTTTTCCTCTGCTATAACTTGATGACAAGTGCCGCAAAGCGCAGCATCTGCATTTCGCAGCTAATCGGTCTCTTATGGCGCACGTGGGTCTTGAAGCGAATTGTCGAAATCAATATGCGATTCGAAAAAATTGGCTCAAATTAGGAAAACGACTCGGTGAAAAATTGTTTTTCATCATTACCCATAATAAATATTTCATTGGAGTACCTAGAGTACACGAAAACTCAAAAAGAAAATAAAAACGAAGATGAAAAAATTTCCGTGTGAAAATAAGTGTGACGAGATGAATGATGGGGGACGGGAGGGGGGCGTGGCATTGAGCAGCGATTGGCTCAATTGTTTTTTTTACGCAAAAAAAACGAAAGTCGCCCCCGTGGCAAGACCCACAATAACTAAAACGCAAGGCTCGACGCCAACAATTTTTGTCGAAGAAACCGCGATGGAAATAATGAGGCGCTTCTGATGACGAGTTGACGTCGACGGCAACCAGATGAGTTTTTAATTGAATTTTTTTTTCTGTTGCGCCCTGCTCGTCGCGCGCGCGAGCCACCCCACCATTTTGCGCTTTTTTTTGCCGTCGTCTTTTTTTTTTCAAACGCCGTCGCACAAACCTGAAGTCGCGAGCTGCCCAATTGATCAAACGCCGGCTCGAAATAGCGCTCGATGAGCTCCAAACTGTCAAGTGTCGATTCGGCCGAGTTGAAGTTGAAGACGGGCTCCGGCGCCGCCGTGCTCGTGGTGCTGGTCGTCGTCGTTGTCGTCGATCCTTCAACAGTCATCTGAAAATGCGATAGAGCATAAGTTGTACATAAAATGAAATGAGGGCAATTTAGAATAAGAAGGGGGGGGGGAGAGGGTGAGGCTCAATTGGAGCATGAATGTCGGAGCAATTGAGAAACGCGACGACTCAAGCATATATATATATTGCTTGCATGAGCAGCATGCTCGACATCTAATTGGGCTTCTCAAGAAAATGGATTTCGAGAGGAGAATAGGAAGAAGGGGGGTGGAAATGAGAAGTGAATTCTCCGAATGATTCCTTCTTCTCTCCATTTTGAAACACAAATTCTGCCGACCCACCGGGCTTCGTTAATCCTGAGAAGAAGAAGAAAGTTTTTTGTTTCTGCTTGGAATGTTTATTCAGCGGAATTCGTATTGCCCTGAAGGGGAAGGGGGGCGGGCTTGTTGGGACCAAAAATCAAGCCAACGTTTTTTTTTTTGGCCAAAGGCATCTGCGGACACGCCCGACTCACCGTCACATAGAGCTCGTTGCTGAGAATCGTGCCTTTGCTCATGGCACACTGAACGGTGTAAACGCGTTTGTTGTAGGTCTCGGGTCTTGTATTGAAATAATGGACCTTCGAGAGGACCTCACGATAGCCCTGAACGCTCTCCTCGCCGCGTAGAAGGATGCCCTGAAAACAATTGCGATTGGCACGAACCCATCGGGACCAACTCACATCTTTGTCGTGCTCGAACTCGATGTTCAACGCGGCAATCAGAGACGCCGGCGATGAGAAGTACTCGACGTCCATGTCACGAGACGGCTGCAAGTGCATTTTGCAATAGTCAATTTTGTGCGATTGCGAGACGTCAACGAGCTCTCCATCTAAAAATTTCAAACAAAAATGAAAACGCCTCAGAGGATGCTAGGGGAAGGACCTTCATTAGTCTTGCTGATCGTGATTCGAATGTCGGGGACCATCGGCTGTCCGACTTTGACATTGTGCTGCGACGAGGCGAGAATCGTGCTGGCGCTTATCGAGAGCGTCGGCTCGACATCCTCGCGAACAAATATGAAGCCTTTGGCCGGCGGAAGTTGGACCTTCTTCATCTCCTGCTTACACGTGATCTCGGTGTTGACGACGAACGAACGATGGCCGGCAATCGGTTTGTCCTGTGTGTTCACATAGGCGACGCGTCGAATCATCGTCTCGACGTCCTTCGTCGTGTCGGCTTTTAGCGTCACCATCGTTTGCTCGATCGAGAACGTCGCGCTCTGTCCGTCCTTCAACTCGTCCCGTCCGGTGTACTGAAGCTGCTCGGGGCACGTGTGCGCGCACTGAATCGCGCGCTCGCTCTCCACACCTCCGCTGAGAAGGTAGATCGACGAGAGGCGTCCGCGGAAGAATTGCGCGATCTTCTTCTGCCGTCCGTGCCAGCAGCCGCCAATGGTGAGTTTGGTTTTCTGCAAGAATCATTAGTTGGCGTCGAACACGGGGCGTCGACCAACCGTCTGCTTCATCTTATGAAGCGGCCAGTCGTCGAGAATCTCGGGATTCCTCTCGTGCGATTTGAACACCTTGCCATCGACAATCACGTTGACGTCGTCGACGCCGTTGAACAGCAACGAGTAGCTGTGCCATTCGCCGTCGCACACCTCCGGCAGCGACCAGCGCCATTCGGCGGCGCGAAACTCGAGTGTCGCGCCGTGCTCGCGCCGCAACACCACCTCGAGTTTGCAGTGGCGGATGTAGACGGCGAAATGGTGGCGATTCATTGCGAAATCGTCGCTCTCGCACAACACGTTCTGCTTGTTGCTTTGCTCTTCTTTGCTTCCCGCCGCGTGCTTCATCGAGAAGCTCAGCGTGAACCGATCCGGTATCAATCCTGAAATCCTTTTCTCTGCGTCTCTTCACTTCTAAATCATACCTTGATAGACATTGTCGGCCACTGTGATCCCTTTGGTTCCATCGAATTCGATTCCATCGTCGGCTACCAAATGGTTCTCCGACGGCTCGTTGTCGTCGTCGCCGAGAAGTTTGACCGTCGACGGCGACAACCCGCACGTGCGAATCGTCTGATTATCATAGACGGTGTCGCGCGCGCATCCTTGCGTCACGTGGCCCGCGTGCACCTCGATCGTCGCTTTGACGCTCGTCGGCTCGCACACGTTGTCGGGCTCGCAGAATCGCACGGTGGCGTCGGGCATTAGCAGTTTGGCGCCCGACGAGGCGTAGTAGTTGACGCGGTCGGTGTGCGACGCGACGCCGCCGACGCATCGCTCGTCGACGTGCACCGTCACCAGCGAGTTCTTGCTTCGACGCATCGCGCAATCGATCGCCACCACCGTCAGAATGTACGATTTGCTCTGCGTGTAGTTCAATGGCTGCGTCGTTCGTAGAACGCCGTGCATGTCGACGGCGAACGGCAACTCCTTCAAACCGTTGGTGATTTGAAAATCGCAAATCTCGCCGTTCGGATGGCCGCAATCTTTGTCCGTCGCTTTCAGTGTGCCGATTGCGTCGACGATTCGACCCTCCTCGACGTGAAACGTGTACCATGGGCTTTCCATTTCGGGCGCGTTGTTGTTCGTGTCTTTGACGCGGATTTTCAGCGACACCGGCTCGCTCTTCACCGCTTCGTCGCCACATTTGATCGCCTGTATCTGAAGCGCGTACTCCGGTTTTTTGCAGTCCAATGAGTAGGTGTCCTGGAAATTTGAATAATCATCAAAAAATGTTGGGCCAGAGCGGGATCGAACCCGCGATGCTCATGGCTATGAGTTCAAAATTTGCGCCACTGCGCCATCGCGCGCTCTGTGGCACGGCTATAAGTTGATGACAAGTGCCGCACCTCGCGGATTCGATATAGCAAAGTATTAATTCGCACCTTGACACGAATCACAGCGGCGCCGGTGAACTTATCAATCACTTGCACATCGAACGGGATGATCTCATCGACGGCGGACGTGATGACGTATTGACAAACGGGTCCCGTCTCGGACACAATCGAAATGTCGGGAACCGTCGAGACGAGCGTCTCGTCCTCGCGAACGACGGCGACGAGCTCATCGGCGCCTTGCAAATTGAAAATGGGCTCTGCAAAAAAAAAATGCGTTGGTGACGCGCATTTAGGCGTGTGCAAAACCTCGCGTCGCGTGATAATGATGATGTTTGGCGGTGGCGAGAGCGCACACGAACGTCGCTATGAACGCGATGAGCATTTTTCGAGAAACACCTTCGAAGGATACCAATCGGGGCGTCTATAATAATTGAATAAATTTCTTATTCAAATTCCAAGGGGGGAGGCGTTGCGGTCGGCGAGCCGCGACGCGTCCAACGACATTAAATCTCAAAAGTGCGCCAAAAATGACATCACATCAATACATATTTAAAGGATCATTGGGGTCAACAAAAATTTTTAATCAAAATGCGAGGAAGGCTGGGGGGAAGGGGAGGGGTAATAAAACTTGTTTTTCACGCTTCATGGAAATGAGCTGCCTCTCTAATTGGAAGGAATCCCCCCCCCTCCAATTACAATGATTAATTATTAATCAGGTGTGGTACCGTAATCAAAGGGAGGAAGGGAGGGGGTAAGAAAATGGAAGGAGTGAGGCAAAATCGATGAGAGTGCGCGCATTTTGTTGGCTGCTCAAGCTCCGCCCATTTTTGATAGCGCGCGCGCGGTTGCCAATGGTGATAAGCCTAAATGAGCCGCGCGTGGGATTACGGTAGGCGAGTGTATTGATTTTATTTTTTGTATGCAATACGCAAATATAAATATATATATATAAGCGGCTAAATGAGATCGGCGGTTTTTTTTTGTTGCCGAGCGAAATATGAGAACGATTGCATTTTTTATTGGCCTATGATGGGCGGCACAGCCGTTTTTTTTTTATTATTATTATTTTTGGCCTGTGAGAGAAACGAGACATATATAGAGATTATTATTTTTTTCCTTTTAAGGATCGATGATTAGTCATTTTATTTATTGGGACCTCTTGGGAAAAGTGATGCGAAAAAAATGGGTTGAACACAAAATTTTGAAAATGAGATGGATTTGAGAAAAACGAGGAAGATATTAATTTTGTTGGTTGGAAAATTTGAGAAATTTGCAAATTTCGAGGTTTTTGCGAAAAAAAATTTTTAATTAAAAATTTTCAAAAATGAGGTCAATTTAAAGGAAAAACAAAAAAAATCTCAAAAAAAAATATTTTTTATTTCCAATTTTCGAGAAATTCGCAAATTTCGAAATTTTTGCGAAAATAAACGTTTTTTTTTTTATAATAATTTTAAAAAATGAGGTCAATTTGTAGAAAAAAACAAAAAAATCTCAAAAAAAGAATTTTTTTAATTTCCCATCTTTTAAATTTTCTCAAATTTTGAAATTTTTGCGAAAAAATTTTTTTAATGAGGTTAATTTGAAGAAAAATTTTTCTAATTTTCGAGAAATTCTCAAATTTCAAAATTTTTCCAAAAAAAAATTATTTTTTACAAAATTTTTAAAAATGATGTCAATTTGAAGAAAAAACAAAAAATTTTTTTTCTACTTCCCTTTTTTTAGAAATCCTCAAAAATGCTTTTCTAAAAAATATGAAATTTGATTTAATCAACTTGTGCAAACACCGCGACGCAAATTCACGGACCTCCAATTCAAATTTCCACTAGACCACTGGGATACGGTAGTGCGGCGAATCAAACTATATAACACATAATTAATCCGAAAAAGCAATTTTAAAGGCGCATCGAGTCATATTATTAATTCGATATTAATCCTTTCTGAATTAAATGCCATAATTGGATTAAAGGGTGTCTTGAAGCAGAAATCAGAAGTCAATCATCAAACACGACTCGACTTGTTTACACATGGCGTTAATTACACACCATTGGCGATATAATTGGCGTCGAGAAAAATGCCAGTCGAAACTTTGAATGCTGGTTTTTTTGTTGGTGTTGCGCCTTTAAAAAAATGGGATGGGAGGGAAGAAAAAATCTGAAACAAAACGAGGTGCTGGCACGCGATTCGACACACGCGAAACCTGGAATTTCGTATTTTTAGAGGGGGAGAAAAAAAAAATTTTTTTTGAGCCATGGTCGAATGAGCAGCCACAAAAAAAATTGGGAGAAGCCAGGCAACCGTGGCGCAAAATTCAGCATTAAGCTTGAAATATCGCCATTTTTGGCTGTAGATTAAAATTGTGTAGTCCACACGGACAATTTGAGAGAGGGCCAATGAAATCATTGGATGTTTATTTCATTAAACGTGATTCAGAAAATCTGGGGTAGATCAAAATTCCCCCCCCCCACCCCCGCCCCTCTATTTCCCCAACGCTTCTCGCGAGGAACCGATGAAAATAATGAATGTCATGTGAATGAATTTATAATGAGACAGAGCAGAAGCGTTTGCTCGCCTGAAAATAAAAAAAAGGAATGAGGAGGACGATAACATCGAGCTGCCCGAGCGAGCGCGTGTGTATGCGTCCGCGCACGCAGTAAATGTGTCAAAAGTTTGGCGGAGTGAGCACAAGATGGCAAGAGAGAAAAAGGGGGCTTGGTGAGCTCGAGCTCTCTCCATGAGCATGACGAGATCAATAAGTCGTCGTGAGCTGGGGCTGGAATGGGAAAAAGGAGGTGAGAGGGGGGGGGCGGCCTCGGTTTGCCTCGCACACCCCATGTGAGCTGCTGGAGAGCAAGTGCGAATTAAATTGAATTGACGTTGGCATCACAATGCTTTTTTGACTTTCAATTAAAATTTCTTTTTCCGGCGAATCCCGGAAAATGTCCGCAGATGTGTCGGGAGGCGATTGTGGCGAATCCCGCGAAATGTCCGCAGATGTGTCGGGAGGCGGTTGTGGCGAATCCCGGGAAATGTCCGCAGATGTGTCGGGAGACGATTTTTGACGATTGTGGCGAATCCCGCGAAATGTCCGCAGATGTGTCGGGAGGAGATTTTTGGCGATTGTGGCGAATCCCGGGAAATGTCCGCAGATGTGTCGGGAGGCGGTTTTTGGCGATTGTGGCGAATCCCGGGAAATGTCCGCAGATGTGTCGGGAGGCGGTTTTTGGCGAATTCCGGGAAATGTCCGCAGATGTGTCGGGAGGCGGTTTTTGGCGATTGTGGCGAATCCCGGGAAATGTCCGCAGATGTGTCGGGAGGCGGTTGTGGCGAATCCCGGGAAATGTCCGCAGATGTGTCGGGAGGCGGTTTTTGGCGATTGTGGCGATCCCGGGAAATGTCCACAAATGGGGGAGGGGGGGGGGCACGACAATATCGAATCATGGCAGACGATTGGTTTGAGGAGCCCAACGCGCTTCATGTGAATCCCGGGAAATGTCCGCAGATGGCAAACAACAAAATCGAATCATGGCTGTCAATTTTTGAGGAGCCAACACGCTTGTGGCGAATCCCGCGAAATGTCCGCAGATGTGTCGGCTCTTGAGATCGCAACAATCTAACCGAATGAAATAGAAAGTTTTTTTAAACGAAGGTCCATATCTGGATAGCTAGAAGTTAGGGACTAATAGAAAAATTCAAAATAAATTAGCAAATTTTCTAAAATATAAAAAATCGAATAGAAAAAAGGCAACGAAAGAGTCGCAAACGCCCTAATTTATTCATACCAAACTTTGGATAAAATTGAATATTCATCGAAAAATTCTTGGGATGAATAAAACGCAAATGAATCTCGAAAAAATGACGCACAAACGAGTCGACATAAAACTCAAGGCCAGGTGATTCAAAGGCGAAGCAGCACACCGCATGATATACATATAATATATATAATATATATATATATAGAGAGAGAGAGAGGCAGAGAAGCAGAGAGAGGATTTTCTGCGCATTTGCGTCATTCATCAAATTGTTTGCGCGTGAAAAATTAAAGCTCGGAATTGTCCGCAGATGAAATATTAGAAATAAGAGTCCGGCGTGGCGAGAATTCCGCGACGACCTCGTGAATTATTCATAACTCGAATTGAATCCAATTGACGTCGTTTGGGAGAAAAATGCAGGACAAAAAAAAACAACATTCGATGAATATGTGGGACCAAATTTTTGAAATAGGCCCTATCTCGTTGAGGCATCTCTGGTGGGCAGTGTCAAACCAGAAGAGGTCCCCCGGGGGGGGGGGGAAGTTGAAAGAGACCCCCTATGAATAATTGGGAAATCATATCGAACCAAACAAAAAAAAGTGAAAAAGGAAGTTGAGGCATTCATAAGGAGCAATGTATAGTTAAATAGTATTCAAATGCATGCATTTGAAAGGCGCTTATTCATGTGATAATAGAAGGAGGTGGAAAAGTGAAGGCTTGTACTAAGCATGAAGCCCGGCGAGCTTGCGCGAAGCCATTGAATGACTCACGATGAGAGAGTGGAGAGGCGGCAGAGAAAGAGGTGGGGGGGTCCTAGGACCCCCCCTCTCGTTAGCTCACCACATCGCAATTCGAGCGTGTGTTGTCATGGGCAACCAAGAGGGAAAACGATTTTTTTCTTGCTCCCCAACCAAAAAATTTTTTTTCGTTGTTATTGAGGGGGGCAACGACAATTTTATTGCGAGTTTCGGCCCCAACGACACTCAGTTGATTTTCGTTTTGTGCAATTTCGCGTCACGGTGTTCACACACAATTGTCCAGATTTTCTCGAAGATCGAATAAAAAAACACCATCGAATTTGAGAGGACCGCGACGCGAGCCGCAACGCGTCCATCATCTTGGTGGCAAGATTAAAAAAATTCTAGTGGTGACCTTATTCGAACCGAATTTTGACGACCGCAACGCGAGCCGCAACGCGTCCATCATCTTGGCGGCAAGATTTAAAAATTCAAGCCGAATTTTGACGACCGCGACGCGAGCCGCAACGCGTCCAAAAATATGCTGAAATTGTTTGGCTCAACGCCAACCCCCTCAGAATTATTGTGACGCAAATCGATTTCAACAAATTGGCGTGCCAACGCCCTCCCATTACGCCCAATTTGAGACAAACAAGATTTCTCGCATTAGTAGAGCATTTGGATTCATCGACTAGTTCTCAACGGACCATCAAAATTAAGCCTGTGTATGTTTGAAGAGAATTCTCCGGAAATTGACGACGTCTTGATTTCGTCTGAGCGTATGCAATTTTTTTTTTGTATTGCGTGATGTAAAAATGAGAGAAATCGCCCATTTCCACCCCGCGCATCTTCGATTTTATAGCAATACTTTTCAAGGTGACCAAAAATGGCAACAACAAAAAGGAGGAGGAGAAGCGTGAAATGTCATCAGAGAATTTGAAGGTCAATTTGCGATGACCGCCAAGAGAGAGAGAGAGAGAGAGAGAGAGAGAGAGAGAGAGAGAGAGAGAGAGATGGGGCAAATTGTGATTCGGCGAACTTGAAAAGCATCGTCGTCAAAAAAAAAAACAAATACGTGACTCAACTGAAATTGCCAAAAACTATAAGTCTTCATTGGGAAATTGTATTGAATTTGATGGCGACGAGGCGGAAATTGAATGGGGGTCTGATGGGGAACGAGGAAATGGTCCCTCCGTGAATGTTTCCGCGAGTTGCCCCCCCCCCCGCAGATGGGACGAATTGAGTTAGGGAAGATGTCCGCACATGGATTTCTGGATAGATGATCAAAAGCCCCCCAACTTGTCCGCAGATGGATTTCGAGTATGACGAATCCCGCAACTTTGTCCGCAGATGGGAACAATTGAATGATAAGGGAGAGCTGGAAAATGTCCGCAGATCGATTTATAGTTAGATCAAACCAACAATTTGTCCGCAGATGGGAACAATTGAAAAATAAGAGAAAGTTGGAAAATGTCCGCAGATGACTTTTTATGTAGGCCAAACCCGCAATTTGTCCGCAGATGCGAGTTATTGAAGGTATTTGGTACTTTGAGAGTTGGAAAATGTCCGCAGAATGATTTATAGTTAGAGCAAACCCCCTACTTGTCCGCAGATGGGAACAATTGAATGATAAGGGAGAGCTGGAAAATGTCCGCAGATGGATTCTTATTTAAATCAAAACCGCGATTTGTCCGCAGATGCGAGCCACTAAAGAGATTTAGTGGATTTGAAAACGTCCGCAGATGGATTTCTATTTAAATCAAACCCCCAGCTTGTTCGCAGATGCGAGTTATAAAAGGTATGTGGTATTTTGAGAGTTGGAAAATGTCCGCAGATGGATTTCTATTTAAATCAAATCCGCGATTTGTCCGCAGATGCGAGTTGCTGATCGATTGCGGAGAATTTGAAAATGTCCGCAGATGGATTTCTATCTATATCAAACCCGCAATTTGTCCGCAGATAGGTAGAATTGAATGACAATGGAGAGCTCAAAAATATCACGCACTTTTTTTGTTTGAAAACGCCGATAATTGCGAGCCGATGGATGGAAATAGCGAGCGTCCCGAAAACAATCGCAATCGAGCGAATTGTAATCCAATCACCCAACAATCAGCAATCATTCTCTCAAGAAACTTGAACTTCTCCCCATTTCACCTTGATTAATAGATGATATGATGGGTTTATTAGGAAAAAAAAACACGCCTTCTCATGTTGGCAATCAATTTCGATTGATCGTCTCTCGCCCACAATACCTTTGTGTGACGGCGCCCATTGTCTGGCGCGCTATCTAGGCAGCCAATCAGCGGCATCAAAAGTCACATTACGAAACTATCCAGTAACATCGTCAGCATCAAGTGACCATTGTTGGGCGATGTGTAAAACCGATGCCGAATACCTGCCCTTCCCCCCCTTCCCCTTCCCCTTCCCCAAGTGCGTTTTGAGGAGGGCACGCCTCTAAACCGAGTAGTAGTAACATATCGAGGCATTTCGACGCCACTCGAAAAAATCTTCCCAATTCGATGACATCGACAATCATTTTGCTATTAATTTTTGAAAAAGGTACCACTATTTTTATCCATTTTTTTTGGGATTTTGAAAATTTTAAAGGGACATATTAGTTTTTTTAAAGGGGGAGGCATAATCTTTTTTTTAAAGGGGGAGGCATAATCTTTTTTTAAAGGGGCAAGCATTTTCGTTTTTTTTAAAGGGACAGGCAGATTCTTTTTTAAAGGGACATGCAAATTATTTTTTTAAAGGGGGAGGCATATTATTTTTTTAAAGGGACAGGCATATTATTTTTTTTTGAAGGGGCAGGCAGATTCTTTATTTTTTAAAGGGACATGCAAATTATTTTTTTAAAAGGGGGTGGCATATTGTTTTTTTAAAGAAGGAGGCATTTTCGTTTTTTTAAAGGGACAGGCATATTATTTTTTTTAAAGGGGGAGACATATTCTTTTTTTAAAGGGACAGGCATATTCATTTTTTTTCATCAACATTTGTGTTGTCGTCAAATTAAATGCACAGGTCCGCAATTCCATTTTCAACTTCCATTCGACATTGAGACAAGAAATCAATTGCGCGAATTTTTGTCGATGAGCGTGTTTACACCAAATGCATTTTAATTGACGACAATTTTTTGATGTGTCGTTTTCTCGTCATCGAGAATTTTTAGTGCCTAATTTTTGATATTTTAAAGTCTCAGAGATGAGAATAAATGAAAAATTGGGCAGGAATCGAATATTTGCGAAATTTCAAGGATTGCGGACTATGCGTCTTATTTGACGACAATCCACATGATCGTTCCTTTTTTTATGTTTTCGATTTTGCATCAGTTTCTTTTTACTTTTAAAGGTTACCCCCCCCCCCTTTTAAATAAGCTTTTCAATCATCATCATTTTTAATATATATAAATATATAAAAGCCTATTGCATTTTGAGAGACTGTATACAATCGAGAGAGTGCAAGACAGCGAGAGAGCGGACAGCAAAAAACTTCGCACCCCGAGCGGGATCGAACCCGCGATCTCCAAACGACTATGTGTCAAAAATTTCCGCCACTGCGCTACTGCTCGCTCTTTTGCTTCGCTATAACTTGTTGACAAGTGCCACACAGCGCGGCATGCCAATCGCAAATTAATCATGGAATCCTTATACAAAATACATAGTTACGATCATTAAAGGCGCATGTGGGTCTTAAAGCGAATATTAGAGATAAATAATTTGCATACGCCTAATATATTTTTTTTATTCCAGTTCACGGCCAAATCAATCTCGGCTCGTTGTTTCTGCATCCCGGCCAAGGCGGTCAGGGATTCGATTTCGGCGTCGGTCAAGGCGCCAACATTTTGGGATTCGGCGGCGATCGAAGCTTCAAATTGGCCGGAAACTCGGCGGGTGTTGCCCTTGGATGTGAGTTTTGGCGAAATTTCGATATTCAAATTTGCTTGGTCGTCGATTTACGAGCCTCTCGCCACATTCATTTTGGCAACTCTCATGCAAATTTTGCACTATGATAGATCCTAGCAAAATTGGGCTCCTCGTAAATCGACACCAACTAATAAAACGCGAGGGAGATTTAAAATGACCGCGAAAAATTCCTCGGCCATCAAAACTAGGCCACGAATAAAAATGCCCTCAAATCCAAAAAAAAACTAATAAAACGCGAGGGAGATTTAAAATGGCCGCGTAAAATTCCTCGGCCATCAAAACTAGGCCACGAATAAAAATGCCCTCAAATCCAAAAAAAACTAATAAAACGCGAAGGAGATTTAAAATGGCCGCGAAAAATTCCTCGGCCATCAAAACTAGGCCACGAATAAAAATGCCCTCAAATCCAAAAAAAAACTAATAAAACGCGAGGGAGATTTAAAATGGCCGCGTAAAATTCCTCGGCCATCAAAACTAGGCCACGAATAAAAATGCCCTCAAATCCAAAAAAAAAACTAATAAAACGCGAAGGAGATTTAAAATGGCCGCGAAAAATTCCTCGGCCATCAAAACTAGGCCACAAATAAAAATGCCCTCAAATCCAAAAAAAACTAATAAAACGCGAGGGAAATTTAAAATGGCCGCGAAAAATTCCTCGGCCATCAAAACTAGGCCACAAATAAAAATGCCCTCAAATCCAAAAAAAAACTAATAAAACGCGAGGGAAATTTAAAATGGCCGCGAAAAATTCCTCGGCCATCAAAACTAGGCCACAAATAAAAATGCCCTCAAATAGCAATTTTTGTGCAGCGAACAATGGAGCTCTCATCGGCGGCGAACGCGTCGGTGTTGATGGGGGTCTTGGCGCTGGACGAGAAGGTCTGGAAATGGGAAGCCAGGTTCAGGTAGATCAAAAAACAATTTTTGATTCCCAACCTTCATTTCGGCGTTCAGTTCGGCAACAATCCGAACCCGATGCATCCGGCTGGCCAATTCGGCTCATTTCTGGAGAACATGAAAAACTTTTTCGCGTTCCTCGGCAACGGAATGCCAATGTCGCCGCCACCATCGCCACCATTCTCGATCGGCTCGATTGGTGTGAGCACACTGTCGCCAATGGTCACCACCACCACCATCATCACACCATGGGCGAAAATGGATGGCGACACGTCAGATGAGGATGGTGTCGAAGTGATACCGCCAAACAATGGAGGTGAATTTTGTCTCGCCTAATTATGCGGACCAATTAATTTTTGAAGATAATTTGCCGACAATTGGGCAATCGAAAAGCGCCGAGCTTCTCGGCACCGATTTCAGCAAAGATTCTGACGGCGACGAGTTCAGCGAGGAGCTGTTCACGGCAAAAACTGGCAAGAAGCGAATTTTGTGAAATGTTGAATTTTGACGATTTTCAGATCGACCTAGACAACTTCCAGGCCTCATCGAGTTCGTCTGAGGCAAAAATTGACGATTCATATTTATGAAATTCGAACCCCCCCACATCCCAAATGCTTTAAAAATTTTTGTGTATATTTATTGTTGCTCAATAATGAAGAGGCACTTGAAACATGGAAAAAACCCAACGTTTTGCAAGCAGGCACTTTTTTTGGTGCAAATTTTTCAAAAAATGTTTCTCCAGAGAATATTTGTGTTCGACTGCTCGCCGAGTTCGTCTTTCATTTTTCTCGATTCAATAATTCGAGTAGGATACAAATTTTTGAGCCGCCCCGTGTTTTTTGTGCATTCTAGAGCTCATTTCAATCATCTTTAATTTTATACATTTTCAGGGAAATTCGAATTCTTTTAAATTTTCTTTAAAAGTACAAATTCCTCCAAAATTTGGGCCCTTATTAACTAGATTGACGTGTTTTATAATAGACGAGATAGTGTGTAGAAGCGAGAGAGTGTGCAGACGACGAGAGCGGGGAGATAGAGAGCGTGCGATGAATGGAGACGCAGGCTGAATTCCATACAGTGGAATTCAGAAAAAAATTGTAGAAAAAGGAGAAAATTTTATAATTTGCCGATTTTTTTTAGCAAAATTAGACAAAAAAAGCAACACGAAGTTTTTCTTTAAAAATCTGCGTCGAAAAATGGTCATCGGAAAAATTGAAAAAAAAAATTTTTGAGTCCACAAATTTCCATTTCCATTCCAAATCTCAAATTTCCAAAAATTCAGTCTCTAAAATAATATCATGAATGGGGGGAAGTTGTGTGTAGCCTCACAATTTTTTATCTCGTTTTTTTCCACAAAACAAACGTCCCTCAATCATTTTATTCAATTTAAAAAATTTCTCGACCGACATCATTCAAAATAACTCGAAATATATATATATTCCCCGCTTCATAAATCAAGGTGAATATTTGAATGAAAATTTCGCATTTTTCATTTTTTCCGTGCCCCGTTTTTTGGCCATGTAGTGCACTTTTGATTAAATGAGAAGAAGTGAGAAGGATTCGTGATTTCAGCTATTAAGTATGTGTCTGTCGACGTGAAAATTGACTTACACAATTGCCATAAAAGACGACGAAAAAAAAAACACACGCACACAAGGAAAAAATAGAAGATGAACTTTCTTTAAGGATGCGTGCCTATATTATATTACGACGGCATCTGTGATTAGGCTGTGAAACGCATATGGTGCGCCGAGTGGCACTTCTCATCAACTTATAGCAATCTCGCAGAGCGCGCAATAGCGCAGTGGCGCTGCTTTTGGACTCATGACCGGGGAGGTCGCGGGCTCGATCCCGCTCTCGCGCGAGCTATTTTGCTGTCTCTGTCTCCCTCACTAAATCCTTTTTAACTGTTTTTTTTTATTAACGACCAAAAACATGACTCGAATTCTGAAAAAGAAAATGTTTTTTGATTCGCCTACTTGACTATTTTTCGCCTCGCAAAAAAGTCCATTGAAAAATTTGACAAATTCGCTAGTTGAGCGGACACACAAAAAAAACCATAAAAATAAATAAATTGGGAGAAAAAAAAGCACCTTGAAAATTTGCATACGAGCCGTTATTGCGCGTTTTTCAGCCAGCCACCGCACAATTCTTTTCTGTTTCGCCACCGGATTTATTTGTTCGAGGAGCCGATAAAGTGCTCTCGGCCAATTTGTGTGTGTGTGTGTGGGGGGGGGGGTCCCATAAAAATTTCCGACATTTTTGCATGACAAAATTTGAATTTCGCGGGCTGTCAATTCGAGCATGACAAAATTTGAATTTCGCGGGCTGTCAATTAATTGGGTCTCGTAGAATTAAAATGCCCCTTTTTTTCGCTATTTGGCACTTTTAAAAATGAGTGTTCTTCCATACGAGACCCAATTCGAATTATACTATAATGGATTTTATTTAAATATTGAATCCTTACGTAAAAATTGATAGTAGAATTTGCTGAAAAACATGAAGTCAATTTTTTTGAAATCAAAATTTTTATTAGAATTATTTGTCAATAGAGCGCAATTGCAACCATGAGGCATAATATTATATTATCTATAAAAAATTAAAAGTTATGATTGGCATTAGAAAAATAAACAAAAATAATTGGAATTGCAATTGCGCTCTATTGATAATCGAGTTCTACTCAAGGGACCATCGGGTTTTTTCAGAACTTTCTCATTTTAGGGGTTTCCTGGGTGCTGAATTCATCTAGAATACTATTTTTGAAATTCAAACATGTTATAAGGGACCATCATGGTTTGCTGAGCTCGATTTTGTCAATTCGGCCACGGCCGCCCAAGAATTCGGCCACGCCGCATTTCACCTCCGCCATTTATTATTAGCTCAATATTTTTTTAAAAATATTTTTTAGATTATTTTCTTCTAAAAATAGTAGAAAATAATTTAAATAGTCAAATTTTTAGATAAAATTAAAAATTAGAAAAAAAAATTTTTTATGTGCCGATTATTTAAAATAAATCTTAATTTTTCACATCACGCCCAATAAAAAATTGCAAAATCGCTTTAAAGGGTCTCTTTTTTTCATTTGAGACCCAATAAAGCAACAGAGCAATTGAATAAATCCCGATTTTGCAAAAATCTTATCATTGTTCATTTTACGATTTTAAGAAAATTTTTTTTCCATCTTTTTCCGCCGAAAAATGTGTCATCCATGGGATTACTACTCCTTTTGTGTGCCTTCTCAATGAATTTTCTTCATTTTTTCGGAAATATCACGTAAGGGATTATCATAGGTATAAAAACCGATGTCGATTTCAAGAATTCCAGCGTTCACATGATTTTCGAGACCCCAAATCTCTATAATTTTGACGTCATCTAGAATATTAATTAATCAGGCAATCAAAAAAAATAAAAATAATTTTTTTTCCATATCCCCCTCAAAAAAAAATAATTTTTTTCTCCATTCCACCTGTTTTTTGCTCGTTCGATTCTCGCGCGCCACCTATGATTTTCGCATTTTCATCATCCCAAAATTGGCGGTGTTTTCTCGCTTCTTCGCTGTGTGACGACGACAACATTTCTTCACCTCATTTCCATTCGGGCCTCTGTGTAATTTTTTGTGGCCGTCGAAAAATTCAATTCGCATTTTTTTCATTTTTTTTGGCTTTTAGGTAAATGTGTGAGGATGACGATCCGAAATCCGCAATCTCGCTGATTATTGTGCTCGCAGGTTTGGTAGATCAAAAAAAAAAGAAAAACAGAAAATTGATGGCTTTGAAAAAATTGTGTGCAATTTTGCGTAAGGCATCATTGCGGACCTCATTTTCTTTCAAAATTTATTTTCAAACTTTCTACAATAATCCGAGATATATAATTGCTTTGTGGTCACCTAGAAGGTCTCGCAGCGAAACGCGAATTTTCAAATTTTTGCTACATCGAAAAATAGGCAAATATGGACCACCGCTTCGTGGCGGCAATTCAAATATGCAAATTTAAATTCTTTAAAAAATATTTTTCAAGGATCCGCGATTTCGTTGATCTCCATTTGCACCAACGTCATCCTATTCCTGGCGCTCATTCGCAACTCTCGCTGCTTTCAATGCTATTTTCACGTAGGTCCCAACAATTCCGAACGATCAAATTGACAATTCCTTCAGTTTATTCTGGTGCTCGCCTTCTTCGACATTATTATATCGCTATTCTACATGCCGGTGATTCTAGTTGACACCCTAAAAGTTGAATTTTGAAAAATTAATTGCATAGTTAAGACGGGTTCCATTTCAGGATTGGACCAAATGGATCGAATTGGCGCGAGCGTGGTGGCCGTTTTTTGTCTACGGTCTTACTATTACCCACATCTCAATGACAACAGCAAGGTTTTCATCAAATTTACTAAAATCTGGCGTTCATTCGGGTGGCCGAATTATTGGGTGGCCGCCGAATTCCTCGGCCATATCCATTATTTCAAAATTTAATTTTTTTTAATTGAATTTTTACGTGTTTTTTTTTTAGAATATTTTGCCGATTACTTTTAAAAGCGTATTATATATATGAAAAAAAAATTAAATTTTTAGATGAAATCAAAAAATTGCGAGGAATTTGCGGCGAACGGACGAATTTGAAGATTGAAAATGTAGGCGCTGCAAATTTTTTTCTGGTCGCCCAATTTCGCTATTTCAAAGCGCCAAAAATTTGCTGTAAAATTAAGAAATCGCAAAAACCGCTCTTAATGGACTCTTTTCGAGACCCAACCTTCAATTTTTTGGTCTTGAAAATGCGATTTTCAGCTTCATTTTACTATCAGTGGTATTCGAGAGATTCCTCATCACTATTCGATATTATCGCCTCAAGCAGTTTCAAGCGCATCGCAGCTTCATCTGTTTCAGTAAGTCGATTTGAATTACCTATGTAATAGCCAAAAATAATTTTTTGCTTTTGCCTAGTTTGCCTCCTGCTTGGCATTTCAACAAAAGGCGGAATGCTGTTCGAGCTTGACGTGTTCCCCAACGAGGATCCCACGTGTATGGTAGGCATCTTTTTGCAGCGATTCAAAAAATTCGAATCGACGTCACACAGAACACGGTTCTCGAATACTACGTCGACGTCACCGACATCACCAAAACGGTGTGGTACGGCACGATATACAAATTCTGGTTTCGCAACTTCGCCACCGTCTTTCTGCCGTTCTTTCTGCTCATGGGCCTCAACATGAAAATGGTGATCGAGTTGCGACGCCAAATGCGCTCGGCGTTGGTGAACAAATCGCGTCGGCGGTTCTCGTTGAGAATGCAGAGCAAGGTTCGCTTTTTCTCTTTGGCAATCTCTCAAAGCTCACCGCCAATTTTTCAGAAGAACGTTCGCCAAGCGACGAGCACAATGCTTTTCGTCTGCCTCAGCTATTTGATTGCCAATCTTATCAATGTGTTCATCACGGCCTGGGAGTTTATCGATATGAAATCACTAGTTGAAAAGTAATTTTTATTTTTTCTTGGGGGGTTTGAAGCCGCTAATTTTTGCTCATTTCAGTTTTTTCGATGAATACATGCTATCGGCCGACATCTCGTCGCTTCTCGTCGTTTCCGCGTGCGCTCTCCGCCTCCCAATCTACATGGTACCGATTTTTGCCGACCACCAATTCTAATTTTTTTTTCTTCTTCTCATTCTCAGGTCTGCAATCCCGACCTTCGACGAACCGTGAAGCGTTCGGTTCAACACAAATCCGATCATCGCGACAAAATCGAGCAAACGTTCTCGCTGATCACAAAAATTGTTGTTTGACGACGTCAGTTTCGTGTTTTTACTAGGAAATAAAGTTTATTGTTCTCATTTCAACCATTACGCGCCCCCCCCCCCCACACGGCGACCTCCCAAATCGTTATAGGTCGTAAACCTCGTTTGAAGGAAAAAGAGAAGAAGACAAGACAAAAATTGAATCAAGTTTGATGTGTATCGATTGATCCGACGTTTCTCATCGGAAAATGGTTTGGTCCCCAACTTTTTGTTCGATGCTTGATAATTAATGGTGCTAGGCGGATTTCGCGAAAAACTGGCAAAAATGCGATTTTGAGGCACTCTAAAATCGCTATTTCCAAAAATGGGATCATCATCGAGACGCGAAGAATTAATTTGTGAATTACCGCCAAAAAAATATATTTGGCGACTTTCATTCTTTGGAAAATTGGCAGGATGTGTGCAAACACCGCGACGCATATTCTCACAGAAAATTTTTCTTTTGATTTTTTTTTTGAAAATCGAATATCGAAAAATTGGTCCTTGACAGTGGATCAATTGATTTTTGTTGAAGACAGAGCCTAAAAACTTGAATGAGGCTACAGTATACATTAAAGGCGCATGCGAGACTGTTTGAAGATTATAATTCAAATTTTGATATCTCGATGATTTTGCATGAATGGGACTAAACTGAATTTTTCAAAACACAAACATAAATTTGTTACGTTTAAAGGCGCATACGACAAAGTGTCACGCTTGTGGTACGGTAGGTATATGCGCCTTTAAAATCTACAGTAATCTAAAAAAATTTGGCCGCAGAATCCATATTTAATATAATTTTTTTTAGAAAAATAAATTTTGTGATGAACCCGATAATAGAAAAATTCGAAAGTGGTCCGTAATAGCGTCTTACGCAAAATTGCACACATTTAATTTTAAAAAATTCAATGAGGTGGTCTGTGCGCCTTTAATCTATTCATAAGCATAGGTCCGTAAATCTACACCTTTAGCTTCGTGCCAAGACCAGGGTCATTGTATTTTTTGGCATTTAGCCAATTTTTGATATTGTAAAAAATTGGCGCGAAATTCGAAAATTCAAAAGTAGTCCAGATGTCTCTCAATTCATTTTCTCTGATTTGCCAAAATTGATCAAGTCTGGTATAATTCGATTCGTCGGACGTGTCCGATTAATTCCGCCTGACGGAAAATTGATTCTGAACTTTGTTCGATGTGTGATAATTAATGGTGCTGGGCGGATTTCGCGAAAAACTGGTTAAAATGCGATTTTGAGGCACTCTAGAATCGCTAGGCCAAAAAAAAAATGGGACCATCATCGAGACGCGAAAAATCAATTTTTTGAATTGCCGCCGAAAAAATATATTTGGCGACTTTCATTCTTTGGAAAATTGGCAGGATGTGTGCAAACACCGTGACGCATATTCTCACAGAGAAAATTTTCGAATGATTTTTTGAATTTCAAATTTCCCGCCACCCTATGGACCAATCAGATGTGAGAAATTTACACAACTAGTCTTCCGGGGGACCATCGAGACTTGAAAAATCAATTTTTGAATTGCCGCCGAAATTTTCATTTTTGAAAATTTGAAAAAAAAGATAGGCGCGCAAAAATGTGTGCAAACACCGTGACGCAAATGTCACAGAGAAATGTTTTTTTTGAATTTTTTTTTAGAAATTCAAGGACCCTCTTTTTTTTCACAATTAGTCTTCCGGGACCATCGAGACTCGAAAAATCAATTTTTGAATTGGCGCCGAAAAAATTATTCGGCGATTTTTAAAATTTGATATAAATGATAGTGTGCAAACACCGCGACGCATATTCTCACAGAGAAATTTTTCTTTTGATTTTTTTTTTGGAAAATCAAACTTCGAAAAATTGGTCCTTGAAAATTGATCAATTAATTTTTGTTGAATCTTGAATGATGCTACAGTATACATTAAAGGCGCATGCGAGACTAATTGAAAATTGGGGGCCCATGAGAGGTGAGAAATTCCCTAGAATAATGGGGTCCCCACAACAACAACAAAAAATGGAAAATCTCGAAGTCCATTCGATGTCACACAATTTCCATACCCAAAAAAAGGGGCGATCGAGTTATCAAAGTTTGGTCGGCGATAGTACAGTTACCCGTAACCATCTTCTTCAAATCGTCAGGCGGCTAAACGTGTTTTTTTCGGCCGACGATGTCTCCCGCCTATTTCACTCATTTTTTGCATTATATTCGACCAGCAGCAGGCGCCTGATGATGTTCCAAATTGACCCCAACGCGATTATCGCCGTCACGCTGCTCTACTTTCGTCTCGTCGCCGCCGACTCGCAGAATCTCAGCGCCAAGGTGAACCCATCGATTGGCAGCCTCACGAAAGCCGATTAATTTTTTTGCAGCTGTATGATTTGGTGAAGCCGTCGGACACCCATCGCCTCTTCGACACCCTTCAATACGCTGTCGAGGAGCAGTACTCGAGAACGCCGGTGTTCTATGACTTCTCGACGATGTTCAACTATGGCGAGAAGCCGATCAATCTTGAGCGGCTCAATCGCAAATATCACGATGTGCTCTATGAGGGCGACATGGCTTTCGGCTATGAGCAGCTGAGTCGAATCGTCAACTCGGCCGTCGAGTTTCGGCGTCCGATTCGCAACAAGATTCGCGATCGTCGTCAGGCCTATCTCGACGCCAACTATCCGGCGACGATTTGGGAGCACGGCGTGCCGTTCGTCCTTCACTCGTCGCTGAGTGAGTCGCCATCGAGTTCGCGCCTCACATTTTTTTTGCAGATGCGCTCGCGCGCTCGTCGATTCTCAACGCGATCCATTTTTGGTATCGCGAGACGTGCATCGAGTTCGTCCCGCGAACCCGTCAATCCGATTATTTGGTGTTCGTCGGCGATGATGAGGGATGCTGGAGTACGGTGGGCAAGGACGGCGCCAATGGGAAGCAGGTCGTCAGCATTGGAGAAGGATGCGAGCATGTTAGTCTGACATCCCGCAACAATGTCCGCAGATCCATAGGTTGCGATTTAGCCAACGCAAAACCCGCAAAATTGTCCGCAGATCTATAGGTTGCCATTTAGCCAACGCGAAACCCGCAAAATTGTCCGCAGATCCATGGGTTGCGATTTAGCCAACGCGAAACCCGCAAGCATGTCCGCAGATAGATAGGTTGCGATTTGGCCAACGCGAAACCCGCAAAATTGTCCGCAGATGCCTACTACGAGAATTCTCTCATTTTACTTTGAAACTAGTGGGGTGGCTTGTTAGAATTGCCACCAACGCGAAACCCGCAACAATGTCCGCAGATCCATTGGCTGCGATTTAGTCGACGCGAAACCCGCAAGAATGTCCGCAGATCCGTTGGATGCAAATTAGAAAATAGAGGGTGGCTTGTTTGAATTGCCGCCAACGCGAAACCCGCAAGAATGTCCGCAGATCGTCTTGCATGAGAATCCAAAAAAAAAATACGAATATTTGCAGTTCGGCGTGACGTCTCACGAGCTGGCGCACGCGCTCGGCCTCTTCCACGAGCAGTCGCGCTACGATCGCGACGAATCGGTGACATTGAATCCGCGCGTCGTCGACCGCTCGCTTCTATTCAACTTCGCCAAGGTAGACCGTCGCTGAAGGACGCCACCAAACGAATCGCGGTATTGCAGATTTCGCGACGCCAACTCTCCACCTACGATCTGCCCTACGATATTGGAAGTGTGATGCACTACACACCAACCGAGTTAATTAAATAATTCAATTGACCTCAAGTGTGAAATTGCCGACAACCAATTTCAGATTCTCGACGGTGCCGTCGATTCCGACGCTGATGGCCGTCGACGCGAACCTCCAACAAACGATGGGCCAACTCGACGGACCATCGTTCATCGATGTTCTCATCATGAATCGACATTATAATTGTCAGGCGAAATGCGAAAAGCAGGCGGCGTGCGAGAACGGCGGATTCACGAATTCGCGAAATTGCGCGATTTGCAAGTAGGACCATTTTTGGAGTTCTTGAAAACCGGAAAAAAAAATTTATTGATCGTCGCGAGACCCCATCGGCGGCAATTCAAAATTTCAGATGCCCGTCGGGATTCGGCGGACGCCATTGCGAGCAAATCGCGCCATCATTCTCGACATCGTGCGGCGGTGTGCTGAACGCCGACGAAGTGAGTCGTCACACCATCGGAACCATCGAACCGCCCCATCCTCCATATTCAGACCGCCCGTCAATTCGACATCACCATTCGTCAAAACGGCGGCCGACGTGCCAAAACTTGTGTGTACCATTTGAAAGCGCCGAAAGGCAAAAAGATCGTCGTCGAAATTCGAAAAATCGACTCGAAATGCATCGAGGGCTGCTGGCTCGATGGGCTTGAGCTCAAAATGAGAGCCGACGTGAGGCCGACGGGCTATCGGTCAGCGACACCCCCTTTAAGAACCCCATCAAAATTTTGAGGATTCAGATTCTGCTGTCCAGAATCGTCGAAACGAAAAGTGGTGTCCGATGGGAATTTGGTGCCGATGATCGTCTATTCGAAAGATGACACAATATCGGCTTCACTTCAATATTTCTATGGTGATTTTCTTTTTTTTTTTTCAAATAATTTTTCGCGGTTTCAAAACGCCTATTCTAGTCGATGCTTCGGTCAGTTTCGACGAGTCGCCAACAAAAAATCTCAATGCGATATTGGGCGTCACTCATAGCGTCGCCGACGGGATCTCGACGCGACTTTCGAGGCCCTAGAAAAACGCGAGATTCTCTTAAAGAAGTATTCATTTTGTGGATCTCAAACTAGCAATTATTTAGATCATTTCATATGTGTAAATTGGCACAAAAATAAAAATAAATATATTATAACCATGATGATGATGAAGCACCTGCAATCGACATGTATTCGGTATTCTATGATCTCGGCGTGTGCAGTTGATAGGGACTGTCCACGGAGAGCTCCATGCTTGACACTTTGTTCATGTTCGAGATTCGAATCACCTCGCGAACCGGCTGAAATCAGAATTGCCTTTTTTGGGTTTTGAGATTTTCTACCACGGAATTATAGAAGACTCACTGGCGGCAATCCGTTCCTAATATGCCTCCGCTTGCACTGAATATAATGACGGCACTTGGAAATGATGATGAGCATGAGTCCCTGAAGAGCGAATAGCGTCGGGCACACACACAAAGTGATCTTTGCCATCATCTCGTCTCTAGCCGATAAATTGCCCTGAAGAAAAAACAATTTTTTTTTGAGCTTCACCTATTGAGCCAACCGACCTCGGAGACGAGCTCGCCGATGGCGATTAGGCAGGTGATTCCCAGCATACACATTAGAAACGATTGCCACAGTATCGCTGGCATCATGAAGCGAAACTGAAATAATTGGAGGGCTCGCGCGACTCGAACACACAATAATTATTACGCGGGTTTGTTTCAGGCCGTGCAGAATTAGACAATGCACAGTGCAGCCGCCAATGAGGAAGCAGATGAATGCGGTCATTGCTGAAATAGTGGAAAAATTTGGGCATTTTAGGTGAAATTGACTTTTTTTTTTGAATTTCGCGTCAATTTTTAATTAAAAATTAAAAATTCTTTTTTTTCTCTTCGCGCAAAAAAAATAAAATGTGTGCAATTTTACGTATGACGCAATTCGAATTGCGGAAGGCAGATGCTCCACTGTGTGGTCTTTTGTACTCAAATGATAGAAATCATGGAGAGCACGCAATCACAGATAAACGGCGGCATAGGCACAATGGAAGCATAATGGAACGGCTGTGGATATCATAGGAATCTTATATGCAAGTTATATGGAAGCATAATGGAAGCATTTTTTTTGCGGAACCGCGTGTTTCGTATATGGAATGAGCCGTATGCCTTCCATATGGGCAAATAAGAAAACAATTTGATTGCTGTATTCAAAATTTATTTCATATTAACACATTTATTTAATTTAAAATAAAAAAAACAACAATGAAATGAATTTCAATTAAGATATAATCAAACCATTAGTTACTGGCAACTGCCGAACTATTCGAATCATTGTCAGTACTGACATCGAGCGGGACGCTGTAATAAGTAGAATTCATATCGTTCACACTTGGTTAAAAAGCCGTGTTATGATATTTTTAAAAACAACAACTATTGCTAAGAAATTAGGCAAAAGTCCTAATGCACATTTAACCTATCCTTTTTTCGCAAATATACGCTTGTAGAAAGAAACCGTTATCGAATTTTTACCTTTTCTCCACTTTTCCTAGTCGCTACACTTCGATTATAATGGGCCTATTAATTTGAAAAACTTGTAAACCATTGTTACGTAAACTAAATTTTTCGAGAAAATACAATCAGTTTTTTTACATCAATAATTTTCTTAAAAATAAAAATAATTTATTTTTATTGCATTTTTGGAAACCCTTTAGTGCACAAAATAAAAAGTGAATTGGCGGAAGAAAGAACAACTCCAAAATTTGAAGCAAAAAGGCATTTTGGTTAAAATTTCAAAGACATATGAATACTCACATCTGAGGGTTGCTGGTAGAATCAAGCAGCTTCCTTAATTGCGCCGCGAGCGCTTCCGGCGCTACACCAAATTTCCTTTGAAGTCGTTGGCGCATTCTATCGCTTAATCAAGTAAATAAATTAATAGTCATAGTTCAAAATCTTACAGAAGATTATCCATGACTTCTCGAACCATGCGTAATGCTTTCGCTTTGAAGTCATTTGTCGGTTGTTGCCCAAAGCCATGGATAAGAACATCTGTAATATAGATATTTGCAATAAAGTATAGGATCTTTATATAGTCGACGTCTGGCGACTTCTGTACTAGAGCCCCACTTAAAAAGATAAATGCCACTGAATGATATTGGTACGAAGGCTGTACGGCAATCGGAAATTTCGGCGATTCGGCTAATGGCAAATTACCGATCGAAATTTTCTTCGGCAATTTGAAAAACCGGCAATTTCGGCAATCGGCAATTCCATTGCCGCACAGCCCTGATTGGAACCAAATAATCAACAAGCTTTAAACTTAGGAAGTACTTTATAAAGACTTCATTGCGCATATTTTTCTAATTGAAACCATTTCTGGAGTCGAACAGGCCAATTTTTGATGATAACAACTTACAAATTGCGCGTACGAAGGTTTAGGAATTGGCGTTGATTTTGTTGTTTGTGAGGACTGTGGAGAAAATTTTTTTTGCTGAGTTGGCGAGTAAATTGGACTATCTGGATCTGAAGTGTCGAGCGAATTTGGTTCCATGTTAGGGACTTCTGGTTCTTTGTTATTGACTTCTAGAGCAGTTTCAGTTATATCTGACAACACTCTCGATCTTGTCTTCATCTGTAAAAAATTTCAAAACATTATGTTTTATTAAAAGAAAAAAGCGAGCGATAATAAAAAATATGTTAAAGTAAATAAAAATAAAACGGATTCGATGAGAAATTAAACACAATTCGATTGAGAAAATATTTAAATTCGATTTTAAAAGTGTCGGAAACGATTTGAAAACATCGTATCGATTTTAAAATTTTCGAATGCTATCAATTTATTTTTGGTTTCGATTTTGATGATAAATATGAAAATTTTTCCTTTATTTTTTAAAAACATTTTTCCTTTAATTTTGAAAAAAAATTTTTAATTTTTGACAAAAAAAAAAACACAAAAAATCTTGAAAATTCATTGAGAAAAAGCAAAAGGAAAAAAATTTTGAAAACGAATTTCGAAAATGTGAGGCGTGGCCGCATTGTGCAAAGCGGCGCACGGTTTTGCAATGCTGCGGCACGCCTCTTCTACGCGCGTCTGCTACCAGTTTGGAGCAAATTGTGAGTAGTTTGCGATGCCAATTTCGGAAAAACCGGCAAAAATATATTAATACGACTAAATTGTAGTTGGCAATCTTTAAACAAAGTAAGGAACAGTTGACTGAATTAACATAAATCTGAGTAGCATAAGTCATTAAATGGTAGAAGCTAAATTTCGTATGTTGTGTATCATGTAATTTTCAAATTTTCATTGTTTATATGATAGCATAAGTTTTTTGTATTGATTTTTCTAGAAATTGTCTTGGTCTGCCGTCCAGACGCCAATTGTATAATGTGTAATGATATATGATTATTTTATCCATATTTCATCCATATTCGTTCCACGGCTCGCAAACACCGGAAGCATATTCATCCCGTTTTCATTCCATCCATATTCGTCCCATAATTCTTCCACAGCCACTAAGAATTACATTATGCTTCCTATATGGAAGCATTATGCTTCCGTTCCACAGATTTCCCACAATGCTTCCATTATGCTTGCGTCGCGCTTAATCAGTGATAGCGCAGTGGCGGAAGCGTTTGACTCGTAGGCGTGGAGATTGTGGGTTCGATCCCGCTTAGGGGGGGAAGCGTTTTGCCCAAACAGAGACATATTTTTTAAAACATTCTCTATGAAAATTGATGACTACCAAAAAATTCAGATAAGTTTAAATTAAAACTTGAAAACTAAAAATTTTATTTTCAAAAAAAACACCGCAAAATTCAACGAAAACCTCAATAATGCGAAAAAACGAGTTGGGTCTCGAAACGAAAGCCAAAACTCTCAAAAATTGGTCCCCCACCTGTCACATTAATCGCATTCTCATAGAGTGTCCACGGAAAAACGAAGACGCCAAATCCGAAAACGCTAATCGTGGCGAGAATCCCTAGAACACATTTGACGTAAAACGCTCGTAGATCAAAAACACAAAAATGTTTGATCAACCTAGTAGTCCGCAGAAAAACGTGGCATATTTGACGTGAACCACACCGAACAATTTGAATCGATCGTCGTCCTCGATGAATTCCATTTTTTTTCGTTTTTTGGGGTTGGCAAAATTCCTGAAAATCGTCAAAAAAAAATGTTGAGAAACGCGGTTTGGCTGGTCGGATTTTTTTTTGGGCTGCCGCGAATCAAACAATCTACAATTAATGTGGAAACCCGGCAATTTCGTCGTCTTCTTGCTTCGGCTGACATTTCGGATGTGGCGCGATGCGAAAATTAAAGGGTTCGATTCTCTCACAACGATGAATATGGCAAAAATTGGTTGAGAGCGGGTTTTTCCAAAAAAATGGATCGAAAAATTGGTGCGGAATTTTTTTTTGCAAAAATTAATTTATAAAAATTAATTGTCGTCAAATTAAATGTACAAGTCCGTAATGTCATTTTCAACTTTTTTTTCGATTTCAAATAAACAAAAAAGCAATTTTTTTCGTTTTTAAATAAAAAAAAAACTTCAATTCGTATATATTGAAAATTTTTGGGAAAAAAATTTTTTTTGATCTACCTTTAATTTTTAGGCATTTTTTAGCGATTTTAAATTTAAAAAAAATCTCGATTTTAAAATAAACAAAAATCATTTTTTTCGATTTAAATAAACAAAAATTCAATTCGTGTATATTGAAAATTTTTGGGAAAAAAATTTTTTTTGATCTACCTTTAATTTTTTTTCGCCACTTTTTGTTTCGTAGAGTCTGATTCAAAAATATCGATTTTAAGAGTTTCCATGGTATTAAAAATTGAAAAATGGGCGACAAGAAGCGAAAAAAAAAGAATTGGCGAGGCAAAACATCAGCGGGGTGAACAAAAAAAAGTGATATGGAGATTTAGAGAGGCGGCGGCAGAAGCCGGCTGGCGGAGAAGGGGGGGGGGCCGGTGGTATCTACGGGCAACACAACATAATTACACTACTGATATTTTCTAATGTAGCAGGTGTCGAGCAGAAGGAGGAGAAGCACAAAAAAATAATGAAAAATTGCCTTCCATTCATTTTTTTCCCTTTTCGAATTTCGCGAAAATCGCCATTTTTTGAATCAGCTTTTGCTGAAAAAAAAATCAGAATTAAAACAGAACGCCAAAATCGTGTTTTTATTTTTTTGCGCCAACCCCCTTTAAACAAATTTCCTTCAAAATTTGGACACTGTCTTTAAAGGCGCGTGCAATTTTTGTTTGTTGCACTGAAACCTTCCACGTGTGCCTTTAAGCATCTACAGTAATCCAATTTTCAAAATTGTGCCAATTTCCTCGAAAAATCACAATTATTGATGATAGCGATTAAAAATTAGAAAAAAAAAGAAGACTGCTGATATTTCATTCGGAAAATTCCACCTGAAATCTGTATGATCGATTGATGACGCGATTTCCAGGTGATTTCGAGACCTCGTTTGACTCAGACGATTTTAAAACGATGAACAAAAAAAAAGTTGGACTTCAATAAATTATAATTTTTATTCGAATTCACCACAAAACAAAATTGGGTGGAAACCCGCGATAGCGATTTGAGAGAAACATTTCGATTATGCACATAGAAACCGAATAAGCGACCCGTTGTTTGAAAGGAAAAAAACCACTAATAAGGCGAACGATCCGCTAATTGCGCTCTCTTGACAGATAATACCACCAGTAGAATACTGCAAAAAAAATAATAATTAGAAATAATTGATTGAAAACAAAAAGGCGAGCTCTCTGGGTTGGGCTAATTCAAATTTGCTCGGGTAGTGTATGTCCTCGAAGAAACGGTCAAAAAATGCTCAAAAATCCTAGAGACCACTAACAAGAAATTAAAATCCGAACCAGGGTTCGAAATAGTGACCTCTTGCGCGGCGGTTAGCGCGCCGACCAACTGCGCCACAATCGCATGCTGCGCGTTTGCGCGAGGGCATACATCACTCGGCGGTTTTCATTCTCAACACCATTATCCCAAAAATTACCATTGAACGCTGCAAACATTGCGGGAAACGCTTTGGCGGCGAATGAGTCAACTCTAGCGCCCATGTCTGCGGACATCTCGCGGGAGCTATTGTTTTTCCAGCTGTGCGAATTCCCGTTTTGATCTCCGCTAAAATTGCACTCAATTTTTTTAAAATTTTTTTTTTCTCGACACTTGCACTTTTGCTTGTGAATCAACAATTTTTTTTTGTTTTTTAATTCAAACTTAATTTAAAGTGCAAATTTTCCGAATTATAATTAGCGTCAGAATTCTCTTCGGTTGAATTGCGATGATTAATTTAAGCTGCTTGCAGCCTTAATTCTTTGTTTGCCTCTGTGTACTCCACACGGAAAACATTGGCCACTGGTGGGAATCGAGTATTGGCAAAAAACCAACAAAAAAAAAATCATAAAACCTGAATTTGTTATTCATTTCCATGAAATTCAAAAATTTGGTTAAAGGCAAGAAAAATATTTTTAAAAACTTCGGCCACGGCCACATTTTTCTAGGCCACAATTTATTTTGTTGAATCGCTATGAAATATTAATCGTATGCGCCTTTAACTTTTTATGGGGATTTTTAAAGTATTATAAAATCGCGAAGAAACGCGACTACTAGGCTTCGAAGGAGGTGGCCGTGGCCGAGTTTTTTCGGAATTTTTTTTTGCAAAAAAAATAGAACAAACCTCATATTATAGAGCTCATCATCATCATTATTATTCATTGAATATCGCGTCGAAGCGCATTTGGCATTAAACGAGTATTTTCTGGAAAAAAATGGAAAATTTTAATTTATTCGAATTTCGATTTCCCCCGCGATCACTTTTTGATGGTTCCCGTCGCGATGGCCCGCTGAAATTTGATGCGTCGCGAGCGTCGCTTGATCTCGGTGATTTTGTCGACGAAACCGACGACGGCGAGCTCGACGAGCGAGAAGAAAATGAAGGCGACGCACACGAAGAACCACAAGTCGATGGCTTTGACGAACGAGACGCGCGGCAGATTTTTGACGATGTTGCCGAATTGGAACGTCAACGCCATCAGCGATGAGACGCCGAGGGTGATGCGCGCCGGAAGCGCGCGCGTATCAATCCAGAACGCGATCCACGAGATGAACACCGACAAGTACGTCGGCAGGTACATTTGGAGCACATAGTAGCCGTACAAGCGTTTGAATCTGTTTCAACACACAATCTTTTTGTTGGTGGGGACCATTTAGGCGGCCAAACCGAAATGTGACTTTCAACTGGTCCCACATTCCAGCCGTGTACTCGTTCGACGTTTTTCCCCACGTCACGTTGTAGAATTGAAAGTCGGGTAGGCGAAAGTCCTCCGGCGGCGGCATTGTCACCGGCGCCCATTGTTGCCAGTTGAGACGGACCTGGAATCGATTGGCACATTTGTGGTCCGCAAAATTGTCGCGTACGCACCTCGGCCACATTATATGAGTAGGACTCGAAGACGAGATGGCATTCTTGGGCGTCGATCGGGAATCGCGAGAGCTCGAACGAGCACGGCGCCGACACTTGGACCCGATAGTTGAGCCAAACGGTGCCTGAACAAGATTTTCGATGAAAAATTGAGAAAGGCGTTTTTTGAATTGCCGCCAAAACAGCGAGATTCCTTTTTTGTGCAAACACCGTGACGCAATTTTCACAGAAAAAAAAAACAACCAAAAAACCGCTGATTTGGATTTTTCATAGCAAAATTTAAAAAAATTGCTATATCTACTTTCTCACTACTATTCTGAGTGCGGGTAGATTTACGAGATGCGTCTTTCGAAATGGTCTCGTCACGCTTGAAATTGTCTCACCTAAAATTCAGATAAAGCAAAATTTTGATAGCTAGAAATCGTCAAAATCGCTTCAAAATATTTTTCTTTTCCATACGAGACCCATGGCGGCAATTCAAACAATCAAGCCAAAAAATTTTAGGCAATATCAATTTTCTGGAAAAAAAATTTCCAACATCACTGAAATCCCATATCGAGATTCGACAATTCGCAAAATTCGAATTTTTTGAATTGCCGCCTCGAAAAAATGCAATGGTCCACAAGATTTTTTTTTGCGATACAAAATTTTATTAGAGAAATATTTATTTTACAGAAATATTTTTTTTGTGGCTTCAAAATTCGAATTTCGTGATTTTTGAGAATTACGAAAAATTGCCAAGAATGACCACCAACGACACTCCGTGTTTACAGTGCCATTTGTTTAGTGTAAATTCAAATCTCGCTTTTTTGAAAACTCTGCGCAAGGGGGGGGTCCCTTTAAAAAAAAAGTAGTTGCCCACCATTCGGATAAATAATCAACAAAATATTTGATGCCGGCGATTTGTGGACCTGCGTCGATTTGCTATTGACGAAACACACGTTCGGCGTCCAGAGTCGCTCGCTGACATAGCTGTCCAAAGAGAGATTCGCCTTGCACGAGATGTTCCTAGAATTCGAATTCGATCGGTCATCGTTTGAATGAGCGGAAAAAACGCAACCGATAGTCCAATCGCGGGTCCTCCCACACCTGACTAAACCACACGTCGGCAATAAACGAGCTCGAAATTTCGGAAATCGACGAGATATCCTGAAATTCGGCGGGTGGGGGACCCCAAAAACCAATTTGAAACAACAAAAAAAAATGATCATCGTTACCTGAACGGTGAGCTCAACGCTCACCTGCACCGAATTATTCGACGGCACCATTGTTTTGTCATAGTCCTGTAGAAGGTCCTGCAATTATTTTTGGCTCTCGTCTATCACGCCAAAAAATTCGACGAAACCGTCAAAATGCTTTTCCTATGGTTCGAATTGTACGCGCAACTCGCCACTTCATCGATCGCCTCCGCGTTCGTCGTCGTCACCGCGGAAACGAGCAACATGTATAATATATCGTGGAGCATTTCGAGCTCTGAAATTTATATATAAAAAAAGATTGTGCGTTGGGGCGATCGCGAGAGTTGACGGCCAAAAAATTAATGGCGGACCACCTTTTGCAAATTTCTCATTGGGGGGGGGGGGACCACAAATGTCAATTACAACCTTTTTAAAATCGAATTCTGCCAAAACAAAATTCAAAGAGATTTTAAATTGATAAAATTTATTCGAAAAATTCATTTTCTTTTTTTTTTGAAAAAAAATAGGCCCGCCGCGGCCGCCAATGTAAAAATTCATGAGACGGTAAAAAATGTAAAAATTCATGAGACGGGACCGAACCTTCGCCAAAAGTTTACTATCCCCGCGCACTTGCCCCCCACCACACCTGGCTCGGAAACTGTGGAGCCAAGAGGCGTATATGAAACCCATTGGTTAAATAACTGCTGGCATTGTGGAAAACACCTCGAATTTTCAGATGGCCAAAAAATTTCATCTGAAACCCCTGGAGCTCAGAAGGTCTTCTAGTTTACAAAGTTGCAAACAATTCCAAAACTGGAGGTAAAATGCCTTCCCTTGGTTAGTGGCACCCCTTTGATAGACAAAAAAAATCGAATTTTTTTTTGTTGAAAAAAAAAAAGAAGAAAAGGCGGTTTTCTCACGGCAACACCTCGATTCAACGCGAAGTGTGAAGCGAAAAGTAATCTGCGCAAAAAAAAGAACCTCATTTATATTTAAATGGAAACGCGCCGATTTTTTTCAGTGTCTCAGCGAATTTCAATTTTTTTTGCTGTTGAGGAAAAAAAGAAAAAATATATATGTATATTTTTCTTCGTCTTCTATTTATTATTACCCGTCTATTATTCATTTTCAATAATATCCGGTGTTTTGTTGCGCATGGCAGCGTTTCGCACTTTCCGCATTAATGAAAAAAAAAATATTAAGCGAATGAACAAGAAAATTGGCGGCGATCCACCAAAATCATCCTTTTTTTGGATAAAATCATAATTAATCTAAAAGTGTTGCAAACGCGCTCTATTGAAATGTCTAGTTGTCTTGCGCCCTCTCAGCCTCCCTCTATCTTTTCTCGGGTCGAAATCTTTTTCTCTGCGTCTCTCATTATTCCTCTATTCTTTGCGGTATGATAGGCATTCGATTTCTTGGGGAAAACGCGGCTTCCAGAATCGATCGCTGCGAGACCCAACGCGTTGAATTCGCGTATCAATTTTAACCAGTTTTTTTTTGCGATATTCAAAAATTGATTAAAGGCGCATCGCGTCGAAAACGAGCTGGGTCTCGCAGCGAGCAAAAAAAAGAACGACCTGAACTAGACGAAAATGAGAAAATCTGTCGGGTGGGGGGGGGTTTGGGGAAGAGCTGAATTACTTGGGGGGGGGGGGTTTAAAAATTGTTTGCGGGTAATTGAGAATTTTTTTCCCCCTCATTGTCTAGCTTTTTTTTTTCTATTAGCCGGGTTTTTTTCTTCAACATCGCTGTTTTTCGCAAGTTTCGCGCCAATTCAATTTTTTGCCTTCGATTAAAACAAAAAAAAAACAAAAGAAGACAACTTGAAAGGAAATTGAAACGACGTGGATGTTTACGGAAAAATAACGTATTATTCAACAATTGTTGTTGGGAGACCGTTTTTTTTTCGGTTCTGTATGGGACCATTGGTTCCAGAAAGATGTCAAAATAGAAGCAGCAAATAACAAAAAATATGATATATTTTAGGAAAACAGTCGGAAAGATAATTAGACAAGCTTTCGAATGATATATAAATCCATATCATTATAGAGTTTGTACAAATATCGTGCGGTGGAAGGAGACGCAGACAGCAAAACATTTTGCTCCAGAGCGGGATCGAACCCGCGACCTTCACCTTATGAGTCCAAAACTTGCACCACTGCGCTATTGAGCGCCTTGCAAGCCTGCTTTAAGTTGATAACAAGTGCCACACAGGTTCTCAAGGCTCACGCACGGCCTAGAAAAATTGGCGACCCTTTCAAAAATAAAAAATGCAAGTGCGGCACACTTCTATTTATTTTTTAATTTCCACAAAGTCTCGATTTTTATTTTGACATTCAGTTTTTGAAATAGTAAATCAGATAATATACACGTTCATTTATTTCTACTCACTTAATTAATCAATCCATCAATGGTGGCCGTGGCCGAACCTATTTTCAATCTTTTTTAGGCCGCATGTGAGTTGCAGGAATTTAAATAAAATTTTGATGGAATAATAAAATAAGGATTTCAAATAAAACCCAGGAAACCGAAATTCTTTTGCAACGACCTGCTGATGGCATTTCCATTAATGAGAGGCTAATTTTTTTTAATTGGTTTCACAAAAAAAGTGCGATTCGCGTTCGAGTGTCACACACACTCACGCAAAATTGCACACATTTGATGTGAATTTAGTAATTTGTGAAATTTTCAAATAAAAAATTCTCCATTTTTATTGAAATTCGAATTGTTATTTTTCGAAAATTGAAAATTTCCAGAAAATCGAGTCAATCAAATTTTTTGAATGTCAGAAAACTCTAGTTTCACCAAAAAAAAACGGGGGGAGACATCGAAACGAGTCGTAAGAGCTCAAAAATCCGAAAACTCAAATTACATTGTCTCAAACCTAAATAGAAAAAAAAAACTCAATTGCTTATAAATATAAGGGACCCCCACGAAAACAATTTGGCCGCCTCGCCGTCATAGTACATCTTAAGGGACCACTGAGAGTCATAGCAACAAGTTCGCGAAAAGAAAAAAAAACGAGACGATATCAATCCACCAAAATTTATCGCCGGCACACATCTGGAGATGAAAAAAAAATTGAACAGTATGTAGATCATAAAAACGAGGCAATAAAATTGTTTGGTGCGTTTTTTTTTCTTTTTATTTCCTTCATTATTATTGGGTTTTTGCGACTTTTGGCCGACGACGTGCGGGGCAACAATAAATAAGTTGAAGGGAGCGGACCAGCAGAGGAAAAAAAAGAGAGAAGGCAAAAAAAAAGGAAGGGGCAAACCTAATTAGAATTTGAGAACTGCCCTGGGCGGAGCCCAATTTTCAAGAAGCAGATTTCAAAACTTCGCTTTCAAACCAAAAAAAGCCGGTGAAAATTGCGAAATTTCCAGAAAGTGCCGTTTTGTGCGATTTTGCGTCGCGGTGTTTGCACACATTTTCCGCGATTTTTTTAAACCAAAAAAACGGTAAAAATTGATTTCCAGAAATTTCCAGAAAAAGCCGATTTGTGCGATTTTGCGTCGCCGTGTTTGCACACATTTTCCGCGAATTTTTTAAACCAAAAAAAGCCGGTGAAAATTGATTTCCAGAAATTTCCAGAAAGTGCAGTTTTCTGCCATTTTGCGTTGCCGTGTTTGCACACATATTTCAAATTTTGAATTTTTCAAACCTTAAAATTCAATTTGAAAAAAAAAAGAATATCAATAATTAACGATTTCACAAAATTGTTGAAGATGTTCAAAAAAAAAAATGCTCGACGAGCCCAAAAATAAACAAAAAAAAATTCATTTCGTTTATTTTTAGTCCGAAAAAAATCATAATAACGCTGGAAATTGTTTTTTTCTTTTTTTTTCTCGCTAAATCGCCCATCTTGTCAGACATCATTATCATCAAGTTGCGGGCCGGAAGAGGAAATTCGACGACTAGAGAAAAAAGTGCATGGTGGTGGTGGTGGTGGTGAAATGCCAAAAAAAGAGCACCAATGGTGTATATCACAGTGGGTGTTAATTATACGTTTTTTTTTCGCTGGAAATGACGTTATGGATGTCAGACACGCGAACCACCAAAAGGTTGAATTGAGGGAAGGAAAATGTCACGCTGGTTTATGGTCCCATTCTACTTCTGCTTAAACTAGAAGGCCTTCTGAATTCCAGCCAACACAATGAGGTTTCAGACGTCGGAAAATTCCAGGTGATTTTCGATATAAAGAAATCACGGCGAGACTCATCACAAAAACTGCGTGCGCCTTTAATTTTTCAAAAAATGGCTTCAAAATCCTCTCAATTCAATTTTTTTTGTATTTTTTTTCAGATATTTGAATGATTAAAAATTCTAGACGTCAATTTTTCAAGAAATTCTTTATAACTTTTCATGACGCGACCTTCAAGGAACTCAAATTTTCGAAAATCGGAAGCCGGAATTCCGTAGAGCTCAATTAGTAGTTATAATTGTTTAAAGGCGCACAACGAGTTTTCATTTAAATTCAAATAGTAAAAATTGGCAAATTGTGTACTCCACACGGACAATCTTCTCCAAATCGACAGGTCCGCAAAATGCCGTACGCAAAAATGCACATTTCGAATAAACCGCCAAATTGACATCACCACGCCATAAGGTAACTCGATGGGGGGGGGGTGACACCGAATTATTAAAAAGGTCCCGCCGCATTAAAATGGCAAACATCAAAGTTCGCGAGGTCCGTAAAAAGAAAAAGAAACTGGTGAGAGCAAAACGAAAAATTGGGAGAACAATTGGAGACATTTGCGGCCGAGGTTTATCGAAAATTTCCGGCGCCGCCGCCCTTATTATATGCACTTATATGGTTGGGTGTAGAAAAATACGAAATTGGAAAAATGAAACAATATCGCTCATGAAAACAATATGGAAAAATTTTTGGGTCCCGCGCACAACGGACCACTACTCACTCATAAAAATGTTGGCGGGCGGGGCATTTTTGAGTAGATTGAGCGAAAATGGACTGGAATAGTTGATGAGGCGCCTATGACAAAGTGTTTTTTTTTGTGTGTCGAGCAAGAATAGCAGAATGGAAAAAAAAAGACGATGAAGGAAAAAAAAATTTTTTTTCTGGGTGTGATTCACACTTTTTTCGATTATCGAGGACCCCCCCCCCTCCGGGACCCACTTGAAAATGAGTTCCGGCAAACAACAATGGTTTTGAAGAACAAAACAAACGATTAAGATAGTTGTGATCACAATGGTCCCTATAAATCAGGAAGGGATGAAGGCTATCGAAGCGTGAAATGAGTTGAAAGAACGTCATCCGTGAAGAAAATCAACAAAAGTACAGAAGAGGCAAAAAGGGACCACTTGGGCGGCGGTGTTTGAATGGGTTTCGGGTGGGGGCCATAAAGATTGCCGTCTCAATAACATGTTTCGGACCCCCCCCCCTTCAACCCGTTTTGAAATTATGAGGCAAATGCGATGTTGGCGGAGAATCGGGCGTTTGTTCGTTTTCGACTTTTCATTCGTCTATGTAGTTCGCATCGATACTAAAGAAAATAAATGGGATGCGATGGAAATTTTTGGGAGGGGGACAAATTTGAATTTATAGTGGTCCGCTTCGTTGTTTGGAAATGGCCATTAAACTATATAGCGATGGGAGAATGAAAAAAAAAACGTCATGCAAAATCATCCATTTGGAATTAATACACCACAAATTGTCTTAAAATTAGTGGCCCAATTTTCTCAATTATACGTACTATGCAGATTTCGCAAAAAGTATCAAAAAAATTGCAAAAAAAACACCAATAATCGCATTTTTTTGAAATTCAAAACCTCGGCCACGGCCAGGTTTTTCGAGGCCTTTATTGTCCGTATCGATTTTATTTTTTTATTCAACTTTTTTTCTGTGATAGTTTCTAGATTCTCTATTATGGTTAAAGGAGCATATAAGAAAATATTAGGAATCTTGGAGAGATTTAATAAATTGTGGAACTATAGGTTTCAAAAAACGTGGCCGCGGCCGAGGCTATTAGAGTTGGGTGTTAGTGTTTTTTTTTTGCGAAATGCCATAAAATAGCCATATTTTATTGATGTTTGGAATTTTTAGAAAAATTAAAGAATTAAAATATAAAATAAAATAGTCGATTAATAATGTGGGAAATGAGGCGGCCATTTGATTTCTTTTTTCAGAAACCGACTATAACGTGGGACGGATAAGAAAAAGGAGAGAGAGGGAGCACTTATCAAATGCACGACATGAGGGACCACATGGTCATCGATCATCATCATCATCATCGCTTCATCACTCAATGTGTTGCTCTTTTGCTGTCAGTCAGCAAATCGACCACAATCAAATTTTTTTTGCGAGCCTCGACAAAACGAGCATCGTGCTGTTTTTCTGTTTTCGGGAATTTTCTCGCAGCGAATCGAATTATTTGTATTTGTTTCGCATTGATGCCAAGAATCGAGACGAGCGAAATCGAATCTCCGATGCACACACACACACACACACACACACAAGCAATTAATCTTGGCCCATGCCTCGTTTTCCATTTTTCCCCCGTGATTGAAACGAAATAAAAACAGCATTGCGATGGGAATGAATCCAAATTTGATTTTGAAGGGGGTGAGTTTTAAATTTTCTATAATTTACTCCTTTTCGCTCAATTTTCTTTCGACTTCTGAATTTTTGAATTTGAAGTGATGTCGGTAGAGCGCACTTGCCGCAGAAATGTTTTTTAATAATTTTTATTTTTATTTTTTCCCATTTTTTTTTTCATTTTTTCATAAATTTAGATGTCTGACAAAGAAGACGACGGCGAGAATCATCGAGGGCGGCCTGTTCAAAATTTTTACAACAAATTTGTGCATACGATTGAGCAGGCGTTGAATGTGGTTGCGTACGGCGGTTGGCCAATAATTTAATTAAACCGATCAAACTCGATTTAGAGCATTCGACAAACGGCAAAATTTTGGCGTCGACTGATTTGGAGGGCATCGCCGAATATATCAAGCGAAAGAATCCGAAAAATGTGATCGTTATGACGGGCGCGGGAATTTCGACATCGGCCGGCGTTCCCGATTTTCGATCGCCCGGAACGGGACTCTACGACAATTTGCAAAAATACAACCTGCCCGACAGTCAAGCGATATTCGATATAAGCTTCTTCGAGCAAAATCCCGAGCCATTCTTTCATTTAGCCAAGAAATTGTTTCCAAAGAATTTGAAGGTTGAAGAGGGACTTTCAAAAAAATAAAAACAGAATTTTTTGCGAATTTCAGCCAACTCCTGCTCACCATTTTGTCAAGCTTCTTGACAAAAAAGGGATGCTTAAGCGATGGTATACGCAAAACATCGATACACTTGAATTCATGGTGGGCATTGACGACGACAAAATTGTGACGGCTCATGGCTCGACAAAAACGGGCACGTGTCGAAGATGCGATAAGAAATATGACATCAAATGGATGACCGGTTTGAATTGAATCCCATTTTTTTGCGAAAATTGACATAATTTCAGATAAAATTCACGATCCAAATATTCTGGTCCCACGATGTGACGTTGAAAACTGCGACGGAGTCGTCAAACCCGACATCGTCTTTTTCGGCGAATCTCTACCTCGCCGCTTCTTCAGTTGTTCAATTCAGGACTTTCCAAATTGCGATTTGCTTATCATCATGGGTACATCGCTAGTGGTCCAGCCATTCGCTAGTCTAATACACGAGGTAGATTCATTTTGATTACAAGAAAACCCCAATCAAACGACTTAAAGGTGTCTGAAAATGTTCCAAGACTATTGATAAATCTCAACGAAGTGGCCAAATCGATTGCTGGAGAAGCCGAGACTGGCTTGTGCTACGCGATGAACAGCAACAAACGCGATGTCTTTCACAAATCGACTTGCGATGATGGTGTGCGAAGACTCGCCGAGTTGCTTGATTGGGAAATTGAGCTTGGCGAGCTGATTTGCGAAGGTGAAGTCAAACACAAACATGAAAATGCCATTTAATAAAATAAATATCTCAATTTATCCGTAATAATTCAATAATACAAGGAAAACTACTTCCTCTCTCTCTCTATCCTTGTCTATGAATTCATTAGACTAATGGGTCCCGTCAATACCCGTGTTGAAATTTCGTCTAGCCAGATTGTTATGGACGATAGTCGCTGATCGATGAAACGCCAGAGCCCCATATATAATTATTCGCGTTACTATTCGATATCGGGTCCAAGAATGTGCGATCAAAGATGACTTCGTGAACGCATTGCACAAATCCGAAGTCGAAATTTGGATCGGCACGAATGAAAAGACGCGTGAAGTTTCTGGAAAAATCATAATTTCAACGAGAGATTGGTGGATTGATAAACCTCAAAACTCGAAAACTCTCCATTGTATACATACAGCTTCCGTCAATGTCGTATCGTTCGCTTAAGCAGTTTGGTTCGACAACTGTTGTTTCACGATGATCGTAGGTTGGCTTAAAAATTAAAATTATTGAAAAAAAAAGCAATTTAATGAGTCAATTTTAAAGAGGAAACACTCAGAAAGTCGGATTATGGAAACGCCGGTGAAAAAGAGATTTGAGAGAGAGAGAGTGTGTGTGATTTTGAGAGACGCAGACATTATTTTTCACCGTCATTTCTATGGCACGATTTGCAAAAAAATTAACTGCAATAATCAAACTATCGCGAGACCTACTAGACAATTCGGTGCCTTGCGTCTTTAATTAATTTTTTTCCGACAAATTCAATTTTTTGGAATATTTTAATTCAATTTCGCTTTTTTTTACGTTTTCACAAAAATGTCTATAATGAGAGAACTTGCCAATTTAAAATCCGGTGTGGCTAGTAAATATTTATAAAGCTTTTCATATTTCGTATGACTAATTGTTGCCATCGAACCCATATGTTGTAGCCAGTTTTTCGTCACTTGATATACTCAAAAATATATGAAATTAATTCGATTCGCCAGTTTTCTATTACGTCTCGTTTTATGATTTGAAGCGTTTGCATTTATCAAAGCGTCCTCCTTGAATGTTATCCTAAAAATAATTATTTAAATGTGATATACGTATAGACGACTTCTGCACTCGTGTTGATTTACGAATGCGCCATTTGAAATGGTCTCGCCACGCGTGAACCATTTACTTTTTTCTTGATAAGTTTGGCATTCTTGAAATTTCTAACGTCGTTCGATTTAAAAATTATCGAACCGACCAATAAAATGCAAAATAACCAGTTAGGGACCAATTGAAATCCGCAAGTTCGTAAATCTACGGTACTCGATGGACGCCGACTATAAATGAATTTTAAAAATATGCACCCATTCATTTCAACCATGTCGCGAAGCCTTCGTGACCTTCTTGAAAGAAACTTTGTCGAATGCAATGGAATGTCACGTTCCTAAATTACAATCTCTCATAACATTATTGCTTGTAAAACTGTTTAAATTGGATGTTTTTCATATAATAATGATTTATGCGCCGATTTCTAGTAAATACATACCGCTGTAATAATAGCATGCTTCCATTCAAACGAATCAAGTGTCTTCATACAAGCCAATTGTGCGTTAAGCATTCCATGGCTTGTCGAAGTGTCGAAAAGCTCGCGAATGACCATGACGTTCATTAGGCAATCACCTAGATAGAACATCTGAAATTCTCGGCGAAAAATCCAGTGTGATCGTGAAGACTTACTCGTTTCTTGAATTTCTCATCGGCGGATTTGTCGATCGAATAGCAGAAGAAATGAATCGGCGAGTGCATCATTGTCAAAACCTCCTCGATAAAATCATAATCTTTGGTGACGACGCGAATGAAAATCAAATTGTGAAAACCGGCTAAGCTTTTCGGTAGATCGTTCGGCAAATATCGTCGTTTTTTGATTTGAAAACAACTGAAATTTGGTTTTAATCGATTGATCATCGAGTAATCCACCTTCGATCCGGCGGAGTTTCTCGAATCGTTGTGCGATTCGCAAGATATTCCTGATAGACATCGGAACTGTTGTCAGCCATCAGCTGACAATCGATTTCATTCGACGGCGCGATTGGAATGAAAATGTGAAAACTGGAAATTGTTGGGTGATTCGTCGAGAACGAACGATAAACAAAGGTCAACAACACACCTGTAGCTTGCGTACGCGATTAGAGCGATGAACGGAATGAGAATGACTAGAAGGTAAATTACCATTGCCAATAATCCCGATGTGCAAATTCTTGGCGACGCCATATTTCACAGAATCTGAGTTCTAAAAAATGTTGATTATTAATAATTCGTTTAAATTTAAAAAAAAGTGGGTTAAAAAAATTCGACATGGACATTTTTGAGAAAAATTTGGATTTTGCTTCCACATTTTTTTGAGGAAAATTTGGAAGCAAAATATTTAAAGCGCGATGAAAATAAAGGTAAATTTTTTGAAAAATTTAACAATTTAAATAATTATTTCATTAATATTGTTTTAAAAAAATGAAAAAACAACGAGAGAAAGCAAAAAATTCAAAAAGGTCCGCAACTGTTACGCAAAATTGCACACATTTGTTTATTATCAATATTTATTTTAATCGATGAAAATAATTAATGATTTTAAGAGAAAATCGAAAATTTGTGAATAAAATCATAAGAAAATTGACTCACAATAAGAAAAAAAACATTTTTAAACTAAATAAGTAGGAAAAAATTGGCCAATTCGCAGATTGCTCATTTTACCTCAAAAAAAAAAGATTCATCAAAGAAAATGTTCAGAAAAATAAATTTATTGTAAATAAAAAAGTAATACATGTTTTTTTAAATAGCCATATGATTTGAAAATCCAACCCCCGAAAGAAAAACAATAATAAAGGTCCATCAGACATCGACACAAAAGGAGAAAATAGACGGAAAAAAAACTGGTTTTTAGTTGAACTAACAACGACTTCAGAAGGTGGGCGACGGAGAGATAATAGCGTCATCGACATAATCATTTCACCATCATCAAACAAAAAAGTGAATTCATTTAATTTTGCAATTCAAAATGAAAGCATTCTGAACCGCGATGTGAACGAGAGATTCAAACAAAAGATAATTTGGGTGTGACGGTTTTTTGCATTCAACACACCCTTTGTTGTTCACCTAATTCATCTTTTTGCCCTTCGAGACCCGATTTGAATTTTTTCGAACGCCTATCAATGATAGAACGCGGAGAGCCGCTTGGAAGAGAGCTCTGATGATGAATAGAGCAATCGAGAGTGTACAATAAATCACAAAAATGAAGAATGCGATGACGTCTACTAGAAAGTATTGAAGGACGTTGAGATGATCGGCGCCGGAGCGCGCGTGCGGGACCTCGTGATGTCGCTCGATGAATTCGACCCAAAACGCGGCGTGCTCGAGCTCCGTGTAGGGCACATCAATGAGCATATCCTGGAACACCAGCATCTCCTCTTTGTACCTAGAAAAATCGACGAAATTTTGCGATTGCAGCCGCCTTCACACTTTTTGCTCGTCGCCACCTCGCTGATCGCGTCGGAGAGCTTCTCGAGATCGCGTTTCTCGAGAATGACGCCCGAATCGCGCGCCGCGACTCGCAGCAGATTGTCGCGGCCTCGCGCCGTCAGCGGCAGTCCGACGACGGGCACACCGTGCCAAATCGATTCGATCACACTGTTGAGGCCGCCGTGCGTCACGTGCACTAGACATTTTGGATGGCCTGCAAACAACTGGACTGCTATCGCGGCCGCGAATTATTCGGCCATGCCGATTTTGTTGGGTTTCAAGATTAATTTATTAAAAAAAAACGCGTTAAAATAATTAAAGCAATCTAAAATTGAAGAATTAACTTGGATTTGGTATAAATTATTGGCGGGGGATTTAAAAAAAAATCGATGGTGTTGTAGGTTTTGAGAGGCGTGGCCGTGGCCGAGATTTTTGCATTTTTTTCTGGCGAAATTTTCATATCTATTTTTAGCCCCCAGCTTTAACATTTTCAGACAGCCCCATTGTTACCTAGAAGATCCTGTTGTGGAAGCCAGGAAGACACGAACACATTGTCGGGCAGCTTCTCGATCGTCTCCCCATCATACTGCCATACAAATCGATAATCGGCGAGCGTTTCGAACGCGCGCAAATAGGCGTCGATGACGCTTCTCGGCGCCAACGACCATCGAGCCGTGAAGCCGGTGGTGAGCAGCACGAATCCGCGGCCGGCGGCGAAGAATCGCTCGATGGCGTCGGGCAGCGGTTTCGGTTGGCGGCAATGAAGGCCGCCGACGAAATTGACGCGCGGCATGTAGGGTCGCGCGAAGTCGAAAATCGGCGGATTGTTGACGAAATTGATCGAGGCGTTCCGCTCGATCTCGAACGCGCTTGAAACGCCTGGAAAATGCTTCTGAAAACGCAACGAATCGGAATTATGCGAAATTATGCGAAAACCTGAAACACCGCGTCGATTCGAGGCTGCACCAAATGCTGATGAATATAGAGTTGCTTAAAGTACGAGGCGATGTTGTAAAGACGCTCAATGGTTGTCATGTCGTCGGTGAGTCTGAAAACTGGCGGGCTTCTAGTGTCCAACGTCTTCTGATTTTGATCTACCCGGTTCCCGGCACTGGAAGATAACTCGGTGGTGACGGACTCTGGTTAGCCCACGCGGATTCGGTCCTCATTGAGGTCATGCTCCAATAAACATAAACCGATTCTGAAAATCGGAGCTGCTTTGAACATTTTCAAGCTCTTGCTCTCAATCAATACTTTTCAAACCGGCTAGAAGAATTCCACAAGGATTGTATAAATCATCGATAACTATTGTGTCATAATTTTTTTCGAGAATTTTCGAGAATTTCGAGCTATGCTTCGTCAGCAATTGATCGCATTGATTGATCGATGCCAACCAGCCGATGGTTTGCTCATTGGCGTTCAAAAAATCGGAATCCCACAGCTGAAATTGATAGCTAAGCTTTGTGATTGTTCGGAATTTGCCACCAACTCGGGAATGCGTCGAATGATTCCGATGAGTGTAGAGATCGTCGAGACTGCGTTCGGCGAACGACACCGGCCAATAGTGGCGACGGACGCGAGCATCGAGAATCGCCGATGATCGCTTCGAGCCGATTTCGAGCCAATCGATTTGGTGGCCGCGCGAGGCGAGCTCGTTGGCGAGAAACGACATCGTGTAGGCGTGCACCGGATAGAGCGACGATGGGAAAATGAGGATGTCGCCAGCGGAAGCCACACCGACGAGAGCGCAAACAATGAGATGGTGGACGAGCATCTGAAATTGAGCAAAATTTTTAAAAAAATCAATTTAGACTTGAAATTGTGCGGTCCGCAATTGTGTCCGACGCAAAATTGCACACATTTAAATTGATTTTTTGGAATTTTATAAAATTTCAAAAATTGCGAATTTTTTGTGAAAATCGATAAAAAATAAAAGTTAGATATTAGAATTTTAAAATTTAAGGCAAATTAAAAAAAAAAAATGAATTTTTCAATTCAAAATTTTAAGAAAATGCAAAAAAAAATGAGGAACAAATGATTCTTCACCATTTTTATTTTTATTTCTTCTCTGCATGGACCATTAAAAGATCTAAAACATAAGAAAGAGACAAAAAATTAGAAATGAACAATCGATAGTTGAAAATGTATGATAAAACACGCCAGTTGAAGGTACTTCGCGTAAATTAGAGACTACAGACTACACAGTACAACATCATCGACAATTATCTGATTTTGAGGGGACCATCGTCTCTTATATAAGGTCCTTTCAATCGATTTTGGAATATATATAATTTTATTGCATTTTAGCAAAAAATAATATTATTCTAAATTTGTTGCTTAATTTTATTTCATTATTTATTTATTTATTAAAAAAATTGTTTTTGTCTTTATTTTTTAATAATTCACTTCATGCGAGATATTTTGCTGATTTTAAAAAATTTAAAGAATTTAAAAAAAATTTATTTTTTTTTTTATTTTGTAAAAACAATTGCCTTTCTATTTTTCAATATTCCCATCTGCGGACAATTTCAAGGTGGTTAAAATCAAAGAAACATCGAAAATGGTTTTTTTCCAATCAAATTAATCTTTTTCGAGGTATCGAAAATGAGAAATCGATTTTTTGATTCAAAATCAAGTTTTCAAATCAAACTTAAGAGTTTTCTTAATCGAATCAAGTAAATTTATTTCATTTTCCTTCGAATTCAATCAATTTTTATTTAGAAAATGAAAAATACATTGCAAATTCTGAAAGACACTGTTTTCAGCAATTTTTGATCCCGATTTGTACAAGTAAAAATCAGACTATTGTTTAACAAATGTATCTAGGTGTCGTGGGATCCTACGTTTTGTACGCAATGCTAAGAGACAGTTACCGTAATCCTCGCAGCGATTTACGGAGAATTTTTTTTTTACTTCGCATATTCATTTTTTTTATTTTTCGGTCAATTTTCTTATATTCTTTCGAAAATGTTTATTTAAAATCTGTAGAAACTAATTTTAATTATCTTTTTTTAACAGAATATACACTTTTAAACGTCTTTTTTTTGGTAAAACCAGCAGAGATTTAAAAGAAAACATTTTTGTCGTTAATAAAATTATTTATTCGTGTTTTGCTTTTTGTATGCGTTTCTATTATCTTGTTTTTGTATTCTTCATTTTCAAAATAATTTTTAGAGCGTCAAAATCTTTACAATCTCAACTGGACAAATGGAAAAGTGCATATTCTTCTAAATAAATAATTAAACTCGGTTTCTACTGGTTTTAAATGAAAGATTTCTAAAAAAAATTAGAAAATACAGCAAAAAATTAAAAGAAAATTTAAGAAAAAACTCCGTACATCGTTGCGAGGATTACGGTAACTGGCTCATCGCATTGCGTACAAAACGCAGGATCCCACGACACCTGGGATACATTTCTCATTTCTTAACAATATTTTTTAATGCAAATTTTGGAAAACAAAGTCACAAGGAAAGTGTATGGGGGTTTGGAATTTTTTCTCATTTTTCCACCAAATTAATTGGTATCGAGTGTGCTATGCCGTTTTATGCAGAAATTTCAAAAAGTCTAAAAATTTTGCGAGTCCAAAATTTCAGATTCGCCCTATGCTTGCAATTTTTGCGCATCCAAAAATTCGATTTTTCCCAATATATTTTTTAAAAAGAAATTTGACAAATCATTCACAACTTGGTCTCGCAATTTGGCTGCGTATCAAACCATCATTTTAAAAAGTACAGTATACAACATTAAAGGCGCACGCAAAAATTTGCAAATTTCGCGTCGAAGACATTCATTGTTTTAAATATGTAAATAAAAACATTTTTTGATAGATTGGGATAAAAAAAATTCAAAAAAAAATTGCCGGCACTCTGAGTTGCAAAAGAAATGCACTTTTCTAATTTTATATTTTTTATTTTTAACAAATTTTTTTTTAAATCAAAATTCATGAAAGCGTGGGGATGATTTGAAGAAAAGCGCATTTCCTTTGCAACGACCTCATACGAATTAATTCAAATCGAAAAGGAAGGTAATGAAAGTGCGAGGTGGTGGTGACCCCCCACACCCTTTAATTGGTCTCGACCTCATAATTATAATTAGGCCAAAAAAAATAAAATGGAAAGTCTCGTGGAAATCCCTCCTCTTCCTGTTGTTACTTGAAAATTTTTGCAAAATTGTTGATTTCGAACTCGATCATCAAATCACCGGGAATAATTTGTGTTTGACTCGAACCCCCCCCCACGTGATACTAAACACCCCGTGTGTTTCAACTGCTGCTATCTCGACACAACGCGTTTGCAGACGTCGAAATAGCGAGCGGCGAGCGGATGCGACAAACCAACAGAGGCGCACGAGGCGAAACCACACAAAATATTTTTTTTTGTTGTCCTACTCGATTCATATTTCCCTTTTCAGCAATAATTTATTCAATTTTCTCATTTCTTGAAACATCCAATTTGCGATGTTGGTTCCAAAAAAAAGATTTTTAAAAAATTGTGCATTTTTGCGTAGCGTGTTTGCACAACACCGAAATTCATCGCATTAGTTTTCAAAGAATTTTGGCGGGTTTTCTTTTTTGCATTTTCAGCCAGTTTTTCTGAAATCGTCTTTTTGAAGACAACCACCAATTCACTCATTTTTCCCATTTTTTTTCCCCCAAAAATTTTTCGTTACTTCGCCGAACACGAAAAAAGGCTCGTATTTCTCGCGATGAGCAAGGTGTGCAAACACTGCCACGCAAAAATGCACCACTCCCAAGACTACGGTGTTTTTTTTACTAATTTTTTAAATCTCTTATCGCAAAATGCACTTTTCTGTAGCCAACCTACTTTTATTTACAGTTTCACATTTCAATTCAATTCTCGTTTAAAAATAAACCTACAAAAAATTGATTGCATGCGCCTTTAAATTACCGTATCCGGGAAACTTCTTGTCGAATGGGCAATTTTAAAAAAATTTGTGAAAAAATGATTTGGGGTCTCGCGGCGACTAATCCAAATAGTCAATTGTTGAGCAATTGTGGACCATCGCACGTCGGCGGCAATTCAAATTTTCGATTAATCCATCTACATCGAAATTTTTCAAAATGCCCATTTTTGGGAAAAATATCCGAATAAAAAAACTGGAGGGAGTTTTTTCATGATTCCCATATTGGGATCGCTTCTCAACCACCCTCATTTGTTTTGTTGTTCCCCGGCAAGCCACGCCCATCGTAGATCATGAGAATCGCCCAACTCGTTGCCTGGCAATCCGTGCGGTGCACACTGATATAATAAACCACCAAAAAAAAAATGCTAAATAGTTGGACACGTGGCAAACACATGGCCAACAATGTCATCAAGGTCGCAAATTTCGATTAAAAAAAAAAGAAAGTTGTTTTCAATTCGAATGTTTGCTTAACATCCTTTTAGGGCTATTTTTGTTGAGCGTCAACCATCTAATATGTATGCGTATCAATTTTCCCACGAATCTCTACGTGCATAATCGCAAGTCCCCCCCCACCCCCTTTAAATGTGAGAGATGTTGAACTTTCAGATATTCTAGATATAATTCAAATGAATACCACATAATATTTATTTATCAATTCGATTTTTACTCGTGATAGTGCGAATGTGTGTGTGTGTGTGTGTGTGGAATAATGATGGACGCTTCCTTATCACACTCGATGTCGCGGCGGGGTTGTCTCTGCGTCTCTCACCAGCCACACAGTCTTTTTGCATTTTTTTTGCGCAAACCTTTTTTTTTCATAAACGCACATGGTCGATCGGTATTTTTATCGCCGAATCACATTTTTGTGTTTCTGCGCGCTCTTGTGTGTGTGTTCACATTGAACTTTCAGACGTATGTCGACGGCGGCCGCGTTTCAGTACATGACGATGCGTCATGCGGGTCCGAGCCGCGCGCCGCCGCGAGCGGCGGCGACCACGTCGAAATCTGAAAAAGGTATTCAATCGATCGGCGTCGCGTGGTGTTGAGAAAGCAAAAAAACACAAATTTTTTTGATTCGACATACAGTACCGTGCAGTAAGATATACAATTTCACTTTTTTAATCATAACTTTCTGAAAAGTTGACCAATCGATCTGAAATTTTTGGACAAAACAGATAGTGTGTTCCCAAACATAATTTATTCATTTTGGGGTACTATAGACGCAATTTTTGTGTTTTGGACCTTTTTTTGCGTATTTTCAAAAATGCGATTTTTTTTAATTTTTAAGTTTTTTCGATTTTTTTTAGATTTTCAATGTTAACATCAGTTTTTTTATTTGTTTTAGCAGGAGACGATCAAAATGATCAAAAAACATTCTATCAGACGTTTTAAAGCAATCAAGGATGACCGAGCACAAGGTCTCTTCATCCAATGTCTATCACACCAGTTGAACTCATCGACTTGGACCATTTGTGGATGTTTGAAACCTCGATCGGATTCCAAACCACTTGGAAATCCTTCCAAAACATCCCCGGCAATCGATCGAACAATTGTAAGAATCAGCAAGAGCAACCCGCACCTCTCCGCTTCCGAGATTAATCGGCAACTGAGTCAGTTCTATGATGTCAATGTAGATTTTTCCGAAAAGCCATAACATTTTTTCACCAAAAGTCACATACAGAACAGCGTTGATACTGTCAAGCGTCGTCTACGTGGTTCTGGATTATTTGGACGTCGGTCTGTCAAAAAATCTCTCCTTTCGGAGAAGAAACGCCGCGCCCGTTTGAAGTGGGATAAGGAGCTTTTGAATTGGAGGTTTCGACCATAGTCAAAGGTCGTATCGAGTGATGAATCGAAGTATATCTTGCTCGGAACGGATGGTATTACCTTTGTGAAGCGTTCGGACGGCAAAAGATTCGATCCAAAGCATCAATTACCAACAGTGAAACATGGAAGAGGAAGCGTGATGGTTTGGGGATGTTTTAATGCTTCTGGAGCTGGCCCACTTCGTCGAATCGAAAGAAATATGGATCGATTAATGTATAAAGACATTCTAGAGAACCATAGGCTTCCGTTTGCAAAGTCTTTGCTCGGTGTGGATACTTATTTCAACAGAATAATGATCCTAAACGTAGTTCTGGCTTCATCAAAGAGTGGTTCTAGCAGCGTAGGGTGGCCGTCAGGGACTGACCAAGCCAGTCACCTGACTTGAATCCTATTGAACATTTGTGGGAAGGTCTTGGTAGACGTTTTCGAGGTTAAACAGTGCAAAATAGTGCCGAAATGTTCGAGCAGCTGAGGAGATCATGGATGGATATACCAGTTTCAACCCTCCCGAAGTTGACGAGGCCATGGGTCTCCGATATCAAACTGTGATCGATGTAAATGGCATGTCAACAAGATATTGAGTTGTTTTAAGCTTCCTGACAGATAATTGTTGTTTTCCATTTCATTTCAAGTCGTACCGATATCAAAATTATTAAAGTCGGTTTTTCGCTAATTTGGAATTTCGGATTTTTTGTCAATAAAATTTTTCCTAATGTGTTTTACACCTTCTAATTTTGTTACATAATCACTCTGTCGATGCTTAAAGTTGTCCAAAAATTTCAGATCGATTGGTCAACTTTTCGGAAAGTTATGACCAAAAATGTGAAATTGTATATCTTACTGCACGGTACTGTAGGTATTATTGGGGATTGCTTGATATGCGGCGAGCCATCGACCGGCAAACACTACGGGATCGTCGCGTGCCTTGGCTGTAAGACATTCTTCCGGCGAGCAGTTGTCCAACAACAAGACACCCTTTGCAAAAGGGACAGCCTGTGCAATACCGACACGATGGCGCGGAAGGCGTGCCGCGCTTGTCGATACCGAAAATGCTTGGAGAGCGGAATGAGCAAACAGGGTAGTAGATATTCAACAATAAGTGTATGTCATCGTTTTTTTTTTCTTCGTTTAGCTCTGCAACCGCGACGAGACCTGATCGGATGCCGGCGGATTCGATCGCGGCCCAGCGTTTCGACGTCGACGCCGCCGAGGCCCGCCGATGAGAAAGCGCAATATTTGCTGTTGATCGAGCGGCTCACTGAAACCGATCAACGATTGCGGAGGAAAAAACTCGAGTTGATCAAATCTCGGCAGGAGGCGATGAATTTGGCGAAAACGATCAGGGAGGGGACGAGTTCGGTAATTTCGATTTTTCTTTTTTTTTCCGCACGGAAAAAATCTATAACTATGCTGCAAATGAACACTGTTTTTTGATTTTAAAAAAATGAAAAATTGAAAAAAATAATCAATGGCGGGAATGTGTGCAAACACCGCGACAAAAATCTGCGGAATTAAATTTCGAAAATCTCTTTTAAATATTTCTTTTCCATTGCTTTTTCTGGTTTCCCCCTACCATTTCGCATTTAATTAATGCTGTTTTAGCAGTTTTTGAAAGCGTCTAAAATATTGATGTTTGTTTTTGCAGGCCAGCACCTCCGCGGATCTTTATTCCGTGAAAAGCGGCCCGGTAGGACATTTCCCATTCAATGACAAGAACTTTTTCCCTATTTCAGTTTAATGATCAGCACAATACGATGATGATAATGCTGGGAACTGATATATCGGTGAGCACTCAAGTCGAAATGATGATGATGCTTGAATGGACTAGAGCGCTTCCCGTGTTTGTCAGCCTTCCGGTTAGAGATCGAATGCTAATCTTGAAAGTAAAACATCGACGCATTTTTTTTTCTTATTCGATTTTCCACACATGATTCCACTCAATTCACATTTGTGTCCGTTTCCAGAGATTCGCCGTACATTGCCTCATCATTGAGCATGGCTATTATACGGCGTCGGCGAACATCGATGATGTTTGGCTCATCTCAAATGGTACATGCATGCCGCGCAATGTTGAAAGATTGCCCGAGGAGAGCAAGGTAGTGACAATTTGAACCAGACGCACTACGCTGTAGTTTTGACACCAAAGAATGAATTGGCATGTAAGGTTCACTAATTCGAGAATAATTGGGGGCGCGCTATTATTTCAATCATATAATCTGTTTGTCTATGTCGTCAGACGCGTTGCGGTCGCTTCAAGTCAATTTCAGATGTCGCACGCGTGTGACAACATTGGCGCCAGTGTATTGCAAATGTTTTAAATCATAATTCCAGATATCCATATCGGCCGATCGGCGATGGCGTCAAGAGAAATTGTATAAGCAAATGACCGATTGTTGCATCGACGAGGTGGCAACACCGCTTCGCAATTTGAAGCTTTCGCCTCAAGAGTTGGTCGCTCTCAAGATTATCGTTCTTTTCAATTGCGGGTGCTCATCAGGTAAAAAAAAAAACAAAAACAAATGGAGACCACAAATATTCGAAGACCGTACGCGAGCCGACGACATTGGTCTCGCAACGAAAGAAAAAAACCCCAAAAGTTTGTTGTTCCAGAATATTCGGAGATTAGCGAACAATCGCGACAGGTTGTGCTAAACTTTCGCAATCGTGTCATCTCATCGCTGTTCGCCTATTATCAGCAAATTGGATTACCGGATTATCCGGAGCGTTTCGGCAACGTCATCTTGATGCTCTCCGGCGTCACATCGGCGGCGTCGGCGATGCTTGAATCATATCAGGTTGGTTGCGTCGTCGAATCGTTGATGATCAAATTATTGTGAACACCTCATTTCAGGTTATGCGGCTCTTCAAAATCACACCGTTCGATCCACTCACTCAGGAGCTCTTGTTCAATATCTAATCGCGCTCATATCCGTCATCTACCTCATTGAATTGCTCAACACGACACAAACTCCAACGGGTTTTGTATAAAGTCTTTTATTTTCATTGTTATTCGGCAGCGGAAAGCTTGATGGTGGTCTCACCGGTGATTGGACCAACCGGAGCGCCGGAGGCAAACGGCTCCTAGATCATCGACAATTAAAACTGTGGCTCTGTGAGGAGGGGCCTTGTACCTTTGGGTCCCTGCACGTCTGCTCAACAGCGGCATATTGGATAACAAGCTTGTCCTTTTGCGGTTTGCCCGGCTTTCTTGTGATCACAAGATCGAACGTGTAGCCGATTTGGATCAATCCGAAAATCTCATTGACACTATAGTTGGAATTGTTCGAGGATTTGATCTATAAATAGAGAATCGCGTTAGTCAATCGCTGCAAGTTCACCTTGAACGCCAACATCTTGTCGCAGTGATTGATAATCTTATGCTTCGAGACGCCGCCATTCGCCTGAATCGGACACACCGGCGGATCGATCGACAACTCGACGCCCATTGCTCAACGACACTGTCGATGGGCATGAGAGTCGAGCGATCATAATCAGTTGACGTTTCACGCGTCAGAGTTCATCTGGTCCAATTTTTTTTTCTGCTTGTCAGGTTTCTCGTTTATCAAACCAACATCCATCCACCAACACACTCCCATCATGAGAGATCAGTCTGATCGCAAGTTTGACGCGTGACCTCGAAAATACCAGAAACCAACACGACAACAAAGCTTTGGTGCAATTTTCAAAATTGTTTATTGATTAAAAACGCCGGGAAAATTATTCAGCGGCCGAGAGCTTGATGATGGTCTCGCCAGTGAAGAGTCCTTTCGGCTCGCCGGTGGCAAACGCCTCCTTCGGATCGGTCACACTCTCCTCAACGCCAGCATATTGAATAACCAGTTTGTCCTTTTGCGGTTTTCCCGGCTGAAAAATCAAACATCAATTTTCTGAAGGGGTCTGATCATTTCAAGCTTCCAACCTTTCTGGTGATCACCAACTCGAACGTCTCGCAAACCTTGATAACGCCCATTATTTGATTCACACTATAATTGGAGTTGTTCGAGGATTTCACCTAAAAAACATTTGTTGGCTTGAGGCTTTCAGAAGCGCACCTTGAACGCGAGATTCTTATCGGTATGATTGATCATCTTGTGCTTCGACACACCGCCGTTGGCCTGAATCGGACACACCGGAGGATCAAGAGAAAGCTCGACACCCATTTTTCGGTAATGCTCAATGCGAATCGATTCAAATCGCGCGATAATCATCAGTTTCACGTTTTTGTTTTTTTTTCTCACTCTCGCCGCGTCATCGCGTCGATCAATCAAATCGCATTATGGATTCGAAGTGGTTTCGCTCGACAACCAAATGAGCCGCGCGATTCAAATGAGATGTATGTCGGCGGCGCGGGTGATGCTCACGCCCAACGACGTTGTCATTCATCGAAATCCCAGCGAGCGTCTCATCAAAAACTTTTGCGAGACGGTATTTTTCTTTCTTTTGCCAGCGCTGATCGGCTTCGCACATTTCCGTCTTGCAGATCTCGCAATATCGCAAAGATTTCCATGAAGAGGACATCAAGCTTCTTCAGAATACCATGGGAGACAAGTACAATCTTTATCTGCTTTGCTTGAAAGGTTTGATCAGTGGGAGGATGTGATGTCAATCATCTTTTCTCGCAGATTCCGACGATGTGATTGCTTCAAGCCACGTCATCAATTACGAGTCGATCGCGACCGAGAAGGGATTCCAGACGTGGGGTCTCGCGTGGCATCTGTCGAAATATCACGCCAACGGCATTCTGACGCATCTCATCCATCAGATGAGCGAGGAGTTGAGCGCGTCGACGTTGAACGTCGGCGGATGCGCGCGTAGGTTGTGAGCCCAACGCAATCGGTTCGAATTTGGCGTTTAGAGCCCGAGTCGGCGGCGATTTGGCGCAAATTTTTGTACACACGCGTTCGCGGTTGCACCTATTTCGTCTCGAGCTACAAGCCCAACGAGCTCGCCAATCCCGACATTGACTATGAGAAGTATCGAATCAAGGACGTCACCGAGATTCCGGCGAGCGATTTGATCAATTACGATCAAACGATTTTCCCGTACCAACGGGCGAAAATGATGGAGACGTTGCTGAAAAATGGAATCTCGAAGGTAGCATCAAAAGAAGAGGCGTCTAGAAATTTCCACTTACCAGATTGCATATGACGAGAAAGGAAATGTCGTTGGAATGGGCTGCCTCACCACCTACAAATCGGGCATGGCGACACTCGGACCGCTCTACTGCGACAACAGCATCATTGCGCAGGCGATCTTTCAGAATATCGTCAAAGATATTCCAAAGGGCTCGGTGGAGACGATTCAGATTCGTTGCTCCGACAAATTTCAGGAGAGCGCGACGTAAGCGAAACGAGGCGAGCATTTTGATCGAGAATTTAGATGGATTCGCCCGTTCCTTCGCAAGAAGCAAGAGATGACGATGCATTCGCACGTCAAGTTCAATCGCGGAATTCCCGTTGGACTCAATTTCACGAAGGCCTATGTCAATTCGAATCCTGATAATGCGCCGTTATAAATTAGATAAATTTTTTTTGGTCATTGCAAAAAAGTGGAAAACAAATGCACTGAAGGCGTCTAGGAGAGTGATTGAGCCGCCACGAGCTTCGCATACTTTCCATTGAGTTTGAGCAGGTCGGAATGCGTTCCGCTCTCGGTGATTCGACCATCGCAAATGTAGTAAATCCTTCAAATTATTCAATTATCCAAAATTTCAAAATAATTACTACATGTCACAATTTTGAACAGTGCTTAATCGATGGGCAATCGTGATGCTGGTTCGTCCTTGACTAGCCGATCGTAGAGCATTTTGCACAATCTAGATAGGCCCGATTTGAATATGCCCGATTTGATATGGATTTACCCGATCCGATTCGGCGTCTAATGCGCTGTTCGCTTCATCGAGCAATAGAATCTTGGGCTTTCGGACTATCGCGCGAGCGATGGCTATCCGCTGCTTCTGCCCGCCCGACAATGAGCCGCCACCCTCGCCCACGATGGTATCGTAGCCCTTCAACAATTATTATTATTATTATACGTATAAGCTATCATAACCAGTGTGGGCTCGCGGGAAACCAAAAATTTCAAGATTCCACTGGACGGCAAATTAAAAAAAAATCTGGCCTAGAATTTTTTACGGCCACGATGGTTAGGTTTTTTTGCGTAATTTGAATTGCCGAATCAGACACACTGATTATTGCGATTTCGAATACCGATGGAAAATTTTCAATAAATTGCGAAGCATTTGCACATTCACAAGCTTCGCGAACATCGTCTAATGTGACCCCTTCAAGGCCCAGTGTTATATTTTCGAAAATCGAAGCTGAAATCATTTGTCGAATAAATACAAGCTAAACAAAAAAGAGATTATCACCATTGAAAAGGACGGGCTCTTGGGAAACTAATGCAATATTTGACCTCAAATGAAACAGATCAATATTATCAATTGGAGTGGTCCCGATCGTCTGAATATATTGATTATTATTTTTAGTTAAAATTAAATATAAAAATGAATCGTATAATGCATATTTCGCAAAAAAAAAGCGTGGTAAAAATCTCCCTAAAAATGCTTTAAAAAATTTCAAAAATCTCTGCCACGGCCACGTTTTTCCAAGCCTTCAGAAGCTATTTGTTTTTTTCTTGAGTTTACGTCTGTTCAACACAGTTCGATTACGATTAAAGGTGCATAGAATAAAATTTCTGGAATACTAATACAAAATTTATGACACGGCCTCGAAAAACCTGGGCGGCGGCCGAGGTTTTTTGGCATTTTTTTTTTCTACAACAATCCGCATAGCGATTTTTAAGCATTGTTTTGCGAAACCATAAAAAGATAAAATTTACAATTTTTCCCTCTTCGACTTCATAAAATCGTTCAAGCAATGCGACAATTGTGCTTTTTCCCGATCCCGAATAGCCGACAAGCGCAATCGACGAGCCTTTCGCGATGTCGATGGTGAGATTCTTGCAGACGGCCTTCCGCGGCATCGACGGATACGCGAACGAGACGTTGTCGATTTTGGCGCGTCCGTCGATGTCGGGCCTCGCGCACTTCTCGCCGTCGATGCGATCCGTCGGCGAGCGAAGCAGCTCGAGAATATGATTGGCGGCCGCCGAGGCGCTGACGATTTCGGGAATGTAGGGCGCGAAGTACATGACGCTCCACGCCGACATTTGGGCGCCGTTGAACGCGAGAAAAATCCGATTCGATTTGTATTTGCCGTAGTAGATCAACAGTGTGCCGATGTAGAATAAGAGCATGTCGGCGAAAAACACGAAGCTTTGCGTCGAGGCAAAATTCAACGCCGAAGCGAATCCAATCTGAAATTCAATTGGATTCTTGAAATCGATTATTATTGATTACTCGTTTCTCGTAGGCTTCGGAGGCGGTGAGAAGCTCGTCAAAACGTGATTCGAAATATTTCTCGACGGCCATTATTTTAATGGAGCGCACTTGCTCAATGATCTCAATCGCAAACTGAAATTTGCTCGAATTTATGGAAAAAGGCCGCCATTTCTTTTTTTTTTGTTGGCTTACCACACCGCTTTTATCATTGACAACCTTCTCAATGTGCAAATTATGAGCGGAATTCACGAAATACAACGACACAATCCCGTATGAGATTGTGACCAGTAGGCCAACGAGACCGATCTCCCAAACGAAGGGAAACGCGAGCAGAAGTGACATTATGATCGAAAAAACGAACAACGCGAATCGGATTGAGCGATGATCGACGCACTGAAGGAATTTCGTTTCTTTTTCAATTAAAACATTACAAATTTGAGATGTGGAATCCACATAATTTTTTTTGAGCCCGCCAATTTACATATATCTACCATACCGCAATAACATTGCTTATGTTGCTTGAAATTTTTTGATACACATGATGCTGGCGACGTTTTCGGATTGTCGAAATAAACGGAAGGCCTATGAAGCAGACGATGAAGTAATGTAGTCTTGACGTCGTTCACAATATCGCAAGCAGTTTGATTAGTAACCGTAATCTGAAATCGAAGAATAATTATCGGCGTTGATTCGAATTGGGTCTCGAGTGGACGAAAAAAGTCTTTCAGGGAAATTCAAGGCGATTTTTCATTTCTCGCAGTCATTTGGACAAGCGGTTACATATTCGCCGCTCGGCGCGCGACTCTCGACCGGGGGTGAAGCTGGTGAGGATAGTGAGTAGGCTATTAATTTTATGACGAGTGTTCGTTACCCCGCCCCCACTCGAACATTTTTCTTTTTTGGAACAAAATTGAGGCACTGTCTCAAAATCGACATATCAATGTTGTGTTCACAAGCCAAATAATTGCGCCCATTATAGTCGGTTCGGCGAGCGTGATGAGAGCCCATCGCATGTAATTGTCGCTATTTTGCTGAAAACCGAATAGGTCAATTTTCAAGCAAACAATAAGCATCAAGAAATTGGCAGGAAAAGTCACTTGAAGAAAACTGCCTTCCGGTATAACATGATCGAAATTTGCGCTGTCACGTCACTGATATAAACACGCATAATTTACCTCTAACGTATAATATGCCAATGAGAGGCAGAGGCCATAGCAGGTGAGTTCGACACATCTGGGAATCATCAACAAGAAAATGAAAATCGCCGCTGCTCGATGCTTTCGATAAGATTTGAAAAGTCGCAATCCGGCCAAATTGATTCGCTTGTCGCCGAGATCTCGAACAACATCATTGTCATCATTTTCAGGTGTCTCATCGAAATTCGCCATATGTGCACCGTCTGCGCCATTCGCCAAATTCGCACCAACACCATCATCACCATCATCATCATCAACACCATTTGATTCCCTCTGCTCGATGTCTTGCGCTCTCGCCAGTCGCGCGTACAACCCATCGGCGGCGATGAGCTCGTCGTGACTACCCGATTCGACGGCTCTTCCATTGTCGATCACATAGATCCGATCGGCGTTCTTCAAGCTGCTCAATCGATGAGCGATCACGATTGTCGTTCGTCCGATCGACGCGTTTTGTAAAGCGGCCTGCAATTTCGGAAATCGTCGAGTCTAGATGAAATCGAGAATGATTGGGCTGCACATTGACAACGGATTCGCTGTGCGAATCGAGAGCACTCGTCGCCTCGTCCAACAGAAGCACCGACGGCGATGTGGCCAACGCGCGACTGATGCAGATTCGCTGCTTTTGTCCGCCCGACAACTGCACACCGCCGGTTCCCAATTTCGTCTCGTATCCCTGAAAACTTGCCGCTCGCTTTGCTCCATTATTATCATCAATTATACATTTCTCAATTTTTGAATAAACTCATCGGCGTTGGCGATTCGCGCCGCTTTCATCGCCTCCTCATCGCTTATCTCGCGACCCAACTTGATGTTCTCCATGATGGTCCCTTCAAACAGCTTCGGCTCTTGTTGAACGATTCCAAGATTCTGCAAAAGCCGGAAAATCAATTTTTTCTTGAATTTCACAAAAGAGCAAGGTTGTGGTGAAACCCGGAAATTGTCCACAGATGATTTCAACGAAACGCCTGTTGTTTGGGTTTTAGTTGAAAAATATTCTGAGGGGCTCCCGGGGGAAATTGAAGAAAGGTATAGATTAAGCCTCTGTGATTGGTACAAATTTCAAAGCAACTCCAAAGGGGGGGTCTCATCTGTCATACTTCAGAAGTATTATTATAAACCCATTACCGATCTTAGACTTCTCTCGTCCAAAATGTTCACATTCATCCCATCCACTGTGATTTCCCTTTGATCGGCTCGATACAACTTTGTCAAAAGGCCAATCTAACAAAAAAGTGGATTTTGAAAAAAAATGAAGTGAACTTCAAACGCACCGACGTACTTTTCCCACATCCACTTGTTCCAACTAATCCAATCGTCTGACCGGGTCGAGCTTCAAACGAGAGGCCCTTGAAAAAAGAAAAATAATTTTTGGAAACGTATAATGCTCAAATCACATTTAATATTTGTTTGTCGCGAGTCGCATACTTGAAATGCACATTTCTAAAAACGATGTGGCCTTTTAAACTCGTCACCGTCGTGTGCGCCTTTAAATCATCGCTTGGCGTCGTCTGACAATATCGACTTCATCCAATTTTCTCGCGATTTTGCCTACCGATTGTATCACATCTTGAAGAAGCGCGAACGAGGCGGCGGCTTGTTGAAGGGTTGTCAAATGCGGTCCGAGAAGTCCCAAAAAGTAGCCAAAAATGCAAATCGTGTTCACAATCAGAATCACGTCACCCGGTCGTTGAATGACGCCCGTGAAATAGAAGCGACAGCCGAAGCTGAAAGTGTCATTATGAAACGCCACCCACCGTCATCGCAGTTTTTTTTTGAGAAAATCCATAAGAATGGGATTTTCGAATTCCGGACCATTAAAAACCTATATATGCATAATTTCATGAGGGTCCGTTGATTCGTCCACGCGGAATCCAAAAGAATGGAATTTCATAATGATACGACACACACCCGTTTCAAACTTTGAAGTTTTGAGGAAAACCATAAGAATTGATGATAAGACATTCGAATTTTTGGATTAAGGACCATTGAAAACCTATATATGCTTATTTTGATGGGCTCAAAACAATTTTTGAAAAAAAAAGTCACAGTCCGCAATGGTTTCATACGCAAAATTGCACACATTCGGCTATTTTTAATGGACTCTCGATTTCTTCACTTAATAAGTAAGTAAAACACAAGACGAGCGTGCTATGCTGTTTCTGCAAAAGTCTTAAAATGACCCAAAATTTTCATTTTTTTTGTTGTCTAATCGATTTTTCGCTCACTACAACTTCTTGCGCTTATACGGCGCGGAAGGGGCAACAGTGTCGAGTAGCGGTGGCTTAGCGGGATGTGTGCGAGATGTTAAGAAAGCATTTTGGGTTCGTTGCCTCTTGTCGGCAAGACATTTTTGCAATCACTGATTAAGCGCGACGCAAGCATAATGGAAGCATTGTGGGAAATCTGTGGAACGGAAGCATAATGCTTCCATATAGGAAGCATAATGTAATTCTTAGTGGCTGTGGAAGAATTATGGGACGAATATGGATGGAATGAAAACGGGATGAATATGCTTCCGGTGTTTGCGAGCCGTGGAACAAATATGGATGGAATATGGATAAAATAATCATATGTCAATAAACATTATACAATTGGCGTCTGGACGGCAGACCAAGACAATTTCTAGAAAAATCAATACAAAAAACTTATGCTATCATATAAACAATGAAAATTTGAAAATTACATGATACACAACGGACGAAATTTAGCTTCTACCATTTAATGACTTATGTTACTCAGATTTATGTTAATTCAGTCAACTGTTCCTCACTTTGTTTAAAGATTGCCAACTACAATTTAGTCGTATTAATATATTTTTGCCGGTTTTTCCGAAATTGGCATCGCAAACTACTCACAATTTGCTCCAAACTGGTAGCAGACGCGCGTAGAAGAGGCGTGCCGCAGCATTGCAAAACCGTGCGCCGCTTTGCACAATGCGGCCACGCCTCACATTTTCGAAATTCGTTTTCAAAATTTTTGTCCTTTTGCTTTTTCTCAATGAATTTTCAAGATTTTTTGTGTTTTTTTTGTCAAAAATTAAAGAATTTTTTTCAAAATTAAAGGAAAAATGTTTTTAAAAAATAAAGGAAAAATTTTCATGTTTATCATTTTCATGTTTATCATCATTCGAAAATTTTAAAATCGATACGATGTTTTCAAATCGTTTCCGACACTTTTAAAATCGAATTTAAATATTTTCTCAATCGAATTGTGTTTAATTTCTCATCGAATCCGTTTTATTTTTATTTACTTTAACATATTTTTTATTATCGCTCGCTTTTTTCTTTTAATAAAACATAATGTTTTGAAATTTTTTACAGATGAAGACAAGATCGAGAGTGTTGTCAGATATAACTGAAACTGCTCTAGAAGTCAATAACAAAGAACCAGAAGTCCCTAACATGGAACCAAATTCGCTCGACACTTCAGATCCAGATAGTCCAATTTACTCGCCAACTCAGCAAAAAAATTTTTCTCCACAGTCCTCACAAACAACAAAATCAACGCCAATTCCTAAACCTTCGTACGCCCAATTTGTAAGTTGTTATCATCAAAAATTGGCCTGTTCGACTCCAGAAATGGTTTCAATTAGAAAAATATGCGCAATGAAGTCTTTATAAAGTACTTCCTAAGTTTAAAGCTTGTTGATTATTTGGTTCCAATCAGGGCTGTGCGGCAATGGAATTGCCGATTGCCGAAATTGCCGGTTTTTCAAATTGCCGAAGAAAATTTCGATCGGTAATTTGCCATTAGCCGAATCGCCGAAATTTCCGATTGCCGTACAGCCTTCGTACCAATATCATTCAGTGGCATTTATCTTTTTAAGTGGGGCTCTAGTACAGAAGTCGCCAGACGCCGACTATATAAAGATCCTATACTTTATTGCAAATATCTATATTACAGATGCTCTTATCCATGGCTTTGGGCAACAACCGACAAATGACTTCAAAGCGAAAGCATTACGCATGGTTCGAGAAGTCATGGATAATCTTCTGTAAGATTTTGAACTATGACTATTAATTTATTTATTTGATTAAGCGATAGAATGCACCAACGACTTCAAAGGAAATTTGGTGTAGCGCCGGAAGCGCTCGCGGCGCAATTAAGGAAGCTGCTTGATTCTACCAGCAACCCTCAGATGTGAGTATTCATATGTCTTTGAAATTTTAACCAAAATGCCTTTTTGCTTCAAATTTTGGAGTTGTTCTTTCTTCCGCCAATTCACTTTTTATTTTGTGCACTAAAGGGTTTCCAAAAATGCAATAAAAATAAATTATTTTTATTTTTAAGAAAATTATTGATGTAAAAAAACTGATTGTATTTTCTCGAAAAATTTAGTTTACGTAACAATGGTTTACAAGTTTTTCAAATTAATAGGCCCATTATAATCTACTTATTACAGCGTCCCGCTCGATGTCAGTACTGACAATGATTCGAATAGTTCGGCAGTTGCCAGTAACTAATGGTTTGATTATATCTTAATTGAAATTCATTTCATTGTTGTTTTTTTTATTTTAAATTAAATAAATGTGTTAATATGAAATAAATTTTGAATACAGCAATCAAATTGTTTTCTTATTTGCCCATATGGAAGGCATACGGCTCATTCCATATACGAAACACGCGGTTCCGCAAAAAAATGCTTCCATTATGCTTCCATATAACTTGCATATAAGATTCCTATGATATCCACAGCCGTTCCACTATGCTTCCATTGTGCCTATGCCGCCGTTTATCTGTGATCACCAACTTACAACAATGATATACCGGTGATCGCGTATTCGACAAAAAGGAACATTCCATCAAAAAATCCCATCCAGAAGAACATTCGAACGTGAAGCTTCTTGAGCTTCTCATTGACTTCCATCAACTTTTTTGCCATGAAATTTTGGCCGTTGCACGCCTGAACGGTCCTCACGTTCATGATCGACTCCTCGAAAATCGTATGACAATTTCCGGACTCTTTGAGCATCTCGCTTGTCGTCGATTCGTTGACCTTCGCCGAGACGTGAAGAATCAACGCCGAGATGGGTCCCATTGTTAATGTGATGAACGTCAATGGAACGTTGATGAACGAGCACGCGATGGCCGATGAGAGAAACATGGCGAATCCGCGAATCAAAACGCACAGCTGATTGCTAATCGCGTTTGATATAATATCAATATTTCTAAATTGATATATTATTATTGTTATTTTAGTCAAAAATTGTTCAACTCATTGAGCTTGCATGTCAAACTTCCCGCTGGGTTTTCATCGAGCCATTCCGTGGATTGTCGAAGCACAGCGCGAATATAAGCTCGTCGAAGTTTTTCGATGATGTTCTGTGTTCCGCGCTGTATGAAAACCCCCTGAAAACTGGAATCGAATTGCTCAAAATTTGGCGTAATATAAAATGCATTCGGTGTAGACAAGCGGCATCTCAGGGATTCGATTGGGACGAACAGGAGACACTTTTTGGTTTGGGATAACCGGCGGACCATTTTGGGACGAACAGGGGGGACACATTGAATTCGGTTAAAACAAAAGCCCTCCACGGTTTAGCTAAATTGAGGGCGATGTGAAATTGGAGTTTCGTACTCGTAGGGTAAAAGTTTTGGGAACCCCCGTGTTACTCCAATGTTTAAACCAAAACCAACCACGGTTCGTCCTTTTCGACACGCTGAGCCGAGCTGCACGGAACTTAAATTTTCTAAAAACGGAAGACGGAACATGGAACGACATTTTTGTGACATAAAAAATAATTTATTAAAACCTTATCCAAGCCGAATATTTTAAAATTAAATGTGCAGAATGTGAGAGTTACTGTTAGAGTTATAACTATAAAAATCAATATCATCTTTTTCCGAATCTTTTTCTTTTTTTATACTGAAATTCACGGAACAGGAAAATTTCACGAAAAACGGAAGACGGAGCAGCTCTGACGCTGAGATGCGTATTATTTTCGAATTTTCAATCAAGTAAATCACACATTGCGTACTTATGCATTATAATTGACGACAATTCGTTTGTCACGAATTTGCCAATTTCTAACTTAAAAAAAAACCCATTTTCAAAAAATCCACATACCTGAATTACGCAAAGAATTAGAGCAATCACACCGGATATCACACCGCAATAAATGAGGAATAAAACATCGCGAAAAAATCGATCGTCTCCAGGGGTCTGAAAGATATTTGATGGCCGTGGCCTAAATTTGAGATTGCCAACTATTTAGTGGCTATTATAATTTCTGGGTCGATTTACGAGGGGGTCCCAGGCAAATTTGAAAATTCAATGAAATAACAAACCCATAAAGGCACGCGGCGAGACCACTTCAAAAGACGCACCCCGTAAATCTACACGACAATCGGTTGAGAACCACCACCACCAGCAATTTTTTCAAAAGCCAGACATATTACATTATTATTGACGAGATAATGATCAGTGATCCAGCCTCCAATCAGTAGAACAACTGGCTGAATGCCACCGCCTAAAATTGCGCAAAATATCGCCAAAAAAATATAAAACACATCGAGTTTCGAGCCAAACAATATCTGAAAATTGGAAGAAAATTGCGATTGATATAATAGGCAAAAATCGCGAACAATATCGAACACCGATGGGCTCTTCTCGATTCCTTTGATTTTCGCGTCTTCCGGTGCCACGCGATTTCGATTTTTCATGAGTCTGCAATGATAAAAAAATGTTTGGTATTTTTTTTGAGCGCAATGTTTCAAATAATTAGCAAAACGCGGAAGTGGAAAGTGGCCAACCTTGAAACGAATCACTCAATATCAATGGTGTGACACAATAATATTGCCGACGATTTTTCTCCTCATTTTTCATTCTTTGATTTTTTCATTTTCGCCGTGAACGCCCAAATCGAAACACTGAAGGATTGGTGGAAATTTGGCGCGCTGTCTGAAATTTCTTTTTGAAAAAATCGATAATTAATGGTTTAAAAAGTCTTGTAAACATTTAATTTTGCAATTCTTTCAGTTATTCAAAAAAAAAAAACATACCAACGAGAAATTGCGACAGACGAAATCGAAACTCGCCGGCGTGAATCAGAACTGAACGACGCGTAAATTTTCTGAAACCGGATGACGGAAGACGGAACGCCGTATTTAGTTCGTTACTAAATACGGCGTTCCGTCTTCCGTCATCCGGTTTAACAATCTTAAAAAAAATAGAAAATAGAAAACAAGAATCGAATTTTGAAAATAGAAAATAAAATCTGTTTAATTTTGCGTAATGTCCATTGCGGACTTCGCTACCGTAACGCGCACAAAAAACATTTAAAATATTTTTATCTGAAAAGTCTTGACGCATATAACCCATCGAAACTTATTTGAAATTAATAATAGTAATAATCAATAATAAAAATTTTAAAAATGGAGAGAGAAACCATTTTTCCTTTCTTTTTTTTTTTGAATAAAACTAAATTGATTTTTTATACTTTGAATAATCACAAAGTTTTTTTTTACAATTTTCAACAAAATTAAATCATCAGTACAAGAAATCAAACAAATGACACAATTGGAGAAAAGAAATGTACAGCTTAATTATTTCTAGCATTGAGCCGCCACAAGCTTCGCATACTTTCCATTGAGTTTGAGCAGGTCGGAATGCGTTCCGCTCTCGGTGATTCGACCATCGCAAATGTAGTATATCCTTCAAATTATTCAATTATCCAAAATTTCAAAATAATTACTACATGTCACAATTTTGAACAGTGCTCAATCGATGGGCAATCGTGATGCTGGTTCGTCCTTGACTAGCCGATCGTAGAGCATTTTGCACAATCTAGATAGGCCCGATTTGAATATGCCCGATTTGATATGGATTTACCCGATCCGATTCGGCGTCTAATGCGCTGTTCGCTTCATCGAGCAATAGAATCTTGGGCTTTCGGACTATCGCGCGAGCGATGGCTATCCGCTGCTTCTGCCCGCCCGACAATGAGCCGCCACCCTCACCCACGATGGTATCGTAGCCCTTCAACAATTATTATTATTATTATACGTATAAGCTATCATAACCAGTGTGGGCTCGCGGGAAACCAAAAATTTCAAGATTCCACTGGACGGCAAATTAAAAAAAAATCTGGCCTAGAATTTTTCACGGCCACGATGATTCGGTTTTTTTGCATGATTTGAACTGGCAAATCTCATGGCACACACTGATTATTGCGATTTCGAATACCGATGGAAAATTTTCAATAAATTGCGAAGCATTTGCAATCTTGCAAGCCAACTTCACATCTTCCATGGTTGCCCCATCGACGCCCATTGTGATGTTCTCATAAATTGATACTGAAAATTTTTAAAATTTTTATTCACAATGTCTGCGTCTCCGTCAATCACACGCTCTCTCGATTATAAACACTATCTCACTTACTAGAAATTGCACGAGTTTTTCGAAGAACTTCAACACTAGAACAACATCCTTTTAAGGACTCCACTCCTCAAACTCGATGTGCCTTTGAATCTGCTTATATGGAGTTAAGAATGTGTTCAATAGTAGTGTGAAACTAGATTTTTTTTAACCTTCAAAAAACCCACAAACGCGCCCTATCGAAATTTCCCGCTGTCTGGCACCCTCTCTCTCTCTCTTTTTCTCAGCGTCTCTCACCACTCTCCAATGTTGACAATCAACTCGCAAAAAAAAAATTTTCTTTTCTGTGACATTTTGCGTGTTTGCACACACTTTCGCGCGCCTACCATTCATTTCAATTGTTTCCAATTTTTATAGCCAAAATTGGCAAAATCATACCATTGAAAAGGACGGGCTCTTGCGACACCAATGCGATGTTTGATCTCAAATGCGAAATATCGATATCATCGATTCGGGAGCTTCCAATCATCTTCAACAATCTCTAAATAAATGATTTTCCCAATTTTTTTGAGCCTTACAATTCTGCCGTCGGTAGGATCGTAAAATCGCTCTAATAGGGAAACAATCGTACTCTTCCCCGAACCGGACGGCCCAACAAGAGCAATCGATTTGCCTCAATTCGAGCTCTCAATTTCAAATTTTTTTTTGAATGCGAATACCTTTGGCGACGTCAAGCGTCAACCCATTGAGCACCTTTTTGTTGGGACTCGCCGCATAGGCAAACGATACATTATCGAGTTTCACGTCGTCGTCAATCATTGGCGTCGTCGTCGTCGTCGCCATCCGATCGTCGACACGATTCTCATAGATCGACCAGATTCGATTCGCCGCCGCCGACGCTCGAACAACTTCGGGAATGTAGGGCGCGAAGTACATGACGCTCCACGCCGACATTTGGGCGCCGTTGAACGCGAGAAAAATCCGACTCGACTCGTACCGCCCATGATAGATCAATAAGGCGCCGACGAGATAGAGGAGCATGTCGCACACGAACACGTAGCTTTGCGTTAGAGCGAAATGAATTGACGAGATGAGGCCGAGCTGAAATTGGATGTGCCATGTTTCTTTATTTATTTTTGAATTACCCGGTTCTCGTAGATTTTTGATCTACCCTGATAATGCGCGAAGCGTGTCTCGAAATAGCTCTCAACCGCCATCAGTTTGATCGAGCGCACTTGTTCGATGATCTCGACGGCGAACTGGAAAATGGAGGCCAGGTACATCATGTTGGTCGCGAGCGCGCACCTCTCTCGATCGATCGTTGCTCGATTTTTGCGCGTGCGATTTGTGCGCGAGACCGAACAAAATGAACGTCGACATTGTCAGCAGCACATTGATGGCGAGCCCGATGAGGCCGATCTCCCAGACGAACGGAAACGCCATCGCCAGCGAGATGAGCGTCGACAGCGCGAACCACAAAAATCGAAGGGCGCGATGGTCGATGCACTGAAGCGATAAATGGGGAATCGTTGCGAATCGAATAATGGTTTTTTTTTTGATTTGCGATTTATACCGCCGACGCGTTGCTCAGATTGCCAGCGAGTGTCGCGATGCACGCCGACGGCGACGTCGACTCAACGTCGAAGTAGGATTGGGGACGATGGAGAAGGCGCGCTAGTAGGTTTTCCTTGATATCGCTCATCACGTCGTTGGCAACGCGATTGCACAACACCGTCTGCAATGAATGAGATATTGCAATGCCAAATTTGAATTGCCGCCAGTGGGTCTTGAATGGAAAGAAAAGACACTGGTAGGTGAGAACTTTTTTTCATACTTTACCCACATGTAAGTATGGATCCGAAGAATTGTTTCTAAAATTTTCAGCCATCACTGGAATGGGGTTTCATGATTCCGACAAAAATGATTGGCACAGTGCGGGGATTGAACCCTGGACATAAAAGAAGTAAGTAGAGAGTGTTACCACTCTACCACGACCACGACGAAGCTGTGAGAGTGCGAATGGGTAGAGGTGTGAGGCGCAAAACTTCCCCCCCCCCCCCATCGACGGCTGAAAATTATGGGATCCATTCTTCGGACCATCCAAATTCTCAAGAATACTATGCGCAATTTTGAATTTATTTGGCAAATTCAAAACATCGTCCGGCAACTGGTGTAGATTTACGGGGCGCGCGTCTTTCGAAACAAAATAATCGGCTAGTCGGCGCGAGACCATAGCGAAGGTCGCATGCACGCAAATCTACCCCTGTCGTCGATTTTTCAAAATTTTTCAAATTCAACGTCTTAAGCAACAAAATGCAAAAAAAAAATGAATCGCCTCGAGACCCATCGCATAAATGAATGGCAAACGATATCTTATGTGATGGGTCTCGACGCGAATCGCCAAAGGGACCATTCAAATCGCGCTCACCAACACGGTGTGCATTATCCAGACAATCGAGCCGGCGAGTATCTGCTCGCCGAGTGTTAGCCACGCCCACGGCACATATGAATCCTTGTTGGCCTGAATTGTGGAATTTGAAAAATCCAATCAAGACCAAATAATCGAGGTGAAACAAATTTACGTCTAATGCGTTGAAGGCTAGCGAAAGTCCAAGGCCATAGAAGCAAATCTCGGCGGCTCTCGGAATCGATAGTAGAAGCATCACTAGAACGTGACATCGATGATGTTGAAGATGCTTGAGGAACTTCCAATAGCCTGACATTGAGATTCTGTCGCTATTCTCGTCAACACGAACGACATCCTCGTTGCTCGACGTTGGCTCATGGCGCTCAATCGAATTCATCCGATCCGCCGCAATCGCGTCGTCCGAATTCCATCGATCGCTCTGCTCGATGTCTTGCGCCTTTGCCAACCTTGCGTACATCCCATTGTTCGACATGAGCTCGTCATGACTCCCGATTTCAATTATTTTGCCGTTGTCGATCACATAGATCCGATCGGCGTTCTTCAAGCTGCTCAATCGATGAGCGATCACGATTGTCGTTCGTCCGATCGACGCGTTTTGTAAAGCGGCCTGCAATTTCGGAAATCGTCGAGTCTAGATGAAATCGAGAATGATTGGGCTGCACATTGACAACGGATTCGCTGTGCGAATCGAGAGCACTCGTCGCCTCGTCCAACAGAAGCACCGACGGCGATGTGGCCAACGCGCGACTGATGCAGATTCGCTGCTTTTGTCCGCCCGACAACTGCACACCGCCGGTTCCCAATTTCGTCTCGTATCCCTGAAAACTTGCCGCTCGCTTTGCTCCATTATTATCATCAATTATACATTTCTCAATTTTCGAATAAACTCATCGGCGTTGGCGATTCGCGCCGCCTTCATCGCCTCCTCATCGCTAATCTCGCGTCCCAACTTGATGTTCTCCATGATGGTCCCTTCAAACAGCTTCGGCTCTTGTTGAACGATTCCAAAATGCTGAAATTGTTGTGAATTGGTTGCGGGGGGCGACACAGCGGCTCAATGATTGAATGCGCGTAGGCTATGATGCATTGGACGCAGTCTCGCGTGCGTCTCGCTGCGGATCTCAAAATTGCAAAATCTAGGGCCACAGGAAATTCGAACCACGTGGATTGATATTGTCCGCAGCTGCAGTAGGACTTTAAACAGATATGAGGGGGAAAACAATATCAATGAAATTTGCTAGAGTACAGTACCCGAATTTCAAGTGTTTGAATTCGAATTTGAATTGCCGCCTCAAGAAAAAAAAGAGTGCGATGGTCCACAATTGCCCAAGGCGCGCGTTTTTCCATCTGTAGAGTCCATATTCCATCGTGGGACCACAAACATCAGGAGACACTATTTGCAATTTGATGGAATCAATTTTGGCTAAATGCCAAAAAATATAAAATAATGGTCTCGAGGTGTGCGCCTTTAACCCATGGCAATGCATTGGCGTGAATCCCCCACCCAGATTTTTGCGCCAACACCACCGCCATTGGTGTGTGAATTACCGTTCTCAAAACGTGCTCATCAACATTGTCAATATTAATTCCATCAATTCGAATCTCGCCACGATCGGCACGATACATTTTGGTGAGCAATCCGATCTGAAATTCGAGCCACTCATTTTTTTTTCTCGTTCCACAATCTGTCATCGAAACCGACCGTCGTGCTTTTGCCTGATCCGCTAGCTCCGAACAAGGCGATCGTTTCGCCGGGCGACGCTTCAAACGAGAGACCCTTGAAACGGCGGTTTCCGGTTGAATTTTTTTTTCGAAAAAAAAAATGTTCTATAATATTTACCTTTAGGATTTGTTTATCGCGAGTCGAATATTTGAAATGCACATTTTCGAAGGTGATATGATGACCTTTTGAGGAGTTCATCGATATTTCCTCCTTCGCATTATTTGATTGGCGATTCTGAACAAAATTTTGAATGAAATTGAATTTTTTGCAAGAAATAAGAAAATGCCAAAAACGCATTTTTTAATGGGCTCTTTTTTGTCATAAAAATTGAAAAATTGAAAAACTTAAAAAATTTTTTTTTATTGAAAAAGGAGCTCAATATCTCTCATTTTTTTTTCCATTTTTCACATGGAATTTAAGACTTAAATTTTTCGCCAAAAAAATCACCAAAAATGCATTTTTATGGGCTCTTTTTTTGTCTTAAAAAATTGAAAAATTAAAAAATTAAAAAACATTTTTTTTTAATTGAAAAAGGAGCTCAATATATGTACCCTTTTTCCATTTTTCTCACTGAATTTAATACTTGAATTTTTCGCCAAAAAAATCACCAAAAATCCATCTTTTTTGTTATGAAAAAAAAGAAAAATTTAAAAATTTGAAAAAAAATTTTATTGAAGAAGGAGCTCAATATCACTCAATTTTTCCCATTTTTCCCATTGAATTTAATACTTGAATTTTTCGCCAAAAAATGCATTTTTATGGACCCTTTTTTCTTATAAAAATAATTGAAATTTGGAAAAATGTTCAAAATAATGTTTTCAATGGAAAAAATCTTAATATCTCTAATTTTTTCCCAATTTTCACATCTCAAGAAAAACTGCAAAAACGCATTTTTAAGGACCCTTGTTTCTCAGAAAAAAATTAAAAAATTTTCACTTGAAAAAAAGAATTGAAGACTCGAATTTTTCGCCAAAAAATCGCCAAAAATGCCTTTTTCATGGTCCCTTTTTCTCAAAAAAAAAAACACTTTGCAAATTATTTCCTCAATTACCGATGATGAGATGACCAATTGCAAATCATTGAATGCGATTGTCGCGTGCTGAAGTGTGCTCAAATGCGGTCCGAGCAGTCCCAAAAAGTAGCCGGTGACGCAAATCGTGTTCACAATCAGTATCACATCTCCAGCCGTCTTGATAACTCCATCGAAGAACAAACGGATGCCGAAGCTGCAAAAAAATTGATGTTGGGTCTCGAGACGCTCGATTCAACTACAATAGCGCGAGGCCGGTGATGAGGAAGACGACGAACAACGACAACCCGTCGAGGAATCCCGACCAGAAGCCGATTTTGTTGGCCAACAATTTCGCGCGCTCGTTGACCAACTTCAATCGGGCGCCGATGAAACGCTGGCCGTTGCACGCCTGCACGGTTCGCACGTTTCGAATCGACTCGTCGAGAATCGCGTCGAAACGCGCCGTCTCATCGACGAGCTCGGCCGTCGTCGACTCGTTGATTTTCGTGAGCATTCGCAGAATGAACGCCGATATCGGCCCGATCGTCATCGTGACGAATGTCAGCGGCAAATTGATGAACGAGCAAATGAGAATGGAGGTGAGGAACATCGAGACGCCGCGAACGATGACGCACATCTTGTTGCCGAGACCGTCCGATATCGATTTGACGCTCCTGAAAGCGATTCGCTAAATTCAAAATTCATGTTGGCCATCGATTCGAGAGCTACTCGTTTAGTTGGCTGATGAGCGCGCCCGATGGATGCCTGTCGAGCCAGTCGGCCGATTGGCGTAGAATCGAGGCGACGTACTCGCGTCGCAATTTGTCGACGATATTCTGTGTGGCTCGTTGAATGAGAAGCCCCTGAAGCAAAAAAAATCTCGTTTCATCATTCATTCTCATCCTTCGCCTTCGCCGACATTTTCAATTTTGTCGTTGAATTTGTCGACCGAGGGGGGGGGGGGAACACGTGATAAGAAGGGAAGCCACCAACCTGGATAATCGCCACAACGAGCACAATCAGACCGCATCCGAGACCGCCGACGGCGTACTCGACGACGCGTCGCAAGAATTGCGCATCGTCGGCCTTCTGAAAATCGGAATGTGGCAGCCACAAATCAAACCGCCCCTCGATCTCACATTGTCATTCATCAAATAGAGGTCCGCTATCCATCCGCCGATGAGCAACACAAACGGCTGAACACCGCCGCCAACGATGGCGCAAATCAACGCCAACACGATGTAGATCACGTCGCGCGCGTTTCCAAATGCCACCGGAAAAAAAAGAGCAAAACAGATTTTTGAATTTCAATTTTTTAGGGGGGGAGATACAATATGAAAAAATGGTTGTCGTTTCGGCGAACTTCGAACAGCTTCGGGAAACACGCGATATTGCTTCAGGCAGGCCTTCATTCTAAAATTGGAAATTTATTACCACAACTGCTTACTGTAGAAAATTGGAATTCGCCAAATTTTTGGGGGGTGGAGCCAATCGCCAGTTGAATTATCAGCATCGAAAGTTCAAATGATCGTCCTCTCTCTCCCTCCAAGACTTTCACTTTTTCTGCTCACGTAATTGAACTAATTCTAGACCGTCGATGAAGCATTGATAACAACAATATGAACAATAAAACAACGGAATTGTCAAATTTGATGAAACCAGAAAAAAAAAATCGACATTTTGAGCGTTTGGACTCTGATTTTTTGATTATTAATTATGTAGTGTAGTTTGAAATTTTTTTTTGCAATATCCTTTAAAAATAAATATCGAAATGTGATTTTGTGTGATTTTTGGCGTCGCCGTGTTTGCACACATTTCAATTTTTTTTTTCAAATTTCAAATCAAAAATGAGGAAAAAAAATTTTTGAGTGTAAATTTCTGGATTTTTTTCGGAAATTTCCCCGATTCGATCTTTTGTTTTTGAGGGCCGAGTTTTCAAAAAAAAAACTCTCGAAATGTGATTTTGTGTGATTTTTGGCGTCGCCGTGTTTGCACACATTTCAATTTTTTTCGATTCTTTTTCAAATCGCAATAAACCTCCTAAAAAAATTTTTTTGGAAATTTCGCCCAATTCCATCTTTTGTTTTTGGGGGGCCAAGTTTTCCAAAAAAAAACTTTAAGACTCCAATTCCCCCAAAAAAAAAAATCGTTTTCAACGCGGACCAACTCAATGCCCACCTCGGGTTCAATTCAATTCGATTTGAGTTCGACGCGTCCTCCGAATGGCCATTCACGTGCCCGATAGTATCATATCAAAAAAAAAAAAAAAGAGGAGGCAAGGGTTCGATGAACTTTGGCGCCGGCGGAAAATTTTTGCAAATCGAAATTTGTCGAAATTTGCCAACGAAACACAATTTATCAGGCGAGAATCGCCATCAATCAAAAATCATCGCAGAAAAAAAATGTTGAAGCCTCGCGAGTTCAATTATTGGAGGGGGGGGGCAACTTTTTGGTCTCGATCATATACCATGTGTTTTGGACTAGTCGATTGATAAGAACATTCCATTCCAATTTGAGCACACCTTTTATGGAGTTCGAAGAGCACAAAATAGGCAATACCAAAATCAAACTACACCGACTTCCGGCAAATTGTGTACTTTTGCGTCAACGCGCACGGATAGTCGTTCCAGACGCCCTTCGCATATCCCCATCGCTCGCCGGAATCCACCGTTGATAGGACGAACTGAAACATCGACATCGGATCGTTTGGGATCGCTGAATTACAGTATTGCAATAGGTTTGCGAGGAGCCTTCGGCGGCATCCGGCTGACTCGTCGCCCAATTGGTGTAGGCTGTCGATGATCCGATCCACGCCTGCGCCGCCTGTCCGCCATTGGTGTTTTGGGCAAACGCTTCTGAATTGACGATACGCTAAACGCAAAGAATCGGCGCTCACTTCGCAACGCCTCATTTTCGTCGCCATTGCCAATTCGGGCGATTTCCGCCGCCAACGCGACACACCCTTTTTCGGCTTGATACCAATTCGCGATTCCTTGAATTAGCTGAAAATTTCCAAACAATTATTTTTTTTTTTGGGAAAATTCTCAACCGCATAGCAATTTCCATTGAATTCCACCCATTTTGGTGGGCATTTCGATTGGCACGTCGGAAAATTTGAGGCTGGCAAAGATGTGGCTGAAACTGGTTTCAAATTTCATATTTATATTGATGACAACCTGCCGGAACTGCGACTGTTGTTGGTATACTCGGACCAGTTACTGTAGGTGATGTTGGGTCAGTTGGAAGAGAAACTGTTGAAAAAAAAAGAACCTAATATGTCGATGAAATTCTAGTTTTTTGCACGTACGTCACAACTTTTGTCAAGTTTCAAATTCGACAATAATTGTTTCAAAAAAAAAAATTAAAATTAACCTCCTTTGGTGGTTTTTGCAATTGCGGAAGTGGTTGGAGTCGTTGGTGTCATTGTGGGTGGTGTCGTGGCGGTTGGCGTCGTCGTGATGACGGTTGGAGTCGTGGTAGTGATTGGTGTCGTGGTGGTGGCTGGAGTCGTCGTGGTGGTAGTTGGTGTCGTCGTGGTGGTGGTTGGAATAGTCGTGGTGATGGTTGGTGTCGTCGTGGTGGCTGGAGTCGTCGTGGTGGTGGTTGGAATCGTGGTGGTGCTTGGTGTCGTGGTGGTAGTTGGAGTCGTCGTGGTGGTTGGTGTCGTCGTGGTGGTAGTTGGAGTCGTCGTGGTGGTAGTTGGAGTCGTGGTGGTGATAGTTGGAGTAGTGGTGGTGGTAGTTGGAGTCGTGGTGGTGGTTGGAGTGGTCGTGGTGGTAGTAGGTGTGGTCGTGGTGGTAGTTGGTGTGGTCGTGGTGGTAGTTGGTGTGGTCGTGGTGGTAGTTGGAGTCGTCGTCGTTGTTGTCGGAGTCGTCGTCGTAGTGGTGGTAGTTGTCGTCGACGTCGTCGTGGTAGTTGTCGTGGTGGTTGACGTCGTCGACGTCGTCGTCGTATCACACGTGTTCGCCACATCAAATTTCACATGAGGAATCTCAAATGCCATGTGTGACCAACACAAACCTATCAACTCGAGTTCGGATCATATTTGCACAAGGGTGCCGATGTGCTCGTGTAGCAATCATAAACATCATCAAATTGTCCGGGAACAAATCCGGATTTCAATCGGTTCAAGAAGCCGTCCCAAATCTTCAACGACGTCATTTTTCAAAAAATAGAATCATCTGTCCTACAGTAATACACGTCGTCGCTGGATCGTCCTTCGGAAAACCCGGCTGCCACCAAATGAAATCGACGGGCGTGCCGTCGGTCCACGCGTACGCCGAATTGTCGCACTGAACAAAGCACAGTCGAATTCAACGTCATCCGATTCACTCACATTTCGCAACAGTCCGATCCATACAATGTTGCCGAGAAAACTGTACCACGTCGCGGCGATCCATTCGGCTTCCGCCTGCGAATGAATCGACGCCAAATGCGAGCCGGCGCGCAAATTGAAGCAATAGTCTTCGGCCGGATAGAACGTCAGCAAATCTGGTCCCTTCTGCATAGTATTATTGAAAATTGCATATATTTTTTTTGGACGTCTCACCAAATAGCACATCCCATTCGCCGGATTCAATGTCCAACCCGGATCGCAAGTGCCCCCATCTGAATGCTTCATCCCTTCTATTCTCAATTCGAGCCATTCACTTACTCATCAAAACCAAATTTTGCGTGTTCGCATCCGATAAATGCTGGCTGTTCGGCAAGCTTTTCGCCAAGGCTTCATTAAGAGCCTCTGAAAAAAATTTTCATTTTGAAGAGAAAATCAAACCCCACCATCCGACGGCAGCTCTTTGATGATGGCCGAATTTTTCGCGACAAACTCCGATATCAATTCGCCGCGATTTTTGCATTCTAAAAATGGGAAAAAAAAAACGCATTGAAAAATTCGATTACCTGCATTAATAATCAATAAAAATATGGCGAAAAATCGCATTTTTGGTTTTCGATTGCCAAAAATTTTGCAATATAAACGAGGCCGAAGTGTGATGGATTAAAGCCAGCCGCCGGTGAACTTCAAACTCTTTAATCGGTTCATTTCGCCCGAGTTCCTCGTCTATAAAACACCAATCACAAAATTGCTTTGATTGGCACGATTTAAACATCAAACTAAAGTAGGTTCTTTTGATTTATTTTCAAAAATCATTTTTCTACTAACTCTATGCGTATAGCTAGCGATCTCATTATGAGTTTGTCGGAATGGGCTTCTAGAAACAAATTAAATAAGAAGCCTTTCATTGGAAACTATCTGCGGACACTTTTTTTACCCGCGGCAATTCAAAAATTAATATTTGAATTACCGCCAAAAAGATGCTCGTTGTTTTTTTTCGCGAGGACCTTTTTGATTTTTGTAGTGTCTCATAATTGGAGAAAAGGTTCAAGGTGGTCCCACTTAGACTGAACCCTAAATTCATTATTTTTTGTTTGCACGCTCTCCATGTTAGCCAAATTTTGAGCACGACTGTAGAAAAAAAAATGAAAGACTGCAAAATTGTGTTGGTGGTGGGGGGGGGGGGCGAACCTCCATCATAAAAATGTTTGCCTACGCACTAGCCACACCGACCCCCTTGCCGCTCGGCCGCGCCGACGAGTGGCATATATGTAACCGCTTGTCCAAATGACTCTTGAATTTTCAACCATAACTCATCTGAAACCTCCTAGTGCCTTCTGAAAATTGGTTTAAACCCCCAGAAGATCTTCTAGTTTAAGTGTGTAAATTTACAAAGAGGTAAAATAAACTGAATGGTAGCCACGTAATAGTTAGTTTCCTGTTTGAATCGAAAAAAACCCTTACCCTGAAATACTGACAATCCATCATAAAATAAATTTTCTAGTAAAAAATTGAATTAAAACTATTCTCTGCTTTATATAGCCCACAATGAGACCAAAGCGATTAATTTGTGCGAACGTGGCTAGATCAAACAAAATGGGCGGAGATTTTAAAAAAATTCAAATCTGTATAGTTGAAATGTTCACAAAAATTAATAATTTTTAAGGAAAAAACCCCATTTTTAATAATTTAGGCGCGCAATTCAAAAAATTTATTCATTTTTGAATTATTTCACACGGGTTTTTCACAAATCGCGAACAATTGCTTCTTCAAACATGGATAATCGTTCCAGACGCCTCGGGAAAATCCCCACATCGATCCGGAATCCACAATAGACAATGAGTACTGAAATTGGTGGCATCGAGTGGGATTCGTTGAATATCGCCGATTACCGAATTGCAATAATCGTAGGAAGACCCATGGCTTTTATCCGGCTGATTGATCGCCCAGTTCGCGTATGATGACTGCCCAATCCATGCTTGCTCATCTTCATTCGATTGCCCATTTCTCGAAAACGCTTCTGCAATTCCCAACATTCAATTCTATACCCATTTCATCTCTCAACTTCTTATCGCCTCATTCTCCTCGTCATTGCTTATTTCGGCTAAATTGGCACCAAACGTTGAGCAACCCGCCAGCGCCTGATAATAATTTGATGGTCCCTTTATCAACTAAAACCAAATTCCGCAATTTTGAATGAAACAAAAAACACCCATCTCACCGCGTAGCATTTTGTTTTATAATTCACCCAACCCTTCTCACACCTCTCAACACACTCACTGTCCAATCTTGTAATTGTGGGACTAGCAGTCTGAGGGGTAGTTGGGGTTGAAGGGATCGTCGAAACAGTGCTAGGAGATGTCGATGTGGAACTAGTTGACGCTGACAATATCGGTGACGTAGTTGGTGTAGGAGTGGGCGTCATGGTGGTTGAGATGGTTGTCGTGGAAGGAGTCGTCGTCGTAAGAGTCGATGTCTTTGTAGAAGTCGTAATGGAAGGAGTCGTCGTCGTGGTAGGAGTCGTCGTCTTTGAAGTCGTCGTAGGAGTCGTCGTAGGAGTCGTCGTCGTAGGAGTCGTCGTCGTAGGAGTCGTCGTCGTTGGAGTCGTCGTCGTTGAAGTCGTCGTCGTTGGAGTCGTCGTCGTTGAAGTCGTCGTCGTTGGAGTCGTCGTCGTCGTAGAAGTCGTCGTGGTAGTAGTTGAAGTGCTCGTCGACTTCGTCGTAGTCGTCGAGCACGTCTCCATCTCCACAAACTTCACATGCGGCTCATCATCTCAAATTCAAACTTCTAATGAATACCCCCAAATGCACCTATCCAACCAACCAGCAGCTGGATCATATTTGCAAATCGCTGTTGCCCTTTTCGTGCACTGATAGGTGTCGTCCAACTGTCCCGGCATAAACCCGCTTGTGAATCGGTCGCCCATCGAATCCCATATCTTAAACAACCACCATTCCATTCAAATCATACGCTGCCTGACGTCACCGTGTAGCATCGATTAACATCCTGACCCGGATAATTCGGCCGCCACCAAACCAAATCGGTAGGGGTGCCGTCGAACCAATAGAATGTCTCCTGATCGCATCGTCGAAGTCCAGTCCACGCGATGATGTAATTAATCCATCCCGTCGCGAACGTCGACGCCACCCATTCATATTCGCCTTGCGAATGATACGAAGCCAAATGCGATCCATGCCGTTCATTATAGCACCAGTCTTCTGCGGCTGCCCAAGTCAGCTCGCCGCCCATCTCAAATTGAGCTTCTCGTTGTCGCCATCAAATAAATGAATTGGTTACTTTATAGCACATCCCATTCGAATACTGGGTCCATCCTGAATCGCATGGACCCTCACCAACATATCTTTCTTGAAACTTCACATGCGGCTCGTCTAACAAATTTTCAGCATTATTATAGTGTTCATGAGATTCGACTACTTGAATTCGGATCGTATTTACACAGGATCTTATGTCTTGTCGAACAACTCGAAATATCATCAATCATTCCTGCGGTGACTTCCGCATCGGCGCTTGATGAATACCATATCTGGAAGCGAGATCGAATCAAAAGAGCAATGAATTGAACAATTCGCCCACTGTCATGCAATGTGTATGATCGTTCTCTGGATCTCCGGGCCGCCACCACAAATTGTCCGCCGGCGATCCATCGGACCAATAATACTCGGTGCCGAATGGCTCTTTGCGCAAACCGACCCACGCTAGAATTCGCGAGTCTTGCGAAAACGTGCTCGCCGCCCATTTGTATTCGTCTACGGAATGAAGCGATGCCAAATGCGAGCCGACTCTTTCGTTGTAGCATCGATTCTCGGCGTCCGCCCATGTGCTCGATTCAGCAATCTGCAAGAACGCGGTAGAGAGGTCGCCGTTGTGTGTGGCACTTGGCACCAAGTTGTAGGCGCCGCGCTGACACTGATTAAGCGCGACGCAAGCATAATGGAAGCATTGTGGGAAATCTGTGGAACGGAAGCATAATGCTTCCATATAGGAAGCATAATGTAATTCTTAGTGGCTGTGGAAGAATTATGGGACGAATATGGATGGAATGAAAACGGGATGAATATGCTTCCGGTGTTTGCGAGCCGTGGAACGAATATGGATGAAATATGGATAAAATAATCATATATCATTACACATTATACAATTGGCGTCTGGACGGCAGACCAAGACAATTTCTAGAAAAATCAATACAAAAAACTTATGCTATCATATAAACAATGAAAATTTGAAAATTACATGATACACAACGGACGAAATTTAGCTTCTACCATTTAATGACTTATGTTACTCAGATTTATGTTAATTCAGTCAACTGTTCCTTACTTTGTTTAAAGATTGCCAACTACAATTTAGTCGTATTAATATATTTTTGCCGGTTTTTCCGAAATTGGCATCGCAAACTACTCACAATTTGCTCTAAACTGGTAGCAGACGCGCGTAGAAGAGGCGTGCCGCAGCATTGCAAAACCGTGCGCCGCTTTGCACAATGCGGCCACGCCTCACATTTTCGAAATTCGTTTTCAAAATTTTTGTCCTTTTGCTTTTTCTCAATGAATTTTCAAGATTTTTTGTGTTTTTTTTGTCAAAAATTAAAGAATTTTTTTCAAAATTAAAGGAAAAATGTTTTTAAAAAATAAAGGAAAAATTTTCATGTTTATCATTTTCATGTTTATCATCATTCGAAAATTTTAAAATCGATACGATGTTTTCAAATCGTTTCCGACACTTTTAAAATCGAATTTAAATATTTTCTCAATCGAATTGTGTTTAATTTCTCATCGAATCCGTTTTATTTTTATTTACTTTAACATATTTTTTATTATCGCTCGCTTTTTTCTTTTAATAAAACATAATGTTTTGAAATTTTTTACAGATGAAGACAAGATCGAGAGTGTTGTCAGATATAACTGAAACTGCTCTAGAAGTCAATAACAAAGAACCAGAAGTCCCTAACATGGAACCAAATTCGCTCGACACTTCAGATCCAGATAGTCCAATTTACTCGCCAACTCAGCAAAAAAATTTTTCTCCACAGTCCTCACAAACAACAAAATCAACGCCAATTCCTAAACCTTCGTACGCGCAATTTGTAAGTTGTTATCATCAAAAATTGGCCTGTTCGACTCCAGAAATGGTTTCAATTAGAAAAATATGCGCAATGAAGTCTTTATAAAGTACTTCCTAAGTTTAAAGCTTGTTGATTATTTGGTTCCAATCAGGGCTGTGCGGCAATGGAATTGCCGATTGCCGAAATTGCCGGTTTTTCAAATTGCCGAAGAAAATTTCGATCGGTAATTTGCCATTAGCCGAATCGCCGAAATTTCCGATTGCCGTACAGCCTTCGTACCAATATCATTCAGTGGCATTTATCTTTTTAAGTGGGGCTCTAGTACAGAAGTCGCCAGACGCCGACTATATAAAGATCCTATACTTTATGGCAAATATCTATATTACAGATGCTCTTATCCATGGCTTTGGGCAACAACCGACAAATGACTTCAAAGCGAAAGCATTACGCATGGTTCGAGAAGTCATGGATAATCTTCTGTAAGATTTTGAACTATGACTATTAATTTATTTATTTGATTAAGCGATAGAATGCGCCAACGACTTCAAAGGAAATTTGGTGGAGCTCCGGAAGCGCTCGCGGCGCAATTAAGGAAGCTGCTTGATTCTACCAGCAACCCTCAGATGTGAGTATTCATATGTCTTTGAAATTTTAACCAAAATGCCTTTTTGCTTCAAATTTTGGAGTTGTTCTTTCTTCCGCCAATTCACTTTTTATTTTGTGCACTAAAGGGTTTCCAAAAATGCAATAAAAATAAATTATTTTTATTTTTAAGAAAATTATTGATGTAAAAAAACTGATTGTATTTTCTCGAAAAATTTAGTTTACGTAACAATGGTTTACAAGTTTTTCAAATTAATAGGCCCATTATAATCTACTTATTACAGCGTCCCGCTCGATGTCAGTACTGACAATGATTCGAATAGTTCGGCAGTTGCCAGTAACTAATGGTTTGATTATATCTTAATTGAAATTCATTTCATTGTTGTTTTTTTATTTTAAATTAAATAAATGTGTTAATATGAAATAAATTTTGAATACAGCAATCAAATTGTTTTCTTATTTTCCCATATGGAAGGCATACGGCTCATTCCATATACGAAACACGCGGTTCCGCAAAAAAATGCCTCCATTATGCTTCCATATAACTTGCATATAAGATTCCTATGATATCCACAGCCGTTCCACTATGCTTCCATTGTGCCTATGCCGCCGTTTATCTGTGCCACCCCCTTCGACGATCAGCTGTGCCTCCAAGTGGCATATATGTAACCGCTTGTCCAATTGACTGCTAGCAAAGGAAAAGCGCCTTGACCCTTCTGAACCAAAGAACCAAACCTTTCTGGTCCACAGCTTGAGTGGATGAATTACAGCTCTGCCAGCTATTTCGTGCTACGCGTCCAGCCCAGGTCGTCTTCCTGGTCCGCAATGGTGTAATGTGCAAAATTTTGACGAATCGCCGAACTTTGCAAAATCGATAATTTGTGGTGACAATTTCCGGTCTGAAGTTTCCACAGAAAAAAGGGACCATTACAAAAAAGGGTGCATTGAACAAAAAAATTATATTTTTTCGATACGGTATTTAAAGGCGCATGCGTTTTTGTTGAAGTCGCGTCTCGCAACATTTCACAAAAAAGTCGAAACTCGCGTGAAAACCTCCACGACGGCTCATCACGTTATCTGATGAAATCAGCATAAAATGGCGAAGCGTGCTCGCGATTCCTCAATACTCGCAACTGATCAACCCCCCCCCATCCAACACCTACTAACACCAACTCAGAACTGATGCCTGTCAAGGTAGGGTGAACGGCGTCGAGTGTTCAGCACAACATCCAATGTTCAGATTAGCATTTATCGTGCGTTCGGCCAATTTTTGAAGATGATCGAGAAGACGTCGGAGTCGGACGCGGACGCGGCCACCGATCGCGCCGTCGCCGTCGTCAGCGACTATCAGAACGGCTTGTCGCCGCTCGAGACTCGCAGTTGTCCGGTGGTGGCGCGCCACGCGCAACTCGTGGCGCCGCGTCGCACCCAGAGTTGCCACGTGTCGTTCTACGCCGGCCCGGAACGCGTCGAGTTGCCGTCGTCGCCGATCACCAGCGAACAATCGCGAACCATGAACGCCGCCACACTGTTGATGTTCAACTTTTGGCAGAACGACGGTCTCGACAAGAATGAGTGTAGTCTGTTCGAGAAGCTCGACGGCGTGTTTAGCGACTATGAGTCGAAGATCGATGAGAGCGTGACGACGCTGATGGAGAATGTGAAGCGCATCAACGAGGAGCACGATTTTCTCGCCGCGTTCGACGAGTACTTTGAGCGAACGCAAGCCACGCTGGCCGACGCGTCGTCGGACGATTCGGAAGGCCCGTTGACGCATTGTATGAAGTGCATGTGCTTCAACTGTTGGCGTCAGACCACTTCGATGACGACGTGGCAATCGACGGATTCGAATTTCCCGCAACTCCCGGTGAGCCTTGAAATCAAGCCTTGGAAAAATTTTTTTAGGTTTTTGTTCGCTCGCCCGTCGATTCCTTGAAGCTTTATCAACGACGATCGATGAGTCTTGATTCGTTGACATCTGAAGACAGCTCCACACGGAGCTGCTCATCTGAGAGCGTTGCCAACGAGCCATTCAGTAGGGAATTCATATATAAATTCATAATGGTCCCATTTGCAGTTGGACCCCTTCCGAAGCCCAATTCGATTCTCGCGTCTTCGCCGCTCTTCGTTCCACGTCGTAATGTGCTGGATTCGGCGCAGCGAAAAATCGAGCTCCTTTGCAAGAAGATTGAGATTCAAGAGAAGATCATTGGCGAGATGATGGCCTTGCGACAAGTCGAAGAGGAACTCGATAAATGCTAATAAAATTATTTGATTTATTATTGGGTTTTTTGAGAAAAATCCTCGAACAAATAGGACATTTGGCAAGATTTTTTGAAAATTTCTTGAAATGGGCACCCATGAGATCGTTTTAGCCTTTGAAAAACCAAATTTTTAAGTAGAAATAAGATTAGAATAATTAGAATTAAGAAAGGAATTAAAAAATAAAAAAATGTGAGAAAAACCAAAAAAATTATTGCATCAAAACCACGGCGATTTTTGCTTTTCACTACTTTTTTGCAATTTTTGGAACTCGAGAATTTTTTTGGAAAAAATTTAAGGCAAAAAAAGCAGGAAAATTAATATAATGACCAAGAAAAACGAAAAAAAAAAAATAATTGCAATTTTCAAAAAATTTTTTTTGAGAATGGCCGTGGACTAGTTTTTCCCGGCCGCGGACTGATTTTCCAGTTTTCTATTTTATTTTTTATTATCGTTCGAGGTCCGCAATGGTGCGATTTGCCCAAATTGTGCTTAAACATGCCGTGCGTGTGAAATTTGGCAAATTTCCATGAAAATTGCGGTTCGAAATTGTTACCGCATGCAAAATTGAGGCGATTTCCATGATAAACGAGTTGAGTTGTGTGGGGTGGGCGGAGCATCGAGCACATAATATATAAATAAACAAATCAAACTGTCCAAGTCATATTATATTAAAATGCACCGGCTGCCGATTGAAGTCATTGAGCGCATCTTCGAATTTCTTCCACAGAAATCCAAGCTAAGCTTTTTCCTGTAAGCTTTTCCCTATTGAATTGTGCGGAAAAATTGATTTTCGCGGCAGGACCCTCAAAAATTTCCCAATTTCGTTGTTCCTTCGTGAAATCGAGTGCTCGAATCTCGCCGATTTGCTGTCATCGTTGGCCATCGAGAATCGATTCCGACACGTTCGACGCCTTCGGTTTGACTCCGACCGATTGCGATCATTTTTGTTTTTTGCCAGCTTACAGAATTGTCAAGAAGCTCGAAATGAGCCGAATTATTCAAGATTTGGGCACCATTCGGGAAAAAATGCCCAATTTACGGACCCTTGAGTTCAGGGACATTCAGTTTCGAGAAATCACGTGTTCGAATATCGCAAAAAGGTTTGAAAATCCGATTTGTGGGTCCAACGCCGCTCGTCTTTTTACAGCTTCCCGGCATCGAAATTTACTCATGGCAATTTTGGAACATAATTAGGTAATTATCCTTAATTAGCGTTTAATTATAGTGTGGTTTGTTTTCAGAAAAGTTGGGCATGACATCGACAATCTCATCTGGAGAAGTTTTTATAAAGAAATTGGAAAATTGCCAAGGTTATAAATAATTATAGAAAATGCAATTTTCAAAAATTTCAGATTAAAAAAACTGTCATTCAACGGCTCCACAATAAATGTGGAAAATCTGAAATTAATTTTCGAGCAAAATTCGCCGAAAATTGTCGAGCTCGATTTGCGCAACACGAAAACGTGCCTGAGCGAGACGGACTTGAAGTATTTGCGAGAAAACACGAGGTTCGATTTTTTTTCATCGAAAATTTTCAGAATTTTCAGCTTTTCAGCATTCGCATCATTCATATCGATTCGATGAATCGAAATTCGACGGAGAATTTCAAGTGGAAAACCCATGGAAAAATATTAACACTCGCGGCGAGTCATTGTGCGAATTGAGAGAGCGCAGACAGTCATACAAATTATTTTTTAAAAACGCACGTCATTATTTCTTTTTTGTTGATAAACATTGACTACAATATGTTTGTGGCTTATTTTTTGAAGCAATGCTATACATACATATATGGAAGTGTATTTTTGAATGCCCTTATAAGGACAAGAGGGGAAATTGAGAGGATTATCACTGAAGTATCAAACTTCAAAACAAATTTCGAATTTATTTCGCAATTTGCAATTCAAGTGTGTCAAGATGAAATTCACTGAGAATTTTCCACTGAAAAACTCGTTTTCAGAAATTGTTGGCCTCAAATATTTCAGAAATTCGATTTTTCGCGACTATGTGAATATGGCTAATTTGAGAGCAGGCTTTTTGGGATCATATCAGACCAAAATGGTGCTATTCAAGGAAAATTTTAAAAAAATCCAATTTTGGCACAAAATTTTTGCCTAGAAGCCTATAACACATTCCTAATAATGGTCCGTTAGCGCGAAAGTGAATTTCGCCTCATTTTCGTGGAAATTGCGAATTTCCAGAATTTCTAGAAAATTCTAGAAAAAGTTTTCCAGAAGTTTTTTCAGAAGACCAAAAAACCGTTTTTACTTCAACGATGTCAAAAACGAGACTCATATGGCAAGTATTGAATTGATGTGGACGTGGACGAAAAAAAAAACTAGGCCACCGATATTTGAATTCAATTTTTTTTGGAATTATTCAAATGACTCATCGCTGCCGGGAAATTCAATTTTTTTTGAATATGCAAATTTAAATTGTGGGTACGCAAAAATGCAAAGTTCTTTTCGCTTCGAGACCCCAGAAAAAATTTCCGAGGCATTTTTGCCTCTCAGAAAATCGCTGTAAATTTTCTGCGAAAAAAGAACACATTGAACCCTTGGTTTTTTTTCTTTTTTCCCACAACGCAAATTGCTAAGAATTTTATCAGTTGATACGACGGCTAATATTGCTAATCGCTAGCCATCAACACCTTTTTAAAACGAAAAAAAATTCCATCAGCAATTCTCTTCAAACATGATTCAATTCTCCGATCTTCCAGCTGATATTATTTTGCTAATCATCAAATTTCTACCGAGGAAATCCATTTCAGATGTATCAAAGTTTGTTATTCCTCTTTTTTCTGAGCGGCCGCGGAATTCGCGGCCACAAGAACCTAGTCCCCTAAATTAATATTCCCTATGTAGGGAGCCAATTTCACTGCAACGCAAAAATCAAAAATGCGAGTTCGGCAAAAAAATTCGCAAAAATTAAAAAAAAACCCGCAAAACTAAAATCCGCAAAAGCTAATTTTAAAAATTATATGTAATATTTATTCTATTTATTTTTTTTATTTATTTCGACAAATTCGTCATTTTCATTTTGATATTCTGTATTTCAAATCGTAATCTTACAAAATATATACGTAAAACGTTTTACTTCATCAAGTGGCGGCCGTGGCCGAACAAAATGTCTGAGGCCACTTTTTCTAGGCCACGTTGAATTTAGACATTTTTTTTTAAATTTCAGAACATCTCGACGCCTACACTCAATTGCAGCTCGCGAATATTTCAAAAATTATTTAACATGTTCAATTCGCTTGAAAAATTATTCAATGTTGCGAGCGCCGATCGCCAAATTCATCGAAACGCTGTGGTAAATATATTTTTTTTCTCTTTGCCATCATTTTCAAAAATTTTCAGCATTTCCGGAATCGATGTAATCGTGGAGAAAATTGATGTAATTCGTCTTAATAGGAATTTCAACTCGCTTAAAAATCTAACATTCGAAAACGTCAATTTTCGCCATGTCAAATTGGCGGGCTTCCCAAAAAAGTAGGCACCCACTCACAATTTTCTCATCGTTTTTTGTTCTCGCAGATTGAATAGCTTAAATTTCATCGCCTGCTGTCCATATATAGCAACAAAAACAACGCAAAGCGTGTTCGGCGTCGATGCCAAATATGTCGAATACGAAGAGTTGAGATTTGAAAAAATCTCAAAAAATGTGTTTGATAAGGGCTTCAAAATTGAGAGGTATATTGAAAAAATTTTTATTTAATGCATTTTTTTCCAGAAAATCGAAACCCGCAAAAAAATCCAAAGACGAGATCAACCTTCTCGTGTATTCAACATTCTTCAACGTCCTCGATCAATTGCCGAATTTAAAAATTCTCTCATTCGATGGTTCAGAGATTCCAATGATATAAAGGAATTGAAGAAAACGCGGAAGGTGATTCTCATGGGATTCCAATATTCCACTGGCCGTTCAGCTTCGCGAAATACACTTCGGTCTCGGCTTGAATCGACATCCGCTGAACCACATTTTTACGAGGCCTTCCGAGCTCCTCGCCGAACCAGCGTCCGAGAATCGGCGCAAGCGCGCTTCCTGAACATTGTGCTTTTGGAACGGGATGAGTTGAGAGCATCGCCCGACACTTACGAACTAAACGATTCCCAAAAAAGTATAATCGATATTTTTTTACACTAAGGAGAATGGTTAGAATAATAAATAAGCCATATCTAGGAAAAAATTATTGAGTTTTTTTAACTAAATAAGAAAACTCACAAAAAGCTGAAAAAATCGAAAAGCGCATGAAGGTAGAGGGCAGTTAATGGATGTGAGGCTCGGAAATCGTCGTCGATGAATCCTGAAGTCAGAAGTCGTCAGAATATCTGAATTCCATCTTACCGACTAGCATGGTAGCCATTATGATGTTGAATGTTGTGCTGATGACGACAACATTTCGCAGAAGCTGAAAGAGACATCTTAAAAATATTTTGTTGAAGTAATCTCGCTGCGCCTTTAAACTATTATCCCATGAAATGTCGAAAAAATATTCAAATCAAGATTTTTTTGAATTAAAAATGGCAATTGCATGATGCAGAGATAGTATGGGAATGCGAGAGTGGGTGAGACGACGAGGCGGCGGGGCGAGAGAGCGCACGGAACGAAGAGACGACAAGCCGTTATGCAATCGGGCGATAGCCAGCCAAGAGGTGGCCGCGGCCGAAGTCGATTGGATTTAAATGCGAGTCCACGGTTTTGGGAGAACCGGTTTTTACAAAAAAAAAACCACAAGTTACCTTCATGGTGACAAGATTCTCATTCAATTGGAATCGCACACTAAGCGAGTAGATGGTATTCACGCACTGCACTCGTCGCAGCTTCTCCTTATTGATGAAATAGAGAATGTTGAAGAGCTGAAATCGAAAATGGCTCTTGTGTGTGTAAGATTGCGTCGCGGTGTTTGCACACGTGTTGCCATAATTAATCGAATCAATTGCGACATTTCGAAGACTCACAAAAAACGAGCTGAAGCTCGTCGCCATCCCAACAAGAGCCATCATCGGAATCGGTAGGACGTCGATGAGAATGAGGAACGCAATCGGAACGCACGGCATAATCGTCGTGCCGAACACCAAATAGATCACCCACGTCCGCTTTTTCAGCTCATAGTCGAACACGTAGACGGTGGCGAAACAGCGCTCCATCGCACACGCGGTGCCGCTGAGAAGAAAAAAAGGTGTAAGCTAATGAGATTTGAATTACATGGAGCAAGCGACGCCGAAATAGAATAGCTGAAGGTACGAGCAGATTTGAAGGACCATCGAGTGTTCGGCGTTGCCTAAATTAAATTTTTGGTGGCCTAGAAGATGAGGGGTTCGGCCACGGCCACGCGGAAATTTACCGTGGATTCGAATGAGTCCGATTTCGAAAACGCACGTCACCAATCGGCCGCACATTAGCGTATAATAGCCGGCGAGTAGAATGATGGCGATTCGCACCAAATTATAATGGAACGTCGCCTTTCGAAGCGCGTATATGGTGATGGCGAACATCGCCATATTGATGGGTATCGAGCACATCTCGAGCAACGTGCACACTCGCAAAAAATCGCAATGCGTTGAATAGTGCTGCGGACATTCATAGAGGTTCGCGTATTGCAAACGAATTCCCATGAACGGAAAAAAAGCGTCGAAAATTGCCGAGCAAAAATTTTTTGAAGGCCGAAAATTCGATTACGGCCGAGCCCGGCACCCAATAATTATAAATTCGAAATATCAACGAACAATTGAGTTGAGGAAACAGCTGAAAATGATTAATAGAATCTGGGTTTTACGCCAAATAGATTGGTTTTCGACGAAAAACACAAAAATGGGACCATTGAAATCGGGAATGCATTAAAAAAATGCAGAATTCAAAATTTTCAATTTCTTCCGAAAAAAACTAATCAAAATAGCAAACTTTTGAAAATAAAATTTTTTTGTTGTTGGGACCACTGAAATCAGAGACTCAGGGACCATTGTGAAATGTGTGTGGAAGGGACCATTTTGGTAGATTCAATACTCAATTGATTCGATCTTGGGAATGGGACCATTAAAAACATGGATCCGGTTTCAAAAATTTTTTTAATATTTCGAAGCAATAAAATTCTAGAATCAGTTGTCACGAGCCCCTCAGATCATTTCGGGGGAGAATTCTGGGACCATTAAAATCAGAGGATTCGAATTTCTGAAAAATCAGCAAATATTTCATTAAAAATGATCATGCGCCTTTAATATACTGTAGTTTGCAACTTCTAGACAACTAGGGTCCCATATTTGTTAAAAATCACAACCAGAGCATTGTAAGCATCTGCGGACATTTTCCGGGACCCGCATTGGCGGCAATTCAAACAAGTTTCTGGCAATTCATCGATTCATCCCCAAAAATTCAAAAAGTGGGAAAAATTGAAACGAATCAAATTCCTTAAAACCCCAGACTAATTCTCTCTCCTTACCCAACCAATCATCAAGATAATTCAACAATGGCATTATCAGGGGTCCAAAATAATTCTCAAGCATTGCACATAATTCCTTATCAATTTTCGAATTGCTTCCTGTAATAAATTTGAGCTGCAATATGTAAACAAATTGAGCACAAATTTGCGAAAAATCCAGTCTCAATCAAGTTTTGGACCTTCTCAGCTTCATCTTACATTCTTCTTATCATCACCATTTTCAGCTTCCTCTCCTCTTGCCCTTCTTTTAATCACCTTTTTGCCATATCAGCTCTTGATTCACAAATGCCAAACTCTTTGTCAATTTGATTGCACGGCCGGTTCGTCGAGGAATGCCAAATTTGGGACCATCGATACGACGCGACAGCCTTCCCGACGATCGAGACAAGCGGCGATTCGACGCACTTCATTATGCTTTGGCGGCGGCTGCAGTCATCCTCGGAATTCTTGCAATCATTTTCATTGTGCTCTATGCGACCCAGCGAGGCACCTAATTGCATTCACCAACATTTGAAAATTAATTAATAAATATTGATGGTGGCATTTTTTTTTTGTTTTTAAAAATAAGATTTTTTTTTTTCATTTAAATTTCCAAAAAAAAATTGACGCGATACCGTAACCCTTTTTAAAGGCGCACACGAAAAATTGGGCGGGTCACGTCGCGAAGTCGGTACTGTAATTTTTTATTTTTCTTTCTGCATGCTATTTTCCACATTTTTTTTCGAAAACTTTGAAGAGGAAATGAATAGGCTATTGAAGAACAATGAAAAAAAAAAACAATTATTGGTATAAGTACTCCAAATTCAATAATATATGTCTATTTTTCTTCATTTAGATGCGAATTATTATGAGAAAATGTTGATTTGACGCTTCTGATGAACTTTTCGCGTTGATTAAACAGAATACTTTTACAGATTTCAAAAAAAAAATCAAGCAACTGATTTATAATAATTTTTTTCGAATCGCACGATTACACCATGAATTCGAATACTATTAATAAGTAAAATTCAAAACCCTTTGAAAAAAATTGTTTTCGCGCCCAACGTCAATTTTGGGTCATTTTGATTTTCGAGAAGTAAGAGGGCTTTCTCTGAAAAAACAAGTCGCGTGGTTGCACACAATGCACCTTATTTGACGACACTTTCAAATTTGCGTGGCTAATGCATTTCATTTGACGACAATTTGCACAGGCATGGAATCAATAATTTCTGAACGTATTCGCCTGATGTCTGGAACGCCTTCACCACTCAAATCGCATCCTTATATGGCTGCAGCGATGCGATGGGAAACCCACAAATCTATTTCCTCTCAAGGTCCCACCGAATCGTCAACATTCCGATCAGCTCAACCATCACACTGTCCGCAGATGATCTCAATCACCCCTAACATTAATAAATTAGGCGTAACCTAAAAATGAATCGAATTTCTACAGAATGGTTCGATCCAATGTGCTGATAGTAAGCGCTACAAAATTGTAGATTAGGAAATAAATATTTGTTTAAATGGAGGTGTGCATGAATCGCACTTGATATCACCAAAACGTTTGTCCAAATTTCGAAACCTTCTTAAGGCGTTAATGGCGTTCTGAAATTCCTTCTGGGATTTTCGTCATTAGTCAAATAGGCTGTCGATTAATTTTTTTTTAAATCAAACAAATGATGCTATCAATGAGTCATTCGGCAAAAAAAGGGCGAAAATTTAAAACTGCAGTGTTATCTTTAGGTAGAAATATTATCGCTACACCGCGATAACGACGCATTTTTGAATCGTGTGACGGCGACGATGAGCGTGCGAAGCGCCAACGCCAAACCATGGCAGAATCTCGATTGGCGGCATTATGTTCTGGCAGCCACCACCATTCTATTCCTCATCTTATTCATTATATTCGTTTCCTTATATGCAACATATAATCGTAAGCAATCTATTTTTAGAAACTTAAATATTGAATTCTAATGGGGTCTCATTTGGAAATATTTTAAATTGCGATTTTCTAAAGTTTACTTCTATTTAGAATAGACTTAATTTTTCTATAAATTTGAAAAATAACTTTAAAAAAAGAAGGAGACTCTTAAAAAGAAATTTAAAAATAAAAACCCAAAATATTTTTTTGTGCGTTGTTACTGTAGCGCCAAGATTTGTGCAAACACCGTGACGCAAATATGAATCGCACAGGCGTCCAAAAATTTTCTTTTTTTTTCTAAATTTGAAGGTTTCATTTTAAAACTAATTGAATTCCAGCAAAATCTAGCGCATTCCTCGTCGTCGGAAATGTCGCTCAACAATCCGCAAAATTTTCCAATCTCGCCTATTCGGATCAGGACGTTCAAAATGAGGTAAAAATAAATTCTCAATTATTTGCTTTTCAACCCATTCGCATTGATTTCAGCTACGCGGAATTCTTTCGAAAAAATACAACTTGGATTCATTCAATATGGAAGTCAGCGACGGTGTCGCCAGCGCCGTCTACTCGGTTCGAGGCACAGTCAAACAAAGCGATATGGCGAAAACCGTGCAATCATCAAAAACCATCAGCAACCCAAAAACCACAAGTCTGCATTTTTTCTCCCTTATCATTCAACAATTTCTTAGGCTCTAAGTAAACATTGCTTAAATTTCAGCGGGGTCTGCTGTCCTTGAAGCCTGCAATGTCGCGGTGCCTATCTGTCCGCAATCAACCGTCTCACCAGCTTCGTCTCAAGCGACGAGCACCGTCAAACCGCCGCCAATAAGCAATGGATGTGAGAATTCCGATGTAATTCACCAACCACGCCAATTGGCTCGTTTTCAGATTGTGCCGGCTACTCGGTGGTTCGCGACATCCTCATCGTGTTCGATATGGACGTCGCCGTTTACAGCGACGCCGACGCGAAGAGCAACACGATTCGAACAATCGCGAAACAACTCGCCGCCGGCGTCACATTCCCCAGCACTCAAGTGTTCATCGCCGCCGTCGCTTCGGGCAACGTTGTCTCGATCTCGCAATCGTGGATCACCGATTCGGCGACATTGACGGCTGACATCGAGAAGGCGATCAGCGTCGAAAATCAAGCCGTCTCCACGATCCTTCCATTCAAAACGATCAACGATTACGCGATGGACGCCCTTCAATCAAGACCAGCTACGGCGCAGCAAGTGATCGTGATCACTGACAAGCTTCTCAACGATGTTTCGTGCGTCGATCTCCGCAATTATGGAGTTTACTTTGGATTGATCGGAATCGGAGCCAAGAGGTATTTCAATAAGACATTCTAGTATAATCCAGAAGCTTCAGAGCACAAGCCTACACCAACTATGTCGACAAGGCGATCATTTATGATTCGTGGGCCGCCGTTTCTCAAGCCGACCCGATGGCGACACTCGTTTGCAGCTATTACAGCTCGCCGAAGAAGCGATTAGAAGGATTCGGTGTCGTCGGCGATGCATCGAACAATCCCAGATGCGAGACCATCGACATTCTCATCGCGTTCGACACCTCCGAGAGTCTATCGAGAATCATTCTCAAGAAATATCGATCGTTCGCCGAACAATTTGTGGCTCAGTATAAATACGAGGACGACCTATTCACAAGGATCGCGATCATGACGTTCAATTCCGATGTCAGCAAGGTTCTTGACTTCAATGCCAATTTGACTGTCATTGATAATGCCATCGAATCGGTCGCGTACACCGGCGGATTGACCGATGTCACAAAGATGCTCAAAACCGCCAACGACTACTTCCTGCAACACGGTGTGGCGTCTCGAGGCAAGGTGCTTCTGCTCCTCTCTGATGCCACGTAAGCCACAATGAGATTCTCAAGATTCTCCAAATTCCCGATTTCAGTCCCACTTTGGACAGTTTTGACGATGAGATCGCCGCCGGTCAAACATTGGCCAAAAATGGCGTCAGCGTGTTCTTCAACAACTACGAGACGTACTCTCCCGATATTCAGAAGAAGTTGGAAAAAGTCACTGATCCTCGGAATATCTTCACCGATCTTTCTCCTGATACCCTGAATGCGTTGACACAAAGGATTCTAGTAGTGTATCCATGTCCAGTTCCAAGTACATAGCTGATCCTTGCAATGGCACACTCTACAATTTCGGTTTTCAGAATGTGTCACCGCCTATTTCGCCGTCGAGTTCAGCGAGCCAACCTCCAACGTTCTCGTGCAAAACCTTCAGACGGTGCTGAAGATTGCTGATCAAGACGCCGCCCTTCAATCCGGAGCCGAATCCTACCAGCTGATTTCCTACAACGAGAATCATACTCAATTCAAACCCGACAACACTACGCTCGCCGGTTTCAAGGCATACGTTCAGAGTCTCATCGATGATGACGTCAAGAGGAAGCAGTTGATTCAAGGAAACACTAGATTGGATATGTAGGATCAGTGTGATCAGGAAATTGTTGAAATCGACCATTTGCAGGGCGATCAATGACATCTCCGCAGTATTGTACCATCAGGCGACAATCAACAAACGCGCCACATCCAATATTCTCTTCTTCGGACAAGCCAAGTAAATCACAAAAAGGGATAAAGTTCAAGATCGCATTAATTCGATTTCAGCAACGGCGTTCTCGATCCCAACGTTTCCATCGACGTCAAGAAGAAGCAGCTTCAAGACGCGTCGGCTGTTCTTCGCGCCGTCACCACCGGCATCTACGTCGTCGACGATTCTCGCAATCCGACATTGTTCGGAGAAGATCTTTGGACGTCGGTGACGGGCTCCAACAACATCGTTGCGCTTGGCGGCGACGTCATCGGAAATCTAACGAACAACACCGATTATTTCGTCAATTGGTCGAAGATGTCTTGCGAACTTCCCAAGATAGGTAAGCACTCTCTTCAGAATCCTTCTTGATGTGATTCACAGAATCATGCAAGAGCAAGCCAATCGATATGGCAATCATTTTTGATCTACCGAATCGTAATGACGCGCTGGTCAACTATACGGCCAAGTTCGCTTCACAATTCTCAACCGAGAATGATGCTCATATGGCCATGCTTGCCTATGGAATCAATCCAACCATGTTCTTGACCGATCTCGGAGCCCATAACGGTGAGAAGAGCTCGAAGACCCCGTAGATAGAAAAATCTGTTCAGCGCAAGACCTTCAAGACTCGATCGTGAAGCTCGAGGAATGGAGGAATGGCAGTCTGTTCCAGACGACACCGGCTCCAGCTCCAACGCAGGCGTTCCTCGACGCGCTCACTCAAAATATTCATCAAGCTTACACCGTGCAGCCATCGACAATCAACAGGTACTCATTTTTATGATTTAGAAAGAAAAAATGGATTCGTCGCGATTAATTGAATGAGCGATCCTGTTCCGATCCGTTCTCATCAAGAGCTTCTTTGTAATCCTCCTCCCAATCATAGGGATCGCTGAGCCTCTTGCCCCCATATAAGGGCTGAAATAATGTCTAGACGTTTTCTGGAGAGCTTTTGTCCGCCTACTTTGCATTGATTCTGAAGATTCACGTACGGCGGCTCCGACATGGCCTCAAGTCCAAATATGATTTTGGCGAGATCGCTTAGCGGACTCTGCGACATGAAGTCGGAATCCGGCGATTGCTGAAAAACGGAATCGATGAAAAACGAAACAACGGAAATCGGGCGCCCCCCTAACCATTCCCTCTTTGAGGCGTCGAATCTCCTCATTCTTCTCCAACGATTTCCACGGAAGCTCGCCGATGAGAAGCTCATAGCCCGAGTAGAGCAACGAGACGAGATCATCGCACGGGTATTGCTCGAGGCGCGCGTGAACTCGCGTCGACACGTAGCGATGGGTGCCGCGAAAGCCGGCGCGCGGACGCGGCGACCGAAACTCGCCGGTTTTCGTCTTGAATCGCCGAATGAGCCCGAAATCGAGAAGCATCAAAACGTGGCGATTCTTGTTCGAAATTCCGAAGCACATGTTCGCCGGCTTCACGTCGCGATGAATATAGCCGGCCTCGTGGAGATCGCGAAGCGCGGCGATCGCCTGCACCAGAATGCGTCCCGTCGTGCTCTTGCTCAGACGCTTCACCGGGCTCGCTTTGCGAATCTCGCCAATATTGATGCTTAGCAGCTGCATGACTACAAAAATGGAATGTTGCTCGCGCGTGCAAATCGCGTGGTGGCACCAATAAAATTCATTCTCTCGGTGTGTCCCGACGCGAACACCATCGGCACGTGCGGTTTGCCCTGAAGTCGAACGAGCACCTTCTGCTCGAGAATCATGCGCTTCGCGATTTTGCCGCGCCGCGTTTTCGGCTCGGCTTTGATCGCCACCTCTTCGGTGCGCTGCATATCGATGGCCATATAGATTTCGCCGTAGCCGCCTTTGCCGATGAGGCCCTCGACGTGCCAACGCTTTCGGAACACCTCGTCGATGTTGAGAAGCGGAAGCGTGTCGGTGTCGTGATGCCGCTTCATTTTCGGCGTGATCAGCGGCAACTTCGCGTCGGCTTTGTTGTTGTTATCATCGTGCTCACTGGGCGGCCGCGATTCGGTGCGATCTCTCGTCGAGTACGCCTTTCCCTTCGTTGACAAAATTGTTTCCTGCAACGAGACGATCGGCTTCAGCCAACGAAAACTCGTCATGACTCACTTCATTTTTTGAACCAACTGTTTTAGTTGTTTTCAACGATTCCATAGGTATAAAAAATAATCAAAAAATGAATGGTGGCTCGTCGAATTTCCGGCGTACGCACGCGCCAATTTCCCATTCCATGAAATGAGTCGTCGTCTCAATTTGGCATTTTTATTTCAGCGTGTTCGAAACACTCCACCAACAATTCGGCGCTCCGCATTATTCGGAATCCGGCGATCGCAAATTCGCGCCCAACGTCTTCGTGTTCGTCTCCGACAATTTTGGGTGAGTTTTCTCTTTTAACAAAAAAATTTCTTTGAAATTCAACGATGTCGCGTGTTTGCACACAATGCACCTTATTTGACGACACTTTCAAATTTGCGTGGCTAATGCATTTCATTTGACGACAATTTGCACAGGCATGGAATCAATAATTTTAGAACGTATTCGCCTGATGTCTGGAACGCCTTCACCACTCAAATCGCGTCCTTCTATGGCTGCAGCGATGCGATGGGAAACCCGCAAATCTATTTCCTCTCAAGGTCCGACCGAATCGTCAACATTCCGATCGGCTCAACCATCACACTGTCCGCAGATGATCTCAATCTCGATCCCAACGACGGCGATTCGCTCGTCAGCAGTTTCACGAAATTCAACGGATTCGTCGACACGATATGTGGAATTAGTCCGCCAGGTAATTCGGCAATTCTCTATCAGATTTATTGAAATCATTTTTTGCAGTTTGGATCAACCAAATATGTTCATAAGTGCTCAAAAAAAAGTTACAAAATGAAACAATCAATACCTCAAATCTTTCTAATTCCAAAAAAAAAAACGATTACATAAAATACTCACCAGTGTTTAAAATAAAAATTTAAGAAAAAAAATGTTTTGAATTTTGTTTTCGCGACCAGTTTAGATCATGCAATCCTCGATGTTAATCGCGGCTTTCGCCTGTTTCGGATGAGTGATGATGACGTCGTCGAAGCGCATCGAAATCACGCAGCCACGGAATCCCTGCCGATCGGTGTTGGCATCGGCGGCCGGCGCGTTGCCAACCATCACGTTGCGATAGACGTTGAGCTGTTGGGCGCCTTCGGGCGCCAGCGACGCGATCGGATCCTCGCCGTTCACCGACAACGTCACCGCGCGATTCTTGCGTATCACCTCGATCGTCGTCCAGCGTTCCGGCTCGATGAGCTTGGGATGAGTGAGCACGACGGTGCCGCTGCCGAGGTTCATCGAGAAGCGCGCGAATCGGCTCGGCGTGACGGCGAGCTCGAAAAAGTCGTCCTCGTGATTGGCGTCGCCGGCGGCGACGAGGATCTGCCGAAACGCTGGTGGTGTCGAATTGGCGAGCTTGAAATTGACGGCAAGGTCCAATGATTCGCCGGTGACGCTAAAAAATTGAAAAAATCGATAAATCGACGCCTTTTCAAGCTTACTGGCTCATAATAGCCTCATCATTGAGCTCGAGATGCGATGCGCCTTTAAACTTCATCGCCGATATTTCGTGGCTCGATGTCAACGCGCACTTGGCTCCATACGAGGGCCACTCGCAAGCGCATGCCGCCGGCGAATGCGCTGTCGGACTCACACAACTCCGAGGGCATCCCAACGGATGGCACGGATCGCTGATGGTGCACTCGGTGACGCTGGTGTCGTTGACATCGGACGTCAGAATCAGTGGGCGACTATTGAGGCGAATCTGAAATGGAATGGAGACGATGGCCAGAAAAAAAAAGAAATGATCGTACCCGTCTCATGCATCCAACGAATCCGGAGCTCGCGCCGATGATCTGCGGATACTCGCCGCCGAATCCGCCGATGCTCAGCGTTCCGCCGATCTCGACGTCGTCGCTTCGTTGGCCGCGCACTTCCGACTCGACCCAATTCTGACGATTGATCTACAATAAGCAAATGCGTCGTGTTGGGATGGGTGTGGCGATGATTCACCTTGAGCAGAACACCTTTGCCGCTTCGCCAAACCTCGAGCTTATGCCAATGGAACAGGCTGACGGCGTTCTCCGATCGCAAAACGGTGGTGTCGGCGCCGAGGCTCGCGTAGACTTTGACGAACGACGACTCGATGACGACGGCGAGATATTTGCGCGCGCTCGCGTGCCAATAGAATAGGGTGCCCGTCGGCGATTCGGCGCGAAACTGCATCGACAACTCCAAATACGATCGAAGGTTGCCGGGCGCCGGATGGCTGATCGCCGCCGTGCCGTCGAAATGCGCCGACTTCCAGACGCGCGTGGAGAGCGCTAAACGACAAGAAAACCCATGGCCGTCTCGCACCAACAATAAGACACTCACCAGGTGATTTGGTGGTGGTGGTGGTGGTGGTAGAGGGTGTCGGCGTCGCCAATTTGTTCGCTGAAATCATTCTTGTTACATTTCGCGCGGCGATCGATTCCAGTTGATCGGCGATCATCTGCTCGATGAACATCCCATAGTAATCGAATGGGAGGCTCGTGGAAATTTGGCAAATCGCCAACAAAATTGTTGGCAATCTCATCGAGCACAAATTTTTTTGGAGTGACGGGGCGTGAGGCGCGAAAATAAATATTTGGCCGATGGCGTGCTAGTGAGGTGACGCCGCTTTTTCGGTTTTATGCTCCAAGCCACGCCCATTTTCGGCTCAGCGACGACGGCGAGGAAGCACTGATTAAAAATGCGCGCGGGGCGTTTTTTTTTTCGCCTCAACTTTCTGCTTTTCGCGGCATAGCTCATTAGCCGAGAAATGAAAATCGAGAGCAGATGATTTTTTTTTTTCTTATTTTCGGACTCGCTGGGGGTTGCCTCAAATCACGTCGGACACAGTGACAACTAATGTTACAGTATGCTGGCGAGGGGGGATGCTTTGAATATTTAAAGACGCCTAGTTTGAATAATTCAATTTCTTGGGAAGGCTTTTTGTTCTGCCGCACCTCGAGGTTGCGCAACCTGCCAGATCGGACGGTCTCACCAAATATGGCGAAATTGTGAAAATTTTCAATATTTTTTTGAAGTTTATGGTTTCTAGTCTCGAATCCAACAATTTCTGAAAATTTGAAAAAAAATTTTTTTTTGAAAAATGAGAAAAAAATTGTCCTGCCAGATCGGACACTTTCAAAAAATTTCTCCAGACATTATCTAATTTTTTATATTTCGCTGTGGCACAGTCAAAACGAATGTTACAGTAACTTGTTTTGCGCAAATGTTTGCGAAGATTGGAAAAAAAACTCCGCAATTGATTTTTTTGCCGCGCTCGAGGTTGCCTAACCTGCCAGATCGGACACTTTCAGAAATTTTTCCATTTTTTTTCCAGACAATTTCTAATTTTTTATTCAAAATGTAAGGTATAATTAATATTTGCTGAAAAAGATTGGAAAAATTAGAATTTTTCGAAAATTTAAAAATACATTGCATCACAAAAAATTGTCCCTGCTCGAGGTTGCCTAACTTGCCAGATCGGACGCCTCAATAAAAAAGTGAAGATTTCGGAGAATTTTCGCAATTAGCACATAATTTAAATTAATTTGCAACATATTTTAAATAAAATTTTAATTTTGTTGAAAAAATTCAAAAAAAAATGTCCACTGATGACTCTCGAATTTACACTGTCCCCGACTCGAGGTTGCGCAACTTGCCAGATCGGACAATTTTCGCCACATTTTAAAATTTGGGCTTTTTTGGCAAAAATTTGTAAACTTTCAATTCAAGCTTTTAACATCACAGAATTTTATGTATCATTCCCCTCAACGGCTCAATATCAAAATTGTCCCTGGTCGAGGTTGCCTAACCTGCCAGATCGGACGGTGTCACCAAATATGGCGAAATTGTGGAAATTTTCAACATTTTTTTGGAAATTGCGATTTCTAGTCTCAAATACAACAATTTCTGAACGTTTGGTTCGATTTTTTGAAATGAAAAAAATTGTCCCTGCTCGAGGTTGCCTAACTTGCCAGATCGGACGCCTCAATAGAAAAGTGATGATTTCGGTGAATTTTCGCAATTAGCACATAGTTTGAATTAATTTGCAACATATTTTAAATAAAAATTCAATTTTGTTGAAAAAATTCTTCAAAAAAGTCCACTGATGATCCTCTAGCCTACATTGTCCCCGAATCGACGTTGCCCAACTTGCCAGATCGGACGGTGTCACCAAATATGGCGAAATTGTGGAAATTTTCAAATTTTTTTTTAGAAATTGCGATTTCTCGTCTCAAATACAATAATTTCTGAACTTTTGGTGAGATTTTTTGAAATGAAAAAAAAATTGTCCATGCTCGAGGTTGCCCAACTTGCCAGATCGGACAAATAACGGGCACGCTCCGAAATTGCGCATTAATGGAAACTCGTTAACTTTCCATTTTTTTTGTTTGTTTGTTTTCGCCAAATGCGAGATATCCATCAAAGCGAGATTTACGCGGACCATGTTGGCTCGGCACAAGGGGGGACCAAACCTTTCGGCGTCTCCGATATCATCGGCAATCCCCTCTGCGTCAAATCGAACATCTTGATCTGATGAACCGATTCGTTGTAGGTGGCGAACGCGGGCGGCTCGTCCTTCTCGCAGTACACTGAAAATCCAAATCCAAAAAAAAAATTGGCGACCCCAATTTCATTTTTTTCTCTCTCTCTCTCTCTCTGCCTTACACAGTGAGCTCGAATCGAATGCATGATTAATGGAGCGATTCGCGTCGAGCAGCACTTCATCGTTGACGACGAGCTGCAAAACGTTGGGACCATGTTAGTTTTGGGGGAAGGGACCATTATTATTGTCGCACATATCGAATGCATCCACGAAATCCGTCGTCGACGCCCGTCTTCTGCCGAAGGTTGTCGATGTTGCGCGGCGCGCCGCCAACAAACACGCCCTCGTCCATCGTGATGCCTTTGAAATTCTGGAAAAATTCCCATAATTCCTCTGCAGGGGGGAAGGGGAGGGGAACCTTAAACTCCTCCGCCATGTCCACCAATCGTCGCCCTCTGTCCACCCTCATCTGCGTGCGATCGCAATTCTTCCGCCACACGGTTATCTCGTGCCAATCGCCAATTCGAAACGTCCCGTGGTACATGTCCTCGATGGTCCCCTCGCCGCAATCATGCCGCATGATCACATTCGGACCATCAATGGTTATCGATAAAAAGTCGTCGCCGGCCAATTGGCCGGCGAACAGAAGAATTCCATCGCGTTGTTCCTCCAATCTTAATTCGATCAATTTAATTAATTGGCCAATTAACCCCCCCCCCCTCCACTCAATGTTGTTGGTTTTACCGGAATTGAATGGTGACGTTGGTCTCCAAATAGGCGTTGTCGCGAATCGGAAATTCCGCGTAATTGTTGCCCTGGCAGAAAAAAAAACAAGGCATGGTAATTAAGGAGATAATTGTGTGTAATTAAATGCCTACTTTGAATGCCAGCGGTTTGTCGGGAAACGCTTTGAGGCTCGATTGTCGTCGACGCGTCGGTATCACGCGCTTCTTCTCGTACTCGACGACGGTGTCGACTGAAACGCGCGCAATATTTCAGAGGACCATTGGCGGTTTGGGGCTTCTCATGCATTTTTTAGGGACCATGCAAACAAGCAACCACCTTTACACGATAGTCCGTCGTCTTGGAGTTGGTGGCCTTCCCAGCACGAGCACTCATAGGTGTCGGGCGTCAGCGTGATGCACAATTGCTCGCACACCACCTTGTCGGTCCCGCAGTTGCCTGTCAACAATCGAATTAGTCAAGAGAGCCTAGAGCGGAGGGGTTAATGAGATGAGGGTAGACGTAGGGGAGGGGGGGGTCCTAATTGCGAATTAGTCGAGTGGAAGAAGCATGACTGACATTTGCAAAACACCACGGCAAACATTATCCCACACGGTCGAGGCGGCACGAATTTAATTAACGCGTTGATGGAGAGGAATTCATTTCTATCGATTTCAATATTTCACATATTCGTGCTGCGGACAAATTTCGGGATTTTGCAAAATGTTGAAGATGGAGACAATTTGAAAGTTTCGCGTGATTTTCGAAAATTCTCGTTGTCACCATGTTTTCTGAGTTTTCAATATTTCACATATTCGTGCTGCGGACAAATTTCGGGGTTTGGCCAAAGCGAAATGCGAACAATTTTAGGGCTTCGCGTGATTTTTGAGATTTCTCGTTGTCGCCATGTATTCCGAATTTCCAATATTTCGCATATTCGTGCTGCCGACAAATTTCGGGATTTTGCAAAATGTTCGAGATGGCGACAATTTGAAAGTTTCGCGTGATTTTCAAAAATTTCTTATTATCGCCACTCTTTCTGAGTTTCCAATTTTCACATATTCGTGCTGCGGACAAATTTCGGGGGTTCGCGAACGCCTCGAACGAAGACTTTGCAAAATGTTCGAGGACGCGACAATTTTAAGGTTTCACGTGATTTTCGACATTCCTCCCATCTGCGGACAATTTTAAGGTTTCACGTGATTTTCGAAAATGCTCGTTGTCTCCCCATTGTTTTTTTTAAAGTTTTCACATATCCGTGCTGCGGACAAATTTCGGGGGGTTTCGCGAACGCCGCACAACAACTGCGGACAACTCGCGGGTTTCGCGCATCTTCAGAAAACGCCATACATTGATGAGAAAGAGAATGCGAGAGCAGTTTTCAAAAATTCGCATCTGGAATCGGAATTTCACAAAAATAATCCCATCTGCGGACAATTGCCAACCCGAAAAAACGATGGGTCTCGACACGCACCTCACCTTGAAACACATTGACGGCGAGCGCCAACCGCGCGAGTCCCACAACGACGAGCAGAGCGATTCGAAGATTCGGCATCACGGCATCAAACAATTTTCAGCCAAATCGCGACACTCTAAAATGGAATTTTTGGTTTTCAAATTTTTGTCATGGACGGCAACACAAAAAAAAACGACGAGGCGAGGCAATTGAGGCAACACACATTTAATGTCCGAGACACACTCAGAGAACCATTAAATTGGAAAATGAAATGAAATGGAAAAGGAATGAATGGCGAAGAACAAGACCAACTTCTTCTTCTTCTTTTTTTCCGCCCGCCCAATTTGTCGCCGGGTGGGACCACCATCATCTCGTTTCGAATGAGCTGGAGCAGGTGCAGGTGGTGCGGCTCGACATGTGCGCTTTTCGTCCTCCTCTCAATTGGCCCATTTTTTTTCTTCAACGCAATCATAAAAATTATTGAGTTTTTATTATGCGTTTGCCAGCTGCCGAGGCATTCAGGTTCACATTTTTTTCTTTTTCTCTCTTTCTTGCTCCTTTGAACCGAACACATGTGCGGCCCCGAACTGACACGGACCATCGAACACAGCCAGATGGAGGGGTTCTAGAAGTTTCAGACAGCATCAATTAAATTTGAGCCCGAAAAAATTTATGGACCATTTTTCACTCTGCGTTTTAACTATGAATTTCAGGCGTCCAAGCCACCATTGTTTAAAGGCGCATACCATCAATTTTCCAAAAGGGTCTCAAAGTGAATTAATTGAGATTCGCAATGAAACTTTGCTCTTAAAAATTCAAATTTTAGCAAAAGCAAAAAATTGTGGATTTTTGCGTTGCGGTGTTTGCACACATCTCGCCCACCTACAGTAACTCAATTTTCAATATAACTATTTTGAAAGACTATCCATATATTGTTTAAAGGAGCACACCACAATTTGTCTAGCGGGTCTCGAAGAACACCAAAAGAGCTATCAAAAATTGCTGAGAATCCGCAAACATCAAAATTACAAAAACAAAAAAATTTCGAGTATGGGTCTCGAAGGGAAAATGTGAATTCGGCCAAAAAAAAGAAGTGCAAGCGAACAAAAGAAATGCACACAAAAAAAAGATTGGCGGGGGGAAAGAATGTCGTCAAGGTCACACAAGAGACACGCCGGGATGGCGAAAGAATACGCAATGTCGCAACACCATCGAAAAGGTGCAAAAGTGGGCGTGGCCGAACATTTTTGCGGCGGCCGCGCGGACCCCCCTCAACCCCCTATATTGATGCTTATTATACGCGGTGAGTTTGAGAACGAGAGCGAGCGCGACAGCTTCGAGACACGCGAATATACATATATTACATATATCCATATATGGCGAAAGGCTTATATGCGTGTCGCATAGATTCCATACAAGCATATTGTGTGAGCGAGAGCCGATGTGTGGGAGAACGACGTCGCGCGAGTTTTTCATGGGAAATCGAAAACCTTTCGATGATTTGAAATTGAATACATCGCGCCACGACGGGTCCGATTTGGTTGATTTGGCGAGAAAATTTGCAGAAAATTGGCGAACCGTCCGATCTGGCAGGTTGCGCTACCTCGACCATGGACAGTTTTTGAAATTGGTCAAAATTTTCGAATTAAAAAGTGAAATTTCTTCTAGAATTTGTTTTTGCACATTCTTGTTATTAAAAACCCGCAATTTTTCGAAAAAATAATGCAATTCCTCTCGGCCGTCCGATCTGGCAGGTTGCGCTACCTCGACCATGGACAGTTTACGCCGAACTGCAAAATTCGCCAAAAATTCCGAAAACGTAATATAAGATTTTTTAAAAAGTTAAAGTTCTTCTAGAATTAGTTTTTTTTTTTCAATTTTTAAAATTAAAAACACTCAATTTTTTTCGCGAAAAAATACAATTCCTTCCCGACGTCCGATCTGGCAAGTTACGCAACCTCGACCTTGGGCAGTTTTCAAGCTGAACTGCAAAATTCGCCAAAAAATTTCAAAAAATTCGAAATCAAAATTAAACTTTCCCCAAAAATTTTCAAAACAAAACAAAAATCAACTCGAAAATTGCAATTTTCTGCTAAAAACCTCTCCGCCGTCCGATCTGGCAAGTTAGGCAACCTCGACCGGCGGCAGCGCAATTTTCATCGAAATTTCGATAAATCATTCAATCTGACAGGTTCAACTCGGGGGACCATTTAAAAAAAATTTTGGCGACGCCGACGGCTTAGTGTGCCAATGCACGCCTGAGAACCAAAACAACCCCCTCCAACCGATTCGTTCCATCTCTTCTTTTCCGCCTCCGTCATAATTTATTATTATTATTATTACTATGGGCTTTTCGTTCCACTCGACTGCCCACACATCAAAAAATACGAAGAGACAACCTCAAAAAAAAAATAGTTTATGGCTATTAAACTGCTCCGAGTGAAAAGCTGAATGGGAGAGAGAGAGAGAGAGAGAGAGAAATGGGATTTTTTTTGGAGAAAAGAAGAGTGTTCGAAGAAGCCAAAAAATGTGAAATTCGGCGGCGAGCAACTCGATTTGCATACAAAACGGATTCTAGGATTGTCGTGTCACATTATGCGCGCAAAAGGACCACAAATAGTAGGGGGCTCATCAGAAGGGCCGCATTCGATTTTTGAGCTTCACGCACGATCAAGTCCGGCAGAAATTCGGCGTTCTCGTTTTCGGCCATCGATTCGGCAACGGTGAACTCCACCGTTTCAACGGTTGTCTCGTTCGATATCTGCAAATGCAATTTTTTGATGACCAAAAGCGCTGCCCGTAGTCGAGGTTGCCTAACTTGCCAGATCGGACGATTGCACGAATATTGAAGATTTTTGACTATTTTGTGCCAAAATTTATTTTTTAAATTTCTCATTTTCTATTCAAAACTTGAATCTTGATTTCTCTTTAATGAAAATTTCAAAAAACGCTGTCCACGGTCGAGGTTGCTTAACTTGCCAGATCGGACACTTTCACGAATTTCCATATTCGAAATTTTTTTGGAAAAATCTGAAGATTTTCATTTTTGATTTTTCGGCGTTCCAAAAATTTTCACATAAAATGCTGGCCTACTGCTCAATTTCAAAATTGTCCCTCGTCGAGGTTGCTTAACTTGCCAGATCGGACGGTGTCACCAAATATGGCGAAATTGTGGAAAATTTCAACAAAAATTTTTGAAAATTACGATTTCTAGTCTCGAATACAACAATTTCTGAACATTTAGTTCGATTTTTTAAAAATTGAAAAAAAAATTGTCCCTGCTCGAGGTTACCCAACTTGCCAGATCGGACGGACAAGAATTTCAAATATTGGAGAACCGGCAAAAATTTTTTTAGAATTTCGCCAATAAAATTAATATTTTTCTTTCTGCCGAAATTTTTTTCTTCAGTGTTCCAGAAAAGGTGTGTCAAAAATTTTTAAGTTAATCTCAAATCAATCAAAAAAATTTTTTTTTCGTGGGTCCTTACCGAAATGGTCCCATTGCACACATAGACGCCGCTGTGCTCCGTCACGTTGAATCCCCAAATGGCGACATCATTGAACACCGGTGGCGGATAGGAATTCTCCTGAAACGAGCACATCGTCATCAGCATCGGCATCGGCTTCGACTCACCGTATGAATATCGGCTAGAATGTGATTGACGAGGCAGTGAATATCAGTGGCATTGTCCTCAAAAATTTTCATAAAATAATTGGCTTCCGGTTGAGCGTTGATCGTCATCCCATCCATTACAACGACATTCCATGATGGAGCCATCGGCGCTTCTGAATCCAATCAAAGATCGGCAAGGATCCCGGCGAGACTTACCAGTCCCATTAATCTCATCTATCGGCAGCTCATCCATAACAATCAGCTGAGTTCGATAGCAGATGAAGCTCTGATAGGCCATATCGGTGGAGCGCACACAGCACTGGTACGATCCGGCGTCATCCGCCGTCAGCACCTGGAACTCGATGCTCTTGTTGCTGTCGATGAATGTCTTGTCGTCGAGATTGATCAGATCCGCGTCATTGAACATCCAGATCTTCTGAAGCCCTCGGAACGACGCCGTCGCCATCGTGTCGGGATCGGCGCAATCAATTCGACACTTCATCTCCGACGCGTTATAAGCGACTAGAATCAAGGGAGGGGCTACTTGAATGCTCATCCAAAACCAAAAGCTTACCGAACGAAGTGTCATTGAGGTATACGGTCTTGGCAATCTGATCATGTTGAATCTGAGCGGCGGCGATGATGATCGGAGCCATTAGAAAAAGCATGCTTGGAATCATGATGGATGGCAAACCCTACTACTAGATCTGAAAAAATAAAGGCGTTTGACTTAATTGTGGGCGGAGCGTTCTCGAAGGCCACACCCCCAAAAATTACCGTAAGACTCCTACAAAAAATTGTGTGTGTGTGTGTTGAACAAATTGAAAAATTGTAGTCGGAAGACGCGAGCGCGTTGCTTCAATCGATACACCCTTCCTTTCGGCTATGTATGAATAAGAACGAGGAGATGAAGATAAGGTGAGGTAATCTGCTGCTCGCGCGAGCCTATTGAAATTCGCGCGGCCGCCTATTCAAAAAAGGAGCGCGCGCGTGTGAGCTCAATTTGTGATATTATTGCGCGAGAAGGGCAAAAACAGCTTAGGGACGGCTTACATTCGAATTATTGCGAATTGCGCGGATTATTTGGGATCGGAATCGTGAAAATTGTGCCGATTGGTCGACGTGGCCCAAATCGGACATTTTTCACAAATTTCGACATTCGCGTTTTCTTCTGAAAAATCAATTTGTTAAATTTCTTTTTTTTGCTCGAAATTTGCAAAATTTTGTCAAATTTCATGATTGTCCCTGGTCGAGGTTGCCTAACTTGCCAGATCGGACGATTTCAATATATTGAAGATTTTTTGATGAAGTATAAACTAACACTCATTTCGAAAAATGAGTAGCAAATTTCGGGGATTAGCACAAGAAATACCGAAGCCAACGTGGTATAAGCTGAAAATTATTGCAAAAAACTTGAAATCGGAAGAACATACCAACAGTTCTCGTGAGATTCCGCATCCCTTTACTCAGTTTTACACCAATTTTCTGAAAAAAAAAATGAAAAATCAAAAAAATGGTGAGCGACTGGAAAATGGTGAGGTACGCGTCACGGTGTTTGCACACACCGCCGCGCTACAGTACTCAACTCATTAAAATAAAATCCACAATTTGGCCGAATTTATAATTTTCTTACCAATTTCATTTTTACATAGATAAAAATATAAATAAGCGAGGGGATGATAACGCAAAAAATTCGCTGAAATGTTAAATACATTCTAAACCATTTAAGGAAAGTCTGAAAATAATTGTCAACTCAGAATTTTTTTGGTGAACTTGGTGAACCTCCTTGTTAAAACAAATATCGCTGATCCATGTTGGCGGCTGGTGAAGCACCAAAATGGCGTGAAACATCCAGCCGATCAAACTGCCCAAAAAAGGCACTAAAAATGTGAAATTGGTTGAGTTTTGAATATTAAAAATCACGTATAATGAGGAAAATCGTCGATTTGATTTCCAGCTGCTGATATTTGACGGGAAGCAAAATCGCAAACAGACGATCAAGTGCAATTATAAGGGAAAACAAGTTGTCCATCTGAAAATTGCGAATTTTCAGCTAAATCATATTTCTATGATGTCTATGACCTGCAATAGAATGATATAGGAAGAGGAGATGAATGAAGTGGCGCAAATGAATTTTGGGACCATTACTATAGCTGAAGAGAGCGTTGGAGTTTCTAGGGACCATTCAAATCTACCTTCGGGTGAATAGAAGAAATATCGAACGAGGCCCATCAGCAGGAATTGCGCTCCGCTGAGCAGATCGCTTATTGAGAGCGCCATTATCAATATGATCTCCTTCTTCCTTTGATTCACGTGATGGCTCAGATAGACGACGAGCGGCAGATTCAGAAGGACGACGACGCCGAAGCCGATGTAGATCGAATTGAGGCCGTAGAGGTTTGAAAACGCGGCAAAGTCCATTTTTTTGTTGGCTGGCCGCGCTTTGTTTTGATTGTGTTGCTTTTTTCTCGACTAAACCTATCGACGACAATAAATTAGGCAAAAAATTGACGAATGAAACGCGAAAATAAAGAAAAAACCAGGTGGAGCAATTCGATTTGGTGGAAAAATGCGATTTTTACACCAAAAAAAAATATTGAAAGTTTCAAAACCGTCCGATCTGGCAAGTTGGGCAACCTCGGCCAGGGACAATTTTAAAATTGTATTTTTAAAAAAGCTGAATAACGCTTAGAAAAAAGGTATCAATGGCTAGAAATTAGATTTTTTTTAAGTGCTGAAATTTTTCAAAATTTGTTTATATGAAGTGGCATCGTCCGATCTGGCAAGTTAGGCAACCTCGAGCGCGGCAGTGTAATTTTTCAGACCACAAATTTGAATTTTCAGAAGCAAATTTTACTAAAATCATAAAATTACGGATTTATTGATAAAATTGTCCAAAATTTTCACATTTCAATTTTGCTGTCCGATCTGGCAGGTTAGGCAACCTCGACCGCGGCAGCGCAATTTTTCAGATTATCTGACTAATTTTTTCTAAAATTTTGAATTTTTAATGCAAAAATATTTCTAAAATCTTAAAATTACGGAATTATTGAAAAAATTGTCCAAAGTATTCACATTTCAATTTTGCCGTCCGATCTGGCAAGTTAGGCAACTTCGACCGCGGCAGCGCAATTTTTCATATTTTCTGATTAACTTTTTCTAAAAATTTGAATTTTCAGAAACAAAAATATTGCTAAATTCTTAAAATTGCGCATTTATTGAAAAATTTGTAAAAAAAATTTTCACATTTCAATTTTGCCGTCCGATCTGGCAAGTTGGGCAACCTCGAGCGTGGCAGTGTAATTTTTCAGACTTTTTTCTAAAAATTTGAATTTTTAAAGCAAAAATATTGCTAAATTCTTAAAATTGCGCTTTTATTGCAAAATTTGTAAAAAAAAATTTTCACATTTCGATTTTGCCGTCCGATCTGGCAAGTTGGGCAACCTCGACCGCGGCAGCGCAATTTCAATGGTTCGCATAGACAAAATTTCACACAATTGAATGTTTCGATCTCATTGAGTGAGAGAATACTCTCACTGGGCGGTCCGGCAATGGCGTGAGAGCAAAATTTCGCCGAAAATCGCCTATAATTAGACAAAATCGAATTCCAGCAGATACAATCATAACAACTAGTGTGTTTTTGCACTCAATAATAACAATTCCATAATACGCAATTTGTTCTAATTAGTCAATTATATGTAATTATCGATTCTCTTGCCAATTCCAAATAAAATTGAATTTTTGTCTTATTTCGACGACCGAAAAAAAAGCCATCAAGCCGATTGCTATTTCTTTTTTTTTTCGCTATTTACCCGGAAAAAAAAATCGACGCCAAAATCAAATCTTTCACATTATTGGCTCCGATTTATGGTGTTTCTATGTAGTTTGCATTTTTTGTTGCAGAATATGAACCAATCCGAGCCGGTTGATGATGAATTTGTCGAGGATCTCTATGATACCATCGTTTATCACAGGTGAGAATCGGTGTCCGATCTGGCAAGTTGGGCAACCTCGAGCAGGGACAATTTTTTTCTCATTTTTCAAAAATCGAACCAAATGTTCAGAAATTGTTGTGTTTGAGACTAGAAATCATAATCTCCAAAAAAATGTTGAAAATTTCCACAATTTCGCCATGTTTGGTGAGACCGTCCGATCTGGCAGGTTAGGCAACCTCGAGCGCGGCAGCCCAATGTAGCATATTCTCAGTATGAATTTTTGTAATTTTCACTTTGAAATTTAATTTTTCATCGAAAAAATTTAGCTAACTGATTGTTGACCAAAATCCATAATTTTCTATCGAGGCGTCCGATCTGACAAGTTGGGCAACCTCGAGCGCGGCAGTCAGCATCTTATTCAGCATTCCTGCGAATTTTTTAATTATTTTATTTAAAATTATTAATTTCATTAAAGTTTCTTTAAAATTTATTCGCAAATTTCGCATTTTTTCGAAAAATCCGCCCATTTCTGCCAAAAGTGTCCGATCTGGCAAGTTGGGCAACCTCGAGCGCGGCAGTCAGCAGATTATAAAGAATTCTTGCGAATTTTTGAATTTAATTTTCGAAATTATTAATTCCATCAAATTTCCTTTACAATTTTTCGCAATTTTTGCATTTTTCCATTTCTGCCAAAAATGTCCGATCTGGCAAGTTAGGCAACCTCGAGCAGGGACAATTTTTTTTCATCGAAGAAAAAATCAAAACCTTCGTTTCACAAATTGTTGAATCCGTGTTCCAGAATCAACATGCTCGTCGCCGCGTTCATATTCGCGCTGAATCTCCTCCTGTTCGCCGTGCTGTTGAGCAATCCAACAATGTACCGAAAACCGAAGAACCAGGTGCTCATCATTCTCGGAATGGCCGACACGATGAACACAATCTCGATATTTTTCATGGGCTGGAATCGGGTGGCGTTGTACACCCGCGTGGTGAACACCCACCAAATTCCGGTGCGAACGAATTGGCAGTGCGCCATGGAGCCGTGGCTGGTGTTGCGCGGCATCGGCGACGTCTGGCCGCCGATTGTCCAAATGATATTTGTGGTTCAAAAATGCGCAGGTCGAATTTTCAGCAAAAAAAAACGACCAACTTCAAATTTTCAGCGGTCTTCGCGCCCGTCTGGTATTTTCAGCACTTCAAGAACGGCTCGATCGTCTTGTTCGCTTCAAGTCTTGCCGTCTTGGCCGTCAGCCTGCTCGTCGGATTCGTCGGCGTGTTTCTGAAAGAGTCGAAAAAAGCCAAATACTATTGCGGACGAAAAGCGGCGTTCGGCACCGATTATGCGACGTTCATCTACGCCATCAACATTCTCGGCTATTTTTTGAGTTTCGTTATCAATTGTGTCAATTTGGTCAAGGTTTATGTTACATCGAACAAGTGAGAAAAAATTTTTTCAACAAAAAAATTTTTTTTTTCCAGACGCGTTCGACGCCAAATGAAGAATGTTCGATATTTTCTTGTCATTTCCTTTCTTTCTTTCGTTCTAGTCTCAATTCCGAACGCGATATCGCTATTTTCAGCGCATTTCGAGCAGGTGCGTCCGATCTGGCAAGTTAGGCAACCTCGACCGCGGCAGCGGAATGTTTCAGATTTTCAGAATCATTTTTTCTAAAAATTTGAATTTTTAAAGCAAAAAATATTGCTAAATTTTTAAAATTACGCATTACTTGAAAAAATTGTCCAAAATTTTCACATTTCAATTTTGCCGTCCGATCTGGCAAGTTAGACAACCTCGACTCGGGGACAATTTTTGAAATTTGATAAAAGAAGTCGAAAAAAATTTAGGTTTTTTTCTCAATATTCTGAAATTAAATTTCGTGATGTTCTTTAAAAAACCCCCTTGTTATTGATATTTCCATTTTTTTTTAAAGGCCATCCGATCTGGCAAATTAGGCAACCTCGAGCGCGGCAGTGTAATTTAGATAATCACCAGTAAACTTTTAAGCATTTTTCTTTAAAATTAATATTTTCATGTTAAAAATTTGAAAAATTGATGCTATTTTTATGTGTTAATTGCAAAAATTTGCCAATTCCCAATTTTCTAATATCCCTGTCCGATCTGGCAAGTTAGGCAACGTCGAGCAGGGCAGTCAGGATAATATACAGAATTCTTGCGAATTGACACATTAATTATTGAAATTATTAATTCCATTGAATTTCCTTTAAAATTTCTCGCAATTTTTGCATTTTTTCAAAAAATCTGCCATTGCTCACAAAAAGTGTCCGATCTGGCAAGTTGAGCAACCTCGAGTAGGGACAATTTTTTTCTCATTTTTCAAAAATCGAACCAAATGTTCAGAAATTGTTGTGTTTGAGACTAGAAACCATAATCTCCAAAAAAATATTGAAAATTTCCACAATTTCGCCATATTTGGTGAGACCGTCCGATCTGGCAGGTTAGGCAACCTCGAGCGCGGCAGTCAGCATATTATTAAGAATTCCTGCAAATTTGTGAAAGAATTTAATTTTTGAAATTATAAATTCCATTGAATTTCCGATAAAATTTCTCGCAATTTTTGCATTTTTCGAAAAATCCGCCCATTTCTGCCAATAGTGTCCGATCTGGCAAGTTGAGCAACCTCGACCAGGGACAATCATAAAATATTCGTTCAACTTTTGAAATTCTTCAAAAAAACATGATATGTTCCTCAACAATTGTTTTCAGGCGGCGAATTTCATCTCAAAACCGTCGACATGGTTCAGTTGCGCCAATTCGGGCATCAACATTTTCGTCTATCTGTCGCTGAACCCGGAATTCCGGCAACAATTCATCGCGCTCATCTACAATCGCAATCCGAAGGCCGTTTTGCACACCGAGTCGGACAAATCGAACGGCACGTCGCGTCAGCGAACCACACCGCTCGTTCGCGTCCAATGATCCTACAATCCGCTTGTTTTTCGTACCCTTGTCCACAATACAATTTTTTGTACTTTTTTTCGGTTCCAATTCGATCAACCTGCAAATTACTTCAGTGGGTGGCGAAAAACCAAACCAGGGAGGTGTCGGCAGCAAGAAATCGTGTAATACGCTTGGCAGGTGTTCTCGAGATTTCAGAGAAAAAAAATTTCGCGCGAATGATTATTGCTCAAACATGGGCATGCGTACGTGTCAAATGCATTTTTTCATGGCGGATGCCTCGTTGGTCTCGCGCGGAATAGATCACATTTCTACAATTTTAAGGCAATGGCAGCGTTATGAAGAAGAATTGACTAATTAAGCATTCGCGGTGAGACCAGAAAATCGAATAGTTTAAAAATTGACAAACAAGAACCCAATTGATAGTTTGCTCACACACCTAGGAGAGGTGTGTGGGAAAAAATGTAAGGAATCCAGTGAATCAAAATGAAAGCAAAAAATGAAAAAAAGTGCGCGGGGTCGAACCCTCGTCTTAACTCGGTGCAAACGAAATGCTCCAGTTCGGACGTGGAACTGCTCCCGTTCGAATGTAAAACTGCTCTCGCTCGACGTCGGAGGGGGCGCAGTTTCACGTCCGAACGGGGACAATTCACGCCCGAATGGGAGCAGTCTCACGCCCGAACGGATGTGAGACTGCTATCAAACTGCGATAAATTGGTTGCGAATTGGGCCCGATTCACGCCAGATTCTCGTTCGAACTGGCGCCAGATTACGCCCAGTCGGCTCCAGTCAAATTTTATTCTTTTTGTGTATTCGCTACAATTTGGATGCATTAGATTTATTTAAATTAAGTAATTAAATAAAATAATAGATATCGAAGGAAAAATATTAATTATCGAGTAAAGAGGAAGAAAATGGGAGGGAGAGGGAACATTAAAAGAGGGTTCGAGGAATTACTGTCGCGGAAATCCGAAAATAAACTAAATGCCAAAAAATGAGAAATGTCTTGGCCCACGGCATGAGCCTCAATACTTATATTTTGTCCGTATATCTACACATTTAGTTTTGCACCAAGACATCTCCTTCAATTTTTGGCACTTTGTAATTTTCCGCAATTTTGCGACAATTAAATACAATTAATAAATGTATTAAACCATCTTACAACAGGAAGGGGATACAAATTCTTCTTCCCCATGACTCTTGACATTTTATCCATTCGCGAAGTTTCCTAGGTCATCGCATTATGAGAAGCTGGGTCTTAGGTTGAAGCAGTTAGCAGCTTGTAGTTTCATTCTGTAAAACAAGGGTTAATTGATGATAGCATCCATATTTCATAACACTTACTCAATATTTAATTCCAAAAAAACTAGTCGGTCCTCCAGTAAGCATATAGCAAACTCATCCTGTATCGCATCCAGAATCAGAAATCAGCATCGCAGCTTGCCGTCTCATTTCTAAATTATAAGTGTTTGAAAGATATTGGAATTGCGAAAAACGACGAGAAATAATGCGCAAATTTAAAATCAATTTCTATTCACTTATCGAACTTTTACCGTTATAATAAAACTTTAAAAGTTCTCTAAATATAACATCATTATTGTATTGAAAACCATCCACAAATGTGTTTCCGGCTTTTAATGGCCAAAATCACAAATCTGTCTGAAAACTACTTTTTTCTTAGAAAAGACAATGAAAATGCCCAAAAGTTTCAGTTAAAAATTTAGGATAACAAAAATATGCGAAAGTTTAATAAAAAACAGAAACGTTCCACTAAAATACGAGCGAATTGATAGATACACATTTTCTTAAGTTTTAGAAAAAAAATTACGAAAAAAGCTCGAGAAATGATCGAAAAAAAGCAATAAAAGTGTTTAAAATAAAAGACGCCATTTCGAAAAAAACAACCGCGACGCGGCAATTCCGCGGCGCGCTATTTTGAATTGCTGCGGCACACCATTGACTGCTCCCGTTCGGGTACTCACGCCCGAACTGGAGTCAACCGCTAAAAACCCCTGCTCCCAATTGGATGCAAATTGGCTGCAGTTCGGAAGTTGAAATAATCCTCTCCAGTTCGGAAGTGCGCCTGCCACCGATTGAACGCTATCGCCCGAACTGTACCAGTGGGAACCTATCGGTCCCAGTTCGGGAGTGTGTCGACGACCAATCGAGCGCTATCGTCCGAACTGGAGCATTTCGTTTGCACCGAGTAAAATTGCTGGTTCGCACATCATCCACACTTCCACCTTCAACCTCGAGCTCGGCGCGCCGAGAGGCAAATATGTAACCGCTTGTCCAAATGACTGGGACGGCATCGGAAAATAATCTTAAAATTTCAGACGGTAATAACTCGTCTGAAACCCTCTAGTGCAGGCTAGAATTTTGTGAGCACACTCAAAAGACCTTCACTTTCCTTCATAAATGCGAAAAAACCCATTTTTGGCATATTTCGACGTGAAAACGTGAGAATCAAGCCGAATAATGTTGAGATAAACAACGCGTGAAATTCGACGAATTCTCAAGTTCAAAGAACACTTTCAAGAATAAACACAAAAAAAACAAAACTTGGAACCAAAGTGGATTTTTGAATAGTAGAAGCAAATCGAATAATTTCGGATGGCCCAAGGATTCAAGAATCATTCCAATTTTCATTTGAGGGGTCTCTAAATTTAAAAAAAGTGTCATCGCGCAAAATTTGTTCACATCTCGCTGATTTTCAGACGAAAGAATGTTCAATAAGACTATAAAAGCGTCATCGAGGCGACTTTAATTTTCTCATTTAAATAATAGATGTCGGTGAGAATCGACGACTCCAAACTTCTCGACGACGTCAACGAGAAGCTCATGTTCCACAGGTACACCACAATTCCACAATATCTATAATTCTGACAGTGACGCACCACAGATTGAATATGCTGGTCGCCGGCGTCACCTTCATCTTCAACATCCTCCTCTTCGTGGTGTTTCTGAGCTCGCGCCAAATCTACACCAAAGAGAAGCACCAAGTGCTGCTGATTCTCGGAATCGCCGACGCCGCCAACACGATCGCCATTTTTTCGATGGGCCTCAGTCGGGTGGTGCTCTTCTCGCGCATCGTCGACACCCGAGAGATTCCGTTGAGGACGTGCTGGGAGTGCGCCACCGAGACATGGCTTCTACTGCGCGGCATCGGCGATCTCTGGCCGCCGCTCGTTCAATCGATATTCACGATTCAAAAATTCTCGGCCATTTTCACCCCACTATGGTACTACAAACGTTGTCGAAATGGATCGTTGATTCTGCTCGCGACGAGTCTAGCGATCCTCGTTCCGAGCCTCATCGTCGGTTATGTTCTGGCGTGGTCGAATCGCGATTCGAACGCCCGATACTATTGTGGAAGACGAGCCGCGTTCGGCACCGCCTACGCGACATTCATCTACTCCATCAACATCATCGGCTATCTGTTGAGCTTCATCATCAACTGCGTCAATATGAGCAAAGTGATGACAACGAGTAACAAGTGCGTTGGGAAAATAGAATGTTGAAAAATCATCTCGAAGTTGTGTTCAAATTGACATGAGCTATTGTTTAAAGGCTCATGAGCCTTGGGGGGGGGAATTTGAAAGGTCAATTTTTCCCATTTTTCCACCAATTTTCATTTTTTCTTAACAAAATTAAAAATTATATATAAAAAGAGACTGTGTAGACAGTGAGAGAGCGTGCGGTATGAGGAGACGCCGGCAGCGCCCAAGCGGGATCGAACTCGCGACCCAAGCCCAATTTGCAAAACTGTTTCTCACTGCTCTACAACCACAGATAAACGGCAGCATAGGCACAATGGAAGCATAATGGAACGGCTGTGGATATCATAGGAATCTTATATGCAAGTTATATGGAAGCATAATGGAAGCATTTTTTTGCGGAACCGCGTGTTTCGTATATGGAATGAGCCGTATGCCTTCCATATGGGAAAATAAGAAAACAATTTGATTGCTGTATTCAAAATTTATTTCATATTAACACATTTATTTAATTTAAAATAAAAAAAAACAACAATGAAATGAATTTCAATTAAGATATAATCAAACCATTAGTTACTGGCAACTGCCGAACTATAGTTCCATTGTGCCTATGCCGCCGTTTATCTGTGTATTCGAATCATTGTCAGTACTGACATCGAGCGGGACGCTGTAATAAGTAGAATTCATATCGTTCACACTTGGTTAAAAAGCCGTGTTATGATATTTTTAAAAACAACAACTATTGCTATGAAATTAGGCAAAAGTCCTAATGCACATTTAACCTATCCTTTTTTCGCAAATATACGCTTGTAGAAAGAAACCGTTATCGAATTTTTACCTTTTCTCCACTTTTCCTAGTCGCTACACTTCGATTATAATGGGCCTATTAATTTGAAAAACTTGTAAACCATTGTTACGTAAACTAAATTTTTCGAGAAAATACAATCAGTTTTTTTTACATCAATAATTTTCTTAAAAATAAAAATAATTTATTTTTATTGCATTTTTGGAAACCCTTTAGTGCACAAAATAAAAAGTGAATTGGCGGAAGAAAGAACAACTCCAAAATTTGAAGCAAAAAGGCATTTTGGTTAAAATTTCAAAGACATATGAATACTCACATCTGAGGGTTGCTGGTAGAATCAAGCAGCTTCCTTAATTGCGCCGCGAGCGCTTCCGGCGCTCCACCAAATTTCCTTTGAAGTCGTTGGCGCATTCTATCGCTTAATCAAATAAATAAATTAATAGTCATAGTTCAAAATCTTACAGAAGATTATCCATGACTTCTCGAACCATGCGTAATGCTTTCGCTTTGAAGTCATTTGTCGGTTGTTGCCCAAAGCCATGGATAAGAGCATCTGTAATATAGATATTTGCAATAAAGTATAGGATCTTTATATAGTCGGCGTCTGGCGACTTCTGTACTAGAGCCCCACTTAAAAAGATAAATGCCACTGAATGATATTGGTACGAAGGCTGTACGGCAATCGGAAATTTCGGCGATTCGGCTAATGGCAAATTACCGATCGAAATTTTCTTCGGCAATTTGAAAAACCGGCAATTTCGGCAATCGGCAATTCCATTGCCGCACAGCCCTGATTGGAACCAAATAATCAACAAGCTTTAAACTTAGGAAGTACTTTATAAAGACTTCATTGCGCATATTTTTCTAATTGAAACCATTTCTGGAGTCGAACAGGCCAATTTTTGATGATAACAACTTACAAATTGCGCGTACGAAGGTTTAGGAATTGGCGTTGATTTTGTTGTTTGTGAGGACTGTGGAGAAAAATTTTTTTGCTGAGTTGGCGAGTAAATTGGACTATCTGGATCTGAAGTGTCGAGCGAATTTGGTTCCATGTTAGGGACTTCTGGTTCTTTGTTATTGACTTCTAGAGCAGTTTCAGTTATATCTGACAACACTCTCGATCTTGTCTTCATCTGTAAAAAATTTCAAAACATTATGTTTTATTAAAAGAAAAAAGCGAGCGATAATAAAAAATATGTTAAAGTAAATAAAAATAAAACGGATTCGATGAGAAATTAAACACAATTCGATTGAGAAAATATTTAAATTCGATTTTAAAAGTGTCGGAAACGATTTGAAAACATCGTATCGATTTTAAAATTTTCGAATGCTATCAATTTATTTTTGGTTTCGATTTTGATGATAAATATGAAAATTTTTCCTTTATTTTTTAAAAACATTTTTCCTTTAATTTTGAAAAAATTCTTTAATTTTTGACAAAAAAAAAACAAAAAATCTTGAAAATTCATTGAGAAAAAGCAAAAGGACAAAAATTTTGAAAACGAATTTCGAAAATGTGAGGCGTGGCCGCATTGTGCAAAGCGGCGCACGGTTTTGCAATGCTGCGGCACGCCTCTTCTACGCGCGTCTGCTACCAGTTTGGAGCAAATTGTGAGTAGTTTGCGATGCCAATTTCGGAAAAACCGGCAAAAATATATTAATACGACTAAATTGTAGTTGGCAATCTTTAAACAAAGTAAGGAACAGTTGACTGAATTAACATAAATCTGAGTAGCATAAGTCATTAAATGGTAGAAGCTAAATTTCGTATGTTGTGTATCATGTAATTTTCAAATTTTCATTGTTTATATGATAGCATAAGTTTTTTGTATTGATTTTTCTAGAAATTGTCTTGGTCTGCCGTCCAGACGCCAATTGTATAATGTGTAATGATATATGATTATTTTATCCATATTTCATCCATATTCGTTCCACGGCTCGCAAACACCGGAAGCATATTCATCCCGTTTTCATTCCATCCATATTCGTCCCATATTTCTTCCACAGCCACTAAGAATTACATTATGCTTCCTATATGGAAGCATTATGCTTCCGTTCCACAGATTTCCCACAATACTTCCATTATGCTTGCGTCGCGCTTAATCAGTGACCGCTCTGAGAACCCGGCGATAATTTGATAACAAGTGCCAGCATTCCGCGCCTTGAGCATGGTAAACTGGTATATGAATAAATTATAAAAATTAATAAAAATACAAATAAAAAAAAAGAGGGCTTCATTGATTAGCAGGGAAATTCGGCGCCAAATGCAGAAGATTCGAAATTTTCTCGTCGTCTCGCTTCTCTCATTCGTCCTCGTCTCGATACCCAACTCGATATCGCTGTTCTCCGAGCATTTCGGCAAGGTCCCACACCATTCAAAAAAAATTTTTTTTTATTTCTCAAAATTCCAGGTGGCCGATCTCATCTCAAAGCCAGCCACGTGGCTCAGCTGCCTCAATTCCGGCGTCAACATTCTCGTGTACATCGCGCTCATCGATGAGGTTCGCCATCAGTTCCTCTATCTCATCGGTCGTCGAGCCGCCCGAATCAGCGGCGAGCCATCCTCATCGCATCGTCGCAGCACTTTAGTCATTACTCGAACCCAATAAATTTAGAATCGTTTATTTAAATCCAAAAATCAATATCAATGAGCTTTTCCATTCGATCGATGAAGTGGCCGTCGCTTCCAATTCGTCTCCGTCGAATAGGTCGTGGTGACGTCGTCCCAATCGGGCCAGAATCGCGATTTGACGCGCTCGACGAATTCCACAAGATTGTGGCACTCGCCGATCAGCACGTCCTTATGATCGCTGTCATAAGGCGCATAGAGGATCTGGGCCAGTATTCCGAACAACGAGGCGTCGACCTGAACCCGGTATTCCGATTCCGATTGGCTCATCTCGCTGCCTACCTTCGTCGGTTTGAATCCGTGCAAATAGTGCTTCGTTCCGAGATAATCGCTCAATGCTCGAATCGCGTCGCTTCCGATTCGAACGCGCTCGTCCCTTGAATGGAATCCCAAATCGCTGGCGTCGATCTTCGACACAAGCTAAACATCCAAATGGGTTGCGATCAACTCGTCCGTTCAACCAACCGCTTTGCTGAAATTGTTGAAGACGAGCGGCTTGACAATCGGCGCCAACATTCCGAGATCTTTGGGATTGAGCAAATCGATCAGCTTGTCGAGATTCTCGATTCGGAACACCATCGATGAGAGCAAGAGGGGCTTCTCGATGAGCGCTTCGAACGCCATTGAAGCCGCCTTCTGCTCTGGCGATAGGTGATCATCGATCGATGTGTGATTTGGCAGCATTTTGTCAAGGTCCCTAGATTTAATACACATTATCTAGATTGTAGCGCATCCCGGAAAATGTCCGCAGGTGCAATTGATCAACGGGAATCGAAATTACCGAATAATGAATGTCGAGTCGTGATATTCAACTCCATTGAGCTCAACGAACGGCAAGGTGCCTTCTTTCGATCTGATGCTCATTGGGACCTCGGGAATCTGAAAAGCAAATTGGAATGAGGGTCTTGAGGCGATGCGCCTTTAAAGCAGAAATTTTATTTATTGAAAATTTTTTAAAGCGATTATTCAATGTCGTCGGACGCGTGTGAACTACAAGGTCTTGAAGCGAAAAAAAAATCCACTATAAGTTAAAAAGAAATCGCAGAATTGATACCATCCTTTATATTGATAAGCATTTTTAACGGACCATCGAGTTATTAGGAAATATTCAATTTCGCGTCGAGACCTTTGCGAATCGAAAAATTCGAAACACCAACCTCGTATTGGACATCGGACATTCGAAGCCACGTCTCGAGTTTGAGACAAAACGGCGACGCGTTCGGAATGCGTCGGATTCTCGGGAACTGATACAGATAGACGACGTCGGGCTTCCAATTCTCGACATACGGACTTGGGCGCGTTCGACTCGTCCACACCTTGTAGGGAATATAGAGGACGAGCGCGGCGCCGCCGACGACGCCGATCTTCGCCCAACTCGGCAGCTCGTCGAGCCAAGCGACGAGGCTGTTGTGTTCGCCGATCGGCATGTCTGTTTGAGCAAATACGAAATGAACGAGTATCGATGTTGCGGATCGAATCACATAGATCAACAGAACGAGGGGCGGAAAACGAATATTGATTTTTTTTTGGGTAAAGAGGGGGGGGGGTTCTTGAAAATGACAAGCAGAATTGGTCTTGAAGCGAACTAGATGACGTCATTGAGAATTGGCAACACGCCAATAAAATGCAAATTGTGAGATTGCGTCATCATTTGGCCGCCCAAAAAAAATGGAGGCTACATTCAATTTGGATCAGAATCGTAAAGAATTTGAAGAAAATCAAAACAAGAACGATTTTTTGCGGAGACAATGCCGGCGAAAAAAAAACAACACATGCGGCCGATGGGTTTTTTTTCGTCGCGCCGTCTCGCACCCTCCTCGTTCGCCATTGTCTCTCGCCGGTGGCCGCGGCCGCCGACGATTGCGTGTTCTTTGACGCACCAACTAGAAACTATATGAGGAGCCTATCTTATAAAGAGCACACAATATTGCATCACAATGTTTCTATATTTGAATTGCCGCCTAGCGGAACAAGTCTTCAAAATTCTCGCATTTTTTTGATAATGAAACAAATTGCGGACTTGCGTTTAATCTGACGACACTTTTTTTTCAATTCCCCTCTATTTTTATAAGAGCTACAGTATTCCTCGGTGTACTGCGTACCAAAACGCAGAATCCCACGACAAATTGAAACCTGCCCTTGCGATTTTTTCATTCGAAAATTGAAAATTCGAGAAAATGCAAATTCGAAATCGAGTTATTCCAAAATCTCATATGATAATTTTTTTTTCAAATTTGCCTCACCATTTCTTTTTACAGTAATCCTTCAATTACAGTGCACCACTCGATCTACAGTAATCCGCAAAATACTGTCATTTTGGAAGATTCCCGATAATCGGGGCCAATCGAAAAATACGTGACTTTTGCGTCGCGGTGTTTGCACACATTTTTTGTTTATGGTTTCTTTATAGCTACCGAGAATCCAAATCGCTGCAAACGTTTCAAAATTGACATCAATCTATTAAAGGCGCATTGGTGGTCTTGTGGCGAACGAACGATTCTCGACCTACCATATTCAGGTCTCAGCGAAAAGAAAAATTCGTTTATTATTATTTGAATAATTTACAAATAAAAAATCATAAAAATATGTGGCGATGCACTTTTTTCTTAAACGTGTCGATTTCCTGAAAATTCTCACAATTCCATTGAATCACATGTCAGCCGTTGCGATACGCGGCGAGCAAGTTGGGACGCGGCGCGGTCGCCAGCGAAAATTGGCGCTCGAATCGTCGCGGTGATCTACAACAACAACAAACGCGCTCCATTGCAAATCAATCGCCTCTTACTGTTGATGGTGTGTGGTTTGATCTACCGTGTGGCCGCGTTGAAGTTTCCTCGTATCATACGGATCGTAGGCGGGATCGACGCGACTCCACTCGCGGAACAACGAGTCGCTTCGCGCGTCCACACTGTAATCCCTCGTCGCGCTCGGACCCTCCTGATTGCCGTAGTCGGTCGCATTCATCAGCGAGAGTCGTCGACGCTCGAGTTCGCTTCTCGTCGAATCGAAGCTGCTCGCGAACAACGGATCGCTCTCATCCGTCGAGACGTTCGACTCCATACTCGACACAGCGGCCGTCGACAGAAATTGACGTTGTAGAAGGAGATTCCTAGAAATCGCAAGTCTGTGTGTGGGTCTCGAAATTGAATTTAAAGGGACATCGCACTAAAGGGGGGTTCATTCAATGAATCTAATGGGGGGACCCACAAATTGCGCAATTTTCGATTTTTCGACCAATCCGAACTAATCGAGTTGTCCGCAGATTGATATTTACTAAACATTTTCAAATTTTGACAAATTCCCGGCGCCGAACTCAAACAGTACATTAGAGCGCGTTTGTATCGCCGCAACGCGTCGGCCTCGTCGGGCGCCAACGGCAAAATCCGATACCTATATTGCATTCGTTTGCCTTTCGCGTTCGATCGCGTCTCGATGTCGACGGTGTCGCCGGTCGCCTGACTATCGGTGTTCGACTCGAACGACGTCGACACCGACGACGGCTCGGAGACGCCGAGCGCGTGCAGCCGCTCCAAATGGCCTTTGGCGGCCCACAACGATTGGCACGCGGCCGACACCTCCTCTTTGACGAGCGCCTCCTCGTCGAGTTGGCGTTCGGCGAGCGTCTGCGAGCGTTGCTCGATGGCGATGAGCGCGCGACGCTCGTCGAACGATTTCGCCTGTCGCGGCACAACGCTGACGCGACGGCACGGCGTCGGCGACGGCGGCTCGTTGATGATGGGCACCTCGTAAACGCGCGGTTCGGGCTTCTAGAAAATGAAATGAAATTATTTATTTGTCGTTTCCATTTCCATGACTACCGGCTCATAGAATTTGAACGCCGCCGACTGATTGACGAGAATCGGCGGCGACGGCTGCGCGCCGGGATTCCACGATCGCGAATGCGCATGCCCGCGCTCATAAATCCGACGCGACTGGTCGGGAAGCGGCGACGACACCTGAATCCAACAATATCCATAATTGCTATTTTTTTTGATCTACCTGTTTTCGCGGTGAGACCGCATAATGAACGGCGTCGCTTCGCGCAAAATGGCTCATTCGTCGCAATCGCTGCTCATTCTGCTTAAAAATTGTGAATGTCACTCGAAGCTTATCATCTAATACACGGTTTATATATATATCGTGCCTAGTTTTGCGGGGCACCTTATCAACCCCTTATCATCGCCACGGGTTGGAGTGGCCCTATATAAAAGCTCGCCGAGCACTTTCGTTGAACCCATTTCATTCCCCCTCTTCTCTCCCGCATCTGCCGACAATCAAGCGGGTCGTGTCGGTCCCAATCAACAACAACGAGGTCGCCCATTATCATTCTTGAAGATCATCGTCATGTGACGACCCGAAACATTTTTTTTGGATCAATACGAAACCAATGGTGCCCACTCATTTTTTTCCACTATTTTTGTTGTATAAAAAATCAGCATACACATCGTTCGAACAACATTACGAAACATTACGACTCCTCACGCTATTATGAGCCATAATATTTTTTTCTGGGAAAATTTTAGACTTGAAGCGCCGAGTTCGTTCTTCGTTTCATAGATCAATCAGTTGACCCTTCCAACCGGTTCTTCCACTCTATATATATATATATATATATATATATATATATATATAAGATGCTATTGGGGCTGTGGACGATTCGCCAGATGTTATTGGCTCTTCGAGTCCTCTCTCTCTCTCTCTCTCTATTTCTCGTACCATACAACTATGAGATGAAGGGGGGCAAGGCCGAAACATCAGCAACACTTTGACGCATAACACTCACAAACCTGGGTCATGCCGCTATTCGTTCTCTCATCTCTCTTTTCTTTTATTCATTTCTCCGTCATAGTAACCAAAATTTCCTTTTTTTTTGTTTCGTTTATTTACTTTTTTTGATCTACCATCTCTTTTACCATTTTTTGTTGCTTTGTGAAGAAATCAACAAAAAAAAATTTCGCAATTGAATTTCTTTTCATTTTTGAACTTTGACCTCGTGCGAATTTTGTGTTCCGATGATTCGCGGCGACGACGACGACAACTGGCAATCTTCGCAATCCGCCTCATACGATGTATTTCCGGGCGGCTCGTTGAGCTTCTTCCCTCTTCTTCATCCTCTCGATTCTCACGCAAAAATACGCAATTTCTCCTCCCCCTTTACGACTAATGTGTTCTTGACGAAAATTTTTCAAAAAAACAAAAAATCGATAATGCCTCTTGCAGCAAATGATCCAATTTTGATCCGTTTCACGTCTCTCTCACCACTCATAATGCGAAATACTATGGACCAATTACAAGTAGGTGATTTTCATTGATTTCCACTTGCAAATTTTCATTGCGGAAGATCGAACATTTTGGGGGAGCTTTGCGAGTAAACTGCCAATTTGCGCTGGAAAATTCTATTTTTTTTTTCATTTCAACGTCAAACTAGCCGTTTCAATATAATTTGTCATATTTGAAATACTAAAAATCTTCAATTTTCATTTTAATTTTCTATTTTACTCACAAAGCGGGCGTCTATGTTCGATCTTCCGCTTGCAATTTTGCACAGCGGAAGATCGAACATTTCGGTGTGCTTTAAGAGTAATTTGCGATTTTATCGCTTTTCGAGTAAATTGTCATTTTTCTTTGAAAAATTGCGTTTTTTATTCATTTATAGATCAAATATATCATTCCAATGTAATTTTTCATTTTTGAAAGCTTAAAATCTTTAATTTTCTATTTTACTCACAAAGCGGACGATTATGTTCGATCTTCCTGCTGGCAAATCTCCTCCCCCACACGCGGAAGATCGAACATTTTGGTGTGCTTTAGGAGTAATTTGCGATTTTATCGCAATGTTGTTTGAATAATTTATAATTTTAATTCAATTTTAGATGAAATATGAAATTTCAATGTCAATTTTATTGCTTTGATTTCAGGAAATCTTCAATATTGTCGTAATTTCAATTTTACTCCCAAAGCTGTCGCCTATGTTCGATCTTCCGCTTTCAATCCTGCACAGCGGAAGATCGAACATTTCGGCAAGCTTTCCGAGTAAACTGTAATTTTGTGAAACTTTCATAAAAATCATTGCAACAAATTTTCACAAAAGCCTGCTAGTAGTAATCTCAAAGAGATAATAACCAATTAGTGGCGTCTAATCACTACACCAAGTAAAAACACCAATATTAATGAGCTCATTTGGTGCTATCATTTTGGTTAGCTAACAGAAAAACAATTTCGCACGTCATTTAATTAATTTATGGTTTTGTTCGCCCAGCGCTCTTCTTCTCATTTATTATAATTAAGGTGGAAGTCAGGTGAGTTGGCCTGAAGCCTAGCTTTACGACTTCTTCCTCTTCTTCCCCTTTAACTATACTCTACTAATATGGTGAGATTATTACTCAACAAGAAAGTTGGCAGAAATTTTCGATATCAGTAGAAAAAAAATAAGAAATACGTAATTATGTCCAATTAACCCCCTAATTATTTTATTTTCTCCATTTTGTGACATTTCTACAAAAAATCGAACTTTGGCTTGATGTTTGTATAAAATACAACAATTTTAGACACTTCCAGTTTAAAAATGACATCAAAATTTCATTTTTTATCTATAATTGCGTTTTTTTTTTCATAAAATTTTGATAAAATCATCAATTACTCATAAAGCATGCCGAAATGTTCGATCTTCCGCGTGTGGGGGAAGAGATTTGCCAGCAGGAAGATCGAACATAGTCGCCCGCTTTGTGAGTAAAATAGGATTTTTTTAATCAAAAAATGAAAAATGATATTCAAATTTCATATCTAATCTAGAAATCCACAAAAATTTTTATATATTTTTTCCAAATTGCCAAATTTGCTCGATTTTCCGCAATGGAAATTTGCTAGGCGGAAGATCGAACATGCACGCGAGCTTAATGAGTAAATTGATGTTTTCAAAAGAAAATCGTATTAAAATCGACGTTTGAACGGCTTGATCGTTAGCCTTTCAAATTTTCCGAAAAAAATTGCCAAAAGTCCAAAAAGAGCACACGTTTGCAGAGTTTTCTTCGACGCCATATGTCACCAAGCAGCAGTCAGATCGAGGTGCGTTTGTACAACTGCTTGGCATACATATGTCAAGAGGGGAGGGGGGGTCCAAAACTACAAATAGCGATTTTTGTAGGCGACACCATCGCAGAACACGACGCAATCGCCGCAGGACGTTGACGGAATGCGAAACGCGTTTCAACAAATCGCCTTCCTTCAACAATACCACCAGCTGATTGGCAACGCGGCGGCGGTTGCGCCATTGGTGGCGCCTGTCGCCATTCCACCGCCAATCGTCACACCAATTGGATCGTCGGCGAAAGGCGGCCGAGAGATGTTCTCGATTGACGCGCTTCTCAATATGGCGGTGAGTCGATTCACATTGTCCGTGTGGAGTACACAGTTCATTTTGTTGCAGGCTAGCGAGCAGTCGACACCACCACCCGACGAGACGCCGGCCCCGCCACCACCACCACCAATCGTCCAAGCCACCAACGCCACCATCATTCAGCTGCCGGCGAATCTCGAGTTGTCGGCGACGGACGTCGCCAACATCATTCAGGCGATATCGGCGGCGACGAGTCGCGCGACACCCCAACTCGCCAACGTCACACTGTCGCCGGCGGCGTCGACGACGTCGTCGTCGCGAAACGTCGACGCCGACGATGACGACGACGACGGCGATTTGTTCGTCGACGTCGAGTCGATCGAGGTGGCGATCGACGGCAAAGATCGCCGAAAAGCGCACGTCGAGTTCTATCGCAAAATGAAGGCGATGCGGCAACGCGAGCGAACGCTGACGTGCGCGCGCTGCAACAAGAAGGTCGACAACATCGAGAATTCGATTCAGACGCACGTCAGCGAGCACGCCGACGCCGGCGGCTATCAATGCCGCTTGTGCGGTTGGCAGAGCAACGACAAATACCGCATCTACGATCATATGCGCACGTCGCATCCGACGAAAATCGACAAGTTCGCCGATAAGCGCGACATGCCGAAAATGTGCGAGACGCTCGCCGAGTGCTTCCCGCGCGTCAACGTTCGACCGCGAAAAGAGATCGACAAGGGACCCGAAAAGTATTTGGCGTAAGTGAGGGGGCCATGGATCATCACAATGATGAATTTTGATTGCAGCGAGATCCTTCAAGAGACGTCGCAACTCCATCAACGCGAACGCCAATGCGCCATTTGTCGAGCGTCGGTGCGAACCGAAAAAGGCGCCATGATTCGGCATGTTCAAGGAGCCCACACTCTCAAGTAGGCGAAATAGAAGAATGGTCCCACACCTTCCGATTTCAGGTGCAAAACGTGCAAGGTGATTCTGACGAGCATCGACGAGCAGCTGACGCACCAAAAGGAGAAGCACGATCAGCGCGATCCGAAAATGTCGGTGCACTACGCGCCGAGCGCCGCGTTGGCCTGCCTACAGCCATCGCTCGAGAAATGCTTTCCGAGGGGTTTTCAAATAATTCCCTGACAATTCTCGCCCCCCTCATTTCAATGCTGTTTGGTTGTTTGATCTCTTTCGATTCGTCTCTTTCATTCTCATTTCTGATACCAAATAACGACCACTGGCAATAATATAAGCTGGTATCACCATCGTTTTGTTGCCATTTATATAATTTTGTGTTGGTTTTGTAAAAAGAAAAAAGCTTTAATGAAGTTCACAATGATTACCTCGAGACCGGCGGTGCTGGGAAGTTGGCGGCCGGTGCCGCGTTGAACCGATGCGCGACGAGTGTCGTCGGCGGCGGCGGCGCCGCCCGTGTCGAGAAGTTCGGCGCTGTGAGCGCGACTCGGACTCGGCGACACTGAGAGCAGGGCTGTAATTGGGCGAATTGGTCCAACACCAAATGGTCCCCCCATCGCTTCACTACTATTATAGGTATTTTGCGACAATCTCAGCGCGTAGTTGGAATCGTTTTTGACAAGCAATGGCACCATTGTCGGCTCATGATCCTCAAGAGTTGTAGTGGATCTGCAATTGGCTCGGATCGGATCGAATCGGATCGGCATTGTGTGTATACGTGTGCTTCGGCGTTGGCGAGCTCAAGAACTCTGGCGGCAATGGCAGCGGTCGGCTGAGTCCGACGACGACACTCCGAATGTGCTCCCTCTTGTAGTCCGGATTGGCGGTTCTGAACGAGAAGCATCCATCGAATGATGGAATCGACAAAAACAGAATCTTACGTGGTGACCGGATTGCGCTTCTTCAGGCAGAAGCGGTAGAGGTAGACGACGGAGATGACGACCGTCAGGCCGCCGACCACGCCGCAAACGAGGACCACGATAGTAAACAACGGGCGTTGCTCTTCCTGCAATCAGAAAAAATTGAAATTGCTACAGTAATCCGCCGGATGGGGGTACTGTAGGATGGAGAGGAGGCAAGAGCCACCAAATTCTCGACCACCCACATAGAAATATGTAGAAGAACAACAATATGAATAAATAATAATGGGGTGCCTAATTGAATAAACGCGCGTTATTTTGGCTGGCCCTAACACAATTCACGCTAACTATATACTATATACTATATATATATATATGTATGGGGGGGGGAATATCGAGAAGCGGGACCTTCTCGTTCTGAAACACGAGACGCCGCATTTTTGATCACCATTCTTAAGGTGGCGGCGGCGGCAAGAAATTTGAGAACATTAATATAATTTGAAACCCAATTTCCATTTTTTTTTGGCTTTTTCTTGGTTGGCAGAGAAATTCGCCAAATAAAAATGAATGACTCAAGTTTGGATTACTGTAGCACACATTTAGGGGGCCTTATTGTCTGCGCCTTTAAGACGGGGTCTTAACGAGAATGGCAAAATCGACAGCGTTTTGAGGCATTGCACCGCGCGGCAGGTGCAATTTTCAGATTCATGGAACCAATGATGATGACTCAAGTTTGGATTGCTGTAGGGTCTCGACGCGACAGGAATTTAAAGGCGCAGGTTGGAATGTGGCCATGCGCCTTTAAGGGTGATGACTTGATGTCAAAACGAAATAACATGGATATTCGAAGGGGAAAAAAACCACAAAGCCTTCCCACATTCATTTAAATTTTTTTTGCTGGTTCTCTCTTCTCCTCGTTATACAATGCTGCGGACAAATGAGACGAAGAGGAGATGGAGGCGCTAGAGAAAAACTCGGCCTAATGCATTCCAATTACCTAATTTGGGTGGCCATTTTTTGTTTTTTGGTGGCACATACCTTAATGGTGTCGCCGGTGAAGCACATGGCAATCAACTAGGGCACGGGTCGGACTGGATTGGATTGGATCATTGGTGGATTAGAAAAGTTAATTAAAATCGAAACAAATTGAAATTGAATGTGCATTTATCTTCAATTCATACATTTTATATATATATGCGACGCGGATTAGTTGAGACGGACGGATTATGTGATGCTATGTACCGTAGGTGTGGGAGGAAGGCAGGGGGAGCAGAGAGGGGAAGCGAGGGGCAATTTTGCACTAGTTCAATTCTGTCAGGTGAAATGTTCACCTTGCAATTGTAATGTTGTCTTTTTTTCAATCCACGTGCTCGATTGGAGCCATTGGCTTCGCGATTGCATATTTAAAGGAAGATCGAACATAATCGCCCGCTTTGTGAGTAAAATCCCAAAGAGATTGATGTATTTTGTGTGTGTGTGTGTGTGTGTGTGTGTGTGTGCAAAAAAAAACATGAAAAATGATATTGTGATGTGATATTTGAGCGCGAAACACATTGAAACTACATTTATTTTCGTTAATTTTTCGCGAGATTGCATGTTACTCGAAGAGCTCGCCAAAATGTTCGATCTTCCGCTGTGCAGGATTGAAAGCGGAAGATCGAACATAGGCGACAGCTTTGGGAGTAAAATTGAAATTACGATAATATTGAAGATTTCTTGAAATCAAAAAAATAAAATTGACATTGAAATTTCATATTTCATTAAAATTGAATTAAAATTATAAATTATTCAAACAACATTGCGATAAAATAGCAAATTACTCCTAAAGCACACCGAAATGTTCGATCTTCCGCATGTGGGGGAGGAGATTTGCCAGCAGGAAGATCGAACATAATCGCCCGCTTTGTGAGTAAAATAGAAAATTAAAGTGAAAATTAAAGATTTTAAGCTTTCAAAAATGACAAATTATATTGGAATGAAATATTTGATCTATAAATGAATAAAAAATCGCAATTTTTCAAAGAAAAATGACAATTTACTCGAAAAGCTCTCCCAAAATGTTCGATCTTCCGCAATGGAAATTTGCACGCGTGATGTGCGAGTAAATTAGTCAAATAATGCCAACTGTGGTAGGTCGAATTCAATTTGAATTCTTCGCGCAAAAAATAAGAACGTTTTTGGCATGCGCCTTTAATGCATACTGTAGTGTGTTTGTTAAACATCCAAATCATTGCGAGACCCAGCCATTAAAATGAGTAGTAGATCAAATGGATGGAATAGTAAATTTGAAAAAAAGAAACACTGAAACCAACCGTTTTCGTGGTAAAAATCGCCGGCAGGAAGCAAATCAAAACGACGAGAAGAATGAGAATCGAGATGAGCGTGTGCTCGCACAAATCAAACAGCTGATAGTAAACGCGATAGAACGAATTGAGCATCAGAATGAGCACCTCGCACATCTTCAAGCTTCCACCACCACGGGGGGGGTTCGAGTTATGGTGTGGTCCGTTGAAATATAGAAGCCAGTGGGGGGACCTTAGTGTGTCAATTGAGTTTGTGTCGCCGCGCATTGTCTGTGAGCCAAAATGAGCACTAACTATATGCATATATTATATCGCCTTCTTCCCCCGTTTTTCCTTTTCCATTATTTCGAGTAAAACTCGCTTCTCAAGCCAGAACTACAAAAAAAAATGTGTGTGCGTTGGGAATTCAATAAATTGTAAATAAGAATGAATGAACATCGAGAGGAGAAATGCGAATGACATTTCGGCAATTTAAAGACGCATGCAAAAAAAAGGCGGGAAATTGCAATATTTGAATTGCCACGTGGCATGCGCCTTTAAACCATAAATCTCGACGAATAGTGCGTCAAAAAAAATTTTTAAATATACGAAACAAAAGTTGGGCATAAATCAAATCGTCGAGAACCTAAAATTTAGAGAGAGAGAGAGAGAGACGCAGAGAAAAAGCGTGCACCAACCTTGATCAGCCACATTCGTCGCCTAGGCACGTTTTCGCTGAAAATCGGAATTTCAGAAGGGGCGTTTTAGAACAAAAAATAGAAACACGAAATGCGATGGGTCTCGCCGCGAAAATGAGCCCTCTCGTTCTCTCATTTTCAAATTAGTGTGCTGTGGTGCAGCTCTTGAAGGAGGCGGTGTCAACTAGTCACCAGAGAGCCAAAAAAAAGAAAGTTCAAGGTCACGAAATGAATTCAATTAAATTGTGGCAATCGACTCCGCCCAAAAGCTCCATACGAGTTGTGCTCTCAGAAAAAAAAATTGAAAAAGAATGAGATGGACAATTGTTTGGTGCTGATGACATATATATGTACATACGCATATTCTCGTTTAATTTATGAATCCTTCGACGACAACAATAATTCCAGGCGATGAGCTTTTTTGGAATAATTTATTATCGATTTCGATTTATTTTTATTTACCAGAGAGAGATAGAGAGCGTACGGTGGAGAGAGACGGAGACAGCAAAGCACTTCGAGCCCGAGCGGGATCGAATCCACGATCTTCTGCTTATGAGTCCAAAAATTCCGCCACTGCGCTATTACGCCAAAGCGCGTCATCTCGTTATACGCATATGATTTGATAGCTGCTGCCACATAGCGCTGCTTAATCACGGATGCCGGCACACAAAATTGGTGTGACAACAAGTGATGGTGTTTGCGGACTTGACGAAATTTTGAATTTAAAAAAAATCAAATTTGAGAGTCTTGAAATTTCAAGAAAATTTCATTTTATAGGTTTGAAACCATAAAATAAATTATGAAAAATTTTTCGTTTTTCGAAATTTCCATTGAATTTCTCTAAAGGTGCAGCATGCTAATTTACCGCCGTTCATTTTCTCGAGAAAAACAACTTGGAATGTGGATCCCTAAAGAATTAAAGGCGCACAGGTGGGCAATATCCCGAAGCGAAGAGGCGTGTTGCGCTATGGTAAATTCATCAAGTAAATCCAACTACATATATAAAACTAGGAATTTGAATTTTCGCTAGAAAATATTGGCAAGGGTCTCGCATGGAATCGAATTGCAGTTTTCGAGAATTTCGCTGTTGGGGAAAAATCTAAAAAAAAAAAGCCGGAGCAGGTGAATCATCGTTGCTCAATTAAACATTGTGCCGTCCGTCAATTTTTTTTCAAATTGAAAAATGAAATTCATTATACGAAATGGGAGGAAAGAGACACCATAAATGGGTAGTCGACTCTCGATTGTTAAGTCCTCTTCATCGTCGCGCTGGTGGCGATGGGAGAGCGCAAAATTGAAACGGAAGAATTGTGCGATGAGCCGGCGGTCTCGCTTATTTAATATTCCATATTCTCGTGTTAATTTCAATCGACACGAAACACAAAATTTCATTTCTTTTTGGTCGCTGCAAGTTATGAATTATGCATCGCGTCTGACTCGGGTTTAGTTTTGTCAATTTTTTCTGGTTAAGGCAATTTCTATAAAACGTATGACGTTGATTCTGTGAATTAATTGCAATTTGAGATCATTTTTTATTTAATATTGATCGAATTCACAAAAAAAACACGGCGAAATTGGAAAAAATCGATAACAATTGAATACAGTAACACTATTCAAAGGCGCATGTTCGAATTTGAAGTAACAATTTCACGTCTAAAAATTCGAAAATCAAAATTAATTGTATTCCACCTTGGATGCCACAGCAATGTTCGGCGCTATGAAAAAATGGTCATTTGACGAATTGACCCAACACCAAAAGCGTCTTTTGAAGAGCGCTAAACAAAATATTTAGTTATTAAATAATTATGTATACGCATTTATGTATATTCTAGTCCAATATTAAAATTCATAATTGATGGAATAATAAAAGAAAGCATACAGTGAGCACTTCCGGGATAACAATCGATGGATCTTGATGACCACGAATTAGTTGAATGCAAAATATTTTCAATAAGAATATTTTGAGGTTCATTGAGAAACTAAAACGTGCCTCAATAATATTTTAGATTGTTCTCAATGAATTTCAGAAACTATTGTAAGATTTTAGAATTTTCGGCTGTAAAGAGAGAGAGAAGAGTCTCGAAGAGCATTCTCGAGAATTTTGTTCCGAAACAAGTGGGTGTTGCTACTGTTCTTGAAGACGTCGCTCTTCTGGGTATTTTTAAAAAATATTTTTAGAATGTTGTTTTTTTTTTTTTAATTAATGCCTTAAATTTATTTTTTATAGGTTCTCTGGCAAACCGCGAGGAAGCTGCAGCGCTAAAAAGAAGTACTCGATATCCTATACGGAATGATTTTGCCAAACGCTTCGCTACGACTAATTATCGACTAATTAACTAGAAAGTAAGATTATCAAAAAAAAAATCCGGCAAAATCGATTCTTTATCGTTTTCGATTGAAATTTTTGAATTTTTAACTTACTGATTTAAATTATTCTTAATTAAGAAATCACAAAAAATTGCTCGGCAGATTGGGCTGTTTGCGAAATTTTCCAAATTTTCTAATAATCCAATCACCACTTTTTGAAAAAAAAACAAAGATTCCAATCGCACTAATTTTATAGATGAATGAAAAACAGATTTTAAAAAATGACGAAAAATGATGTTGTCGGTTTTTGGTTTTTTTTTTCGCTACGGTATTCGCGTAACGTACGCAATCACCGAGTAAACAACTTGCGAACTTGTTTGTTTCGCCAATTTTCTCGCTTCACTCATCAATTTTTTTTTTCTCAAAAGAAGCCACACCGGTTTGCATATGTCAAAACGAAACCATCATTTTCAGCTTTCACTATGGAAATGCCCATTTTTGTCGTGTCTCATTCAGTTCGTTTGTTTTTATTTTCCCTCCCTCTCTCTCTCTTCCCCCCGCTGAACACTCAGGCAAATCAAATAAAATATTTTGAGAATCAAATATTCAGTGATAAACTCTAAAATATTTTGAGAAATTCTAATGTCTATTGATACTTTCTAAAACTTATTGAGAATCAATAAATTTTAAAAATTTGGAATTTGTAAATTAAATCTTTTGAGAAAGTTAAATCTTTTGAGAAAGTGTAAAGTATCTCAATATATTGTGAGACTTTAAAATTTGAATAGGGCCCTTATGACATCCACTGACGCAATTTGCGGCGTCTCTTTTTAAGATCTTCTAAATTCCAATCAATAATTTATGTTTTTGATGTTCCTTCCGTTTTTTTAGCTTTTTGTAATAGTTTCTTCACTTCACTGATGGACGTTATCATGAAATGCAAGTTTTTATAATAAATGTTTAACACTACCTTAAATCTGCATTGTTTTACATGCTGAATTTGAAACAGTTGTGTCTAAACATGTCACTGCATGAACAGGTTCATGAATTTTAAAAATAAGCACAATTATTACAATTAATTACAATTATACTTCAGTTTCTAATGATTTCGATATTTTAGAAGATCGGGAAAAGTGTGGAACAAACATTCCAGAAACATTGGCCGATAGATTTAAGGAACGAGGTAAATACAGCAAATTCAATGAGCAGGTGCCCATGTGGATCACGGCCATGGATATTTTCCACCTTTTTCACGAGGGAACACGTATAATAAAAGGTACTTCAATTATGTCTCTCCTTTTTCAGCATTTAAAAATTGAAGATTGTCTTTTAGAAGTCTTCGTTAAAAACGAAATAAATATTTTTCGATGCGAAGCTATTGATGTGAAAGCGAGACTGCCATCTTCGGTAAAGTCGCTATCAGGAAAATTCAATGACATTAATAGGTCCGAAAAAGCTAGTGTAAGTTAATTTACCACTTGCAATTATCATCCTTTGAAGATTTTTGAAGTGAAAATTGTTTCTAACGCCATGATCGGAACCATCCCTCCGTTAGGTTCAGCTGTTGTGTTGCTTATACATGCCTGCTACCGATGGATGGTGTCACCGACTCGCTTAGTTACAAATACAACATTACCAAACAAAGTAATATGGGATCGTTAGCTATGTACATAATAGAAAATTTTTATTTCAGATCGCAGGTATTTGCAAATTATTAGAAATTCTAATTTGAGATGGGGCGCCTCAATTGTTTTCTGGTTCAAAAGTGCACGTAAGTCGTTTTTTTTGCAATTTTAAGAGTTATTGAACGTTGTAGCATCATGCTATTGTCGTTGATATAAGAAATAATACTAATGATTACTGTATTTATTGTTTCAGCAACTTATATACCATTTGTACAGTAATGTCATGGTCAGCTGTCGGCAATAAGCACGCAAGCGCATGAGCACATTTATCACGTTATCAAGAGAAACATGTGCTCGGAACAGACAAACGGGATTGGATATAGTATTTTGAGAAAGTTAGACTCATTCAGTTATTTTTTAAAACTGGCAATTTTCAGTTATAAACTATATCACGAGATTGTGACTTCATTGAAAATGCGTTTCAACGCGAATCCGGATTTAATTAAGAAGTCATTTTATCGCAAAGAACTCATGAAATTAATCGAAAAACGACAAATTCAATCATCAAAATTTGTAAGTTCAACATTTTCTTTCAATATATGCAACGAATTCCTTATAGCAACGTTGTGCGTCATTCGCAGAAAAAGGAGAAAATGCGAAAAGGATAAATTGATTCATTTATTTTTTTTCTGATTTTTATTATTAATATATTCATTTCGCATTAATATTGTAATAAATGAAATGTTCATACATATTCAATTATTATGGATGTTATTACATTCTATTTGTGTGAAAATTGCTCGATAACGTATGATATTACATAATATTGGACAGAGTTTATTGAGAACAATCTAAAATTTATTGATATATTCTAAAGTTTATTGAGACAAATCTAAAACTTATTGATAAACTTTAAAGTTTATTGAGACAAATCTAAAATATTATAGAGACACGTTAGCCTCTCAACGAACCTCATAAGATTTTAGAATTGTCTCAAAATATTTTTTTTCATTTGCCTGAGCATCACAATCCAACAGTTGATCTATAATCTCCGACGGGGAGGCGGTCCAACAAACACTCGAATTGTTCGATTTTTTACCAGAAAAAAATATGGCGCAGTTTACTCACATGATTTGGCGTGCCTTCATATTTACTCGTCCGTTCACCATTGTTTTTCACTTTCGCCCGCAAATTGTACTTGTGTGTATGTGTGTGTGTGGCCCATTGCGTCCCCCCCCCTTTCCTTCTCTCCTCACCGATGTTTGTTCTCGAATATTCTCCTCATGTATTCCAAGGCATTATCAATTTCATATTAGTGATTGTTCGATGATTTTTGTCTTGTTTTATAAAGACGAATGGTTTCAAATTTGGTCAATGATTTCAATCATATGACTGTTACCATTTTGCACTATTTTTGGAGGGGCTGAATTGAGTTAGTATTACATTCGCAGAGAAAAACGTGAAATTTTTATTTCAAATTTGAATTTCCGCCAATTGCGATGGTCCACAATTATGCAAGGCGTTATGATTTCCGAAAATTGGCTAGTTTTTGCGGTTTTTTGAACCCTAGCCAGTAAATCCATACTTAGTTTTGCGCCAAAAACCCTTCAATAATTTTTTTTGGCATTTTGCCTATTTTTCAAGTTTGCACGACATCGAAGAAATGAACTTATTACGAGAAAGCTCCTTTCAAGGTCTTGTGGCGATTGGGTCAACTCTTTTTTTCCCTCCACTATTGGACATTTTTAAAATAATTTTTAGATAAATTTGCACCAAATTTTCGAAATTTGGCGACACTCGCAAAAATTGTTTGTCTTCGCGAATGTTCGAAGCTCGAAGCAAAAAAAACGGCGAACGTTGCAATTTTGACGCTCTTATCTCTCAATTTTACAATTTTTTTTTGTTATTGCACACGCACACACACCCACCCTTCGCGGCCAACTGACGATCGAAAACACACTATCAAACAAACGTAAAAATTTGATCGACATTTTCAGAAGCGACAAAATAAAAGAATGCCGGCGAATCGATGTACATGTCCGCAGCAGCCTATTATGAGAACCGAGGCAATTGCGTTGCCTCATCTGCCCGATGAGATCATCGCCAAAATTATCGACAATGTCACCCCCACTGAGGTTGCTTATTTTTTTAATAATTAAAAAAATGCTTGGTTCCAGATTGTCGCCCTTGGTTGGGATCGAGTGAGCCGCGCATTCTCAGCGCTCGTTCATCGCTCCATATGCTCGAAACAATATTTTTGCGTCGCCCACGATCTTATTTGGAAGCTTTATCTTGCGTCGGTCAGCAGTTTTGGTAAGAATTATGATAATGACAATTTCTAAAAGGGATTGGAAAAAAATTTTCAGACAATTGCCGCGAAAAATTCGACAAGCTTTTGGTATTGCTTATCAAAAAGTATCTTTGCGAAGTGAACGATCTCACAATTCCGGTGACACTCTTCTCGCACAGTGAGTCGAAATGCCGCCCGGACCTAATTAGCGGCCCAATTAATTTGCAGTTCAACGAATTCTCGTCAAACATCCGTGGTTGGCGGCGACGAGCGGCACCGCGTGCCAATTCCGCCATCCGCAGCCGGGTGTCGCGTTCACGCATCTCACGCGGCTCACAATTCAGGTTGGATTCGGGGGGTGGTTAGGCTTACGTGAGAATTCGAAGAACACCTGATGAAATGGCGATTCGTGATTACGTCAGATTTCTCGAAAAAAAAAAACTCTCTTAGTGTAATCGGTGTCGAATTGTTTCGATCAAATTCGAATGGAAGATATTTTCCAAAAAAACGAAATTGCTCTGAAAATTGTTTCCTTCCAGATTGGCTCCGATTTCGGTTCGCTCACACTATCCCACAATTTCGAGAATCTCAAAACGTCGTCGTGAGTCTTTCCATCAGATTCCATTGTCATCAATTTCTCTCATTTAGATCGTTGTGTAAGACGCTAAGCGAGATCAATCTTGATCTAATCCTTTCGGATCGCGAGGATGTCACATGTTCGGGCTTCCGTGAGCTTCTCCTATTCCTAAAGGAGATCGCCTGCGATTGTAAGCGATTGTGAATCTAACTGAAATTAAGTTTTTTTTTCGTTGCCTATTTTCAGCTACAATGTGGAATGTCAGACTTTCCGACGACACCAACTGTGGGCAAGGTTGGAGGGACCCATCGAAATTGAGCACGTATCGCAATAAGCTTTTCATTTGCTATATAAGAGCAATGCTGGAGCTTAACATGCGAATCAATCAGCTGGTTTTGATTGATCGTCGAAAAGTTTCGCCGTATATGCTCATGTCATCAACAAGACGGACCATTTACATGTTCCCGGAGTTTAAGGTGATGGTCCGAAGGCGAATTATCGAAATGCTAATGAAATATTGCAGAAATGCCACCAATTGTGCGTTTGCTACGATATTGGCCTGATTGCGCCGACGTTTTCGCATGAAAACGATCGATTCGAGGATTTGGTCGTTTTTGAAGTCGATGAATCGCATGTTCTGTACAAGGCCGATCTTTTGGAGTACCTTAAAACCGCGACAAGTATTTAGAGAATTATTTTTTGCAAATGTGCTTGTTTGTTCTTTTTGCAGAATTGGAGTCGCTGAGAGTTGTGGTCCCTTCGACGTGGTCCTCGAGGGTCTCGCGGTGTACCAAAGGATGTTTCCAGAATCCGGATTATTCATGTTTCAAGTAAATTTAATATTAAATAAAAATTTTTTGAATTTTCTGGATTACAAAAAATTTTTTTGAAGGCTTGATGGATGGTGCAATGTGTTTGCAAAGCTCCCGAAGGCTCATTTCGAGATTGTTGAGAATGAAGCGCCAGTCGCCTGTATATAATCATCGTTTGCATAATTTGTAATAATTTTTTGTGTACATATTATAATCGTTATTTTGTTATCCCGCCGTTCCCCCCATTAATCGTGTATACATGAGAATAAATACGAGTGTAGATAATGGGCGCTAAAAATTAAAAAAAAACACCTGTCTTTTAAGAAAGTCGGCATTTTGCGATTTTTTGCGCAAAAAAAAAAGAATAGTTGTTGATGTGGATACGGTAGCTGGTTCTGGTTCCCTTTTGCGTGTCGGTGCATGCACTATTTGCCGTTTTTAGGAGATTCTCGTTTTTTGTTCACAATTTCTTCTCATTTTTCATCAGAAAAACTCATATTCTTTCCTCTCTTCAAACATATAACTTGCGGAATTCTCTAGAAGATCTAATTTCGCCCGTGAAAATTTGTTTGCCGGGCTATATTATCACTTCGCAATAAATATATATATTGGCTCTAAAGTTTACACATTCTCGTTTGGATGTTCTAGCCCAGTTGGGGGGAGGCCGCGACCTGCAAATATTTAGTTTCGCTTTTCATGTTGCCCAATTTTTTTGTTCTATTCGCATGGTAAATAATCGCGGATTTTGCTAATTTACCTGACAAATCGCAAAAAATTTTTGGAATTAATGAAAATCGTTTTTCTTTTCTCCGTTTGAAATGATGCAAATTAATTTCGTTGGACAGTTTTTGTGATAACAACATGTGGTCACTTCCTCGCCAATATTCGGACTCATTTCAATGAAATTTCGCAAAAAATCGGAATCGGGTTGTTTCATTTCGGTTTTAGATATATAAATATATAACTTGTAAGTAGAATTTGCAGGTATTGCGCCTTTAAACTGTCACCTTTCAAAAATTATTGTTTGGACTAGTTTTTATATTACATTCTCTAAAAAATGAGCAACCTGTTCCGATTTACGGTGAGCTTGATTCGCAGATTATTCGCATCCGAATTCCCACTTCTTAAATTCAAATTTGAATTGCCGCCTCGAAAAAAATACGGAGATCCGCTATTATTCAATTCGGGGACCATGGAATTTTTACTTGGCCGTAATTCAAATTGTTTCTGAACTAAAAACCAGTTAGGCTAACAGAATCGATCGCTGCGAGAGCTTTAACTACCGTATCTTGAAAACTAAAAATTTTTTAAATTTTCTGAAGAACCACTGATTTCAGATTCATATCGAATATTCACAAATTTTATTTTATATGAGCTGTGTCTTCTAGCGATTGATTCTAATAGCTGGTTTTTTAGAAGCAATATAATCTTCTATGGGGGTATTTGGTATCTTGACGCGAAAATGCTGGTAGACTATAATGCGCCTTTAAAATTTCAAGTCAAATTTCCGCAAAAAATCCGTCAATATCACCCGTCAACTTTGACCTCGGTAACGAGTTGCTCGCAACGCGTCAAGGTGAATCCACTCAATAGGATAATCAAGCCGAGCAACAAAAAAAAAGAGATGAGGCGAAATCTGTGTAAATATTTACTCCGGTGTGAGAGAGATTTATGCCACTTGTTATGTTTATCTCAATACAAAAAATTGCAACTAGTAATATCCGACGATGTACTCGTTTCCATGAAGAAGAAAACTTGTGTTATCGAACAGAAAATTTTTTTGTGGGTGTGTGTGTGTGTATGTGGGGAATACCCCATCACGTGTCACATGATCGGTTGGGGCTTCCCCGTACTTAAAATTTGTTCCTCCCTCTCTCTCTCTCCCTCTGTGTGTGTATGTGTTATCAGTTGATCGCCTGATGACACCACTCGATTCGTCCCAAAAATAGTTGGTGGTGGTTTTACTGGCTGGTGGCGGTGTAAAACGTTTCATCTCTTTCTTTCTCTCTTTCTCGTTTGCCGACCGAACGTCAGTCACGTTTTATGCGCTTCTGCTGTCGTTGGCCCCCATCACCAACCAACCAACCAACCAACACAGCTGATTTCAACATTTGCCTGTTGTTCTGTTGTTGTCAAGCTTTTCCCCCTTATTTCTCTCGTGGGGACCCTTTTTTAGCTCCAAAATGTACCCGGAAATCCGAAGTCCATTGGGTTTTTTTTTCAACCTATTCCTATCACAAAACCTCTAATACACCATACTAGAGTGCGCTTCTTATCAACACACACGCCGAGAATATTGAAGGGGGGTCGGGGGATTCCCCCAAAAAATTCGGCATCTTTTTTTTTTTGCTTCGCCCCGATAGATCGTAGATCGCTAGAATGTTCTAGAAGGCGACGTTGTGATTATTCTTGTTTCCCGTGTCACTTGATCAGAAGAAGGAGATACCAAAGATCATCGGGTTCGCTGGGGAGGGGGGAAACTACAATTCTACGGCGAATCACGTGGAATTATTATGCATACGTGACGAATCAAGAATAGGTCTGATTGAATTGGAATTGAATATATCGATTGGTGACGGACGCGGACGGGACGGGATGGGTTTCTCCCACACCGCCCGCCGTACACACACACACATACACTCCCATCACATATACACACGCACCTCTTCTTTTTCTTTCTTCGTTTTCTTCACGATGACGATATTGATGACGATCAACGTCTTGTCAAAAAAAAAAAAAAACACACACACATATATATCTTTTTTTATTTCCTCGTGTTTGTTTTTTTTCTAGGTTTTGGCGAACACAATTTTTGGAGATAACCATCGTTATCATGTGATTATTGAGTCATCATTGAATTTTGAATTGTTTTGTGAAAAAACGGGAGAATAGAGAAAAACTGCGCATTGTTTTTTTTTTGCGCGCGTTGTGCCGATTTTGGGAATTTCAAATTGCCACGCGAGCGCCTATTATTGCGTAAACGCGGAGCATCGTTTTCGCGGGTCCCAAATTCGCATTTCTTTTTTTTCGGTCAGTGCCGAAAAATCCAATTTTTTGGAGAATGGTTCGCACCAGAAAGTAGCCAAAATCAAAGATCACTGTAGAATTTTGAAGGAATTTTATTTAATAAAAAATTATGGAATACGGTGTGCTCCTTTAAATTTCGTTGGATTACTGTATGGTTTTTTTTCGCCAGCTATGATGACGTTCAGAATTTTATTGCAAATCAATTTTTTGTTCCAGTTTCAGACCTAATTTAGCTCGAAACCGTTTGGGATATTTTTGACCTACGCCTTACACATTTAGAAAATTGTCGCGAAAAATTGTTTGATTTTGAATTGAGACGCCAGCGGCGGCGGCCGTTCTATTTGCCCCGCGAGGTTTTCAACGCCCCACCATCTCCTCCTCCACCAAAAAAAAGTTCGAGCGTCGCGTGCAAATATTTACGCGCCAAAAACTTTTAGTTTTTGAAAAAAGAAAAGAAATTTTTTTTTTGAATTTCCCCACGCACACCGTCGTTTGTTTTCTCGTCAATTTTGTGCTCCTTCTGCTCGTAAATCGACACCAACTAATTTTTTTCCATCGTTACAGGAGACAAATTTTTTGTTTCTCGTTGTGTGACCGCCAACAACAACAATACAAATTCGAAACAAAAAAAAACAAACGAAAAATTCAATTCGAGGAGCTTGATATGGAAAATAATGTAGAGACGTGCGAGACGATGGCGACGGCCGCGGCGGCTGCGGCGGCGACGACGGTGTCGACGAGCTCGCAGGTGCCGTTGCTCTCGCGTCTCGCCACCGAGAAAATTGCGGAACTCGTTGAGCTTGGTAAGTGTTCAAAAATAAAACACCGAAATCAAATTTGTTGTTGTAGACGAGCTTCCAATGTTCGATCATCCGCTCCTACCATCGTATAGCAATGAGATTGTGAAGATTCTTGGCGCGCGCAAGAAGCTTCGTGAGACACTTCGACGATTGAGGCCCGATCGATTCAAGATCACCAAGATGGATTTGATGGGCGGCGGGTTCACACTTGACGATGTCCGACATGTCTATGGACACGATTTGCACTACCTCAAAATAGGAGACATTGAATCATTTAGTAAGTGGCGTCGTTGATCAAATTTCAAACGATTCCCTTTTTTTTTACAGACAGTCACCACAAAATCCAAATCGAGGAGGTTCTCAAGGCGGCGCTGAACCGCCAATCGCGACGCAATCTGAAGCATTTGGATCTCAGCGGAAGGTACAAGATCTCGTCGTCATGGCCGATGTTTGTCGCGCTCAATTTGCCGCATTTGGAGAGCCTCTCGTTTGCCAATCGCAACACGTCGAATCTGACGCTTCTTCAGGTGCGATTCATTCATCAATTTATTGTTTTTTGTTTCACTTTCGTTGTATGGTTTTTTGCACGCGCGTTTCAGATTGGCCAACAACTCACCCAGTTGCGCTATTTGGACATTTCGAACACGTATGTCACCGAAATCTCATGTATCGCCGGCATGAAGAATCTCGAGGTGCTCATCATGTACAATTTGAACATTTTGAAGGGTGACGTCGCCGAGACATTGTCGAATTTTTCGAAATTGCGTGTGCTCGACATCTCGCGTAAAGTCAACAGCGATTATCTTCAAGAAACGTAAGCGTGTCTAATTTTTCTCTGTTCGACGTGCGCCTTTAAAACGTGAACGGCTTCAGGTCTCAAGACGCGCACGGCGACGTCGCTTTGGGCATCTATAATCGATCGATTCAAGCGATCAAGTGCAATGAGTCGACACCGTGGCCGGAGCTTCGAGCGCTTGACATGTCGGGTTTGAGCATCGTGCAATTCGGAACCGATCGCGCATTGGAGTTTGTTCACAAAATCATCGAAGCGCACCCGAAATTGGAGCAGATTGCCCTATTGGGTATGACAATTGGATAATTGACGATAATTGCCCTCGGATTTCGATTTTCAGCGACACCTCTCGACTCGCAGACCGTCGAATTCCCCGACCGCAAGCTGAACGTCATCAATTCGGCGTCTCGCAAATCGATTCTTTTTGCTCTATCGCATTATGTGAATCGTGAGAGCTGCCGATCGGCATTCACCGCCCACGCCCTTCATTCGGTTTATTATTGCTTGCAATCGGGCTACGATAAATTCACGCAGGAGGAGCTTGGAGAATGCATTCGATTGGTTAGGGACCATTGAAATCTTTTTTTGAGTCTAAACTATTTCAGGTTTGCCTATCGATGCAGAAGTATCTGACGACGTTGGCTGTGCAAATTGCCGGAAGCGCGTGCCTCTATCATATTTGCAAGTAGGAGGATAATTGTTTTTTTTCGGTATAAATATTGAGATGGTCCCTTGATTTTAGACTCAAACGGATCAAGCGGCTTTCGGTGAAAGACGTGTGCAATTGCATTGAACGATCGCTGGATGCCGCCGAGCAATATCGAACGATGACGCAACTTCAGAAGAACGTGTGGCTGACGATTTGCAACGACTATCTCCTTCATCTCGAAGGTATCGATTTCTATCGGACGTGCAAAGTGGCGCTGGACACGATGATCTCGAATCGCGACGCGAGCGTCGAACGAATGACGATTGCGATCATCTCGATTGTGACGCCGAAGATGAAGCCGAACGAGGCGCAAATGCTCACGTCGGACACGATCTACATTCGACATTTGGTGAAAATTATGGCCGAATATTTGGGTACGTCGTTGATTATCCTACATATTCAATTGGTGTCGTTTTTTTTTTCTTCCAGATAATTATCAACGAGAGAATCTTGCTCAAAATCGAGAAAGCGATAATACGTTGTATACGCTGAAATTCACATTGAGCGCACTCTGGAATCTCACAGGTTTGTTTTGGATTGTTTATATATTTATTTTTTTTTAATTTGATTTTCGCTTCAATACCTGACAATTTTTGTAGATGAGTGCGAGACGACGTGCCGCGCGTTCTACGATGTTGGAGGTGTTCAGATCGCCTTCAAAATCCTCATCGCGTTCTCGGCTCACGGTAATGTACAGACGAAGGTGCTAGGAATTCTCAACAACGTCGCCGAGGTTGATGAGATCAAGCACTCGATTATCAACGATGAGAGTTTTGTCAATTTGCTACTGTAAGCGGACATTTCGCGAGTTTCGATAATCAATCGGTAATCAAAATTGCAGTGATTGCCTCGAAGGCGATTTTGAGTCGCCGGACAATAAGGGAAGATATCGCGATGTCGAGCGATCGTACTTCGCCGGCGGAATTTTGGCCAATCTTCTTTGCGAGACCACACCTTGGAGAAATGAGGAGCTTCGGAATGAGGTTTGCGAGAAGCTCATGGAGTCGATTGAGCAATGGCCAGAGCTTCCATCGGCAATGGTGTCCTACAGGTATTTTGTTCATCGAATTTGATGATTTTGTCGAAAACTGCTGCTTTTGAGATCGCTGACGCCGTTTTCGCGTATTCTGGAGCGTTCGGAAGCCAACGGTGCGATAATGTGGTGCTTGTGGGGTGTGCACCACGTGTTGCACCATCGCGACAAGACGAAGCCGGCGCACTGCAGTCTCGGCTACGTCGACATGGTGCAGTCGAGCAACATTTTGTTGATTTGCGAGCGAATGCAAAAGCAGCTCACCAAGGAGCCACGTGTCGCCAATTTGGCGCGAAAAATCGTCGATATTGTCGAAGCGAATGAGCGCGACGAGACGTATTGATTGATTCCAAAAACCGGTTATTGCATTGTTTATTCTTCATTCTTTTTTTGACTAACCTTTCTTTTTCATTTCTCTCCCTCTCCCTCACCCTCCAAAAAAAAACACAATTGCTTTTCGTCAACACGGGTATTCAATTTTTCAAAATACTGATGTTACCGCATCACAAAAGTCGGAATTGTATACAACAGATCTATATATATATCCATATATATATCTATCTATATATATATTTATGTGTATTTTTGGAGCTAATGTGAATATAACGAACCCATCAATTCCCGTAACAAACCGATTTGCATTAATTCTTCATTCCAAATGTGTGTGTGGTTCCGCGCGCGCTGTTGTTGTTGTTGTTGCTGTTGGCGGGTTCCATCGATTGTGCTCGTTTAGATGTTCAACGAAAATGTATTTTTAGCCTTCTTCTTCTTCTTCTTCCTTTCCATCTTTTCTCGTTTTTTTTTCTTTTCTTCCAACTCCTTGTGCACTATTAAGTTTTGTCTGATCAATGTATATAATTCTTGTAAACCGGTCATCATACACGATGAATGAAAAAAACCTTTCTATATATATTATATATAGATGTATGTTAAAAAAAAAAGTGATGTGCGTGTGTAAAACATGATTCAATTATCATATAATTAATGACGATAGCGGCCGCGGTAGCGCGCGACAAATGTGCCGCGACGCGGCGGCGGATGACGAACATCGGTTGGTGCGATCCACACTCGCAGCGAATCGCAGCACGTCAATTGCGCGAAGCACATCTTCTCGTCTCCTTTGATACAAGTTATGACCATCTGAAACATTGGCTCTCATTTGAATTTCTCGTCTCCACACTCGCCTCTCCTTTGCTGTTGATGAAAAAGTTTGACATGTACGGAAGGCAAAAGTCGCATGAAAGCCGTTGAATATAGGAGAGGTCCGATTCGAAAAGCTGAAATTTGAATATTCTCGGTGTCTTCGATGATGCGCGATATTTTTGATATATTTTTTTCCAATTTAGACACCTCAAGTCTCGCCCAAACGGCCTACCTTTATGGTCCGTCCGCGTGCATCGCCGATCAGCACATTCTCATTGGCGTCGAACTGACATCCGGCGACATAGCAGAACACCGGCGCGTTCATGCATTGGTTCGCTACCATTCCGGCCATTCCGATTCGGCTGATCAGCTCGACGCGCGGCGGCGTCTGCTCGTCCCAGTCCAAATCGTTGACGACGAACATGTAGACCGATTGTGTGCCGAGATCGGTGATGGCCACCTTTTTGCGGCAACTCGCGATGAAGCTCGGATTGCGCGCGTTCGGTATCACCTCGGTGTGTTCCATGCCGCTGCGAAGGATTCGCAGGCGTCCTTTGCCGTGCGAGTCGAGCGTCAGCATCGAGCCGCCGATGGATTTGGCGAGACCGCGACACACGTGCGATAACTTCAGCTTCGCGTCGTTCGAGCTCAAAAATGGCAATATTCGGCCGAGTTCGTAGTTATAGGTGACGATTGAGGTGTGCGCTGGAGTTGAGCAAAGAATCGCAATCGATTCGCCTTCCTAGGGGAAAATAATTCTCAATCGAAAGTTTTTTTTTTTCGTTTTTACCTTATTAATACATAACGCCGATGGGCCGTCGTAAACTTCGGGCATTTCGATAACATCAACGCCGTCAGCATCGGAAACCAGCATGATCTGAAATCGAGTAGAGATTCAATTTATTCCAATCACTCGAAAAATCACCTTGTTCAATTTATTTTCCGCGATGAACCATGTCTTCACAATTTCATCATAGACCACTCCAAGCGGATATTGAAGCATCTCGTCGACCTCTTGGCGAAACTTGAACTCTTTTTTCTCGATGAGAAGATCTGCGAAAAATTCGATGCGATTGTGTGAAAATTTCAACGTACAATTTTTTTCGTTCGTAATAAAACTGTCAAATTCGACTTTCGGCACATTGTGCGCCCTCATCGCGTTGCTTAGCGTCGAGTTGCTCAGTTCGGCCGTTGTCTCGGCGGTGTCTTCAACAAGCTCGTCATCGCTGGTGCCCTCCGACGGCGTCGCTATTTTGAGATCGCTTAGGTTCAATGCCTGCTCCTCGAGCAGCTGATTATGCTCATCGGCGAGATTGACGCGCGTTTTGAGGAATGACATCGCCACACGAATGTAGTCGATCTCCTCTTGAACGAGATTCGGCACCCCCTCCTCATCCGCCAATTTTTCAACGATCGTCAGGAATCTGGGCATCTCGAAATGAAACAGCGATGAATCATTCGCTAGAACAAAAATTGATATTTAACAAAATCATTATTTAGAGAATCACTCACAATCATCCATGTTTATCGTCGACATTCTGAGAAGCCTGCAAATTATTAAAATTGAGTCAATATCGCAAACACGCTCCATTGCGAAAAATCGATAACGAGCAAATATCTCAGGTAAATCGAATAAAATATTTTGAGATTCTATGAGAAACTAAAATGTCTCTATAATATTTTCGATTTTTCTCAATCAACTTTAGAGCTTATTATAAGATTTTAAAATTTATTGAGATAATTTCGAATTTGCTCAATAAATTTTAGAAAATTTTATAAGATTAAAAAAAATATTTTTAAGTTTAGCGATTCTCAATAAGTTTTAGAAAGTATCAATAAACTTTAGATTTTCTCTATTATTGAATATTTGATCCTCAAAATATTTTATTTGATTTGTCTGAGGCGACTTCCGTCTTTGGGACAAAGGCTCAATAAAATTTTAACGATATATACAACCCTTATAAATGGGCACGCGGGGCGGTGGAATTTATTAAAGCATGCTTTCGATCGCTATACTCCTCGCCGTCCTCACCGCGTCGTCTAGCGGATGCGGCGGAAAACCAGCGGAAATTTCGTGCCCGTGCGCGCTGCCGGACACCGATACCGTCCCGCAGTACTTCATCGACAAATTCGACGAGTTCAAACTTATCGACAACCGCACACAAAAGCCGATCACGCCGGGCGGCCAACTCTCCTTTTACGGAAATTGTCGGTTAAAAATGGACTGCTCGAAAATTAAGCCCGGCTATGCGCAAGGCGTCGCGATGTTCACCGACGCGGTAAACCGCCGTGTTCAGTTCAAATTGTGTGAATTCAAATCAATTTCAGGTCGTCTTCCTCGATTCGCTACCAATTTGGTGTAATCCCGAAACGAAAAAATTGTCCACCACCGCAGCGAAAATTAATGATTTAATAGCACGATACCCGCATTACTCTGTCGAAGATTTCGATCATGTGACTAATATCGGATGTGTGTTCTCCAAGTGATGAAATCAGATTGAATAAATTATAGTCCATTCTTTTCCAGAAAAAAAAACGAAATTTGTGGTTTTTTCAAACATTTTCAAAAAAAAAAACAAATCCCGTAGACACCGCGACGCGATATTACAACCGTTCACATTTACAGTACCCCACCAAGAAAAATACCCTAAATTTTCTTTCTCTCGGACCAAATTTCGACGAGCCTCAATCGCAAAACGATCCCTAAAAGGTTTTAGACGCAAAATCGGGGCAAGCAAAACAAATAGCAAAACATTGCAACAAACATATGGAAAATTCTAGAAACAAAAACCAAAGGGAAAAAAAATTTGTGGCGAGAGCGAATCAATTTATATTGACAAAAAGAAAATGCTGTAGACGTCAACAAAAACAACAAAATAATAATACAAGAAGAAATGAGTATCTCAATAAATTATTGTACAACAATTGTCAAAATTTCGGCGCAATTTTCGCCGCCGCCGGAAATTGCTCCTTCAAATTCGGATCGTCATCGACGAGCACCTCGTTCATGTAATCCACTCGCGTCGTTCGTCGCCCGAGTCGCGCCACCTCGTTCTCCTTCTTCTGCGGCTCCTCGACATCCTCGCATTCGGTCAGCTCGCCTTCGGTTTCCGTCAGCTCGACTTCAACGTTCGCCTCGCGATTCCGCTTTCGACGCTTCCGCTCTTTTCGATCGGTGTTCTCGATCATCTCAATCTCCTCCATCCGCACCCCCGGTATCGGACCCATTTGGACCGACGGCGATCCTTGGATCATCCGAAGGCTCTCGAGAATATCCTTGCGAATCATCGACAAATACTGCTCATTGTTCTGATTGATGTGCCGCACTTTCAGCGGCGGTTTCAGCTGATAATTCGGCGCAAAGAATTCATAATAAACTGAAAATCGTGCGAATTATGCCCAGATTTGAGATTGCCCAACGGAAAAAGATTACTCGAATTCGTCGGAATTTCATCGGACAGCTCACAATCCAAACATATGCTCGTCTCATACGCCCAACATCGGGCGACATTCCTCAGCGTGTAGCCGCCGCCGCCGACCACCAGCATCGGAATGCCGAACGATTTCACGAATCGCACACAATTGCCGTGCCCTTCGAAGCTGAGATTGAACGAGCCGAGGCGATCCTCGCCGAGCGAGTCCGAGCCGCACTGAAGGACAATCGCTTCCGGCTGGAAGTTCTCCATGACCGCGCTGATGACCGGCTCAAACACCGATTGATAGTCTGAAATGAAGATTTCGGAATTTGGATGCATCAAGACCCCCCCCCCTCCTACTTCCATCATCAGCTCCTTCCAGTAGCGGCACGTTCACCGCAAAATAGCGGCCCGCTTCAGCTCCCCTATCGTACAGGCTTCCAGTGCCCGGAAAAAAGTTGCCGTATCGATGAAACGAGACGGTCATGACGCGATCGGTATGATTGAACGCTTCCTGAACACCGTCGCCATGATGAATATCGATGTCAATGTACAAAACGCTGGAAAGAAAAAAGAACGAGTGACGAAAAAAAAAAGAAGAAGGCCGTCTCACCGTTTGTGGTATTTCAACAACTCGAGAATTCCCAGCACAATATCATTCACATAGCAGAACCCGCTGGCTTCGGCCTTTTTCGCGTGATGAAGACCACCGGGCCAATTAATCACAATATCATTGAGCTTATGGTTGAGCCGTCGGGCTCCTTCGACACTACCGCCGGCATACAGTGTGCAATAGTCATACATGCCCTCGAATATTGGGCTGAATGAGAGATTCGTTGAAGAAGACGAAGAAAAAAAAAAGAAAGCGGAAAACTTTTCGAGCAACGATTATTGTAGGAAGCAATTTAAAGGCGCAGCGAAAACGCACAAAAAAGAAAACTTTCGCAAAATGATTAGTTTTCCGCACATCTCTGAATTCATACCAATCATCGCCAATATTGAAATTGCTTAATTCCGATTCCATGTCGGTATCATTCTTGGAAGCCCTTCGCAAAAAATCAACATATTCGTTCGTGTGAAATTGTCTAAAATTTTTGTTTTTGCTTCGCCGAAAAAATCAATAAATTATAACAAAAAAACTCACAGCAAATCTTCCGGCTCCAATTTCGGACTTTCGACAATTTTGAGCTTCTTGTCGAGCCCATAGCTCACAATGAGATCGTTGCAAACTTGAAGGCGTTGCGGTTTCATCGGATGATTCCTTCCGTAATGATAATTGCCGACATTTTGATTATAATAATATACAACCTCATTTTTTGGCATTTCTGAAATTTCTCGTTTCTCCCAACCGTTTTCAACCTTTTTTCGGTTTTCAGATATTCAAAAGAGAATGCATCAACATACTATTTCTTACGTTTAATGCAAGAATGTGTTCCGCTCAGAAAATTAATTTATTCGCGATTAAATTGTCAATAATAATTAATCATTTTTCGAGAAAAAAAAACAGATAGAGAGAGAGAGGCAGAAAAGAAAGAAATATCTTGTTTTTAAACGAGCGCGGGTTATTCAAAATCGGCATTAGTGGTAGGTTTTTGTGTCATCGAGTACCCGTCGATCCAATAAATTTTGTGAATTGAGAAAAAAAATGAAAAAAACAAAGGTCCAAACAGAGAGGGAGAGAGATAGAGGAAAAAAAAGTGGAAATTCCTTTTTGCGACCGGTGCTTAATTTTAAAATACAGAGCGAGAGAAAGAGAAAAAAATCGATAAAAAAAGGGAAGCCGAATAATTTGCAGTCAGAGGGGAAGAAGATTCAGTGCCCGCACGGTAGAAACAAAAATGAACACGATACATATATATTAAATATATATATATAGAATAATTATATAACATTAAATAACACGATGGAAGAGAGGTTGGGCGATTTAAAGGCATTTTCGGTAATGAAATGAACAATTCTTCGGTTGAGATCAAAAACCCAATATATTCGCTTGACAAACAACAACAACAACGACGACGACGACTTCAGCGGCCAACTCCCGCACGTAGCGGCGTCGTCTGAACGAGAGGCGATGGCTGGCCGGGTAGATGTTGCTGAAGAGCCGGATGACGGCTCGAAGAGCACGGAAGAGCCGGCGGTGGCTGAAATTTATGAGAATTGATTGAAGTTTGAGCACAATTTAAAGGCGCATGACGAAATATATAACAAAAAATTCTACAATTTGCATTGGAAAAATTTCGAATCGCTCGGCAAAATTTTCATTAATTGAATCTAGATCTAACAAATTTTCTTTTAAGCAACAATTTGTCACAATTAGATTGCAATTTTCGCTTTCTTTTTAAATTTTTGCCAAAAATAATCTCACCATTTCCGCGGGCAAATGCGCACTGGCGAAATTCAACGGTTTATGCGAGGCACCAATCGGTTTCCTCGCCGGCTGCTGCTCCAATTTCGGTGTGGCGAAATTCGACGACGTCGGCGATTCCGGCACCTGATGTTGCGCGGCGCCGCTAGCGCTTGAGCAAAGCGACGCCGACGACGGCGCCGTCGAAAGCGACCCTTGTTGCTCGTCGCTCGTCACCGCCACTTCCTGAAGTTCGGAGAGGAGCTGCGCAAGTGCGTGACTGCTCTCGAGTCGCGACAATGCAAGCCAACATATGTGAGATTCATGGCGGCGAAGTTTTCTACAAAAAAAAATCAACATTTTGAATTTGAAAGGCGGAAAAATAACGAAAATACTCACTTCCTTCCCTCAGCCGAATATCTCGCCAGATTCCTCAGAATCAGGCAACTCGTGAGTCGAATACTCTTCGTCACCGGACCCTCGCATTCATCAGTAATGTCTCTCGGCACGAAATTAAACGCGTGCCGCCTGACGGCATCCATCGCCGCCGTCTTCGAGTAGCCCGGATGATTCGTGTAATCTCGCGGCACGATCTCATTCCTCGGCGCCGTTGGTCGAATCGCGATGCCGTCGCGTCGCTTCGCAGCGGCAATCTTGAGTTGCGTCTCATTGCAATGCGCGTCCTGAATATGCGTGACCAGCGACCAACGATTCCTCGGCGTCGGATCGCTGCAGCCGTTCCAGCGGCAAAGTAGGCGCAATTCCTCGACAACGTGCTCCTCGCTCAAATGCTTCAACACATGGCCGGGCGTCGAGTAGTACAACGAGCAACAATCCCAATCGCACATGTATTCCGTCGGAACACTTGACGGCTCCATTCCTTTCCGAATCGGCTTCTTCTCTTCAACAACAGGAGGAACCTCTTGTGGAGCTGGAGCACTAGTGGTAGCTTCATCGGGCCCCTAAAAAAATAAGATTAAAAATCTTTAGAGGAATTCTAGACAAAACAAAAAAATCGTACGTTTCCATTGACAATCGCCTCATTTCCGTTGCTCATTTTCTTCTCCTCATCAATTTTCGCGGTGACCTGAGCAACAATACTCGCGGCTCTCGACGCCATCGACGCCTTCTTCCTCGTCTCCATTTTCGAGCCATTCGTGATTTTGCCGTTCAGAATCGCATTCTTATCATTCTCAACGTCCGAAATCACATCAGTCTCCTTCTAGAAAAAAAATAGATGCGATTATTATAGATTTTTGCTTCATTTTTTTCTGTTTTAGAAAAATGATCAAGGAAATATGTTCTCATCGTGCAAAATTTGTCACATGCACCTACATTCTTTCTTGAATTCCTCAAACGTCTTGACGGTGTCGCAGTGGTCGTGGGATGCTGGAATCATGCAAAACTCCATGCAAAAGAAAGAGAGAGAGAAAATAGAAAAAAAAAAACATGCCAAAAATTGCGAGCAGGAAATATAGAAAAATTCAATGAAAATCAACCTACATCAATCGGCGATGTTCCATTCATTTTTCGCTCAATTTTCACCTCTTCGATTTTCGATGAATCGATGAGACGCGACGCCGGTATCGGATCCTTACATATTTCGACGTGTCCGTTCGCGACGGTGCCGTTGCGCTTGAAACAAAAAGAAACGAAATGAGTTACAACAGAGAGAAATGGAAGGGATAGGATCGGGTGCAAAAGCGGCATTTACACGATTAGAAATGCGAAATCCCACAAAAAAAATCAATTCTTACCTTCGCAAACACTTTTTCTGGTTCAGGAGCTTCCCTGAAAACAAACATTCGGTTAAAAACACGCTCAAAATCTTCGAGTCTTACTCAGCATGCCCATTAATCCCATTCGTCATCGGCGGATCCTTCTTCGACAACATCTTCTTCATAAGCGGATGCGTCTCCTCCTTCTCATTCAAATCATTCATTTTCGACGCAGCGGGCGCGAGTCGATGCGGTCTGACGAGCCGAATCCCTTGCGCCACAATCATTATCCCATTCTCGGCCATTCGAAAGTTCACACCAGGATAAATATTTCTGCAACACAAAACAAATAGAATGAGCAATTAGATTTTTCGCCAAAAATTCTCCTTACTTCATCACACCGCTGAACATCGCCAACGATCCACTCAACGAATGATATTGATTCCTAAGATCATCAACATAGACCGCGTAGAGTTCACCGCGAGGCGTCGACATCGTCGGCTCGAACACACAATTCGCGCGGATCCATTTCTCAGTGAGCTGCTCCAATTGCGATTCGCCGGTGTTGGCGCTCGGCACAATCGGCTGCACCGGAATCGTCGCGCCAAGACGAATGTTCGTCTGCGACGTCGATGGCGTCGCCTGCTGCTGCTGCTGGCCATGTTGTTGCTGCTGTTGCGCAGCAGCTGCCGCTGCTGCTGCAGCCGCCGCCGCCGCTCCCTGCTGCTGCTGAACCACCTGACAGTACTGTCGGACAGTCATTGCCGGCTGCGCGATGGCAGTTGCAATCATTCGCTGATGCATCGTCGCCTGCTGCGCAGGATGCTGAGGCGTCATGAACTGATGATGCTGCTGAGTCGGCTGCTGTTGCGGCTGCTGTGCATGATGCTGCGGATGATTTTGCTGATTGTGCGGATGCTGCTGAACGGGAACGAACTGCGGCTGATACTCGACAACCTTCATTCCCGAGAGACCTCCCGGCCCAAACGACACCGCCTCCATGGTGGCCATGGTGACAAGCTGCTGAATAGCGCACGGCGCATCGGCAATTATATCGCACGCCGTGTCGCCCATCTCCGATATCTGATACAAGCATTCCAATGTGTAAACGCACATCATAATATCCTTGATTCCAATGATCTCGAAAATGTGATTAATGGTTTTCGAGTTGAGCCACTCGCAAATCGTCGCCTCGTTGCCTTCAAACGCGGCGAGCCCGGTGAGAATCTCCAACGATCTAATGATTTTGAATTTGTCCGAGCTGAATATCCCATCATTGACTAGCCGAAGAATCGCGTGATCGGCAATGTGCACCAAAGTCTTGTCAGCCAAATCGATCTGAACACCAAGAATCTCGTCTGAGCATCACGATCTATACAAAATCTTACATCGCTAGCCAAATTTCCAAGCGCATCGAACGCCGCCGTGTACAACGGCGCCCATCGACAATTCGCGCAGAGCAACAAGAATTTCATAACGGGCCATGTGCGGACAATCGTTATCCGATTCACAGGCTCAAATGACAAATTGCGAATAATGGTGGCGATTTGATTGAGTCGCCATGACACTGGATCGTGAACACTGAACGAATGGTTGAGACCGGTAAAAAATTCCTCGTCTTCATCCTGGAAATAAGAATTGAAAAATAGACACCCTATAAATTTAAAGGCACATACCACTTCTTTCCTAGCGATATGAGGACCTGCATATTTGGCAATCAGCTCTTTCGGAGCTCCGCAAGCCGCCCAGAACGATGGAAAATCGTGATTGGAGGCTTCTTTCCAGACGGGACCCAAATCGGCTAGTGATTCATTCTCATCTTAAAAATTTGCGAATTTCGCAACGGAACAAAAAAAATACGTGAAATACCATCATAAATTCCCGCATGAGCGACGAGAACCGTCAAAAGCGTCGGCGCATTCGAAATCCTCAACTGTTTCGGGCCGGTGTGCGATAAAAGCATACAAACATTCACAGCAAAATCGGTCTAAAATAGAAAATATTTAGGTTTTGCTTTTTTTTTTGAAATAATGAAAAAAATAAACAAAACAATGTACCTCATTCGGCAACCCCGTGAGAAGCGATTTAATTAGTTTCGAGTAATCATGCTCCTGAATAATATTGCCGCGTTCATCTCGAGGAACATACGCTGGAAGAACAGAAAAAATGAGCATTTCGATGAGCAAATCAATCACTTACGATGCAACCGATTGCTGCTAATCGGACATTCATTGGTGGCGAAGAACGACGAGGTGCCGCGGCCGCGACCCCGTCCCAAATCATTGTCGAGAAAATCATCGACATCGCCGATTGTTTGAATTTGCTCGTATTTCGACAAATATCTACAATTTCCAACAGAAATGATTTTTGTTTTCGCAAAATTCAAAAAAAAACTGATGCTACCTCATATAAATTAGTTTAATTGCGTGATCGCCGCAAACCACATCGTCCTTGCATCCGAGAATCTCAGCAACATTCGACCATTTCTCTCCGGCTGCCACCTATATCGAAATTGGTTTCGACTAGATCTCAATTGACTCACCTTTTGCCATCCTCCCAGCGCTTGTACCGTATCATAGAGTCTGAACAGATTGACTTCAACACCCTGAACGCAAGGAATGAGGAGCGGCGCGTTCCATCGCTTCTTATAGAACATTCGCAGAGTGTGATAAAAGTCCTGAATTTTTCGCTGCTTTTCCAGCGGATCTGTCAGACTCTCAATATAGCTCTCCATTGCCGATTTTCGTTTTCGTGTCTCCATTTTGTGTGCGTGTGTATATATCTGGCTGGAAAGGAGTGATGGAGATCTGAAAATTTGAAGGTGATCATCGTCAATCAGAATACCGACGAGTAACAAAGTGACATTGATGCACGCCTACCAAACTCGGCGCGCTGCGCGCGAGCGTGGTGACGCCGAGAAGCATACGGGGTCAGGATGGGACAGTGACGCAGAGTTGGCTAACAATCCGAGATGGTACCATTTCGCGAATCGTCCATATTCGGATCGAAACGGATTTTACGAAAGAATTCGATAGGTAGGTGTTGATGACCTTGAAATTGGGGGGCCGAGAACGGGATAGAATGAGGATATAACGGAAAAATTTAAAAACATCTCAAAAAAATTCATTTCTAGCACTGTATTCCATACAAATTTGCCTCTTTTTTCAAAACAATTCTCCAGCCCATTCAAGATGTCATCCTTTCAACGATGAATACGATTACGGAGGCATCAGGGTTCAAAAAGTTGTGCGCGTTTAATTAAAGTCGCCAGCGGCACACATGTTCCAGCCAGCGCCCTCCCACCTTGGAGTAGGGAGGGGGAGGTGTCGTTGAAAACCAGCAAAAACGGCTGCAACAAGCATAAAGGAGGCGGGCGAGCTGCGGTAGGAGAAGAAGAAGAAGAAGATGAAGGAAAGGGAGAGGACCCCCCACACAAACTGATATACGCTGCGCGCGGTGGCGGGCACAACGCGCGGAAGAGCCGCCGCATGATAATACAGGGCCTGCGGCAGCAGCAGCAGCAGCAGCGGCGACGCACACACACACACACAACAAAAAAAATTGCGTCGTCAAAGAACGAAGAAGGGGGCAGACAAAAATCGGGTAGTGGTGGTGGTGTCCAGTTGAAAAGGAGGCTGGACGCGACGCGCGCACGCCTCGCGTCGCACCCCAGCGTCTAGTAGTGTCTTGTGTGACGGGACGGGCCAGGCCAAGCCAAGCCAGGACAGGCCGGCTGCTGCGGCGGCGGCGGCGATTCTCTCCTCCACTGCAATTGATCGACGCGCGCTACGCTCGCATGCGACGGCTAGTCAGCCCACTCTCCCTCCGACCAACCAACACGCACTCGCTCGCTCGCACACACACTCACACATAGACACACACAGGGACAGACATATGTTTGGGCCCGGTGTTGGTGGTGGTCGGGGGTACGAACGATGCGCCAGAGAAGAACGACACCACCCCCCCCCCCATTAACTGATAATAGGTGGTGGTGAGGTAGAGGATTATACTGTATTAAAATAGAAAGAGCTCAAGATGAATATTACTGTATTTTACAAATAGTGCGCGCCGTATTAAAAAAAAGGGTCGGACCGAACATTTGAATTGGCAATTTGTCTACCTATTTTAGGCCACGCGCGGGAAATATGACATTTTTATACAATTTTTAATTAATTTTCTTGAACTTTTTTCGATGCATAATCTACTAGATTATCCGAGGATTTTTGGACTATGTTACGTGATTAAATATTTTTTTCATTAAAAAAATTTGTTGATTAAATTGCGGAGATGACGACGTTTCGCTGAAAAATCACACAATTTTTTCGAGTTATCAGTTGAACTTTTAATCATAATTATCTGTAGACAGGCGAATTGGGAGCGAAAACCAGAAAGAATAGTCCAAAACCTAAACTGAAAATTTTGTCGAATTATTTTCGAACATTTTAGAAACTTTCACATCGTTTCTAGTATAAAATTATTTATATTTTTGATTTTTCTAAAGAAAAACCTACGAAAATAATGATGTCGGGTAAAAGACGTGGAAAACTAAAAATAAATAAATGCCAAGATTTGAATTTAAATTAATGTTTATCAATGGAGCGCACTTGCCCACTCGATTATGCGGCGCGTATTCGAAACCAATTAAAAAATTTAAATCAATTTGTCATTTTTTTTATTTATTTCATACAATTGTGATAGTCTACTTATTTCGAACTGTTATTTAGCGGCTCAAGTTCACGATCGCCGGATTTTCGCGGTGTTTCTCCGCCCATTTTCGGTGTCGGCACCAGCATTTCCTCGATTTTCGTGAACGGCTTCTCAAACGCCAGCGTGAACACGAATGCCATCAAATAAGAGGCGGTGATCGCTTCAACGGTATGACGAAGCTGGAATTTTTATGAGATAAAATAGAAAAATCGAAAAAAATGGGTACCATTTGGACAAATGTGGTGAAATGGAATGGCTGCGGTCGGCTCAAATTGTAAATTTGCAACATTATTGGATGCAATAAATATGCGCAAAATGTGATTTTCGACAATGGCACAAAGAATCGCCAACTTAGAATGGTGTCAACTGGACCTAAAAGCAATAAAAAATTAAAATACAAAAAAATTATATATATATAAACCTCCATTTCCCGATGTGCATGCAAAAACGACCCATCCAAGTGCCAACGCATACGAATTCCGTCCGAAAATTATATACAAAATCTAGAGTTTAAAATTCACATCAAAATTTCAAGGCACACAATACCTTCCACCATTCCGAAATGTCTCCAGTTTTAGCGAACCAATAAAGCCCAAAAACCGAATAGAGGCCGAGAATTGTGGACATCGTCCAGCCGATCATCACATGCTTCTAAAAAAAGGAGGAAAACAATTTTTTGAGTTTCGCGTCGAATCAAACCCTCTCCATTTTAATTTTCAAATCTTTTTGATCTTTTTTCGTTAAAACATTCAAAAAATATGCGACAATGACGCCAATAATAAACGGGGTGCATCGAATGTATGGCCGAACGTATACATGATTCCAATATTCATCAAGCTGTTTGACACTGCAAAATTTCTGCCCTCATTTTAATCATTTAACTTCTTTCTTTTTTTAAAAATCGACTTACATTTGCAATTTTGCTGTTAATAATGGCGCCGGCGGAAATTCCTTGATCTCAATGATCACCAACTTGATAATTGTGGAGATCACTATGAGAGCGCTTGAGACCATCAATCCGGGTCTTGTGCCGAATTTGAGGAATGTGATGATCAATATGGGCATGAGGAACACATGGAATTGCATGTCGTTCGCCAGATACCACGTCCAGCCCATACACTAGACAAAAAAAAACGATCGAATTTCAATTTTTTGCAAAAAAAAAGCAAAAATCTTACGCATTCCACGTCTTGCAAAAGAAAATTGTTGAGGTAAATGAAGTTGGTCCACCAGGCATGCCGGCATCCCTGCTTCTCAATCGGCCTCCAGAACGGACCATTCGAAATATATGAGAATAGGGTGACGTCGAAGAGCATCACAACGGCGTACGTTGGTGTAATTCTAAATGTTTTTTGTTCGACAAATATTTACACAGAAAAATCAAATTGCATTTTTTTTACCTAATATATCTTTTGTAATAAGCAGCGAGCCAGGTACGATAGTCCGTCGGATTATATTCAGGTGTCGGCGGGTTGGCACGAGATTTTGGCTTCAAGTAGCGTTTGAAGAAGAAAAACGCGGTGAGCATTCCACTGGAAAATTCTTGTATACACACAAAAACTCGCCTCCTCCTCCTCCTCTTCACCTTAAAAAGAAGAACGAGTCGACGGCCAACGGCGCTTGCACAATAATCTGCGTGTAGAACATCTTCGGAAAATTGATGAGCGTCGGTAGGAGATTGTCGGTGGTTAGACTCGTCCCGATATAATAATACGTGTGTCCGAGGATTATCCAGCACATGCTCAGAAATCGCACACCGTGAAGCGCGTTGATTTCGCCGTCGCGCTTCTTCGATTGCAAAATTTCCAGTCCGTTCGTGTACAGCGAATACGAAAGAATGAATTTGATGAAGTGGTCTGAAAATTTTTAGAGAAAAATTTGCGATTAAATTTAAAAAATGTATACGCTTGAATGCTGGATGCGCTGGATCATAACCATATTCCATTGTGGATTTTTGAACAATGAAAAGATCGTAGAGGGTTCCGAACACGGCAAAGATTACTGTAGCTATGGCAAGATACCTAATATGGCAACAATGTCTCAGTTTTCATAAAACGCGGACTTACAGCGCCAGCATTGCAAGACTATTCTGGCTCATCGCGTCTGAGTAATTCTCGGCGCGACATTCCACACTAACATTGCACACCTTGTCCATTCCAGTCATTGCTTCGGCCGCGCGAATCGCTGAAATTCAAAATTCCATTTTTTTTAGCACAAAAATCGTTGAACTTTCGAATTTCGTGCTAAAAATTTCTATGTTTGCCACAAAAATAAACGCCTACCAAATTTGAGCATTCTCGTCACATCATGATCGGTGCACGTATTCGGCACACACATTCCGAATTTCAGCAAAGGGAGCAGATCGAAGCATTGACCGTCGTCGGTGATATTGGTGTCTGATGGCTTCTCATAGCAATGCTTATCAACGGGCCCCGTGTTGCCGAATGCCTTTAATGGGTTGTCCCTCTCATACGCGTTGATATTCGCTAGGCAATATTGGCCCTTCCAGAATTGGCTGAAAATTCTCGTCGCTTCCATTTCGAAACAACAAAACGAAAATGGTTACCCCTGGCGATTTTTGACGACTTGAATTTTGCGACATGTATTCCACGAGCCTACCCAAAGATTGTTGCCGCTCGAAATGCCGGCTGGCACTTTTCCCATTGCGTCGAACACTAGAAAATTTGAAAATGTCCAAAAAATTCGTTGGATATCATTTGATTGGAACCATTGAAAATCCAATGACGCTCATTTTTCTTCTGCTGGAACAATGGCGTACACTGACAGTCGGTGCAATTCTTGTGCACTTCCACATGGGTGGCGTACTCGACACCGGTCCACGCGAGATGCAGCATATCGCCGATGCACGCTGAACGTCGGCATTCGAGCGATTTTTGCAATTACGTTGAACCTACGCGCCGAGACATCGAACTCTTTCATTTTTTCGACGAGCTCCACCGCGTACTTCATGATTTCCAGGTTTCCCTCCTCGGCGCCCTGCCTGTAAGCTTCACCGTAGTTGAAAAAATGATAGAAAAAATCCAGGTCAAGAATGAGTTGCGATTTCGAGTCGGCCATATTACGCGAAAACACCGAGCTTAATTCCTGAAAATTCACAACAACAAAAAATTGTCGTCAAATGTGGTGTGTCCGCAATTGCACAATTGGCGCAATATTCGACGCACCTTTTCGTCAGTCTCGTCATAATCCAATTCGATGTCATTGAACAGCGATCCGGAATATTTATAACTGGATTTAGCCGAGCATGCGCATATTAGGAATATGAAAATGCCGAGGCGCATCTAGAAAAAATGATAATGTTGAATTCAATTCACGAGAAGAAAAAAAAATGAAATTTTCGGGAAATTATTTCTGACCCAATTATAAGAAGTGCATTATAAAAAACTTATCAATTGGGGAGAGAAGGTCGTTGTTGGAGCTTAGGCGCATAAAATGTGTCAATCATTAAAAGAGACGCAGAGGAGCAATTGATAGGCAATGGCAATAATTGGAGGCATCGATGGTATTTGAGCGATGGGTATTAAACGTATTAGAAAGTTCCATTTAAGACATCTTTGGCCGAAACTTTGTGATTTAAACTCATAAATTTATTCCAGAATTTTAAGAATTTCCACGTCAAAACGTCGGAATTTTTTTGAGCGTACTGTGCAATTGTGCGTAGAGTTCAATGGTGTTTGCGGACTTTCAATTTTTTTTTCAATTTAAATGAAATATCGATTTTTTGAAGCGAAATTCCACTCAAGAAATTGAGGCAAAACTTAAAACTACACAAAAAATCTGTGATAAAGAACCGTGAAATTCGTTCGCAATCATTTCAAAAAAACCGGAACCGGTTTTTTCTTCTCTGAAAAAAAAAACGAGGTGACGACCAACATTTCGGAAAAACTGCCAAAAAATGGAGACCGGCGCGAAACAATGGGAGGTGAAGAGGGGAGGAGGTGGCGACGAAGGCGACGAACACCGAATAATTAGCGGACAGTGTCGGCGTTTCGCCGTCGACAACGCTATTCGTTCATTTTGTCGAGGTCAAACGGAAATTAGGCAAAAATGAGTGGTCTCGAGTTGAATGAATAACCACAATGAGACCAATTTTATGATAAAAAAATCACGTTAATAAATAATAATCGTAATAATAAAACATTTAAAATAACAAAAAAAAAAACTTTTTTTTTATATAACAGAAAAATTAGGATGGCGGTGGTGGTGGTGGCACACCTCCCACTGATGGTGGCGCTGGTGGTCGACTTGGCGGGGGTGGTGGTGGATAGGCGCCGGGACCTGTGGAGCCGAAGCGTGGCGGCGGCGGTGGCATTCCTCCCGGAAATCTGCAAAAAAATTAATAGGCGAGAAATTAATTGGTGAGACTCACCCTCGCATTCCTGGTGGTGGCGGTGGCACCAAGCCTGGCGGCATTGGTGGCATTCCGGGCGGTCCGAATCTCGACGCCGATGGTGGCGGCGGTGGTGGCGGCATTCCTGGTGTTCTTCCTGGCGGTGGCGGCGGCGGCACACCACCGGCGCCCCACATTCCCGACGATGGCGGCGGTGGCGGTCTCGGCGTCATTCCTGGCGTTGGTGGCATTGGCGGCGGCATTGGTGTGACGGTTTGCGGAGGCGGCGGCGGCACTGGCGGATAGCCGGCGCCCGCGTACGCCATTGGTGGCGGCATTCCCATTGGCATCAGCGGCGGCGGCTGGAATGTTGGACGACCGGAAGCGGCGGCGGCGATGGCCGCATGAACACCCGGCATCGCCAATGGCGTGTTCGCCGGGATTCCCAACGGGGCGTCCGAGAAGACTTGATGAGGACGATCTTTGGGGAATAGCGGATTCTGAGCGGCCAACATTCTTTCAGCAGCGGTTCCGTGGCGTTCACCCTTCGAATCCCTCTTAAACGCATAAGAAACGGTAATGGCTCTAGAAAAGACATAATAAAATTTGAATATTTTTCCAATTGTTACCGATTACACAAGAATTGCCCGTTCATAGCTTCTAAGGCGGCATCAGAGGCCTCAAAGGAAGCGAAATTGACAAAAGCGAAACCCTTTGAGCTTCCGGTATCCACGTCTCTCATAATTTTTGGGACTTGCAGAATAACACCAAATGCGCTGAAAGTGTCATAAAGCAATTTCTCGTCGACTTCTGGATCCAAATTTCCGACGAAAATGTTCGCGCCGACGTCCATATTTTTCTCATGAGCTGATGCTTTATTCACCTGAAATTTTTTAATGGAAATAATTTTTTTTAATGAAAATCTTACCTTTATTGGTTTTCCGTATAATTTGATCATGTTCAGAATTTTGATGGCATAATCGGCGTCCTCTTCGCCCATGAATTCAACAAATCCAAATCCTTGATGATTCGCTGTTACTCGATCTTTTGGCATGTTAACGCTGACGACAGGTCCCGCTTGAACCATTAATTCCCATAATATTGATTCCGACACTTTTTCATCAAGACCACCCACATAAATAGTGGCGTCTTGATTGCGTTCGACTATCGGCCCGGCCGACATCTACAAATTTGTTCATAATGTAACTTTTTCAAAAAATGAGAAAAAAAAAAGTTTATTGAAAATGAGAAGAGATCAATTAAAAATGGGCAAAAATGGGGATTTTCGAAAATAAAAATTCAAAGGCGTCGTTGTTCAGCGTGGACTAAGTTGAACACCTCGGCCACGGCCACGTCAAATTTCCATTTCTTCGCTGGGTTTCGCCGCGCACTCGGCCTCAATTTTCGCTTTCATGTCGTCAGATGTTTCGATAGTTTTGAAAAATCGTTCAAATTCAATATTTTCACCTAAAAAATAAAAAAAAATAATCAAGAATTTCGGCGAAGAATTGCCTTTTTCGTTCCATTCTTTGCGGTCGACCCATGGAATTTTGAAATTTTTCGCGGCCACCAATTCACGAGCGCATTTCCACGCGTAAATTTGCGGATCTCCGACATCCGAGTGCACGTTCACATCGAATTCCACCGGAAGCAGCGATCGAACTTCACTTTCTCTGAAATTTGACCAAAAAAAAAATGTGAGGACCAACGCCGCGAAATCCAACAATCTTTGCTGAAATCCGGCGAATTTCGCCGATCCGCCGATCACCACAATATTTTCCGATAATGCGGCTCGCAAATTCTCCGGACAACGCGCCAGACTCTCCACAACCGCCTCGCCAACACCCATCTGATCCAAATCAACATCGGAAGGACTGCAAAACCAGTTTTGCGGAAAAATTAAACAAAAAAAAAAGAAAAATACTTAAAAAGGAGTTCCGGTGTTGCGAATCGTTCAACACCTAAGCTTATAGAAGGAATATTGGCGTCAAAAGGTTCTAAAAATTAAAAATATCATATAAAAAATTTTTTTCAAAACCATTCATATCCTTGACAATTCCCCGAAATGTCGTATGAAAATCCGGCATGACATATCGTTTTGCGTTCGATTTTCGCTTCAAATCCCCATTGAAATCCAAAGAAACATAGCAGACATCTTCTTTACATTCATTAATGATATGGGTTTCTTCGATCACATTCAACTGGCGATACGAGATCCAATCCTTCAATTTGTTTGTCAACGCTTTTCCGCTGATGTCAATTCTACAATGGGAAAATTGCAAATTTTTTCAAAAATTGACATTTTCTACCGAATGACACCCTCCTGAATCAAAATGCCGTCGACATAGGGCGCCACGTGGGTCGACGAAAATCCGCAATCAACAATTAGTGCACATTTCTCAAAGTTCACTTTGCTCGAATGCTCGCCGACAAAACTAGCGGCTGCGCCTTTGAACACCGAATGGAATCCAAACGTCTCGAACAGAATTTCGCTCGAGACGTCGGGAAGCGCCGGCACCAAATAATTATTGTCGGTGAGCATTATGCGCGATTCGTTCGGCTCCTCAATTTCCAGCGTTTGGAACGCCTTCTCCCAAATTTGCTGTTGAGTTTCCCAATTGGCTAAAAAAAGGAAATATATTGAAATTCAAGATTAAAAAAAATATATTGTTAAAGGCGCATACTGACGTAACCCCTCTCGATGGGTCTCACGTAGAATAGCGAGCATTTATCTAGGCATTCATCTTGCTCATGAGCAATGAACACCCGCTTCCTTTCATATTTCGCCTTGACGATACTGTTTGGAATCAATCTAGAGCAAAATTTCAGATTTTAAGCATCCAAATAAAAAACCTCGGCTCTTCCTGAAGCGAGGTGCCCAACTTCAAGTGATATCCGCCATTGTCCAAAATCACTATCGATTCCTCCACAACCATTCTAAAAAAGAATTTAGCGAATTGAATTTTAGGAAGAAAAAAACAATCATGTAAAAATTCGTGGAAAAACCTTCTCAATAACAACAATAAAAGGACAATTTATGCCTCTATCCGATTTTATTATTAAAAAAACCCGAAGATTAGTACATAGATGCCAATTATCACATTAAATTCAATTCTTATTCCCAGGTGAGTTGAGATGGTCCGCCTCGCTGCAAGAGTCGCTGGATCCTCGCCACTTCAGCGTCCTTCTGCTCCATCTACAACTAGATCTTTTATTTTTTTTAAATGATATTTCAATCTTGCCTCATCAACCGGCGTCCAACTCCTATCATACTCCAATCGATAGGATCCAAGGTAGTCCTCCTTCTTCTCCAACTTCCCCCATTCATCAGGTGCCAACATCGAGAAGTACTTTTCCATCGTCGGCCGCTTCTGATACAAATGGTAAATTCGTCCCGGCTGCTTCTGCATATTGCATGCCACGTTGTGGAGCTCCTCGTCGCGTTGAGCTTCTTCTAGCACACATCTCGCCGCCACATGAAGCTGCTCCATTTGCTGGGCGATGTGTTTGAGACGATCGCACGCGCGACCTTTGACGAGTTGCCTTCAAGGTCAATCCTATTAGCAAATTCTCGAAATCATCATTTCATTTACGAAAAAAAAACACCATCCAATTTTTGTTTGAGGGATTTCAGTACCTGGCATTGTTCAGCTGATTCGCCAGAGCCACCAAATCATCAGCATCAATTCGATCGGTTTGTCTGGCGCTGGTAACAAGACGATTCTCCTCATCTCTTGCTCGAACCAAAGGAACACCGACTCGCTCTCCGGTCTCAGTGAGTCGCACAACTCGCTGATCGTCCATTTCTTAAGGATACCGTTGTTGTTTGCAAAATTCATTGGGAAATATCGATTAGAGGTGAATGAACTCGTGGAAAACGCAAAAAAAAACCCAAAAATCGTGTAAAACATTCATTCACCGAGGATGGGTACACAAAAAATGTTCGTTTGTTGGAAATAAATAAGTTTTGATTTGATTATTCACTGCTTGCGTTTCAATTCGGCGGCCATAACCCGCTCAGCAATCCCAGCACGGTCCTTGGCTTGCTTGATGGCCTACAACGTTTATTTTTTTTAAATCGATGGAACTGAATAAAAGAAAATACCGCGTCAACGAGTGGAAGCAATTTTCCTTCTTTCGCGAGAATCTTCAAAAGCTCAATAATAAATGGAAGGTAGTTGTGACGACGCCGGATGTTCTCCTTTCGATATCTGAATTTTATTTTAAAATTTTATTTCAAAAATTAATCAATCTACAATGCCGCCTTGTATTCCTCATCAGCAATTCCTTGTCGAAGCTCTGCGACCTGATCTTGAATATTGACACCTGGTGGTGGATTCGCCAACAATTTGGCGAGATCCTCCTAAGATTCTGGCATTTTTCCAATTTCTCCATTTCGAATAACATACCTCATATCTGGTCTTTCTATTCGGAATCACCGCCATCAAATTGAAATGAATTTCGCCTTCGCTATACTTCTCCATGCGATCCTGGATCACCGGACCAATCGCCTCAAGCCAGTCCTTGCCATCGGGAATATCCGCAGCAATAATTGGGTACTCTCGAAGACCATCCAATTCGTAAACCTTGCCTCCCACAGGGACATAGGTCACAAAATGATAATTGTCCTCAGAAGACTCTCCTTTCTGGTCGAGCTCATAGAGAGTTTGACGAGCGAAACTGTTGTGCACTTTGCGGATCTCCTCGCAGTTCGAAAGGCACAAGCCTCTCGTGGAAGCATCGAACTCGTTCGCGAACTCCTTGTACTCTTTGAGAACTGGTCCGAGTTCGATGTTCGGATCATTCACATTCATCAGCATGTTTATGATAGCCTGTGTGGCGCAAGCGTTGTTAATAACTTGTTGGGCGAAGAAAATGCGGCCGTCGGTGGCGAATTGGCCAGCTGGAACGTCGCCAGAGCGATACTTGAACAAAAATATCAAGCCATAAACCGGTCTGAAATAAAAATCGAAATGATTTCGATGATTTTTTGGATGTTTTGACCTTGGAAGCGTCTCATCCAAATCGGTAACCGAGTAGAGTTCCTCGACCTGCATTCCCTTCACACCGAAACCTTCAATCATTTCGGTGAAAATGCCGGGATCGCTCTCAATTAAGCACCAATTTCCAGCGTCGGCCATTTCCTCTGCAAAATTGATGATTTGGCGACAAAACTGTGGAAGATGCGAAAAATGGTGATTTTGAATTGGTCGTCGCCGCACCATTCGTGCCCCAGCGAAGTGTGACGCGAAAAGCGCACGGCACGCGGATCGCGCCAGTGCCCGAAACACTGGGTCAAATTCAATTAGGGGGGGGGGGGCGAAATTATGTTCAACTTCTTCTCGCCCCCCAAGCATTTTGCGGTTTTCAGTGTGTTGAAAATTTTACCAGAAGCCGACATATAAAAAAATTGCCCAAAAACGTCATTGATGTGCTGCGCGAATCCCCTTTCATAAGCCGCGGTCTTCCTCATTTTTCAACTCAAAAACGATGTAATCCTGACGGGTGGCTTATTTTTGCGTTGGGTTTTTTTCTCGTCTCTTTTTGCACTCCAAAAGTAAAACCAAGAACGAATCGAACAAATTGCTGCAACGCTAATATCCGGCCGGCGACTATACATTTGCATAGCGTGTCCGAAAAATTTATTCTCATCTTTTTTCTTCTTTCTTTTTTTTTTTCATAAAACTCAAGTGGGCTCCTAACATCGCCCATTATGACATCATTTTTGTCTTGCTCATTAGAATCTTTCCTGCGTTTTATTATTATTTTTTGTTATATTTTTCGCGCAGATTGCAATGGTCCATGTGGACGATAGGCAAGCATCAAGCTCCGAGGCGGACCCCGCCGAAACTTCAACAACGAATTACGTTCGTTTTTCCGGACAAGGTCTTCCCGGCGGCGAGCAGCAGGTCAGCAATGTGAAAAAATCGCCAGAACAAGCCGAGCCTGAAGAGCAGCAACCATATCAAAGTAATCACGTTTTCGAAGTTCTGAAAATTGTTTAAAATTAATTTTAGGAGCTATTCCACTTCAAGCCGCCCCTTCGTCTTCGTCAACCAGCGTCGTACACCATAGCAGTTATCCAGTTGATGAAAATGATCATAAATATGTTGGGCTTGTTAATCAGGCGATGACATGCTACTTAAACAGTTTGGTACAGTCGTTGTATATGACGCCAGAGTTCAGAAACGCTATGTATGAGTAAGTTCTTTCTAATTACTAGGCGATTAATTAACCCAATTAATTTTAGATGGGAATATATATCATCTTTGGGTGGTCCGAAAGCGTCAGGAATGGCAGCGAAGCGCGGCGAATCCAGCATCCCGTGCCAACTTCAGAAGCTTTTCCTTCTACTCCAGACGACTGACAACGATGCGCTTGAAACTCGCGACTTGACTGCCAGCTTTGGATGGTCCGCTTCCGAGGCTTATGATCAGCACGATGTTCAGGAGCTGTGTCGTCTCATGTTCGACGCATTGGAGCAGAAATGGAAAGCGACGAAGCACGAGAAGCTGATTCAGGATCTTTATCGTGGAACAATGGAGGATTTTGTGAAATGCTTGACTTGTGGAAAAGAAAATGTGAGAACTGATTACTTTTTGGATTTGCCGTTGGCGGTGAAGCCGTTTGGAGCTGTTCATGCATTTAGAAGTGTGGTAAGTGATTATCCAAAAGAAGCTGGACCACGTTTGAATTCCTTTTATAGGAAGAAGCTCTTCACGCTTTCACTCAACCTGAGCTTCTTGATGGTTCCAATCAATATAGTTGCGAGAATTGCAAAACGAAGCAGGATGCCCATAAAGGCCTCAGAATTACCCAATTCCCGTATTTGCTAACAATCCAACTCAAGCGATTTGATTTCGACTATACCACACTTCATCGAATCAAACTTAATGATAGGTTTGTGACCTTTTCGATTCGAATAATGCAATTTGTTTTGTTAAGAATGACATTTCCGGACATTTTGGATCTGAATTCGTATATTTACAATAAGAATGAGGCGAAAAGTGAAGCGCAATCGATTTCGCGACGCCTTGATGATGATGACGATGAAGATGATCATGTGAAAATGGATCTTGGCTCACCGAATAATGTAAATCAATTGAAAATCTGGCTACTTAAAAAAATTTTATTTCAGAATTCTGGTGATCTTAGCGATGCCGGCTCGTCGAATCCATATTTGGATAGAGAAAACGTACGAGTTGGTCAACCAATCGATCATAAAGCTGTGGACAAATTGTTGGAGAATGGCGAAAACGTTTATGAATTGTTCTCGGTGATGGTGCATTCTGGAAGCGCTGCTGGAGGACACTATTTTGCCTATATAAAGTATAATAATAATTTTTTTTCGTAAAATTTCGATCATTTTTCAGGAATATGGAGCAGGATCGCTGGTATAGCTTCAATGATACGCGTGTCGATTTTGCCAGTGTCGAGGAAATTGAGGTTTTTTTTGTTTTAAAAAAATGACTATCAAATTTTTTGTGAAAAATGACATTTAGAAAACATTTGGCGGTCATTCTGGTGGTTGGAATGCGTCGAACACGAATGCTTACATGTTGATGTATCGCAAAATTGATAAGACGCGAAACTCGCGATTCATTCACACTAATGAGCTGCCGAAACATATTCTGCGACTTCAGCAGCGTTGGAGAGAGCAGGAACGAGAAGCCGAAGAGCAGAGACTCTTGCAACAAAGTTTAGTTACGGTAAGCCAAACGCATTTCCAAAAATTTTATTCAGCAACGCCAAAAATTGATGATTAAAAAAAATAAATTTTTATAAAGGATAATTATTAATGAAAAATGCTCAGAGAAAATAGGGAATCGAAAAATGTGCAAGGATTTTCATGGGAAGATTTAGAGTTCCTTAAAAAGCGATACCACCATTAATTAATATCGTTGAAATGCGACAAATTAAGAGGGGCCAAAACGATGGTCTCGAGACTACGCGATGCGCGTTGTGTACTCCACACGGACAATTCGTCATTTATCAATGTGTATATCCCCGACAATACATAGATTAAATCGAAAATGATTGTTGCAGTAATTTGAATAATAAGGAATGCGCCTTAATACAAAAATATAAAATAATTGAAAAGGTCTTTTCTAATTGACGAAATTCTGTGTGATTGTGTTGGAAAAAAATGGCAAAATTTTGGCAATTTATGCAACTTTATAACATTTTCGTTCGTTTTCAGGTCCAAGTCTCATTGAACTATGCGGTGCCGTCGGTGAATATAATCGATAAGAAGGAGGTCGATCTTTTAGCATTGAAGCACAAAGCTCGCGAGGATTTTGTCGATTATGTCACCGAGATTCCGCGCACCCAATCGATTTGGACGGTATACCATCAGGCGTTTAGTTTTTTCGCCGAACGCGCGAAAACCTATGGATTGGTATTTCCGAAAAATAATGTGAGTTTTTTTTTTTTGAATGGAAAATATTGAAATTGATATGTTTTAGTGCCGCCTTTTGTACGTCGAAAAAGAATCGAATCTGAAAATGTTTCATGTGAAGAGTGAAATGGAGAAAAAGGTTGGTTTTTTTGGTTCATTTTCGAATTTCCCATATTTTTTTTAGACATTGAAAAGCCTTTTCTACTTTACCGATCCGGAGCCACTTCATCGTATGAACTTCCTCTTCGATGTTCGCATCGCGTCAAGTAGAACTTTTTTTTTTGAATACGCTGAAATGAAGCTCGAATTTTCAGGTTTCTTCAACGTCGAACAGACTGGCGGCCGAATGGTTGAGGTTATTCGTGTGGATGTTGGCAAACGTGTCACAATGCCGCATATAATGGTGTATATTCGACCGGGTCTCAAGGTACGTCTTTTTTTTTTTGAGATTCTCTTAAATGGAAATTTATGAGACTTATTTTTTTTTCAAGATTGTCGAATTTCGCCAACTGATTGGTGGACAATTTAGGGATGACATTCATGATTCATTTTCGGCGAGGTAGTTTTATTAAAATAAGCCATAAGTTTGCACTTTGGAAACGCGAAAAATGTTCAGAATGGTCTTGGAATCTCATACGAACGGCGGAAAATTGGTTCAGATCACCAAAGAGCACAATCCGATCTATTTCGATGCGTTCATTCGAGAGCACGCTGGTCGCGCGGGTTTAATTGTAATCTCTGTGTCGCGAGTAGTTCGCTTTTTTTCATTTCAATTCTGTTTGCAGTTTTATTTTGATGGCGGTTTGAATCTGTGCAGCGCAGAAACGGTGGCGGCGACCAACGCTGATCGCGAATTGCCGTTTGAGCAATCGATGATGTTTGAAATACTTGACAGAAAATATTTTGCAATGACGCTTAAAATGAGATTCCCATCGCAAGGTTGATTTCATTTTTCGCTGGAATCAAAAAATCTCATGGTTTTCTAGACGAAATTGATCGTGCTGCCACTGCGGCGTCGGCGGTCAATGGTCCCAGTTGGACGGACATTTATGGTCCTGTGGATCAGACGAATGCGGACTTCATTGCGGAGGCGCCGATATTGGAAGCGGCGATTCCGAATGAGTGCGACGAGGATGCGTACGCGTCGGGTCGCGTCTCGACGGCATCGATGAGATCGAACAGCATCGGCGATTTGGATTCGGCGGATGTCAATCCGATAACTGGCAGCTTTTGCAATAACACACCGCAAATGTCGCCGAGCGTCTCGGAAGGCGATGATTTGGATCATAGCGAAGGCGAGATATCGTCGTTTGAATTGAGAGTAGGATTATTTGACGTCGGGTGGTGATTGCTCGATTCAATTTCGTGTGTATTCAGAATCAATTGAACGCCGAACGCACAATGGAGTATATGCAAGAGCAGCATTTTCAGAATTATGAGCAAATGGAAGTCGATTTTGCGAGTCCGTCGGTGAAAAAGAAGAATTTGAGAGGTTTTGAGAGTTTCTTTTTCTTCTTTTTTTTGAAAAGATTTATTAAAGAAACCAACAAAGTTTTAGGAATCGAGGAGACGCTGTCGGAATCGGCGGCGAGCTCCGGTCAATCGACGATCGTTGCTTCGACATCACTCCAGGCGGGGCATATTGTCGCCGAGAGTAACACGTCATCATCGGGAATGGATGGAAAAATTGTAGTGCTCAACGAGAATGAGAATTGTGAGTTATTTTTGTCTGCGTTGCTTCGAATCGTCTACTAGTAGTGAGTTAGACGCGCCCGAAATCATATATAATTAGCCGCTAAGCGGAAATGAAGTGCTTGTTAGCGAAAATTGGCACGTTGGAAATATAATTGCTAATTACAGATCGCAATATCGATATTGATTCTCGGTTGACGATCGGAGAGCTTAAAAAATGGATAGCGAATCAGATGAGCGTGAGTCGCGATCAATTTGTGATTCTGAAGCACTCGACCGACGACGGAACAGATTCCGGCTATGAGCTTCAGGCGAATGATGATGATTCGGTTGGAAAAGCGTTTCAATCGTGCATGGTAGGTTTTGAAGAGTTGGCTGAACTTCAATGAGTTTCAAGACAATCCCTCAGATATCGATCAAACTTCGGCCGCCGTTGAAGATGAATGAGCGAATCATTCAAGTTGTTCATTTTGATATGCGCGAGAATAATGTAAGTGCGCTCGCTAGCCGCTTGTCGTTAGAGATCAACTCGGCTGATTTTCAGCGCGAGAATTGGAAGACACTTTTTGATATTGTCGCGTCGTCGAGCACACTTATTGGAGACGTCTTGCTGCAGTGTTTGAGATTGTACAAGGACATTTATGCGGAGGAATTGAAGCCGGAAATGTAGGAGCGAATTTTGCCCGATTGAGCCCCCCTTCAGAAATTTTCAGTCGTTCTTTTTTTTTAATATTTAAAATTGGCTTTGAAATTTCAAACATCGTTTTAAACAAGTGACCCTAATTATTTACTATAATAAGGCTTCTTGCTTTAAGCCCAAGAAGCCAAATTTGGTGATCACTGGCACATGATAATGTCTTTAGGGTGCGATTACGCGATATTCCGGCTCAAGGAGCTTACAGCGGCAAATCGGCGCTTTGTCCGAATGAGCCAATGAGCGCGAGATCGGGAAACTGGGCGGCGACGCTGTACCTTCAGATAATATTGGGTATGAGGGGGCCATATTTTGAGCGAGGACCTTATTTGGTGATGACAATTTGCAGAAGACGATTTGATTGGGGCTCCCGGTGATCCGGTGCTTGTTCGCCGATTCCGACCGTCTACTGTTGAAGTTGGCCCGACGCAGGAGGTGCTTGTCGATCCGAAGGCGCCGAATCAGCTTCTCGCGTTTCTCGAAGCGCTATCAAAACATTCGCAGATACCGATTGAGAGGATTGGAATGCTGGAGGTTGGTTGAGCGAGTTTGTCAGGCGCAAACCAAAATGATCGATTGATGATTGCAGCTTTCAAGCTATAATTGGTCGAAATGGCCGTATCAGAAGAGTCGTCTCGACATGCTCGACGGCAAAGAGAAATTTGTGACCGATTATCATAAGACCTACGAGCATCCGCGCGATTTTATCCAAAAAGTTGGTGTTCGAGTGATTTACTATAAGGATATGGGCGAGAAGGCCAAAGAGTTGACCGATGATGAGCGTAAGCAGATCAAAATCAAGGAAATGGGATCCGAGGTTGCGAAAAAAATTGTTTTGTTGAAAAATGTGGATTTCTAGCCTTCCAATCGCCGAAAAGAACGACCATTGCGAATTCAGATGAGTAGTGTGAGCGAGGCTTAAATACACAAAATATATCATATATATATAATACCCAGATTATTATAATTCATATAGATTTTCTTTCGTTTTTTTTTGCTCCCACACCGGGTAACTTTGTCGGTGACCTTCCCTCTCTCGTTTTTTTTCTCTGAGCCCCGTTAATGTTTCATTTTTCGGTTTTTTCTTTGTTGCGTCTTATACCGGTATTACTACTATTACTACTATTTTGCGTGGATCGTACCCAGTGGTAGAATTTTGCAGTAAATTCCGAGAAATAGTTGAAAGTGGCTGATTTGTTTTTTTTTTTTCTTCAAATCTAGAGCTTTTTTTATTGATCGTTGAAGAATGAGAGATCGCCGCGACACTGTCCGGCAGCTCGCCGATATCTGAAACCGGAAACATGCAAATTCTGGCGTATTGGTCTTACCGATCGATGAGGCGCGATGGAACCGCGAGCTTGTTCCACAGAGAGAATATGACGATAATTGGCATTATTATCCAAACGCCTGAAGAAGCGAGAAGCTCGAGGATGAGCCGAAGCTGATTTGGGGGCAGCTCGAATCGGCCGACGTGTTGTTCGATAGCTGCTCGAAAATCAGCTTCGGCTCGGATTGCACTCGTGCTCGCTGTGAGCTGCACTAGTTGCAACCTCGGCGCTTTTATAGCGAACCAATTTGATTATAAACAATTTTTGACGATCCGAAATTTGATATTTTGCAATAAACAATGAATTGGTCTCGTCGACGAATCGAAAACTCACAATTTGGTACCCAAAAAATGAAAAATTTGTCGAAAACGCCAATATTTGAATTGATCGCCGGCTCATCGGTGGGCGGCTCGAAGACGAACATCGCGAGAAAAATGACGGTCTTCCAGAACACCATGACGGTGGTGAGGAATGCCAACGGAATGGCGTGACGGGAACGCGCGAAGCCCTGAAAGAAGCGTCGAGTTTGGAGCATGGATGATTGAAATGATATACCAAGGCGATGGCGACAAAGTTGAGCATGATCTCGATGAGCATCACACGACCGGTGGCGGCCGTCAGAGAATCATTTGTCGTTCGATAATGAGCGTCGACTTGCGAATAGAAGTTCCACGGTGTGTAGAAGCTTGTCGTCATCAAATACGGCGCCTCATTGGTGTAGGGTCGATTGATGGTGAAGGCGACGTCGAGCGAGCAGATCACACTCGAGAAGATGAGCCACAAGGTGATCCAGGCGGGAAGAATCGGCTGACGATAATCGAGCGATGGGTGCAACTGGAAATAGTGTTGGGTTTGAGGAGGGTGGCGAAAAAGGTCGAGCGAAAAATGAAATCACCATTATTTTGAGATATTTCGTTGGCAAAATACGATTTTATTGATTGGAAATGATTTTCAAAAGTGTTTTCGCGGAAATTTCACGTTAATTTGAGAAAAAAGCAATAAATAGAACATTTTTGCGAAGAGTATTTATTGCGAGACGAATAAATACAGTAGCGCGATTTAAAGGCGCAGGAGTGCCCAGTGGATAGGCTCTCGCAACGCTGGCTGAGTACGGTACGATGGGATTAAAATTAGGCGAGCGTTTTTTGTTCCTCCTTCTAAATAAAGGGACACGCGAAGAAAAAAAATAGTTTTTTTCTCGTGGAATACAATGAAATTGCTCTATTTTTTGTTGTTGTACACCTCATTACTCGAAATGGCTCGTCATACTTCCACACCTCGAAAAATGGCGACGGTGATGAATGTGTCGTCGCCGAAATTGTCGCGAATCACACGGGTCTCGCCGCGAAAACCGCGAGCCGCGACGACGATGACGGAGACGGCGCATCTTCGCGCCATGTCTCGGACCATCAAGAAGCAGACGGCCGAAATTTTGCGCGAGCTCGGCAAATCGAACGTCACGTTTCGAGCGGAGGCAATTGAAGCGCTAACCGAGGTCGTCGCGTCGAGACCACTTCTGCGGCCGACGACTGCTTTTGATGTTCAAAATGATTGATTCCGATTTTCGACGCATTCAGGCATCGTCGGGTTTCGTCGAGAAGCTGCTGAAAATCGCCGGACTCGCCGCGGCGCACGCCGGCCGCAAAACCCTTCAAATTGCCGATCTTCAATTCGCTTTGCACATCGAAGTGATCCAACAAAGCCCATAAATAATAATAATATATATTTTTTGCAACAATAAATTTTTTTGAGTGTGTTTTTTCAATTCATCTCCTCGTACGACATTATAGTTCTCATGGTGTTGCGAATCGTCGAAATGAAGTTGACCTCGCAGCCGGTGATCGAAATCGATTCGAACGTGATCTTCTAGAAAACCAAAAGGTATCGTGGCGAGACCCAATGATGGTTACATTATCGTCGTTGGCGCTTATTCGAATAGTCATCGTAAATGTGAAATATGTGATTGTGAGATTGCCGTCAAATTCTTCACGAATCGAATTCGGATACCGATAACTGCGAATGCTCATCAATTTCGGCATATACACCAAAATGTTGAGGAGGTAAATCGTCTCATCTGGAAATTGTGGGCGATTTTCAAACGCGTCAAACGCTGGCTCGTCTGTCAAAAACTCAGCGACAATTTCGTGGCGCAAATCGTCAACTCAAAACGCTCGTCGGTGTAGAATCGAAGATTTTGCGGATTCTCCTCGATTGCGCGATTCGTTTCGCGAAGAAATTGGCGAATTTCTGAGTATTGTGTGGTCTCAAAACGAGGAAAAAAAAAACACAAGAATAATAAGAAACAAACTTGTTTCCTCGTTGCTATGAAAAATTAGAAGTATGAAGAGAATTAAGCTTAAATGCATAATTGGTAGAAATGGTCAAGATTCTCACGAACCGCGCGTCACGTTGGCCCTATTTATTCCATTGGATTTCCTTTTTTTTGCTGTTGACAAGAATGTTTTTCGAGCGGCGGCCGTGGAAAACATGTGAGTCATTCATTCATGTGGTCACTCGGACCAAATTTGGTGTACTAGACATATGAGAAGTGCATCCGCTAGACGTCGACGTTCGGCGTGAGAACTTTTCCAATTATTTTGTTGCAAAAAATGGGATTTTGGTTTTTGGTGTGTCGCGGTGCGGTGCGGCTCGCGTCGCGGTTTTTTCATTTAATATTTAAATGCCGATTGAATTGACGTTTCGTCATTGGAAGCATCACACTCTCGATTTTCCATTAAATGATCACGGCGAGGACCGAATAACCGTGGCCGACTTTTTTCCTAGGCCGCGCCGCACGCGCAAATTTGAACAACAATTTGAAAACACCTTTTCTGAATTGTTTTCTATTAAAATTGTGTATCTTCTGAGAAAGACGCATCTAAAAAAAGTAGCTTTATAATAATTTCATAGAAAATTAAATTATTTGGGAAAGAAAACAACAGAAAAATTTGAACAACAATTTTCCAAAAATCCGAATTTCAACAGTGTTACTGTAGCATTAGTTCCAGGTGTGTCTTCTCGGAATCCGTCGGTCACCCCCAATTAGCCGCTATCCCTAGAAATTGGCACCTCCAAATTCTCGTGTAGTCCTCGCGTTGGACTTTATTTTTTCGCGTTGTGCGTCGGCCGACCCCCCCCCCCCCCCCGAAGAAGCTTCTCGACGCGTTGCCACGTGGACAACTATATTTAGACATCCAAATGTCGGCCACGTTCACGTGATAATTATCCACCATATGAATCATTTGGAAAACAAATATTTAAGGCACACGATTTCGAGTATTTTCGATAGATTCACGTGAAAAGACGAACACAAAACAAAAAAAAAACATGGCGCCACCAAATTTGATGTTTGAAATAGAAGTTTGGCATTTTCGAAAAAATCTCGACACATTTCTTTTTGTTGTTGTTGTTGTTGCTTCTGCTGTCGATAATACTGTAGCGCGATTTCGAGAAGGTGCGCTAATTATAGTCGTGGCGGTGTTCTCTGGACGATGCGTGCAGCGTCCTTCGAATCCCCCCCACATCTCATTAGCGAGAAGCATAATGTAAAACACAATGGCAAAAACATCACAATCATTTATTGGATAATGCGCGATCGAAACGATTGGCGCGAAAAAAGATGATTGGCGTGAAGCGAGCGCACACGTAGTTGCGGTGGAGACAATTGAAGAACGTAGTGAGATGCGGAGCAGGAATGTCGAGATCAACGGGGATATCACATGAGTTGGATATTATTAATAGTATATGAGGGGACCCGTGTCGCTGACGCCGATTCGCCGCCGCCGCCGCCGCCACCTTCACGGGCAGCAATGCGCCTTTAATTGGCTCATTGAGCATTTTGCCGTGCAGCACGTCGTCGCCAACTTGTCGTTGCTCCGCTTCACTAGCACTGTAGAAATTTGGGAGATTAAAGGTTGGCCGGGGAATTGGCTTACCGCTTCGCTTCCTCAACGCCGTACACCCATCGGGACAGACTTTGCGTATCGCGACGAGCACCTTCTGACCGCACAATCGATGCTTCTCCTCGTCGGGTGTGCGACGCGCGCGGCGGCGCGCACCGTCGATGATGTCGAGAAGCGCTTCGTCGACGCGTAGGCGCTCGATGAGGCGCGCCTCGTCGCGCTGAATCCGCTGCACGACGTGCGCCGCCACTGACGGATCGTCGTGGCGCGACGCGGCGACGACGGCGACGGCGACAACGACGACGGCGAGCAGCATCCGGTTGAATGAGTTCTATAGTGAAGCACGGAATGATTGTGTCGAATGTCTTCTTCGAACGGTGGGCGGGCGACGACGGCGGATGGCAGAGGCGTTGGGCGAAGCCGGCGAAATTGATTCAAAAATGAATATGGTCGTGGTGGAGGCGGGCGAAAAGGCGCAAGGCGAAAGGCGAAGAAGCACTGAATGTTGAGTTGTCGAGCCGCCTGCATATACCCGCCGCGTCGGCCACGCCCCCATTTTGTGGGCGTGGCCGCCGACGCCCTTTTCAACTCTGATAGTATATGCCCAAAATTGGCGATGTCCTTGGATCTCGTGCTTCCACTTGCCCATTTTTGAGGGGTTCGATATTTTTTTTTGTGTCTTCGGAGCCTTGGTGAATGTTTGTATTCGGTGTTGACCTTTTATGATGGTTCTCATCGGTTACGTAATTGAGCTAGACGAACGTTGGCAAATATGGAATTGAGGGGTCACACAGTGGAATGGAATCGAGTTCATTGGCGAAAATGAAGAGAAAAAATCGGACCCCCCCCATAACCTTTTCTCGATAATTGCATAGTGGCCCACCAAAAAGTTTCACCAAGTGCGCCAGACACCTTAATCCGAGATTCCCACAACAAACTGCGTCCATGTATGTATATTAAATTAATAATAGTAATAATAATTTGTACGCACAATTTGCGTCGGCAACCCGCTAATTAGACGAATAAATCCAAATTTGGAAATTGTTTAGTCATCGGGTTCATCGCGTTCTAGTACGTCAATAGCATTTATAATTTTTTTTCCTGCTAATTGGTTGAAGGCCGAATTCTGAAAAAGTGCACCAAAAGTGCAACAATGACAAATCGGCTATCAGTTTTTTTTTGGTTGTAGGACTAACGGATCAGGGTCCAGATTGTGCAACCTTTAAAGAAGCTGACGCGATTCGTCAGACAAATTATACGTTAAGGCTCTTTTGATTTCTTGACATGACGTGAGATGATATCAACGTGTGCCCCCGAGAGATACAGATGAAAGGAGCAAAGAAAAAAACACACACACGTATAGGTATTGCTCTTTAATCGACAGCCGGATGGCTGGATGGGATCGATGACAAATTGATCACGTGCTTCCGGCGGGGCACCATAATCGGGAGCTGCTTGTCTAGCGCCGCCGTCACGTCTCGCGAGTGCTTTGTGTAAAAAATCGGTGTTGTAATAAGAAGGTCCGGCCGCAGACACAACAACCGTTTGAATTTTGATCGCAAACATTAAACATTGATGAGGAGTTGATTGTTGTGGTTTTCAGTGAAATTGGAAGCGGATGGCGTCGAGTTTGAAGCAATGTACGCGTTGCGCTATAATTGACGCGCAATTTCGGAATATCCTTTGAGAAAATTGCGTTTCGTCGCAATAAACATTCTGAAAATTTGTGACGCAAAAATTGGAATTGCAACTGTTAAAATCGAAATTCGAATTTAAAAAAAAAGCCGCTCCCGCGGGAATACGAAAATTTAATAAAAGTCGTCGAGTTTGGCGCAATGTACGCATTGCGGACATCCACCTCCATTGCGCGCTAATTGACGCGCAACTCGATTTTTCTTCTTTTTTTTTCTCGTTCAACACCAAAATAGAAAATTGTTGTTTGGTTTCCCGCCCCACGCGATTCATTTCATTTGAAGCATCTCGACGCCCACCGGACGTGTGTCGCAAAAAATTTGTCCAATTAATTGTCGGGCCCAAAAATCGCTAACCGCCCAAAACCAAATGTTGAAATATTCATCGTCAGATGATGCCATTGCTTCCGGTTCGTTTTTCCGGATGTCGACGACGAATGAAAATGAATGTGTGAACGAAATTTGTAAACATCGCTTTTATAAAATATACAGAGTTTCGCGTTTTCAGGAATAATTCAGCGGAAAATTCGAGACGATGTTTGATTTTTTTTTCGCGTCGAACGCGATTCGTCGCCTCATTTCCGATTTTCTCCCATTTTAATTTGAAAAGGTAAATGAATTGTTTCGGTGATCGACGGGAATCGAAAAATTTCAGATGCAAATCCCATTGAGACTTCAATTATTCGCGATTCGGCCGCAACCGCCGAATACCAAAGTGAACGGCCGATGTGAGAAGGTGAACAAAGACGACCTCTTCAATGAAGACGACCGCAATCTCTACAAGATCGTGTGCCGTCGCTGCAAATCGGTGATATTTCCCGAAGACGTCGTGATGGCCGTCGAGAATCAGCCGCACAAACTTCGCGTCATGTCGCATCAAGGCAAAGGCGAGACCGACGAGGAGACGATCGCATGGTGGTGGTACACCGAGAGCGATCTCGTCTTTGACACCGTTGGCTGGCAGACGATTGAAAAGGTCAAGGTACAGTAACACTACCGTATGCTACAGTAGTCCATGTAGGTGCTAATGTGCGGTGACTGCGAGCTGGGACCGATTGGGTTTCGAAGCGACGACAATCGAAAATACTGGGTGGCCGTTGAACGTGTGAAATACGACAAATCTTAAACCTTTTTTAAATTGCTCAAAATTCAGTGAATCATTTTTTTTTTTAAATTCATAATTATCAACAAATAACAACAAAAATCCTAAACTAGATTTGAATAATTGCACTATTTCCTCTGCTTCTTCTTGCCCTTCTCATTGGGATCGGCGATTCCGTGCAATTGGCGCCATTCCGCTTGTATCCTATCTTGCGCTTCTTTCGTTGTCGGCGCATATCTCGAATATTCCATACTAAATTCGCCTTTTCCTTCCGTCAACGATCTCAATTCCGATGTGTATCCGAACATATCCGATAATGGAGCCTAAAGCGTTTTTTCGATTGCACATATTTGGGCAGAATACAATCCAATCAAACCTCGCAAATCACCGTCGCATAGCCTTCCGTCGAATCCGTCGTCGTGATGAGCGCGTTTCGCTGCGTCAATGATGTCACCACATTTCCTTGGAATTCCACCGGCGTCGTCACTTCAACCTTCATAATCGGCTCGAGAAGCAGCCAATTCGCCTTCTCAAATGCTGAAAAGCAAAAATAAGAGAATCAAACAAACAAGAGCATTCGCCAACCTTCTCTCATCATGTTCTGCATCGTGTTGATCATGGCGATTTCCGTCGAATCAACAGCGTGTGTGGCTCCATCTTGAACTCTCACATGAATTCCAGCGATTCTCGTCTTGATCAATGGTCCTTCCGCAATAATCGCGTCCAATCCCTTCTTCAGCGCCGGGAACAAATTCTTCGGAATATTGTTTCCGAACGTCTCATCCGAGAACTCAACCACCGTATTCTTATCAGCCGGCAGCGGATCAATGACACCCTCGATCTCTCCAAACTGTCCTTGTCCTCCGGTCTGCTTCTTGTGACGATAATGGAATTTGTAGGGCGTCGCCAGCGATTCGCGATAAGCCACCGACGGTTTGCCGAGCTCAACCGGACAGTTGAACTCATTCTTCATGCGTTGCGCGTAAATCTCGAGGTGAAGCTCGCCCATTCCCGAAACAATCGTCTCCTTGGCTTCCTGATTGTACTCCCGTCGGAACGTCGGATCCTCTTTGGTGAACCGCGTGAGGGCCTTGATGAAATTGTCGGCGTCTTTTCGATTCACCGGCTTAATCGACATTGAGATGACGGGTTCGGGAATATGCATCGATTCGCAATGGGGCGCGAGGTTCGGATCGGTTGAGAACGTCTCGCCGGAATGGCAATCGAGCCCGAATGTCGCGCAAATGTCGCCGGCATAGGCCGTCGTGATCTCCTCCATATCAGCGGCGTGCATTCGGACCAATCGCTGCACTCGAACCTTCCGGCCGTCTCTTGATGCATACACCGTGTCGCCTTTGCTCAACTGTCCTTGATAAACACGGAAATAAGTGAGTTGTCCGTATTTTCCGGCCTAGAAGAAGCCCAATAAAAGAAAATTTGCAAAAATTGGATCGGGGCTACCTCTAACTTGAAAGCTAGTCCGACAAACGGCTTGGTGTTGTTTCTTTCAGGAGACAGGATGATTGGCTTCTCCTCGCCCGTTCTGAAAATTTCAGCACTTCAAAATGACAACATTTAGCCGAAAATTGATTACTCCATCTTCACTGTTGCTCGATTTACAACCTCCGAAGGGTCAGGAAGGTATCGGACCACAGCATCGATCATTGTCTGAACACCTTTGTTCTTGAGAGCGGTTCCCGAAAGAACCGGAACGAATGAGCGCTTCACCACGGTCCTCCGAATCGCTTCATGAATTTGATCGATGCTTGGATTCTCGTCGTTCAAAAACATCTCTCCGAGTTTCTCGTCGGCATTTGAGATGTGCTCAATGAGCTCTTGTCGAAGATCGGTGGCTTGCGAGCGAAGCTCTTTCGGAATTTCGTCTTTTCGCACAATCAATCCGTCTTCGCCTTCATAGTAGAGCGCCTGCTCTTCGATGAGATCGACGATTCCGTGAAAGTTGGCGTCTTTTCCGATTGGGAGATGAATGAGAGCGGCGTTATGGTTGAGCTTATTCCTTAAGCCATCGAGTGCTTTTAAAGGGGTCGCACCGTTTCGGTCCATTTTATTGACAAAACAGATGAATGGGACGCTGTATCGAGCAAGTTGTCGATTGACAGTGAACGTTTGAGATTGAACACCTCCAACTCCGCAGAGCACGAGCACAGCCCCATCGAGAACGCGGAGAGCTCGCTCAACTTCTACTGTGAAATCCACGTGGCCTGAAAAATACAAAATTGACATTTAATGTTGAATTTCCAACCTGGCGTATCAATAATATTAATATTAGTCCCTTTCCAGTCGACATAGGTGGCTGCCGATTGAATTGTGATGCCGCGTTGCCGTTCCAATTCCATGAAATCCATTGTGGCGCCGACGTCGTCTTTACCGCGAACCTCGTGCATTGAATCAATTCGGCCGGCATAATAGAGAATGCGTTCGGTCACCGTCGTTTTTCCGGAATCGATGTGCGCCGAGATTCCGATGTTGCGGATCTTCTCGACGGGCCGCACGCCGGGCACCACCACCGATGGCGCCTCATTGCTGGCGAAACGCCGGCACATTTCCACGGTTTTTTGGCGATTCGCCTTGAAAACTGTGGCGAGCCTTGGCAATACGCCCATTTTGAATTACCTGAAATGTTGAATTTCAGTTTTTGGTTGGTGCCAACAAGTTTATAGTGTCAAATTCTTCATAATAAGCGTTGAAAAAATTTACAATTTTTTTGCGCTAGCAGATTTTATTTATAAATCAGAAAGTATTTAAAAATCGAAAATCTGAAAAAAAAAATTAAGGATTGCGCAAATAGTGGCCTAGAATTTTCACGAGCAAACTCGGCTACGGCTGTATAATTGGAGCGCACATGCTCAATTCGTTTTCATTTTTTTCAAAATATTTTTTTATAAAGGAAGTTTTGAAATATAACTGCCAATGAAGGAGAACGTAATAAGATGAACACAAAGAAAATTAATTCCTAATTTGGCTAATTAAAACGTAACCCGTAATTGAATTAAAAGTAATTAAATTAATTGTAAAAAAAACATTTTTCAATTTAGCAATGATTCGTTCAAATTTTGGAATTGTAGGATATCCATCGCTTTTAGAGTATCTGTAATTTTTAAAAATTTCTATCGATATAATAGCAATTATCTTATCAATAAACGCGTTTCTTATCACAAAATTTGTATTTAAGCTATGGAATGGCGGCAAAAAGTGTATTATCGTGGTGGCAACAGCCAGCAAATTCAAGATATTCGCGAAAGTCTGAGACAAATTCGAGCGAAAAGTGAGATTTTTGTTTCAAACAAAAATGTTGTCTCTTCTTTTTCCAGAACGGTTAAAACAGTCAAGCATGAAAGAAAAAAAGCAGCGAACCAGAAGCTTGATGGACGTCAAATCACATATTCAGAATAATCAGGATGAAGCTTTAAACGGAGGATATGAGGAAAGATGCACATTTTTGAATAAACTTTGCAGTTTGATCGCTGAAACGACACTCGAAGAGCTTGGTGATAATGAATTCTTTGAAGATCTTTGCCAATTGTGAGTTTTGAGAAATCACCAACTTTAATTTAAAAATGATCTGTTGTAGAATGCTGAAATTCGTGAATGATGATCATCCGTGCATTCGTGCGATGTGTTTTCACCTCCTACGCAAAACCACCCAAAACGGCCGAAATTTGACATATCTGCTGACGTCGCACGTCGACATTTACGTCGTTCGCGCAATCGATTTGCAAATTGAAAATGAGCAAGAAAGGATTGAAGCGTTCAAGCTCATCTCATGGATGATGAAAGTTTATGAGAAATCGAGTCTCAAGAAGCTTATCGATGACGCGAAGGCGAATAGTAGCGAGAAGTGAGGGTTTTCAGAAAAATGCATTTTTTTTTGTTGAAAAAAAATTGGATTTAGGAAGTACGCGTTCCCAAAATCCATCATGCAACCAATTATTTCAATAGCGCTCGGCGAGCTTCAAAAAGAGAAGCCCTCAGATTCGTACAAGAGCGCCGCCAAAAAGGAGCTCCCGCGCGACAAAATGGGCCTGCCTTGCGTCGGCCTCTTCCTCGAATTTTGTCTTTCCGAGCCCGACTTGATTTTGGACATGGCCGGAACCGATTGGATTGTGCGAGTTCTCACGGGCGTCTCGACGATGCCGCGACGAATTGTGATTCTCGTCTCGCATATTCTGATGACGTGGCTCGATAGTCCGCATATCCGACTGAGAGCTGGCCTTCACATGGTGCTGGAGCAGATATTCGCGCCGCTCATTGAGTACGGGTTCTTTCAACGAAAACCGACGATCGCGAATTACATGCGCGATCCGTTTGGCATGAACGATATTCTCGAGCACTTCAAAGTCACATTCTTGTGCTTGCTGCGTTCATGGCCGGGACTGTTCTCGTGCGCCGCCGTCGGCGCCAACGGCAATATATCGGCGTCGTCGCCGTTGCGACTACTCGAATATCTCGGGCTCGGAACGGTGGAGAACGAGAATCTCATTCGAATCCGAAACATGGTTGTCGACATTTGTTGCGAGTTTGTCGATGTGCCCTATGCGAGCAGCAAGTTCGAGTCATGGACAGAAGCGTTGCAATTCTACAGTGAGCATTTTTTTTTTAATTTTCAAAGTCGTATTCCCGAGATTCTTTAGAGACCATGCATCTACCAAATAAGTACAAGAGCTCGTTGAAGAACGACTTCGTGGTCGCTCAGAATGACACAAGGATGTTTCATGATGTGGTAGGAGTTCAAAGATTGTCGGATCAAAATTGATTCTAGAACCGGCAATCCCGTTCGCTTGATCTACTCGCCTCATTTCGAACGCTCAGCCAATTCATTCTCATCAACGCCTCGCTGCCGCAATGTCTTGCCCGTTTGATTCTAACGAATCCCGATTCGCAGAGCGGCTTGAAGGCGACACTTTTGCTCGCCGATCTTCTTCGTCATGCGCCGTCGCATGTGCCGTCGAATTGGCGAGCGCCGGTGCTGAGCCTGCCGACACTTGTGCAATCGGCTTGTGAGAAGCTGGTTCTGAGTCGCGCCGCCGCCGCCGTCAACGGAACACTCGATCAACTTCACGAGGAGCGCACGTTTGTGCATTCCGAGAACGCCGAGCTCGTACTTCATCGCGTCGATGAGCTGAATCGCAGTTGGATTCGGAGTGCGGCGAATTCGGCGACGATGCTCAAAGAGTCCTACCTTTATATATTTGTGCCGAATGTCGAGCCGCAGATTGTTGTCACCGATCAATCGTCGCCGGAGATCAATGAAGAATCGAGGCGCGGCAATTTTTACGATACCGCCTTGTCGGGCCGATATGATAAGAATAAATTGATGCTCCTCGATCACACCGACAATTATGACTATTCGAGACATCATTGTAAATTGGGTTGTCATCGATGAACCTTGACCGTGATTTCAGCGCGAAGCTTGAATTTGGACGATGATGACGATCGAGCGAGCACACTGTTCCATGATGAAAATGGTCTTGTGAATTGGAGCTACGCTGAATATTATTTTGAGAATTTGGAGGTAAAAATCTGGTGTCGCTGAGAAATTGCCGAAATTCGCGTTTTTCAGAATGACTCGGATGATCATATAATTAAAGAATTTGCAATGAAATCGATGGAAGAATATGTAATCAAGGTGAAAAGCTTTTTTTTCATTTCCCCGCAGTAAAAATTTCAGACATTTTTTTTAGATTTTTGAGTATTTAACCCCGTTGACTCAGCAGTTTGAGCGTCGAATTATCAGCCATCAACAGATAATTGTTGTCAAATTGATATTGAAGCTTGTCCTTCGCGTTTTGCCCTTTAATGGTAAAAGAGAAAATGCATGCTTCTTCATTTCGGGACCATGTCGAAATTGTGAGGAGTTTCAGAGTCGATTCGTCAGGATTATCATCATATCATCAATAAATACCTAACGGGATTTCAGAGTGCCTTTCAAGGGGTCCGTTTGAAAAAGAAAATTCGTAGTAGGAAAAAAAAATGTATGTATAAATTTCAGCGCGAAACCAACACCTCATATTTTTATCCGCGAAATTTGTCATACACCGGCTCGATGTACCATTTTGCCATTGTTGGCTTCTTGTCGACGACGCCCTACGGCACAGGGATGCTCAACGAGCTCGGAATACTGCACATGTGAGTGATGTGTGTTTTATTGCACGGTTTTTGAGATTTTTTGGATAACAAACAAGACAGAGGAGAAAAAAAAACAAATAATAGGGGGCTGGGGGAGGGGGGGTGGAATTATTAAAATTATAAAAACAGAATTTTTGTTACATGTATGAGAAATTATGGCTTTTGCGAGACGAAGAAGCATTGCTGAATGTGCGAGAGCTTCACGAGGCACTTGTACTTTTCGGTGAGAAGTCCGCCTTCTGGAAGGCCGGCCGACGGATTACAATAGGGTCGGCAGTGCTCGTAGCCGGGCTCGAACACACCATAGGCTTCGCAACACTGGGTGGCGTCTTGATAGCCGGACGCGCAGATCATCACGTCGCCGACTTTGTTGAGCGGACAACGGCCGGTGAGCACCGCCAATTGCATCTGTAAACGGGATGAATCAACACGAGAAATGGAATTGGTTGAATTGATGAATTGGCTTGGGAAAATCGGGGAGGCGAGATCCGCTTACCGTCGCTAGTGTCGCGTCGTATTCGCACAACGGCGCGCAACCCTCGCCGAGACGCGCGCAACAATTCTTGAATCGATCGTTGGCGACCTGCTTGGTGATGCACGGCTGCCATCCGGGTTGTCGGGGGCATTGCGCGGCCGCCAACGGGGTGCCCTTGCCGGGATCGACGTACTTCACGAAGCTGACCGGACGCGAGTCGACGCTGGCGGCGGCGGCGGCGGCTGGCTTTGGAAGCGGTGCTGCTGGCTTGGCTGCCTGCGGTTGTTGGGTTTGCTGGACAACTGGGAGTTGTGGTTGCTGTGGTTGCTGGTAGGTCTGCTGATACGTCTGCTGACCCTGATAGCTATACTGTTGCTGTTGATATGGCTGATAGGTCTGCTGTTGTCTCTGCTGCTGTTGCTGTTGGTACTGTTGAAGCTGCTGCTGGTATTGCTGATACTGTTGCTGGTACTGCTTCTGCTGCTGCTCGACGGTGAGTTGCTGCTGCGGCTGCTGCACGACCGGCGGCGGCGGACTATAATTGCCCTGATGCTGAACCTGACCGTATTGTTGGGTGTTGGCGGCTTGCGCCAATGGCTGAGCGCCGTTGAGATTGAACAAATTGAACAGGTCCAACGGATTGGCGCCAGGCTGCATGAATTGCTGGAACGGATTGAGAAGCGCACTCTGCGGCTGCTGTTGTTGTTGTTGTTGTCCCGGAAGCTGGAACGGATTGGGCTGATTGAATAGATTGTAGGCGGGTTGCGGGAACGCGGGCAATTGCGGTGCCTGCGGCGATGGCAGCTGAGCGACAACACCGCCGCCGGCGGCGTTATACTCGGGCAACGGTTGCGCAAGATCGGCGGGACGGCTCGACAGCGTCTGATCGAGTGTCGACACCTTTGGCGGCTGCACCAACGGCGCAAGTGTGGCGGTCTGAATCGGTGCTTGCTGCTGCTGCTGTGGGTATGGAATGGCCGGCTGCTGGTAGTTGGGCGCGGCGAATTGAATCGGCTGCTGTTGCACGGGAAGGTGCAATCCGGCCTGCTGCTGCTGGTAGTACTGTTGAGGTCTCTGCTGCTGATAGACAGCTCCTCCCTCATTCGACACCTGCCTCGTGTTGACAGACTGCCCAAATTGCGGTTGAGTGTTGTACACGACCGGCTGCGGCGATTGTGGCGGTGCGATCTGGAAGATCGACGGTGGGGGGGCGGCTTGAGAACGCTCATTGATAATCGTACCTGTCGGTTGCATCCGGCGCACGCCGTCGGACACATTCGCGCGATGAAATCGACAGCGCAATGCACACATTTGGCGCGCGAGCACGACGGCAAATCGGCGAGAAGACATTCGACACTGATTGCCAACAATATGAGAATGGCACGTATCGACGACATCGAATCGCGCCTTTCTGCAAAAATACGCGTGTGTGGATATTATTATTATTATTATATTTTTTTCGGGCGAAACAAAAGCGAGATAGATAGAGATAAACGCTGTCTTCGTCGGTTTTGATGGGACAAAATGACTTAATATCGTTTTTGTGTGCGCGAAGACGAAGCCCGATCGCCGTTGTCTGTTTCTTGGCGAGAAACCGGCTTCATCTATTGCGATCGCGTCGGCGGCGGCGCCCTCACGTCGTCATTGATGGTCATGTTTTTTTTTTCGCTTGCGTCGTTTCATCGAGAAGCGTCAACGATGAGAGAATGAGGGATGAATGATGAGCGCGGATGTCTCCGGAACAGATTTGTCGCCAAATTGATGTTGCGCAATTTTTGGTCGGCTCTCAAAAGTCCGCAATTTGTCGTCATCGTGTTGACGCGAAAAATTGGATTCAAATTTGATTTGACGATTTTCAATTTTTGAATTTTTCCGAAACAAAAAAATGCGTTAGATATGAAATTGTAGAGATTCAAACTCCTCTGCAATTTCGCTTCAAGAGCCCTCATGCGCCTTTAAGCTGGGGGGAAGGGAAATAAAAGGAGATTAAGAAAAAAATGAATAAATAAATTGGATGCGTCGTGCCTATTTGTCGGGACAAATCACGAAATGGTATCTGTTTTGGGCAGCGCCGCCCGCGCGCCAGCGGGCGGATTGAGAGGGAGGGGGGGGGGTGGAAAAATTGCGCGGAAAGGCAAAAAAAAACTGGTTCCAAAAGCGATCCATGGAATGATGCCTAATGAAATTCGAATCGAATCGCCGTCGGCTGTTTCGTCGAAGAATTTCGCGAATATGATACATGCATGAATTTTTTGGAAACTCGATTTTCGAGATGATCACGCTGGCCGCCAATTAATGCGAATTATGCAATTTGTTTTGAATACATTAATATGTATAATTAGAAAAAAATATATATATAATTGAAATCGGAAAATGGGGGGAACGCCCGATTTCTGGCCGATTGAACATTTTGAATATGCACGCTTGACCGTTTTAAACCGTGAAGACAACAATTTGGGTCATTTTGTCGCCGGGCCGGGCCGGGCCGGAATCGACGCTCGCTGCGTGACGCTACTTCAGATGAGAGGAATGAAAACAATTTTTGCATAAATTTTTGGTTTTTGTTTGTTCAGGTTCTCGTCGCTTATGACCAACTCGACGCCAACCGAATATGTGAAGCTGATTGTGTCGTGTCTGGATTACACAAGCGACGGGATGACTCGAATAATTCTTCGCGGCGCGCTCACCGCGACCAACGAGGTTCTCTGCCAATTCGATTGTTGATGCGCCTCAGTTTAAATGAGAATCGCAACACGATGCTGTTGGTTTCATTATTCTTTTTCTCATTGCCTTTCAGGAATCCCGCAAATGGACGACACGATTCCTGTCCGTGTTGGCGTCGCTCGATTTGACGCGCTTCGCCGATTGGGGAATTCGAATGATGCTCGGCCAACTCGGCGACGAGTCGCCGAAAGTCGTACGCCACGCGGTGCGCCTTCTGAATCGTTGGCTTCCCGAATTCCCGTCGCCGAGTGTGCACACGCGAATTCAATGGTCGGCGTTCGGCGACGCCGGCCATTTCCTACGCGTGCACTCGTTCGCGTTCGAAACCGAATGCGTCGACAACGAGGCGGAGGTCGTCGATGTGATTCGTTTCTGGATGCGTACGTTCAATCAGACGTATCTCGAATCGATCGAGGACGACTTTCGCGAGATGATGTTCGCCGTGAAGCGTTCGCTCGACGGCGTGTTCCCGCGCGCGAGCACCGACAAACCGGAATCGGTGTACGGCGTGCCGGCGCCGTTGCACCTGTTTGGCGTGTTGTGCACCCATCGCACCGGGCGAACGTTGCTCGCGCGCGAGAACGTGTGCGCGGTTTTGATGGCGAAGCTCACAATGAAAATTGAGAGGCACTCGATGAGCGATCAGTATGACACGATAAAGAGCAGCCTTCTGGCATTGGCGAGCATTGGAAGCCATGATGAAGGTTCTTGGATCCTTTTGAATAATTCATAGCCAATTAAGTCATAGCTAATTATAGGTTATGAAATTTTGCCGAACGATACGATTCCAAAAATGATTAAGATCACTGAAGAGCATAGTGTTCTCAGTGTTCGTGGCGTCGCATTTTTTGCCTGCTGCATTGTATCGCAGTGTGTCGAAGGTACGGTGAATCACTGATGGCATCGTCAAGAAGTTCTTTCAGGAGCTAAACGATTGGCGGCGCTCGGTTGGGAGTGTAATCGCTATCGGTATGCGACGGATTTGGCGAAAACGCAAGCGGCGAATGATGACGACTCGAGATCATGGAAGAATTCGACGATTGTCGTCCGCCGATTCACTCATCATCGCAACTCGTCGATCATCGAGATTCAGAATCGGCGAAAATCCGAAGTGCAGCGTCGGAGCGTTGTGACGAGGACGCGATCGGCGTCGGTGACCGAACGAAACGCGGACGAGCCTGGCGTGACAGCACGACGCGGATGGAGCAGCGATCTGACGTTGAGTCGAAGTGTCGACGATGAGTCGTCGGCGTCGAGGAAGTGGACGATGGCGCCGGACGAGATGGGATCAACGAGTGAGATTGGCGATGAGCATGTGATATCGCCGGCGAGAATTCCGAGTCTCAGCGTGTCGATGTCGGTGGAGCGAAAACGCGCCAACACGATCACGTCGATGTGCGGCGACGACGACGGTTCGCTGCGAACGCGTTCGTCGACGGTGGCGCGATGCGTTCGCGAGGGAATGTCGATTCCGAAAGAGCAGTTGGAGCTCGAAGGGACGATCGCCGACACGATAATGGATTGGCATTTTTCGAGTAAGGCTCGCGAGCGGCACCATCTGATGCCGTTTCGCGTTCGGACGTTCTTGATCATCAATCGCAATATTGGCGATCCGGTTCGCTACATATTCATGACGAAAGACGAGGAGCGACATTTTGCCGATTATCGACGGAAGGTGATGAAGGATGATTGGCTGTACAACGAGCTGATGAAGGAGGACAACGCGGTGAAGAAGACGGTGAACGTGATTCCGCTTCAGACGGTCACACTGCCCGCTGAGATTGAGGTCATGTGTAACGTGAGCGCGAGATTTGACGAAATTTTTGTCACTATTGCGTTTTTCTTTTTATAGAATATTTTCATAAGCAAACCGAAGACGGAAAATATTTTTGGCGTCGAGAACTCGACGGACGACTTGTCGGAAACGGATCGAGGCGCGAAGAGTGGGCACGCGAGAAGCGATTTCAACATTCAACAACCGCACTCGACCTATCGATGTTTTCATTGTAGCGGAAAGGAGGAGCATTGTAACGTTTTTATTATTATCATTTTTTTTTTGAAAAATCCAATTATCAACCCAAAACCTATCGGATCCGACTTCCCCGAAAGAAAAGTGGAAATTTGAATTACCGTCTCGAAAAAGAAAAAAAAAACAATGCGATGAATGCTTCAAATTGTTCGTCGATTCCCGATTTTCTAGCATCTATAAATTTCAGCGCGCAACTATCCGCATCCGGACGCGGCAGCGCTCCGCAAAGAGGTCCTCAATCAGGTCGACATGTTGGAGATCAAAGAATATCCGGCGAAGCGTCTCATCGGCCTCCGCCAACACCATCAATGGCTTTTCGAATGGCCGTGCATGTACGCCGACGTTCTCGAGCTTCTCGATGAGTATCGATTCAAGCCGCACTCGAGATCGTTCCTTCAGCAAATTTTCTACGACGCGCTCAAATTTTAAGCGCCACAATCTGTGATTTTATGCAATAATTGTCAACATTGTTGAATGCCCTTGGTGTGATCAAACTACAATGTAGTCTCGTTATCAATGTTCTTGTATAAAACCTCATCGTCGTCGATGTGTTTTGATTGTTGCGATATTCATCGTTTGAAATGGTTTACTCTGCGTTCAAATATCTTGACGTCGAGAATCTTGGCGATTATGTGTATCGAGTTTCGCTGAATCGACCCGACAAGTACAACGCGTTGAATTTTGAATTTTGGAGGCAAATTTTATTTTCATTTTTTCTTTGATCTACCAAAAATCTTTTAATATTTGAGTTTTTTGATTTTTTTTTAGAGAAATTGGATTGGTTTTCAAACAGTTCGATGAGGATGAGAATTGTCGAGTTGTGATTCTCGAAGGCAATGGGAAGCATTTTTGCGCGGGACTTGATTTGATGGGTAATCAATTGATATTCCATTTGATGTGAATTTCTTTATTATTTTTTTTTCAAGCGGCCAGCCAGATCGGCGCTTCCGACGATGACGATGGAGCGCGAAAGGCGCGAAAGCTGCTTCGCGAAATTCAGCGAATGCAGCAGGATTTCACCAACGTGCAAAAGGTGAGCAGTTAATTTCAAGCAAATTTTTTAAAAATTGATTTTCAGTGCCTCAAACCGGTGCTGGTTGGAATGCACGGCTTCAGTCTTGGCGCTGCCATTGATTTGGCTTCGGCGTGCGATGTTCGATATGCGACACGCGACGCGGTGCTGTCGGTGAAGGTAAATCGGGAGGGACCTCTTCTTTCAATATTATTATAATATAGGAGGTTGACATCGGCATGGCCGCCGATATTGGAAGTTTGAATCGTCTGCCGAAGATTGTTGGCAATATGAGCTGGATCAAGGAGATCAGCATGACGGCACGACATTTTTCAGCCGACGAAGCGAAAGAATACGGGCTGGTTAGTAAGGTGTTCGAGACGCGCGACGAAATGCGGCAAGGATTGCTGGAATTGGCGAAACTGCTTGCCACCAAGAGCCCTGTTGCTGTACAGGGCACCAAAGGCGTTCTCAACTATTCGATGGATCATAGCATTGAGGATTCGCTCAACTATGTGGTAGGAATAAAACAATTTGGGTGGGAGATGATTTGAATGGGCGCGAATTTCAGGCCACCTGGAACATGTCGCAATTGGCGACGGATGATGTGCAACTCTCGGCGCTGGCGAGCCTCACCAAACAACCGCTGCCGCCGTTTTCGAAGCTCTAATCGTTGTGAAATTGAATTCCCCTCCTCGTCCACTATGCTTTTTTTGTGCTGCAATTGCCGATGCTTCAAAAAGTGTCGAATTTCGCGCAATTGTTTCTGACTAAGCGCACCGAGAATTTTGTTGTTGGTTTTTTTTTGAAGAAATATTCGCCTTTCTTTTTTTTGGGGCTCATTTTTTTTGTTGAGAAGTGATATTCTTGCTTGTTGGCAAACACTTGAGTTCATCTTTATGTGTGTGTATTCTAGTGAGTGAGAGACGCGAAGTTTTCTCAAGGTTTCTTTTACATTTTCAATATTTGCCTTGGCTGATTAAATATTATTTCTGTAATGTTTTGTTTTCACTAATCAGAGGCTTGGGAAAATTTGGCACAGAAAATGGTGGTTTCTTGGACATTTTTTGATTCAAAATGTATATTATTTTCAAGTAAAGTAAATTTTTGGTAATCCTTTTTTTTTGCCATTTATAATTATTTTTCTAAAACTGCACAAATGTAGATATTCTAAAGAAAAACAAGATGAAATAATTACTCTTTCGTGCGCACAATGAAAAACAATCAAATATATAAGAATAGGCGGCATAAAATAGCTCGAGCATTCAAATTTCTCAAATGCGTGCATTTGTTCGTCAACTCTGGTGTGAGTGTGTGTACACCGAGAATGTGTACCGTACACACACCCCGAGAGTTGGGGAGCTCAGCGAAAAAGAAAATAATAGAATGGCTGTTAATGACATATTACTAGGAATCTGAAAATGCAGATATTCAATTAATAATTGAAAATTTATAGGGAAATGCGAAAAAAAATAATTTTCAAGATTTTGTCTATACTTTTTCATTTTCATTTGTTTTGTCCTTTATTGTTTCACAGATCGAATATCTATTTATATGTGCTCATTGAAGCTGAAGACAAGCCGTCCTGAGAACGACTCCCATGCTTTTCTTTTTTGAAAGCTTCTCTCATTTCAGACAATTCCATCGCGTCGAGACCAACCAATGTCGACCAACGAGACCGCGTATTGCGTTGAAGTTGTGTGACGAGCAATTTCTAGAAAATTTGCAAAATTGGTTTCAATTCCAGCTCGCCGCTACCGTCTTCTACGTGCCCTATCAACTTTACTATTTGACGTGCACAATTTTCTCGATCATCTCGCTATTTCTCATCGTCTACTTTCTGCGCGTCTATATTTGGAAGTCGACGTTTCATCCGAGCTTCAAGGTTCGTGGTGTCGCGAAATATTAAACGAATGGCGAAGACGGCTGTTTGCAGATTCTCACGGCGATCTACTTTCTAGCCACCTTCTGCCATTCGCTATGCTTCATTGCGGGCTCTGTAAGAAGCGTCGATCGGCGATCAAAGCGCTTCGAGCATTTCTTTTTTGCAGGTAATGCTTCTCGAGAGGATCTTGTCGTATGCGGAGCCGTGCGACATCACCTTTCGTCGAATCCCATACACACTGGTGCACTATCCGCTGGCTTGTAGTTTGGCTGTTGGGCTGCTTACCCAGGTGGCTGACAGTCCCGCGATTGGCACTGATTTTAGCATTTTCAGACGATTCTCGTTTTTGAGCGACTTGTGGCCACTATCAAGCATGAGAATTATGAGCACTTTTACTCGAGATTCTACCTATTCTTATTTTTGATTTTGGTGAGCAGGCCATTTCGGTGTACTCCCACGCTGTAACTCGGTTGTCTTCAGACGGTCGTCTTTCCGTGCTTCGCGATTATCTGGATATATCGTCACGGCGATTTCGGGCAGCCGGTGATCTCCATTCTAAGCCCGCCGGCGAATGTTGAGAATGGCCTCGGTAGAGGCTTCATTTTGGCGTTCTTCATTTCATTCGCCGCGTTGGCCATTCTGATCTACCTGCAGATTGCGAACAGGCGGCTTGAGAGAAGGTTTTTGCGACGGACCATTTCACTCATTCCCCCCCGAAAAGACTTTCAGACTCGATTTTAGTTTGTCGGGAAAATTCCAAATTCATGAGAACGTGCGAACGACGAGCTTCATCACACGAATTCTCATTCTCAACATGATAATAACGATTTTATACAGCGGCGGCGTTTTTGCGCTTCGAAATTATCGATTTGAAGCGCTTGAAAATAACAAACCGTTCGGCCATTTCCTCCGAAATCTCTTCTACGTGAGACGCTCAAATGATCGGCCGTAATCTTGTTGCTCTTCAGCTTCACCCATTGAATGCTGTCGTCGTCCCAACGATGTCAATCATGCACGTGGCGCGAATGAAGCGAAAACGCGTCAAAACCTCGACGGACCATATTCGAATGCCGTCGAAAGGCAAAGAGGCCGCCGAGGCCTATCTGAAAATGCTCAGAGATCAATGGAGCCAATAATATTGAATTAGAAGTGCGTTCTACTAGCTCAGTGTTGTTCGTTTCAACATTTTTGTTGATTTCAGCTTTTCGTATATGCTTATTTGTCATTTCTCACTTTATTTCTACGTATTTTTTTCAATATTTGGAATTCCATGTCTCTTTCACATTTCAAGGTATTCCAGAATTTGCAAAAAAATGGCTATCTCCTTTTTAGATGCTCATTTCGTTGTACACCATCGTCATCTTCAAACCAAGCTTTCTGCGGAGAACCCCCCTTCAATTCTCCGGGTTTCGTCTTTCAGCATCCTTTTGATTCAATTGATGATTTTGATCTACGTTGGAAACGGTAGCCCCAAATTCCTCGATAATAATTTTTAAATGAATCTACCCGATTTCAGAATCGAGTTCAATTTATTCGAATGATTCCAGAATGTCAGAATTCCGAGTCTCCCGCGTGATTGTGACCATCATGAACGTTGATTGGTTATGAATTTCGGGATTCTGGCGCTCTCAATTGCGATTTTGCAAACAAAAAAATAGACTTGCTCGATGTAGAACCGCCTACGTCATTCCACAAACGAATTTATTTCAATTTTCAGGTCGACCTGCCTAATTGTCTCGAGTCTCCGAATTTGGCACGTGTCGCGCGCAACAGGAAGTCAATGACGCCGACCGAGTTTATCAGGTTGTCTGCAAATACTACAACGCTGGTTTTCGAAGGCGACTCGAGAATTCTCGACAATCAATAGTCTCGAATTGCACGCATTAACAATGTTCTATTTGTGATTATATGTATAGCTATTTTTGGAAGAAATAAAATTGCGATCCTCTCAAATTCGGTGCGCAATGAATGCGACGACGTGTCTCTCTGTAATTTTCTCGAATCGTCTAAAAATAAAGAATAACGCGTCGTTTTCGAAATTTTCAGCTCGCTTCCATTGCATTTTATAGGCCATTCCAAATTGTGCAATCGATTTACGCTCTTCTCGCCGCGCCGTCAATCGCGCAAATCGCCTATTTTTTAAACGTCCATATTTGGAGATCGACATTTCATCAAAGATTTAAAGTTGTCCGCGTTCGATTCGATTCAATCATGAAACTCGTTTAGATTTTGATCACAATTTACTATGGAACGATATTTGTTCAACAATTGTGCTATATTGTTAGCTATGTAATTTTTGCGATATTCAATTTTATTTCCAATTTTTATTTCCATTTTTAGATTATGCTTTTATTGAATATTATAAATTTTCAATATGATTGTGATATTGTGCTGAGTCGAATTGCTCATTTCATCGGGCACACACCATTAGCGTGTAGTTTAATTATAAGCGTGTTCACTCAAGTAATATGGCCGTGGCCGCACGGCTATGAAAAATCTAGTCCACCGAAATTTATGCGAATTTTTTTCCAGACAATTTTGGCTTTTGAGCGTTTATTAGCTACAATAAAGCATGAGGAATATGAAAACACGGATTCGAAATGCTATATAATGTTTCTTATTATTTTTGTAAGTCTATGTGTCCCTGCAAAATGCTTAAAAATTGAGACCTATGGACTTCCTTTTCCTTTTTTGTCCTTTTAAATCGAAAGTTTCCTTTTTCAGACTGTCATTATCCCGCTTCTGATAATCTCGTGGGCGTATCGCGATTCAGACTTCACATCGCAGCTAGTGATTATATCGATAACACCACCGGCGGGCGTCAAGGGCCGATTAAATGCCATTTACATTTTCTCATTTTTCGTCTCGATCACAAATTTGATGGTGGTGCTCTATACGCGAAAAGCGAATCGGAAGTTGCTCAAACAGTTGAGCTTGGCGAATTTTCGGACAAAAATTGTCGATTTCTAGAATCGGCGCCAATTTGTCGTCGAAATTTCAAGTGCGCGAGAACACGATGATCGCCGGATTCGTGTCGAAGGTGCTCACACTGAATGTGATGTGCTCATCGGTGTTCACCGGCGGCACTTGGCTTCTAATCAACACTCAGCTCAATGGCAATGAGAAGATGTTGACATTTTTGAGAAATTTGCTCTATGTGAGTGAATTGGATGGGGGCAAACGAAGCACAAGCCGGCCAATTTTTTCAGCTATCGCCGTTCAATGGTTTTTTCGGCTCGCTGATCTCGATTCGTCACGTCTCGCGACGAAAACGCGAGCGTGTCGACGCCGCCCGAAGAGCGCTCATGATGCCGTCGACGGGTCGGCAAGCCGCCGATGCCTACACGCGAATCCTTAATGATTTGTGGAAATGAGTCGTCGTCGTCGTCGTTCGACACTACTAATTATGGGTGTTCTGAAATGGCAGAGCGCAACACACACAAATTTTCAGCTGTCGCAGCAACAATGTCTCAAAAATGCGATAAAGTACCACAAAAATTTGCCGAAACAATATTTTTCTTGGCTTTTCAGCTCATCCGAATCGCCGAATACAAACCGTTTCAATTCATTCAATTATTTTATTCGATTATCGCCATCATTACCCAATTTCTAATTCTCTATTTTCTATGAACCTATATTTGGAAGTCGGCGTTTCATAGAAGCTTCAAGGTTCCCCCGGAATCGATGATTCCATGAAACGGTGTGCGATTATTTCAGACAATGGTCTCCGTGTACTTCCTCGTCATATTTGTTCAACAGTTGAGCTATGTTGCTTGTTTTGTGAGCCTCACACCAGAAGCTAACATTTTTGGGAAAATCGTTATTTTCAGATAATCATGTTTCAGCGAATATTGACATATAAGGAGGGTTGCGATATTGCCATCGCCAAAATCCCGTATATAGCCGCGCATATCCCATTGGCGGCCAGTTTGACGATGGGAGTGTTCTCACAGGTACCGTCGCTATTGTCGGAATCGTCTGCGGACAATTTCCGGGAAACGCCACCAACTAATTGATACGTGGAATCAGCGTTGGTGGTGTTTGGTTTCAAAACATCAAAAGATCAAAGCAAGGCTATACTCATTGAAAGCATCTGCGGACAATTTCCGGGAATCGCCGCAAGCCACCAGATTCGCGAAATCAGCGAGCTCGCCTCCAAAATGTTAAAACGAAGCAAGCGGATTCTTATTGAAAGCATCTGCGGGCAATTTCCGGGAATCGCCGCAAGCCATCTGATTCGCTAAATCAGCGAGCTCGCCTCCAAAATGTTAAAACGAAACAAGCGGATTCTTATTGAAAGCATCTGCGGACAATTTCCGCGAATTTTCAGACAACAATGGTCATCGAGCGATTGATAGCTTCAAGAGAGTTTCGGCGATACGAGAATGAGCGAAACAAGACGTTCTAATCGATATTCATATTTTTCGTATGGTGGCATTCAGAAGGACGCACTCAACAATTCTCGTTCTAGAATTTCGTGTTGCCGCTGACCTTCTTCGGTTGGGCCTATCAGAATTGCGATTTAAACAAGCGCGTCATCAACGCGGCGACGAGTCCCGACGGCATCGAGAATCGCCTCAGCAAAATTCTGATCGTCATATTCACCATGTTAATTGCCAGCCTCCTCATGATGATCTACACGCGAAAACTCAACCACCACCATCGTGATAGGTTGAGGAGCCCGAAATGATCATCATTCTTTATTTTTAATTTTTTTGAATCGTTCAGAATCGAATCGAATCTATCGGCGAGATTCCAGCTGCAAGAGAATCTCTCGATGCAAGGCTTCATCGCGAGGATCCTCATCGTCAATTTGATATTCAATTTGATGCATAGCGGTTCCGGCTATGCGTTGTCATTCACCAACATTCAATGGTCCGCGATGAATGCGCAATTCATGGAATTTGTGAGAAACGCTCTAAATGTAAGGCAATGCGATTCAAACAGTTCAACTCATTTTGCCTCCTGTTTTGGGATTTTTCGCAAATTTGTACGCTTAAACTAGACGGTCTTTTGAGTGTGTTCACAAAATTCCAGCCTACACTGGAGGGTTTTCATAGCTATCTGAAAATTCAAGGTGATTTTCCATTGGCAACAACCATTTCGGCAAGAGGTTACATATACGCCTCTTGGGCGCGATGTTTAACAAGCCTGTGAGATGGAGGGGCAAGTGCGCGGAATAGTAAAGTTGTGGTGAAGTTTCGCCCCCGCTATCTACTTTTTTGCATTTTTTTTTCTTTTTGCCGCAATAAATACTAATACCAATTGATTTTAAACGCATAATTTCATGCCAAAGCGTCGTGTTTAACACTAATCCGAATCGCCTGGTTGCAGCTCTCCCCTCTAAACGGCCTCATCGTGTCGTTCATCGCCATCCGGCAAGTCGCAATGGAGCAGCGTCATCGGATTCAGGCGACGACGCGAATCGTCGGCCTGCCGGTGAAAGGCCACGAAGGCTATGAAGCGTATCGTCAAATTCTCAACGTTCATTGGACGCAACATTCAAAGGCAACAATTTAATTGTTATTCGATATAATAATATTCATCTTCCAAAATTATGGGTGGGTTGCTCATAACAACATACTTATTAAGCCTTCTCTTTCTCTCGCACCCAATTTTTTTCAAGCTAGTGTCGCTTTCAGTCTGATGAGCAAGCATGAATGACGCTTGTCGTGAGGTAATCGAAATTCGCCAAAACGCAAAAATCGATTCGCAATTTTCAGCTAGCCTCGATCGCCTTCTACAAGCCATTTCAAACCGTCCAGATTTGCTATGCCTCGCTAGCCGGCGTCACCGTGCTGCTAATCGCTTACATCCTCAAATCGCATGTTTGGACGTCGACCTATCATTCGTGCTTCAAGCTTCTCCTCACCGTCTACTTTTCGGCAATCGTTGTCCAGAATCTATTCTATATTGCCGGCTTTGTGAGTTTTTTTTTTTCAATTTGCCCAAATTTCGCCTTTCGTTTCCAGACGGTGCTCTTTCAGCGGATTCGCGCGTTTCGCGCCGACTGCGATATTCTATTCCCCAAATATCTTTATATGGTTGCCCATTTGCCGGCGGTGCTCAGCTTGCTCATCTACATGTTCTGCCAGGTGATTGATTGATTTTTCGGGGATTTGCTAATTTCGGCTTGCAGACGGCTCTTGTCATTGAACGCACTGTAGCCACGCTGAAATATAAAAACTATGAAACCTACCAATCAACAACCTACCAATTATTTTTCATTTCCTTTGTGAGGGCCATTTCGGTGTACTCCCACGATGTAACCACGTTTTTTAAGACCGGCATTCTACCAATGATTTCGTTGATTTGGGCATATCATGAGTGCGATTTCAATCATCCCGTCATCACGTCATTGACGCCGCCGATGAACGTCGACAATCGCCTCAACGGCATTTTCATTTTGTCGTTCTCATTCTCGGTTCTGGCGCTTCTCGCACTGCTATGCTACGTGCTTCCGATGAACCGGAAACTCGAGGCGAAGTGAGCCCCGGCTGGTTGATTGAAGCGTGAAATCATTTTTTTTCAGAATCGAATCGAATCTGTCGAGTCGTTTCCAGATTCTCGAGAACATCACAACGACGACGATCATGTCGCAAATGCTGATTCTCAACATGGTGTTCACAATAATTTACAGCGGCGGCACCTACGTGCTGCTCAATCATCAATTCGAGATATTCGCCAACAATCAGCCGCTTCTCTCATTCACCAAAAGCCTATTCTATGTATGTAATTAGGCTCTCACAATTATCATGGGAGATGGCGTTTGCAGTTGCCGCCAATCAATGGATTCGTTGTGTCGATGGTGTCGATTCTGCAAATTTCGCGGAAGCGGCGAAAACGCGTCGAGAAAACGACGAGCATCGTGATGATGGCGACGCGCGGCCGCGAGGGCGGCGAGAATTATTTGAAAATGCTCGATGAGCAATGGAACGCCGAACAGAAATTGGCGTAACGTGGGAATCGAATTCATTTTTTTTTGTTATTGTTGTCGCACCTAGATTTTTATCTTTTTTTTTTTCTTCTCGCTTGTTAATAATAATAATAATCGCGTATTCTCATTATTTACACACGGCTTGGGTTTTTGCGAATTCATTCAAACATGCCCAAATGAGTATTCGCACTTGTTCCATATATGGCCATCAACGAGACGTCGACGAAATGCAATACTGTAAAATCTCATCAATTTTCGCATCGACTTCTTCGAATTTTTATTTTTCACATTTTCAGCTCGCCAAAACCGTATTCTATCCGCCATTTTTGATTTCCATATCTGTCAGTTTTCTATTCGCGCTGGGCAATTTATTTTTAAGCACATATTTTGTCAAATTTTTAATTTGGAAGTCCACATTTCATCCGAATTTTAAGGTATTTTTCAAAATTGACACATTCACATCAATTGTGTGATGTTGCGCGACGGTGTTTGCACACATTTCTGCGCACAATCATTTATTTCATTTAATTCGAATTTTTTCCCATTTTTTTCTAACTTCAAGTTTCAATAAAACATCAAAAACCAAAAAATGACTTTTTTTTCTAAATTTCAGACCCTTAATTTCAGGTTCTAATCACTATTTACTTCATTGCCAGCTTTTCACAAGCATTCTTCTACATTGTCAATGTTGTAAGTGATTCAACTATTGCCAGGCGATGAAAGCAAATCCTACAGGCACTACTCATCGAGCGCATTGTGTTTTTCGAGAAGCCTTGCGATATTGCCTTATCATATACCCCATATATTATTACTCATTGTCCATTGGGTTATACCTTACTCCTATTAATGCTGACGCAGGTTTGTGTGTGCCAATAGACGAAATGTGTTTCAGACAGGTGCCTTGTTGCAGTTTTCTTTGGCAATTGAGCGATTGATAGCAACAATTAAATTTGAGAAGTATGAGAGATTCCATTCGAAATCATTTATTGCATTATTCATTTGCCTAGTGAGTCCATTGAATTGTACTCCCACGATGTAACCACTTTTTTAAGACATGCACTATCCCATGCTTATGCATATTGTGGGCGTATCAGGACGGCGATTTCAATCATCTAGTGATCTCAGCGCTCAACCCGCCGGCGAATGTCGACGCGCGACTCAACAAGGCCTACTCGACGTCGCTCGTGTTGTCGATGCTCGGATTGCTGCTGGTGATTTACACCGAAACGGCGAACAAGAAGCACGAGCGTCTCATCGGATTCAGCACGCTGTCGGGACGATTTCAGCTTCATGAGAATGCGACGACGACGCGATTCATCTCCAGAATTCTTGTGTTCAATTTGACGACAAATTTGATGTATTCAAGCGGCGTAATGGTGTTGAAGAATGTGAAATTCGAGTTCCTCAAAACGAATGAACCCCTATTTTTCACGATGCGCAGCATTTGCTATGTAATTGTTAATTAGGATGATAATTAGAAAGTAATTAGTGGATTTCAGCTTCATCCGATGGCTGGATTTATTGTTTCGGCCACGTCGATATGGCACGTGTCGGCGAAAAAGAGGCAGCGTGTGAAGAATGCGAACAACATTGTGATGATGCCCCAAAAAGGGAAAGAGGGATTCGATGCTTATACGCAGATATTAAATGAGCAATGGTCGATGCGAATGAATTTGAAATAAAATGAATTTATTGAGCAACGGACTCCCAATAATTTTGAATCGCTTGGTGATGATTGTGCGCGCCGATGGGGCCCGAATAGGGAAGAGCAACCACTTTTTGCAATTTTCGGCTTTTCCGAATCCGCAAACGATTCAGAAGCATCGTGCCGAATATGCCGGCGATCATATTGTAGATAGGCATCGTCTAGAAATTGGTCGGCGTGTTTTTTTTTTTCTCTTGTCGACTCCATCGATTTGGAATTTACCACGAAAATCCCGCGTAACGCCAATATCACCATTTCGTCATTGATGTATCGTTTTAGGAACACGCGAAGAATGAGCGAGTTTGATAGATAGACGCCGAAGAAGAGATTGTGTAGAAATGAGATGCCGATGGTGAATTTTGAGCTGATCAGAAGCTCATTGGTGAGAAAGCGCGATGATAGTGTTGGAAGGCTTCTAAAACATTCTCAATTTTTGCCGTTAGTGAAATTAAAGAAAAAATTCCGTTATTTTTAATGATTTTTTTATAAATAGAAAATATGGCCTAGTGGCCGCGGACGTGGAAAACCTAGTCCGCCAATTGTCTTTCTTTTTTAATAAAATTTTCCATTATTTTAAATTCATTCGCTCACCGCGTGTCCAATTTTCTCAGAACCATATAAAAACATAAATTAGTCGTAAGATTAATAATATTTGTCGAAAAAATAGTAAATGTAATAATATTGAACTGAAAATTCGGCAATTATTTGAGGTTTGCAGATTGATGACGTCACAATCGAGGCGACTGAATCAGGAACCAAGAAAAAATTGAAGACGCGAGTTTCGAAAACCGAAATTTCCATTAGATAGATGACCATAATTAGGCTAATTGTTGCCTGAAATTAATTGGGAAATTTTGACGGAGGGGTGTGGGGATGACGACACGCAAATGAGCAGTAGAATGTAGGCGTTGAACGTCGGGCGATGCTCATAATTCATACGGCAACGATAGGCGATCAAACGTTCCACAGTGATCGCGACTGTTATCGAAACCGGCGCCGAGAACGTGAGAAAATTGGGATACGACAAAATTCGCCACGAATCGATGCTGATGAGCAGATCGCATTCGGTTTTGGCGAGAAATGGGACGATCACATGATAGCTCTGAAACCAAAATGCCGGAATTTCGACACAAAACCCGAAAATGTCGGCCTCCCCCACATAAATATAGCAATTGAAGAGTTGAAATGCAAAAGTGGTCGAATAGAAGACGATGAGAAGCACTTTGAGATTTGCATGGAATAAATGCGGCACAATTTTCTTGAATATCAAATAGACAATTGGCGGCATTCCGAGAATTGACGTCAGCAGGCCGAAAAATTGAGGGATGCGATACCAATAAAGATGGGTGACGTGGAATGCCTGGAAAATTTTGATTTTTATCGTTTTGAAAATGACAAAATTGATGAGAAACTCACATTTTTGCACTGTTGGTCCATTGATTGCAAAAAATGAACAAATCATATGTGGATGTGTTGTTTGAGGTAGAAATTCCCCTGGGAGCAGGCTCGCAGGTGAAATGAGCAATAGGTTGAAACAAACATTTATGATTTTTTAATTGACTTCAAAAATAGATTAATTTCGGATTGGTTTTGCGCAATAATAAATTAATAAAGAGATTTATTTAATTGAATTTGAGAAAAAATCTGCAAAATTTGCGCCAACTATCATGTCACTGACGCATTTGTGGGGGGCTGGTTTGAAAAAATTGTTTTTGCTCATAGAGCTAGTCAAAATTCGAACTATTAAATAAAACAATGTTTTGAGCGAGATAGCGTTGATACAAGAGAGACGCAGAGATGGAAAGACAACTATTTCTCAACGGCAAAATTCCAGCAATTTTGAATTGCCGCGTCGTGATTTTTGGCGCCTTGAACACCCGAATATTCGATCGACACCACTTGGCGTCGCTTCTTCGATTTTTGCCAATTGAGGCGCTTCATCAAAATCGCGGCGATGACGCCAGCGAGCAGATTATAAACGGGTAACACCTGGCAAACAAATCGACGGGTTGCAAACGCGCCCCAACGCCAAACTCACCAACATAATTCCGCGTAGGCCGTTGATGAGGGTGGCGTCGCGAACGACCAACGGCAATAGGAAGCGAATCGCGAACGTGTCGATGAGATGGACGGCGAAGAAGAGATTGTGTAGAAATGAGATGCCGATGGTGAGATTGGTGCTCGTGTGAAGCTCCTCGATGAGGTACCTCGTCGACAAACTCGCAGTTTTCGAGTTGAATCGCTGCAAGAAGCGCGCGAGCGCCAAATTCGTCGCGAAATTGCCGACGTTTATCAGAAACAGGCCGACGATGAGCAAATTGAACTGAACCGTGGATTGTGGTCCGTGTGGACTACACGACGCCTACCGATGACGCCGACGACGGCGGTATCAGAAAGAAGTTGAACGTCGAATATTGGAACGCCTCATTCCGAAATACTATATAAATTATAATCATATTAATAGTTAGCTGGAATAAAGAATCCAATTAGAAACCAATTGTAGACCTACCGTAATCCCAAGAAGCATGGGTCCTATGCCGATTTTGCGATTCTCATAAAACGCGCGATCGAACAACGCGATGAGCCTCTCGATAGTGATCGCTACCGTAATCAAGACGGGCGCTCCGAATAGGTAGAGCAACGGATAGGAAATCAACTGAAAATGGGCTGGTCCGATGAGGTGCTCGCAATCGATGGTCCCGACGAGAATTGGCGCGATGACGTGGAATCCCTGAACGATGTTTGGCGATTTGTTTTTTTTTTTTTTTTGGCGGCTTACAAAAATATAAACGTTCAAAATTTGCGTGGCGAGAATCGCGGCGAAAAACGCGAGCAGTAGCACGCGTTTTTACGGTGGCATTAGTTTGAGCTGTGTGATCGAATTCACCTTCAAATTGGCATGGAACATTGACGGCATCAATTTGACGGCGATGAAGCGAATTGTCGGCGCGAGACCGGCGAGCGAGACGAGCTACGTGATGCACTGGCACGACTGATACCAGGAAACGCTGGCGAGCTGAAATTGAGGTTGGCGGAGCAGAAGCCCAAGAACACCTACCAGACTGCAATCCATCAAACTGGGGGCAAAAAAATTGAAGGCGGAACTTGATTGGTCTAGTCGCAGCGAAATTCAATTAAATCGCAAATTTCCCCGATTTTCGGGCCTCAAAATCACATAATTAATGTTATTACGTTTTTTTGGTGCAATTTCGCGTCACGGTGTCTCGCGGACCTCATTTAGTTTCGTGGTTTGTGCGCGTGTGCGCGCTATTAAAAATCACACGCGCACTCCTCCGCTCGTCATTTCCTCAATTTCAGAACCCAATTATTCGGCTGATCAAGAACAAATAGAACATGTTTACGCATGCCAGGTGGTTCATTTTTTGTTGGGGCTGAAAAACGACACGCGTTCATGCGATCCTAAGAGAGAGGCGTATCCCCGATGAATGTCCGCACATGTTTGCTATTCGGAGCTTTCTAGATTGGAAAGTTTACGCCTAATTGCCTACATATCTCCATTGCGCGGTTTCATGTACAGAGTTAGAAGGGCGACGAAGCGAGTGGCGATGGGCAAGTGGGAGGCATTTATTCCAGTGTGCTTTTTGCGGGGGGTTCGAGACCTCCTCACTTCAAAAATTTTTTGCGAACTATTTTTATCCTCTAGAATCAATTTTTTTTCACTTTTATTGTATAGTGAGAACCATCGAACTTGATTTTTGTTGTCTCCAGCGAGCGATCAAATGTGAAAAATCACAAAACGCAACGTAAAAAGAAGGAAGAGACGAAGCGGAAGGCTCGAAGCAATTTGAAAATTGTCGAGCAGGTCGAGTGCACAATTCAGGAAGAGAAACATGAGAAGAAGAAGAAGTCGCAACACGCGCATCTGGTTTGGATGATAGTTACAGTAGTCGCGTGGTTACGGTAGCAATTGTTTAGGCGACGAATACGAAGCGAGCGCATTCGACGCCAAAGGAGCCGTTGACGTTGGCGATGTCGCCGGTCACACTGGTAGACGAATTTTGAGTTCGACTAGTCGACCACCTTTAAATCTGAGTTCAGAGAGCCAAAGAGACGGAGCCGTTGAGCTGCATGTCGAATCGGATCAACGTGACGCCGTCGAACTCGAACACGACGGTTCGGACGGCGACCGAGCCCGGCAGAGAGACGCCACCCGGCGCCAATGGTACACCAAAAACGGAGAAATGGTGCGGCGAAGACGCGGCGCGAGCTTACATCGATAAAGTCGATGCGAACAACGCGAAAAAGGAGTTTTACGATTTGGCGCAATTGCCGATCGATATTGATAGTAAATGTATAACGTGGAAGAAAAATATGAAAAAAAATCAAAGCGAGGTGAGGTTTGATTCGTTTTCTTTTACACCTGCGCATTAAAAAAAATATATATTTTATATTGAATTTTTAGACTTGTTTTTGTTTTAACACCGTAGCACAGTACACCGTGACGCAAAAGTGCACACGATTTGCAGATGTACCCGTGCTTCGACGCGAATTTGATTCGCAACACGGCGAATCCCGACGAGTATGTGAACGCGACGTCGGTGTCTGTGCCGCAAGTCTCGAAAAACGTGATAATGGCGCAATTTCCGAAAAAGGGCATCGATGGGAGTATCGAAGAGTTTTGGAAGGCGATTTTTCAGGTTTTCGCGTTTTTTTTTTTAAATCTGCCAATGTTTTTCATTGATTTTCAGGAATGCGTGATGTTGATTCATATTCTCACCGGAAGCGAAGAGTCCATTGATTTTTTCCCGCAAACCAGCGGCCAATATGAACATTTTGGCTCAATGTTCGTCAATAATCGGAAGGTGAGAAATAGTGTGTGCACTAGTGAGAGTCGGCCAGACGACGAGAGCGATGCCAACACTTGTACGCTAATAGCGATGCGTGTTAACGTGCAGGGATGGCCGAGTGGTCTAAGGCGCCAGACTCAAGCGTTGCTAACCGCTTGCCTCACGATTTCGAGGTCGCACTGGGTGTTCTGGTACTCGTATGGGTGCGTGGGTTCGAATCCCACTTCCTGCAGACAACTTTTTTTTGCGATTCTCAAGGTTTGGAATTCAGGTCGAGAAAATCGACACCGAATCGACGATGCATCTCGTCGAGATCCTACCAACCGGCTTCTCCAACTCGAACATGTGCAAAATCATCATCCACAACAGTTGGGAGGAGCAAAACGTGCCGGTGAAATTCAGCAGCACCATCAAGAGCGTGATCGACGTGATCAATTTCATCGCGACGTCGCTTCCCGACGAGAAGTGCGCGGTGATATCGAAGCACGGCGCCGGACGCGCCGGCTTCTTTGTGGCGCTGACCAGCGTCGTGTCGAGTCTCAACAACAAAGTCGAGCCGCGAATATACGAGACGGTGCGATCGCTTCGAGACCAGCGGCCGCACGCCGTCGACAGTCTCAAACAGTACACATCGTTGTACCTATGCCTCAACTACTATATCAAGGTTGGCTGAAGTGTGTCGGTAGATCAAAAAAACGCTTTTTCTGTTTTGTTTTTTTCTAGAAGAAAATTCCGGAGCCGGCGATATCGGCGCGAGTCCAGCAAATCATTGACGCGTTTCGCGAGATGCTCACCGGCGCCTCCGTCATGCAATAAATATAATAAATCTCAAATGGCGATTTCAATATGTAGTAATAATATGTTGGTTCAAATCATTCATTATTTTCGTTTGGCGATCGGCATGTGTTTGAAGATTCTCACATTTCGGCTGCTGTTTGCCGCCGTCGGACCCCCCCTCCATATTTGGGAAGGTGGTGGTAGGCTTTTGGTGGCGGGGTTTTGTGCTCGTGCGCCTTCTGTACGACGCGAATTGAATTGCAAATTTTCGTTTTTGACATCCTATTTTTAGAGACTCTTTTTCGTTTTTGTTGGATTACTGTAGGTGTTTAAAGGCGCACATTCAGACAAAAATTGTGGCGATTTTGAGTTTTTGATTGAATTTTTTGAAGAAAAATTTGAAAACGCCATAATTGACGTGAAAATGCACACATTTGCTGTCAATTAATGAATTCTCCGGTTTTGCCCCCAAAAAACCGGCTCATGTTATTAAAACACGAAAAAATGAAGTTTGAAAGTCGCAAAAAGTGGATAGATTACGATTGTCGCGTCGAGACCCGTGGAACATTTCGCGTGCGCCTTTAAAAATAATTGGCGAAAAGCCCGTGGAACATTTCGCGTGCGCCTTTAAAAATAATTGGCGAAAAGCTTTTATTGCAGGAAAAAAATGAAAATTGGCGTGAAATTCAAAAAAATTAGAAAAAAATGCAAAAAAGTAAAAAAAATCCTAAATTGGCGCGAAATTCAAAAAAATTAGAAAAAATGCAAAAAAGTAAAAAAAAATCCTAAATTGGCGCGAAATTCAAAAAAAAAATGCGAAATTTATTTAAAGGGGAAAATTTTTGAAAACAAAAAAAAAAAGACAATTAAAAAAATTTTTTTTCATATTTTCTCCAAAGAAGAAATCGAAATTAATTAAAAATAAAATTTGGCGCGAAATTCAAAAAAAATTTTTCCTTCAAATTTCCTTATAGAGGGCTTTATTTCAAAGAAAAAATCGAAATTAATTAAAAATAAAATTTGGCGCGAAATTCAAAAAATTTGGAAAAAAATGCAAAAAAGTTAGAAAAAATTGGAAAATAATTTCCAAAATTGGCGCGAAATTAAAAAAAAATGCAAAATTTATTTAAAGAGGAACATTTTTGAAAAAAATTAAAAAAAAAGACAATATTTAAATTTTTTTTTTAGATATTTTCTCCAAAAAAATCGGAAATTAATCAAAAATAAAAATTTGGCGCGAAATTCAAAAAAAAAATTCGAAAAAAATTTTTTTTTCAAATCTTCCTCAAATTCCCTTAGAAAGAGATCTCAAAAAAAAAATATCGGAAATTAATCAAAAATAAAAATTTGGCGCGAAATTCAAAAAAAAAATTCGAAAAAAATTTTTTTTTCAAATCTTCCTCAAATTCCCTTAGAAAGAGATCTCAAAAAAAAATATCGGAAATTAATCAAAAATAAAAATTTGGCGCGAAATTCAAAAAAATCAAATTTCTTCAATTTTTTCCCCATAAAAGTCATGCCAATCGAATCTCATCGATGATTCCCAGCGGATTGGCGGAATCCTCGAGAGCTGAGGGGGGGGGGCTCAACGTCGGCCGTGTTTCGTCGATTGTCGATTGTTTGTTGGCGGCGAGCCGGCGGCGGCGAGCCATTCAATTCCAATCTATTTCACATTATATTCATAATCAAATAAAAACAAGGCGGCCGAGCGAGACGATGAAATTGATATGAGCCGAATGAATGATGAGCGCGAGTGGCCCGCGGTTTTTGTGTGTGTATTTTGTCGCCGTCCGCCCGTTATTTCCGTTCCTGTTCGCCCGTTTTTTTCCGGCGGCCATCGCCATTTTTTTTGGGGTTTCCGCACATTCTGCCCAAATTTTTCACGTGATGCACCTTTAAATTTCAAATTTCGCTTTTGATCTACGCTGGCGCGTTTCTCGTGCCAACTTTTTTCATTTTTGGGGTTTTCCGCACAATCAGCCCAAATTTTTCACGTGATGCACCTTTAAATTTCAAATTTCGCTTTTGATCAGTGTGCGCACTCGATCTCAAAATCGTTAAAAAATCGATCTTGCTCGAGAATTTAAAGATCGATCGAACCCGAGATCGATCGAGCATTTCGAGCGCTCGAGATCGATCGAGCGGGATCGATCGAACTCGAGCGCTCGAAACGCTCGATCGATCTCGAGCGCTCGAAATGCTCGATCGATCCCGCTCGATCGATCTCGAGCGCTCGAAATGCTCGATCGATCGCGAGCGCTCGAAAAGCTCGATCGAGCGGGATCGATCGATCTTTAAATTTATATGCAATTAAAATTAGTTTTGAATACGTTTTAAAAAGCGCAAATTTTTAATTTCTACCGGCTGCACAATTTTAATGAAAGCCTTGCATCGATAATTCCGTTTCGAACCAGCTCTATTCAGAAAAAAGCTATTAAAGTTCATTCTATGTATACATGTATTCATTTATTTTTCCCGTAATAGACAACAAAATACATAAATTATAATAGAAAACGTACAATACTAATAGGATAAAAAACGAGGAAGAACAAAAATAATATAAAATAAGAGTGGGAATTATTAAACGAAAAGAAAAAAAATGAGGGAATTTTGGAAACGAAAATGTTCATGACTATAAAATTTTTAAAACCAATTACACTGCTCCACAAAAGTTTAACCTCATTGATATTTTTTGAAAAAATGACATTGTCACGAAATTTCAAAAAAACGATTTTATTGTTAAAATATGGCTAAAAAGAGTTCTCCTAAACATGATCGTGGTCTTTCGAATCGACAAATCGTTCGAGATTTGGGCGCAGACCAAAAGTGATCAATAATTATCTGAAGAATCCATCAGATTGTGGTACTGCGACATGATCTGGATGTCCAACCTCCATTTCTAGCCGAGAAATAGAATTCGTGAAAATGTCATTTTTTCAAAAAAAAAAATGGGTGAGGTTAAACTTTTGTGGAGCAGTGTAGTTTTTTAAAAATTGCTTTCCTGAATGTCTTCGATTTCGAAATTTAGTTCTTGTTCACCTTCAATGTCGTCCTCTTGTCTATACTCCTCCCTTTGCTGTTGCGCGTCTTCAAGTTCGTCCTCGTCATCCTGCATTTTTTCGTCGTCTTCTATGGCGAAATCAAGAATATCATAGTTTGAATCTACGTCTTCTTCATTATCCTCCCAATGTCTGAAATATAAAATCAATTTTTTCCTAAATTTTTGCACTTACTCTTTCGCGAGAGCAGCAGTTAATAAAATATTGGACACTGTGTCCGGTTTCATTCGATTGCGTTTTTTGTTTCGCAAAATATCAGAACATTTTCTGAAATTATGACAAATATAATCGGTGTAATAGTAAACACTCATTTGCAAAATAAATCGGCATACATACATATTGTCGGCGTTGAGCGACTATTGAAAATTCTCAAATTAAAAAATTTGGAACGGATTACGCATAAAAATAGGTTGAAAGCGCACATATATTCTTCATTGTTTTGGCATTTTGCCAATTTTACGTAGTAGACACCGATAATAGTTATAAAAAATTTCTAAATAACTTACGAAAAAAGTCGCTCCGCTGAGGAACTAGAAGCTGGGCAACTCAGATACACCTTTGCGAAATTTCCTAATATGGGAAAATGAGCAGATTGACCGGCCCAAAAAGAAAGCGGGTCAGATTTGGCCGATGGCCGATTTGTTGAGAGTATTGCTTTGTAATGCAATATTTCTGACTAAAATTAATATTTTACCAAAGTAGTACTCCATTATTAAAATTACTTTTATTGTTTTCTCAGAAGACCGCACCTCAAGCCTTCTTTTCAAAAATGAGTTCATTCCATCGTCCGAATCGGAATCATTTGATTGTGATGAACTTAGGTCTCTTTGAGCACTGGTTTCATGTTTTTTGATAAGAAGTTCTTCACATTTATCCCATGACGTTTCTAGATTTGGCACGAAGCTGAAGCGGGGATCCAACAACATAGCGAGCTGCAGAGCGTCATTTTCCTTATAAGATTGCGCGAATCTGTAAAGGCTTCATTTTCCCGATAGCTTAAAAAATTTAAAAAAAAAACCTAAATTTCAGAATCTTTGCCATTTTTATAGCTAGCGAGGTTCCCATTTTGTCCAACTTGTCTTCGAGTTTTATGAAATTTGGGATGATCTCCGATGCATACGAGTTTTCGCGCTCAAACTAAATAAATAATCAAATAAATGAATACAAATATAATTGGTTACCTTAAGAAGAACAATATAAACTGGCTCCAGAACATCGATAATCTCATCCAAAACTTTTTGCTGTGCTGCGGACAATAACAATTTTTGAAGTTGCCTTACTGCCACTAACGATTTCAAATTCTTTTGATAGCTGTTTAATAATAGATACATCGAAGCCCATCTAGTCGGTGACAAACACTGCGGCAAGGGTGCCGTGCTCGGGAAGGCTTTTGCGTTTTCTCTGACTTCACTTCGGACGCTCTTATTTCGAGAGAGATATGATGACAAATTTTGTGCATTTCCCATAATTGGTTCAACCTTCTTCAATTTTGAAAACTCCTCGAATGCTAGATCGAGAAAATGACAGCCACAATGCACGTTTTTGAGAAAATGACCAGTTGAAAACGAGCGCAAATTCGAAGCTCCATCTGTGCATGTTAGTTCGCACATGCTTAAGTTTATTCCTACTCGTTGAAGTAAAGAGCATATCGATTCAGCAATATCGGCGGCTGTGCTTTTAGCGACGTGACGAATTCCACAAAAGGCGTTCTTTCGTTTGTAATCTTCAGAGACGAAAAAAATCTGGCAACTGTAGAAGTTTCGATCTTTTCTTATTTCGCCATAGCCATCCGTCACTAATGTAAATGACTTCACATTTCTTAATTTGCCTTTCATATCATCTAAGTAAATTTGAGATATCTTCTCAACGTGATGTGCAATCATTTTAGGAGTGGGCACGACAGCAGATTGATCTAAGAGTTTGTAAGTTCTGATAAAATTTTGATTGGCTGCAAAACGGAAAGGGATTCCTCCTGTGCAAAAAGCTCTGGAATGTGTTATATTATAGTTAAAAAAAAAACGAAAATATTCAAACTTCGTGATTTCCAATTCCCATTCCTTATATATTGGTGCTCCAATAGTTTCTTTTTCAATGACCCGTTTACTCTAAATTAAAAAAATGTTTTATTTAAAAAAATAAAAAAAAACCTTGGAGTTCAAAATGTTCTCAAACTTTTCCAAATGCTGCGACTTTGCGTGTCGGATGAGATTGGTTGTACTTTTATTATAACTTATATTCACTTTGCAAACTGGACACTTAATATACTGAGTAGTGGGATCAGTAGGTTTGCGAAAAAAATCCCACGCAATGGATGTCATTCTAAAAAAATAATAATAAATAATGTTTCCAATTTAAAAAAAATTTGAGAACGATCCAACGAATAAAAAAATTGCATAAACTGCCATTGAATTACGGAGTTTTATGTGAAACAGCCTCTTAAAGCGAGAAAAATTTGCAATTATATAAAGTTTTCGAAAATTATTTCAAATTCGCGATTCGAAACGCGCTACGCGTCGCGTTTTCGAGGTGCATTAGGGCGTGTTTGCAGCGGGACTCGTTTTTTTCGCAATGTAGTATTTAGCCAATCAGGGACTGCAATAAGGGGGTGGAGTCAGGACAAAACGTATGACAAGTATCATGCAATGTCTATGAAAAAATTTCATTTTCGGCTATTTCGCCTATTTTCAGATCATTTACGGTAACTTTCTAAACAGATTTTACTACATTCGGGTCTGCTGAATTCATTCGTAACGTCTATTTCCAACAAGTTTTTACCTAAAAATTTCAAACTTTTTAACTCTAAGATAAATTTTTTAAACATTTTCCGCGGTGACCTATATATATTTTTCATTCACCGTTTAGGAAAAACTCTCGAGAGACTACGGTTCAAATCTCAATAAAATTTGCTAACTAGAACTAACTTTTTTAGTCATCGAAATACCTGCAGCATGGAAAAGAATGGAGACTTTCGTAATTTTCGCATCAATGTAGCTCGTTTAAGTAAATATGTCTTGAAAGCAAATTCGGAATCTACGAAAAGTTTGCTACATGATGGCATTCTTCACATTTCATGAGATGTGTTTAAAAAAAAAGACACAAAAGATCGACCAAGATCGATCGAGCGCTCACAAATGATCGACCAAAATCGATCGAGCGTTAGCGATCGATCGAGCGCTCGATCGAGATCGAGCGCGATCGATCGAGCGCTCGATCGAGATCGAGCGCGATCGATCGAGCGCTCGATCGAGATCGAACGCGCTCGATCTCGATCGATCCCGGGATCGATCGAGCACAGGTAAGTTCGATCTCGGGATCGATCGATCTCGAGCGCTCGATCGATTTTTAGAAAGATCGATCGATCCCGATCGATTTTCGCTACCAAGATCGATCATACTCGATCGAGCGCTCACACTGCTTTTGATCTACGCTGGCGCGTTTCTCGTGCCAACTTTTTTCATTTTTGGGGTTTTCCGCACAATCAGCCCAAATTTTTCACGTAATGCACCTTTAAATTTCAAATTTCGCTTTTGATCTACGCTGGCGCGTTTCTCGTGCCAACTTTTTTCATTTTTGGGGTTTTCCGCACAATCAGCCCAAATTTTTCACGTAATGCACCTTTAAATTACAAATTTCGCTTTTGATCTACGCTGGCGCGTTTCTCGTGCCAACTTTTTTCATTTTTGGGGTTTTCCGCACAATCAGCCCAAATTTTTCACGTAATGCACCTTTAAATTACAAATTTCGCTTTTGATCTACGCTGGCGCATTTCTCGTGCCAACTTTTTTTATTTTTTGGGTTTCCGCACAATCTGCCCAAATTTTTCACGTAATGCACCTTTAAATTACAAATTTCGCTTTTGATCTACGCTGGCGCATTTCTCGTGCCAACTTTTTTCATTTTTGGGGTTTCCGCACAATCTGCCCAAATTTTTCACGTAATGCACCTTTAAATTACAAATTTCGCTTTTGATCTACACTGGCGCGTTTCTCGTGCCAACTTTTTTCATTTTTGGGGTTTTCCGCACAATCAGCCCAAATTTTTCACGTAATGCACCTTTAAATTACAAATTTCGCTTTTGATCTACGCTGGCGCATTTCTCGTGCCTCTCTCTCTCATTCCATTTTTGGAAAAATTAGGTCATGTTGGCGCCTTTTGGTGTAAATTCCTTGACGCATTTGTCGCGGTACTCTGTGACGGTATACTGACGCTTTTTCGGTGTTCCAAATAAAAACATGATATTTTTTCGCGTCTTCTCTTTAAGTCCAAAAATCGCCGACGTCATTTTGGCGCAAAACCCTTGACGCACTTTTCGTGTCTCGCGTTTCTCAATTCCAATCGTTGGCGCCTTTTCGGTGCAATTTTTGTCGAAAATCTTTCAACAAATATTCAAATTTTGTTGACGCATTGTGTTGGCGTATTTGTAGTGTTCACAAAAATGCGTTGACGCATTTCGGGTGTTGCCAAAAAATGTTGTGTTGACGCATTTCGGGTGTTGCTAAAAAATTGTGTTGGCACATTTCTAGTGTTCAAAAAAAATTTTTTCGAAAAAAATTGTGTTGACGCATTTCGCGTGCCCCTCTCAATTGCGCCCGCCCAAAATCGGTCTTAATTTGTCGCATCGTGTGTCCGTGATGGTTTGCGACCGGCCGGTCATCGCGAAACCCTGGCTGGCCAAATGCCAATCCGATTCTCAAACATTTTTTCTGCCCTTGTCGTCACAGACCCTAATCTACCGTGTTGATCACATAAGACCCCCCCCCCTCTCTCCGCTCGTCGCCTTCCGCAATCATCATTTGTGCTCATTAGCGGCGAACCAGAATGTTGGCGTCACTCGCGCTACTCCTTCTCACACCAATGGCGATGGCGTTGGCGATGGTCCAGGTGCCGCACATCGATTGGTGCCTCTATTGGCGATTCCTCAACAAGGACCAATATCGGCCCGAGTGCAACGGTGTGTATCGATTGCGATTCGCCAAACACAAAGGTACGGTAGAAGAGTGATCGTCTCGAGACCCTTTTTGTTTATTTGTTTGAAGCCTTCGATCATCAGCGCCCTCAAATCAATGCGCCCGTCAAATTGGAACACGAGATTTTTGGTGGGTAGATCAAAAAAATTTTTTTAATGGCATTCGAATCGCTTTCAGATCAATGCCGTCCGGCTCATTGGCGATGTCAGCGGAGCAGCCGATGCTCCTCCGGTCAATTGTGCATCGACGTCGGCGGCTATTGTTGCGGCAATGAGAGGTGAGGGACCATCAAGATCCGTGTGGAGTTTGGCGGGTTTTTGGATTTTCGAAAAAAAATTTTTGGAATCGATTTTTCTCATTTTTTTTTGCAAAAAAATTTTTAGACAATTTTTTTTGTGAAATTCAGCATTCAACATATTTCCAGATTTCTACACTAACTTTTTTTTGACCTTTTGGTGCAATGTGTCGTGGAATTCGGCGCATGACATACCGTAATCAGCGAAAAAATTTTTTGAAAAAAAATATCAAAAAGTGGTTTTTTTTAAAAAAAAAAGAAAAAATTTCAAAAAAATTAATTTCCGAAAAAATTTGAAAAAAAAAAGAATGGAAAAAATGTTAAAAATATATTGGGAAAACAATTTTTCGAAAAGAATTTATAAGCGAAAAAAATGAAAAAAAACTTTTTTCAAAATCAATTTTTTTGTTTTATTCGAAAATGAATCGAAAAAAAATTATTAGACAAAAATTAGAAAAAAAATCCAAAAAAATTTTTGTTTTCAAACAATTTTTTTGTCAAACTAGTTTTGTTTGAAAATGATGGAAAAAATTGGAAAAGAATTAAAAAAAAATTATTTGCAAAACAAATTTTTTAAAAAATGTCGGAGAAAAATTGGAAAAAATCGATTTTCGAAAAACAAAAATCCAAAAATTATTTTTTCTTTTCAAAAAATAAATTTTTTGTCAAAATAGATTTGTTTCAAAATGATGGAAAAAATTGGAAAAGAATTTTTTTAAAAAATTTTGCAAAAAAAATTTTGAAAAAAAAAGTCGAAGGAAAATTGGAAAAAAATAGATTTTCGAAAAAAAATTCAAAAAAATTTTTTTCATTACAAAAAATAAATTTTTGTCGAAATAGGTTTTTCGAAAATAACGGAAAAAAATCGAAAAAAAAATTTTACGATAAAATTTTTTTTTAATTTTCTAAAAAATTTATTGCAAAAAAAAAAGTTCCAAAATTTTTTTCTCTTCAAAATCAATTTTTTCGCTTTTTTTAGAATTCTCACCAGCTGCCCATCGCCCGACACCCTCGTGGATCAATGCGCGAGGTCTCGCCGCGCCGCCACCAATTGGTGCACCATCGACGCCGAGTGTTCGCCACAATTGGCGCCGCGCCACAACTCGCTGTTCGCCAATTTGGCGCCGATGAGATCGCGCGCGATGTGCTGCCCGACAAGCTGCGGCTACAACGTCTGCATTCGGTAGATCAAATCCAATCGACGCCTACGTGTACCAAAAATTTTTCCAATTATTTTCTCGTCTTTTCATCTGCTGAATGAAACCCAAAAATGAGAACAAAAACGAAATTTAATAAATTATTTCTAAGATTTTTCTTGTTTTTTTTTGGGGGAGAAAAACTACTACTAGCGAAATAGTTCGTCAAAGTGAGAGACGCAGAGAAAGGCTCCGCCCACCCCGCAAACAAATTTTGTTGTGCGCAAATTCCCAGAGAAAAGTGCTCCACGTGATTCATACTCGTTTTTATTTTTGTCTAAAGACTTCTGAAAGCCCCGCCCCCATGCGCCTTTAATAAATTTTGGCTCGAAATTGAATTCATTCATAATTTTATGGACCATTAAAAATATTTTCGTCTTCATCAATTTTTGGACCAATGATACGTGTTGGCAGCGGCAATTCAAATCAAATTCGAATCTCCAATAGCCATCTGGATACGGTAATTAAAGGCGCATGCATTGTTTTTCATACACGACGAGATTACGCGAATATATTGCCTCATTTTTTTCTCATTAAGTCGCCTTGATGAAAATTCGCCCATTGTGCTCTCAAATTTCCGATTTTTCGAGGTGTTTTTGCACACAAAACCAATTTTTTTTCCATCCGAATTTCGCTTTTGAACGACACGATTCGATTTGGCTGCGTATCAAATGATGAATAGCGATTTAAAGGCGCACACGGCAAAAAATGAAAATTCGCGCAATCAATTTACAGCTTCAATTTTTGTCAAACGAGTAATTGTGAACCAACGCACCCTTTTTTTCGTGGCGGCGGGAATTCAAAATTTTTGAATTTAAAAAATTGATTTTTCTTATTTGGCGGGAATTCAAAATTTTATAATTTTCGTCAATTTTCAAAATTTTTGAATTAAATGTTTTTTTCTCTTTTTTTTGGCGGGAATTTGAAATATTTGAATTTTTATAATTATTTTTTTATTTTATTGGCGGGAATTCGAAATTTTTGAATTTTTAAAATTATTTTTTCTTTTTTTGGTGGGAATTCAAAATTTCTGAATTTAAAATATTGATTTTCCTTTTTTGGCGGGAATTCAAAATTTTATAATTTTCGTCAATTTTCAAAATTTTTGAATTAAAAATATTTTTATTTTTTGGCGGGAATTTGATATTTTTGAATTTTTAAATTTATTTTTTCTTTTTTTGGCGGGGAATTAAAAATTTTCCAATTTTAAAAAATTTATTTTTCTATTTTTGATGGAAATTCAAAATTTCTGAATTTCTAAAATTCTTGCCTCAAAAAAAATTTGAAAAATCCAAATAGTTTATTGATTTTCTTCGCTTTCCAATGAAACTCAAAATTGCCGCCAAAATCTTCGATTTTTCACCGCAAAACGAAAATCCGTGCAAACACCGCGACGCAAACTCGCAGAATTGCAATCCAACCATTTCCTAGCGTCATTTTTTCTCAACCATTTCATCTAGTTTCATACTACACACTATTAGACCCCTCAAAAATGTCACCCCGCCTTTTTTTTTCTCTCTCTCTTCCCAATAATTGTTAGCCTTCTATCTATTATTATTGTCACCCAATAATAATTATTATTATCTTTGCCAAAAAAAACCTCAAATATTTTGTCTCTTGACAATTTCGAATAATATTTTTCTGTATATTAAAGGCGCATGTGTACGGTAGGCGTCATCAATATGATCGCGTCCGATCTGGCAAGTTGAGCAACCTCGACGTGCCCAAAATTGTCGACGTCAAAATTCGATAAAGCGCAGCCGAAAAAAAATGTTTTTTTCAGCCAACACCTGCCTGCCAATTTTTGATAAGCTCAACTAGCTATTAATAAATGGACAAGTGCTTATTGGTAGCTCCACACCTCGAAATCGAAATTTCTTTCCTTGCTTCAGGCCTTCAACATCACATTCCATCCGATCTACCGCTTCTCGCAATTCTATACGCTCGCCGTCTCGTTGGCGGCCGTCTATCCGCTCGCGTTTTTGATCTACCGCCAATTGTGGCGCTCGATATTCCACGGCAATCTCAAAGCGTTGCTCATCGCCTATTTCAGCCAAATTCTCTTCTCGGCGCTCCTCAACTCGATCATCTTCGTAGGCTTTTTCTTTTTACTATGTGCTTCAAGAGAGTCCCCCCCCCTTTAAAGGCGCATCACTCGCTTCAACCGCTCGTCGCCGATTCGCCATGCGATCTGCTCATTTCGAAACCGCTGTTTCAAGTGCTCCAACCGTTAGCGGTGCTCGCCATTTCGAGCCCGACGCTCGTCACCCTGGCCATCTCAATAGAGCGCGTTATCACCTTGATCTTCGCCGATTGCTATGAGCACCATCGTGTTCTCATCGGACCCCTTCTATTGCTATTCATAGTGAGCGAGAGAGAGAATCTTAATTACCATCATAATAGTAGATTCCAGGGTCTCATCGAGCTCCTCTTGATCTACCATCTCTTCAAAGATGAGACATTCGACGATCACTTGATATCATTCCTAATGACGCCGTCGACATCAGCCAACGGTCTCAACGTCTTCTTTTGGTCGCTGTTCTCAGCGAATTCTGCAAATTTGGTCGTCAATTGCACTCTTCTCTATTGCACGAATTGCTTAGCAAAAAGGTAGCGCGAAATAAGCCAATAATGGAAAAATCGACACATCTCGCATTTTTGTCCAATTTTCCAGACGTCGCGGCTCTTTAAGCACCCGTTTTCAGATGGAGGAGCTCATCGTGACGACGAAATTCACCGTCTGCGTCTCGCTTATTCACGTCCTCTTTTTCGCCGTCTATTTGTCGTGTATTCTTGCGGTTCGCACGCTCGGCGAGCGCTATTTCGCCAATTATATTAATTATATGGTCGCTCGTGGGATATTCAATGTACGTTTTATGATGGCCAATTCGACTAATTGCGAGCATTTCCGCCTGAAAATTACTCAAGCGCAAAAAAAAATTACAAAAAAACGAGTCCGCAAGTCCGCATTATTACGTCGAAATTGCACCGTATTCGACGGCAATTTTTTCAAATTTCTTTTTCGAAAAATTAATTTTTGCCAAAAATCAATCGTGAATCCCAATTTTTCAGACAGTTCCCACCTACAATCTACTAATTGGTCCCGTCGCGATATTTTGGTTGGATCGTTTAAGCAAACTGCGCTCGCGGCGCGTCCAACACGAGGTGCAAATCAAGTACGGCGGCAAAGAAGGCGCGTTGAAGCACGATCTCGCAATTCAAAAATATTGGAACTCTGTCATTTTATAATTAATAATAATTATTAATTAATTTCCTAAAACAAAAACGTGAAGGCAATTCTCAAAAATGATCAATTCTAGTCAATTTTGCCATTTTTTTGAAGCATCGCCATCGCCAATCTCTCTTTTTTGATGTCCATCGCCAATTGCGCGAGAATTTCGTCAGCATCTTCATCGTCGAGACTTTTCGACGGCCGTTTTGCCGAAATTATCTGGTATTCTCCAATTTTCGTGTCATTGTGATACGTAATCTACAAAAAAAAACCACTCCAATTAATTATTAGGGCATTAAAAAAAACCTGAACATCGTCAAATCTCGCATTTTCGAGCGACTCCAAATATCGCATCGGATCCCACTGGCTTCGATCGAGAATATTCGTCGACGTCAGCGATTCGAGCCTGGAAATTCTGGAAAATTCTCGCTTCAATTCTCGTCTAATCACCTCGAAAATTGCATTCCAACGTGAACACTTCCGCCGGGCTTCATGACCCGCAAAAATTCGCGATTGATCTCATCGAGATGCTCGTGTCGCCAAAAATAGAAGACGTCGACGTGAAATATATGATCGAAGATCTCATTGGGATACGGCAAATTTCGCAAATCAGTTGTCTGAAAACACGTTTTTTTTTTCTTTTTTTGAAAAATTCCATACGACAATAATTACCGAATCGATTCGAATTTGGCCAGTCTCGGCGATTTCGAGATCGAATCGTTTCCTCGTGCACTCGTCCATGTATCCCGACCGTTCAACGCCGAAAACCGCGCCGTTTCCGCTCGAGACCCGATCGAATATCAATTTTATTGCGTCACCTCGACCATAGCCAATTTCCAGACAAAAATCATCTGGAAATATGTCGACGCGTTCAAAAATACTTCAAATTCAATTTTTTTTTCAAGAAAAATCCAAAAAAAAAAAGATTTGAAATGCCAAAACAAAATACTTCATTCTCACCTGTTTCTCGCGAGTTGCGCGTTTTTTGTCTGTTTACACACCTACGCAATATTGCACACATTTCAGTTCACAGTCAAATTTTGGTTAATAAAATAAAATGAGCATTTCATTTGAATTGCCGCCTTAGGTCTCGCAAGGAACAAAACTTTCACATCGAGTTTTGCTTTCATAAATGTCAATTCAAACCTTTTGTGACATTCATGTGCTTCTGAATCAGCAATTCGTTCAACCGCTTCGATTTCCGCGCCGTCATCTTGCTCACAACATAGCCAGTCATCGATTTGACCGGCAGCGCGTACTGAAAATTGCAAAAAAAAATATATTTGTCAATCAAATTTTCGCATGCGCCTTTAAAACAAAATTCCAGGGGACCCGAATAATAGCGCAATTTCTTCACCTGATTAGCCAAATCGCTGGTGGCCAATTTGAACGAATTGGCTAGCAATTTCGCGGCCATTTCTGAAAAATCCTCATTTGTAAAAAATTAAAAACGAAAAACAAAATATTCGCATCGATTTGAAGGCAAAAAATGGGGTGAGGAGAGAAAAAAAAGAAACATCACCAACACGAATTTTGTTTTATTTCAAATCATAGATATGATGATTATTTCAAAAAAAATGAATATGCAATTCTCGAAAACGAAAAAGAAAACAACAAAAAAAAGTGAAAATTCAATTTGAAACAAAAAAAAAACAATGTGGTGGGAATTAGTGTTGGTGACCCGCGGCGAGTGTATAGTAAATTCCAAAGGGGCGGAAAAAAAATAATTGTTGAATCAGTTAGACAGGTTTTTTTTGTTCTGCAGGTTAAAGCTACGCAATTTTCAAAGAAGACAAAAAGTTATCAAATAATTCAATGATATTTAAAGGAGAAACAAAAATAATAAGAGACAACAACCAAAAAAAATATGAGTATTGATAATGAGAATAAATTATATGAATGAATTAAACCACAAAATCAACAAGAAATTCACATTCCTTTCACAATCGCGTCCATTCGGCCAACAACGAACGCTTCCAATTCACGCGAGAGCTGAAAATATCCAATTTTTGCCCTTTTTTTTTAAAGGTCCAATACCTGAAAAATCTCGCTTTCCGTTTCATTATACGTCTCGCAATTGGTGATGATCAAATCGAAGTCGTTTCGAACCTCCTCGGGATGATTATAAACGCGCTGCTTCAATTTGTTCATCATCGATCGCAAATCCATCGGGCGTTTGATGACGTCGTAATAGTCGGGCACCTCTTTCGGATCGACCGGCTCCAGAAACGGCCACGAGCATTCTTGACGCATTGATTCTTTCAGCAATTGCTCGAGCGCCGCCATTTTCTCTTTGATCGACGTCGCGCTATTGCGCGACGGGTTCACGATTTCCGGCGGACTCGATTCTACAAAAACGGGTTCGATTATCAATTCGATCGCCTCATCGCCTACGCTTGCGTTTCATCGATCGTCTTTGACGTCGATCGCTGAATTCCTCATCCTCGGAGCTCTCAATATTGGAGAAGTCGTCAAATCTAGAAATTCGCCATTAAAACAATGAGAATCTCAAAAAAGAATCGCTCACGTTCGAACGTGTTTCGCTCTCGCCGGCCTCTCCGACGACGCCACATTCGATTTCCTCTGTCGCGGCTTCAACGGCGGCGTCGCCACCGCCAATTCCGTATAGTGGACTTTTCGAACCGCTCGGCCGCTTTGCGTTCGCGTCACATTCTGATTCTCAGTGTCGGAGCTCCTCTGCGGACGACCGCTGCCGACGCCGCCGTCATCCATCTCGATCGTGTGCTCCTCGCTGCCGACGTCCGCCTCGAGCGGCTCGATGACGTCGCGCGCTTTTCGCTTCGCCTCGTTCGCGAGTTTTCGACTCTGCGCTCGACACGCGCTACAGTACCACTCGATTGGTGTCGGCGCATCGCGCGCCAACTTGACGCACGCCAAATGATAGCAATTGTCGCATTCGTGGCACAACACGAGCTCGCTGGTCGCGCCTTTTCGCCGACACTGCCGACATTTGCCTTGCAATCGACTCTTGTCCCATTGAATCGCCGATTCCAGTGTCGACAGGAACAACGTCAACGCCGACAATGAGCCGCACTCGAGAAGGGCTCGCTGCCATCGTCGGAATGTCTCGGTCGCTCGCAACACTGCAAATTCCGAATCGTCTCGACAATTCCATGAGAGATTCTCTTACCTTCTTCTTTCCGAACAGCGAATGGCATTCTGATGAATTTGATTCCAATGCACTGAACGATTTGAAGAAACGCTAGAGCAAGTCTGAAAAATGATCTCTAGGATCCTTAGGATCGCGAAAAAAAAGAATCCATCTTACTGTTTGACTTCATTGAACTGCTTGGCGTCGTCAGGCGTCACTACCACCTCATTCCCAATCTTGATCTCAACATTCAGCAAATCGCTAACATCGCCCGACTCTCGCAAATGCTGTCGCCACGTGGCGCGATCGACACCAAACGTGGCGTTCAACGATCCCATTTGTCCTTGATCGACCTTCTCCTCGAAGTCGAGAAGCAGATCGCGAAGCTCCGCCTCCCAATCAATATTATAGGTGTCGCCGGGATCGGTGTCGTGCGTCATCAGCGCTTCAAGCCATTCGCCGTTCTCGACGATCTCGCTGGTGCTCTCGAGCAGCTCCTCCAGACTCGGCTTGTAGAACGCGAGCTGCTCATTGAGCTCACACTCGCGGAATCCGCGCGGATTCAAAACGCCGATCAACTTCTCCAGAGTGTCAACGTCGGGAATATAGCACCATCTCGGCCGTTCGAGGCGTCGTCGTCCGTGCACATTGCACGTTGCCATTTCGCCACTGCACACGTACACCCGCCGATCTTCCGATTCCACAAGACACTCGGGATTCTAAAGGCACGTTCGAAATCAAATAGTTGGGCACGTTCGAAAAACCCCCACCGCGATCATCGTCGGCTCCTCGCATTCGCCGATGCGATCCGCTTCCGTGCAATTCTCGACAATCAACGCCGGCAAGTTGTCAATCACGAAGTAGCGTCGAAATGCGCGATCATTTCCCAAGAAGATGTCGCCAGTGCTCACTGAAATCCAAACAGACCATCTAGAAGGCCCCCCTCTAGATCCAACCTTGAATATCGTAGACGCTCTGGATCATCTTCTTCTGAAGTGCGGCGCATTCAAGTTTCTGCAATTCGCGCGCCTTCACAATCTCGTCAAGTTCGAGCTCATTGTAAGGGACGCCAACGAGAAGGATCTGTGAAGCATAGGATCATATAGATCGGATCGATTAGGGAGATGCCTTACCGATTCCAAATCGTTCTTATCATCCCGTCGATTCTCATTGATCGCCTTCAAGTGCGCTCGAAGCCGCTTCGCCACCGCGCCTTGCTGAATCGGCTTCATCGCCGCGCCGCTCTTGCTCGCCTCGTCAATCTCGTGCTCCAAAGCGACGCGCGCCGAATTCGCTTCCTGCTCCTGAGCGGCATCCCAGAGCTTCAGCTTCTTGATGTCTTTACGCTTCTCGAACATCTGATTCTGTTTCTGTTCGATGAAATTCCGAAATTTCGCGTAAGTGAGAAGTTGAAGGATGATCGTCTTCATAATGATCAAACGCTCGTGCGGCTCCATATCGAACACGGTTTGCTGGAAATCAAGAAAATCAATTTTTCAGGCGATTAGAAGCTTCGACTTACCGTCTTCAACTTCTCAATGAGCTCCGGATTCTGCTCTCTGAGCTCATAGCACGGATCCTCGAATCCCTTGAAGTTGCCCCTCGAAAACAACCGATGCCGATGGGTGCTGTGGCCCGAATAGTAGCCGGAAGTGATGAATATCAATCGGATCACCTCGCTCAGCGTCATCCAATCAACGGGAAGGTGTCGAACCGATTTTCCGTGAATTTTTCGCACCATCTCATGAGCGACGGTGATCTCGCGTATGACGTCGCCGTGAATCGGATTGCCGGGATCGCAACTCTGGCTGTTCAACAGGTAGACCTCTTCGCGATTCGAGAAATCCGCCTCGTCGCCGTCTTCCTCGTCGGCGATGTCGGTTCGCGCCGATAGCAGAACGCGCATCAGATCCGCGTAGGGGCTATTCTGCGGATCATTGCATTTCACCGCAATCACAACATCCGAAAACAGAATCTCCGTGTGGCCTCGGATCTCCTTCAGCGGCAGAAGCTCTTTGAACGAGCAAAAGAATTGCATGATGAAGAGGAGCTCGGAGAACTCCTCGTCGCTGAGCCACGGCGGTAGTTGAAGCTTCGGCAACTTCGGCATCGGCTTCAGATCATCGCACATCAGATCATCGCGCTTCTTATTATAATTAATCTTCTCCTTATTCTTCCTTCGCTTCTCCTCTTTGAGCTGCTCGCGCTCCTTGTCTTTGGCTTCTTTGACGACAAGCTTAAACTCGGAGATCACCTTCGAGCTGAGCACCTTCTCCGACTGCTGCAGCTCGCCAACATCAATGCCAAGTCGTTTCGCTTCGGAAAATAGGAATTCAAGTTCGGCTTGTTGCTCAATTATCTGGAAATTTGTCACGAATATTGCATTATCGCGTTCTTGAAAAATTCAAAACCCAACTTTTTGGCGCTTCTTCTCGCTCATTTTCGGCGCGCTCAGCGATTTCCTCTTTTTCGGCGTCGATTCGGAATCCTGAATGTCTTTGTTCTTTCGCTTCTTCACCGATTTCGTCGGCGTCGCGTCGGGATTCTTCTTGGGACGTCCACGCGGCTTCGGACCGCTCTCATCGGCCGTCTTGATCTTTTTGATTTTCTTGAACGGCTCGACATAGCCGGGTTTCAGCACGTTGGGAATTCGTCCGCGCTGGGTGACCGGCGTGCTCGGACACGTCGGCTCACTGCCCGACATGATGAGATTCCAGCGCAGATTGCGCACAATCCCGTCAGCTAAATACTCATCGCGAACCACATAATGATCGCCGGAGTACGGAATTTCGGTGGAGTTTTTGAGGAAAAGCTTGATTTTCTGCCGCGAGCCAACGTTTTTCGAGCGGCTGCAATAAAAATGAGCCGAGCAAATTCGAAAATGCTTACAATATCTTCTCCGGTGGTACACCTTCGCGAAGGCCATCGTCGCTGACGTGAAGGCCGTCGAGTATCTGAATCGTGTAGCGATAATTCTCCGACGGCGGCAATTTCGGCTCTTTGGCTTCCTGAACCGCCAACGGCTCGCACAGCGGTCCGCTCTCTTCCGGTATCACGAACGAGCCGACGATTTTGGCGGGCATTCGACGATTGCGCTCCGAGTAGATCACCTCTTCGCTGATGAAGAACCGATCCTTCATGATCCAGAAAATATCATTGACAAGATCCTCGAATCGGCCGCGTTTTGTGTAATTGCTAACAATGAATAGAATTGGTTTGACGAGATAATCCGGAAAAATGCTAAGATCGTTCTGAAAAACACACGCAATATCTATTTTCGCTTTAAAAGGGAAATCCAAAAAATGCTCCAAGGATTACCGCAGCCTCTTGCTCCGATTCGACAGCTTCAAAGTATGTGAGATTCGTTTTTCTCGTTAATGCGCACGACCAGCACGTCGAGTTCAAGAGCACCATTCGCTTATAATAATCACTGAAAAAAATCAATAATCACTTTTTTAAGCCAATGCTTCTCTACTCATGATTGGTGAAAATCTCCTGTGTGGCCTCGAGAAAAAACACCTTCGTGTCCGGCGAGACGTCGTTCGGCGGCGGAAGCTTCTTGAACGGCTTCTTATTGAGCAGCGGCATCTCTGAACGCAACGTTTCATTATTTCCCAACGTAAAACAGAAACCACACGAAATTTATAAACAAATCGAACTGACAAAACAGCGCGAAACACGACCGAAAAAAAATCGACGGCGAAAATAAAAATTGAATGGAAAGAGGATGGAAGATGAAGATGGAGAAAGATGGAAAAGGAGGCGGGAGACGGCAAAGTGCCTAGCTGGGGCGCGCCGCAGCAGCGCAATTCTTTTATCTCAAATGGCTGGCAATCGAGGAGGGCACGCGTGAGGCAAGAGAGTGTTTGAGATCATAATAATAATAATATTATTCGAATAAAAATGAATATCAATTGTTTTATCATGGACAGGCGGCGAGCGTTTATTTATTTAAAAAAAAAAAGGATGAAGAGAAACAAAAGTAAAAAGTTTGCGTGCATACACGCGACGCACGAATGCACGCCGAAATTGCGGCCAAACGAAAAACTTTATTCAAGGCACTCAATTAATTTGAATCACATGTACGGCATTTTTCCGGACTCCAATAGTATTTCGATTTGCTGTCTGGCAATGACGCGCGCGTGTTCGGGAAGTGTTCGCAAATCGGAGACAATCGACGCCGAAAACGCCGAATCGCCATCGAGAAGGACGTCGCCGCTGCCGGCGCCACCATTGCCGCCATTGCCACCGCCACCATTGCCGCCACCACCGCCACCACTCGGTCCCGGCCTTTTGCTCTCCATTACAACGTAGGCGAGGCTGCAAAAAAATCGATTCAGCAAAAATTCAAACAACAACAAAAAAAAACGAAACACGTCTTACTCATCCTCAATTTCGTAATCCGACATGTCGTCCTGCTGATTGCCCGTCGAGCGCTTCAGACTCCGCGAACAACTGAAATTCCTTCAAAAATTGATTTTCCAATTCGGCACCGCCCGCTCGGATGAATCTATTTCGCTTACGCTGCACGCTCGTCCAAATACGGATCCATCCACATCATTTGCTCGTAGAGCTCCCAATTCGAAATCTCTTGAACGCCCAAATCCGCCTGCATTTTGAGTCGACGCTTCTCGCGCACGTACCGATCGCGATGCTTCTTCCATTGTTTGTAGATCGACTGAATATCGCCGGGGTATTGGAGGTTGGCGATGATGTGCGTCCATGCTTGATTCCGCCACTCCGAATGCCTATATTTCGGATCGCGAATGTCGTAGAGGCACGGATTTTGGCGGACTTGCTCGATGAGACGCGATGGGAACATCGGCTCCGATACGGCCATATTCTGGAAATTGTTTTGGCTCGAAATTGCAATTTTTCAGTTATTTTGGGAACAAAACGTGGGATTTCATGGCGGATCAACAAATTTGCGAAAATTTTCTTGAAAAAATTTAAATTTTGATTCGAAATTCAATTTTTCAAATTATTTTTTAAATGAAAATGCAAGTTGTCAACGGAAATTCAAATTCTGCGATTCAAATTCGAAAATTCTTTTTAGCCAAAATTTCAAACTTTGGCTCGAAACTCAAATTTTCAATTCAGTGATATTTTTCCAGCAAATTTTCATATTTTGGCCTTGAAAAATCAAATTTTCAGTGAGTTTTATCGGAAAATCATTTTTTCCTTATTTTTGAATAATTTCAGAACGAAAAAAAAAAGAATTTCCGCCAATAAAATTCAGCAAATTCAAAATTTCCATTTTTGACTCAAAAATTTGAAACAACCCAAACCCACCACGTCGACCGTCTCTTTTCTCGACGGCGAAACATCGGTTCGATCGGTCATGTGCGGATCCAAAAACTGCAAATGCTTGAAATACTGCCACGTCGATTTCTCATTCGTATATTTCTGTTTCCTCTTCTCTTTTCCATATCTAAATCAGCACGATTTGGGCGTTGATGGAAATGTTGCGTTTTGATCAACTTGTCTCTCAGCTGCTTCCAGCGCGACGCCAACATTCGCGGATCGCCGTCGAAGCCCAAAACCGACACCAGTCGATTCCAAACCTGCAAAACAAATTTCGACAATTTCCAACTTTTTTTTCAAACCCTATTTTTATATTCCGTATTCCTATATTGTCGATCAGTCTGATCAAAAAGGCATTTGCTATGCCGAACGGCTTCAATAAGCCTCAAATTAAACGTCGGTTCGACCATATCCGCTCTGCGGTCTTCAGTAACCGCCAAATTTGGAATGTATTGAATCCTAGAAAAAAATTTGAAAAATAAATTCTCACAATTGAAAAATTCAAAACTCACATTTCAAATTTGGCTCGTTAAATAATTAAAATTCTGAAAATTGAATTCAAATTACAAGTAGAAAATAAATAAAAATAAATAAAAAGAATTCGGGTATCAGGCCCTTAAAAACCATAAAAATTGTCAATTTTCAAAAAATCAACAATATTTATAACAAAAAAATCAACAAAAATTAATCAGACTTTTTTCGCCTTCTTTTTCATCTGACCCTCCAGCTGTTCCAATTTCCTCTTCGATTTCGTCACTCTTCGGCTTTTCATCTCCTCAATCTGCCGATCGACCTCCTCCTCAGACATCCCGCTCATCAGCAGCTCCTTCCTTCGATTGATCTCCTTCTTCTCGCCAAACTTCTGATTTTCCAATTTCAATTCGGCCTCCTTTTTCGCCACTATCACTTTCGTCACGTATTTCGTGACATGTTTCGCATTCACCTGTCGAAATGCTCAAATTAGAAAAAAAATAATAATTTCCATCTGCTCAAACCTTCAATTCATCCAACTTTTTCCCAATTACTTTCTCAACCGCCTGAAGAAGCAAAATATCATATTGGGTGACAAACGTGAGCGCTGAACCGAATCTACAAAAATTTTTTTTCAAAATGTTTACAGAAATTAATTCCAAATAAAAAACCTTCCGGCACGCGCTGATCGTCCAACCCGATGAATATAAGTTTTCGGGCATTGCGGAACATTATGATTTACAACCAAATCCACCTAAAAATTCAAATTCTGAAGGGATTCCTTATAAAGAATTCTCACATGCGGAATATCGAGCCCTCTAGAAGCCACGTCGGTACAAATCAAAACTTTCAGCGTCTTGGAACGAAACGCAGACAACGCCGCCAGTCTTGTCTTTTGCGCGATTTGCGAGTGCAACGATCCAACCTAGAAAAAAAAACATTTTTCCATCAATTACGGTAGTTCGCCAATGTCCGCAACAACACCGCGTCGCAAAATCACGTACATTGAATCCCAAACCCTCAAACATGTAAGCGAGCGCTTGACATTCGCGGCACGTCTGCGCGAAAATGATCACCGACGATTTCGGATTGCGTTCCGAGTAATTTTTGACGACATACACCTTCAAAAGGATGATTTTTGACCAAAAATTTTCAAAAAACTCACCAAATACGCGTCTTTGACAGCAATCGGACACACAACAAATTTCTGATCGAGCTGCTCCACCGTCGAAATCTGGCCCTTGTCCTCGAAAAAATACGGCTTCTTCTTCGAAACTTTGTGCAATTGATTGATGTTTTGAGTGATCGTCGCCGACAGCAAAAGCGTTTGTCGTTTTTCGGGAAGCGCTTCAAATATCGGCTTCAATTGATCATTATATTGTCCTTCGAGCATTCGATCAGCTTCGTCGAGCACAAAAAATTGGACCTTCCTATTAAAGGATAACATTTATCAATTTGTTCAAATCGTCGCATCTCACCTAAAAACTTTCGAGATCGTTTCGGGATCGCTTTCGATCAAATCGGCGAGTCTTCCCGGCGTCGCCACCACCACATGCGGCCGCTTCGTGAGCTCGTTGGCCTGCTGAATCAGACTTCGTCCGCCGACGATCACCGAGCATTTGAGGGTGATCGGTTTGCCAACGGCAACGAATTGATCGGCGATTTGGAACGCCAATTCTCTGGTCGGCGTCAAAATCAACGCGAACACACCATAGGGATCGATGGCGAGCTGAAAAAATCGAACGGTTCATGGCGGGTCTCGCGACGATTCGCACTTTTTGAAGGATCGGCAACGCGAACGCCAACGTTTTTCCGGTTCCGGTTCGCGCGCAACCCAAAATATCGCAACCATCGAGAATCTTCGGAATACAGTGCGCCTGGACGGGCGTCGCCGTTCTGATGTGCATCGTGTTGAGCTGTTGCACAATCCACGAGCTCAGACCAAGCTCGCCGAATTTCGTCGTCGATGCTTCTTCAAGAATCTCCACCGGCTTTGGCGTTTCCCCATCAAATTCCACACCTTCCTCCTCCTCCTCCTCATCCTCCTGGTCGTCATCAGAAGCATGCTCAGGCTCTTGTGATGTTCCTTGCTCCTCCGCCTCCTCCTCATCATCAGACGACAGAATCGTGTCCATTACAGAAGCCATCTGAAATTGAATTTCAAAATTTTCACAAAAAAATTCCTGCAAAGAAGGTAAATTTCTTTGGAAAAAACCATAAAACCATAGAAAATTGTGAATTTTTTCAGAAAAAAATTTTCATTTTGGGCAATATAACAATTTAAAGCATAATTAGGAGGATTTCGCAGCAACTACCGACGCTTTGATTTTCTGCGCCTCTTTGTCGGTCACAATCCGAATATTATGCTGCTCTTTGTGAGCGTTCAGCTCTTTCCCCTTCTCAACCAATTGATCATTCAGCTGTTTTCCAAGGGCGGCGAGCTGGAACAAAAATCATTGAAATTCCATCTCATCCTCATTTAAAACTAAAACTCACATTGTTAATATTAGCCTCCAAATCCGGCATAACATCCTTGACAGTGTATTCGACTAACGTGTCGCTGATCAATCGGAAGCACTTCTGATCCGGCTCGAGCTCTTTGAGCATCTCAAGGACTCGACTATGATCTCGTCGCTCATCCTCAATTCGCGTCACCTCGGCAGCAATATCTTGTTGCTGCTCGCGAAGAAGCTTGAACTTCTCAACAATCTTCTTCTGCTCTTCGTCGGTCATCTAGAAAATACAATCCCAAACGGTTTGAGCCAAAAATCGAATAAAAAAGGTATATTTTCACGTAGACAACGTGTAAAAATCAAACCCAAGAAAAAAATGCAATTTTTATACGAAATTGTCTCAAATTTTTGTATAAAACGAAAGAAAAAAGAGTAACAAGGAACACACACAACAATGAGTATCATTTGTCGAAACATCCAGGTGCGAAATCAAGAAAATTAAAAAAAAATAAATTATTCGGAGAGTTTTATTAAGTCTTCATCTCTTCAACAAATCCATTTCCGCTGAAATTTATAGAAAATTTTTAGTAAAAAAAAAATCTCGCGGCATACTTTTGCTCTTGCTGCTGCTGCTCATCATTCTGGTCCATCAATTGCCTATTCCATCCTTTTTCGGGCACTTTTCCAGACGCCAAAATCGATTGCAAATAATTGACTTCCGCCAAAGATTTGGCGTTTTTGATCGCCTCTTTGATTTTCGCCTTGTCGTCGTCGGTGAGATTCGATCCCGGCGTCGCATTATTCTCCTTCTCGGTGACGTCGTCGGTGTGAACGCTTCTCTGAATCGCGTCTCTCGCCTTCTTGCCCGATTTCCCTTTGAACATCATCTTCGCCGCTTCGCGCTCGCTGAGACGCACTCGATTGAAATCAATGACACGAACCGTCGAAAGCTTATAGATAATATACAGCCGGTAGTTCTCCTTATGGGTTATCGGGTTTCCAATAAATCTGCAAAATAATTCTTAATTATCGATAATTGAGGCTTAATTAGCCTACGTGACATATTCAAGCTTCTCACAGTTGGCCAATGGATCAATGTCGCCGAGCTCGCAGATATTGTTGTTGGTGAGAACAAGCGTTTTAAGATTCGGCAATTTCGCGCCAATATCCGGTGCAATATAGCTGAATGACGGGTCTCGTGTGGAAAACTGGAAATTATCGCTTACTTGATTCGATTATTATGAAGATAGAGGACGCTGAGACGTTTAAAATTTGGGAAATTGTCAAGTTTTCGAATATCATTATCGGTAAAATCGATGAGATCGAACTGATCCCGAGTGACACCCATGTTCTCAATCACCGGAATTTTGCAGCCGCGCAAATTCAGCTCACGCATGTTGAGAGTGTTGACGAATTGCGGGCGATCGGCCATAAATTCAGCAGTTAAACGGACCATCTGAATTTAAAAAAAAATTAGAAAACATTTTTACAATACTTTAAATTAATAGATAAGCAACTGGCTGGAAACCAGTGAAATTTGGCAAACGAAAAAAATAAATAAAACGAAGAACAATAAATTATTTATGTACACATTTTCTACACGAACACTATTATACAGATAATTACAGAGATAATTATAAGAAATGGCAGCCATTGGGAAAGAATGTCGATTTTCCGCACATAACTGCCTTTGGTTAAAATTAAAATGGCGAGATTCACCATATTCCAATCCTCCCTTTCCATATAATTCATGGAATTTAGAGCAAGAGCGACATGCGAATGACAATTATCACATATTAGATTATGCATGCGCTCCTTATAAGTCTCAGATGCTTCTTGAATGCATCTGTCAAAAACATCAGCCCCTCCTTCAACATTTTCAGGGGAAAGTTGTAGATATCTTGTCGGCCAGCCGAATCCCATATCATCTTCCTTTAAAAATCTATAACAATTTCTTTCCTCTATAATTATTTCTTACAGCCACGTAAAAACTTCCGGCGAAATCTCGAATCACCCCTTTACTTGTTGCAATACCCATATGACCGATAAATGGGAAAAACCATCTAAATTAAATAATATATATGTAAAAATTAGCTAAAAATTACGTTAGACATGGAATTGGAGTCCAAACAATACAATAGGGAAAACGATTGGCTTCGGGGACAATGTCCCGGTCCGAAATTGCCATCATTCGAAGTTTAAGGAATCCTGCAATTGCGCTGAGATTTTTAGCAAATTCTAAATAATTGCACAAAATTCACGAAATTCGAACACGTTAGTAACATTGAAAAATCGGAAAAGTGCCAAAAAAAAACGGAGAAACGGGCCGAATTCGCAAAAATTAATCGAGAATGCTAGACCGCAAGTGCGCGCCTCGGTGAATGCAGACAATGCGCAACACCCGACGCGCCACACAATGTTTTGAATATTAATTTCAATTAGGGTTTCAAATTCACAAAAAACTATAAAATTGCCATAAATAAGGAAAAACGATAAGATTTATGACACGTGAATATTCGGCTTATTAAATAAAATCTCGAATAATCCTATGGTTGTCAGGGGCTACCAGGGGTTTCCAAATCCGTGATAGACATCGTTAAGCTACTGAAACAAATAACGAATTTTTGACGTGAACTATTTAACCTATTTGATGTGAAATGCTCAGCCAGTGTCTGATATTAATTCAATTCCAACTATGGGTCGCACAAAGGTCTACTTTGATGTCACCATCGGCGGCCAGCCGGCGGGTCGAATCGTCATGGAGCTGTTCAACGACGTGGTGCCGAAGACGTGCGAGAATTTCCGCGCATTATGCACCGGCGAGAAGGGCAAAGGCAAAAAAGGCGTTCCGCTAACCTACAAAGGCTGCAAATTCCATCGAATCATCCCCAACTTTATGATTCAAGGCGGCGATTTCACCGCCGGCGACGGCACCGGTGGCGAATCGATCTACGGCGAGAGTTTCAACGATGAGAACTTCAAGGAGAAGCACACGGGACCCGGAATTCTCTCAATGGTACCCAAAAATTTTCACCTTCTCTCTTAGTCTTGCCCTTTTTTGTATTGCAGGCCAATTGTGGTCCCAATACGAACGGCTCGCAATTCTTTCTATGCACCGTAAAAACTAAATGGCTCGATGGCAAGCATGTCGTGTTCGGCAAAGTCATTGAAGGCATGGATGTTGTGAAGGCCGTCGAGAGCAAGGGGTCCGATAGTGGCGAGCCGAAGGCGGAGTGCGTAATTGCGAAGTGCGGACAACTTTAATCATTTTTTCTCTCCTTATTTTTTCCTTGTTCCCTATTTTTCCAGCAATTTTTAATAAAAATGATGACAATTTGTGGATGATGACATATGACTACAATGTAGCGTCAGCATGTTTGGCGCGAAAATTCAAATTCGCGCGGGCGTCCGCCCCTTGCCATTCGACTCGATGACCATTGGTGTGGTGCGTCATTTGTTTGCTCATACGCTATTCAATTTCTGAAATTGAAAGCTCTAAACTTTCTTTTAACGTTTTATTTTGACAGCTTCAATGTTTTTTGTTAGTAATGAGTAATATTCATTTTAAATAATACATATTACACGCAACTAAATTTTAAAAAAATTCAATTATTTTCTCATGTTACTGTAGTTTTGAGCAAATTGTTCCTCCGTGTTTACAGAATTGCAGAATAATTGACGCAATATTTTTTATACTTTTTCTTTCTCATCGTTTTTTTCCAATTTCTTGGTTTTAGATGTCTGAATTGTTCAATGGCGTTACGTTGAAGCTTCGCGATGGAAAAGAAGTTGACGGCGGAGAATATTTGAAGGATAAGGTAGGAAATCCCCAATAAAACAGTTTAATGAAGAAAAATAAAATAAAATTTAGGTTGTCGGCCTTTATTTCTCAGCCAGTTGGTGCCCACCATGCCGCGCATTCACACCAAAACTCAAGGCAAGCATCCAAAAACGTAATTAATTTCGTTTTTTGTCGAATTCAGAGATTCTACGAAGCCTTGAAAAAGGATCACCCCGAATTCGAGATCGTGTTCGTTTCTCGTGATCGCGCTGACAATGACCTCGTCACGTACTTCGAGGAGCACATGGGCGAATGGACGTACATTCCATTCGGCAACGATCTCATCCAGTAGGAAAATTGCAGCAACAACAAAAAATGTCGTTTTGAATTGCAGGAAGCTTCTCGCGAAATACGAGGTCAAGACAATTCCATCAATGCGAATCGTAAAGCCCGACGGCACTGTCGTCGTGAAGGACGCGAGAACCGAGATTCAAGACAAGGGCGAGGATGTCAATGAGCTTTTCGACGAGTGGATGGCATTCTACAACTAACTAACCCAACAAAAATTGCATTAATTTATTCACTCATTTTTCCCCTCAATATAAAACAAATGAAACCAATTCAAAAATCAGGCAACGGTGTTTGTAAGCGAGAAGAACAACACCTCCTTCTTTCCTTGAATCTGCTTGAATTGATGCGGATCGATGGCTCGAAGGATGGCGGCGAGGCGCGTCACCACTTCCGATTTGCTCATCTCGCCGCATTTCCCTTTCATTTTATGCAAGAGCTCTTTGGTGGTGTGCGGCTTTCGGCGCAAATACCGTCGAACCGTCTCCTCGTTGAGGCCTTCCACAAATCTAGGAGAAAGAAAAATGGTTCTCATTCCATCGAGAAATATGTTACTTGGGCTTCTCCGCGGTTTTCGCTTTTTTCGGATCCGACGGCTTCAGCTCATCCTCTTTCGAGCTCTCCGGCGCCGGCCGCTTCTTGGCTCCCGAATTGTCGTTGGCCATCGGCATCGGCTCCTCTTTCGGCTCCTCCTTCTTCGGCAAAAAGACGACCGAATCGATTTTATCCGTATCCGGATCATCGGAATCCGATCCCGACGAATCGCGCTCCTCGATATCAAGCAAATCGCTCTTTTTCTTCTTCTCATCATCATTTTTAAGCAATTTTTTAGCTGAAAAATGCAAAAGTGAAAAATTCGCCGAATTCCGCGCGCCCCTACTAAAATCTTCATCCGAGTCGCTCTCATCCGAATCCAATCCATTCGGAATTCGAGCTCCTTCTTCCTCGGCGACGCCGACCAATTGCTTCTCGATTTTCTCGTCGGACGGCACCGTTTCACGGCTGAATATTGCACAAAATTTTGAAAACGCGATGGTGGAAAAGCTCACTCTGAATCGGATCCACTGTCCGAAATATAATCATATTCCCTACCCTCATCTTCGCCATCAGAAGATTCGTATTCTAAAAAAAATTATTTTAAAAGCCACAAAAAAAATGAAAAAAAAGTTTAATAATCTTTTTTTTCTGCACTGTCCCTTTAAACGATCGGACTAGCCCAATTTCTAGAACAATTCCGACACTTACTAGCAACTTCATCGGGATTCTCGACCCGCTGCCTCTTGTCCTTCTTCGGCTTCGCCTCTCCCTTCTTCTTCTTGCGCTTCTTCTTCTCACCATCATCATCGCCGTCGTCGCGTTCGTCGTCCGATTCGTCCGAGCTGGCTTCATCACGAATTTTCAGCGATTTGTCAAGCCGATCGACGCCTTCTTCGTCTTCGGCGGCATTCAATTGATTCTGTATGGCGGCTTTCAACGCAAATTGATTCATAACTTTGTTTCGCCTACAAATCGATGCGTTCGACGTTTTGAAACAAAAAAATAAATAAAATTCGTACTGTAAGAATTTCTCCTCAGCTTGATCAATGTCTAACGTGCGATGGGTGATCGCCGGCAGGAATTTGTGCCATTCATCAACCTTATAAGCTTGAAACTCGCTCGATTGCGATGGTTTCAGAAAAACCCAATAATCGGCATGCTCAACGGCGCCGCCTTCACGAATTCCGCGCATTCGTCGATGTCTACCGTCTGCAGGAAAAAAAATTTGCTAGACTCGAATTTTTCTATTTTGCATCACCTTGCTCTGTAAACGACAACTTCCACGGCTGATTATCGAGGTGGTAGCTCTTCGATTGCCGACCATACTTCTTCCGTCGGGCCTCCTCCCTAGCCGCTTTTCCGTACTCGGAACCTTCGCCGTATTCCTGAACCGCTTGCGACGCCATCACCACATTCCGGTTGTCTTCTCGCTCCATCGTCACCTGACTCTCAACCGTCCATTTTCCCGTATCCACTTTATCAAGCCCATTGAAATTGAGAACCGAGTATCGTATAGCGTCGTTATTCCTGAAATTGAAGGAAAATGGAAAAACGAAAAAAAAATAATTCGCATACTTGGCAACTCTGACATTAAAGTCGCTCTGCACCTGCGACATTCCTGAAAAAAAATCAAAATCGAAAATACGTTATTCTAGAAGCGGATTAGAGATAATTCCAGCGATTAATACGCAATTTGCCTCTAAAATCAAAAATATCTAAGAAATAATTTATAATATCTATCAACAATTAAAAAAAAACAAAAAATCTAAAATCTAAAAAATATTAAAGAGCGATTTCCGATTCTGCGCGTTGTACTTGAGCACCTTCATCTGAATAACGTTGGCAATCTCCTCGGCTTTGCGATTCTGACCATAATAGTCATGGAAATTGCCATCAGGGTCTGAAAATGTCGACAAATTTCTTGCCAAAATTTCGAAATTCTTACCAATAAGGTACATAATAACCGTATGATCTACAATATAATCATCACTTTGCTTCGATGTTCGTGGTCCTTGACTATGATAAACTCGGAAGGTCTTCGCCACCTTGTTGACCTGTTCGACGTCGCCAGTGTAACCGCGAAGTTTACTCGAGAATTCGGCGCAGTATTCTTTCACCCTAGGAATCGTGTCCCTTTCGGGATCGACCGAAATGAACACTGGAATGAGCTTGGTGCCATCATTCTTCGAATCAATGATGTCAACGACTTTGATCATCTTCTCGATCTCGTCCGGACAAATGTCTGGGCAATGTGTGAATCCGAAGTACATCAAAAGCCAGTTCCCTTTCAAGTCCTCCGAGCCTTCGAGTTTGCCATCGGTGTTCACTAGCTGCCATTCGCCCCCAATTCGCGCTTTGCCGGCGGTGATTTTGCGATGCTTCTCGCGCTCCTCGAGCCTCTACAACATTCCGAAGAAATTAATTTGTGAAACAAAAAATTGATTTACAATCTTTTTGATGTAGAACAACGCTGCTAGACAACTTCCGCCGATCGCCAGTGTCGCCATCGCCACCTTCCAACTAAAAATGCTTCCACTTCTCTCGTGCGCTTGCCTCTCGGCCTGTTGTTTGAAGTTCATGAAATTCTTGTCAATCTCCTTCGGTTTTTCCGGAACTTCGTCCTTAGCGCCGCCAGATTTCAATATCTCATTCAATTTCTTCAAATCTTTCTGCAGTTCGGTTTCCAGGTCATCACTTAATCAATTTATTTAAATAGAGAAACGGATTTTTTTTTGCGAAAAATCACCTTTTCTTTCCGCTAGAGAATCTCGCTTGCTGAATTGCGCGGAAAAAGCTGTTGTAGGCTCTCGCTGATGAGCAAGCTCGAGGAAATGTCCTGGCAAACATTCTAAAACACTAAAAATTGTTTGAGAATCCCCAATTTGGTTCGAAAACCGGCGAGATGGGAGTACCGCAAGCGGCGGTCCGCAAACATCGCGCTACACGATTGCGTACAATTTGAAACGCGCCAATTCGAGATTTTCGTTTTTCGCGTTCAAATTTTCACTATTTAATCTAATTTTTATAGAAATGATTGAAGAAAAACCATTAAAAGTTCTGCAAGAAGACGCTAGCACTACTCGTCCAACATCAACGGATCCAAAATGGGGACCAGCGCGTGGAGGGTGAGATTTTCGCCAAAATGTTTTTTTTTTCTTTTTTGAAATTAGATTTTAAATTTCTAGATTATTCCAAGTTGGCGATTTTGAAATTGGAAGACCGCTGGGAAAAGGAAAATTCGGAAGTGTCTACCTTGCGCGAACAAAAAAGAACAATTCACATTTTCACGTAGCTTTGAAAGTACGCCAAATTTGAATTTTCGATTGAATGTTTGCAAATCATACAGGTTTTATTCAAATCGCAACTCATCAGCGGAGGTGTCGAGCATCAACTCGAACGAGAAATCGAGATCCAATCTCATTTAAGGTGAACACTATTTTCTTTTAAATAATAATAATTTATTTTTGAATTTCCAGCCATCCAAATATTCTGCGAATGTATACTTACTTCTGGGATTTGAAGAAGATCTACTTGGTGCTTGAATACGCGCCGGGTGGCGAAATGTACAAAAAATTGCAAAAAGAGAATCGATTTTCGGAAATGACTGCGGCTAGAGTAATGATTCTCATTTTTTTTCAATTCAAATTTGAAATCCCTTCAGTACATGTATGAAATCGCGGACGCTTTAAGCTATTGCCACAAAAGGAATGTGATTCATCGCGATATCAAACCAGAGAATTTGTTGCTCGGAATTAATGATGAGCTGAAACTCGCGGATTTCGGCTGGAGTGTTCATGCGCCATCGAACAAGTAATTCCAGCATTTTTAGTGGTTGTCGAAAAATTGAAATTCCAGGCGGCAAACGATGTGCGGAACTTTGGACTACTTGCCGCCGGAGATGGTTCTCGGCCACGAGCACACCGACGCTGTCGATCTTTGGGCCATCGGTGTGCTTTGCTTCGAGTTCCTCACTGGAAGGCCGCCATTCGAGCACGACAAACAAAGCGACACCTATGCGATGATCAAAATCGCCAAATTCTCGTTTCCCGACTATGTCTCGCGCGGGGCTCGAGATCTGATCAACAAGCTTCTTGTGGTTGATCCTTCGAAGCGAATTCCGCTCGAGCAGGTACCAAATACTATTAAAATCCGTCGAATTGTGTTTTTAAAGGTCCGAAGTCACGATTGGGTGCAAGCAATGCAAGAGAAGCGGCGACTCGCTGAACGCCGCGCTCAGGAAACACGAGAAGCTCTACTAAAGAACCACTAATAATGTTAATCTGTAAATGATAACGATCTCGCTTTATTATTATACATATATATGGATTAATTAAACTTTCATTGCTTCGAAATGCTTGAGAAGGCTTTCCCTCGCTGGTGGCACTGGTGTCAGCGACACCAATTTGGTGGTATCCAGCGCGCAATTGCCTTTGGTGGCGAGCAATTGTTGCGCTTTTTCGGTCTCCACACCGATTGGCGTCGGATTCGCCGAATCATCGACCTTCTGCTTGTAGAGCATGACGATCTCGTAAAGGCTGATTGGTTCGGGATTGACGAGATTCACGGTGCCACCGACTCGCCGCTCCATCATGTCGAGCATGGCGTTCATGCAATCCGGCAGAATGGTAATCGATACGGGGATGTCGAAAACTTCTCTGCAAATTTTAAAGTAATGTTTTTTTTTTGAATTATTGAGAAGCCTACTTGAACTTCACCACTTTTGAAAGCAAATTTCTATCCTGCTTCATATCCAAACTAAGTGGCAGAGTGATCCGAACATTCAAGTTCTCCCAACCCTTCTGATTGAAGTAGCTCATTTGACGATCAGTGAAGCCTTTGACTACAGAATAGGCCGATCCGAAGAATGTCGGCTCGTCTGGAATCGAAAATTAGTTACGGTTTTCGATTGGCTCACGGGTTAACCATCATCTTTGAACATATTCCCTCCGATCGGATGATCTTTATCATAGGCGAACATGTATCCAGTGCCGATATAAGTGTAATGAAGTCCGAATTTCCTCGAGATGTGCGCTAGAATCGTCGCGCTGTACATGTTATCACGAACATTGATGTCGACCTTATCATTCCCTTCGAGATAATCGATGTTCGGTTTGCCGGGTCCGTGCGTTCGTCCGGTGACGCACACGACGTGTGTGACTCCCAAACCGGCGAGCTCACGCTCAACATCCTCATCGGCGTCGACGCCGACTTTCTTGCCGGCCAGAACGTAGGGGATTCGTCGAGCGTTGAGCACGCGCTGCAGCTCTTGTCCCACGTAGCCTCGACCGCCGTAAATCGCCACACGCATTTTTACGTGCTCTTTCGCGGCGAGACCATCGGCAACGGTGATGCGCATTCCGTCAGCGAATGAGGTGCTTGGCTCCCAGCCGAGAACGGTTTTCGCCTTCTCGATGCTGATGAAATAGCGCAAATCGTTGTATGGACGATCCGGAATTGATACATATCTAAACGGTTGATCGATTTGTAGAAAATTAATTATTTAAAAAAATATACCTCGGTGGCTGGTACTCTCTTCCAAGCTGCAAGTCGACTTCCTGCTGAATGACCTGCGCCAAATCGGCTACTGTAAATATAAAAGGCCGCAATGCACGGTGACGCACAATCGCACTCACCGTTTTTCTCATAATACGTCCCGAGATTGAAAATGTCGCCAACGTCACCGTTCTCGCAGACCGCCTGAATTCCGGCGGCCGCGTCATCGACGAAAAGCCAACTACGCAATTGCTGGCCGGTTCCTTGAATGGTGTACTCGCCGCGCACCTTGGCGATCGAAATGAATCGCGGCACCACTTTGACATCCCACTGATTCGGACCATAAATATTATTCATTCGGGCGGTAACAATTGGCAAGTTGTATTGAGCTTGATAAGCGCGAACGTAAGCCTCACCAGCAATCTAAAAAATTCAATAATTGATTTTTTTTCAGATTTCTACCTTCGTCGCTGCATAGGGGTTCCCCGGAAGGAGTCTTGAATGCTCCGCCTTCGGCGCCTCGTCATTCCCGAGTCCCGAATCGCCGTAGACCTCATCAGTACTAATATGCACGAACTTATTGATGTCGCCGTACTCTCGAACCGTCTCCAGAAGTCGAATGAACGCTAGCACGTTGTTGTGCACCGCCTCGCTCGTCTCGTTGTAGCAACGCGTCGATGTGCAATCGGCAGCGAAATGAATGACGGTGTCGATGGCGTTGTCACGCAGAATTCGAAGAATCGCCTGCCGATTCTTGATGTCGGCGAGCTCGAGCTTGTACCTCGACGATTCCTGAACCGCTCGGCTCACATTCTGTGTGTCGCTGTTCAATATCAATTTGTCGACGTTGACGAAAATGCAATTCGGCCATGCGCGATGAATGTAGTTCACAAAGTTCGAGCCAATGAATCCGCATCCGCCGGTGATCATCACATTCTTCGGTGTGTACTTTGGCATGTCTTTTTTTTTGAAATAATTAAATCCAAGACAAAAACAATTGGAGAAGAAGAATGAAGAATTGAGGACGAGAAATTGAACGGAATGTCTTGGAAAGGCTGCTGCTGCTGTTATCTCTCTCGCATCTCTGTTTCTCATCGGCGCAGGCCAGGCCACACCAGGCCAAGGACGTCTGTGCAAACACATGGGCAATTTTTATTCACAATAATGTCGACACGAACAAAAAAAGAAACACATGAATACAAATGGACGATAAAATATTAATTACATTTGAATTTACAGTTCGGCTTCAACCAGGAGCCACGAGGTGCTCACAATCTTCTCCTCTACCAGATTATGCTCCTTGAAATATTTCTCTTGCGCTTGAATCGCCTGCGATGTAACGTTAGTGATTTTAAGAATTTTGAATCCAGCGTCCCATAGCTTCCTTCGAATCTCTTGCTCATCCTCCATTGGCTCGAGGGTGATGAGTGAGGCTTCCTGACGAAGAACATCCTAAAAATAATTCGCCAGATTGTGTGCTTAATCGCAATTCGCTTACCCGAAGAGCATTGAGCTCCTTCTGTGTCGCAGTAGAAATGAGCTCAGTGGCGATGATTGTGTCAAACGAGGCATCCCTCTGCTGCCAATACGTCAACGACGACATGAGGTCCTCATTCCAGCCGAATTGAACGCGCTGATCTCGGAGGTGATTCGCGCGCGTCAACGATGTTCTATAATACTCCGGAACGGTTTCCACGTTCCACACGTTGGTGTGGAACTTCTACAAAAAAAAATCATTGATGAGATGGAATCGCAATGTGTTCTTTTGAACCTCGGCGAGAAGGTGCGCGTTCACGTGGACAAACGGCGAGACGCGACGCGGTGTGTAGACGTAGGTCGCGCCCGCGTAGCGAACGCTCTTCTCGTTCAGCGACGACGAGAAGATCTCATCGGTCCACATGTACTTCTCGTCGTCGAGCTTTTGATCCCAAACTTCTTGTTGGCAATTCCACGTGGTTTTTAGCAGCTCGACGAGCCCGTCGAAACTCGTCTCTTGCGCTCCCTCCTCGGCGGGAACCTTCTCGGCGAGCCAATGCACCTGTCGCCAATTGTTCGAATGCTTGATGTACGTTGGCACCGAGCAGCTCCACAGCACATTGAAGCGCCACAATTTGTTGTCGTCGTCGCGATAGCGAATTGCGCGCAACAGCTGAAACACGAGTCGTGGTTTTCAGAATCATTTCTTTGTTTTTTTTTGTTTTACATTAATATAAAGCGACGAGAATCTGTAATGCGTTGGATTCGTGTCGGCCGAATGCATCGATTTGCCCTTGACTCGTCCGGTGCTCGGCTCCGAGCAGCTCTCCCTCAAATGCACCATTCCGTGCGGTCTCAGCCAGCGCATTGTGTTCAGAACGAACTCGACGGTCTCCTTATCCGATAGGTACATCATTAGCCAATTGGTGAATACCAAATCGACACTGAATGAATTCGATAAGCTCACTTTTATTTTAAAAATAGGTCCAACCTGCTGTTATCCATCTCGAGGCCAACAGCATCGCCAACTTTGTAATTGATGTTGCCCAAATGCGCGTTGCGCTCTTGGTTCTTCTTGATGAAACTTTCGATGAAGTCGGTGGAAAGCACCCAGCGGGCGGTTTCAGCGAGAACCGTTGTGAATCGTCTAGAACAAAACAAAAATGAATGAAACGCCATCGACGATGCGAATTACCCGATGCCGGCGCCAATGTCGACGACATCCTTGTTGGTGAGCACCGGAAGGCTGGCGAGAATGTCGGCGCGATCGAGACTCTCCAAATCCTCGGCGGAATGGTTGAGCATCATCGAGTTGGTGTCGGGCTTGTCGGAGAATTTATCCCAAAAGTTTTTGAAGCTATCGCGACGCACCTCGACCGTCATGACGTCTTCGCTGAAAACCGAAATCGTGTTATCAATTTGGCGGATGGGCTGCCGAATTAATTCATGTGTGTTTGCACACAAACATTTTGGGAACACAACTGGACAAACACAACCCCAGTCGCGGCGTACTTTGGCTGACGACAATGACAACGGAATTGACTGATCAAACGGATCACACCATCTTTGGAAACTCCGCCCAGCCGCACTTCTTTTTTTTTCTACCCGCGGCTGATAAGAAAATGAATGCGGCAGCAAACAGAAATAATGCGAAAGACAAAAATGAATGTTCTAGAAAGGAAAGAGTATAGTGTAGCAGGTGGCCCGGTTGCCTGTGGGAAGGACGCGCGGCCGAGTTTTCACTCCCGCCGGCCGCGGCCACGAAAATTATTTTCTTTTTTTTGTTAATTTTTTTCCCCAAATAACTTACACGTGTTGGCTGGCGTGTTGTGTCATTTGAGTAGCAAGTAGGTAGAATGATCTAATCGAGACAATATTACACTCACCACCCTATCTTTGGTTCTCATCTTTTTTTTCTCATTGTCCTCTGACACATCGTAAAATTAAAAATGGGCGGGGAAATGAGAGGCGAAACAAAATTTACAAAACATCGACGAAAATATTTATTATGACGATGGCAATTTAGAGTTTTGGCGCTCGTCCCGTGGCACCCTTCTTCCACGACAAATGATAGACGAACATGTTCTCGCAGCCAATGAACTCGTCGTGACGATCATCGCAGTAGACGTCCTTTCTGAACATTTCGATTGGCGTTCAAGATCATTCCCAAATGGATTTGTGAATATTTCGCTACTTTTTCTTCTTCTTCTTCTTCTTCTCGATCGCTCGCCTCTCAACCGCGCTGCTGATTACCACTTATCAATCAAATCTTTCGAATGTCAGCGAAATTGATATTACAACCGGTTTCAGTTGACTTGTAAAACACAAAAAAAGAAGAAGAACCTTTCGCAGTCAATTCGACGACTCCAAAACGTTTGCTGATTCGTTGACGTCAAGAATTCCTCTTCATCGTCACACTGCGGGTTCAAATGAAGCTTGTATAATCTTTAAAAAAAAGGAAATTAATGATGCGCGTCGAAACAATCAATCTTACGTGTCGCCAATTCTCAACGAGACCTTTCTTATGTTGTACGGCGTCGGCGATTCCTCGGCGGTGAGCAGCACCTCGGTGATATTGGCTCCGAGGTGATTCTCAACTTCAATCGGCTCCTTCGAGTTGCGGAACGCGATCACCTCAAGATCTTCGGCGACGTCGTTGCGAAGGCGAAGCGTCACATTGATTTGGTGTCCTTTCAATGAGAAATCGTCGCAAAGCGCGAGCACCGCGTAATTCTTGCCGGTCATATCCTTGCGATGAACCATGAACGGCTTGCCGCCTAATCCATTGACAATCCCGATTAGGGAAAGGGCGATGATCGCGGTGTTCATGATGATTGAGAGCGACTCGAGCCCTCGACTGCGAATGAGCCATGCAGGAGATTCGCGCGCGGCAAACGTCATTCCCCAAGGAGATTAAGTGGCCAAAAAAATTGCTGAAGACGAAGAAAAATTGGTTTATTTGAGACAAAACGAGCATTTTTTTTTTGGTTGCGCCTTCAGCTTCTTCGTCTTCGCGTTTTGTCATTCGTCGCGAGACGGCGAGAACTCCGAAAGCAGCGAGAGCATCATTCCAGTGGCTGAGCGGGTCTGAAACAAACGCGTCGCCAAAAATTTTTGTGACTTTTCTCACGGAACACCCCTTATCATTCAATTGGGTGGGCAATTAAAAAAAAATCAAAACGCGTGATTTTCCTCCCCCCACACGACCGTACCGCCAATATTAATGGTCTCGAGACGACGGCGAAGCCCCAAATCGTGATGCCGAGACTATTTTGGTCGACGTGTGAGGCGAACACGTGCGCGAGGCCGTGCACCTCGCCATCATATGGGAACCAGATGGCGTGATTCCCAAACACGGCGCTCTTCGTTGCTCGTATCTCGTCGTGTAAACGCGCCGGCGCCACCGTCACCGAGCAAAACGAGCAAACGCAGAATGCGATGAATGGGGTGCATATGAGGAAGTCGGTGATCGAGGTGAGATTCTGGTTGAGCATCATTAGCGTGAACACGAGGATTGGAATGACGGTGGCCAGCATTGTGAACGTGTAGAGATGGAAAAAAAAAATTAAAATAGCTTCTCTTTTAAAAAATTTTGAAAAAAAATTTAATTTAAAGGCTCACGCGAAAATTTCGGGTCTCATTACGATTATTACTGTTTCTTTCGAAATTTTAAACATAAAAATTCATTTTCCATTAATTTCCTTTTCATTTTTTCTGCGGTACCTTAAAAATATCGTCCAAATCATGAATGACTTTGCTCAGCTTCTGAAAAAGCTCCAATTTCTCCAGCAACTCGCTTTTCACTTTCTCCGAATCCCCATTTATCTGAATTGTTGCACGAGGAAAACAAAATTGCGGTTGAATCGAAACAAAACAACCTTCTGAATATCTCGATTCAATTGTTTGACCTCTAGGCAAACAACATTCGTGAAAGTGACGAAGACATAAATCGCAGTGAGCCATACGAAGTACATATAGGTTGTTATAATCGATGTGAGGAAGCGTAATCGTCGGAAGTAGAACATCTAAATCAAATTTCGGAGGGAGGCGGGGCTTGAAGATCCGCATACCGTTGAAATTTTCAACGCCCAAATTGAGTGGGTCTCCTCGAAATAAAATTTCAAATAGTATGTGCAATTGAAAATGAGAACGGCGACATACAAGGCGAGAAATATTCCGGCGTTATCTGAAATTTGAACATTAAAAAAAAAATAGAAAAATTGGCTTTTGTTTTACTCTGAAACTTGCTCGTCTTCTCTTGGACCCCTTTGTAGTTTTGGCAACCCGCCAATTTCTCTTTCAGCCCGGCGAGTTGGCCATTCTTCTGCCAATACATCAAAAAGATGAATGAGAGGATCGCCTCGAAATTCCAAATCATTGAGAGCAATTGCATCGACATGTCGAGAATGTAAAACGATGATTTGAAGAACATCGTCTTCGCCATGAAGCCGAGATAATACATGGCTGAAATTTCGCGATTTTTTATTAGCCAATTCTCGGGAATGGTTACAAGTGCAAATGAAGAACGCATTTATGATGATGTTCAGCTTTAATCGTCGTCCTTCGGAAAAATCGAGACGTAAAAAGGAAATTATCTGGAAGACATTAAAGAGGATAAAGAAAAGAGGGAAAATTTTGATAATTACCTTCTCGACATGCAGAAATGGGTTGTTTTCGTATTCGTTTTTGGCGATACTTATAACCGAACCTGATGTTTTCATAACTGGCGTGTTTGCGCGATACAAATCGGTTTAAATGTAAAACATTTTTATTATTAATATTATTATGATGATGATTATTATTATTATACCCGAATATATTTTTTTGGGAGGGCGGATTGCCCCCGTCAACAACAATTAAAGCGATTTCACCCGCAATATGATTTTTTTTATTATTGTTTCGAAGTCGTTGATATTTTCGAATATCTCGTGTTTGACGCACGCCGCGGTGCTGAGTAGATATTGACGAGGTTTGAGCTATCACGATGAACACATTTTTTCTTCTTCTCGCTGAAACGAAAAAATTCGATTTAGTTGGAAAATTTAATGAAAATTTTCGAAAAAATTTCGATTTCAACTGGGTGCCGCACGATTTCGGAAAACCATGCGGCAATTGCGTTTCGGTGCCACGCCCACAATTAATCTCACTTTTTTTTGTTTTTAGAATTTTTCTTTTTTTTTCCAAATTTTTTCATGCTCACTTCCAAATTCCTTGAATAACCGTTCGGAATTTCTCCGAGAAAATGTAGTAGACGAAAAATGTCGAAGCGGTGTGAAGGATGATCAAAAAGTTGAACACCTCGCCAAGCATTTCCCAATAAATATTCTAAATTATTTAATTCAATTTGATAACTTATATCTATGTATTTTTTTAATCACCTGAATAGTTAAGAATCCGCCAGCAAAACTTTCGGCAATTTTCAAGCCCATTGAGAAAAAATGGCAAAAGCCGAAGAAAATTGTGATCACCAGCAACATTACTGTAGTGTTTTGCTCTTTTTGCTGCTGAAAATTTTCAAGCAAATTAAAATTTTCTAGATTTTCATTTCAAACTAAAAAGAAAAACGAACCTGAGTAGTCATTAATTGGCGTTCTCGCTTCTTTCGACGCAATTCGCCGATGATCTGCGTGTTGGCGATCGACATTATCGCGAATGGGAGCATATAGTCGAAGATGATGGAAATGCCGATGAAGTAGATCATAAAATACCACCAATGTTTTTCGGGATCGAGCAATTCTCGGCGAAATTGAAAAACGCCGTTAATTTCTCTGGAAAAAAATGGTAAAAATTCCATTTTCCATTGTTTTTTTTTTAATCTCCAACTCAATCTCAAATTCGAAGAATTTCGGAAAATTCAGAAGAACCGCACAAATCACAATAATCGTTCGCGTTTTTTGCGACGTCGTGTATTGACACCATATTTGAGCCTGCAATTCATGGTACCGTGGGGGGGGGTCCGAATGACTACCGTACCTCCAACGGCCTACAAACCGCAATCCATCGCTCCACTGTTATCGTAACCATAATATACAAGCTGCACGTCTTCGCCATCATGCATAACGGGTAGATGTACTTGGCCGTGTAGGCCACGACGTATTGCTTCTCGACGTCGGACCATATTGGGAGGTACATTATACTGAATAAGGGCAACGCGAAGATTAGCAGAAACGCGTCGGATAGTGATAATGAGTATAGTAGAAAAGCGACGTGCTGAAAATGAAATTTAAGAAAATGACAAAGATCACCGCTTCGACACCTTCGACTTCCTCTTCGGCCTTCGATAGGCGTAATAGGATAGCGAGTTGCCGAGAAGGCCGATGAGAATCACGGGAAGATAGATGAACGCCATTATAAGGTGGAAATCCATCGAATCCATCATTCTGTCGCCTTCAAAATTTGAAAATGAAACTCGGATGAGACGAAAATGCGCCAATTGCAAACAAGAAACAGATTTTTTTGCGACGACTGGCTGTAATTGCGCGTTTCGAATGGGACCACGAAATTGCGGAAATGAGAGAAGGAAGAAAAAATTTGCGGGACCATCAAAAAATTTCTTGCAAGGCAACCAAATCAAAATTTTGGCGTGAACTTGATATTTTCAATAGGTAACCCCCCGAATTGCAATTATGCTCAAGTTTGGAGATGAGAGAGAGAGAGAAGAGAGAGAGAGGGATTCCTTGGGACCGCCTAATGAGCAACAACATGTGACACAAACATTGCTCGAAATTATTAGCGGGGGGAAGTAAAATGGATAGGAGGGGGATGTTTGCGGGAAAAGAAATCCGGCAAGCAAATATTACTGTGGCTATTTTTTTCTGAATTTTCGTTCATTTTTTAAATTTTTTTATTTCTGATCTATTTTTGCATCATTAAAAAAATACTTTTTAGAGTTACCCACCCCTTTAATAATTTTCGAATTTAAAGGGGGTGGGGGGGTAGCTCAGAAAAGTATTTTTTTAATGACGCAAAAATAGATTAGAAATAAAAAATTAAAGAAAAGAACGAAAATTTAAAAAATCGATGGCGAAGTAAGCAACGTGTGTATTGTCGTCAAATAAAATGCACAAGTCCGCAATTCCATTTTCAGATTCATTTCGAAAATTAACGTGGTCTGAAAACGTTTTTTTTTTTTCGAAAAATCTGAAAATGAAATTGGAATTTTTAGAAATGAAACTACGCCTAATCATTGCGGACTTGTGCATTTTATTTGACGACAATACACATGTCGACGAATTAACGTCGAAATTCGTTCTTTTTTTTTTTAATTTTTTCGATCTCTTATCTATTTTTCATAATATTCTTATAATTTTAGAGGTCCCCCCCCCCTTTAAACAGCAAAAAATAATTTTCAAAATTTATTTCCATTTTTTTCAGCCTTCGCCCTTCAGGATCGGGTTTCATTCAGGTTTTCGGAATTCTGCTGCCTGCCGACTGGGCATTTCGTCAACATAATAGAAATCTCTAGAAAATCCCATAATTCTACAATGTAGACATTTCGGCAAACCTCGGCCGCGGTCACATTTTTCAAAGCCTACAGTACTCCTACTAGTCTGCTATTATGCGCCTTTAAAAAATAATAATATGGATTCAAAAAAATAGTGGAGAAATTCAGAGAAAAAATGGGCAAAATTCTGAAGAACAGAAGAAATCATCATTTTTTCCCATTTTCGTCTCTTTAAAAAAAAAAAAACTTCGGCCACGGTCATATTTTTCGAAGCCTACAGTACCACAATGTGCTATTAAATCGCTACGAGAATCATTTAAAAAATTGTGCATGCGCCTTTAACCGTATCGATTTATTTCTTCAAATCCAAGTTTCTTTTTCCATTACGACTGCTATTTGTGATTAAAGGCGCATATACATTTTTTAAATGATTCTTGCAGCGAATAAACGGCAATCTGTGATACTGTAGGCTTCGAAAAACGTGGCCGTGGCCGAAGTATTTGCAGTCCATTTTTCTGCATACCGGTTTTTTTGCGAATTCTTTCCGTCGCGGGTAGATTTACGTGCATGCGCCTTCTCAATGGTCTCGCACCGACTAACTTTAGAGATTATTCCGAATTTCAATTATCAAGAACAATCAAGCGTGACGAGACCATTTTCGAAAGGCGCACTCGTAAATCGAGTAAAAAAAATAATCCAAAAAATATATTTTTCATTAACGAAATTATGCGATTTGGTTGTTTGCAAAAAAATCTAGAAATATTTTTTTTGACTAATACATACATCATCGTAGGTCACCTGCGTCTAATCGAAAACGGAAAACAAAAAAAATTGGAATCAAATCTAATTTTGGAGAAAAAGTTTAATTTTGAGTCGGTCGGGAGTCACGTAGGAGGGGCCGGCAGGCACGAATGAATAAAAGGTGAGGGGCGTGCGAAAAGATGGGTTGAACCCAACGAAGGAATGTTGTTTGATGTGATCGGGGGGTGGGGGGTTCTTTCTTTATTTGGACATCATCATCATCATCCAAAATACATATGGGGGGTCGAAGAGCAGAATTTGAGAAGAGCACATACACACACAACCTGACGGCAACGAATTTGAAACCTCTTCGTGTGTGTGTTTACCGACGGAAGTCGTCGACGAATGAACGATGGGTTCAAAAAATCGCGCAAATTTTTGTTAAATTTTACATTTTTGTTGACCAAATTTGTTGAAAAAGTGCGATGCACTTGAAGGACGGAACACGGCGGTTTTCGCGGCCTAGAAAAATTGGGTTCGGCCGCGGCCACACTTGACGGATTAATCAATTTAATTAAGTAGAAATTAAAAAAAAACGCGTATTGTTGAGAAATGACGAGGTGTCGTGGGATCGTGCGAAAAATGAAAATCGGAAATTCAAAAAAGTCCCTCGTAAATCGCGGCAAGGATTACGGTGACTGGCTCAAACTATTGCGTACAAAACGCAGGATCCCACGACACCTGGGATACATTTTGTCAAAACCAGAAATTGGCCAAGAAAACACAAAAAAAAATCTTAAAAAAGAATTGATTAAATAATTTTCAGTTGAGATTACTGTAGCTAAGATTGAGCTGTGTCATATCGCTGCAGTTTTTCACATTCGTCATTTTTGCACAATATTTGTGATTTCACAAAAAATAGGTATCAAAATAAAATTGGGTGCACATAATTTTTTTTTTAAAAAGTGCCATTTTGAAAGTGTCGCCCAAAAATTTTTGCCCGTGGTGTTTTCAATTTTTCCCATTCCGATTTCGCCGCGTTATGGAAATTCTGTTTACGGAAATTCGTGGCGAGACCATTTTGGGTGGAAAAAAAAGGCAATGTTGGATTTTGCTACTACTATTGCGAGTGTGGATCTACTCAATTATTGGCCGCCATTTTTTTTGTTTTTGAATATTTAATTGCCAATTTGCAATTGGGTCACGAGTTTTGCGGCAAACCCGCAAAAAATTATTTTCAAATCGAAAATTGTTGGGGAGAAAAAAATGGGAACGCTAAACTGAGGGCGATGTGTAATTGGAGTGTCGTACTGGTAGGGCAAAAAAATTTTTGGCGACTCCCAAGAAGCCTCGTAATTTTCGCCCCACTGCCGTCTGTTTACACACCGACGCAATTTTGCACATATTTCATCTCACGAGAAAATCAATCTTCTTTTGGAATTTATTTTTTCGAGCATTTCCCCGTTTTTTTCAGCTGGCTGTTTGTTTTTCAGAAATCCACCATATATGTATGTATTATTTCTCAACGCTGCTGCATCTTTGATTTTCTCGAACGGCGAAATTCCATCGGCGAAATTGAATTGCGAGGGACCTAGTTTTTTTTTCGCCAAAATTGCGGTGTCGTCAATTATGGTGTTTTTGGTACGCAGTACACCGAGAGGGGGCCGAAATACAGTACCGAATTTCCTAGAATAAATTGGTCATTCCTCAAAAAAAAACGAGAACCCCCTCATATAATTGTAGATTTACGGGCCTGCGTATAAGAAGAGGTTAAAGGCGCATACCGTGCGCACCGAGACCTCTTCTTTGGTATTTACCCAATTTATAGTCTGCATTCTTTAATTATCGCAACCAAAAGGAAAATGATTTTTAAAGTTTGAAAAAAAATCATAAAAATTCGGGATTGCTTGGAGGGTCACTATTTAAAGGCGCATGAAGGTTCTGTGACGAGCGCTTCTGACAGAAAAGCATTTTTCGGGCTTCATTCAACTCATCGAAATGCATTCCGTTGGCTCAAGGACACATTAGAGTACAAAAAAGGCAAAATAAAATTCGAGATCATCGTAATGACGAGACTAGCTGCTGTTCAGCTTCTCTCCATCCAAAAAAGGAAGTTGGATGGAGGCGGAACAACAAAATCGCAACACAACGAGGAAAAAATAAATTGTCGAGGGAAAAAAATTATTTTTTCTATTTTTGTAAGCGACGATGTCGCAAACACCGCGACGCAAAATGACACACAATTGAAATTCGTTCGAAAATCTCATTTTGCGGAGTTTTTCTCCAAGAACAAAATTAATTACAATTTGGGTTTAAAGGCGCAATGAGTTTCAAAGGGACCATCTTGAAGGCAAGACGACAAGCTTTAATTAACATCATTGTTTGTTATGCCATCCGAATCGCCTTCGGCTCATTGAATAATCATGAGTTTGGGTGGACAACAAAAAAAAATGAAGAAGCCAGGTAACACTTTTATATAATATATAAATAATGAGAAAATTTTGTGGAAGCTAAAAAGCGTGACTAGAATTGTCCTACATTACAAGGCACCCCTTCTTTTTGCCATTCTTCCCATCGGGATCGTCCATCGTCAACGCCAATTGGCGCTTCTTCTCCATGGCGAGAAGCTGCTGAAACAGCTCGGTGATGTTCTCGTTGTTTTTCGCCGACGTCTCAATGAAACCGGTGCCCCATTGGGCGGCGAGCTTTTCGCCCAACGACGTCGACACCTCGCGCTTCTAGAATTATTGAATTGACCTCAGGAGAGAGAGAGAGAGGGGGGGATGCTCTCACCGCGTCCTCGTCCTTCTTATTGCCTACTAGCATTATAGGCACTTGCGCGATTTCGGCGCCCTTCACTTCTTTGAGCATCAATATAATTGGGCCGAGCTCCTCAAGGGACTGCATACTAAATCACCGGCGTCATGAGCATTCTAAAGGGGGGGGGTCGCCTACCTAGTGATACTGTAGATGAGAATGAACGCGTGGCCTTTGCTCATCGATAGCCGCTGCATCGCCGGAAACTGATGGCTGCCGGTGGTGTCGGTGATTTGAAGTGTGCACACATTCTTCTGATTGCAGCTGATCACCTGGAATGAATCAAACCTAGTAGGAATAGGAAAATGATAATCACTTGTCGATAGGTGTCCTCAATTGTCGGCACATAATTATCATTGAATGTGCCTTTGACGAATCGCTGAGTGATCGACGATTTGCCGACACCGCCGGCGCCGAACACCGCCACACGGTAGTCCGAGGTCGACGCCTCGGCGACACGGCTTCCCTACAACCAATGTTTCTGGACGCTTTGAGGCCATCACTTACTGCGCCAGCCGTTTTTGGTTGAAGCTTGAGGTGTGAGTGTGTGCGCGGGGCGCTGAAAATCACCTACCACCCTTTCAATTTTTTGACGGGTCCGAATGCCACAAACAAAAATCGATGAAACGCGAACAAGCCGATAGCAGAAAAAAAAAAAGAAAAGAACGAAAGAAGAAAGAAGAAAAAAAAATAAATAACGTGGGGGAATGTGTGGTGCGCGAGGAAAGAATAGCGGTGTCTCTCTCTCTCTCTCTCTCTCTCTCTCTTCTGAACGACGACAACGCAAAAAAAAACGAGTGGGATGTTGGTTGCCAAATAGTTGTGTGCAAAACTAGAGAGAGAGCACATGCATAGAGTGTCATGCTCTTTCGCCCCCCGCCAACCACCACCACCAACACCATCATCATCGTTTTTTGTTTTGGTTTGGCGTCGAAACACCACCAACACGTTGTCTAATCGCTTTTATTGGTTTGATTGATGAACTTGAAGCGGATGAGATTAAAAAAATGAAAAATGGCGGGGAGGAAGTGGAAACGGATTAGCCATTTTTTCGGCCGGGAGGACATCATCATCGCAATTATTCGAATTATGTGAATCTTTTCATTTTTAAAAAAAGCAAATTCGGCTCCAGACAATAAATTGATGGCCTTGGGAATGTGAAAATGTTGTTGAGAATTGAGGGCGGGGCCAAACTACAGTACCTCTTTGGACCCCTCAAAAAATAAACAACAACAAAAATTCAAGGCCTTCAATGTTTAATAATTGTTAGAGTAGGTGTCTTACGGGCATTGGCAGACGCGTTGCGGTCGCGTCGCGGTCTGTCAAGCCTAAATGAAATTTTATTAAATTTTTTTTGTGGAATAAATTAAAGACGCAGATGGTAGATCAATACCGTAATTCTAGACAAAAATCTGGCAATGTGGTCTGATAAAATGTGAATACCTCTAGACGCGTTGCGGTCGCGTAGCGGTCGGTCAAAATATGTTTTTTTTTTTTAATTTTTTTTGTGTAAAATATATTAAAGGAGCATGCGGTTGCGATTCGGCGATATCCCGTCACGATTGTGGTAAATCAATTCCTACCAAAAATCTGGCAATGCGAGCAAATAAAATGTGAATTCTGCTTGACGCGTGGCGGTCGCGTCGCGGTCGATCAAAACAGTTTCTTTCTATATTTTTTTGTGAAATAAATTAAAGGCGCAGGTGGTTGCGACCCCTCAAAAATCGGGCAATGCTGTCTGAATGCTGCTAGACGCGTGACGGTCGCGTCGCGGTCGGTCAATCAAAAATAAAGTTGAAGTCAAAAATTTTAAAAATCGAAACGGCGAACTTTAATAATTGCCCATCTGCGGACAATTTTCATCTTCAAAAACGGTTCCAAGCAAAAAGAAAAAACGCAAAAAACTAGTCCTCATTGAAGTGGACCATTTCAAAAAAAGACAAGTCATTTCAAGAGAAAGGCGGGTCAGTAGAATATTTCCAAAAAAAAAACTGGAAAGGATAGCACTCATCCATCCCAAACAATTATACTCAATTACCTAGGACCCCCCCCCATACCCCTCAACCTTTTCAAACAACCACACCGAACATTTTTTTTTCTGTTTGGCCGATTCTAGCCAAGCCAGCTTAGTAGCTGCTAACCTTGACTTATCGTCGTCGTCGTCGTCGTCCTTCTTGCATACATAAATAATTCAAATGTGTTTCGTGTGCGCTTTCGAAGTCACACCGATTATAATGGTCCGCTCGGGGTTGATTCTCAAAAGGGGGGATGCGATGGCATCTGATTAATGCGTCCCCCCCCCCTCTCCCAATTAGACCCCCCCCCCTCGCACACCCTTTCGGTTATCCAGTGATTAACGACGCGCACGCCAGAAACCTGTTGGGGCCGCCCGTGGCGCGTTTCGCGATTTGCCTCGTCGCTTCTTCAAAATCGGCCCCATCTCTTATCATTAGTACATTTTTGCAAATTCGACTGCCCACCCATTCTCGATTTTTGTGGATAAGCCGCGCGAGCGCTAAGACGTACGGGGTGTGATCAACGAGAAAACCAGTTTCGAACAATTCCCCCATTTTTTTTTCTGCCGTCTCTTTCAATTCAAAAACAACCGAATGGAAAAAAAAGCGATGAACACACAGTGTTGCGATTAATTTGAGGCAATTTCTTCATACGTCTCGTTTTTTTTTTCCTTCGATTTATCAAATCACATGCCTGATTCGGGTTTTTTTTTTCGGTTTGCCGAATATCTTTTTTTTCTATCATTTCAATCATGAGAAAATTCTCGATGATTCCATTTTTGTACCATTTTCTCAATATTTGTGCGAATCAAATTAATTTCAAATTATATTCGCGCTTCGAATATTTAGAAAATCGCAATTTTTTGGGAAAGCCGGGTCTCGCCACGAAAATCGTGTTTTTAACTGAAAAAAGAAATGAGAGCAGATTTTTCTCCAAAAAAGCGCCAAATTATTTTTTTTTTAATTATTTTTACGAAAATAATTGCTTCAGATGAGATGCGCCTTTCCAACTCTTGACAAAAAGCTTGAAAAGGTGTTCGCATGGTATACTAGGTATTTATTGATCGATTACTACCATGTAAGCATTTTCCAGTAAGGCTTCCATTCGGGCGGCGGCACGCAAAAATTCTTCAAAATTATTTTTTCGCGAATCAACCAATCATCCCGTTTTCAGCAATATTCTTCGATTTCTTCTGAAAAATTTAGTTATTTTATCTATTTATGAAAAAAAATTGGCGAAATATTCTTTAAAAACTGATAAAAATGCGAATAATAAATGAAGAAAATTTGAAAAAAACGGGCATGGCCGAAGAATTCGCGGCCGCCGATAGTTCGGCCACCCGAATGGAATGACGCCTTATTTTCAAGGACAATTCGATTTTTTTCACCATTTTTTTTTAGATCTTTCTCATAGGCCCAATATTATTAACATTGTTCTGCGGCTTCGGATTCTATTGGATCAAGGAGCTGACGCTTCTAGACGCTCGCAAATTGTACACGCCCGTCGAAGCGCCGTCATGGAGAGAGGAGCGCGTGTTTAGCGATGTAAGGCAAACAGAAAGAACAAAAAAAAAGGCGATTTTATGCAAAATTCCAGTTGTGGCCGGTGAAATCGCACGAATTCCTGCCGGAACGCACATTCCAATGGAATCGCTATCTCTATTTGGTGGTTCACGGGCGGCCGTCGGCCAACGGCTCCTATCCGAATCTGCTCGACGGCACCTATTTGGATGAGATCGCGGCGATCGAGAACGCGGTGGCGACGAACGTGCGATTCGACAAGGAGGCGGCGATCGAGAGCGACGCGGGCCTCGTACGCAAACGCGAGACGAACACCACCGAGCAGGCGCTGTTGGAGTCGCTCAATGAGACGATCGCGTTTCGCGACGTCTGCATGAATTGGTACGGCGAGTGCTATCGCGAGTCGAATGTGATTGAGATGCTCAAACGGCGGCACGATCTCGACGCCAAAGGCATCTCGGTGACGTTTCCGCAAATCAATCAGGATGGAACGCCGATTTATATCGCGTTCGTCGTCGGCGGCGTCGACACGTTCCCGAACGACACGATCAAGGTGATTTCATTGCGCGTGCGCCTTTAATATCGACTAGCTCGAATTGAGAAAATGAAAATTTTAGTTCTACATTTTTTGAAATTCAAAACCCATTAATTTATTGCAATTTTGAGTTTGAAAATTTTTAGGCTATATTAGAAAATCGACAAATATTAAAGGTGCACGCACAAATTCTTATATCTCAATTTTTGCGATTTTTCAATATGTAGTCGTACACGGGTAGATTTACGGACATGCTCCTTTCTCGTGGTCTCGCACGGACTTTAAAAAATAGTTTTTAAATCCCACGATACATCAAAATAAGCGTTCAAACGTGGCGAGACCATTTCAAGGCGCATGCGCGTAAATCTACGACGCCCGACTAGAGTAAAATTAAAAAAATCCCAAAAAATAACGCGTTGTCGAAATTCTTTATATGAACCTTCTAGAAGGTCCCGCAGCGAACAATAAAATTCCAAAAAAAAAACAAATATTTAGACGGTTCGCGCGATGCGCTTGTGGTATTTCTTGAAGTTCGACACCGACGAGGAGGACATCTTGTCGAAATATTGGGAAGATCAAGCGGCGAAGTATGTCGTCGACAATTTCAGCGATCATCCGACAATCATGTGCCACATCAAATCGTCGCGAATTCTGGATCAGGGTCTGACGCGAAACGCGAATCGCCTCAAACCCTACTTCAATGTCACCATCGCCGTATTGGTGTTGTTCACCGCGTTCTACTCGATCAAATGGTACTTCCACACGCGCGACGGCCAATGGACGAGTTGGGGGGAGGCTTTTGGGACCATCCAAAAACGCGAACCATTTTGCAGTTCACATCGATTGGCTGCGCTCGAAGCCGATGCTCGCACTCGGCGGTGTGCTCTCGTCGGTGCTCGCTATCATCAGCGGAATCGGAATGTTCCTTTGGTTTGGGATGTTCTTCGCCGAAATCACACTCATCGCGCCGTTTTTGGTCTTATGTGAGTTCTTTTTCCAAATTCGAGATATTCACGATTTTTTTTATTTCCACAATGTTCTGATTTAAAAAAAAGCGAGCGCCTTGACAAAATGTGGACCATTGCACTTCTTCGAGGCGCGGTAATTCAAATTTGAATTTTAGGTGCGCTTGGGTTTTTTTTTGAAAAAATGTGACCGTGGCCGAACCTTATTTTTGAGGGCATTCGTTCTAGGCCATCTCAGCGCGTAGAAGATTTCTCTTTGAACACACACACACACACACACACAATGACGAAAAAATGCAGACCGAAATTTTTGTGGTTGTCAAAAGTCGAATAAAATCACAGAAAATCTTTGCGATTTTTTGAATTTTCGATAAAAAATTGACGCAATATAAATTTGGCGTTCATTTTTAAAGGCACATACACTCTTCGCATGCGCCTTTAAAAATTAATGTCCGAGAATTTCGCTTCAATTTTTTCTGTGAATTTTGACCCTTCATAGACGAAAAAATTCCATTGATTTGATTTTTAAAGGGAAGTTAGGAAAAAAAATTTTTTTCATTATTTTTAGTGTCAAATTCCATTTCCAGCCATCGGCGTCGACGACATGTTCATCGCGGTCGCCGCATGGCACAACACCGAGCTCAAATATCCGGGCAAATCGGAGAAGGTGCTGAAGAAGCGAATGGTGGAGGCGATGTCGGAATCGGCGGTCGCCATATTCATCACCAGCTTCACCGACGTGTTGTCGTTCGGCGTCGGCACCATCACCGACATCATCGCCGTCGAGGGCTTCTGCGCGATGACCGCCGCCTGCATGTTCTTCACGTTCCTCTATCAAGTAAGACGCGCGTCGCTATTCGACGATGATCACCGTCTCAGATCACGTTCTTCGCCGCGCTCATGGTGATCTCGGCGAAATCGCAAATGTCGGGCCGCAACTCGTGTGTGCCGTGCATCGCCGCCGACGACATCTACGTGACGGCGAGCAACGAGCCGAAACTCAGCGTTGTCGACGCGGCGCCGGAGAAGAAAATCTCGATAGGCGACAATCCCGACGAGGAGAACGCGTTGCATATCGCGCGAAAAAGTCGCGGAGCGATGGGACACTTTTTCAGGTTTCCTTTTTCTGGGTTGGGCTCCCTACAATTTGTTTTTTGGACTCTTGAAACGAAAACTCCAAGCCAACCAATTTTGACGACTTTTTCCCCTATTGCAGAGACTACTATGTCCCATTTCTGCTCAATTGGAAGACGAAAATCACCATGTTGTTCGTCTTCATTGCCTACGTCCTTGTAAGTCACTATCAAAGCACCCCCCTTGAAACAAATGGACACCTTCTAAGATATCCATTTATGGAATGTGTGTGATGGAGCAGGGTCTCGACTATGACAAATTGCTGCTTCATTCGGACCCGTTGGTTGAAGCGCTCAAGCGCGAAATCGAATTGTTTCACGGCGGTGATCAAGTAGGGAACGAAAAAAAAGAGACAATGAGCAAAAATTGTTTGATTAGATTGAAATTGCCGTCAAGAATGCGCCGAATGTGCTAATTGCTCAAAATCGCGATCGAATGGAGACGATTGCTCAAGAATTTGAGAATATTTCCTATTGTATGAGGCGATTAGCTCATTATTTTTTTTCAATTCATTGCTTTTTTTCTAGCACTTGGCCCAAAAGGAACCTCGTTTTGGATGAGGGAATACAAAAAGTACAGCAATCTGACGGGCTCGTATCTCAACGATGATCGCGAGAGTTGGCTGATTGGCGTTTATGAATGGTCCCAATTGTTCGCCTTCTACAAATTATGGAGTCAGGATTTTGTTTGGGCCAATGAGTCGGACTATGAGACACTGGAATTGGTCTCGTATCGATTCCGAATCGGGCTTCATCGATTGTCGACGCCTACCGATTTGTTATTGGTCACGGAGGGTAGGAGGATCAAATCTTGCAAAAAAAATGAAATATTACTTGTTCTAGAACTTCGTAATGTCGCCGCACGCCATCCCGACCTTGACATCGTCACTTATCAACAATCGCGAGCCATCGCCGATCAGCTCAATGTGATTCTGTCGTCGACAATCACCAACGACGTTCTCGCAATGTTCTGCATGTTCTGCGTTGCGCTTCTCTTCATTCCGAATCCGATTTGCGCGGTCTTCATCACGGTCGCGATGATCACCATCGATATTGGAGTTATTGGGTTCCTATCGCTGTGGAGTGTCAAGCTTGATCCAATATCAATGATCACTATAATCATGTCGATCGGATTCTCCATTGAATTCTCAGGTACTTGCTGTTGGAGAATGGAAAATGCATCGAAATCTCGTGGGATTAAATCCTCAATTTTTTAAGCTTAATTTTCATTATCATCACATATATTTTGCTAAAATTATAATTTTAATTGAATTTCAATTTTCGAAAACAAAATTCTTTAGAAAATTAAGCAAAAACAATTAAAAAGCGGGAAGAATTGCGAAAATTCGCAAATAAAAAATCGATGGGCGGGTTACGGTAATTCGCTCGGTGTGTTGCGTACCAGGCGCTGAATTTCACGACAATTTACACGCAGGCATTTTTAGGCGGACCACGCGTTTTGTTTTTTCTGTTACGGTTTCTCCCAAAATTCCCAATTAATTTACCGACTTAATTGCGAACATTTAGCGCACATTACGCACGGCTTTGTGAGCAATGAGCAGCACGTCTCAGCTTTTGATCGATGCGTCGACTCGATGGAAAAACTCGCGTGGCCAGGTTGGTGGTTTTCGACGCGAACCACACCAACATGAAATTCTTTCAGTGATCCATGGATCATTATCCACAATCCTTGGCGTCACCGTTCTCGCGTTCATCGACAGCTACATGGTATTGGTGTTCTTCAAGACAATCTTTCTGGTGTTGGTGATCGGCGCGTGGCACGCGTTGATGCTTCTTCCCATTCTTCTCGCCACCGTCATCCCGAGACTCGAGCGCCTCTCCGACCGTTTCCGAAAGATGAAGCATCGTCGAAAAAAGAACAAAAACAAGAATAGCATTTATGCCATCAATCTTCCCGTCAACGTGTCCTCCTAATTTTTTGTATGTTCAAAAATTTGCTCATCATTTTTTAAACGAAAATACGGGTAAATTAGTTTATTAAACGAACATTATTGTACAATTTATCACAGGAAACAAAGAATTTCACTCACTTTCCAAAAAAATGCTGTTTTGTTTTTTTTTTTTTTGAAAATTAGATCATGGTCGATGGTCGTTCGGCGGCTCGCAGCGGCTGAAACACCTCGCTTTGGTTGACCTCGCGCAATGGGATTAGACGCCATAGGAGCTTTTGGACGACGAACTGGCGGATTTCCGGGATGCGCGTCGCGTAGATGATCGGATTCGTCAACGTTTTTATCATGATGTTCACCAGAACCACTATTGAAAGCACGGTAATCCAGACGGATTGTTTTCTGGAATTTTTCTTTTTTCTAGAACATTCTTTGAATCACTAACTTGTAGAGCGGCATTCCATCGGCGGTAAGGATGTACAGGGTGTCATTTAAGTTCCCGCACAACTTTGAAGACGTATATTTCTGAAACTAAAAGTCCAAATCAAACGAGACTCAAAATATTTTTTATCTATAGTATAACAAATATTTATCTATTAACTCTTTTTGATTCGGCCTCCTTTCGCAGCTATGACTTCACGGAAACGCTTCGGGTAGGATGCGACTGTGGTACGCAGGTATTCGATGGAAAGATTGTCCCATTCCGCCAGTAATGTCTTCTTCAGAGCCTCTACACTTGAATGGGGTTTTGCGTTGACCTTCTCCTGCAAGACCCCATCACGGGAAAGTCAAGCGGGTTCAGGTCTGGGGAGCAATCAGGCCATTCGGATGACTTGATGAAGTCGGGAAAATGGGTCTGGCACCACTCCTGAGTAGTTTTGGCAGTGTGGGCGGCTGCTCCGTCATGTTGAAAGACCCATTTCTGCCCACCGAAATGCGTTTGGGTCCAGGGCATCACATGCTTCTCCAAAATGTCCCGAACGTAGACTTCTTTGTTCACTTTCACCCCCTGATCCGCGAAAACCAGGGGGCACTTCCCGGTTGAGCAGATGGCAACGAAAACCATCATGCTGGCAGGATGTGAGGCTGGATGATATGTTCTTCTTTTCTCAGAAGCTTGCTGGGATGTCTGGGCAAGTACTCAATGGTTTTGTGAGTTGAATGCCGTCTCCACAGTGAACAGCTTCTCGTCGGAGAAGACAGTGACGAGGTGTTGTCCAGACCGCGTGCGAGCAAGAAGTCGTTTTGCTTTTTCGAAGCGTCTCTGCTTGCTGACGGCCGATAGAATTGCCGCTTTTTGGACACGATATGGGGTCAGTCCAAGCTTCGTTTTGACAATTTGTTCCATAGCGAAGATGCTCATTCCCATGTCTAACGCCATCTTTCTCATGCTCCTGTGGGGGTTTCGCCTGATCCTCGATTTGACGGCGTTGATCTTCTGAGGAGTGGTTACTGAGACGAGTCTTCCTTGTCTGGGACGGTGACTGGTCGTATTTAGCTCCTTGAAACGTTTGATGGTGTCGCAAACCGTTCTACGAGGCACACCGACCCGTTGAATGATGTCTCTCGAGCTCACATTTTGCTTATGAAGTTCGATAATGGAAGCGCAATGGATGTTAGCCTTCGCCATTTCTCGGAAACACATCCGAATGAGGTGAAACTTGGAAAGTAAGTAAAATATACCTTATTTAACAAAAATAAATTGTATTGGTGCACGAAAAGTGCGACAGCCAAGCTCTTCATGGCGTCAAACTTTTGTGCGGGAACTTAAATGACACCCTGTAGAAGACGCTGGCCGGCATCCAGCCGAACAGAAACGTTCCGAAGATGAGGACGGCGGTGACGACGGTGCGTTTGCCGCGCGCCGACGCGGTCACGGTGCTCTTGTTGCGCACCTCGCTGATCTTCTGCAACATGCGAATGTAGAAGGCGGTGGTGGCGATGATCAGCGTGATGATGATCAGCGAGATGTTGGCGCGAAAGTAGAAGTTCTCGTAGAAGTCGATTCCCAAACACGATTCGTTGCGGTAGCCTTGTCCGTGCCAACTGGCGAAGTAGATCATGAGGGCGAATGGTGGCGTGGCCCACATGAGGAAGATGATGAGGTGAATGGCGCGGATTGGCAGGATTTTGTGATGATCGAACGGCCTAAAATCAAAAACTCGTCCATTTGGGGGGACTCGTTAAAGGCGCATACCGTAGAATTTGAAGATAGTGGGAGAAGGCGAGAGCGACAAGATGAAAAATGCCGGTGAGGAGTCCGCCGGTGCGAAACGCTTCAAGTGTCAGCGGAAAGCAGAATGAATGATGGTGCCATTGCAAAACGACCGGCTTGTAGCTGTTCCAGAAGAGCGACGTGGCGATGACGATGCTCGTCCAGGTGTCGGAAAGAGCCAACGAGTAGGTTAGTTCGAGCGACGAGGTCCTGAAGCGAAAACGATTAGCCGATGGGGTGGGATGGCAACTACCTTGACTTGACGTGAAATCGTGATGAGAAGACGGCGATGTTGAGAAGGGCGGCGAGCACGCATAGAAGCACGATGGCCGGAATGCAGACCTCGTAGAGGAACTCCTTGACGGAGTCCATGCGAGCCCTGGAAATAGAGGCGAGAAAGTGGAAATGATCAAAATCGGGTATTAATGAATGTCATTCGAGATAGCGGAAATAACAAGAAGACGGATTCCAAGAAGCGATTTGTTGCAAGAAGAAATGAAACGAGCGAAAACCCTTTTTTTTCCACTCGCATAAATAATATTATTATTATTATTAAATTTTTTGTTTTGAAAACCGCAATAAATGAATGATTATTGTTGGTTTTTATGGGAAATAAAGAGCAAATAAACAATTGGGATTATTAATCTCGAATATCAATTTCCTGTTTGCTCTTTTGTTTTCATTTTTTTTTTCACCCATCGAGCCGAGGTGGCGGGGACTCGGCTCAGAGGAATGAGGGAGGAGTGATGCAACATTCTTTTTTTTGTGCTGCCTTCTTCTTCTGATACTAATGAACTTGAGCGTGATCAGAGATCTTTGATGACGTGGTGGCTTCAAATCGACACCAAAAAATCAGTTTTCAACAAAAAAAAATTGAAATTATATTTCTTGTTGATATTTAGAACATTGGCAAAAAAATTGGGATGGGTCTCGCGGCGATCGAGTAAGTGCTTGCCGCTGAACATAAATTAGCGTTGTTATTGCGAGAGCTCGGCGCGCATTTCGAGGCGTTTGGGTTACTTATATCATATAGAAATAAGGCGCTGCCATTTTTGAGGGTGTGTCTTGAGGCGACAATTTTTGTAGGGTGAAAAACGCGCACAAAAATTGAATTTGGTTTTTGAGCTTTTTTTGCCAACCAAATTTGGGATCGCGTCGCGGTCGCGTTGCGGTCACTCAATTATGACAAGCACTTTCTTGAAGTTTCCAGAAAGAGCATGATCCTTTAATTAACGTATTTTTTTCAAATTTTATATTTTTGATTCGAGTGGAAATTATAAAAGCGCGTAGATTAAAATGCAAGTCCGCAGAGGTCATGCGACGTGATTGCACAAGATTTGAAATCAAAAACAGCGAAAACATCATATTTGGGATATGATTAAAAATATCACAAGACAAACAATTTTTTGCCGTTTAATTGATTACTAAGAGCTCGAGATTGAGCAAAAATAAGCGAATTACTCATTTTCGAAAAATTTGGATAACAAGAGGTTTAAAACGGAAAATGGAAAAGGGCGATTTTTGAGGGGAAAAAAAGAGGGACACGAAAGTCAAGGGTAAAACTATCGAAAAGAAAATCGAAAAAAAAATTACTCGCGTGCCACCCTTTTTCATTTTAATGTGATTTTTCGGCAATACGATACTGTTGTTTTCATTGTTTCTTTTTTTCCCCCATTTTTTTGGAATTGGCGGGAGGTTTCGAAAAACACTCTGAAAATTGGTTGCCATTTTTTTCTCATCAAATAATTATGCTAACTATACCTAGCATGGATAATCATCAGGACGGGTAAACACAATTATCTTACGATATCTCTAATTAGGAGGTTGCTCAGCAAGCTTCTTCGCTAATTAATTTATTTTGTATCGCGTTTTGGGAAAAATAAAAACTATTCGCTTTTTTTCGCGAAACTCGGAATACTAAAAAACAATTTGCATTATTCATTGGAAATTTACACGAGTCGCCGATAATTTTCATTTATTTCTGCATAATTAATACGAATTCTCGAAAAGTGCAATACTTTCGATAACCAGGGAATAACTACATAATTTTGATGGATGACAATACAAAATTTTGTTAATAAAAATGTGGTTTTGCGCACAATATTGGCGCGATGACAACGACCAAAAAATGGATTTGAAATGAAATGAAATAAAATTTATTTTTGGGGAGGGGTACTGTAGGCAATAAAAGTGGGCCACCGTGACGCGAAAGTGCAGACAAATTGGGTTTTCGAGTTTATTTCTCAATTAAAAAAATTTTATCCTTTCGATTTATCTGCTCAAAAAGTGCGACATTTTCGGAAATAACGTGACTAATACTCATTTTTAAGAAGATTATTTCAGAAAGCGGCGATTCTTGGTTGCAGGATTGAAGGAAAGGTGAGATTTATATAATAAAATGGGATAATTGTTGTCTGCGACGGATAAAGAAGTCATCAATCTTCTCTCTATTTATTCGCTTTGAGGTTTTTTTTTGCTTGCAATTTAATTAATTGTCTGGAACAGAATCTCCAGACTTTGTAATCAGCTTGTGGGGAAAAATTTCGTTAAAATAGAACGTCTTCGTTTTTTTTTTTTGAAATCAAATTTAACGGAACGGAGTTATCAAATTTAAAGAGAAAATTCTGGTTGTTGAAGCCTTTCAATTGCATTCGAATGGAAGTTTTTTTTTGGTTCACAAAAATCATAAATTTTTGGAATATTGCTGAACATAAATTTTGAAATTCGATAAAATTGGATTTTTTGGGAAATTTTTTTTCAAAAAAAAATATTGGAAAAAATAATTTGAATGTTTCTTTTTTTCAAAATAGCCCTTTTTTGAGAAAATCCCAAAACCGTTAGTTTTTTTTAAATACTTGCCTAGAAATTCAAAAATTGAAAATTTTTTCGACGAAAAACTCGAAATTCCTAATTCATTTTTGTGCGTCAAAATTCAATTTTCTTCAAAAAAAATGCTTATATCCACTAAAATTTTCTCGCTCTCATCAACGATCTGTGTGTATTGAACTCGACCGTCTATCGACGAGCCGAGAACCGGGAATGTCGGCGGTCACAAAACCCAAAGTGCGACCAAACCTCAAACAACCCGTCGTTGCCCATGGTGGGCCGGCCACGTGCTTCCCGCACTTCTGCGTCTCCAACACTCTAGTCTGTCGGCCGAGGGGGGGCAATGAGTGAAAAAATCTCTATACACATCAAAAACTACTAGTCGCCTCTTCAGTTTTCTCGACGCCACTTCTAGAAAATGACGATTCTTTCGAAAGTGCTGAGACCTGGCCGACGCGGTCTACCGGTGGTCGCCTGGTCGACGCCAAGATTCTTGTCGACTAGCGGCGCTCAACTCGCCAGGATTTACAACAGCGCTGAAGAGGCCGTCAAAGATATTCCCGACAATGCGAAACTTCTGGTTGGAGGTGAGAAATAATTGATTTTTTTAAAAATCAAAATCATTTTTTTAGGTTTTGGATTGTGCGGAATTCCGGAGAATCTCATACAGGCGCTTCAGAAAACCGGCCAGAAAGGCCTTACATGCGTCTCGAACAATGCGGGAGTTGATGATTGGGGATTGGGAGTTTTGCTCAAAACGAGACAGGTTTCCAATTTTTGGTTCTTTTTTTTCGAATTTTCTGATCTCTGCTTTTCTAAAAATATTATTTAGATCAAGAAAATGATCTCGTCGTATGTTGGAGAGAACGCGGAATTTGCTAGACAGTACTTGAGCGGCGAATTGGAGCTGGAATTCACGCCACAGGTAGGCCGAAACACTGTTTTTTAAATGGGGTACGGTAGGTAGGGGAAAGTCCGCAGTTTGGCGTCGCGGTGTTGGCCCGCGATTTTTTGAAATCATTGATTTTTGGGAAATTTTTTTTTGGAAAAATTGTGTGTTTCGCTGTAATTTTTCGTCACGAAATGCGGAAATTGCAAAATTGTGTTCTCTTATCGGTCTATTTTTCTTTTGCTTATCGCTGACCGGCTGATTTTCGATTTCCGCACTTCGTCATTATTCCAATAATAATCGTTTTTGTAGGGCACACTCGCCGAGCGAATTCGAGCCGCCGGCGCCGGAATTCCGGCGTTCTACACGCCGACCGGCTACGGCACTCAGATTCAAGAAGGCGGCGCGCCGATCAAGTACAGTTCGACGAAAAAGGGCGAGATTGAGGTGGCGAGCACACCGAAAGAAACGCGCCAATATAATGGTGTGAATTATGTGCTCGAGGAGGCGATTTGGGGTGATTACGCGCTTATAAAAGCGTGGAGGGCCGACAAATTGGGCAATATCCAATTCCGTCATTCGGCCGGAAACTTCAACAATCCGATGTGCAAGGCATCGAAGTGCACAATCGTTGAGGTCGAAGAGATCGTCGAGCCCGGCGTGATACCGCCGAACGACGTGCACATTCCATCGATCTATTGCCATCGTTTGGTGCTTGGCAAGAACTACAAGAAGCCGATTGAGCGGCCGATGTTCGCGCAAGAAGGTGACGCCGCGAAGGGACCGACGAAAGTTGGAGCGCGTGAGATTATTGCGGCGCGCGCCGCTCTCGAATTTAGAGATGGCATGTACGCAAATCTTGGAATCGGCATTCCGACGCTGGCGCCGAATTATATTCCCAAAGGGATCACGGTGCATCTGCAGAGCGAGAATGGAATCATTGGAGTCGTAAGTGGCGCAATTTCTCCAATAAAACTGAAGCAATTAGTTGAAACGTTCCGTTTTTAGGGACCCTATCCGCAAAGAGGACAAGAGGACGCCGATTTGATCAACGCCGGCAAAGAGCCGATCACACTTCTCAAAGGCGCCTCGATTTTCGGAAGCGACGAGTCGTTTGCGATGATCCGCGGCTCGCACATGGATATTACTGTGCTTGGAGCGTTGCAGTGCTCGAAGTTTGGCGATTTGGCGAATTGGATGATTCCCGTACGTTCTACTCATTTTTTGATGAATTTTTTGCGGGAAAAAAAAACACGCAAATGTTCAGGGAAAACTCGTCAAAGGAATGGGCGGCGCAATGGATTTGGTGTCGGCTCCCGGAGCCCGAGTCATTGTCGTCATGGAGCACGTCTCGAAGAACGGCGAGCCGAAAATTCTCGATGCTTGCGAACTTCCTCTCACTGGCAAAGGAGTTGTTTCAAGGATCATCACCGATATGGTAGATCGCGCGCGTTTCAAGGCGCACGACCTTATTCACATTCTTCCAGGCGGTCTTTGATGTTGATAAGAAGGACGGCCTCACGCTCATTGAAGTCCGTGAGGATCTTACTGTAGAGGATATCAAGAAGGTGACGGGATGCGCCTTTAAAGTTTCGAACGATCTCAAACCTATGGGTCAAGCGCCACTCAACCAGTAATTGCTTCATTGTTTTTTTTTTTGCTCAGTCTGCTCATTTTTGCATGTTTCATTGGTTTTATTTTTCAGCGACAAGATCTAGATACCGGTACTAATAAACCATTTCTTCATTTTTTTTAAATCGTTACGGCAATTGCATGTTCATCATTAAATTAATAATTATTACTATTATTAGTGTAAAATGATAATTAATTAATTAGAGAAAATTGCGATTCTTCGTCGTCTTGGCTAATAGCTTTTTATAGGCCCATAGGCGTCGTTTGAATGAGTCGAGGTCCTTCTCGCGCGGGACGACGCATGGTCCGCGCGAGGCGTCCGCGTCGCGCACCTTCTCCGGACAATACATGCTGTTGAGTTTGATGGTGTCCCATTTGGTGAGTAGGCCGACGCGTTGGCCGGCGCCGAGGTCCGCGTCGTTGCGCGCCGGACAATACGGTGACAATTTGAATTTGTCACGCGCCCACAACGGCACGGTGATGCTCTCCGGATCGAACGGCCACGTCAGCTGGATGGGATTGTATTCGGGAGTGCCGAGATTCGGAATACCGCCCTTAATCGCTTGAATGTAGGAGACGGCGTCCGGACGGTAGAGCTCTCGCTGCATTCCTAGAATCGGCAAGGTCAACGCGTGAATCCATCGCGATCCACCTTACCCATGAATCGCACGAGTTGGTCCATGACGAGACCGCGCGAATGGTTGAAGTTGCTCTTGACGAACGATGATTGCGCAACGTAGAGAATCGTGCGATCCACCAATCCCTCAACAACGGCGTCCGAGTAGGCGGCGAATTTCGCCGACTTGCGAATGAGCACGTGCGGACTGCTCGCATCCCAACGATCGGCGTGGTACCACGGTTTGTAGGGCTGCTCCTCGAATTTGACGCACGTCCGCCGCCCGATTTGTCTGAACGCGTCGCGAAGCACCTTCTTCTCGAACGCGCTCAGACTCGGCAAAAAATAGACTTTTTGAAGTGGTTTTCTGAACGAGCGACGAATCAGCGAATGCCTGCAATTGCCTACCTTTGTGTGCGATCCGAAAAATCGACGTCGATTCCGTTGCCGCTTCGAGTGCCGGCGGCGAACGCGCGCGCCTTCTTGCAGATCTTCGGATGAATCGACGATGGTTGAAGAATTAGCGAGATGAGGCATATCAGCGGATAGCGCATCTCGTTTTGTGTGTGATAGTCTGATAGACGAGAAGAAGAAGAAGAAGAAGAAGCTTTGGGCGGCCGATTGGGGTCAACACAATCCTGCTTCATGCGCCTTTTCATCGTCTTCAACATCATTGTCGTACTCGATTAATTGTGGGCGGACAAAACCGCCCCATTCTTTTCCCTATGTTTTAATGTACTGTACTTTTTTTTATAGGATTTGCTGCCTTCGAAGCATCGCTTTTTTCACTTTGCGATTTTTCGTCGTTCGAATTATTTCAGGAAAAAATTTGGAATTTTGAAAAGCTTGCCAAAAAACTATCCAAAAAGCAATATTTCGGGTCTTCTTACGAAATGCCAATTTTTAAAAAATTTTCTACATTTCTTAAAAAAATTCGAGGCATGTTGATTTTATAAATAATCAGGAATTGAATAACAAAATCATTGGATGAACGATGGACAAGACAATGGAAATGAGATGAGAAGAAAATGGAGGAACCCGAAAGAATTTAAGATATGTACAGAAATTTTTGTGTCTTTTTTTTTGTTGCTTTCTTTAGAGATCCGGAAATCTCGTCGGATCCTCGCGATACGACGCCGGTATTCGGAACATCTTCTCGCCGATTTTCTCGGTGAACTCGAATTTTTGGAACGTGACTTTCGCCGATATCGTCGCCAGCAACGGGATCTCGACGCACACCGGGAAGCCCGGCGGCAAACGCGCTTGGCAGAAGCGGCGAAGTTTGTCGAGATGTTTGAACGGCGCGACGATCTCGAGAAGGTCGACGAGAACGTCGATCGACAACGGGAACTCTTCGCTCTGAACATTGTTCGACTCTGAGCGTGACAAATAGGCGATCGACGAATCTCACCATTCCCACAAGCGCTTTGAATTGCTTCTCATTCGTCTTGACAATTTGCGGTCGGCCGAGTTGGGGCGGAGCACCTGGCGCGGCTCCGATATACTCCTCCCATGTCGTTGGCAGTCGACCAGGCGGCGGCAGCGATTTTCGGTGTTGAAGACTCTACAAATTGGCCCTATTCAATAAGAACGAAGAAAAAAAAATGAATGAACTAATTCACCACAAACTCGTCGTCGCCAACCACTTTGCCATTCGTGAGACTATGAAGAAGCGATTTGTTCTTTTTGACGTCTTCGCTGGTGAGATGCTCACGACGCTTCCGCGTCGTCAATTTGAGACCTTCAACCGAATAGAAGTTGACCGGATAATCGCCGAGTTGCTCCTGGAAATTCGAAATAAAACACTTTTCTATATTTTTTTCGAATTATTATCAGCTCCCTTGTCACCTGACGTCTCGGCTGGACAACGGAATTTCGTTTAAAGTCCCACGACAACCGCTTACCTCTCTCGCGTGTTTGAACACCCATCCGGTGTAGGCCTGCTTGAAGCTGATGCATTTCGTCGACATGTGCGCGTTGATGATGTCGGTTGACATGAGCACGTCGATTTCTTCGTCGACTTCGGCTTCCGACTCGTCGCGCCGTCCGCGCTGAAACACCTTCGTCTTGTTGTCCATCACGACGAGCTGCTCGTCGGGCGGCGCGTCGACGTTGTAGAGGAATGTGATGTCGCCGCGTTCCCAATTTCTGGAACTCGACGTTGTTTTTTTTTTTGCATAAGAACGACGAAAGCAAGCAAAGTTATTGATGATTAATGGAGATTTAAAGGCGCATAGGGTCCCGAAGGGATATAAAAGCGCATTGTGTTGAGAGCAATCACACTGGCAAAAAATATGACATTTTTCAAGAACATCTTTGAGAAATTTTTTGGGAAATTTCATTTCATATATATATTTTTGCTCACCTTTCGCTAAAATCGGCAAGTGTGGTGTCCATTCGCAATTTGGTGCCTTTCTTGTAGATCAGACACACGTCGGAGGGCAGAATTCGCGAGAGGAGCGGAACTGCAAAAAAAAAAGAATCAATTCGAAATCTCATTTTTTTCCTTACTCCATGATTGAAAGTCCCATTTGAATTCCATATAAAAATCGCCCAAATCGTTGAACATTTTCATGAGATGCGGTTTTCCGCCGGAAATCTTCTCTTTCGTCTGGAATTTGAGTTTGCGCAACATTTCGGTGACTGAAAATGAGCTCTATGAGCAATCAATATCAAATTAATTTTTTCGCGCTACTGATTTGCCTGTCGCCGTAGCTAACCGCTTCCATTAGTGGATTCCAGCCGTCTTGGTTCTTGACGCGAATGGGAGCGTTGTTGGCGAGAAGGAGGGCAATCGTCTCTGAAAATCGAGCTCAACATTGAAATTGAAGGGAAATTCGAAACCTCGATGACCTAACATGGTAGCGATGTGAAGCGCCGTGTTGCCATGCATATCCTTCTCGGCGAGACTTCGTCCGGCCTTGATAAGCTGCACAATCGAGCGAGTATCATTTGAGAATGCGGCTTTGTGCAGCGGAAACGCCTCGACGGCGCCTTTCGCCAGGCCGCCGGACAGCCAATTCCAGGCGTCGCTGGTTAGCGATGACATCGGCGCGTCACCGAACAATCAGCAGATAACTGAGAATTGATTTTGAATGATATTTGATGAGGGCGTCGCACAAGTATCGCAAAAATGGCGTGTGGCGGTTGCGTGTAAATCGACCGAGAGACGCATGACGGCGTTGAGAGGGCGCGAGGCGAGCAGACAGATTTCTGCCGGCCCAAGTCGCGACCCACTGAAAACATCCGCCGCGAATTTTTTTATGATTTGGCCAACCGGGAAAAAAAGAATGCCGACAGATACGTCAAGAAATTGGCAAATAATGCGCGCAAAAATGATAATAATGAGCAATTTTTGGATGAGTGAAGAAATTCGCGAGAAATTCTGCATGTTGACGCGTCGGTGTTAACACACACACACCTCCTACAGTAACCTCGTTGCAACGCTATTTGAAACCTACATTTAGAAATTGTGGGAAAAGGGCAATGAAGCAAACGTATAGCGAGAACCGAAATTGGACAACAAAATTTAATAACACATCTGCCCATGCAATTAGTGAGTCTGGCGTGTGAAACCAGTTCCATCGCACCCCGAGGGTTTCTGTTTTTTTTTTCGAAAATTTTCCCCATGTCCCGAGTTTATTGAAAGGTGCCCACACGGAAAACCGGGCATTTAGGCTGGCGTAATCTGTCTTCTCGCGTAATTCGGCCATTGTGCAGCAAAACTTATTTGCTCATTTCTTTTTGACAACCACATTTATTATGTATAATGACGGCGGCGGCGAAATGGGGGCGATGTTTACAAGAGGAATAATAATATTAATAATAATAAGCGAATATTTGCGTTTTGTTTGTTGACCGCAGAGGTGATAAGAGATCACACATTGAGCTCTGAAGAAGCCGTATGATTCTAGTTTAAAACGCGAGCAGAAAAAAAAATGAAAAATGAGAAATGCGCGTGGAATTTGGTGCAGTCTGTGTACACGCTGACGCAATCGGGAACCATAAAATTTATTGCTTTTTTAAAATTCTTTTTTTTTAAGTATTTTTTAATGTTTTTTATTGTAAAAATGGAATTTTAAAAGAATGAGATAATTGATTTAAAACATTTCTAGAATTATAGATTTTATGTTGAAAAAAATGACTAATAGAAATTTTTCGAATTCATTTTCCCCCAATTTTTTTCTAACATTTTTTTTTTGAAACAATACACTTTTGCTTGTCTTCAATCCCTCTTTTGATCGATGAACTCCACGTTCGTTTTTTAAACAATCTAACAAGTAAAACTCTCTCTTCCTCAAAAATTCCTGTGCGTGTGTGTGTGTGGAAACCTCTCGAGCCGAATCTCGCTCGACTCTCTCAATTTCGCCTAATGCATTTGCTGAAAAAACTGTAGAATTCTCTCGCTATTTAGGCGCCGCCGCCGCCGTCGCGCCGATTTGTTTGTATTTGCGCAACAGTTGGTTGGGGTTGGTAGATGGTGAAAGAAAAGAGATTTCGGAAATTATGAGGTGAGCCATGCGGTGGCGAACTCTCGGTTAGTTTTCTGCCGAACAGTTCTGCTCAGAATCTTTTTATTTCATTTTTTTCTACCAATTTTTATCCATTTTCCCTTATATTGCATACTGTCTTGATAGCCCCGCGTACGCTATCTCATATACCGCAGTCATCACCTCCTTGCCAGCTGGGGGTATAGCTCAGTGGTAGAGCGCTCCCTTAGCATGGGAGAGGGCTGGGGTTCAATTCCCCATACCTCCAAGACATTTTTTGTATAAATGTTTGTACTAGTAGTAAACCGCCTCATTCCATGTTTGCTCAGTTTGATTGAAGCACACCGCTTGCCATTCATTTCATTTCACTTTTTTTGATTTTGTTCAGGGTCGTTAAAATCTTGACAGCAACAAAAACGAAATGAAGGAGCCGTGTTTCCGGTGCAAACGGCCAACTTATTTCAACGATAAGGTAAGAAAATGCTTGTGATATTTGCGCTAGTCCAGTCAAGTGGATTGGTGAAAGTAATTGTCAAGTGTGTTTGATTGAGAAGCGCAACCGAACTGGATTTTCAGATGGGGCCGCTTAAAGACGGATCAATGTTCCACAAGGGCTGCTTCAAATGTTGGATATGCGGAACGCGATTGTCGCTGAAAACCTACCACAATAATCGGAACGACAACACCGATCTTGAGGTAAGCAAAAGAGAATCGTGATTGAGACGATTCGAGCCGACAATTTCAAGGTGTATTGCGCCGGACATGTGCCAACGCCGGGACCACACGATCCGATACCGCATCGCTCGAATCTGCTGTTCTCGCCGAAAACGAAAGGCGAATACCCGCACAATCTGATGCGACCGGCGGGTCCCGCCTAGAAAAACGCGTTCTTTCGATTCTATTTGTACACATTTTGTTGTGGGTTTTTGATGGCAAAAAAATCAAACCCCTCCATCATCAATTTTCTAATCATCGGGATTTATTATTGTATAAAGGATTGATGTTTTCATTTTTTTTTCTCGCGACGCCTCCGCGTTTTTTCATTTTTTTTTTCCAAAAATTGGGTGAAAATTGGCGCGTTTTTGTGGCGATCTTGCACTTTTATGATCTTGATATCCGTGGAAGGAGGTTAGATCGTCGGCGACGTCGGCCGCGGCACACCGAGATGGGTCAAATCAATCGGCGCAAGGTCACACACACATGCATTTTGCGACTACGTTTCCCACAACGATTCCATTCGCGCCATTTCCTCTTGGATTTTACCTAGTTTTGCAATTTTATGCGTTTTTTTTTCTTTGAAAAATTGTCCCAGGCTCGAGGTTGCGTAACTTGCCAGATCGGACACCTCACCGTATTTCACCTTCTCTTTTAGAAATCTTAAAATTTTTTCGATTTTTTTTCTCGATTTAAAATATTGATTTTGTTAACGGAATTTTGAAATTTGGACAACAATTAAAAAAAATTGTCCCCGGCTCGAGGTTGCGTGACTTGCCAGATCGGACACTTTCAGCATGACTCATCAAAATATCAATGAAAAAAAAAAACATTTTTTTTTGTTCCTATTGAATTTTTTAAAAGAACTTGGCGAGAAACTTGATAAAAATCGATTTTCAAAAATTGTCCCCCGCTCGAGGTTGCCTAACTTGCCAGATCGGACACCTGCCATTTTTGTGGTCCATATTTCAATGAATTTCGGACGGTTTCAATATTTTTTTCAACTTGTGAGCAAATTTTGTCATCTAAATCGACGTTTCAAGAATTTCCAGAAAATCTTAGCATTCATTTCAATGACCAATTCATGAAATTCAATTTTTTTGCAAAAAAAAGTAAAAATTGCGTTAAATACCCATTTTTTCAGGAACTCGAATGAAAAAAGTATGTGGAATTTCTTTAAAAACCTATTTTTTATTGCGTGAATAGGTCCATATAAAATTGCCAGCAAAATTCACAAATTGTCCCCGCCTCGAGGTAGCTCAACTTGCCAGATCGGACACTTTCAGTTTGACTCATCGAAATATCGAATTTGGCGCTCTAAAAATCCATATTTTCTGCTCTATTGAATTTTTTTGAAATAAAATTCACGAAAAGCGTATACAAATCGATTTTCAAAAATCTTCCCCACCTCGAGGTATCATAACTTGCCAGATCGGACACTTTAATTTTTATTACATATAAAACAGCTCGCCACCTGTGGGCTCTTGCCATCAATTTATTGCAGTTTAGCAGAGTGGCGCAATAGCGTAGTGGAAAAATTTTAGGCTCACAATCAAGGGGGTCGCGGGTTCGATCCCGCTCTGGCGCGAAGCGTTTAGCTGTCTATGTCTTCTTCCACCCTACGCTCTCTCGTTGTCTTGCATTCTATCGATTGAGCACAGTCTCAGATGCCTATTTTATCGACTGTAATTAATTTTTTCAGATCGAATGGGGGTAGTTCAACACATTCTGACCGCCGACGCCGTGTTCGCCGCAATTTCAGGCCTCGCCCTATATTTGGCGCCGAATTTCTTTGCCGACTCGCTGTTTGTAAGTATTGAGAAAGAAGACGAAGAAGAATCGTGTCGCAACGAGTTTCTCATTTCCAGCAACGCCAATCCGACGGCGTTCATTGGCACCTCTTGCGTTGCGTCGGCGGCCAGATATTCGCCTCGTCGCTCGTCTCCTACAGCTTTCGACGATCATCGCCGGTCGCGCAATCCGTGTGCCACTTCATTCGCATTATTGTATGTATACAGAGAAGGCGTCGGGGGGGGGGTTCGAGAATTTGACGATAATCTCGATTTCAGCCATCAGTCCTCCTCCTCGTTTTGATCTACCAATGCCAATCGATGACGCCTGATTTGATTCCGATAGTGGTAAGACGATTCCGAGAATTGATTATGTATAAATCCTCCCCGGATTTGCTAGGCGTGAGAAGTTCACACATCGTTTTTTTTTCTTGTTGCCCTTTCATCACTATACGTCAGAGTCTGAGAGTTTCGAGAAAATGTCCGCAGATGTGAAAACTGAAAGCCCCAACCCCCGGATTTAAGATTTGCAAAAATTGAGATGAAGCTCAAAAATGTCACAGGTCCAACGATCGCTCAAATCGCTGATGTTCGCCACCATCATTGTCCACATCGGATTGTTGTCGGCGAGCGGCTTTCCGACGGGCGCGCGGCTCAACACCGAGAATCGCTTCGGCAATTTTCTATATCAGATCGACGCGTTGGCTTCGATATGCATCGGCGCCGCGTGGCTCACATTCCCCAAATGGCTTCTTCATCGTCAGGTGGGTGAAATGGGGATAGATCACACCAAGCCAAGTTTAGGTGCTTGTCGATCTTGATGAGTCGCATGAGATGCTCGGACGCGTCATGGGCGCCAACTTCATCGCCTCCTACATCGTCTCGACGCACGCGTTGTACTGGGACTCGCAAGACGATCGCTATATCGCCGTCGATGGACGCGTTCTGGTAGGGACCACTCAAATGAACGGCGAGATGACAATTTTTGTAAATTTCAGTGCTGTTTGGCGATTCTCGGCGCGCAACTCTGGTCGCAGACCTACGAGCACTGGTCGGGAAACCATTGGATCGGCATCTCGTTGTTCTCGACGTGGACGATCATCTCGTTGATCTACCGCTTCTACCTCACCGTCACGCGCGGAACACCGAAATCGAAGAGGAATTAAATGTCGAAGTGTGTTGTAGTTCTTGATAAACATCTCGTCCATCATCATCATCATCATCATCGACGTCGGCCGTCGCAAATTAGAGAGGTCGATCGGCGTCATATCTAAACATCTTCGCCTCTCGTGGTCCCGCCCCTTCCCCTCTCTCCCCCTCTCCTTCCTCGTCGCCCTCTCATTGGCCTCCATCGGCATTTCTCTGCCAGGTGTGCCCTCGAACTTCCTTTCAGGGTGTTGCTGGCCGATTTTGATATTGGTGCATTTGTGAGACATGGTATTTGCGGACTTGTTGATGTTTTGAAATTTTTTTCATTTTTTTACAACAAAAAATCAAATGGTGCATTTTTGCGGCATGACGCTTGCGGACTTGAATGATCGTATTGTTAAAATTCAATTTTTTGCAAAAAAAACGCGTCTGTGCATTTTTGCGTACTGATGTTCACGGACTCGGAATTCGGCGGTTTTAAAAATGTTTTTTTACAGTAATCTAATTTTTTTTTAATTTTGGCAATTGGCCAAATTGCCAAAAATCTCAAGAACTCGTGAATTTCATGTGTCGTCGGTGTTTGCGGACTTTTCGCACTTACAGTAATAGAATTTTGAGCGCATTTTTTCCACAAAAAAAAATTTTTTTTGGTCTTACTCGCAGCTTCATGCCCTTCATTTTTTCGTGTAAACGCGAAAAATGAGAGAAGCGAAGCGAGATGTTACATTTTTAATCAAGTTGCGTCCGTCGTGTGCTTATTTTTTTCATCTTCTTCTTCTTCTTCTTCTCGCGTCTTGCTCCGCGCGAGCGCGCGGAGCACATCGAGAAACGCCTCAAAGATTTTTTTTTTGCGAATGCCTTGCAAGAAAAAAAAATTCCAAAAAGACGAGAGCCCCCCGTGAAAACCGCGCTTCTGCGTCTTGACCATCCAGAAAGTTGCATCTTGCTCTATATAGTTTTTTTTGAGCCCCTCTCACGACACACAAATAATTGAAAAGCCGCTAATTATGCATGAGGCTCACTAGAGCTCCTCTAGCTCTCTTGACATGTTGAGCTCGTGCTTCGTATATGCATATTAATGGCTCAGTCGTGCGTCGTTGAGTCATGGAATTTGTTCAGCTTGTTGCTGCCAACTTTTTCTCTCAACTCTCTCGCAATGCCCATTTTTGATTATGTTGTTGCGAATTTTTTTTTTCGCCTCGCCCCCCCCCTTGCATATATTTTTTGTGCACGCGCTTTAAAATAAATAATTTGCAGTTGTATTTGAATTGTGCTTCATTTTTCGGCGGCCCACTACGCGATGAGTTGAATGCCGCCGCGGATCATCAACCATTATATCATTGCGATTGGTGTACTACTCAACGTTGTTGGCGTATGGTGTGAGGCGGAGCCGGCGTTGGGCGCCGGCGCCAATCCGAGTGTGCTCGCCTCGCTGGTTCGACGATTGCCCGATGTCGACGGCAAAAAAGAGATACTGATTAGCTATTTGTCGACGGTGCCAACGCTCAGCGGCGATATCGATCAGTATCTCTCCAATATTTCATCGACGGTCAGAACTTTTTTTTTCTTTAAAATTGCGATTTACAGCTGTGCAAACTATTCGAATAATGTTGCGAATTTTTGCAAAAAAAAAAATTTTTGGTGGTTTTAGGCGTGAAATTGTTTTTGAAATTAACGTGCGCGCCTTTGAACTACGGTAGACAAGAAGTGTTAGTTGGAAAATAATGTATTATTAGCCGAATTTTTCTTAAATTGCTATGATTTTGAGCCAAATTTATTTTTTTTTCCAAGTGATAAGAAATTATTTAATATGATTCTCAAGATTGATGAGGCGAGAATATTTTTACGCAATTTTATTGAAAATATAAATTAGGCTTGAATTTATTTTTGCAAATTCAGCCCTGTGCCTTTGACTATCCTACCGTAATCAAAATCCACTTTCTTTTTTTTGTTTGTTTCCTATAAAATTACACATTTCTTTTCAATTTTCGTTGTTTTTCGTTCCGCGAATTGCTCACCTCACCTCATTTAAAACGTCACTCACAGATATAATCCTCAAATCATCTCAATCTTGCTTGTTATTTTTTTTTTTGGGAATAATCTTTTTTTGCAGAGCTCCAAAGATCAAGACTCGAGGGATCGAGATATTTTCAATAAGAAACTGAAACAGATCTCGCATTGCTTCACAACCGATTATTACGGATCGTTGACGTCGGGAGCGCTGGTGGCGGCGATTGTCGAGATCAACGCCGATCCGTCGATACTGCCCAATCATCATTTGCGCTATGTGTTTGGCAACACGTGCGGCAATGATTCGCACAGTACGCGGCTGTTCATGGAGCATTGGCAATCGGGCGCGCGCGTTTTTATTGGTCCCGAGAAGAATTGCAAGACGGAGGCGGCGATGGCCGCCGCGCAGAATTTGCCGATGATCAGCTATCGATGTAACGATCAGGATATTTCCAGAGATGAGTAAGTCAAATATGAATTACATTAAATGAAAATAATTCACTGGAAAACTGACAACAGTTTGAAAAATTTGCATCACTTTTTTAGGAATTTGTTTGCGGCTGCGCGTCATGGTGTTTACACCAATTTGCGCGCTACAGTAATTCTCCTCGTTTTTTTTTGAAAATAAAAAAAACGCCTTTCTTAGAATAATTTTTCAATTTTTAATTGATTAATTATATTTTTAGTTACCATTATCGGACATTTGCTCGAACGGTTCCGCCATCCGGCGAGATATTCAAAGCGTTCTTCGCGTTGATGAAAAAATTCAATTGGCGCAAATTCTCGGTGGTGTACGATGTGAAGAAGGGTCTCGCGCGGAACGAGATGTTTGAGACGTTAAAGGTTGCCCAACGCTATTATCGCCCCGACTAATCCCCATAATTATCGTTGTAGAGAATGGTTGAGGAGCAAAACGAGTATGAGGAGAAGAAGTTTGAGATTCGGAACGCGTCTCGAATGGAATTCGCCAACATCGATATAAACACCCAGCCGGATCTTGATCAAATCGCGAAAGCTATTGAGGAAACCATGGAAACTACGAGAAGTCCGATTCTTTTCATCATTGTTTGCATATAGCTGGATTTTTTCAGTATACCTCACTTTCAACAATGTGAGATTATTTCGAAGGGTTCTATCCACAATGGGTGATATGGGTCTCACCGAGAAGGGCTATATGTTGATCTACCTTGATACCCATTATGATTGGCTTGACGTCTACCATGCGATGAACAACCATTTTTTGAGAGGTGCGCGCAAATTGGAACAATGAGGACACGAGAGGATTTTTTTTTCAGACACCACCAAATACCTTCACCATAGTTGGGATCCGCTGAATATCGATGAGCGCAAGATGATCGATTACGCGCAGAGCACGATATCGATCATTCCGACGCCGGTGAAACTCAATTCGCCCAAGTTTTTCACGTTTTGGAAGCGCGCCGCGGATTACGTTCATTATTTTGGTGTGCAGAAGACGGATAGTTTGAATCTCAAGGTTTGCGCGAATTGTTTTTGGCGGCGCATTCACAGTTTTGCAGGGGAATCGAATCGCATGCTACTTGTATGATGCGGTGTACCTTTACGCGAGAGCTGTCGATGAGCTGATCCGAAGGAATTCGCATGATCCGGAATTTGATCCAACCGAAGACGGATCGGCAATTATTGATCTAATTGTGAATAAGAAGTATACAAGTAAGTCAATGCCATTGATTTTATTATGCCATAATTATATATTTATCCATTCTTATTTACCAATTGTCGGCGAATTGGTTGAACACCGTACACCTAGAATTACTTAATTGCCCCAATTAACGAATCAACTCACCTTTGCACTAGCCAACGCTGCTAGCAAAACAAAAACGACGAAGCAAAATTGGGCGATTTTCATTTTTCGTTTTGCTTTTTTTCTACTCTCAATCGCCTTATATGGGAAATCAATGGTAAACATTGATAATAATGGGGGGAGGCCCATTAAGGGACCAAAATGGGCATGAGAATATACATGAAAATTTTTTTTTCGTCAGGCATTCAAGGCTTCGAAATGCGAATCGACAACAAGGGCAACTCGCAGGGCAACTTCTCGCTTCTCACCTGGCAAAGTGTGAAGCCGATCATGAATCCCGACGATGCGAAATACTATCCGATGGATCACGCGTTGGACATCACATCGGTGTTCACCGCGCCCGAGAACGACTCGAGTCTGCCGACGTTGTCGTTGAAGGCGAAGACGATCTACTGGAAGACGGGCGTCGAGCCGCCGCCGGATGAGCCGATTTGCGGTTTTCACGGCGAGAAGTGCAAAAAGAATCATTTGTTCACGTTGGCGATTATGGGCGCTGTCACGTTCGTCGCCGTACTTGGCATTGTGCTCTCCGGATTGACTTATAGGTAATCGACTCGGTCTACTCTAGTTTTGAAAAAGACAAAAGTCTGGTATGGTCGAAGACTTGTGCGTTGTGAAAATGCAATGGTTCGCGATTTTTGATCAACGAAATTTGAATGAAAATAAACGTTGAGGAAGTCGTTGCGAAAGTGTGTGTGTGATTTTGAGAGACGAAGACATTTTTTTTTCATTGTCGACTCGATTTTTGATAGTCGAATCAATGGAATTTCGCTCAAATCGCGACATTTTTCTAGAAGTCGAAAATTCGAAAAGGAATTGGCAATGATTTGGCGAATCGAGCCGCACGAAGTTCATCGTGTCATTGGGAGCAACGAGTCGACGTCGTCGCTTCTCGCCGCCGCCAGCGAGGTACCGTAATCCATCTCTTCCTCTCATGTTCTTCTTTTTTTTTTTCATTGAATAATTTATGCGCGCGTATTTATGCGAGAAATATTCGTCAATTTCATTTTTTTTTCGCCGGGAGTAGGAGGCGCTTGCAAAGTGCGTGCGCGATTAGATTTGCAAATGATTTATGAATGTGAAATTGGTTTCGCGAGAATGATTGATTGAAACACGCCGTTTATGCTTCTTATTTTTTATTCCCCACTCCATTTCCTAGGGACCATTTTGCAGACATCTCAAATGTGCCAGCATCCATGGTTCAATGAAGCGGATAGTAAAGGGTCTGGAATGCGCGGTGTCGCTTATTATAAAGGAACACTTTGCGCGCTGAAAGGTAATTAGCTAATTATTTTAATTATGCTTGTGTGAAATTGCAGAGTATGTTTATGATCGGAAGCCGAAGGATTTGACGAGAGATGTGAAAATGGAGCTCAGGGTGATGAGGCAACTCGCTCATCCCAACATCAACAATTTTATGGGCATCATTGTGTGTCAGACGTCGATTTGCGCGGTTCGCGAGTTTTGCTCGAAAGGCTCGTTGCTCGATGTGCTAAGGAATGCGGACATGAAGCTTGACCATTTGTACATCGCCTCGTTCATTGAGGATCTCGTCAAGGGAATGGTGTACCTTCACGATTCGGACGTTAAAATCCACGGCAATCTCAAATCGACGAATTGTTTGATCACGTCGAGATGGGCGCTTCAAATCGCCGACTACGGAATGCACGATGTTCGCGATGGCATCAGCTATTCGGATGAGAAGCTGATGTGGGAGAGCTTCTTGTGGACGGCCCCGGAGACGATGGCGATATCGGGAAGATGCATTACTCGACTGCCGCCGACGCAGAAGAGCGATGTGTACTCGTTCGGCATCATCCTTCACGAGATATTCACGAGAGGCGGGCCTTATATGATTTGCGGCGAGTACAAGAGCAATAAGAAGAAGAAGGAGGAGGAGAAGGAGAAGAAGGAGGCGAAAAAGATGGCCGAGGAGAAGAGGAACGCCGAGGAGAAGGAGAGGAAAGAGAATGCCGACGATAAGGCGGAGTCGAAGGATGTCAAGGAAGAGGACGAGACACCGGCGACGCCTGAACCCGAACCTGTCGATGAGAACAAGGGCGAGAAGATTGTGCGTCGCATCTACAATGATCCGACGTTTCGGCCCGAGATGAAAATCATCGAGGCGCAAAATTATGTGAAGGACGTGATGACGGCGTGCTGGCATCACGATCCGTGTCAGCGGCCGGACTTCAAGTCGGGCATTCGCAACAAACTCAAACCGTTGTTCACGCAGATCTACAAGCGCAACATCATGGATCACATGATTGTGATGATGGAGAAGTATCAGACGCAACTCGAGGATCTCGTCGAGGAGCGAACTGGCGAGTTGAGGGAAGAGCAGCGGAGGAGTCAGAATTTGCTTCAGCGGATGCTGCCGAGAACGGTGGCCGATCAACTGTTGCGCGGTCACAACGTGATTCCGGAAGCCTACCCGCCGGTCACAATCTACTTTTCGGATATTGTTGGATTCACGCGGATCTCCGGCGAATCGACACCAATGGAGATTGTGGTGTTCCTCAACAAATTGTACACATTATTCGACGCGATCATTCGCAAATATGATGTCTATAAAGTCGAGACGATTGGCGATGCTTATATGGTGGTGTCTGGTGTGCCGAAATACAACACGGTCGAATATCACGCCGAGCAGATCGGCATGATGTCGCTTCATATAATGGCGGCGGTGATGAGCTTCGAGATTCCGCATTTGCCGAACGAGAAGCTGATGATACGAATCGGAATGCATTCGGGACCGTGCGCCGCCGGCGTCGTCGGGCGAACCATGCCGAGGTATACGCTGTTCGGCGACACCGTCAACACGGCGTCGCGAATGGAGAGCAACGGCGAGGCGTTGCGAATCCATTGCTCGGAATTCACGCATGTCGTCCTCAAAGACATTGGCGGATTCGAGATGGAGGAGCGCGGTGTGCTGCCGATCAAAGGGAAAGGCCATATGACGACGTATTGGTTGAACGGACGGGCCGGCTACGATTTTGCAAACATTCCGATTGATGAGGACTTTGAGGATGAGTTTGAGTTGTTCCCGTGGCAAAATGCGAAATCTGAACGAGGATCGAGTTGGGGTAAACTATCAGACGATGGCAACGTCCAAAAAATGATTTTTCGAAATTTAGGCGTCAATCGCGAATCGTCGCTATCGCTTGCCAACGACAAATGCTCGAATTTCATGAAGCGAATCTCGCGAAGCAATATTCAGGATTCGAGCTATTTCAATTCGTCGTCGAATCGCGAAATGCCGCGATTGTGCGAAGAGGATTATTATGACGACGGCGGCGGCGGCGCTAGGAAACGAAAGGCTAGCAAGAAGAAGAAGAAGTCGTGAGCGATTGACGATTAATTAGAATTCATTGAGTCGTTTCAGATGCAACAAGGCGACGTCGACGTATGATAATGATTCGATAGCGCTTCGGAAACGATCGACGTCGCTTCCCGACGGCGAAGTTTTGAATCTTGATTCGTTGGAAGGCGTCAGCTCGGTTCCGGCGATTCCGTACACCAGACGAAGCACGATCGGATCGACCGTCTCGATATCGACGACGAATAGCCAATATCCGTCTTATCAAGATTTGTGCGCGGTGCCTTATCGGTTGGTTTTGATCAGAATGTTGCAATTGCGCTCTATTGATAATGAGGGCGCAATTGGTGTAGATCAGAATATTTTCGGAACTCATGCTCGTTTTTTTTTTTAATATTTCAATTCGAAAATCTTCTAATGGCTTTGGCTTTGAGTGAAATCGAAGACGCGTGGGATTCTAATGGTTCACTATTTTTGCTTTTGCAATTTTCAGACGAAAACGCGCCATCGCCACCGTGTACCCGATGCGGAAGCGATCGTTGTCGGTCGGCGACGCGATTCCCGCGATCGCCGCCATGGAGACGAACGTGTCGTGCACCATCACCACCGCCGCCAACATCGACGCCATCGCCGTCGCCACACCGCAACTATCGGCGAAACACATTGACGTCGAGAGGGCGTCGAGTCCCGAAGACGGTGCCACCGTGCAGGTCGACGATGAGAAGGCGCTGATCGGCGGCGCGCTGAAGAGCAAATATTTTGGCGGCAGTATGAATCTGAACGGGATGCGGAGTTGTCCGCAGGCGAGGCGAAAAGACAAAAAGTCGTTTCTGCGCGATCCGTCGCCGCTGACGAGGCGATTCCGCGAAGCGTCGCCGTTTAGTCGAAAGCCGTTTTGGAGTTCGAAAAGCGACAATCGAGGCGATTCGATAACTCGAATATTCCGAAAATGGACGACCGGACGAAGCGGGTCCGAATATGAGGATTTGAATAATTATGAGCTTTGCGAAGAGGACGGTTTCGAAATGTGCGAGAAGGTCTCTGGTGCTAGAGGTTTGCCGCAAATTTTTGTCACCCCCTTTAAATCCTGATAATTGATATTGTTTGCAGTGAATCGCTCTGTGTCATGCTCACCGACGGACGGCGCCGAATCCACCGACAACTCCGAGCCGCTTCTGACGATGTCGCCATCGGATGGCTGCACGAAGCCGATAACGGGTTGAATTTTTGTTTTGGGTTGTGGACAAAATTTAATTGCGAAACGCGGGTATATAATTGTTTTTGGTTTGTTATATATATATATAGTTGAACGGCTAACAATTTTTTTTTAGCAATAAATCGTTTATTATTATTATTTTTTGATTATTTGCCGATTCCTGCGCCGGCCGCAGCGCCGGCGGCTGCACCGGCGGCGGGAAGAGCCGCGTTGCGAAACGAGTGGAACGACTTCTCGGTGGATTTGCCGAGTTTTTTGAAGAAATTCCGGCGCTTTTGGCGAATTGGCAACGGCGGCGGATTGTCGGCGGGCTTCTGGAATTGCGACAATTCTGAAGAATGGTATTGAGGTGATGGGAAACCTGTTGAATGGCCAGCGAGTATCCGGGAAATGCGCTGGATGTTTGGAGGATTGCGAGCAGAATGAGGCAAATGACGCGAAGCAGCATTGTTCGGAGCGGAATTTTGACAACTTGCCGCCTTTTATAGTAATTGTGAAGCACGATAAGTAAGCAATGATGTTGTGTTGACCGAGTGTCAACAGAACAACAAACAACACTGGGTGGTACGGTCGAGGTTTTGGATTTTTATGGAGATCTCCAATGGCGACCCGCAATAAAATGTTCATATTCGCCGATTTCATTTCCATATGCTCTTGAGAAATGAGACTCCCTACGTGGCTTCAAATCGCTCTCAAAAACGCGATTTTGATATTGCCGGCGATTTTCGTTTTTGTCATTTATCCGAGGTTTGTGAGAGATGGCCTAGAAATTGGTGGCCGTGAAATGTTAGGCCATCGCGATTGTTTCTTGTTTTTTTTTTGTTCAGAAAATTCGTTCGCGAAGAATCGAATTTGGAATACGATGAGTTCATAAAGAAAATGGACGTCGAACGCGGGCACTATGAGAAGATACCGAATTTGGCCGAGAAAATTTTGAGCTCGTTGAGCGCCAATGCCACGGAAAACGATGAGGCGATTCGAGGTTGCGTCGATTTTTTTTCTCTAAACCAAATTCAACGTTTTTAGACGCAATTTATGAGTATTTCACGACGAGCTATCCGAGTTACTATGAGCTACTGACCAGCAAGGATTATGCGGTGAAATGGGAATACAAGAATTGCGTTTGGCATGCGTTCCAAACGGTCTTCAATTTGGGCTATTGGACGCCGCTGGTGACGAGATCGAGCTACGGAGACACACTGACGGCCTATTATAGCGTTCTCGGAGTGGTTTTGGCAGTTTTTTTGATATGTGAGAATGCGATGCGATGCGCCTTTAAAGTGGTCCATGATTCCTGGCGATGAGATCCATTTAAAGGCACATGCGCAGAAAGGCAGAAAACTTTCTTTTTGTTTTGGGACAATTTGAATTTCGCCGAAAATTGCAGCTGAATTATTCGCGACCATTTTTTCCAGCGTCTATGGTGGCCGTGTACAAATTCTTCATCGACATTCTCGGCCAGCTGTGCTTCTCGAAAGATACGCGACGATTCCATAAAGGGAAAGATGTTCGAATCAATTTCAATCGACGCGAATTTCTGAAAGCCGCATTCAAATTTGGCCTCACTATATTAATTGTGGCGATTAATTGCCTATTGGTGATGAATATGGCGAGACGGCACGATGATTGGGATTGGGAGACGGCAGCAAAATATGTAATTAGCGTATTATTGGCCAATTATAAGCATTTGGAATTAACGCCGAGAAGGATTCGACATCTTGATGTTGGTGTTTTTTTTTTTTTGAAGATTTTTAAAAAGTTTAACCTTTCAGTTTAAAACGTTCGGAATTTTGCAATATACCTCTTCGCACACCCTTCTTTTCGCTTCTATGGGATTATTTGTGGTTTATTTCATTTTATTCATGAGGGCTCTGAAAAAAGTACACAAAAATTAATCTAATTTAATTTTTCAAAATTATTTTTCAGGTTATTCTTGATATTATTGATAGCACGACGCGAACCAAAGAGAAAGTTGAATAATTTTAAATAATAAATGTTTATTGTGTTAATGTTTCGGATATTGGAACGCATTCGCACTCATTTTTCCAGCTGCATCGCAATTTTTGGCTATCGCATGACTTGAAATTTGGACAATTTTTTGGCGAAATTCTTTTTTTCCAATTAATTACCGTTCGGAAGAAGATTGTGCAAGCTAGATCGAAGCAAAATCCAAAATTTTGCGCAATTTCGACAAGTGCGATTAGGATTAATAGAATTACACGCATTTTATTGAAATGAACCAAATTTTGACGGTTTTCTTCGAAAGGAAAATAAATTTTTGAATGCACCGCATTTGCGCCAATATGCGCCAGAAATGCGTCAATTCTCCGCATCGAGCGCATTTCTCGATTTTTGCACTTTTTCTACGATTTTTTCCCATTTTCAAGCTTTTCCCTTAAAATTCGTGTTTTTATTGTAGTAACTTGCGGTCAACACTGCCACAATGTTGAGTCGCCAGCTTTTCCGCTGCGTTCGGCAAGGAATCGCCCCCTCAACAAGTCAGGCGGTCTTTCACACAACACCTAGTAATCTAGTATTACACAGAGTAAGTATTTCTTATATTAGTTTCGGAATTAGAGATATAGTTAAGGCGAAGCCACTAGACGAAGAAATTCACGCAGAAACGACGGCAGATGTCAAAAAAATTAGGAGAAATGCGCAAGTTTTGGATTTGGCGCCGAAAAAGAGGAAAAAAGTGGATCTAGTTAGTAAGGCGTTGTGGCGGGGGAATAAAAAAATTCATTTTGAAACACGTTACAGTGACCGATACACATCTTTCACAATGGTATAAAATGGAGCCGAAGAATCTCGCCGGCGATTATTTGCAATTGTCAAAATCGAAACTGAGCGGCTTCATCGCCGCCACCGCGTGTTGCGGCTATTTGATGGCGCCAGTGCCTGTCGAGCTTCTTCCACTGGCCGCCTGCACAACCGGCACATTTCTATTGTCGTCGGCAGCGAACGCGTGTAATCAGCTGCTCGAAGCGCCGTACGACGCGCAAATGAGGCGCACACAGAGTCGCGTTCTCGTTGTCCATCGATTCTCGCCGCTTCACGCGTTCACGTTCGCCGGAATCACGGGTCTGTCGGGAATCGCCATGTTGTCGGTGTGCAACAATCCGACGGCGGCGCTCCTCGGCGCTCTCAACTGGATTCTGTACGCCGGCGTGTATACGCCGATGAAACGGACGCACATCGCGTGCACATGGGCTGGAGCGGTGGTGAGATTGAAAAAAAAATCAGATTCAACCAAATTTCGAGTGTTTTTCCCAAATTTTCTAAGGAATATCTTCAAAAATCCCATCCCCCCCCCCTTCAAAAAAAAAATATGCGTTCAGGTTGGCGCAATTCCGCCATTGATGGGCTACGCAGCCGCCACCGGCACACTGGATCCGGCGGCGTGGTGCCTGGCGACAATATTGTTCTCGTGGCAATTTCCGCACTTCAACGGTCTCAGCTGGAATTTGCGCGGCGATTACAGTCGGGTGAGCTGCTCGCCATCCGCCGTTTTTTTGACGTCTCGAGAATTTTCCAGGCCGGATATCGAGTGATGTGTGTGACGAACGAGCGATTGTGTCGGATCACGTCGATACGCCACAGTTTGGCGCTTGTCGGATTGTGCTCGATCGCGGCTCCGCTCACCGACCTCACCACCGTCTCATTTGCCCTCGGTGAGTTTGCCAATATTTGTACCATCTCTTCTTCTGTTTTTTTTTTTCTCAGACTCTCTTCCGGTCAACGCGTATCTCGTCTATCTCTCATATCAATTCTACAAGGCTCCCGACGCGAAAAACTCGCGAAAATTGTTCTTCTACAGTTTGATCTACCTGCCACTAATAATGCTTCTAATGGGTATATCGAATTATGGACGAAATTCTGTTCAAAAGCAGCCGGTCTCGGAACGAATTCAGGTTTGTCCTTTGGGTTTTTTTAGCTGAATTATTTTTTGAGATTAAATTTGCAGATTTTATTGGATAAAATGTTTACGATCGCAGCGACGAGGAGCAAAAATGAAAAAAATTGAAATTTTCATGCAATTTTAGGCTGTAGATAGTGTGGATTTTTGATTTTTGTTGATTTTTTTTGTTGTTTTTTGCCTTTAAAAAATGCTCCATAAACGGTTATTTTGCTTTAATTGTTTTCTCTGCCACCCTCACCGTTTTGTGTACTATCTCGTCGCTCACGTATTTATCTTTTTTTGGATTGTTGCTCAATTCCTTTTGAAAATATGGCGGTCCGCGTGTTCTCTCATTTATTGAGTTCATTTTTTCAGAAACTAGACGAGCCGTGCACATTTTTGAGGTAATTTATTGTAGAAATCAGCGCTAATTAGGCTTAATTACTTCAAAAAATTAAATATAATGAGAAGGTTTCTTTTTGAAAATTTAAAAATCAATGAAAAATTGGGTTTATTAAAAAAAAATTCCGAAATTTAGCTAGTTTAGTTTTTCTTCTCAAAATTTGCGGAATTAAGAATTTAGCAAAAAATTGTGCAATATCGATCTAAAAATTGAAGTTTAATTGGACCATAATTAGTAGAAAATTGGCGCAAAATGGAAATTAAAGTTTGAAATATTGAAAATTTCAAAAAAAAAAAAGAGTGTATTTCTTTAAATGCTGGCAAAAAAAGTTGGCCAACTACCAAAAATTGCTCGTTTTGTTTTTTTTTTTTGTCTGATGCGCCGCCCGTCCAAATCCTCTCACTCTCTTTAAGCCGCCCATATTTGGTCTTGTTTCGTCGGCTGCCGCCGATTTTTTTTTGTCGTCGTCGTCGTCGCGTTTTTACCCATTTAACATTAATATATTCACAAGAGTTCTCGTCTAGTTTTTTTTTCTTCTCGCCTCCATTTTTTTACAACCGCAAACACTAAAAATCGATGCGCTTTTCCCTAGAGCGTTGTTGTTGTTGTTTTTTTTTTGGTTCGACTGCTCGCCGAGCCCGCCAGCTCAACATTGAAATTATCGCCGCAGATTTTGGCCAACTTTTTTTTTTCATCCTTTTCTTGCCGTTTTTTGGTATGAAACTATTTAAAAATTGCGCTTTTATTTTTTTGAAAATTTGAGAAAATTGACAATTTTGGACCAAAAATGCGCAAAATTTTTAGAAAAAACGAATTTTGTCAAAAAATATTAATTTTTCACTTAATTGTTGTTGAAAATCTGAGAAAATTGGCAATTTTGGTCTAAAAATGCGCAAAATCAAGATTTTTGAGGGAATTATTGGAAAAAGTCAGAATTTTCAGATTTTCTCAACAGAAATCAATTAAAATAATAGGTTTTTGTGATTTTTTTTTTGAAAATTTGAGATTTTAGTGAAAAATCAAAATTTTTTGGGGAAATTATTGAAAAAATTGAGAATTCTCCCAGAAATTTTTTATTTCAGAATTTCAGTTGAAAATTGAAATTTTTAAAGAATTTTGGCCGAAAATTTTTGGTTTTTGATGGTAATTTTTTTGATTTTCAATAAAAAAATGGGTTTTTTGCCAAAAAAATGCGCTTTTCGACTAGAAAACCAAAAATTGTGAGATTTTCTCGAGAAATTGCGAATTTTTGCTCGAACATTCCAATATTCTTTAAGAATTTTTCGCGTAAAATTGATTGACTGCAATTTTCCAGAAAATTGATGGAATTTTCATCTAAAAACCAACAGAAAAATTGATTTTTTGATTCGAATTCGATAATTTCCGGTTCGACATCGTCAAAATCGCCGACGAAATTGGGATGATATCAATTTTCGCCCCAAAAAATCGCCTTTTTTTCAAAATAGAAACAAAAAAAAAGGGAAATTGTGATTTTCTCAATTAAAACAAAAAATAAGAATTGAGATTTTTGCGCAAAATATTTTAATTTTCGAGTTTTGCCTACCGACAAAATTGAATTTGCCCATATTTTTGGGTGAATGCAATATAAAGACGACGAAACAGGATTGTCTCTCGGCAATTCGATATCCGAGGCTCGTTAGGCTCGTACAGCTCGCCGAGCATGACCTTTAGACTGAGGGGCATTGGTGGGGGTTGGATTAGAATTGATTGGGAAACGGATTAGGGTGGGGGGGGGGCCGATGGCCGAACAAACGGTAAATTGCGTTGCGCGCGTGTCTGCGTCTCAATGGTTCGCGCACTCTCTCCCTCGCGCTCTCTTTCTCTCTCCACTCTCCACTCTCTCTCTCTCTTTGCTTGTTGTACCGACGACGCGCGAAACAAATTTCAACCATTTTTAGTGGTTTTATTGATTATTTTTGATTTTTGAATATATTTTCAGGAATTCTTTTGATGAATGAACGCGATCGAGCCGCGACTATCTATTATGAAGCGCACGCGAATTTGTGAGTCACAATCTAGAGATTATTTTTTTTTGTGCCTGTCCAGAAAATTGGGAGATTTTGAGCCAACAAGTGCGAAATTTTGAACGAAACTAATAGAAAAAATTGATAATTTTGCAAAAATATGTATTGTGGGGGAGAATTTTTCGAAAACCTTCCGTTGCTTTTTTTTTATCTGAAAGAAAATTGAGAAATTTTGAGCAAAAAGAGGCGAAACCAGACTTTTTTCACGAAAAATTTGGAGAAAATTTTCGAAATTTGCAGCCAAAATCTCGGCATTAAAAAATAGTTGAGAAAATCTTGAGATTTTCCTTTTTTTCTCTCATAGAAAAGATGAGAATTTGAGAATTTTTGAGCCGAAATTTCGATTTTTTCTGAAAACAATTGAAATTTGTAGCCAAAATCATTTCTTTTTGAAGGAAAATTGCGAAATTTTGAGCAAAAAGTCGATTTTTTGGCAAACTGAAAAAACAAACTTTGAGATTATTAGAAAAAATGTGATTTTCGGTGAAAAATTGAGAAAATTAGGAGATTTTGAGCGAAAACTTGATATTTCTGAAATCATAAAATTCAACATTTATAGCTGAAACGATTTTTTGAAGTAAAATTGCGAAATTTTGAGCAAAATAATTTTTGATATAAAAAATTGAGAAAAAAAAAAGATTTTCGATAGAAAATTGAGAAAAATTGGAAAAATTCAGCAAAAAAACGTGTTTTTTTGAAATTTTGATGCCCAATTTTTTGGCAAAATTAGTAAATTTGAGAATTGTTGCCGAAAATTTAGCGGATTTTCAGAAAAAAAATGGACTTTTGTGAATTTTTGGGGGAGAAAAAAAGTTGATTTATTTTCTTTTCAATTGTTTTGCAGCGGAACTCCGCCAAAAGAATCGGGCGACTATCGTGTGAGGTCGGCGGCGAACAAGCAGCCGGTGGATTTCGACGAGGATCGCGTGTACGAAGTGTTCAAGAAGGATCAGACGCAGGTGTTCTCGTATCAGCGACGAGAGCCTCAAACGCGAAACGTGCCGATAATGCAGGTTTGAAGAAAAAAGGAAAAAAAGAAGAAGAATCGATTTTTGTGCTCTCAGAATATGGTTCGATCGGCGAATTATCATCATTCCTCATCGGGCGTCGTTCAAATGCCGCCGATGTCGACGTCGTCGTACGACTATTCTTCGAGCGCGATGCCGCCGCGTTCGGAATGGTCCGAAGATTTTCGGCCGGGTCGTTCCGACGTCGGAGGCCCGCGAAAATCGTCGGCGCAATTGGTGTTTGTGCGCGGCAGCCATCCGATGTCGACGCCATCGAGCGTCAAAGATTTCGGCACGATTGGAGGTTGGTGAGCGCAGCGACGACGCACAAGATTTTGTTGTGCGAGCGATTTGCGCCATATTGGTGGATTTTGTTTTTTTTCTAGTTTTAATTTTCAGGATATTCCGATGAGCGGTATGGACGAAACAGTGCGGTTCGGCAACACGCGCGCGACTACGAGTTGGATCCGAGGTTGAACGTCACCTATCCGCAATTTCATGTCGCCGAATGGAATGAGCGGCATCAGACGAGTGAGTGTCTGGATTTTGTTGTTGTTTTTTTTTTTTCAAATCTCAAATTTGTATGGAAAATTGCGCAGATTTTGTCGATTTCGCGCGGCCCTCCAAAAATTTTGCATTTTTCGAAACGAGTACGAAACGAATAGAGGCTTGTGATTTTCTTGAATGTTTAACAAATTCCATCTGCGGACAATTGTGATTCATTTTTATCAAACCGGACCATAAAATTTGAAATAGCCTGTTAGTTAGAACATTTCCTTGCGAGACCATTTCGAAAGACGCATTCCCGTAAATCTACCCGCGTACAGAAGTCGCAGGACGCCCGACAATATTATTATCGAATTTTTTACGAGATTTATTAATGAATGCGCCTTTAATTACCGTATCCAATAAAAATGATTAGGAGTTTTTGTGAGATTTGAAAATTTTTGACAGAAACAATGAGGTAGCCGGTTTGTTTTTCTTTCTTTTTTTTTTTGAAACTGGCTAGAAACTAAATTCGGTTTTGTTTCCTGCAGGTTTTCCGACGCCGAATCGTCCGCCGCGATTTCCGGTCGAGCGGAATGCGTACGATGATGTGAGTGCGTCGAATGGCGTCGAGAAGGAGACGGCGATTCTCAACGATGATTATGACAATGTGCCGAATTCGATTGACGGCGATATTGATCGAAAGGTATTTGTTGGTTCGAAGAAAATTTGCGAATTTTTGCTAGAATTGAAGAATTTGTCTTTTTAAAAAATGGTTCTTGTTTTATGTTTTAAAGGCGCGTAGCAGTTTTTCTTGTGAAAACTAATGATTGAATTATTTTGGATTGATGAAATTTTATTTTAAAAGTGGAGAATAGGTTTTTTTTTTCAAATATTGAACACAGAAAATGAGGAATTTAAACAAGATTTTCAATTTTTTTTTTGGCTGAAATTGAAAATTTTGATTTTCAGGATGAAAAAGACGAGCAGGAAGGTGTATATCAGCCGGGAAGATATCAGCCATGTGAGTTTCTTTTTAAATTATTTTTTTATTCTGGATTTTTTCCCACAAATTTGGAAATATATTCGTAAATTTCCATTTTTTTTCGTCGAATCCGATCTTTTTTTGTTCCTCATTTGCTCATTTCTAATTCTTGGAATTTTCTTCTTCTTTTTTTATGTTTTTGTTTTTTTTTTTTTGACAATGGGGGGATTAGTTTGCAATTTGTTTTTGAGGAGATCTTGGCGCGAATTTTGAATTTTATTTTCTGGATTTTTGGCGCGAATTTTGAATTTCATTTTCTGGATTTTTGGCGCGAAATTTGAATTTTCGTTCCAGATTTTTGGCGCGAATTTTGAATTTCATTTTTCGGATTTCTGGCGCGAAATTTGAATATCATTTTCTGGATTTTTGTCGCGAATTTTGAATTTTTTTATTTTCTGAAGATTTTCCGAATCGCTGAATTTTTAATTGGATTTTGAAACAAAATTTTTTTTTGAATTTCCGCTGTAGTTTTCGATTTTCTTCGATTTGTGGAATTCCTCGACTAACTCAAAACCAATAAGAATTCTGATATTGGTGTTTTTTTTGGGTGTGTTTAGATCCGATGTGTAATTTGTCGAATTTTTTTTGGCTTTTCGAATGCGATTTGGTGTCGAATTACCAATTTTCCAACCATTTTTTTTGGCGGCAATTTGAATTTTTTTTTCTGTTGGCGAAATTTGACAAATGAAACGTCGCTCTTCAATTTCCGTCGCAATTTCCATTCGTGTCGAATTTTCGACACCATCCATTCATTTTTGCCTGGCCGGCAATTATTCAACATCGTTTTGTCGTCGTGTCGAAATGAGGCTCGAAAGCCGGCAGGTGATTGCTCGTTGTTCATCGACACATATCGAATTTCGTGGCAATTCTTTGTCCATTTTTCATTTTTTTTTTCTGTCTGGTTGTCGTTTTGGTTCAACGCGAATGAGTGTGAAATCGACGAATATGTTTGATTTCCGCTCGAGGAGTCCCGACCCGCTATTAGTTTTTTTTGGTGCTCGCTGTCGCCTAATCCGCGCTCATCTCATTGATTTTTTCGTCGTCGCCTCATCATAATAATTGTGCTGCGACAAATGCGACGAAGCTCGTCGAGCTCGCGACGCGCGGTACCGTCGCCAACGATGATGATGATGACGACGACGACGAGGCATTCGAATTGCGGCTCGCTTCCGAGTCTGTCGAGTGTGGCGAAGAAGCGCGCGAGAATATTGTCGCGAAAATTCGCCGATTGGGTCAGCCTCAGCATTTGTGAGTTTCGTTTTTTTTTGCCCATCGCCGGAAGAAGAAATAAGGGACCCAGTCCGCTAACAACAGAATGAAGCACCCGGGCTGTGCCCCCCTGGATTGTCAGTAACAGGGACAAACAGAACGGGAACAATTCGGGGCCCTGATGGCAACTGTCTGGTCTCAGTTGAAAGAACATCGCCCCCCCCTTTCCCAAACAACATCCTCGCTTCTTGGGGTGAATTTGATGGTCCCAACGATGTGGGACCATTTGGCTAAACGCTTGAAGGTCGCTGACGGGCCATGGATCGTGGGAATGCTTGTTGAATCGTTATTCTTGTTTGTCAAATTCAAAGGAGCGCGCAGGAAATTAGTTGTGTTAAGGCTCTTGAAGCGAAATGTGAAAGTCATTGTTTTTTGTTGTTGCTAGGTACTGTAGCTCGAATTGTGTGCAAACACCGCGACGCGAAATTGCACCGAATTTGATGGCCTGTGTGGGACGATTTGGGTAAACTCTGGCGGGTGGAAGATGCTCGAAAAAAATTTCTCGACTACTGTAACGCGGAATGTGTGCAAACACCGCGACGCGAAATTGCGCTCAATTGAAAATTTTCCCTTCAACTTCGACATGGATGACATATTGAAAATGTTTCGCGGGTCCGAAAAAAGAAAGATATTGTAGGGCGAATTTTAATTAAAATTTGGGTGGATAATCTCCCTCCCTCCGTCGGTCGTATATTCAATTTTATGCGTTGCATAGTTAGACGCGCATTCATTCATTTCGATTTTTGTTTTCGCTGTTTCTTGTTGTTGTTGTTGTTGTTGTTGTTGTTTTTTCGGAGATTTCCACAATTCTCTAATGCGATTTGTAGTCGGAAATATTGAATTTGTACCTTATAAGGTTCTACTCATATCATGTGCGTGCGTTTTTTTTTGTGGTGAAAATGGCGAAAAATTGGTGATTTTGTGAAAATTACTCATTTTTGGCTCGAATTTTTCACACCAAAAAAAATGCATTTTTTTAAAAGTTTTTAGAGGAAATTTGAAAATTTGCAATTTTCATGAATTTTTCATTTTTGACGCTTCGAAATTGCGTAATAAAGCGGCTTGAAATTTGATTTTTTATGAATTCGCTTCAATTTTTGTCTTAAAATAAATTTGTGCCCTTTTTTTGTGAAAATTTGCAATTTTACATTAATTTTTGCGATTTTGAATCTGAAATTTTCGAAAAAATGCTTTTTTTGATTCTCTGATATTTTTTTTTCCTCTCAACTCCAATTTTCCATTTTTGGGATTAGTATTTGAGCTCGAGAATTTGGTGAAACCAAAATCCGGAATTTCACATCAATTTTTAGTTTTGACACATCAAATTTTTCAATTTTTATTTTGGAAAATTTCCGTTTGCAATTTTTTCCATCAATTTTTGACTTGCATATTAGATTTTCCACTTGTGGAGCTCTAAATTTTAGTTTACCATGTCTTAAAACCAAAATTTTGAAATTTTGCATCAATTTTAAGCCTGGAAACGTTAAATTTATCAATTTTTGAAGCTGAAAATTTTAGTTTGGAATATTTTAAGAACATTTTCAATTTTGGATATTTATATGAGATTTTGAACATTTTGGGGCTATTTTTCGATGTTTTAGAAACAAAATTTGAAAATAATTGCAATATTTCGGCAATTATAAGCTTTTAAATATCAAATTTATCAATTTTTTTGGTGCTGAAAATTTCAGTTTTGAATATTTTGAGAAAAATTTCAATTTTTGATATTTGTATAAGATTTTGAACTTTTTTGGCTTTTTTTTTCGATGTTTTGAAAGTTGAAATTTTTCGTAAATTTCGAGCTTTTAAACGTCAATTTTTTTCAGCTGAAATTTTCAATTTGCTATTTTTTTTTTTCATCAATTTTTGAAATTTTTAATGGATCTTGAACTTGAAGTCCACTGAATTTCAGTTTTTCATTTTTACATTGTTGATAGAAATTGCAATATTTTCGAGAAATGTTGAATTTTTGTCCTCCACCAATTGCCTCCCATATTTGGGCGTATATCAAAAAGCTCAACGAGCCGTCGGGGCCGAGTTGATAACTAATGCAACTCGGTGCATTATTTTTTCTCACGCAAACATCGATTCCGACGTCGTCGGTTTCCGTGTGAGCTCTTCGTAGTTTTATATATAAATATATATTAATTTTTGTGAGCTTTTGCCCCTCACCCTCAACGATTTCTGCAAAAATGAGCAATTTTTTGTTTTTGCACTTTTCGCTTCTTTGTTTTTTTTTGTTGTTGAAAAATAACGCATATTTAATATTGGCAGTGTGTGACAAAGGCATGTTAAATTTCGACTGCATTTTTAAGCGATATCGAGTTTTTGTTTGAAAAAAACCACCACACTTTATTTTTTTTTTTTTGAATGTTGGGCCTTCAAAAATTGTGATTTTGAGAAAATTTTTGAAGCCACAAAATTTTTTTTTCTGAAAATTTGTGGAAATTGTCAAATTTTTCAAAGAATTTGTATTATTTTTTTTTGAATTCAAAAAATCTGCCAATGATTTGCTGAAAATCGCCATTGAAATTTTGAGTTTTCAAAAAGAAAATCGGAAAAATTTGAAATTTTTTTTTGAAAATGCGATTTCTCGGAAATTTTGAAGCGTGTTGTCAAAAAAATTGAAAAAATTGTCAGTTTTTGTGGGAAATTTGTCAAAATTTTGAGATTTTTTAAAATAAAATTTGAAAATAAATAAAAAATTCTTCAATTTTTTGCTGAAAAAGTCGACAATTTGAAAAATTCGTTTGGAAAAAAAATTATTTTTTTGGAAAAATTGTGTGATTTTCGAAGTGAAAATTGAAAAATCGAGAATTTTTGGCAATTTTTTAAAATGCGAAATCTGTAAATGCTGAAAATTTGACGAAAGATTTCGAAAAAACATTTAAAAAAAATAATTTTCTTGGAAAATTCCACCCCCCACGAAATTTTTGGAAAAATTCTGAAAATGATGAGGTCAAAATGGAATTTTTTTTGTCAAATTGAGTTATAATTTTGTTTGATTGGGGAAAAAAATTAGTTTTCTTGGAAAAATGCGAGATTTTCGAATTGAAAATTAAAAAATCGAGAATTTTTTGCAAGTGAAAATCCTTTAAAAAAATTTTGGTGGACGAAGTTTTTGAAAAAAAAAAGAATGCTGAAATTGGTGGCCTCATTTTTTTCGCAGAAAAAAAAATCGAGAGGAATAATTTTGTTTGATTATATACATATAATTAAGCGGCGATTCAAATCATTTTGAGCAGGCGTGAGCTCTCTCGACGAATGTCTCAATTTTCCGCCGTTACTCCGCTCCCAAAAAAAAATTTTTCGGTTAATTGGCTCGATTCAACCAAATATTCGCATATTTTATAACCATATATGCATATTTTATATGTTTTTTTCCCCGTCTTCCACTCCTCTCATTTTCTTTTTATTTCGCCACATTTTCCTTGTTGTTCTTTTTTTTGTTGTTGGTTAATGAACACTCCTTGGAGACAATTGTTCGAAGCGCGACGAAAATGCATACATACACCGATCGGGCGACCGGGAAGGGGGGGGGGTCGCCTTTTTGCTTTTTTTTTTAGAAGATTTTTTGGACCTTGTGCTTTTGTTTGAGAGAAATTGATTAAAAAAATTGGAAAATTTTGACCAAATTGCTGAAAATTTGAAAAATTTTGACGAAATTGTTGAAAATTTGAAAAATTTTGACGAAATTGATGAAAATTTGAAAATGTTTGACGAAATTGTTGAAAATTTGAAAAATTTGAAAATTTTTGACGTAATTGATGGAAATTTGAATTTTTCGACGAATTTGATAAAAATTTGAAAATTTTCGATGAAATTGATGAAAAATTGAAAATTTTCGACCAAATTGTTGAAAATTTGAATTTTTTGAATAAATTGTTGCAAATTTGAAATTTTTTGAGAGAAATAGTTGAATTTTCGATCTTTGATCTCGAAATTCTGGAAAATTTTCCAATTTTTCGTTGTCAAATAAAATTTTTTTCCCATCCAAATTTGCCAAGTTTTTCCCTGCAGAAAATGCTCGTTTGCCGAAATTCGTCGAAAAAAATTTTTTGTTGCTCTGCGCTCACCTGACGCTGAATTCCCATGAGTTGAACCTCCTCATCACCTCTCGTTGATTGTTTCCATATTTGGAGCAAGCATAATTCGAGCTCCGATCACACATCAGCATTCTAGCCAGAAAACAAATTGGACGAGCTCAATTAGGCAGGGGGGCACCGATGATCGTGCCGGTGATCTCATTGGACGTCGATGACGATGACGATGTGGAATCGAGTCAGGAGGCTCGACGCGTCGGCTCGATTCGACGCGTTCGAAGTGTTCGATTGGACGCCGCCGCCGACGGTGTTGGCGTCGAATCGACGACGACATGGCTGAGCCGTTTGGGACGATCGCAATCGTTGCGTCGGCCGAACGCCGCTGAGACGTCGTCGTCGTCGCCGCCGCCACCGTCGTCGCCGACGCCGAGCTTCATCGGCGAATTCTCGCCGATGATTCGAAGCGCGAGTTTGCGTGTGAAGCAGCAGCTCGCGCAGCGGCTCAGCGAGCCGCTTCGCAAAGCCGAAGCGACCGTGTCGCGATTGTTGACGGTTGACGGCGGAGGCGGCGGCGGCGATGATGATTTTCAGCATTATAGCGTTGTTCATGGATGCAATAATAATAATCATGGAGAAGGTTATTGAATCAAATTAGTTAATTAATTAATTTTTGTGTGCAATTGTGCGACGCGGTGTTTGCGGAGTGGATAGAGGGAAGATTTTTGAAGTGACGAGGAAAATCCCAAAATTCCCATTTTTTTTTGCGAATTGAAAAACCCCAATTTTTTCAGCTGAAGACGCTGGATCGTCGAGCGATGAGGATGATCCCGAATATTTGGAGCTCATGGAGCGCGATTCGATTATTAATCGATATGAGAAGGTTGGAATTGTGTTGAATGCCATTCGCATATAATATGATTCTAGGGACCCGAAGGTGTCGATGTTGACGCGTGGGAGAATCCGGATTTCGAAGTCTACACGAAAATGGATCGTTTCGGATTTGTGCAGTAAATCGATTAGAATTTGATTCCACTCGGTTTTTTGGATGTTTTTTTTTTGTTCCCATTTCAGCAAAGAGGGCGACAACGTTGGCGAATCGGGCGATCTTCAGCGGCGGCGTGTGTTCAAAGAATTGAGTCGCGAGAAAAAATGGCTGAAAATGATCGAGGTGTGGAAGTCGGGTGGTCCGTCGAAAAAAATGGAGGATCGCATCTGGAAAGGTGTGCCGGAGAAGTTGCGCATCGTCGTGTGGCCGCGGCTGCTCGGCGGCGAGCGAATGCGCGTTGAGAAGAAGGACGTCTATTCGGAGTTGGTGCTTCGCGCGCGACTCGTCTCCAAAGACATCAAACAAATCGATTTGGACATCAATCGCACCTATCGCGATCATTTGGCGTTCAGGAAGCGATACGATGTGAAGTGAGCAAATTTGGGGCGGATGATTCAAGTGGGTCATCGTCGTCTTGTTGCAGACAAAAATCGCTTCTCAACGTTCTCGCCGCCTACTCGATGTACAACACCGAGGTTGGCTATTGTCAAGGGATGAGCCAGATCGCCGCGCTCTTCCTGATGTACTTGGACGAGGAGGACGCGTTCTGGTGCCTCCATCAGTTGATGGTGAGCCCGAAGCACACGATGCACGGATTCTTTGTGCCGGGTTTTCCGAAACTTCAACGATTCGAAGAGCACTTCAAAACGGTGCTCAAAAAGTACAAGCCGAGAGTTTATAAGCATTTGGTGGGTGACTTATTTTTTTTTGTTGGTCTAATGAAAAAAAATTTTGAAAAAATCAATTTTTTTTTTCTTTTGAATTCCCCCCTGTTATATCGTATCCCTTCTCTATTAAAGGTGCACGCGAAAAGTTGCGGCGGGTCACGTCGTGATGTCGGTACTGTCATTATTTATTTCTTATTATGCATGCTATTTTTCCGTTTTCTTTTTCGAAAAATTTACAAAACGAAATGAATAACGGATTGAATCATGATGAAAAAATTGCCAATTATCCCATTTAGATACCAATTATCATGAGAAATAGTGACTTTGATCGATGACGCTTCTGATGAAGCTTTAGCGTTGATTAAACAAAATACTTTTACAGATTTCCAAAAAAAAAACGCTTGAAACGCTCAAAAAATAAATAATTCGAAAAATACAGTACCGACTTCGCGACGTGACCCGCCGCAACTTTTCGCGTGCGCCTTTAAAAATAAATAGCGAAGGGTTACGATATATCGCGTCAATATTTTTTGTAATTTTCGAATTTCAATGAAAAAATTGATTTAAAAAATTTTTTTTCATTACTTGAATTGGTCCATAATGATAGTGTGTCTAGGAGAAGCAGGATATTCCGTACATCTATCTGACGAAATGGTGGTTCGGATGCTTTTTGGATCGGGTGCCGTTCTCATTGGCGTTGCGACTCTGGGACGTGTTTCTGGTGGAGGGCGATCCGATTCTGATAGCGATGTCGTTGAATATCATGAAAATGCATGAAAGTGGGAACATTTGTTTTTTTTTTGTTGTTATTCCTTCTTTTTTTTGCAGAAACCATACGAAAATTATCGATGGAGACATTTATGGAGTTTATTCAGAATGATATTGCCAACAATTTTGGGTATTCGGACGATGAGACGATGCATTCGTTGAGGGAGACACTGTCGAAATTGAAGGTTGGTTGTTGTTTTTTTTTTTGACAGATTTTTGCGTTGGCTTCAAATAATGTGTCGATTTCGCGTCGAGACCAATTTTCTCAATGTGTTTTTTCTTTCTTTTTCTTTGGCATCTGAATTTTCCAGACGAGATTATTTTTCTGGGTATTTTGGTTTGGGTTGGGTGCTTGTGGGCGCCGACATTATTATCATTGGCGTTTAGCGACTTCCATGACAGGCGAAAATGGTTTAGTGGTACAGTTGGTTGTTTGTAGGATTGAGTCCTTGGTTCGCTCCCCCCTCACCGTTCTCGCGGGTTTTGCAAATTCTGGTGACGCTAAAAATATCGATTTTATTTATTCATTTGTTTTTCAAAATTGTTTCTGAGCGACAGAATCATTTTAAGCAACAAAAAAACCACAAATTGAAGAAAAACGAATTGCAGAGCGATCGACAACACGTGCCGCCGCCGCCGCGTGCCGACGATCTTGCCGAAGTGCCGACGAAGGCGCTCGGGCCGATTCTTCAGAAGCCGATGGCTACGATTCGCGAGGAGATTCACGAGATTCAATCGCGTCGAAGTCGTGCGAATTGTGAGTTGTTCGATAAATCGGCGTACGAGAGACATTATCGTTATTATCTGGCGAGATACTCGCGGCGATTCGGCGTCGAGAAATGAGCGACTCGAAATTTCCTAGTGCTTCTCATCTTTTTCTTTTTTTTTGTTTGTTGTTGAAAATAAAAATCAATAATTGGTTTTGGGTGGAGATTTTCTCATTTTTTTAGCCACCGGCCGATCGCCGTATCCGAAACGGAAAGAGGTGCCGAAGGGAGCTGGACCACCTCCGGTCACCCATAAATGGAACGAGCAAGAGGTGCCGTTTGAGGTAGTGATTTTGAGACAGATGATCCCATTTCTGGTTTTCATTGAATTCAGATTCCGACGCGACGAGTCAGCGGTTCATCGCCATCGAACTCTGCAAGTAGGTTAGTGCCCTTTGTTGCGAGTGTCGAGTTTTCAAAAAAAAAAAGAAAATCGAAATGCTGGTGTTTCAGATCTCGCAACTATCATCACGGTGCGTCTCGTGAATCGGCGACAGCGACGCCGACAATGCAACGTCTTCGAGACGATCGAAATGGACAAATGGTCCTATTGAGTCGCGCCAGCGATTCGGATGGCGATGGAAGCTCGCCGACACAAGGTGGCGTTTGGGTTTTTTTTTGTTCCTTTGGAATTGTGTGCAATTTTGCGTCGTTGCTTGCGGACCACACTGTTGGTGGAGATTTACGCGCGTGCGCCTTGAAAAGGGTCTCGCCACGCGAATTTTTCGCGAACGTGATTCGATTTCAAAAATGAGGCGTTTCGTCGTCGCGAGACCAAGAGAAAGACGCATCACTCTCGTAAATCTATATGCGATTGTCGAAATCGCTCGAATTTCGTGAATTTGTGGAATTCTCGCAAATTGTTTTCGGCGGTTTTTTTTTTGATTAATTGCACAGAAATTAAAAATTGGCTAGAAGCCAAAAAAGATTTTCGAGAAGAGGTCTTGGTGCGCGCCTTTAATCTATCTATCCCAATGCCATGGGCTCGTAAATCTACACCATCGGAAATTTCGGCTATATAAAAAAAATAAAAATTGCGAAGTCCGCAAACACCGCGCAAATGCACACTTTTCGAATATTGCGTACTCTTGCAGCGTTGCTCTTTCTCAACGCGGCCGGACCATTGAAAAAAAAACGTAAAAACAATTGAATGGCTCATTTGAAATGTTAGATTTGAATATGTTCCGAATCAGAATGAAAAAAAAAAGAAAATTAATTTCGCCAAAAAAACTGGAATTCGCATTATTCGGTGTTTGCAGACTTTTTTTCCCCGGGTAATTAAATTACAATGAGTAGATAGCAGGGTTGTGAAAATTCGGAAAATTGACAAAAATTTAAATTTTAACGAAAATTCGAAATAAAAATTGCGAATTTTCACGAAATCCCGAATTGTTCGATGGACATTGATTTTTGTTTCGTCGATTTGTTTTTTTTTTTTTTGAAATCAAAATTGTCGAAAATCAAAATTTTGGCAATTTCGGCAATCTGAAAAATCGGCAATTTCGGCAATCTGAAAAAATCGGCAATTTTGGCAATTTCGACAATCTGAAAAATCGGCAATTGTCGAAAAATCGAAATTTTGGCAAATTCGGTAATCTGAAAAATCGGAAATTGTCAAAAAATCGAAATTTTGGCAAATTCGGTAATCTGAAAAATCGGCAATCTGAAAAAATCGGCAATTTCGGCAATCTGAAAAATCGGCAATTGTCGAAAAATCGAAATTTTGGCAAATTCGGTAATCTGAAAAATCGGCAATTTCGACAATCTGAAAAATCGGCAATTGTCGAAAAATCGAAATTTTGGCAAATTCGGTAATCTGAAAAATCGGCAATTGTCAAAAAATCGAAATTTTGGCAAATTCGGTAATCTGAAAAATCGGCAATCTGAAAAAATCGGCAATTTCGGCAATCTGAAAAATCGGCAATTGTCGAAAAATCGAAATTTTGGCAAATTCGGTAATCTGAAAAATCGGCAATTTCGACAATCTGAAAAATCGGCAATTGTCGAAAAATCGAAATTTTGGCAAATTCGGTAATCTGAAAAATCGGCAATCTGAAAAAATCGGCAATTTCGGCAATCTGAAAAATCTGCAATTTCGGCAATCTGAAAAAATCGGCAATTTTGGCAATTTCGACAATCTGAAAAATCGGCAATTGTCGAAAAATCAAAATTTTGGCAATTTCGGAAATTTGAAAAATCGGCAATCTGAAAAAATCGGCAATTTCGGCAATCTGAAAAATCTACGCGTATAGTTTTGCGTCGAGAGAGACCGCTTTCATTGGTTTTGTGTGTTTCGAAAACGAATTTTGCAGACCAATGGCAACATCAGCGAAATGAGTCGAAAGTCAGCGTGGCGTCGTCGAGAATAACGCACGCGCCGAATCACGTGACAAGAATCGAGCTCGATGGCGATGTGTCGGTGATTTAGCGAAATTATCAGTTTTAAATTATTGTCGAAATGATTCTTTCTTTTTTTTTTAAATATTGTTTTGAATTCTACGTGTAATTAATATGTGCTCGCGACGATTTTCGTTTTTTTTTTCTCTTCTCTCATAATTGCAAATTTTAATTGAAAGCATCAATTCTTGTGATTTTTAGGCGAAAATTCTATGTTGAATAAATTGATTTAAGTTTATTTTTAAATTATTTAAGCATTTAGTTGGTGTTGCTTCTAAATGAATTATTTTCTTTTTGCGGGACCATCGATTTATCGCAATTTCCCCTCAGATTCGCAAGTGCACAATGCCAAGTTCTCTTCTTTTTTTTTTGAGAGAAGAGAACCAGGAAGTTGATTGGCAAACGGAAATATTTGAGAAAAAAAAGAAGATTGTTTCGAAAACACAAAAAAAGATCCGCGTTTGTCTGCAAACACGTTGACGCAGAATTGCACACGACTTGATTTATGCTTTGCTCAACAACAACAACGAAAAGTATTATTGAGATTTGCCGAATTGCGCATAGACTGGATAGACATGACCACCGTGCCATTTCGTCGCCTCGCCGTCGTCAAGCAGACCGCGTCCATAATTCGGTAGGGCGTACGAATCGGCGTGTTTGAAGCTCACCGATTTCGTTGGAATCGTGCCAATCGTCACCGGAATTCGACACATCAGTTTGTCTTGAAGAAAACTGTCGAATTTGACGTAGACCTTGAATTCAATGACGATCGTTGAAGCTTGATTGGAAGTCGACGTACCCTGACGTACCACTCGATATAAGCGAATGGCACAATTCCGAGCTTCATCGTTGGCGCGTCGCCGGCTTTGCTCGACATTATCTCGAGATGAAGCGTCTGCTTTTCGAGTTTGCCTTCGTCGCTGGATGGCTGCAATGCGTTTCTCTGTGTTTTTTTGTTGCCGTGCATTGCCAAACCTCGAACAGTCTCGCTGCTTGCGCGTTGTCAGAAGTGTGCACCTTGACGTTGGCATCGGTCGGTTTGAGAGGCGCATCGCCGACGCCGAAAACTCGGCCGTTTCTCACCGTCAAAAAATTGGTGTAGATCGCGAGCTCGCCGAACACCTTATCGATTTTGTACGAGCTGTGATTCTCGAGTGGCGCGTTGAGGCGAATCGGCTCGCCGAGCACGTAGCCGGTCTTTGGAAGCGACATCTGCGATCATGGATTATTGTTTGGCCCAAAACCCCCCGAAAAAAAAAACGCACCTTAATATTGAAATCGGATTTTTTGATGAGGCCGACTTTCAGCTTACACTCGACGCTCGCCGGCTTCTCATACGAGCCATCGTTGCTCAAATCGACATCGGCGACGACTAAACATTGGATTCGATTAATTTTGACCTCAAAAATCAAACCCGCCGGTGACTTTCCACGAATGGCTAAAAGTTTCGCCATTTTGGTGAACTCCGCTGATTTGGAGATAGTGGCGAATCGCGTTGTTTCCGTATTCGTACGACGTCGGAATGTGTTTCGGAAGTTTGAGCGAGAACTTGAAGTCGTGCGTTCCCTCGCCTAGCGGCTTCTGCAAGCATTTAAAAAAAATTGCAGAATTCGCGTTGAATCAAATGTGTGCAAAAGTGCGTCAGTGTGAATACACAATCACCTTGTCCGAATAGAGCGTCTTCTCCTCTTCGAAATATTTGATGTAGACGCGATCCTTGATTTTTTTGTCGTCGATGTCGACCGCGCGAGCATCGCCAATCAATTTGAGTTGTACATTAGTGATATCCTAAAATAGTAAATTCCAAAACAATTATTGATTTGAATCAAAAATCGCTTACTGGCTTGTCATTATAGAAATGCGCGGTTCCTTTTACGGTCTCGCCGGGCTGAAATACGTTGCCATTTGGTTTGCCGTCGAAACTGAAGTCGAGACGGTAGATTTCGGATGAGGCGAGTCCGACTAGATAGAGGAGATGAAGGTAGCGCCACATTTTGGAAAATGAGACGAAAACGATTGAGTGGCGAACGACGCGGAAGTTGGCCGACGGGTATCACAGCCGATCTTTGACCGGCTGTGACCTTTTCTCTCGATTTTCTTTTTGTTTTACTCAATTTTCACGAAAAGATGTTGAAAATCAAAAAAATAAATTAAAAAATACAATCGAAGGTTACTGTAGTGCGCGTTGTGTGTAAGCACCACAACGAAACATCACACCACAACGTTTTGTTTTTCAAAAGTTAGCCAGGTAATTTTTTTTATTTTTTCACTAATATAATAAAAATAGATGTGAAATCAATTCTGCGCATTTGAGTTTTGAGCTAGGCGCGAATTTTAGCAGCAATGATTTAAAAAAAACTGTTCCAAATAATTAATCCACATTTAAACATAATCAATTTATTTAGCAAAATTATGGATTGTTCAAAGTAGATATATATATAAATACAATGATCCAATAAAATTTAGAATGGTCCGAACCACAGTTTTTATAAGCAAGTCACTGAAATTGACAGAAATCGCAAAATGAATGAACTTTTTCGCAGAGAAAAATTGTGTGCATTATTGCGTCATTCTGCATCGCGTATAATCATTGTACACCGTATCGCAAAACGTCGAATTCTTATCAATCAGCTCGGGTTCTTTTTTTTTCGAAATAGCATCTTATCTCTGATAACGCCGTGTAGTAATGCGCTCAGTGCTCGATCCAACTGTTCCCCAAAATCGATACCTTCGACGAGGCGACAACGGCTTTCTAATCGCGCAAAACGTGTTCAAATTGTAAGTGCAACATTTTCAGAAGCGAAAAAAAGAGTGTCGGTCCGCAATCAATCGCCATCGGTGTTTGCACAATTTCATCAAACAATCAATTCGAGAATCGTTTCTTCTTGTCGCATCCACTCACAGCCGCCCCCCCCCACCCTCAGTTTCCAAATTCGGCATGGCTTGAAGGCGAAGAGAAAACGAGCGACACACGCATTCACCCATCGACACACGCCCGCGCACTCTCAATTCTCTGTCTCTCTCGCACCCTCCAAATATGGAGATGTGCTCCCCGCGAAAATGGGCCATTTTTGCAAAGAATCGACACCCATAATCCTTCTCATTGCCTTTTAAACCGTTATTTTCCCGATTTTGTTTTCGTTTTGAAACATTTCAAGTCGACTCACTCAATTTTCTCGTTTTTTGCCCAGGTTCGAGGAGATGGCGCTTCGCAAAGTGCGAAGCAATATCGATCGGATATTCGATAAAAGTCTGACGGACCTAATACGCGGCATTCGGAATAATAAAGACAATGAGGTAAAAAAAAAGCAAAATTTAATAAAATTTCCAAAAAAAAAAAATAAATTCTAGGCTCGCTATATCGCCAATTGCATCGAGGAAATCAAACAAGAGCTTCGACAAGAGTCAATTTATATCAAAGCGAACGCCATTGAGAAGCTCGCCTATGTAACATTGCTACGGTTTTGTCGTTTTGTGCGTCATCCAATATTTCAGCTTCAAATGCTCGGCTATGATATCTCATGGGCCTCATTCAACGTCATCGAGGTGATGGCTTCGACGAAATACACCGAAAAGCGTATCGGCTATCTTGCGGCGGCGCAAAGTTTTCACGACGAGACCGAGGTGCTCATGCTCACCACCAACCTTATCCGAAAAGACATTAATAGGTAGGTATTATTGGGCGGTTTTTTTTGGTCTCAGGTAAATCGAATAAAATATTTTGAGATTCTATGAGAAACTAACGTGTCTCTATAATATTTTCGAATTTTCTCAATCAATTTTAGAAATTATTATAAGATTTTAGAATTTATTGAGATAATTTTGAATTTGCTCATTAAATTTTAGAAAATATTAAATTATTTTAAAAAATATTTTAAAGTTTAGCGAGTCTCAATAAGTTTTTAGAAAACATCCATAAACTTTAGATTTTCTCAAAAAATTTTAGAGTTTATTATTGAATATTTGATTCTCAAAATATTTTATTTGATTTGCTTGCGACGATCGTTGCGAGACCCAGCCATTTAATTTTCTTTAAACTCTCTTCACAATTTTCGGAGCGCACAGTGTCTCGCAGCGATCAACGCATTGATTATTGATATTCAAGCGACTTGACGAAATTAAAAAAATTATTGGCTACGTGCCAATGCGTCTTGAGGCAGCGGGAGATTGCGTACATTGCATTATAACGTACGCGCATTTAAAATTCAGTCAACCATAAATTTAAATCTACACAAATTTTGCGAATTTGAAGACCGCGCCTCCATTCAGCCATTTCTCTGGTAAATGATTCCGAGTCGTATACGAAGAAAGCTCAATCGTATACGCTGATATCGCTCTTCAAACGCGGCCAAATACGATTGGGATTTCTTAATATACGATTGGCATTTCTTCGTATACGATTATAATTCTTCGTATATGATTGTGATTTCTTCGTATACGACTATAATTCTTCATATACGGTAACGATTTTTTCGTATTCGATTGGGATTTTTTCGTATTCGATTGAGATTTTTTCGTATTCGATTGAGATTTTTTTCGTATACCATTTCACTTTACACTACTCGTTTGGCATTTTAACGCTTTTATATGATGTAAAGATTTCTATACCTGTTTATTTAAAAAAAATATGAAAGACAAAAAAATGAAAAAGAAAAAGGAATAAATTAATTAATTTTGGTTGGCGCATCAACCATTTTTTTCCACTGCTCGCGCTTTCGATCGTGAATTGTTTCTGAATTAAGTTCATTTGAATGATTAATCATGAGGCAGTCTTCGGCATGTGCAGATTTGGAGAAAAACGCGAAAAATCTGATTAAGACTAGTTTAGCCGAATCTTTATAATGTTGTCGAGTTTCTTTAAAAGGTTTTTACTGCGTTTCTTTTCAAAATCTGCATAGGCCCACTAAAAAAGTGAAAACTCACAGGAGATAGGTCATATGACCGTGTACCAAATAGGAGATTGTAGAATTCGCCGTTTCGTCAGCCATTCCAGCGATGGTAACCGTCTTTTGTAAAACAGCTGAAATTAATTGCTTCCCATTGGCCTAAAGCGAAATAATTTCAAATATATGCAAAAACGGTAACAACCTCTCGACGTAATGACTCTTTGCAAGTTGTCACAGCTCGACATTGACACAAAATCTTCTTCCGCGCAAGTGAGCTCATCTTCAGACGATTCTATAGAATCTATAGAAATTAAATCTTGCTCTGTTTTTACTTTTAGTTATACCTGATGTTAAGTTTCTCTATTTTCTGAAAATAGTTATTTTCTTCATTTTTTCTGTTGTTATCACCTGTTTCTGTCTCGTTCCGATATTCCCTATATATTTTTTTCCATGATATCTCGTGTGGTGTAACGATATCGCTTTCGATATGCAAATAGTTTTGAATTTTGCGACATATCTACAAAGAAAATATAGATTTCTTAGAGCGGAGCCAGTAAAATGCACGATTTTTTTGGAAAGTATATATATTAAAACGCAATATACGCATAAAAATCGAATATGAAAAAATTCGAAAATTTTCGAAAATTGTTTTTCGAATTTAGACGTCAATTTTAATGCATGTCCGCAGTGTATCATTGTGGTGGTTACACTACTGTGATAAAATCCAAATCGTATACGATCCTTGCAATAACGTATACGACGAGGAAATGCGGATGTTTCGTATACGATTACAAACCATTCATCAGAATCGTATACGATCCTATACGATTCACATTAACTTATACGATTACCATTAACGTATACGATTTTAATTTTATCTTATACGATGAAGAAATTCGCTTTTTTCGTATACGACTAGGAATCATTTACCAGAGTTTACGCTGACAATAACATTTTTTTTAAATATTAAGAAATCGAAAAAAACCATTTAATATTCTCTCAGCGCGTAAATCTACCCGCTCGTAAATCTACACTGATTACGATATTCTGAAGGCCACGCACCCATCAAGTCGTTTGACGCCGACAATATATATATATATGAATTCTCAATTTTCAGCTCAAATATGTACGAGTCGGGAATTGCGCTCGGCGGCCTCTCATGCTTCGTCACGCCCGATTTGGCTCGCGATCTCGCCGCCGACGTCGTCAATTTGGTAATTGTTGATTTTGTCGAATGTTCTTGAGAAACCCATCCTACAGTTGGCCTCGTCGCGACCGTACACCCGAAAACGCGCCGTTCTGTTGCTCTACAAGATTTTTCTCAAATATCCGGACGCGTTGCGGCCGACGTTTCCGCGCCTCAAAGAGAAACTCGATGATCCCGATCCAGGTATTTCTTTTGTTTTTTTGGTGTATTGCATTAAATTAATTTTTTTCGCAGGTGTTCAAAGCGCCGCGGTGAACGTGATATGCGAGTTGGCGCGAAAAAATCCGAAAAATTATTTAACACTGGCGCCAATGTTCTTCAAATTGATGACGACATCAAGCAATAATTGGATGCTGATCAAAATAATTAAATTGGTAATTAATTAATTATATAATAATTCCAATTTGTTAGTTATTTAGTTCGGCGCTCTTGTTCCATTGGAGCCGCGTCTTGGCAAAAAACTTCTCGAGCCTCTCACGAATCTGATCAATTCGACGTCAGCGATGTCGCTTCTTTACGAATGCATTAATACTGTGATCGCAGGTGGGCCTATGAATGGACCACTAAAATCAATAATCATATTTGCAGTCCTTATTAGTATATCGGCCGGCGGCGATCATACGGCCAGCATTCAGCTGTGCGTTCAAAAACTCGGCGTTCTCATTGAAGACTCGGATCAGAATTTGAAATATCTCGGATTGTTGGCGATGGGCAAAATTCTCAAAACTCATCCGAAAGCCGTCCAAGCGCACAAGGACATCGTTTTGCGATGTCTCGATGACAAGGACGAGAGTATTCGCCTACGCTCGCTCGACCTTCTCTACGGGATGGTGTCGAAGAAGAACATCGTCGAGATCGTCAAAAAGCTCATGGAGCACGTCGACGCCGCCGAAGGCTCGCACTATCGCGACGAGCTTCTCAGTCGCATCATCGGCATTTGCAGCTACAACAATTATCAATACATCACCAATTTCGAGTGGTACATTTCGGTGCTCGTCGAGTTGACGAAAGTCGAAGGCACGAAACACGGCGCGCGAATCGCCGAGCAGGTTGTTGCCCCACCCCCGTGGAAACACTAACCGGTCGACCCATTATTCATTGTTTTTTTTTTCCAGATTCAAGACGTCACCGTTCGCGTCGAATCGATTCGCCATTTTTCCGTCTCGCAAATGGCGTTGCTCGTCGAGAACGCGCATATTTTATTGGCGGGAAGCGCGCAACAACGGAGCAATTTGTGCGAAGTGCTTCTAGCGGCCGCTTGGATTTGCGGCGAATACAGCCAGTACGTTTTAACCGCGCAAAAATTGCTTACAAGGGAGGTCATTTTGCTGTCCGTCTTAAAATTTTTTTATTTTTTGCATACAGATTTTTTAGAAAATTTCCAATCGAATGAACTAGGTCTCTACCTGCGCAAACTTCTAGTTATCGAGATATGGACCTTCAAAGTTTTAGCCCCTCCCCACGTGAATTTTGCACACAAATGTGCGGAAACTCGAAATGAAATAGCGTGATGTCTTATCTCGCGCTTTTATCCTGATTCAGCGAGCAGTTGTGGTTCAGCGGTGTGTAGGTTATGTTGTCATGAATGGAGTTGCGGATTCGGTCCCGCTATCTGTAAACTTTTTTGCGTATTTTTTTAATAGGTGATACAGTAATTATGACAGTGCAATATTGCGTTTTTCTATTCAAATTTGCCATTTTCATCATATTGAAAGGGTATGTATAAGAAAAAAATAGTTTCAAAAAAATTTAAAAAAATTGAAAAATTTTTTATAAGTTATATGGATGTTGATCATAAAATGCTTGGAGCAGTGGTTGTCACAATAGAAGACTTCAATAAAAGATTTTCACTAGCTGTCTAACTGTCCTGGAGCAATTTTTGAATCGTTTTTTCTGGGTGACATATTTGACCGTATTCTGTCATAACAAAGGATTTGATGAGAAGGTTTCCCCAAGAAGTTGTGTTCCAGAGTTCTCGAAACAACAAGTTGAAGACCGAAACAATTCCTGTCGGTTGCACCGGTTTCGTACAACTTCGGACGTCGAAGTTTTTGCGAGCAGGAAATGCAGTCTTCTATTGTGACAACCACGGCTCCAAGCATTTCATGATCAACAACCATATAACTTATAAAAAATTTTTCAATTTTTGAAACTATTTTTTTCTTATACATACCCTTTCAATATGATGAAAATGGCAAATTTGAATAGAAAAACGCAAAATTGCACTGTCATAATTACTGTATCACCTATTAAAAAAAATACGCAAAAACGTTTACAAATAGCGGGGCCGAATCCGCAACTCCATTCATGACAACATAACCTACACACCGCTGAACCACAACTGCTTGCTGAATCAGGATAAAAGCGCGAGATAAGACATCACGCTATTTCATTTCGAGTTTCCGCACATTTGTGTGCAAAATTCACGTGGGGAGGGGCTAAAACTTTGAAGGTCCATATCTCGATAACTAGAAGTTTGCGCAGGTAGAGACCTAGTTCATTCGATTGAAAATTTTCTAAAGAATGTGTATGCAAAAAATAAAAAAATTTTAAGACGGACAGCAAAATGACCTCCCTTGTTAAGAAATAGTGGTGGCCGTGGCCGACGAAAAAAAAAACTAGGCCGCCACCGTTTTTTGACAATTTTTTTTGGAATTTTAAATCAATTTTGAATGTTAGACACGTTCGAAATGTGCAAAGTGTATTGGAATCGATGCTTCGCGCCAAGACCACCGTCATGCCCGGTCACATTCTTTCCGTCTACGTGCAAAACATTGGCAAACTCTATTCGGCGCTTCTGAGCCAAGCAGAAGAGGTACAAGCAAAAAAAAAATTGGCCTGTTCTGCTTTTGTAAAAAGTGAAATCGTTTTCAGGAGGACGATTGGGACGCGATCGAGAGTCTCGACAATTTGATGTTGTCGAAATTGCCGCAATTCGAGCTCGCCGAACATCTTGAGGCTCAAGAGCGCGCGTGCACGCTGATGTCGATCATCAAAATTGTCGAATCGATGCATCAGCAACGCCAAAAAATGGGACAAGAGGTGAGAAAATCGCGATTTATTTCATTGTTCATAATCCAAATATGGCCTCATCATACGAATAATTTCAATTTCGGGTTTTCCGCCGCCGCGCTTCTCACATTCCCTCGGGTTTCTCAAGTAAGCGCAAAAGCTGCGAATCCACGAGTCCGACGGTGTCGGCGGCACGTCGGGACCAAACATCATAAAAGCTCTGAACGCCTTGATGGTCCGTTGATAGTCGTCAAATGTGAGCGAATTGAACTCCGACGATCCGATGAGATCCAAAACGCCGGTGAAACGTGTCGCCGCCATCGCCACCAGTGTTCCGCTGTTCGTCGCGTCGCGCAATCTATAATTGACGTCGTGATAATTGCGGACGACGCAGACGTGCTCGATGTAGAGCGGATAGCCGTCGGTGAAGTCGACGCGCGACACCAACGCGTCGGTGACTCGCTCGGCGCACTCGTCGCGATTCCGACCGCTCGGATCGTAGATGTAGAGTGTGGCGAGATTGGCCTCGAATCGCGCCAACACCCAATTATCGTCGCATTGCATCGCGTAGATGATCGTCCGCGTTTGAAGGTAGTGAATCGGAATCGATGTTGTTGGAAGAGCTCTGAGAGAAATCGGCGTCGTATTGGAGGAAGAAGAAGAAGCTCAAAAATTACCCGATCTCTAAATCTGCCGATTTCGCCAGTAAACGATCAAGAAAGATTCCCATATTCTCGGTGGTGATCTCCAGCGACGAATCAAGCACGTCCTTGTGATCCTCGTACCATTTCAAGAACGATCCATCACTAGCCTCCTCGAGTGTCTGAAAATCGGCGTTGAATTTTTTTTTTTGAAATACCCGAAACGCGTCAACCTCATTGTTGTTGCCGTTTCTCGAGTATCGTCGAAGATCGCGTGGATTGTCGAGAATCAACTCGAGCCGACGCCCGTCGCCTCGACAACGATTCGATGCGCCGGGCGTCGGCGCGTCGTCGGTCGCCTCCCAAATCGGCATCGCCGTTCGCGCCGCCTCTTTGCGAAATTTTCGATAGGCGACACGAGCGACTGGTATCGCGAAACATCGACTCGCCGACGGCGTCGCATAAATCAACACGTGACGATTGAACATTGCTGATAGCGCTTCGAGGGACGTCGTCGTTTGGCGATTTCGACGACGATGCACGCGTGCGTCGACGAACACGGCAATATCTTGAATGTGTTGCGAGATCGCCTTCAACTCAACCGACGGCCTTCGAATCGCCCTTCCGTGCATGTCGAGTATCAAACCGGTCGTGTACTTGGCGGCCATTTTCTGGCGTGCGCCGTAATCGTCGAATCGCATTAGAACGTAGACGTGATAGGTGTCGGCGTGCGTCGATTGGATCGTCGTCCACGCCTGACCGACGGATCGCTTCCGAAGGACAAAATCGGTTCTGAATGTCTTAAAGATGTTGTAGATTAAGACAAGACAACACCTACGTGTAGTTCTCCACCTTGTTCTGAGCGCTGATCACAAAGTAGGGATGATAGGCGGGACGTGTTTGGCTGGCGTTGAGAAGCACAGACACCTGAAAATAGACGTTCATTGGACGAATCGCTCGACTCAACCCACCTCATCGGGTTTGTTGGTCCGTGCCCATCTACACGGCACACTATCCACACCACAATCGATGTATGCTCGAACCAGAGGCATGTCGGAGTTTGAGCCAATCGGCGCCTCAATCACCATCAGCGCGTAATTGGCCAAATCGGTCTTGGGCATTCGAATGTCGACGCATTCCGACGGCAGCGCGATCTTGACAAACGACGACGCATGCCGATGCGATCGACCGAATGTGTCGATGCCGCGAATCTCGCTGATGAATGCGTGACAATCGAAATCGATGGGAATCGCGTTGGCAGCGGCGGCGGCGACGAGAAGCAATAACTCAAATCGCATGCCCCTGCGAAGATGCCGACGGGAGGTCAGCGGACACAAAAGTGATTGGCGTCGTGTGAGCTCTCCCCACGACCCCCCCCCCTTTCCCGAGCCGACTCGCTCGGAACACATGGCCATATTACACAATTTTTGCGGCGTCGGCGTAAAAAGTTCAACACATTGTCCTAAATAAATGCAAAAAAGAAATGGCCGAGAAGTTTCGCGATTGTTGTAAAAATGTTGTTGTTGTTGTTGCAGTTCGCCAAACTTTACGACGGCGAATTGAATCCGGTGGCGCAGAAGGCGCAACGCAAAGTGCCGATACCCGACGGACTCGATCTCGATTCGTGGATCGGCGACGAATGGGTCTCGTCGGCCGATGAGTCGTCCGACGATTCCGACGTCGAAGCGACGTTTGGACAGGTAAAAAACAAATTCCGATTCGATGTCGATTCCATTTGGTTGCATTTCAGCCGGTGCATCGGCCGCACATTGGCGGCGGCGGCGGCGGCGACGAGCAGATGTTTGAGAATGCCGACGAGGCGGCGCCGACGGAGAAGCGCAAAAGCAAAAAGGTCGACGCGCACGAGCTCACGCCTCAACAAATCGAAGCCAAACGGAAGCAGCGAGAAGCTGAAATTGAGAACAATCCCTACTATGTCAAAGGAAGCGCTCAGCAGCCGAAGCGGCCGAAGAAATTTGGGAATGTGATCGAAAAAGTCGAAGAGGCGGCCGACATTCAAAGTCCACTGGAGATTCCCGGCGTCGTTGGGCTTCATCGCTACATGGAGCAGCAGGATTCGACGTTGAGCTGGAAGAAGGCCAACGAGGAGAAGACGACGAAGAAGGCGAAGAAGGGCAAAAAGGGCAAGAAGAGCAAGAGGCGGACGACGAGCACCAGCAGCGAGGAGGAGGACGCGATCAGCCATAAGGTGAATCGCGCCGACGGCGAGATGCCCGAAGGTGCGCGATCGACCGACGATGAGGATAGCACGGTGAGATCTGAATGCAATGAATGTCGACGGATGTTTTTTGTTTTGTTTTTAGAATCAAACGATCAATGAGTTCAAGGCGCTCGACATCGATCTCGACGCGCCACTTCGTCCCGATGAGGTCGTCAAAGCGCCGCAAGCGTACTCGCGAACGTATCCGTCGAAACCGGGACCATTGGTGCCGAGACCGCCGACGACGTTTGAGCCGAAACCGCCAACGGCGTACAACGCGCCCGAAGTTGGTGGCGTCGAGAAGGCGAAGACGAAAAAGAAGAAGACGACGACGACGTCGAAAAAGGTGACGAAGACGGAGAAGGAGGGGCCGAGTGAAAAGAAGATCAAAAAGAAGAAGAGCGCGAAAGATTCTTTGATAATGCAGAATCAGTCGACGTCGTCGAAATCGAATTTGTTCAATATGGATGATTGGTTGGATGAGAAGGCGACAGTTGTAAGATTTTCGTTGGGGGGGGGAGAAACTGAAACTGAATTTTTTCAGTCGGAAAAGAAGACGAAAAAATCGCGGAAGAGTCGAGAGGCGTACGAGGAGACGTCGGGCGTCTGCACGCCGTCGATTCCGGTGCAAAACGTCGTCGACGAATTCACGCGACTCGGCGGCAACAAGACGATCAGTCTGGTAATCAGGAATTCGTTTTTTTTTTGTTTCACGTCTTCGACACTTTAGGCGATTCTCCCGCGCGCCAGCACCGACGCCATGGAGCAGGGACGAGTGACGATTCTCGTGAACGTCCAGAATCTCGGAAGCGCGAGACTCGAGAGAGTCGAGCTTAGCATGGTGGACACGCTGAGCGCGAATGTGTTGAAGAGCGATCGCGACGCGCTCGCGTTGTGCTCGTCGCTCGACGCTCACGCCGGCGTCGACACGTCGTTCGAGATTCGCGTGCAGTCGATTGGAGCGTCGCACACGATGCGCGGCACCGTCACCTATTTCATTGTCGACGATGGCGGCGGCGTTGTTGAGGAGAAGCTCGACGTGCGACTCAATCTGTCGCCGACGACGTTCGTCATCGCATCGACGATTCGAACGGACGACTACTCGGCGCTTCTGGCGTCCGACGACGTCGACTTTGCGTCGTCGTCGCAAGTGAGCACCGACAAAGAGCTGAAGCACGTGTTGGCGAGCGTTTCGAAACGCGCCCACTTCACGATTGTCGAGGAGACGCCGAAAGCGGCTTCGTTGTTCGGACGACTCATCGATGGACGGCCAATTTGTCTACTAATCAAGAAAATTGTGAGAGATGTTGTGTGAGACGAAACATTGATAGTTGTCTTTTTGCAGACGTCTGGAATTCAAATCGACGGCAAAGCCGGCGATGAGTCGCTGATTCAATCGGTCGTTCAATGTGTCGCCGAGATGTGCGCAAAACTCTAATTTCCCTCAATCCTACTAATTTTTTTTTCTTAAAATTTGATCTACTTAAATAACATTTACACTTACCGGTAAACGAAAAATGAAATCTCACGTCTCGTCTAGCGCATTTCGCAAAACAGAGAAAAAAAGAAGAATGGCGACGACACGAAGCGCGGCGGCTCATTCGCGTGTCGTCCAACTGATTCGTGTGCGCAAAGAGGTCGAGGATCTGACGAAAAATCGGCGAGTCTACATCAAAGATTTCGCCAAGGCGCTGGAGACGCGCGACGTCTTCATGTTCAAGATTCACGGCGACGGCGACGTGTACAAAGGCGCGATCATCTCGATCACCATCGACATCAGCCTCGAATATCCGTTCAAGGTGCCGGTGGTGACGTTCGACGATCACGTAGGTGAACCGTTTGGTTTTTTTTGGACAACGGCCTCGTCGTTTCAAGATGTACCATCCGAACGTGGACGCGCCGACCGGCGAACTCTGCTCGCCGCTTCTGATGCAGGAGAACTGGAAGCCGGAGACGACGATGGAGGACATTCTCATCAACACGCTGTGCATTCTCAACGAGCCCGACTTGTCGCGTCCGGTGAATTTCGACGCCGCCCATGATTATATGACGGTCAACGATCATTTTTCTTCTGTTGTTTCTAATTGTCTTTTGCAGAATCGTGCGCAATACGTGAGAAAGTGTAAAGAATGTATTAAGAAGTTCCGATGATTGCTGGATGGTCCCCACCCACCCAACCCCGTTATTCTCCTGATAAACGCGACCCGCTTTAATTTGGCGGACCACACAATTAGTCGTCCAATTGTCTAGCGTCGAAATCGAATATGATAAAGTCGAGATAGTAGATTCGGCGGAGGTAGTCGCGAATCGCACGATCATCGGCGATCTGAGAAAACAAAAAAGAAGTCACGTGAAATTTGGGATCTTTGCTGAAGGGTCTCGAAACGATACCAATTTCAATATCCGCTTCTTCTCGCTGCTCGAAAATGTCGAATGCGGTGTTGCTTTTTCTAAAAAAAATGCGATTCGTTCAAATTTTTTGGTCATGTTGTGCAAACGCGCTCTATTGCAAACATGGCGCCAATGCGTTTTGAAAATGTGTGTTTTTGTAGGTTCTCACGCGATTTTTTTTTTGAAAAAATGCCGAGAAAAATAGGGCAAAAAATGAATTGTTCATTAGAGCGCGTTTGCGACATCTCCTTTTTTTGTGAAACGAATTGTGCCAACTCACCCATGGCGTTTTTGCGAATATAGTCGATCGTCGAATTCGGCACGTTCTGTTCGCGGAACAACTTCAACAGATCGTTCAATCCGTTTTGTCGTCTCGCCGGATCCGATTCCAGTTTGACGAGCTTGTACTCGTTGAGATGCCGATTGAACTCGCAATTCCTGTCAATTTCGCTTATTTGCCGCCTCGGGTCTCGTATGGAAATACTACTAGCGACTTTGAGTTGAACCGTCATTAAAAAAAAACATGGCCTAAGAACAACTTCAACAAAAAACCTCGGCCATGGCCACAAGTGAAACTTTCTTTAATCAAAATCGAAACATTTGGAATCAACAAATAAAAATAATAAAATCGTGAAAGGCGCGCCGTCAAAATATGTACGATTCTTGAAGCGATTTAATTTTGAAGAAAAAATGTACGGCCGCGGCCGAGGTTTTCGAAATCACCCGCGAAATTCAAAATACCAGGAGAGCGGCGACGCGTGTTTGTCCTCGTAGCCGGGTTTGAAGCGAGCGGCGCCCGACGCCAACTTCATGAACCTCTTGTATTGACGCTCCAGGAAGCATTTGACGTCGCCTTGGCAATCGTAGCACTGTTTTCGATTCGGAAACTTGGCCGCCTCCCTTTAAACGAATCAATTTGAATGTTTTTTTTTGGAGTTGTCTTTTTTCTAGGCGGAAATTTGAGAAAATTTTCCCCCTTTAAAAATCGCGAGTTTTTTTTTGGAAATTTTTGAGAATTTCAATTTATTGACGTAAAATTGACACTAAATTTTGAAAAAGTCACAAATCTCCAAAATTTTTTCTTAAAAGAAATTTTTTTTGAGAATTTTTGAATCAGAAAACATTTTTTTGGAAATTTTTGAAAATTTCAATTTAGGCATTAAATTGGCATTGGCATTAAATTAAAAAAAAATTTTAAAAATCTCCAAAATTTTTCTTCAAAAAAATTTTTTTGAGAATTCCGACAATTTTAAGAATTTTTGAAAACAGAAAACTTTTTTTGAAATTTTTTGAGAATTTCAATTCATTGGCGAAAAATTGGCACTAAATTTTAAAAAATTCACAAATTTCCAAATTTTTCATAGAAAAAAATTTTTTTTTTGAGAATTTCGACAATTTTAAGAATTATTGAATCAGATAAAATTTTTTTTTGGAAATTTTTGAGAATTTAAATTTCAAAAAAGTCACAAATTTCCAATATTTGGACTTTAAAAAATGTTATTTTTTGAGAATTTGAATTTCTTGTCGAGAAATTGGCACTAAATTTTAAAAAAGTCACAAATTTTCAAATTTTTCGTCAAAAAACAAATATTTTTTTGAGAATAACGACAACTTCAAGAACTTTTCCCAAAAAAAACCTAAAACTCAATCTCAAAATTTCGAAACTTCTCATTCCTTCAAAAAATGAGGAAAATCGAAGAAAATAAATTTCACAAGTCCAAAAAAATTGCACAAAACTCCAAAATTTTGAAGGTTCTCTCGGAAATCGACGGAAAAAAAATCTCGCCGAATTCGACAAAAACCGGGCAATTTTGGTCATTTTCAACAACAACAACAAAAAAATTAAAAAAAAACAATCTCCCAACTCACTGAATGCATTTATTGATGAAAAACGAGACGAATCGACTGATCGGATTGCGGACGACGGCGATTTTCGTGAAGTTGGCGCGCGCGGCGCCCATTCGCCATTTCACCTCGCCGATTCGCGAGTACTCGTTCTTGTTGGCGCAGAATCGCCGACTCCACGTCTCCGTGATGCTTCGATTCAATCGCAGAAATGTGTCGGTGTCGAACAGCACGCACGAGATGCCCGACATCAGTGTCGACATCGATTTTTTGATGCGGCATATCGACAAATTGTATTTGGGCGCGATCTGAAAACTCAAAAAAATTGTTGATTCTCAATGGAGCGCATTTGCTCTAAATGTTTGAGCGCACGTTTTGAATTCCCCCGCCGGCGGTCTCGTATGGAAAAACACTTGGTAGCAAGTTTGCTGAATTGAAACCAACATAATATGAAAGATTGCGATTTTCTAGGATTAACGAGCCCGCGAAACTCGAATTTTCTTAAAGCGTGTTTGCACCGAATGCACTCTATTTGACGGCATTTTGTTGTTTTTTTACTGCCGAAGAAACACGACAGAAATTTTTTGCGGTCAATGCATTTTATTTGACGACAATTTGAAATTCGCGGGACGATTTTCAAAAAAAAAACATACAATCGCGAAATTGAAAAAATTGTTTAAAGGCGCACAACGCCGTCAACCAAGGGTTTCAAATTCATCGCATTTAAAGGCGCATACCGCATACTCGCGATCCAAATCGATAAACGGCGGAACTAGAGGCTGTCGCCGACGCAGAGCCTCCTTCTGAATCGCGCTCAGCGAAACAGAATCGTGTCTCGACTCATAGGCGATTTTCACGTAGCCGAGAATCTCGGTCGTCGTCAACAAATAATAAAGTGCAACGGAAATCGATAATAAAAGTGCGCACGTTGTCACAATGAACGTTTGCATGGATGATGATTCTTTTTTTTTTTTTTTTAATTTTTTCGTCGTCGTCGTTTGGTTGTCGAAAAAGCGATTCGAAAACGCCCGATCCGCCGCTAATCCGTTTTTGATTTTTGAAAATCCGACCACCCTCCGCCTCCCACGGGTTTTATTGAGAAACATCGCGAACAATTCTTTTTTTTTTGTGAAGGTACACGAAAAATTCGATTTTTGAATGGGACCCGAAAAATTCCCCTTTTTTATTTTCTCAAAATTCAAACATTTGTTAGATTTTCTCGGAATTGACATCAAAAATTGGCTTAAAAATTTTTTAATTAGATTTTTTTTTTGAAAATTTCAGAGAATTTAAAAATTCGAAATTGCTATTTTAAAGCATTTTTAGATAAAATTTGACATTTTTAAATCAAAAATGAAAATTTTTGGTAAAAAATCGAATTTTAATTTGAATTCGTTCAGTACATCTCGAACAATTTTTGAGGGTGACCAGAAAAAAAATGAAAATCGAAAAAAGCGATTTTTGAATGGCCACCGAAAAGTTCGAAATTCCCTCTTTTTTTAATTTTTAAAAATTCCTTTGTAAGACATTCTAAGAATTGGCTCAAAAAAATAGAAAAAATTCTAAATTAGATTTTTTTTTTGAAAATTTAAGAGAATTTAGAAATTCGAAATTGCTTTTTCAAGCATTTTTAGATAGAATTTGACTTTTTTTATCAAAAAAAAATTTTTTTGGTAAAAATCGAATTTTAATTTGGATACATTCAGTACATATCGAAGAATTTTTGCATTTTCGGAATTGACTTCAAAAATTTGAAAAAATAATTTTGAAATTATATTTTTCTTGTTTCTCTTTCGTTGAAAATTGAAGAGAATTTAAAAATTCTCTTCATTTTAAGCATTTTTACATTAAATTTGACTTTTTTTGAAATCAAAAATGACAAAAGCGTTGGTAAAAATCGCGTTTTGCTTCAAATTGACCATTTGCCAACGAATTTCGCATTTTGCGCAAAAACTTTTTTCAAATTACTCCAAAATTAATTGCATAAATTCTTCACATCGTCGTTGATTGAGAACGGCGCTGCCAAGAAAAAAAAACAACAACAATACGGGCGAGACAGCATGCAAGAATGCAGCCCAAAAAAAAATAGCCACCAACCTCTATCGGGGACCCGAATCGCGGTGTCCTTGGCTGTCGACCGCTTCATTTCGCATTCGTCTGTTTCAAATTCGACCCTAAACTCGCAATTTTTCAAAAGAGAAACGTGAAAAAGCGACAATTTTCGAAAAAAAAACGAAAAAAAAATTTTCAAAATTCAAATTTCTCCGCACTCACCGCGACGCCCAATTGCACACCGCTACTGTAGGCGACAAAAACACGCCTAAAATTTTTGGTTTTTTTTCCCCTTCGTTTCAAAATACCACCAGATCACCGCGCCTCCTTCACCAAAATCGAGGCCACCCGATTCGATATGATAAGACGCCGACGACGACGACATCATCATCATTCACATCGGCGTCCTCGTTCGTTCGTTTTTTTTCCACACATTTCCATTCGTTCGATTTTTGCCGCCCGCAGAAAACCGTCAACTCTTCGACATTTTATGCAATTCACCTGATAATTCGCTATTATCAATTTGATTCTCGTCAAATATTTGTGCGGAGAATTTTTTTTGCCCACTCTCTTATCGCACATTCTGTTTCACCTACGCCCCACAATTTCATTATTTTGATTTCAAAAAAAAAATTTTTTTCAGACATGCAGCGCTCATACGAATACTCGTTGCTCGATTTTACCGAACGATTGTGAGTGAATACCAAAAAAAAATCCAACAAATCTCATTTTTTTTCTCTCTCTCTCTCAGGGCAAAAGCTGAAGCGCGATTCGGCGACGATTTGCACTCGATCATTGAGACATTCACCAATTCCAGGTGGGCGCTTATTTAAAGGCGCATGGCGCTCGTTGCACATATTTCATTTTAAAGGCGCACGAAAAAAAAAACCATTGAATCGTTTAAAGGCGCAATTGCAACTCCCACGTGGAACAAATTGTTTCGATTAATTTGTTAACCCCAATTCGAAGCAAAATCCTCAAGGTCATCTCATTCCTTAAAGGGGTAGACACATCATATCTGAGAAAAGCCAGAGGCTGCGTGTTTTTTTTTTGGCGAAACTCGTTTCTGCCAAAAACATGCGAACTTTTGAATAGTGCGAACCAACAATAATATATGGTGATAATAAGCATGATGGGATGGGAGATCAAAAATAAACCGGATTTTCGAACGGAAGGAAGACGTGTGACATGAATTCTCAACATTTTCGGCATAAGATACGATGGGAAATTCGCGGCCAAAAAAAAAATCAAATCGGCGTTTCATCGGGGGCAGATTTTCGAAATGTGTGCAATTTCGCGTCTCGGTGGTCACACCAAAAATGGATCGGGCTCGATTTTCTTTCTTCGAGTTTTTGCACACATTTTTAACGCGCTACAGTAATCCAATGCAATCTACCACAGGTTTTTGGGGGAAATTCAAAATGTGTGCAATTTCGCGTCTCGGTGTTTACACCAAAATGGATCGGGCTTGATTTTCTTTCTTCGAGTGTTTGCACACATTTTTAACGCGCTACAGTAATCCAATGCAATCTACCACAGGTTTTTGGGGGAAATTCAAAATGTGTGCAATTTCGCGTCTCGGTGTTTACACCAAAATGGATCGGGCTTGATTTTCTTTCGTTGAAACTCAAATTCGCTGTTTGCACACATTTTTACCGCGCTACAGTAATTCAATGCAATCTGCTCAAGGTTTTTGGGGCAATTTCAAATTGCGTGCAATTTCGCGTCTCGGTGTTTACACCAAAATGGATCGGGCTCGATTTTCTTTCTTCGAGTGTTTGCACACTTTTCACCACGCTACAGTAATCCAATGCAATCTACCACAGGTTTTGGGGGAAATTTCAAATTGTGTGCAATTTCGCGTCTCGGTGTTTACACCAAAATGGTTCGGGCTCGATTTTCTTTCGTTGAAACTCAAATTCGGTGTTTGCACACTTTTCACCGCGCTACAGTAATCCAATCCAGTCTACCCCGGGTTTTTTTTGGGGGGGGGGGAATTCAAAATGTGTGCAATTTCGCGTGTCGGTGTTCACACCACTACCACCAATAATTCCAGACTTGATCTACCATTGAAGCGACTCGACGATTTGTCAAAATTGCACACGGGCGCCGCTCGAAATTTGCGCAAAATGATGGACGCGAAAAAAAGCGAGGCGCTCAATTTGTGGAAATTGTGCAACATCTATTCGGTGGCGGCCGTTGAGCTCGACAAGGTGAGCAATCGACGTCGATTGAATCGATTCGGGACCATTGACATTCGATTTAGTCGATGCGCGCGATTCGCGCGTCGTTGCGAGCGCAGCAGCTGAGCGACGTCGGCGCGACGACGACGACGACGACGACGCGATCGCAAGGAGCCCGACAGAAAATGAAGAGCCTCATCGACGAGATTCGTCACGGCGAGCCGAAGTGGAGGAATCCGTTTCAGAGTAGGAAGGCGTCGTCGTCGCGAAAGAACACCGGCGGCAGCTCGACGGACGAGTCGAGTCCGCCGCCGGCGATTCCGCATCGTCATCAATTCGCGCCGACCGTCTACACCGATCTTCAGAAGGCGACGGCGGTGGCGAACGGCATCGCCGACTCGCTTCGACATCAAGACGATCGAACGGTAATTCGAATCAAGAGCGACACGACGCGGCGGCCGCCGATCGCCCAAAAGCCGCGTCTGAAGCGCGACGACGACGACGACGTCGTGCCGCCGACGATGATCACCGTCGATTGCGCGACGCCGCCGACGCCGTCGCCGCGAGCCGTCTATTATGGCGGCGAGTCCGACGCGCCGCCCTCTCAACGATTATCGTCGTCCGCCTATTCATCCAACTACTCGACGACATCCTCATCCAACGCCAACGTCACCATGTTCAACGTCGATTCAAGGTAATCGCTACGAGACCTAGACGACTCTCTCTCTACCTACCGTAATCCCTAACACAAAGCTTTGTCGAATTCTTTTAATCTACCGTAATCTCTGCAACAGTAATCCAAACTGAATCTTTCCAAATTATGGTATAGCTACCGATTTCTTCAATCCTATCGCCCATTGAATCATTGTATACTGTAGCTACCGTAATCCCTGAAGTCTAGGTACCCTCTTTCTCTAGGTTACTGTAACTACCGTAATCCCTCATTTCTAGGTACCCTCTTTCTCTAGGTTACTGTAGCTCTCAAGGGTTTCGTTTCAAAACCATCTGGATAGGGTTTCCCCCAATTCACTTACCGTAATCCTAAATCCGGGGGCATTTTAGACAAGCTACAGTAATCGCAAAAGCATAGTCAAATCGCCCAACAACTACCGTATACCCAAATTGCAGACCGCCAAGTTCGCTCGAGCACGCGCGTCTCGTTCACATCGGCTCCGACGAGAATCTCAATCGACTCCATTAATTTATATATAAATATATATATATATATATATATGCAATTATATCATTATATAGTATAAATTAAGACAATACAAATAAGGAGAATTATAAATGATCAAATAAATCTCAATTTGAAAATTACAACAACAAAAAAAACTGTTCTGGGACGATGCGAAAAAAAAGAACAAAATTAATGGAGTAGCGGGGGCTTTGGGGGGGGGTCAAAACCAGTAAAATGAAGAAGAAGAACAAAACAAAAAGTAGATCACGGAATGTATTCACCGAAAAACAAAAATTAGAAATATCGATTATTCAAGAATCACAGGAAAATCCAATAATAATAATAATAATAATAATAATAATAATAATAATAATAATAAACCAACAAAAATCAAACGCATTGTAAATCTACAATTGGCGTTTTTCGCCTCAAGACCACAATTTTTTGCTTTTTCTCTCTCTCTCTGTCTCTCACTTCTCAAAAATCTAGCTTAAAGAGGTGCTGAAAATGTTGCGCATCTCGTTGAGCTCGCCTTCAAACACCGCGTCAATCGTCGACTTGCTGCCCGTCAGACGCTCAATATGGCAGCTGATCTGCAAAAAAATAAAAAAAAATAAATATTGTTCCTCTTTGTGAAAACCCGAAATTCTCGCAATTGTTTCGAGCCTCAATTTCAAAAAAAATTAAAAATAAAAACCCGAACCCTCTTCATTTCCTCATCGATTCCCAACGAATGCGTTTCCATCGAGTTCGGAATCGTCTCATTCTCCAATCGATCCATTTTCAATGCGTTTTCAATTCTCTGAAAAAAAAAATGAAATAAATGCAAAACTCAAATTTTTCCATTTTTTGCGCAAAATTCATTTTTTAAAGGCACATGCCATTTTTTGGGAAAATTCATTTTTTAAAGGCACATGCCATTTTTTGGGAAAATTCATTTTTTAAAGGCACATGCCATTTTTTGCGAAAATTCATTTTTTAAAGGCTCATGACATTTTTTGCGAAAATTCATTTTTAAAGGCACATGCCATTTTTTTTGGGAAAATTCATTTTTTAAAGGCACATGCCATTTTTTGCGAAAATTCATTTTTTAAAGGCACATGCCATTTTTTGCGAAAATTCATTTTTTAAAGGCACATGCCATTTTTAGGGGAAAATTCATTTTTTTAAGGCACATGCGATTTTTGCTGCGATTTTTTTTCATTTTTTTTCTCTCGCTCTCGGCATTCTATCGGAATTCAAAAATCAAAAAATCGCCGACAGCGGACCATTGAACATACCTTGGCAACATTCTGCTTCTCGGGCACACCGGAGACCTGCGCGAGCGACGGGACCAACTCAAACAACGCCACCATTTGCTCGTACATCTGAAGCACCCAATTAGAATAACCGAAAATCGAATGAGTCCCCCTTCAAAACTCTACCATCGAGTTGCTCCTCTGCACTAATTTGTCTTGTCCTCGCGGATTGGCGACGAATCGACGCATCGCGTAGATCGCGTCGATCATCGCGTCGACGACGTCACCCCAAACCACCGTGCGATTCTGATCGACGCAGAAAAACGACAACTCGTCGAGTTTTCGCCCGTAATGCACCAAACGATGGAGGACTTCTTTGCTGATGAGCTGCAATGATTCACTGAATCGCTCGCGAATCGCTCTTCGTTTTTCGCCTACCAATAACGGCAACGCCGTCGCCACCAGCACCACATCAACCCAAATGAGGCTCTCCGATTTGCCGATTTGGCCGAGACTATAATACACCGTCTGATGGCAGTAGCGCGCCAAACGCGCCGTTCGCATTCCGCGATAGGCGTACTCGATTCTGAAGCCAACACCAATTTGTTTCATCGTCGTATTCTAGATTTACGGGCATCTGTCCTTTCTTGTGGTCTCGCAACGACTAAGTGGTTGCTTCGCATTCACGTTTTAAATCGAACGACGTTAGAAATTCCAAGAAAAAATTGGAAAATAAGCGTTCACGCGTGGCGAGACCATTTCAAGGCGCATGCGCGTAAATCTACCCGGCGACAAAATGAAAAAAAAAGAATGCTCACGTCCTCTTCGGATCACGCTTCGATTCGGCGAACATGTCGTACGCCACACGATTTCCCCACAACGATGTCAGTATGAGCTCGTAGATCATGGCGAGCCACTGGAAAAAAAAACAAAAATTAATTTTTTTTTTTATTTGAAAAATTTCATTCGTTAAAAAAAACCCCATCTTTTTCGCGCCAAAAAACAACTTTTTTTCAAAAATTCCAAAAATCAAAACAAATTTCCGAAAATTTCTCCCAAATCACTCAAAAAATGACCAAAAACTCATTGTTTTGATAATGTTTTAGTTGAAAAATCAAAAATTTCGAAACAAAATTCCACAAAATTCATATTTTCCAAAAATTTCGCATAAAAATCGAATCGAAATATTCCAAAATTCAATTTTTTTTTTCAATTGAAAACCATTCAAAATCCGCCAACCTTGGCAATTGTGTCAACATAGTCAAAATCGGGACTTCCTTGATAGTCGTCGAGCTCAATGAGAGCTCTCTCAGCCAACGGTTGAATTTTGCATACCGACAACGCGCCAACGAGCAGATATCTCACCGTCTAAAACGATTTTTAATTATTATAGCATAATTATGATGGGAAAAAAAAACAATTCAAGAGGATATATTGCCATGAGGCAGGCAGCGAGATGTACGCAAAATTGCGTACCTTGCATTTAAGCGTACGCGCATTGAACTTTCAGGCAACGAAAAATTTAAATCTAGACTAATTCCGCGAATTTCAAGACCTCCGTTTTTCTTTAATACAAAAACTCTCTGCGTTTTGAAAGATTGTGCACAATCGAGAGAGTGTCAGACGACGAGAGAGCGCGCGGCGAAACGAGACGCAGACAGCGAAACATTTCGCGCCAGAGCGAATTTTGAATTTCGCGGCAAAAAAAACGATTCCCCGGCGAGTTTCGGCGCGAAATTTGAATTAATGGGCGTATTAAAAAAATATTGAAAGAGGGTGTGAGGGTCTCGACACGAAAAAATCGAAATTCGAATTGCCGCCTATGCTGGTCGTCGACAATTGAGACCGCGATTTCCGTATCATTTCGCCATCGGGTCTCGCATGGAAAAAGAAAACCCTTAAAGGGGGGGGGGGAGAGGATTTTAGCCCAATATAACCACAACTACCATCGATCTTCTCGATCTCGCCCCCACCTTGCAATCAAGCTCGCTCAAATTGGTGCCGACGAACGCGAGAATATTCGACGGGTACATGCATTGCGCGACGCGCTCCTGATTCATCACCATAAACTTTTGAATGAACTCGTTGTAGCCGTTCTCGATGTCGTTCTCGGCGTGATGCTGAAGTGTCATCGGATCGTATTTTCTGGAAAACCAAATAATTGTCGAGTACGCAATTTCGCGTCACGGTGTTTACACACACGCACACACAATGTGGCCAATTTCAATTCTTACATGATGCTCTGAAGCATTTGATAGCCGCACAAATGCATGACCTGCTGCAATTGCGATCGAAGCACATCGTTCTGATCGTGGAACGCGTCGGGTTTGATCGAGCGCACCGTGAACCACAATCCTTGATTCTGCGATGATGGGCGAATTGTGAATTTCATCGACACTCTCATCGACTCACCATTTTTGGCAATTGTCGAAATATTGGATTGAATCGCGCATTCGGCATCTCGCTGAGCGCTTCGGTGCAGCGTTCCATTCGTCGCACCTAGACAATATCAACCATCGTTTCAAGACCGCACCCCCCAGAATCAATGTGTGCGCCTTTAAGGCGGCGACACAAAAAATTGAATTTTATTTGCAAATCTCAAATTTTCGCCTCAAAAATTGACAAATCGACAAAATTCATTTTAAAAAAATCTCAAATTTTGCAAAAATCGATTTTCAAAAAAAAAATCAACGAGAATCCTATTCTTCTCGAATTTCATGCTTCCAGGCGGTTTAAAATGAATTGAAAAAAAAAACGAAAAAACAAAAAACTACCAATGGCTCCGTCTCATAGATCAATCGTCCCCCTCCAATCGACGAGTCATCGCTTCTCTCCGACGCTTCAAACTCGTCGTCGGTGTTGGCGTAGCGCGTCGCAGAAACGCCCGCTTCATCATTTTGCGCGGCGGCGGCGGCGGCGGCGGCGGCATTCTCGGCGTTGAGCGAAGCGGCCTCTTTTTCACGCTCCTCTCGAAATCTGACCGCAATTTTTTTTTTCAAAAATCTTCACGCCGATTCACATACCTGCTCAGCGCCGCTTTGAAGTCGTCACACTTCGATTCGACCATCTCGCGAAGATCGTCGGGCAGCGTCGATAGCGCTTCCTCGCGCGTCACCATGTCTGCAATCAATCAATTTGGGCACATTTTGAAAAAAATTCGAAAATTTTACGCCAAATAATTAACAAGAAATTCAATTTTTTTCAAAATCAACATTTTTTTGAGCTCACTTTTCGTGCCAAGACCAAAAGTTGTCAAAAAATGCCCAATTTTTGAGACAAAAATTTAGCTTTTGCGCAAAACTCGCAAATTTTACGCCAAATAATAAACCAGAAATTGAATTTGTTCCAAAATCAACACTTTTTTAAGCTCGATTTTCGTGTCAGAATCAAATTTCGCTAAAAAATGTCCAAAATTGGGAAAATTTTGCGCCAAAAATTCGCTTTTTTCGGGAAATTTGAAAATTTTTGCGACAAATTATTACCCAGAAATTCAATTTTTGCAAAAACATCTTTTTTGGAGCTCACTTTTCGTGTCAGTACCAAATTTTTGTTCGAAAATGCTCAAAATGATTTCCCGGGCAGATTTTCTTCCAAAATTTTGAAAATTTCACGGCAAATTTTTTAGAAAAACTTGATTTTTCAACACATTTTCCACATTTTTTCGCCAATTTTCCACAAACAATCAATTTTCGCTCAAAAATTGAAATCAATTCAGCAATTTTTCAATTTTTTGACCCAAATTTCAATTTGGCGCAAAAATTTTCGCGTCATCACCAAAAAATCGTCTCAAACTCGACGAGTTCGATGCGAAAATGTTCAATTTTCCAAAAAAAAAAAGAACAAAACAAAAATGACGCACCGGGATCCATTAGCCATTTGGCGTCGGTCCGCACATAGAGCAAACAATACGCCGACGGCGAGCTCGGCGATCCGTTGCCAAACGCGTCGAGCTCAACTTTGCTCCACGGCACAAGCTCGACCTTCTTGTCGTTGAGCAACTCCCATTGCTCGTCGTCGAATCCGCTCAACGCTGAAAATCGCCACGTTTTGCGGCGTCTTCCGTCGAGACCGACGAACCTTTACAATATGTCCAATAGTGGCCGCGATTCGCTTCGCCGAGATGAATGATGGCCGCGTGAAGCTCGTACTCGAAATGATGAAGGTCGGCAGTCTGAAATTCCAGTTTGATTGTTTCGAAAATGTCAATTCTCGATGAATTCGTCGATTTCACTGATGCTCATTCGGCAAAATCGCAATTTTGTGTCGGCAATTTTTTTTTGCACAATTCTTGCTCAAATTCTAGTAGCTCAAAAATTTTTAGCTTAAATTGGAATTGAAATTTTTTCAACAACAATAAAAAAACCTTTACACTTTCAAATTTCGTTCAAAATTTCGCCAAATTTGTCATTTAAATTGGAATTTTTCGAAAAAAAAAAACAAAAATCAAAATTTCAAATTTCATTTCAATAGACAATTTCTTCTTCTTGTCATATGTCAAAAAATGAATCGTCTCGAGACCCGCGTCCCCCCGAACCTCATAAATATCGCGAATCGCCTTCTCAAGATGCGCTTCGGTCTCGACAAGATCCTGCTCATCGTTCGCCATATTCGCAATGACATCCTGAATCAATCGGCGAGCATCATCCAATCCCGCGAATCGATCAGATCGAATTTGTGGGAATCCTGGAAAGTGTCAAATATATATTTTTTTTAACAAATTCAAAAAGCAAAAAAAAATTACGCAAATTCCCACATTGTCGTCAAATAAAATGCACAAGTCCGCAAAGAGAAACTCGCACGTTTTAAAAATCGTCGTCGATTAAAATGCATTAGGTGCAAAAACACGCTCACTCATAAAAATTTCAATTTCAGATATTATTCACTTTTAATTCCCCGCTAAAAAAACTGGCATTGCGGACTTGTGCATTTGATTTGACGACAAATCGCCAGTTGGTTTCGTTTTTTTCAAATTTTCTTAAAATTTCAGAGAGATTGCTCTTTTCAAATTTTTCGTTTCACAGTTTTTTTTTTCGATCTCGAACTCTCACGTTTCCCAATATTCGGCACAAACGACGACTCGTGCGACGAACAATTCGAAGCCCACGAATTCGTCTCGGGACCAAAAACCGGCGAATCGTTCGACGGCTCCGCCGCGCACGTCTCTTGCCTAAATAGGAATTTTTTAAAGGCATTTTTTTGTTGATTAAAACAAAAAAAATGCAAAATTCTTTAAAAATTCTCACATTTTTTCGAGCAATCAATGCAAAAACAATTTTGAAAAAGCAAAAAAAAAAACACCCACAAAAATTTGTTGGTGAGAATATTCGAGACCGTGTTCATCACATCGACAACCCGAACCGATTGATTCTCGGCATGCGGGTATTCGCGAAGGCTGAAACATCAAATATACGCGTTCGGATTACTGTAGGTGTACGGTACCCTCGCAATAGCGCTTTCGTCTGCGCCAAATTCGTGCGCAGCTCGGCGCGTCGATTCCGCAATTGTGAAACGAGCGTCTCATTTCTGCAAAAGTGCGCCAAAATCTACACAATTGTTTTTTTTTCTCTGGATTTTGAATTTCGCGGGCCGCCAGAAAACGCGGAAATTCAAATTTTTCGAATAATTGAAAAAAAATGAGAGTTTTGTCGTTTACATCAAAATTTTCCCATTTTTCTTGAGAAAAAAATCGAAAAACTTTCCAAAAAACGCGATTTTCAATGCATTTCCAATGCCGAAAATTAAAAAAAAAAAACGAAAAAATGCGATGCAGAAAAAAAAGAATCCAAGATACGCGTGGATTCGCATCGAGACCCATCGCATGAATAAACGTCATGGGTCTTAAAATACCGTATCTTTGCGTCATTCTGTTTTATGTTCAGGAATTTGATTGTCGAAGTCAAACGGCTTGAGGAAATTTTAAAAAATATTCTGGCTATGTGCCAACGTCTCGAGGCAGCGAGAAGTACGCGAAACTGCGTACCTTGCATTTAAGCGTACGCGCATTTAATATTCAGTCAACCATAAATTTCAATCTACCCAAATTTCGCAGATTTCAAAGGTCCCGCCTCCCTTCAGTCGATTGACGCCGACAATACTCTTTTTTTTTGAGATGTTTTCGTTTACAGTATTTTAAGACCAATGCCGTTTATTTATTCGATGGGTCTCGATGCGAATCCAACAAAACGTATATCTTTTTTTCCATTAAAAAAAAAAAATTTTTCTGCATTACCCCATTAAAAAATTGATAATTTTCAAGCCGAATATTCAATTTTTTTTTTCAAATTTGTTGGCAATTTTTTCAAGAAAACAAAAGTCTCAAAACTATAAAGAAGAGTTCAAAAATTTTTTTTTAATTTTTCGCCAAAAAACTCTCGCCCACTGTTTCATATATCGATCCATATAGAGTGTTTTGGGGAAGCTGAAGCGATTGTGGATCTTCTCGGGCATTCCATTGTTGTAGCCGAATCTCGACAATCCCATGAATATCGCCACCGGCAGCTTCTCGATCCAATTCTCGACGCGCGCCGAATCGCGACCCGTGTCGAATGTGCTCGCCTCGAGCGCGTCGTGCAAATCGCCATAGGAGATCTGAGAATTGGAAAATTTTGAAAAACAAAACAAAAAAAACCAAAAATCGCCTCTCCACCAACCTGAAGATGGAAAAATTGCGGACAATTGCGAATCTCTTTGATCAACGGCGGTTTCGAGCCACCTAAATCCAAATTTTTGTTTTTGTTTTTCAAAATTCACAAAAAAATTTTGCAATATTTCAAATTTCACACATTTTTCAAACATTCCTCAAAAAAAATTGTTTTTTTCAAAGCCATTCAAAAAATTGAAAATGCAATTTTTTGTTAAATATGTTCAAAAATTTCATCAATTTCGAAAAAGTCCGATTTTTTTTTTCGCTAAAACGGCAAAATCTTTTCAATTTCAAAGAAACTCAAATCTAAAAACTCAAAAATCAATTTCAAATGCGACTTTAAAAAAAATCAAAACTCTCCTATTAAAAAAAAACAAAAATTTTGAAAAAAATCGATTCATCACGCAAAAATCAAAGAAAAATGAATTTTTCAAAACAAAATGTGAAAATCCACCACAATCTTCAATTTTCATCAATTAAATCGCTAAAAATTAAAAATTTCTCATTTAAAGAAATTATTTAAAAAAAAAATTGCGCAACGATTCTCAATTTCATCAATTTTTCGAAATTCAAAGCAAAAAAAAAAAGCGAAATGCTTCAATTTCACAGATTTTCAAACAAAAAATGCAAAAAATCAATCAATATTCTCAATTTGAGCAATTTTCAAAAAAAAATCATTTCCCATCAAAATTCCGAAGCAAATTTTTGAAAAGTGAAAATTTCAACGAAAAAAAAAATTCAATCCGACAAACCAGCCGATTGTGTCGTCGAGACGCAAACCGCTTCAAACATCTCATCCATTTGTTTTCTCATCGCTTCAACCGCCGCCTTCTCCTCGTCGCTCACCGCCTCCTCGTCGACTTCAACAATTTTCGCCTTGTGCGGCGTCAGCGTCGGCGGCTCCTCCATCGACTCGACACCCTCCATCTCATCAACCGACGCGTTATCCGGTTTGAACAACGCTCGACGTATCGGAATTCCGTTCTCATTCAACTGAAATCAATGGAAACCCAAACGAATTTGTTGAAATCGCCGCCTTGCAGCTAAACCTTCACCGGCGAGTTCGGCCTCGATTCTTGCGGCCTTTGAACACTGTGCACGATTTGCGTCGATGGTCCCTGCTGCTCGGCACCGTACGCCGGCGGCAGTGTGCCAATGAGGTCCGCGTTCGGGGCATTCTCAAGCGAGTCCGCCTAGATTCCAAAAATGTTTCAAACAAAAATCAAAAAATCCGATTTTTTTTTGGGGGAAAATTCAAAAATTTCCATTTTTTTTTTGGGAAAACGTGCCCGGCACTCACCGGAATATAGTCTTCCTCAACAATCGGCGTCGGATGAAGGCGTTCGTTGAACGCGCATTTCATGCCATCCTCAAGCCAATCGAAAATTCGAATCAAACTTTCGGTGGCGTCCTGCTGCTGCCCAAGAACCGTTAATTCTCCGCTATTCTTTTTTGTAAGCGCGTCAATTATCTGAAAAAAAATGAGGAAATCATTTTTGCTCAACAAAACTCAATTTTCGACAAATTGCAATTTCAAACCTCTAACACATGCGCCGTGTCGATGTAGGACGTCGGCGAGAATTGCATTTCGGCGAACAATCGCCGCATCGACATGAGCAGATCGCGTGTCGTCACGTTGTCGGGCGTGATTCGACGCGGCTCGAACTCTTTCCATTTGTGCGGCACGCAATGGTAGATCAACGAGCGGCACTTCGGCAAATGGTAGAGCACTTGGGCGACACAATTGAACCAGCACGTGTTGCCGACGTTGTGCAAACCCGTCGAGATGTTCGGATTGCGGATGATCGTCTCGAGGTTCGACGGAAGCGAGCTCTTGTAGTAGGTGTACAACGCCGGGCGGATCAACAGCGATTCGTGAAGCGCTCTGCAACATTCACGCTACTCAAATTTCTAGGGTTTCAATCAATATTTGAATTGCCTCCGCCCAAACCCCACCCTAAATTCGCGCCAAGACCCAAAATCTTACTGCTGCAAATCGCTCTCCTCCTTCTCCTGCGCCGTTTTCGTCTCGCCGCACTTCTCGGAGCGAATCAACGGCGGCAACGCCAACTTTTCGCGCTTCGGCGGCTCATCGACGACGTCCATCAATTCGGCCGCCTGATTCACGTGACCGCTTGTGCCTTCCATCAGATCGTTCGGACGCTCCTGATTCGCGAAATCGATGAGGCTGTTGACGAGCTCGGTGACAAACTCGGTCGTGTTCCGGCACCCGCCGGGGATGTTCTGCAAACGGATTAGCGGATTAGGAAATCGATTCGTGGTGGCCGAGATTTTTTCCGGGGCCAAAAAAAGAAACGGAAAAAATGAATACCCGAATTGAACTCAAAATTTTCTCCTCGTTCGCCGCGGGACCAACGACTTCAGCGACTTGACGAATCACCGCGAGCTCGACTTCGCTTATCGAATTATTCTAGAAATGCGATTTAAAATTGCATTCGCAATTTTATATAGCTTCTCACGTTTCGCGCCTTGATTTCCACCATTCTCGCAAGTCCTATCTCATCGACGTGCTCAAAAATCGGCGTCTGAAATTCAGAGGAAGAGAGAAATGAGGAAAATTCAAAATTTCTAGCGAAATGAGAAATCCTTGCGAAATAATGCAAAAAAATGAACAAGCAATTCGCGGGTATCGCGAAACGCGTCAAGCGCAACACACTGACGCAATTGCGGGGCGTGATAATGCACTAGAAACGCGCCAACACCTTTTTTTTTTTCATTTTGCTTTTCCAGACAAACAAAACCAATTTTCGGCACATTTTTATTGAAAACGTCGCTTCGGTATAGGAAAATGCAAATCACAGTCGGTAATACTGACGAATAAATACAATTTTTCGCAAAACATGGAAAACGATACCCTGCAAGACAAAAAATTCAAGATTTCACAAAAAAAAATCAAAAATGATTTGGGGGGAAAGGGGGGGGGAAAACTGACGATTCCGAATCAATAAAATCAGAAAGAGTGGGGAGAAATTGAAAACAAACAAAAAATACATGGGGTAGATCAAAAAGAAGCAGAGAGAGAGAGAGAGGGAGAGAGAGAGAAAAAAAAAGTATATATGAACCAAATCAGCAATTGCGCGAATGTATCAAATATTTGCAACAATGCGTCAGAAGCTGTTTGCCATTCACCAGCTGATCATTTTGCCGCGTATAGATGTCGACACCATATTGGCCTTCGCCGGGAAATTCGATTTGAATGTAAACCTATTTCAAAAAAAATAAAACAAATTCGAAAAAATGACTCTCGGCTCGTACCATGTCGCCTTTGATCATACTCCTCGTACAATTCTGCAACGCGCGATCGTCCGTTCGATTCCGATGAAGCGACGCCACAAATTCCGATAATGGCCGCGTCATTCTGCAACAACCAATCATGAAAACAAAATTGAAGAATGAAATAATCGATTGCGAACCGACCTAAAACGAATTTCCGTATATCTTCCGGTATTGATAATCGCGTCGGGATGCGAGATTGGCAACAATCCGAATAGTCTCGTCGCTTTCGCCGGACCCCATTCGCCAGAAGCGCACTCGGGCAACGGGACCATGATAACTTGAAGGCTCTCGCAAACCACTTTGAATTTGCACACCGATTTGAATTTGATCGGCTGTCCGGTCAAATACGCGCCCGACGACACCGAATTCGCAAAAATGTCCAATAGTAGGGGCCGCGTCGAGGGCGCGTGAACCCGAAACGTCACCACCTAAAAATGGTCTCGGTTAGTTGCGTTGCGTTCTGCGCCGAATCGAATCAACCTCATCCGACACCGATTGCATAACGAAACGCTTCAGCGACATTCCGCTAATCGTGTTCTCCTCGGAATCGAAAAATTTCAAATTGTAGTGGAATATGAGCGAATCGCCTTTCGGCGGCAATCGAATCGATATCGACGAGGCTCCCGTTTTGTCCGTCTAAACTTCACAACATCATCTCGGCCTCAAACATCATTCGCTTACATAAACCGTCGATTCGAGTCTCGAATCGGTGAACGACAAATTGTATTTGAAGAACAACGAACGCACGAACGGAATGCGCTCGAATTGAAGCAATGTCAGCGGCCTTGGCAACAGTTGCCACGCCGGATCGCTGGGAAAGAATTCGTAGATGAATTCCTCGGGATCCGTCATAAAATAATGATCGTCATATTCGTATCGTAGATTTCCATCGGTTTTCGCCTCTTGCGATCCATCTTTCGCATTCCTTCAAAAAAAAACATCGAAAAATTCAATTGTCAAAAATCATTTCAGTGCTGCCAAGACACTTTTCTTACACAAGATGCCGAGCGCCCCAATTGCATTGGACAAATCGCCACGAGCCATCCAGAAACACCGCGTTCCACGTATTCCGGAATCGGTGATCGTCGAATGAATAGCCGGGCTGGTATCCGGCCGATTTCGAGAACCCTTTGATAACAACACAATGCAATCCAGCATAGCTGAACAAACCAATATCAAATTTAATATTCCGGATTTCCGAACCAACCTGCAAAGCCGCTTAAACAGAACGTGATAGCTTTCCGTTCCATATTTGATGCCTCTCAACAATCCCATCGGCGTGTCATTCTGCACCGAATCGTCAAACACCATCGTATTCAAATTTTTGATCGTGATCCATCGATAAATCGCTCTCGCCACATCGACGTCGGATCGCGCGCCGGCCGACAGCGTTCGAATCAAATCGGTGAACGAGGCCACCTCGTTTCGAGCACAATGAATCGCAATCTCATCAATCGACGAGAAATAATCTGTGGTGGTGTAGATCTCGCGTTTGCTGCATGACGGCGGCATTGGCGGCGGCGGTGTCGACGGATATTCAACATTGTTGTATTCCGAGCGAGACGCTTTGAAAAGCTCCAACATTTCTTTCGCCTGACGATCGACAAGCTCAGCGGTCTGATGACGCTCGCGCTCCTAAAAATGCCACTAATTAGCAATCAATTTCTTCCCAACCTCCCACAATCAATTAGTTCAATTATCTCATTCTTAATTGGCATCTGAGTTAAAAAGCTCGTTTCGCCTCCACGGCTGGTGTCAGGCCGAGAGTTGTTTCATCATTTGCCAAAGTACGCCGGCGAGGCGACCGAGTCTAGTGCGCGCGCGTCTCCCGACACCTCGCGGGTTTCGCCGCTATCTACCCCCATCACACCTACCCGTCGTTTCGTGTGAAGCGTCTCCAATTTCTTCTCGCGTTTGATCGTCAACTGCCTTATAAGATCATCTTTTTTCATGTTCGCTTGTCCGCGCTCATATTTCTTCGCGAATTCCTCAAGAGCCTTCTCCCATTCCTCCTAGAAGCGCAATTCGATTGAACAAAATAACAATTAAAAAAAAAAAAACGAAAATACCGTATTCTCTTTCTCAAACTCCTCGTTCTCCTCGGTTCGTCGATTCTGAAACGATTCATACAATTGATCTTCGGCTTTTCGATGCAAAAGCTCCAATCGCGTTTGTGCGTCGTAGTCCTGAAAATCGTTTCAACAACATCGCGTGAAGGGACCATTAGGACTCAATCGGTACCACAACATATTTCGCGCCTTCGTGACTAATTTTCGGATAGGGTCTCGCCACTTGTGTCGCTTTCATCGCATGCGCGATTTTCATATCATTCAAGCCGGCGTCGCTAAAAAAAAAAAACAAAAACAAAATCAAATGAAAGAGAGAAAAAAATTCAATCTCACATCCAATTCCCATTTTTCACTCGATTATTATTCTCCGTCGTCGAATTTTTCGATGGTCCCGATGACGACAGCGGCAACTCGTGTGGTCCGGCGATTGGCACGTGATTCGCGCAATACACTTCTTTATCATTGATGTCATTTCGATTATTGCAATAGGTTTTGAGCGCCAGACGCGTTCCGCAGATGTAGCATTTGAAGCAGCCTGCAAGTTTTTTTCCTGTTGCTTTCCACTTCTTCATATTTTCGTCGAAAACAAATTCCATTGAGATATCATATATCTCAAATTTCGTATGTTCGATCCAATGAAAAAAAAACTATCAAATATGGGAAAAACGACATCGAAAAACTCATAAAAGGTGAAATTTTTGAAATTCCCAAAAAATCAAGTTTTTAAAAATGTCTTTTTCTCCAAATAATCTAGATTTTTTCAATAGTTTTCTCCAAAAAATCTGAATTTTTTCAATTTTTCTTTTTCTCCAAAAAATCTGAATTTTTTCAATTTTTCTTTTTCTCCAAAAAATCTGAATTTTTTCAATTTTTTTTCCCAAAATATCACAATTTCTTTCATTTAACAATTTTCAATAATGAAATAAAAAGAAACCGTCAATTTTCAGCGAAAAAAATGAGATTTTCTTTTCAGTAAAGTCAATTTTACAAAAATGCAAATCTCCTTCTGTACACAACGACGCCAAATTACGGACACAACATTTTAAACGACGGCAATCATTGCCAAATTTGCAATTTTTCGCCAAAATCCTCTCCAAACCAAAATATAAGCTATACCTTGATGAAAAAACGTCGAATCTTTGAGCGGTCCCACTTTATCGGTCGGATAAACCTTTTTGCCGCACCGATGGCAGCTCTGTTTGTTGTTCATCAAACAATTTCGTGTTCTCGACAATTAATGACCTGAACATTTCAATTCAATTCGAAAAAAAAAACAAAACAAGATTGAAGGTTGACCATCGAAATTGCAGGTAATTAAGGTTTTATGCGATGAAATTAAAGGGTTAACAACCAGAAAAGAATTGGTTAGGGCTGGGCGACAAAAAAAACCAAGCCACAGAAAAAAAAACTTCAAACTTGTCAAAAATGTTTCTTCTTGCCAAATATTGAACAAGACGAAGGAGAAGAAAAAAACGCATATGCAAATATTTCGATTCGGTGTCCATCATCGAATCGAATCGTCGCATGTCGAAATTTTCAAGTATGCATGACAAAACGCGCTGTTTGTGCTCGAATTATTCGCACAAGTGTGTTTGTTGGTTGAGGGCGACGATCGAAAGGCTAGAGGTCGACAAGAATTCGACAAATCTAATTAATACTACGTATTTTGAGAAAAAAAAACAGGTGGCGATTTTCTACAATAATTCACCGGAAATCGATTTAATTGGAAGCTAGTTGCATTATTTTTGAAAATGGAAAACAAAAACTGGCAAATTGGGCAACCTGACACAATTTTTCGTCGCTCATTTTTTTTATTGTTTCCATGGCCGACGGGTCGACCAACCTGCCATAAGCATTTACATTTGAGAGAAGGGGGGGGGGTAAAGCTAATTTATACGGTAAAATGTATACATACATATATATAAGTAGACGGCAATAATTAGGCAAATCGGCGACAATATAATTGCGATACGCCTTCTTCTACCCCCTCCCCCTTCCAATCCATCAATTATACGTATTTGCAGCGAATCGTTTCCGCTAGATCGAAATGGCAACACTCATGCAGGAAAATTTGTGAGCGAATCGATGAAAAAAAAAACTTAGTTAGGTGTTTTTTGCTCGAATTTCGCATATTTGAAAGCAATCATTGAAAATATGTCAATATTCTCGGAAATCCATGATTTTTCACTAATTCCAAAACCCTTATGTGAACAATTCACGGGTTCAAAAAAAAACCATTTAGGATTTCAGAAAATAAATCTGCGTACAACTCACGATAATTCAAGAAAGGAAATTCTCAACCAAAAAAAGCACCAATCTACGGTCAATTCACGGGTTCCCAAATCACGGCTCGACATTCAAAAAAAAATGAATTGGAGATCGTCATTTTTAAAAAGCAACAACCTTGGATTCTGAGCTAGAAGTTCAATAAAGCGATCTGCTGACAAATTACAGGTTACGCAAACGTTTCAACAGAAGCGATCTGCGGACGTTTCGCAGGAGGAGCCAAAGCCTATCAATCAAGCGGTACACCATATTACGGAAATCGTACAGAAAAGTGAAACCGTATAATGTTTAAGAAGCTGGTTGTAATCACGGCAATGAAATGGATAGGCGGTCGCCCTCAATAAGATTGAAAAAAAAAAACACGAAAGGCCATGGAAAAGAGAGGACGAAGTTTTGATAGACATACAAGCCTAATAACACACATACATACATTCATTCATTGAATGCAATTGGCATACGGGTGATGATGAACGGTTTTCGCTGCCGCGCATCAAATAATCCGGTTTCAATCCAACATTTTTTGTTTTTTGTCGTTTTCAAACAAAACGCTCTTCATTTTTGGGCCAAATTGTGTGTAATATTCAATGATTTGTATGTATACAAAAATTCAACGAATGCGCAATGCAAATCGAATTCGAAGGAGGATTGCGACACATCGAGGAATGGGTTTATCGCCTCAAAATCTCTGCGTGAGTTTATCAGAGTGGAAAATCGTTGTCGTCGTCCGCCGCGCGATCTGTCATTAATCCACGTGATTCCGGTCTACCCCCCCCCCCCCTCCCCCAAGCAACCGAGAAAACTGCTCGCCATTTTCAACCAAAAAATCAGCGGCGCTCAAATCAACGTTTTCAATACATAATTATGAGGAAGCGCGAGGAGGGAAAGGTTGGGTTGCATTCCAAAACTGGATCATCATTATTATGACTTTTTGAAGGGAGGAGAAAGAGGAGAAATTGAGTGCGCTGTGTAATAATAATAATAATAATAATAATAACACATTTGTATAACATTCCAAAATGCCATTTTTGTTTCTCGTGCTTTCCTCTCTGGAAGCAAACCGGTTCAAAGATAAGCGACCCCGTCAAGAAGAAGAAAAAAAAAGAAAGCAAGCGGCAAATCACAAAAACCGTATCAATGATAGTTGATATGGGGCGGCTCAATTAGGGTGGGAGGCAGAAGGCCTCCAAATATTTGTATATGCGTTTATGCGGCCTCGGCTCCGTCGGCAAACACTAAAACGGCCAGCCAAAATGATTTTTGAGGTGATGATGGTGGATGCGAGGCGACTATCTCCGATTTTTGATCGGCCATGGAACACCACCCTCCAAAAATGCCACTAGACATGTCAGACACGGGGGGGGGGCGTTTCGAATTCAAGTGGGCCCTATTGAATTTCAACACTTCACCAAATTCAATGTCCAGTTGGATGGTTTGTGTAGAGGGGGAAATCGTAAAATTGTAGGAATTAGTCATCGTAAAAAAAAAGAGAGAAAACAAACAGTTGCCTTTGATATATACATACGATTTCTTTTTTTCCTGAATAAAGCGAATGAATGATGACGAAACCAGGTGGCGCATGCATGAAATCGAATGAGGGACGACGACCACGCGCCAGGTGACCTTGCTCGAGTGCGAAAACACCATTACACCTGGCGCAAAAACGCGCGAGGCGGAACCGAACCCACAGCGGTGAGCGTGATGAGCGCGCAGTTTGTCAGTCGGCCATGAGAGGAACTGCCGCGACTGCGCAGGTGATAAGTGATAAACGCGCGTGCGCGAAATCGAACACCACAATTTTCTTTTGCGAACATGAAAAACAAATTTTTTCGAAAATCATTGGTGAAAACAACAAAAGGTGTGCTGGCCACCGCCATAAAAGGCAAACTGCGCGTCGAATATGACGAGATAGTTGGGCAAAGTGGATAGACGCAGAGAATATCGTCTCTTGCGAGCGCGCGCAGCCAAACCAACCAGCCGGCCAACCCCTCCGCACGCGCGCGCGCGCGCGCTCAAATTGAACTACTCCGGTTTCGGAAGATGAAACACTCTGGATTTTTATTGAGAAACCCATGTCTGTTGAAAAAAAAAACACCACACACACCTCGATTGTTTAGACGTTCCTCCCCAAACCGAAGCACACCGTCCTCAGAGTGCTCTTCGACGACGTCACCGACACTTCAAACGTTTCCCATTGGCTTTTCAGCGTCGTGAAATAGATATTGGATTCTTCGGTTACGGTAAGACTTCGCTTTTGGCTGAAGTCCGCCGGAAAACAGCGACCAAATATTGGGGCCGAGATGCGATCTGGAAACGTCGGTGTTTGCGGACAATCTCAAAATACCGTAATCCATATTTTAGTTACAGTAACTCGAAATATTTTCGAAAAAAATGCGCTCAGTGTTTGCGGACATTGCGCAATACCGTAATCGACTTTTGACGAATTAATTTCAAATTATTTTCAAAAACTCACGAAAAGTGGCATTCGTCAAAAATCGTTGTCGAAACCGTGGGTCTGCCATAAAAATGCCGACAACCATCATCCAAGAGTACCTAAAACTCGCGAATTTTCGAGAGAACAAATTTCGAAGTAAAAAAAATCTAGCTTACAGTACAATGGAGTGATTGATGACCAAATAGAGATATGCACATAGTAATGGGTCGCGGTAGCGAAGAACTCGATCGTTGCTAACTGAAAATTTCGATTTTCAGAATTTTTTTCTTCAAAAAGTTGGTTTAAATCGAAAAATGTTGCATTTTTTGTGACAAATTAAAAAAAAGAATTATTTTAAGCCAAATTATCAATCGTTTTTGAAAAAAAAAACTAAAAGTTCAATTTTTAAGGGGAAAATAAGTTCTGGGAAATTTATATATAATATTCTGACAAAAATGCCAAAGAAAAGAATAATTTTTGAAGCCGAAAAATTATTTCAAATTTTTATATTGATTCTGGTTAATCGGCGTCTCGTCATAACTATTGCAAAAATTTAATTGATCAAAAATGGAAACAGCGAAAATAAGACTCCCAAATTATCCAATTTTTCCATTGAAATCGATTTACTAGTGTGGGGAAGTCGTTTAAATAAGCAATTTCATTTTTCATGCGCCTTTAATTTATTCAACTATATTTATTACCTGTATAGAAGACTCCCAGCACGAAATTGACGATGTTGGACGCGGTGAATATCGTTTTGAGCCATTTCATCACGTTGAGATTCTCATTCAACTGGAATCTCAAGCTCAGCGTGTATTTATTTTGAATCGCGCGCATTTTAACGCGCTTCAAATTTCGCCGATTCGCCGCATACATGCCGATGAATGCCAAATAGCTGCACAAATTGAGGAACAAGCCGAATAGGCTAAGGGTCAACGACGACAATACGTCTGAAAATCGGCGAAAATCTAGACGAGAATTTGCGAACACTCACCAAAATGAACGATAAATGTGAAGCTAAACGATCCGATGATGGATGAGCCAATGATGAGCACAGCAATCCATCGTCTCTTTATTTTCTCATAGTTGCACACAAAAATTGTTGCAAAATATCGCTCGACGGCAGCCATAAGTGAAGCCATGACAAAATTGAGAAGGTAGAAGATTCGATAAAAACTGCACCAGAAGACCACCGCGTTGAAATCCCGCTGCGATTGTGGAAGGTCGTTTGAAGGATACAACGGCTCATCTGAAATTGAATTGGTAATTAAATAGCAATTAATTATATCAATTAAAAAAAAACAAAGCCAATCAATTGGAATCCATTCAATTTCATAAAAAATTGTGATAAATCTCGAAACAATATCGAAAATATAACCGACAAACATATACAGCATAATCGATGTCAAATTCTCGTGAACATTTGCAAATTTTATATAATAGCCGGCTAGAATTAATAGAAAAGTTGATAGAATCAGCGAAACCGCTTCGAGATACGCGAAAATGTTGAAAATCGTTCGATGAGGTTCGTCGAAATTGGTCGTTTTGTGGTATTGCACGAGGTACATTTGACTGAAACGAATAGTGACGAATTTTTTTGCAAAATAAATTAAAAGAAACATTGCACCTGCGTTGAAATAATAAGAAAATGATAGTAGTCTGAAGCGAAAGAGCAAAAATTCAACAAAACAATTGAATGAAACAGTGTTACCGTAACATCGTGATGAGACCAACGCATTTTCTCGAATGCGCCTTTAACGTTTTCGATTACGGTACTCACTATTTAATGACGATTTTCTCAAATTTTCCCACAATTTCCAGAAAAAAAATTCAAATAAATAAAATGAGTAATGAAAAACAACTCAATTTTCCAATGAACAACACCAATATATCAAGGCAATCGTTTATTAATTTTTCGCGTCAACGCGACATTTTCGCGCCGCCCATTTTCGAGGCTTCTCAATTTTTTTCGGCTCCAATCCAATATCCCATTGATTGGTGAGCGTCGTGAAGTAGACGTTCGCCTCATCGGTAGCCGATCGTGTTTTCGATTTGGCGAAATCATCGGGAAAAAATCGACCAAAAAATGGCATTGTGAGAACGCCTGCAATTTTTTTTGCCGACTCTCTTCTAGTCGACGTCCGATCTGGCAAGTTAGGCAACCTCGAGCCAGGGACAATTTTCAAAAAAAAACTCACGTATTGGTTCATGCTTCAAAAACGCTCGTCGAATATACTTATCCGATAATAATCCAGTAACACAAATCAAATAACCATATCTGAAAGTCGGTAAAGGCAAATTTTCAGAATTTCCCCCTTACATCGCTATAATTATATTAAAAGTCTGATGGAGATAAGCGCATAATAACGGGTTGCTCATTCGCATGTTTCGATCGTTGGCCACTGGAACAAAAAAAACCCGCTGACATTTCGATTAATTTGGAATGTGTCGTACGATTCGGTGTTTTTCTCTTCGGTACGCAGCACACCGGCGGCGATTGCGTACAAAGCGCCGAATTTCACGACAATCGACAAACCCGCAAAAATGAACGCCGCCGTACAATTGACAATATTGACAATTGTGAAAATCGATTTCATCCATTTTATCAATTTCAGATTCTCATTTAATTGGAATCTGAAGCTCAGCGTGTACCGCTTCGTCGGCTCCGTCAAATTTCGATGGTTCACCGTGTACAAAACAATGAAAAACTGAAAATGAGCATTAAAATCCATTTTTTTAAATTCATTTTTTTTGATCTACCATATAACACACGATATTTAGGATAATTGCCAGTGCGATTAAAATATATGAAATAAAAATGTCTGGAAAAAATTCGTGTCACAAAAAAATAGCAACGAACCAAAGTGAACTAGAATGGTCCCAATAGTGGGACCAATAATTCCATTGCCCAAAACGAACACCATCACCCAATAATGTCGGCGATTCTCATACGTCGACACCAAAATGGTGGCGAAATATCGCTCAGCGGCAATCATAAATGACCTAATATCGATTTTTTTTTTGAAAAAAAATAATTGACATACAGAATTGAAATGATCACCATGAAATGGACGCGTACGAGGCTGCAAATGAACACAACGATGTCGAAATCATTCTGCGATGGCGGCAAGTGGTTCTCCGGAAATAGTGGTCCTTCTGAAATGGCGATCATTGATTAATTGAAAAAAAATACGAGAAAAAGCAGAAAATTTGAATAATTTATGTGAAATTCAGGTGTTATGAGCCCCATGCGCCTTTAATCAATTAAAGCGCAATTCTTAGTCACGGTATTCAAAGGCGCATTGCGTTTTTGTTTTTCCTCTTTGCAATTTTCTCAAAATCGTCGCGATTCAATAATGCAATTTTCGATTTCTGCAAAAAATTTGCGATCGACAAAAAGCAAAACGCTCAAAAATCAAACACCGAGGGGCCGCGAAATTTTCTCGGCCATCTCTCAAGAAACTCGGCCACCGCCAATTTTTCTTCGAATATCTACAAAAAAAGGATATTTAAAAGGAAAAAAACTCAAAAAAAGTGAAGTTTTTTTTTCAAATTTTCTCCAAGTTCAACGAAAGAATTGCAACCCACCGCTTCGCACAACGCCAATCTCATACAAAATGATAATCATTCGGCATATCATATCGACAACGTACATGCTCGTCGCGTAGACGATAATCGCCAGAAAATTCAAATGAAACGCCATTTTCGTCGTGAAATAGATGACGAGAAAATAAATGATGATCGCGGCGAACAGCGCAAAAAATTCAATCGCCAAAATCGTCGACATCAAAATTTTATCAAATCTCTCGAACACTACCACTTTATGATATTGAACAATAAACATTTTGTCTCATTCAAATGGTGCATAATCAAATTATTCGCTTTTTTTTTCATCCATAATCAAGCAGGTGAAAAGTCTGTCTCCACCTATAATCCCTTATTATAGTATAGTTCTTTCGCGTTGGTCTTGTCGCGAATTTCAGCCTCCAATTGATCGACAGGTAGCTGAAAAATGACAATTTTCACGATGAGACCTCCCCCATGACTTACAGCGCTTTCTTGCGGGAACAATGCCAACGCCACCGGCAGCGAAGCGGCAAACGACAACGTGCAAACCAGCGCGTTGACGAAAATATGTCGCACTTTGGTTTTCGTCACCCAATCATATCTGAAACTCATTATTATTTCATTTATTTTTGCATGAAAATTCAATTTTCCGATTTTTTCTAGCTAATTAATTGGGTCCAGATCAGAGCTGCACGAAACTTAAATTTTCTAAAAATGGAAGATGGAACAAAATTTTTTTGACGGAAAGCGGAAAACGGAACACAAAGTTAATCTAACTCGAATACTTTAAAATTGACAGTTCAGAATACGAGAGTTTCCAAGTGCTTTCTCGAACAAATTTCTCGCTAAAAACCTTTTTAGATTCGCTAGACGTGCTAGAAATTGGGAGATATTTCAAGCGGAACAAAAATGTCACGGAAAACGGAAGACAGAATTCCGTGCAGCTCTCGTTCCGCACGGGACCCAAGACGAAAAAAAAATGTCGCCCAAGTAAAATTGTAATAGCAAAATTTGTTGAATTTTGCAAATCTCTAATTTTTAAAGACTTTTTTGCTCTTCGGGATTACGGTAGCACTAGTTATGTACCTCTCAAAAAACGGCATAATGCACGGCGGGATGAGCAGAAGCGGGACGGGCAGAAACGCGCGAACCAGCGTCGTGTCGGTGACCGCCTGTTTCGCGGCCACCTTCGACACGCCGACAACTCGACCGCTATCCTTCTCATAGACCTCGATGCCCGTCTGCAGCTCGTTCCATCGCATACATATCACGTTGAGCGACGACGCCAACGAGGTGGCCGGCAGCGGAACGAATCGCTGAACGATGAGGCGCGTCGTCGCCGGCAATTGCGACGACTTCTTGATGGCGTAGGTGAGGCCGGCCGACACCGAGCACGCCGCCGTCACCGCCGCCGAATAGGCGCCAATGTATTTCGACAACGGTTGCGGCTGAAGCGACCATTCAAACGCAAAATCAAATCAAAAACAATACAAAACCTGCGTCGCGTTTCGATTGGCGTAATTGACGCACGCGTTGTGCGACTGATTCATCCATTGCCAAAAAATGAGCGTCGGCCACGACGGATTCGGCAACAGCATTCCCGTCACCGTGATCCAGCCGAACGGCACAAAGCCGCTCATTCGAAACGGCGCCAGAACTTTCTCGCCCGTATCCGGATGAAGAACCGCCTGCTTCAGCTTCTGCGCTTCCCACAGCGATTTGTCCGGGATATCTTCAAAAAAAAAAAAATAAATCATTTTTTTTTGTTTTTTTCTCCCTACTTTTCGCATTTCCAGCTTTGAAGTCTTCCAAAAGCTGCACAGCATCCTTCAATTTTTTCTGAAAAAATAATTAATGAGGCGAAACCCAAAAAAAATGAAACCAAACCTCTGAGGCGAATAGGGTCCGCGGATCGATGACGTCCAAATAATGCAAATATCTTCCGAGAAACGTCTCCTGCGCGAATCGCGGCTGACCGAGCTTGAACGGCGGATACGCAGGAAAACCAAAAACGCGCGTCGTGTCGCTCATTCGCGTTTCTAATGATATTGATAAGACACACCTCTCACACTGCTAATTCAACAGTTGTTGACCACAGAAATTTCGATTTCGTTGTTTATACGCGAGAGCGCCGAGAAACCAGAAGAGAGCGGCAGACGTGAAAAGTAAAAAAGGAACAACGGAAAAAAAAGCTGCTCAGCTACTCGGATAATTGTTCTCGTCAGGGATATTCAGTGGACTGACAGATGAGTAAAGACATCATTGCCCTTCGCGCGGGGTGGGATCGAACCCGCAAAGTGTCGCGCGACAAACGCGAACACAAACCAATGAACCATCCCCCGCATTGAGGTCGGCGAGGTGAACGCGGTATAGGTGATGAGCGCGCATGGGACCCTCCACAAAAGCCCAACCCGCAATTGTGCAAATAAACAACGAACAATAGGGCGCGCAAAAATCAACAAAAAAGTTGCCATAAAAGGCGAAAATGAATAACTAATAAACAAAAAATGAGTTGCCTTCATCTCATCGTTCTAATCGCCGCCGTCGCTGAAGCGCGCCTCATCGAAAATCGCCAACAACTCGACGATTTCATCGAGAACGCCAATTTGCGAGCGGGACCGAAGAGAATACTGAAAGCCGCCGCTGAGGAGAACCTCATCAAACGTGACTTTTCTCGCAAAACCAAAATTTACTCAAATTCGTCTGTTTTCTTTTTTTTCAGTTCCCATCGACATCGATTCGCTGCTCGCTTCATTCGTTCAACTGTTCTCCTCAAATTTCATCAAACTTCCCAACTTCTTCGGACCATTCGATTCGCGCATTTTCGGTTAACTGTTTATTATCGATGAAATTAATAAAAAAAACGAATCATTCATTCGCATTCTGTGTCCATTTTTGTATGTTCCATTCTCTAAAATGCAATATTTCAGCAAAAATAGAATTTGAAAAAAAATTCACACCCGTATTTCCTTTATTGCCTGCTCCACATCTTCTTCACAGCTCAAATCTTGAATTTTGTAGCCAAAAGTTGTAGCCATCATGACTTTCTCTGCAAAAAACGTCACGCTTAAAACTACAATGGTCCCTTATTGATATACCTTTTCCACAATGCTCGTTAGTTCTGTAGACCGTGGCTTCATACAAAAACTTGAATGTATCATACATTATTGCTTCCGACGTTCTCATAAATGCTATCAACGGATTCGAAATATAGGAAATTTTCGATAATCGAAGCTTCGACAAATTGACATTCACGAAAACCTTCTCGCCAATCCAATCATCGTCATTCAACGGATTATCGATAAGATTCAAGTCGTACAAATTGCACAATTCTTCAATTCCATACTCATTGACATTTTGTAAGCCCAAATTGCCAATATTCAAAACCTAAAAATTAAAAAAAATTTCATGGAGGTATGGGGAATTGAACCCCAGCCCTCTCCCATGCTAAGGGAGCGCTCTACCACTGAGCTATACCCCCAGCTGAAAGATATAGAAGCTAGCGGCATAGAAAAATGCGGCGACCGATCGCGCACTCGTCGCCTCACACCCTCTAGCCGATTAACATTGAAAACTTGCAGTTCTCATGCGCCTTTAAGTCGACCGTACCTCAACATTCTTAAAATCAGTTAAAGCGAGTTTGTCAGCGCTTAAAAAGTTGGTTTGTCCCCGAATGTCCAATCCTTGAATTTTCTCCGGGTTCGGAAGAATCGGCACACTTTCAAGTATCTAAATTGGTGAAATATCGAGAGAAAAAAAACACACTGCTACCGTATAAACCTACCGTATTCTCGGCCGGTGGAGAATTAACACCGCAATCGATTGAAATTTGATTAAAACATTTAATAATACTGGAGTTCGAATCAATTCTGCAAAAAAAACTGAAGTCAATTTCAGGTTTTTCGAAAATTTTGCCCCCACGCTTTCACATCGTACACCAACAAATTGGTCAATTTCGCAAAAATATTGTCCGGAAGAGTAATTAAGCGATTTCCAGCCAAATTCAAGTATTTCAGCTCAACTAGATGATCAAAAGCATACTGAAAACCGAGAATTAAAAATAAATATAAAGGAAATTTAAAGAAAACAAAGACTACCGCCTCAATATTCGATATCATATTGCATTGAAGTGTCAGCGAAATCAATTTTCGAGATTTCGCCAAAAATGGCGCTTTAATTGTGGTAATTTGAGAGCTGAAAATATTTTTCTCAAATATTTTCACTTAAAAATTTTTTTTTTTCAACTTTTTCAATTGAAAATGCTCCAAATCGACAAGCTCATTGAGCACATCGATATTCGTCGAATCGGTCAAACTCGTCTCAAACTCCAAAAACTGCAAAAGGCAAATTTCTAGCCAAAAAAAAACAGAAAGGAAATACCTGAGTTTTGGCCATTTTCAAAAATTCCGGCACATTGTCGAATTCAACATCATAAAATGTAACGCCTTTCAACGAATTGATCACAGTTTTCGGCTGAAAATCTTTAATTGAAATCTAAAAAAAGAAACAATTCCCTTTTCAGTGCTTTAATTCAATTATCAATTGAAAATACCAAAATTCGAGTATTCGCTTCGAGACCCACCCAAAAAAAAAACTGTAAAATGCTTCAGTTTAACTTTGTTGATTCGAAAATATGAATAAAAAATCATCTAAAGTATATTCACACAAAAAAGAAACCAAAAAATTTCAGATATTTCGAAAATTGTGCAAGGTCGAGTTGGCCGTCCGATCTGGCAAGTTAGGCAACCTCGAGCCGTGGACAATTTTCCCAAGCAAAAATTGTCCGCAGCACGTTTATTTCTTAATTTTTTTTCGAAAATTAGCCGTAAGAGTAGATATTTTAAAATTATTGAAACAAAAAATCGCCACCATTTTGCTCATATCGCCCAACGCCATTCGGGCGAACACGATCGTTTCAAGATTCTCCAATTGGCCCATAATCTCGTACAAATCATCAGCCGGATTCAAACGCGGCCGATCAATTTGGTCGATCGACGAGTAGCGGGTTTTCGGGTTGCCAAGCGCGAGATGCCCAATTTCCGGATGACGCTCGATCATTTCCTTCATTTCCGCGTACAACGAGCTGAGAACTTTCGCCGACGGTTTTTTGGGAAGCTCGGGAACAATTTGAAGACCTTCGAATGTGAAAAAAAATTGCCTTAATGGAAGCTCCGAGAGAGAGACAACAAATGCGAACCTTGAATCGGCAATGTCTCGAAATATTTTTTCGTCTTATTATCCAATCCATACGGTGGATCAACGAGTTTCCTCATGAAAACGTCGAGTGTGGCGAATGTGGTGGAGAGAAAAATGCCCTGAAATTAAAAAAAAATGGTCTTGTCGCGAAGCAAAGCCATCTTTTTAACGTTTTTTTGCAATTCGACAATAATTTTTCAAAATTTTAAGTTTTTTTCCTCGATAAAATCGAATTTTGAATTCGAAACTCAAAAATCGCACGTCTTGTTTCCCTTTGGCGGTCAACGGCAGATCCCAATTCGAGCAGTTGATTTTTCGCGACGGCGAAATGTCATCGCCGACCTTCCACGTTGGCGGCGGTCGACGTTCGCCGCATTCCGGTTTTTCTGGAAAAAAAAGTTGAATTTAAAACAGGACGAAAAATTGTACATAAAAAAAAAATAAAAATATTTTTCAGAAATTTGAGGCAAAATCGTGAGATTTTCCAGATTTCATCAATAATATCCGTTTTTCAGGCCAGATATTTGAGTTTCAATCAATTATCCTAGTTTTTAACTTCAAAATAGTTTAAAATGTGAGAATTTTAATAAATAATTGAAATTTTTGCCAAAAAATTCGAAACTGACGAATTTCGACGAAATGAGCGCATCTGCGTCGGCAAACCGTTGTGGCAAACTCTCCAAAATTATAAATGTCTGAAAATTTTGGCTCGAATTCAAGAATTGAATAGATCCAAGTACCGAAAAGTTGATTAATATAATTGTTGCCAGAGCTCAAAGAGTAGCACGGATGAAGTTGCTTCGGAATTGAGAAATCGCGTCTTCCAGCATTCACAAGCTTCACCGTCGACATTATCGGGAACTCGTAGTTGGTGACGTAAAATCGTCTAGAAAAAATTCATGAAAATTTGAGAAAAATTTGACAAAACCCGTCATTCGCATTGAATTTCCCGTACGAATCATCGCAAAACACGACCGGATTCGAGGCGTCGCGAAAATCGATGAAAATAATTCTGAAATTGCGAAGAATTGTTCTATTTCACAAGAAAATTATCAAATATTGACTTACACGAGTAATAGAAGCCGTCGATTCATATGAATAATGCGAAAATCTCATTTTTGTATTGCTCCCGAATTCGAATTGCCGACGCCGGAAATTGAAACAATTTCCGGACAAAAATAACTGAAAATGATGATTTTTTGAATTAAAATAACACGATTATTCATTTTTTTCCGAAATTTAATAACAAATTTTGGCAATTTTAAAAAATTGGGGAAAATGTGAAATTTCCAACCATAATTTTTAATAGAATCATGATTTCTGAGAAATATAATTTGAAATATCGTTAATTAGCAAAAAAAATAAAAGAAATAGTCAAACTTAAGCAAGAAAAGGAAAAATCATTGAAAAAAACAAACGGAAATTTTTGAAAATTCAAAAATCGTGCAATTGCCGCATGGTCTTTTGCAACTGAGCGGCACATAATTCAATATTGCAAATTTCAACAAAATTGAATTTTTTTGAAAAGAAAGTCAAATTTTTAAAAATTCATATTAAGAGCTGTTCAAAGATGATCATAAAACAATATAGTTTTCACATGTTCGCCGCTGTTTCACACGATTTTCGTTAATGCATTTGAGAAACTTGTCAGCAACTCGATATAAATGGAAATGTTTCGATTTATTTTTTGAACGAAATAAATGCGTCTTCGCTTCTTCCAATATTTCCTTATTTGGCTCACAACCATCTCGTTCGTCGGCGCTTTTGAAAAAAATCTCGTTTATGATTATATCGCGAAATACGCGAATTTCTCAACGGACCCTTGCGACGATTTTTTCGCGCACGTTTGTCCGACGTCGCAAGGCCATTTTCGGTATATGGTCGACGATGAAAAAACGCGAATTTTGAAGAAAGCCGCTGAAAATGGGCATCGATTCAGCGATTTTTGGGTGGGAACACCAAAACGCAAAATTGCACCATTCATTTATTTTTTTTCCAGATGAAAGACGATGTTCTATTCGAATATAAATTGCATAATGCTATTAATAAAGGGGAAGCAATGAATATGTGAGTTAGAATTTAAATATTTTATTTTAAAAAATTGTTCAAAAATTGTCCATAGTCGAGGTTGCCTAACTTGCCAGATCGGACGGTTTTCAGAAAATCGATGAATTTTAAGCGAAAAAAAATGGATTTTGAGATTTTTTTTTTTGAAAAACCCAGTTTTCATGAGCAAATAATGAATATTCGAGTTTTTAAAAACTTTATTTTTGGCATTTTTCGAGACTGCCGAAGTCGAGGTTGCCTAACTTGCCAGATCGGACGGTTTTCAGAAAATCGATTAATTTTAAGCGAAAAAAAATGGATTTTGAGATTTTTTTTTGAAAAACCCAGTTTTCATGAGCAAATAATGAATATTCGAGTTTTTGAAAACTTTATTTTTGGCATTTTTCGTGACTGCCGATGTCGAGGTTGCCTAACTTGCCAGATCGGACGATTTTCGGAAAATCCATGACACTTACTTAGTCACTTAGTCGGTTCGTCCTTCGCCTGTTGAGGCGCGAACCACAGCTTTCCAAGCTTTTCGGTCCTTGGCTTGGGTGGACCAGGGGGTGATAACGGCTCCTTCAACTGTTCTTGTAGTGATCTCCTTCCGAAGCGAGTCCGACCATCTTCTCATGGGAGGCCTTCCTCTTGGCCGGGTCCAGTTCCACGGCCGCCACTCCGTTAGAAGAGTAGTCCATCTTCCATCTGTTCTTCTAGCAACGTGTCCAGCCCAGGTCATCTTCCTCTTCGTGATGTGGTGTAGGGGGTCCCGAACTTTAGACATGATGCGGATGTCCTCTCGATGAAGATCTTGTTCACGTTGTTGTGATAACGTGAGGCCAACCAATCTTCGCTCAAGCGCAGCGTGACTAATTCGGACTCTCTCGGCAAGAGCTTTGGTGAAGGTCCAAGTCTCTGATCCGTAAGTCAGCGCTGGGAGAACGATGGAATCGAAGAGCTGTGCGCGGGTTTTGTTACAGGAAATCAAATCGGTGGTGTTCTTGATTCCATTAAACGCTGCCCAAGCTGCTCTTCTCCTTCGGAAGATCTCCTTGACTAGCTCGTTTCGGAAAATCCACGAAGGAAGAAAATTTTTAAAATATTCAATTTTTTTTGAAAAACTCAATTTCACTTTTTAAATCCATTTTTCCACACTCTAACTTGCCAGATTTGCCACCGTCCGATCTGGCAAGTTGGGCAACCTCGAGGCGGGGACAATTCTCCGACCGCGCGATTTTCAAAAAAAACGAAAGCGAAACAAAAAATTTCAGTTGCAATTTGGAGAAAATCGGCAACGTTGTGATCTACAATCTCGCGAAAATGTTCGACAGCATCGTGAATTCGGTGATAAATCTCGAAACGAGTTGCGAGCACAACGCGATGTTCATCAGCGCGAATTACAATCAGGCGAGAGTGCATCGATTTGTGAACGCGATCGAGAACGGCGCGAAGACGGTGGCCGTCTTCGAGACGCTCGTTGGAATCGAGAAGCGCATCAAACAATTGTTCAGCGATATAAAGGAGATTCTAAGGGCCAAGATTACGGTAGGGGAGGGGGGGGGCAGCCTGGGTACTGTAGGTGATGGATCAATTTTCAGAGGACGCCTTGGGCGCGCAACAAAAACGTCACCCAAATATTTTTGCAAAAACTTGACAATATGACATTGAATGATTTCGGAACGTTCTCGAAATACATCGATGATGGGATTTCGGCGTATATGAAGGCTTACAATGATTGTGTTCAATGGTAAACTCTCATGGTCCCTTGTGGTAGAACAATTATTTTTTTTTGAAAGGAACGCGCCGGTGCTATTCTGCAAGGCGTCGGCTGTTCAGATCGGCGGTCAGACGATTGTTGGCAATCCGATTGCGTCGGGTCGAATGATCATTTCGAGCGCCAATGATTGTATGGGAAAATTGTTCAATATGGACGATGTGAGTTGCGCGAGCGGGAATTTTTAACGTGTGACTTCATTGCGAACACCTGCGGACATTTTCCGGGTGGCGCCACAATCGCCAGTTTGTTGTTATTGATGGTGATGGCGGCAATTCAAATCACCGCTGCCCAACTTGCCAGGCGGTCCTGGTGTGCGCCTTTAAACTATCCTTAAGCATTGGCCCGTAAATCTACACTCTTGGCTTTGTGCCAAGACCATTTTCCGCGTAATTTTTGTATGAGACTGAACGAAAAAAAAACGTCCGATCTGGCAGGTTAGGCAACCTCGAGCCGGGGACAATTTTTTGTTTTGGCATTTTTTTCCCGGTGAAACCAACATTTTTTGGGTTCGGTTTTAATTTTTTTTTAACATTTTCTGTTTTAATTATTGCAAAAATATTTTTTAAAGGCACATTTAAAAATTGCCCACGGCTCGAGGTTGCCTAACTTGCCAGATCGGACGGTCAGTTTTCGTCAGACAAATTTTTTAATTTCGAAAATTCAATTCAATTTTTTTTAGAAAAAAAGCAAACGTCGAAAATTTGCATTAAAATCTAAAAAAAAATCGAAATTCGACTTTTTTCATGTTTGCCGCGCCTCGAAGTTGCGCAACCTGCCAGATCGGACGTCCGATCTGGCAAGTTAGGCAACCTCGAGCCGTGGACAATTTTCTTTTTGCCTTCAGAATAACGTCTATATTCCAACATTCATGCAAATGGTGGCCCATGAGGACAACATCGCGACATTTGTAAGAAATGCTGAATGTGTGAATCAAAATATTCGAGTTTAGTACGGCCTCATCGGATTCCTAACGTCACACGAAGTAATGCACAGTTTCGTCTACGAGCAAGCCGACAAATCGCCGCTCAAATACCTATGGACCATCGAGACGGGCTGCATTGCGGACCAGACGAGAAGCACGTGCAAAACGTTCGGAATAGTAGGTGTCTAGCAATTTTTTGGAGGGGGATTTTGAGCTTTTCCATTTTTTTTTCTCGTCTTTTCAGCCGTGTCCCAACGATTTGTCGAGTGTTTTCGAAGAGGACGCCGCCGATTTGAACGGCATCCGAATCGCGTTCGACCTCTACAAACAGCAGAAGGCGTTGATCATCGACAAGAAGGGACGATTCGGAATCGAGCGGAAGGCGTCGTTGACTCGCGACTCGCGCCACATCACCGACGATCAATTGTTCTTCTACGCGTCGGCGGCGCATTATTGCGAGGGATTGCCGACGGATTATTCGGCGGCGTTCTATCGTCCGAAAAAACTCGAGCAGCACTCGAAGGATCCGATTCGAGTCAACAACGTCGCGTCGCAAATGATCGAGTTCCATCGCGCTTTTCATTGTAGGCCCGAGCAGAAGATTGTCAAGAACAAGGCGAGCTTCTTCTTCTTCCACTTCAACTTTTTAACGACGGTTTTCAGGTGAAGGATTGCGTTCATTATGGGACGAACGCGCCGGAGCGGAAGGCCGCTGGCGCGGAGCCGACGATAGGGCTTGAGAAGAAGCTCAAACCAGATGCGGGTCTCAGAGCGCTGAACAACACCAATGTAGCGAATAGTAGTAAGACGAAAAAGAAGAAGAAGCTGGAGCACAAGGCTGCTGCTCCCAAGGCTTCAGAGCCTAAGAAGCAAACGCTGGAGGTAGTTGGGACTCCTAGGAATAGCAGCACTGTCATCAGTGGTGCGAAGAAGCTGGAGCACAAGGCTGCTGCTCCCAAGGCTTCAGAGCCTAAGAAGCAAACGCTGGAGGTGGTTGGGACTCCTAGGAATAGCAGCACTGTCATCAGTGGTGCGAAGAAGCTGGAGCTCAAGGCCAGTACTGGCGAGAAGCTAGCGACGACGACGACGACGACTCCCAACCCGACGACACTCGCCGAACCCGCAAAACAATAAATTTGCGTCATAAAAAATTCGCAATAAAATTCGCACAACTTCATAACTTGAATTTTTTTTGCGCTCTCTTTCAACCAGGTTCTCCTTATTTATTCAAAAGCTCATTTTATGTTCGAGTGTCCCGAAATGGCACTCGACGAAACGTATTTGCAGTTTTTTTGTTGTTCGTCGAGATTTTTTTTTGGCTTTTTCTTCAACCCACCGGCGGATAATAATCGGTTATGCGCGATAATTTTAGGTTTTGGTTTGCCTGAAATTCTATATGCGCCTTTAAGCGCCGCGAGCACTGTAGGCGAGAATGATACACGTATACGCAGCGCGTTGGCATTGCCGGCATGTCGCGTGTGGCGCAGGCGGTATGTCGCGCCGGTGTCTCGCCGTTCTTTTGCACTGGTTCGACCCTCCACCCTCCAAGTGCACGCGAAAATTTCAAGAATCTCGTTCAGGCAAACATTCGACCCAAAATTGGGTTCGTTGATTAAACCAGCAAAAGCAGCGCAACGCTTTCCCTAATTGTCCACGCCCATCATTTCGGCCGCCTGCCTTCTTCCTCCCCTCACGCTAGCCCTTATTTGGCAGGCAGCGGCCAGTCGAGTCCGGCCATTCCCCCCAGTTTTTTTGTGTGCAGCGGCGGCACTCTCGTGTGCGAGTATACATATATGTGTGTGTGCGAACAATGAATAATTCCGTTTCAAGCACTTTCCCAAAAAAAAATATGGTGAGATGGGTTTTCGGCTCAAGAAAACCTGGCCAAAAAAGGGGTTTTCATTTTTTTTTCCATCTCCTCATTCCTCTCTCTGCGCTTCTCTCCATAATTCGTGTTATCAACAACCCGAGACACACAACAACACACACATACACTCAATTTGATAACGGAAGCATTATCGATCGCCTTTTCAATTCATTATAACTAATTGCCCACGGCTCGAGGTTGCCTAACTTGCCAGATCGGACAAATTTTAACTCTCACCACAAAAAAATGGAGGGATGATCGTCCGATCTGGCAAGTTAGGCAACGTCGAGCCGTGGACAAAAATTGTCCGCAGCACGAAATCGTCATTTTTGGTTTGATTTCAGCGTCGCCCAGCCCAAAATGAAATGAGGACAAATGTGGACGCTGTTGTTGCTGCTGACGTCTTTTTTGGCGCTTCTGTCCGGCTGTCGAGGTTCGCCTTTTTAGCAACCCGTAGTAGCCTTAGGCGGGGGGGGGGCGACAAATTCGATTTCGTGCTCCATGATATATCTTTCCCTTTTTTGGTTTTGCCAACGAGATGAGGATTACCCCATGGGACGTCACCTCCTCAACGGACGGGGGGACCATCACGATAAAATCAGTGGTGGTGGCTGACCTCACCAAATCCCCGCCACACAACTCTGCAATTAAGCCCCACTAATACATACATTGTTTGACATGAGTTTCATGGTCCCATTGATGTTAATAAGGCATGGGGATTGGAATGGAAGGCAACAAAAAAAACACAAGGAATTGCCTCGAAATTTGTTGGCCCCAGGGGGGGAGGAGCGGCTTAATTATGCTAGTTTGGCCTTCTTCTCTTCGCTTTCTTATTTCCTTTTTGGTTCACGCAAATCGCTGAAGCGGAATGTCAGCAGATGCGCAATTTTTGATAAAACGTTGAGATTGCCCAAAAATGGCGCATCGGACCCCCAGGCCTTTAGCTTCACCCTCGAACTTTCAAACAAAGGAAATTGTGAAGAAAATAGGGTTTCTTTTATTTTGCAAAAAATGCAAATCTCCACAAAATTGGCGAATTTTCGAGACACCAAAAATTGTCCCCGGCTCGAGGTTGCCTAACTTGCCAGATCGGACGGAAAATGTTGAACTGCTTCGCAAAATGTTTTTTTTTTGGATTTTAATGATATTTGGTACACATAGAACGGAATAGAAGATTTTTAAAAAGAAATTTTCAAGAAAAAATTTGTGAAAATTTATTTTTCCAAGAATTTCTTATAAAAAAAAAGATTTTTTTCCAACAATTTCTTATCAAATTTTGCACGCTCTTTTCTTAAAAGTCCTCATTTCTCTTTTAAAATTCGATTTTTTTTTCAATTCGACTTTTTTCCCGAACTGCCGGAGTCGAGGTTGCGCAACCTGCCAGATCGGACGTCCGATCTGGCAGGTTAGGCAACCTCGAGCCGGGGACAATTTTATTTTTTGCACTTTTTTGAAGCGGAATTTTCTCTGGAGAATTGTCAACTCAAATCTAAAAAAAACGCGCGAATTCGTATAGCTCATATCCTTCGAGAATTTCATCAAACCAGAAAAAAATGCTCTCCTTTTCTTCCGTTTTCGAAAATTGAAGGGGATGGGAATAATAAGTAACGACGCTGGTGCACATTTTTGCTCAAACTTGATTTTTTAAACACTTTTTTACTATTTCAATGCACTAAATCATCAAAAATCATTTTTTTTCTGAAAAATGATCAATTTTGAGCTCACCTTCTGCCCCATTCTGCCCACTTTCCGGCAGTCACGCTTTCAAAAAATTAAAACGAAATTATAAAAAGAAGTCTAGCATCAAAATGCAAAGCATTAGTGAAATTCGCGTGTGTCCAGATGTTCATATTTAAAAAAAAAACCACGTCTTTTCGAGCACCACATTTTCGCTCGTCTGTGTTCGCCGAGAAATCGCATTAATTTCGCCGCGCCATGAACAAAAAATCCCCACCAACGACGCTTTCAATCCATTTTTGAACGAGTCTGGGCATTTGGCATATTCATTGGAGAAAAAAACGCAAAAAAAAAATTGAGAATTGCATTTTTTGGGGGGTTTCGAAAAACTGCCGCGCCTCGAGGTTGCCTAACTTGCCAGATCGGACGGCGATCTCAAAAATGAGCATGTCAGTCATTTTTTTTTCGTTATTTCGAATTCAAACAATCACGAAAAAAAGCAAGTCAATTAAAAAAATGTCGAATTTGGTTTTCTTTCTTATTTTTCAAGAATTCTACGAGTTTGTCAAGGTTTTCATTTGTTCGTCCGATCTGGCAGGTTAGGCAACCTCGAGCCGCGGCAGTGGAATTTTTCATGGAAATCTCAAATTTTTTAAAGATATTTTCTTGAAATTTTGGCAATTTCTACTATTATTTTCAACCCATCTGAACAATTTTAATTTTTTTTAAAATTAGAATTTGCGGTTTTATGGGGAACTGCCCCGGCTCGAGGTTGCCTAACTTGCCAGATCGGACGGTTTTCAGAAAAACTCATGACTTTTATGCGAAAAAATGGATTTTGACATTTTTTTTGAAAAACGCAGTTTTCATGAGCAAATAATATAAATTCGAGTATTTGAAAACTTTATTTGGCATTTTTTGTGACTGCCGAAGTCGAGGTTGCCTAACTTGCCAGATCGGACGATTTTCGGAAAATCCATGAAGGAAGAAACATTTTAAAAATATTCAATTTTTTTTTGAAAAACACAGTTTCACTTTTTTAAAATCCATTTTGCTACACTCAAGGTTGCCTAACTTGCCAGATTTGCCACCGTCCGATCTGGCAGGTTAGGCAACCTCGAGGCGGGGACAATTTGTTGAAAATCGATTTTCCAACAAAGAAACATCATTTTTCGCATCGAAAATTGTTTTTATGACTAATTGCAGTTTAATTATCGGAAAATTACATTGAGATTTTCAAAAATTTTCAGCGTCTCGCTGCCGTTTACCATGGACGGGTGCATGGCTCGAGAACGGCTCGGAGCTCAACATCACACACAACTCGATCGGCAATTTGGGCAATTGTGTGCATCGCTCGCAAGACCTCTACCTTCTCACCAGCGAAACGACGAAAGGCTCGTGTTACCGTTGCCTCATCACGTTTCCCGTCCATGAGAACGTGCTGCATTACAAGACGAGTAATTCGATTCTCGATATCGTCGTCGCGAGCCGCCGTTTCTTTTTTCAGCGCCCTGCATTTTCGACCCGGCGTTCTCATTGGAGAAGTGCGCGCAGTTGATGCACGCCGACACCACAATGCACACGTTGTTCAGGAGTATGTCCTATTTGATTCTATTCTAGCTGCCGACATTCATCGGGGCCGTTTCCAGAGGACGCCGCGCCGGTGCCGTGTCCAATCGACGCGCCGTTGAACTTCACCTATCAATCAAGTCATGGCGTGTGCAGCAGTCGAACGTCGCACATCCATCGCTGCTCACAATACAACCTGTTGGCGCTTCATTATCAAGCGTGTCCGGAGATACCGAATCGAGAAGCGGCCGTGTGGCAAATGGAGTGCATCGGCTCGTGGCAATCGTTTGGCCAAAACTATTTTGCGGCTCGCGTTGGATATCGAGCCGGCGAGCAGTATAGATGCTTTGTAAGCTCTCTGAAAAAAAATCTAGTGTTTTTGGTTTCGGCAAAACTCGAAATTCACCTGGGGGGATCGAACCCGCGCAAAACCTCCACCCCCCCCCCCACTCGCGCGTTCTATCAACTGCTCCACGAAGGACGCTGGCTTTCAAGCGGCAAAGTGCATATACGCGTGTTTCCCCCATCCACTGGCAATGTTTTTCAAAATTTTCTTTAAAAACCATTTCAGCTGCTGGAAAAATCTGGAACCGGTGGCCGAATTGGCGAGTCGGCCGACGCCGGCTGCCAAGAGCTCACCCATATCGGTGCCGCGGCAACCACCATCAGTTTCAAACAAGGTACTCGAAAACTTCATCGGCGTTGCCGAACTCAATTTCCAGACTCGCCGATCTACTCGAATTGCGAGTTTCCGGTCTCGATGCACATCGATCGCAATCGCTTCTGGGAATCGCTCGTCAACGGCAACCATCAAAAGGTCCACAAAGGGACGTGGATGTCAACGCAGAAGCTGAAAAACGAGACGGTGTGGAGTTGTCTGCACGAGACGCCGACGGGTCCCGAGACGATCTCGTATCGCACGTTCGTCACCAATGGCTGCCGCGTCGGATACCAATGCGTTCGCGTCCATTTGCGGCAAACCCACATCGTTCACATCGACTATTCGACGGTGGTCGACGAGGAGCTCGAATTGGACTGTATTGAGTTCGACGTCGAGTCTCGCGACACGCTCGTCCTTCACGACGCCCAACAGGCGTGTCCGATGGGCGGACGCCATTTCTCCGACGGCTGCAAGAGCTCGCCGATGCTCAGCGTCGGATGCGATTCGAAATATTCGATGACGATGTTGCGCGATTGCCAAATTGACGATGGCGGTGAGATTTTGATGCTTGCCCATTGTCCCCGGCTCGACGTTGCGCAACTTGCCAGATTTGCCGCCGTCCGATCTGGCAGGTTAGGCGACCTCGAGGCGGGTGACAATTTGACAATATTTTCGTCATCCGGAAAATTTTCAGACGAATTCAAATGCATCGCCAATTTTCGTCACGATGACAACGATTTCATAGTGGTACGCGATGAATTATCGCGTCAGCTCTATTGTATGGTGAGTCGCTCAAAATATTTATGCAAATGGTTGTTTACGCGATTTTTTGATGAAAAATATATACGAGGAGGAGGGGAAGCCCTTCATTTTTGGCAGACAAACGTTGATACTCGTGCCAGAGGAGGCGCAAAAAAGCGAAATCAAATAAGGGGGGTCGAACCTGCAAAACAATCCCGCTAAATAACACCGCATCATAACAACTGCGCTATGGTGTACCTGGGGAAAGGGCTGTTGAACGCCATATACTTGCATGCGCACTCTTCATAGTTCAAAAAATTAATTTCAGACGTACATCTCATCGCGAATCAATCTTCTCCGCATGTACGACCGCGTTTCTTGCGAAGCGCTCTCGATAAATGGCGCTGTCCCTTTAATCACTCTCAATTTCACCGCTTCCGATAGCTGCTCGCCGTCGCTTCTCTCCGGTTTTCTGTACTCGTCTTCAGTTTCTCATCCGGTGCTTTTTGTCATATTCATGATACTCCATCTATTAACTATTTATTGAATCATTTTCAACGGGTTATTTCTTTTTCATAATAATTAACACAGATTGTCTTTTTTTTTAAATGACATTTTTGATAAAAATTTGTACATTCATAAGCGGTATTTCGGGAAATTCTAATGGTCCGTAACAATACGAGTTTTGAAGATTTTCAAATTCTGTCAATTTCTGCAAATTTCTCGCATTTCAATTAGTATATCCACCAGGCTTGGAATGAATTTATGGCGATTTGTAATTATGGCAATTAACGAAAAAAATTAGTTTAGATATCTTTGAAATTTTAAATGTCGCTTAATTCCAACCCAAAAATGGCATTAAACAATTTTGAAATCGAAAAATTTCCGAATTTGCGCAGTTTTTATGAACTGCCGCAGCTCGAGGTTGCGCAACTTGCCAGATCGGACGTCCGATCTGACATGTTAGGCAACCTTGACTGCGGTAGTGGGCTGTTTCAAACAATTTTTGCAGATATCACAATTCAAAAAATTTTAATTGACTTTTAACCGGATAAAGCAATATAATTTTCGGTAAAACTATTGAAAAATACACAAAATTTCGTGAAAATGAAAAAGTGGAAGAAAATATTGCAGGAGAAGTTCGAATTCTCAGAAATCTTCAATTTTATCGAATTTTTGAAAAAAATGATATTGCTGATTGTTTGAATTCGAAAGAACGACAAAAAAAAATTACAAACATGCTCATTTTTGAGGTCGCCGTCCGATCTGGCAAGTTAGGCAACCTCGACTTCGGCAGTCTCGAAAAATGCCAAAAATAAAGTTTTCAAAAACTCGAATATTCATTATTTGCTCATGAAAACTGCGTTTTTCAAAAAAAAAAATCTCAAAATCCATTTTTTTCGCCTAAAATTTATCGATTTTCTGAAAACCGTCCGATCTGACATGTTAGGCAACCTTGACTGCGGTAGTGGGCTGTTTCAAACAATTTTTGCAGATATCACAATTCAAAAAATTTTAATTGACTTTTAACCGGATAAAGCAATATAATTTTCGGTAAAACTATTGAAAAATACACAAAATTTCGTGAAAATGAAAAAGTGGAAGAAAATATTGCAGGAGAAGTTCGAATTCTCAGAAATCTTCAATTTTATCGAATTTTTGAAAAAAATGATATTGCTGATTGTTTGAATTCGAAAGAACGACAAAAAAAAATTACAAACATGCTCATTTTTGAGGTCGCCGTCCGATCTGGCAAGTTAGGCAACCTCGACTTCGGCAGTCTCGAAAAATGCCAAAAATAAAGTTTTCAAAAACTCGAATATTCATTATTTGCTCATGAAAACTGCGTTTTTCAAAAAAAAAATCTCAAAATCCATTTTTTTCGCCTAAAATTTATCGATTTTCTGAAAACCGTCCGATCTGGCAAGTTAGGCAACCTCGACTATGGACAATTATCCGCAAAAAAAGTTGAGATTCGGTTCTTTTAGCAAATTAATATTATTTTCTGGAATAATGGAATAACTCCAACGCGAAATTGTCCGCAGCATCCCATCATCATAAAAACGTCATTATTGTGCGCCATCCGCGAACGTTTGGCAACCTTCCTATGGGTCATCCATCGCCGGCCAACTTGCGACCATCAATAAATATATATATACACCATACACCAATAATGCTGTTCACCGCGTTGTGCACATTCCTACTCACCGGCCACATTTTCGAAATTTTGCGCCAATTCAAACACGAGTCCGAATGGCGACGATTCGGCTATCCGCTTCTCGTGATGATGTTCATTCGGATTCGAGTCGATCCGTCGATGCCCTACCTTGAATGTAAGTCGATCGGATTTCGATGGTCCCTCTAATATTTGAATTTGATTGTTCGATTCCAATCATTTTTGCGAAATTGGTCGATTTTTCGAAAATGCGAAATTTTGAAAAAAAAAATTTTTTAATTTTTTTCTCGAATAAATTTTCTTTTTTCGAGCTCAGTTTTCTACAATGCTATCAACGACGCGTTTCTTCTAACAATATTCGATATTGTTGCGCGAATTCTTCAACAATTCTACGAGTTTGTCAAGGTTTGCACTTGTTCGTCCGATCTGGCAGGTTGCGCAACCTCGAGCCGCGGCAGCGGAATTTTCCATGGAAATCTCAAATGTTTTAAAGATATTTTCTTGAACCTTTGGCAATTTCTACTATTATTTTCAACCCATTTAAAAAATTTTAATTTTTTTTAAATTAGAATTTGCGGTTTTATGGGGAAATGCCCCGGCTCGAGGTTGCCTAACTTGCCAGATCGGACGGTTTTCGGAAAATCGATGAATTTTAGACCAAAAAAATGGATTTTGACTTTTTTTTTAAACGCAGTTTTCATGAGCAAATAATATAAATTCGAGTATTTGAAAACTTCATTTTTGCCATTTTTCGTGTCTGCCGAAGTCGAGGTTGCCTAACTTGCCAGATCGGACGGTTGCGTAACCTCGACCCCGGCGGTCCTGAAAAACGTCGAATTTTATTTATTTTGGATTTAAAAAGGAAAAGAGGGTTTTAAAACCAAATTCGACATTTTTTAATTGACTTGCTTTTTTTCCTATTTAAAATTTGTCGGGACAAAATTGACCGTCCGATTTGGCAAGTTAGGCAACCTCGAGGCGGGAACAATTTTTGAAATCGCGCCGCGCGAATTGATTTTTTTTTTGCAGGACGGCATCGTACTGCAAGAAATGACGAATTTTTACCGGACCATCAGTCAATTGCCAAGAAAAATGCTAGATTTATGTAAATAAATGATTTGCACTAAATAGTTTTGTTGTTGGTTTAAAATGGTCCAGGGACCACGATAATAATAAAGGCAATTTGAGGCCAACCCAACCAATTTCTCAAAATTGTTTTTCTTTTCGCAAATTTCGTTCAATATTGAGTGATGGGTCTCAAGTTTCGATGGTCCCCCAAATCGGCATGGAATGCGAATTTAATAGATATGATCGCCGCAGGATATCATGCGCCTTTAAAGAAGCCTCCTACTTGCCTCTTGCATTTTATTTCGTGGGGACTTTGTGCGCCCCAGAAAACAATTGTGTGCAATCACCGCGACGCAAAATCACAGATTCCCTTTCGGCAACGAACCATTCTGAAAAGGAAGGTGTTTTTGCGATGCTAACTTTCAATTCTCATTGGCCTGACTCATTTCAATGACGTGAATTCCCGTTTTCGGGAACAAAAGCGAACCATCTAAAATTTTTTACAGGTAAAACGGCACATACGAAAAACGGGGCCGTTTGCAGACCGGCGTCACACCGGAGAGGAACAATGAGAAGATATTTGCGCGGTCGATTTATGATCTATTTTCAGTCTTTTATTTTCAAGAAAAATTAATGAATAGTTGCTCAGAAATATTGTCGACGTCAAACGGGACCTACAAATTCGCGAAATCAGTGTAGATTTAAATTAATCGTTGACTGAATATTAAATGCGCGTCGCTGCCTCGAGACGCATTGGCACATAGCCAAAATTTTTTGAAATTTCGTCAAGTCGCTTGACTTCGACAATATATAGGATTTAAAATTCCTTCTCGTCGTTAGTGTATATTTTCAGAAGAAAATTCATAATTAAATTTTGCCGTCGGCCCATCTCAATTCATCTCGTTGTTCTCTGCGTATTCCTCATAACCCACGACGTCGAATTCTTCATCACAATAAATCTCGCTACGCTCAAACTTGTAGAATTCTTCATTCTTATTTGGGTACCTCGCTGGAACATCGTATTTGAGGTTGGAACATCCATTTTCTGAGTGTTCTTGCCAATCACTTTTCCTAGAAGTATAATTTTATTCAAAACACGACAGGAACAGTATACATTTCTTTAAATTCTTTCGCCAATATCTTCGTTGCATCAGGATTTTGGCTTCGCATACTTGTCCTGAATATTAAACATTAGGTCAGATTTAAAATGTTTTCTACTTACGTTTTATTGCGCAATGATGATTTAATTTTTGTTAAGTAGAAGAGATCTTCTTGATACAACCCTTTTTAAATGTCTTGCACAATGTTTAAATATTTTTATCCAATTTTTTCCAATAATTGAATTTTTTAATATTCTTCTTTATTTAAAGAAAATCCTGCTTGTATTACATCTGAAAACTGAGTAGTAGGAAATCTTTAAAATAAATAGATGCATACTTGCTAAAACAAGGAAACATTTTTCGTTGAGTTTCGCATAAATGGTGAAAAAAACCGCAAATTATTGGCCAGCTATAAAAAAATAATTGAAATGATTGAATTTAGAAATTAACATACTTTAGCAATAATCATTGTAATAGCTTTCTTAATGGCTTCGTCCACAGTTCGCTAAAATGTAGATATTCATTCCGTCAGGAAAGACGACCTCTTCATCAAACTCGATGCCCTTTGAATAACAAAATACGTTGGACGATGTCTAAATATAATAAAACTGAGAATGAAATGGAAGCAGGATTTTTTAAACAAATGATTTCGTTTCAACAGCCGGTGGCAAGCTTCTTACACAGGTAAAACGGATGAGTATATATATAACTGAGACTTATATCATATATATAATAACAGAATTTCACTAATCAGATTTTAAAAAATATATAAAAATTTTTAGGATGAATGCAAAAATTCCGAAATCGTGAGGTAAAGTGCATTGTATGCATACACTACATATGCCGCAAACATGCACAATTTCGAATACAGTTCGAATACATCCAATGAAAACACGCTCCACATGTTTAAAATGCTTTTTTTTTATTTTGTTGTTAGCTTTTCAATTTATTTTTCGAATTTTCAACGTAAAATATTATTTTTCTATTATTATTCGATTTTAAATATATTAAAAACATGCGTATAGTCTTATCATATATGTTATCATATATGCTATCTCTATACGGTGGATATTTATGTCGAAAATAAAATTATGCCCATTTTCGCTTCGAGACACAACTCGCACAAAAATAGAACACGATCATTGGAACAAGAAAATGATTCAGAAGTGGGTTCTTTCAACAAATGACAAAAAAAGAAACCATCATCAACGGGAACCCTTTAAAAGGGTTGGCCGATGGCCGATGTTGAAAATTGCCAACTTCGCGATGATTCTCGCCGTCGCTCTTCTCGCCACCACCGCCGCCACCATCGCCACCAATCATCCTTCGCCATTTGTGCAGCAGCCGCCCAAAAGCTTTTGGCACTTCAAAACCATCACCAGAACTGTTGATCTTGGATCGTTCAAGGGTATCTTTTGAAAATTGTTGCGGAAAATTGTCCCCGCCTCGAGGTTGCCTAACTTGCCAGATTTGCCGCCGTCCGATCTGGCAAGTTGCGCTACCTCGAGGCGGGGACAATTTTCGGCAACAACAAAGTTGAAATTCGATTTTTCCAACAAAAAACATCATTTTCGAAAATTGCTTTATGGCTTATGCAAAAATTTAAAAATGTTGAGATTTATCTGGAAAATAGCGCTGCCGCGCGCGAGGTTGCTCAACCTGCCAGATCGGACACCCTCGATCTCTGCAGAATTTTTTTCCGTGTAATCTTCGTGTTTCAGGCATCGTTTTCGACGAGAATTTCAAATTCGACAATTGCGGGACCATCAAAGACGCGTGTATTTTTTGAAAATAAAAAAATTGTTCCACCAATTTTTCCGCAATTTCAGACGGATTTGCCGAGTTTTACAATGAATTCCGCAATAAAAACCAAAACGAGTTCACATTCAACGCATCGCTCAAAAACGGCACCATTGTGGTGACTTGGGAGAGGGAGCCGGTCAAATTCAGCTACAAAATTCTCACGCAATACGTAACGGCTTGAAAATGGCCATGAAAATCGAATTGATTTAGACCTACCCACTCGCTGTAAACGCCACCGTTCTCACATGTGCATGAATAATTTTATTATTTGAGAATTATTTAAATAAACATTTTTATTAGCTTTCAAATTATTGCCAAAAATAAAAGCGATTGGGCTGGGATCGAACCCGCGCAAGATTTTTAAAAAATTTAACCCATGGGGCAGAAAATTATTTAAAGGGTTCCCGTTGATGATGTTTTCCCTTTATGTCATTTGTTTAAAGAACCCACTTCTGAATCATTTTCTTGTTCCAATGATCGTGTTCTATTTTTGTGCGAAGCGAAAATGCGCATAATTTTATTTACGACATAAATATCCACCGTATAGTGATAGCAAAATTTTATTTGTTTATTGTTATTTCGTTTATTTTCATAATCATAGCTAATATTGATATCGAGCATCATGCCCTTTCATAAATAGAGTTTAGTAGGGCGCTGTCAACACCATCTATGGTGGAGTGGAAAGTGTGCACCAGGGCTGTGCGGCAATCGGAAATTTCGGCAATCCGGCAATTCGGCAATTTGCCGATTGAACGTTCTCTTCGGCAATTTCGACAATCGGCAAAACGAGAAATAGACGAAAAATAGATAATCATCAAAAATTGACTGTTAATAGACAATTTTTTGTCTATGAGCCGCGTGTGAAAAAATAGACGGAATATGTATGGCCAATAGATGAGAAAATTGTTGCGTTACTTTGGGAAAATGGTGGATATATTCAAGTGTCCGAGCCAGTTCTTACCGTACTCCGCCCAGATTTTCCACAACTATCTCGATTTTTATATGTCTGTGACGATTTAAAAATGGTGGCACCTTTCACCATGACGGTCAGCTATATGATAACACTATACACCAGGGCTGTGCGGCAATGGAATTGCCGATTTTTCAAATTGCCGAATTGCCGAAATTTTGATTTTCGGCAACTTGCAAAAAAATTTTATTTTCGACATAAATATCCACCGTATAGAGATAGCAAACACCTTCCACCATAAGAGTCAGCTATATGATAAGACTATACGCATGTTTTTAATATATTTAAAATCGAATAATAATAGAAAAATAATATTTTACGTTGAAAATTCGAAAAATAAATTGAAAAGCTAACAACAAAATAAAAAAAAAAGCATTTTAAACATGTGGAGCGTGTTTTCATTGGATGTATTCGAACTGTATTCGAAATTGTGCATGTTTGCGGCATATGTAGTGTATGCATACAATGCACTTTACCTCACGATTTCGGAATTTTTGCATTCATCCTAAAAATGTTTTATATTTTTTAAATCTTATTAGTGAAATTCTGTTATTATATATATGATGATATAAGAGCATCCTCCATCGAACTGACTGGTACGATAACTCTAAACGCCGTATACGTCTGTCCTGCCCCCCCCCTTTCTTCTTCTATGAAATTGAAAAAAAAACGTGATTAAAAAAACTGTTTTCCCCCGAAAAAAAACCAAAAATAGAAATATTTTGATAAAAAATCATCATTCGTCACCAATTTTTCCTGTGTCACAACGCAAAATGCGACCAATTTTCGTGCTTCTTTTCATATTTTCCTCTATTTTTTCCAATGAAATCTCATTGGATGAATACATTGATAAAATATTCGTCTACATGACGCATTCCAAATTGATTGCCGATCACATTTTTTCGAAAAATTTTTTCTTCAATGATTGCGGACAGATTAAAAACGGAAGTAGGGGGGCAACCGATTCAAATCGATTTCTATTAATGGCTTGAATTTTTACAGCCGATTTTGTCGATTATATTCGAAGATTCGAAGAAGCGAATCCGAATGGCTACTTTATCGGATCGCTGAAGAAAAATGAATCGATTTACGCCGAAATCAAATCAATTGGATTCGAGTTTGAGTTCATTTTGAATTCCGACAAGCACGGAGTTGATTTCGTGTGGGCAAACGTCACAAATTGCTCCAATTAATTGCTTTTTCTTTTTGAAATAAAAATTTCATTAAAACTTTTCGTTTTTTTGAAGAAAACGAAACTGCCGCGGTCGAGGTTGCGCAACTTGCCAGATCGGACGTCCGATCTGGCAAGTTAGGCAACCTCGAGCCGGGAACAATAAGAGCGCATTTCGAGAAAATCAAACATTTTACAGAATTAAAGAGTTTTTTAAATTAGAAATGTACGAACAGGTTTAAATCTCAAATAAATTGATTTTTGAAAAATTGGCCCGGAAAAAAAATTTCGTTATTTCCCAGCAAAAACAACCACGATTAATTGGAATCGTGTAGTTTATACTGTTCAAGACCTAGAAATCATTAAAAAAAAACTGAAAAATAACAATTTTACAAAATTCGACGGAAATTTAGTCGACGTCCGATCTGGCAAGTTAGGCAACCTCGAGCCGGGGACAATTTTATTTTTTTGCACTTTTTGCACTAATCAAAATCGTATTGCTTTATCCGGTTAAAAGTCAATTAAAATTTTTTGAATTGTGATATCTGCAAAAATTGTTTGAAACAGCCCACTACCGCAGTCAAGGTTGCCTAACATGCCAGATCGGACGTCCGATCTGGCAAGTTAGGCAACCTCGAGCCGGGGACAATGTTTTGGAGAAAATTGTCCGCAGCATGATTTCTAGAAATGTTTACTTACAAAGCAGTTAAAAAATTTCAATTAAGACTAAATATACAATTTACTTGTTCAGTAAAAACTCAACTCCTTATATGGAACCCAAGAAATCGTATAATGGTCCGCCACCAACTGTGCTCTCGATCGCAGGTGTTCACCAATCTCACCTCTCTCCGTCTCTCAAACGAGCCGCACGTCTGATAATGATCCATCGCCATAATTTTGGCACATTGTTCATTTTCTTCTTTTTCTTGTAGTGGCGTGGATAACGCAATCGCGACATCTGGCGTCGACCTAACCACACAACTAATCATCATTCATTTTTGCTCATATTGCGAGCTACTGTTTGGTTGCGACTAACTATATGAAGTATAGTTATAGCGACATTTTATTTTATTGTTATTTTGATTATTTTCATAATCACAACTCACATAGATCTCAAGTATCACGCGCTTACATATATCGAGTTTAGTAACGCGCTGTTAACACCACCTATGGCGTAGTGGGAAGTGTGCACGTCAGCGCGCTAACCCTTGCCGTTTTGAAGCGTTTTCGATTCCTCGCAGTGAAAAAAATTTTTGCGCGTCATTCATTTCTCCCCGAATCATATCTTGAGCAATATTTCACTCATTTTAGAGACCTAACGGTAAATTATGCTCGGCTTCGAGGTGTGCGCGCTATTGAGCATTGTGCGTTTGGCGCGCATTATCACCAACGCGCCAAAAATCGGCGAAATTTGGGTGCAATTGTGCGCCTATATGGTGGCGCAAACAGTAAGGAGTCTAACGGAAAGAACCGTCAACGAAAGTGAGTTCGTTTAGCAATTATTCATTTCTAGAATTGGTATTTTTTTCCAGCGCTGGAGGACGCCGTGATCGACATTGGGCACATCGCCTTCATCGAATGTCTCGTAATGGTAGTCGGACAATGGGCGGCCGCCGAAAATGTAAGTTTTATTTCAAATTCTCAATTTTTTTTTGCAAATTTCCGTGTGCACACCCCGACGCAAACTTGCACACATTTCAAATAATTTTCAAAAAAACTGAATCTGTGTGTACACGGAGGCGCAAAAATGCAGCCATGATCAACATTTTGCAGATGCTCGTCTGGATGGGCTACACCAACGCGAAATGGCAACCGGCGGCCGCTGACGATCTCTTCGATGGTTTCGAGTTTGACGGAGATGAGTACGAGGTGGAGAGCATCAATGACGAGCACGAGGAATTGTCGGGCGACGAGCAAGAGTTCGAGTGGATCTAAAACAAAGCTGCTGCGTCGATTCGACCCGGTGCCCAATTACGGAAACAATTAATTAATTAATTACGTGTAATTAATCGATCAATAAAATTTGCCCATCAAAATTGGTTAAATTGTGGCATTTTACTCGACGAGACGACAATTATCAGTTCAATACCTTATTTGTAGCCAACTTTGGCTACATTCTATTCTCATCGCTTCTCTGCGCTCTCCGCTCATCACTACACTATTTCGTCGTGGTGGCGACCTCTTCAAAGGGTTGACGTCCTCGCATCATCAGCGATAAAACCCATCAGTGATTGTTTTATTTTTTTTTTGCGCGTTCTTGAAAATGAGAAATTGGCGAATTTTCAGCGAATGGCGGCGTTGTCGAAACTCCAGCTTTTGGGTACGGCAATTCCCGGCCGGCAGTACGCGCCGGGTGTGCTCGGAATGCTGACGGTGTTCGCGCTTGTCAAACTCTACAAAAGCGATATTCGGTATGGGCTTCGATTGTTGCGCGCGACAATTATGTGTTTCAGCGCCACAAAACATTTAGTTGTGAAGAAGAAAAAAGGCGAAAAATCGCAAAAAGCGCACGTCGACGGCGTTTTCATGCGAAAACTCGCCAGAATTCTTCGCATCCTCATTCCGGGCTTCTTCTCCAAAGAGACATTCTATATGGTGCTTATCGCGGCATCTCTGCTGTGCAGAACTTATGCCGATGTTTATATGATTATTACATCAACGAAAATTGAAGCGTAAGTTAAAAAAAAAGAAAGAAAAAATGAAGGGCGACAGTATTATTGCATTAAAGGCGCACGCAATTTTTGCAAAGTTGTCCTGCAACGATGCATACTGTACCTGCAAAAATCAAATTTCAGCTCAATTATCGATCGAAATCCGCTGCTTTTCGCGTTGGAAGCGTTCAAATATGTGCTTAATCTTCCGGCAATCTCGGTGACAAATGCGCTTCTCAAGTTCAGCATTGCTGAGCTGAAATTGCGCTTCCGTGAGCGACTTTCGACGCATTTATACGATCAGTACCTAAAGTAGGTTTTTTTAAAATGAAATATGCATATATTAATCTGGATTTGGTAGAAAAAGAATCGAAATTCGATTTAAAAACTGGTTCCTATTAAAGAATTTTCGAAATCGATTAATTTCTTTCTCATTGTCAATTTTGGAATTGAATTCGATTGAAATTCTCGATTTTTTCAATATCGATTGAAAACGAAATTATTTTCGAATTCGATTGATTTTCATTTTAAAAAATTAATTATTTCTAGGGGCTTCACCTTCTACAAAATGTCGAATTTGGATACTCGCATTCAAAACGCCGATCAACTTTTGACGCAGGATGTCGATCGATTCTGCGACGGAATCGTCGAGCTCTATTCAAATTTGTCAAAACCGATTCTCGACGTTTTTCTATATTTATTCCGTTTGGGAACCTCACTAGGCTTCTCATCGCCGTCGATTTTATTCTCCTATCTGCTGCTCACCGGTGTCGGACTCACATACCTCAGGCGACCGGTAATTTGTTTTGATAAAATTTGAAACGCAATTTTTTCCCCTTGTTCAGATTGGCCGCCTAACTGTCGAAGAGCAAGCGCTTGAAGGCGAATATCGCTACGTGAACTCGAGATTGATAATGAACTCCGAAGAAATTGCGTTCTATCAAGGAAATACCAGCGAGAAGCAGACGATTCTCAGCACGTTTGCCAGTTTGGTGCAGCATTTGAGAAAAGTGATATTGTTCAGGTGAGTTTCGGCCAAAAATACAAATTCAACAAACTTTTTAGATTTTCGATTGGGTTCGTCGACAACATCGTCGCGAAATATCTCGCCACCGTCGTCGGATGGTACGCCGTCGGAAGCTCATTCTTCGACAAAAACCATAAGCCGTTCATCGGAATGAGCCGAAACGAGCTGATGCAGGAGTATTATAATTCGGGACGAATGATGTACAAAATGGCCGAGGCGCTCGGAAGGCTCGCGCTCGCCGGAAGAGACATGACAAGGCTCAGCGGGTTCACGTCACGAGTCGACACGCTGCTCAGTGTGCTTGACGATGTCAATAAAGGTCGGCGTCTTGAATTCTTGTGCAAAAATTGCAATGCATTGTTTTTTTTTCAGGAAACTACAAACGAACAATGGTTTCTGAGAAGGATTGCCTTCTCGATTCGTCCCCGACACACCTCACTCCCGGTGGCGGCGAGCTTCTCATTCAGGACAACATCATCCGATTCGAAGATGTTCCATTGGTGACACCCAACGGCGACGTGCTTATTGAGAGCCTCAACTTTGAAGTGCCGTCGGGAAGAAATGTGCTCGTGTGCGGACCAAACGGATGCGGCAAGAGCTCGCTATTCCGTGTGCTTGGAGAACTCTGGCCACTATTCGGCGGAAAACTCACCAAACCGGCGAAAGGCAAACTGTTCTACGTTCCGCAACGTCCGTACATGACGCTGGGAACCTTGCGCGATCAAATCATCTATCCCGATCGTCAATTCGACATGTTGAAGAAGGGCGTCAGCGATTTCGATCTTGAGAAGATGCTCGACCACGTTCAGCTCACCCATATTCTTGATCGCGAGGGCGGCTGGAATTCGGTGCAAGATTGGATGGACGTTCTATCGGGCGGCGAGAAACAGCGAATCGCGGTAACGTCTCACCGAATCGCAATAATAGTCGATTAAATGATTCAGATGGCTCGCCTCTTCTATCATCGTCCGCAATTCGCGATTCTCGACGAGTGCACGTCGGCGGTGAGTGTCGACGTCGAAGGCGCCATGTACAAAATGTGCCGCGAAATGAACATCACCCTGTTCACCGTGTCGCATCGAAAATCCCTCTGGATGTACCATGAGTATTCCCTCTACATGGACGGGCGTGGAAGCTATCGATTCGAGAAGATTGATGACGACACTCATCAGTTCGGATCATAAGCTTCATTTGTATGTATATTAAAAAAAAGATAACGCACAATGCTATACATGAGACAATGCAGATGGTATCGTGGGGTGGGCTCTAATTCCTAATCAAAAACATAAAAAAAGACAATCTATACAACCCGAACGAACGAGAACAACCCATAAATGGTGTTTTTGTTTAATCGGCAGATGGCATAACCTTCAGTCGTTCGAAGGCCGCCTTCTCAAGGGATTCTCTCTGGCTTGGATGGGCGATCTTGATGAGCTCATAGGCGCGTTGACGCATGTTCTTTCCCCAGAGTTGAGCGATTCCGTACTCGGTGACAACGTAGTGAACGTGAGCGCGAGTTGTCACTACACCAGCTCCCTAGAATATTTCGAGTACAATTTGTTTTAAAATAAGTTCCACGATCGGTTACCTCATTGATGGTTGGCACAATTTTGCTTTGACCCTTCTTCGAGATCGACGGAAGCGCAATGATCGGCTTTCCAAGGCCGTCGTCGCCGATGCCAGCGCCACGGATGAAGTCGACCTGTCCACCGAATCCAGAAAGGAATCGTTTTCCGACAGAGTCCGAGACGACTTGTCCAGTGAGATCGATCTCGACCGCCGAATTGATCGCCGTCACTTTCGGGTTCTTTCGCACCACCGCCGGATCGTTGACCCAGTTGACGTCGCCAAACTCGATGAGCGGATTGTCGTGCAAATAATTGTACAATCGCGTCGAACCGTAAACGAACGACACCACCAATCTGCCGGGATGTAACGTCTTTTTGGCGTTGGTGATGACGTTCTTGTCGATGAGATCGAGAACACCATCGGAGAACATTTCCGTGTGAATTCCTAGATCTTTGTGATTCGAGAGAGCCGACAGAGCCGCGTCGGGAACCGCGCCGATTCCCATCTGAAGTGTCGCGCCGTTGTCGACGAGATTCTCGGCGATGATTTTTCCAATCTTCTGCTCCTGCTCGTTCTGTTTGCCAATGCTCCTCTGATGAAGTGTGAATCCGTCAGCCTCATTCACAATATAATCGATGTGCGAGACATGAATCACACTATCGCCAAGTGTTCGCGGCATGTTCTTGTTGGTCATCGCTGAATCGATTAGGAGGTGACAATATTGAATTATTAATTTTTGCAAATCAAACATACCAATGATGATGTCCGAATTGCAGACGGCCGCTCGCGCCGTGTCAACCGACGTTCCCAACGAGCAGAATCCGTTGGCGTCTGGCGGCGAGACATGAATGAGCGAGGCGTTCAATGGAATCGCGCCTTTGCGGAAAAGCAATGGAACCTCGTAAAGGAAGCACGAGTTGAAGTCAGCGATTCCTGAAGAAAATTAATTGTTTTTAAAATATTTACCAAAAACCCATTCTTATCAATGAAACCAATATTTAAAAAAACAACTTCAAACTACCCTATAAAGAAAAAATATATTATCCGCTTAAAAAATTGGCTATTGATTTAACTATCAGCCATTGTTTTAAAAAAAAAATGTTTAGAAACGGGCTATACTATAGCTATTTAATTTCTCTTTTTCTTGCACCCTGTCAAAGTGCAACGCTCTTACCATTATTCACCGCGGCACGTAGATTGTGTCCAGTGAACAGCGAGTTCGAGCGAATGCGATCTGCAAACAAGTGTCACGTGTCGCTCTCAAGGATGATAATAATGAAAAAAAAAGGTACCTTTGACATCCGGCGCAGTCCATGGTGTGTCGCCCTCCAAATGCAAATGGTGCAATTTGATTCCCTTCAAATTGTTGGCGACGGCGTGCTCCGAAAGGCTCTTCAATAATGGCGTTGGGGTGGCGGCGATTCCATGAACGAACACATTGTCGCCTGGAATTAATTTGAAACATTGCTCCGTCTTTTCTTTCTTTTTTTTTTTGAATTACCGCTCTTAATGTCTTGAACCGCCTGTGCCAACGAGACAACCTTTGGGCTGCGGCCGTGAACTGGGAATGCCACTTCACGTTTGTCGCGGAACACCGAAGTGGTTCTGAAAAACGATGGCAAGTTGTTAAATTTTATTTTTTGTGCTTTATTTTTCTGGCAAACCTTTGACAGGCGGCGGTGGTTCCGAACGAGCGGGACGATAGTCGAGAGAGCATTCTTTCTAAAATAAAAATCGATTCAAAATGAAGGAATGATGAAGAACACGAACGAGAACGATTTAATTTGATAAGAATGCCCGACTACAATTTGGTCGTTTTTTTTTTCAAATTGCCAAATTCGCGATGGCGCGCGAATGCTCATATCGCAACAAAAAATGGGCGGCGATTTGAAAACGTGACAAATAACAACAGGAAAAAAATGAGTGAAGAAGCGCTCCTCAGCGGCGCCGGCTTCCCCAACGAGAAATGGCGAATGACAATCGTAACCACGTCCATCCCGCCTCGTGGCTGGAGGGTCCAAAGAAACAAATCAAAGTTGGATGGTTGCGACGACTAAAAAACGCACAGACGCGAAGAGTGAGCAAAGAACGTTTAGAAAAAAGGGAGAAGAGAAAGCGGTGAAATGCGAAATGATGGTTTTTGGGATGGACAACATTTTTCTTGTGTTGGACCTTTGAAAACGGGGTTAGCGCAAAATAAAATACGCACAAGAGGTGGTACGGTGGACAAGTCCGCATAATTGCGTGAAAGTGATTGCGGGATTAATGAGGCTTGGAAATTTTTTTAATGATGAAAATTGAATTGTTTTGGAAAATCTGAGAAGAATACGAATAGAAAAAATGCTATTATTGCGAGATAATAGATCAGAATGGAATTTGAACTTAAAAAATTAGCAAAAATTGACAACTTTTTTCAAATTTTGCCGAATAATGAGGAATTTAATGAAATAAAAAAAATATTTTCGAGTTGAAACACTTGAAGTAAAAGAAAGAAGTCAGACAGCAAAGATGCACCACGTTTTATCGCACAAAACAACACTATCTAACTATTGACAAAATGACTACAAAGTGCGATCACCATGTGACGGTGTGCCCGAATTCAAAGATCGATCAACTTTTCGATTTTCTCAATTATCGTTCCATCCAATTTTCGGGCGGCGAATGAAATTCGAAGCGAGTCTTTTGAAATTTGTCGAAGATCGTCAAACGTGAACCCAAATGATTCAGACGCCTGAAAATCGCGATGAGCAAAAAAAAAAACAGATGGAAAAAATTTGCGAATCGCTAAACTTTTCGAAATTCGTCGGACAAATTGCAATTGTTCATGAGGCCCTTGTCATCAGTCTGCAAAAAAAAGAAACCTCGAGCACCTCATTATTCTTATCAAAATCACACCATTTTTGAAAAGCTTACACAAATTGCCACAGGAATTCCGCGAGACCGCCAAAATGGTAAATGGGAATCTTTGATGGTTGGCGTTGTTTTGCACAAAGTATTGGAAGTAAGGCAAATTTCTGAAAATAATTTCTTTCTCTTTAATTTTTTTGAGATTTCCGACCAAGTGGGATTTTCAATTGCTCCATGAGCCTTACAAACTCGGAATTTGTATGAAGAAATGTGCCGTGGCCAATTCGATCGGGTTTGAAGCGAAGAAAATCGAGAATCTCGTCGGAATTCTCCTCAATCTGCAGCAAAGAAATAAATAAAAAAGGAGCGAATGATGGAAAACCAACTTCGGCCAAGTGCACGGAGACGCCGAGGCCGGCATTTCGAGCTTTTTCCAAAATTGGAATGAATTTGACGCCGTTGAGAATTGGATTTCCGCTAAGTTCTAGGCCAACAATCAAACCGGAATCTAAAAATTTCAGATTTTTAACAAACAAAATCGAAAAATTACCGTCTTCTAGAGCTAAATTTAAGGTGTCTTCAGCTTCTTCAATAGTTTGCCGCCGATCAATACTCAAAATCAATGTGACAACAATGACATATTTTTTTGCGCAATTTTGAATCCCTGAATTAATTTCCTAAAACAGACAGTTTTTGAACAAAAATAAACCTTTAATTATAGTTTTGACATATTCGCTCTTGTTCATAAATTTTGTCGATTTTGGAGTTGAGCGTAGCTCCAAATAGACGACGCCGTCATCGTGAAATTCACGAATCACGTCTTCTGTGGCGATTTCCAAAGATTCTGGAGTCGCCGTGAGGGATTGAATCAATGGAAACATTTTGAAAACTCTAGAAATCCTTCATTCGAAAAATTTTCGGCAAATTCTCACTCTTCCATTGTTGTTGGCTGAAGAAGCACAAAATTTTCTCGGACCATCTTCTCATTTTCATGTTTTGCCAACAATTTGCCAATAGTTTCTAACGAAATGCTCCCATTCAAATGGGCATGAAGCTCCTTAAATGGTAGTTAATTAATGCCGACGAAAAAATTTGGAAAAAACTCACAATTTTGGGAATTTTAATAAAATCGCGCATGGCCGTGGCCGAAGTTGAGTTTCAGAAATTCTGCAATTTTCTTAGCTTGTCCAGATAACTATAAATGGTTTCTATTGAAAGTCTTCAATTCGAATAGGAACGAAGCTCCTTAAATCGGAAAAAAATTGAATGAAAAACTCACGATAATGGAAATTCTAATAAAATCGTGGATGGCCGTGGCCGAAGTATTTTGAAACGTTTTTTTTTTCAAAATTCCGTATTTTTTTACAGCTTGTCCAAAAATTATTTTAAAAAAATGTTTAATTAATTCTTTTGAAAGCATTTAATTCAAATAAATAGCTGGGAGAAATTTAAGGAAATTTTAAATAATAAAAGTCGTGGTTGGCCGGTGGCCGAAGTTTTTCGGATTTTTTTGTTTTCAAAAATTTTCTCACAACTCTTCCATTTTTCTCCACTTTCCATATATGGCGATCAAAGCTCGTCCAAAGAACATTGATGCCTTGCGAATGACTAAACCCCCACACTTTTTGATTGTTTGTTATTATTCTAGGCGTTCACCCACTCATTTCGAAATCACCGCCCCAATGCCTTCGTATAATTATAGGCTAATGCGAGCGAGTGGGCGGTCCTCGCGCGCAAAGTTTACAAGACGAGCTTAAAACTCGGCGGCGAGTATTCGGAATTCATTCAAGAATGCCACTTCAGCAAGAAGCGATCATCGAAATTTCCGACATGGTTTGTTCGATTTTTCTCAATTTTAAATTTCTTTTCTTCGGTTTTTTTTTCAGGAGCATTTAGATCGGCTCATTGAGCAGAATAAAGATACGGTCTTGATTTTGGACTTCTTCGCCACCTGGTGCGGACCTTGCAAGGAAATTGCACCGGTTTATAAGGAACTCGCCGAGAAGTATCGAAATATCAAGTTTTTGAAGATTGATATCAATGAGGCGGTGAGAATTCTTTTTTTCGAAGCTGATTCTAAAATTAATTTCCAGGAGGACGTATGCACAAAGTACGACGTCAAATTGATGCCCACATTTGTTTTTCTCAAGAACGCCGAGCAAATCGTAGGAAAACATGAAATTATTTAAAAATAATAATAATAAATTGCGTTTTTCAGGATATTCTCGAAGGCGGCTATCCGGACGTTTTGCGCGAAATGGTCGCGAAACACGCGAATTAGACATCAAATCGCGGTTTCAATCATTTATTCGTTGGCGGATTAATTATATATTATATGAATATATGGTATATAATAAAATATTTGGTCTGGGATGAGCAGAAAACTGAAGATATGAAAGAATGTTTTGCTAACGCTTTTTTTCTGGGGGGTTTGGGTTATCATATCGCTTATTTCGGGAAATTTTACACTCATAATCACAACGCGGAGGGTGAAACAAAAAGAAAAATGCCTTAACAAATTATCCACGACGACTGTGCTTCAGAAGGCCGAGCTCTTTTATCGCCTTGTACTGATCCGGAATCTCCATCAAAGCATTCAGCGCGAATGAAGCATCCGCATTCGGTGCATTGAACATGACCTATGAAGTAATACTCATATTATTGGAATTTTTGCAAAAAATTATTCAAAACCTTGTGGAAATCGACAAAGTGGAAATTGTCGAATAATCGCTTCGGAATATTATCGTCGAATCGTCCCATCATATTCCAGGGACCATCTCCAACTCCGACCCTAAATTGGAACAAGTCTCTTATAATGGTCCCTAGGAAATAATTGGTTACATAATGATACTCAATGGATAGTGAGACGCCGCAGCAATTGCCTTCTGATTAATCTTCTCATTTGTAACTTGTCCGTCGGCGACGATAACCAAAATATGGTACGAATGCTTCTCTTTGCAGATGTCGATGGCCCTCTCAATCAATGGCACGAAGTTCGTTGGTCCGCTCATTTCAATGGTTGGTGTGACCTCGTTGTAAACTCGAAGCACCTCTGAATAATTAAAATTTCACCATGCGCCAATTTTTTGGGGGCAACATGCGCAAATTACCCTCGAATCCATTGCAATCCTTCTCGAGATCGTAGCGATCGGCAATATTGAAGATCCCTTGATCGGTGAACTCCTCGTCGCCGAACCCATAAGCCGGGATTTGACCGTCGGCATCGAACGATGAAAGCGTTTTGCCAACAATCTGTATCACCTGCTGATAGGGGTTCAGCTCGTTGGCGTCTATTGTGTGAAGTGGCCTCTTGTCAAATGTCCGCTCTCCTTGATAGAAATTGGATTTTGTGTAATCGATGCCGAATATCAGATTCGAATACTCCAATCCAGCCTGAAATTGTGGAATTTTAATAATTTAGACTAGAAAATCCCTCCCGGTGTAGCCATGCAGAAAAAAAGCATGTGAAAATTAGTACGAGAGTACTAGCTAGACGTCTCATGCAAGCATCCCTTTTTAAAGGATTTAAAGGATTTTCGGAAAGTATTGAAATGTGAAGTATTACCGTTTCAAAGTCGCCGATATAAGTCTAAAATTGGGTGAAAACACATAGTATTAAACAAAAATCACACTATGAAATTGAATAAAAAAACATTGTTTTGGGACTTACATGCTTAATCGCTTTGACGATATCATCAAGCGTTTTGAAATGCGGAATGTTGTGCGGACTTCCGATGGCCAACGCTTGAAGCAGCGAGTTGCGACGAACAGGTTTGCTGGAATTAATTTTTATATAAAATGAAAAAAAAATTTTTTCGCGTGAATTTTAGAAAATTTCAAGACATTTTGAATTTTTTCTTTGTTTCGTAAGTTTTTTGCACACAAATCGGGTAAATTCGCGTTTTTTCTGCTCGCGGCGAATATTTGAAGAAACAATTGCTGTTATAAAAATAAAAGAAATTTAATTATGAAAAACCGAAAGACAAAGACGATAAAAAGCGCAATTTAGGCCAGCTATATATTTTAGTCTTGCCGCGAAAATAACAAATTTATGCACGCGCCTTTAAAGCGTACTGTAGTTTTTTTTTTAAATTTTGTTTCAATAAAGACCCGCCATTTTTTTTATTCGCCAAAATCAGCAAAAAAAAAACTAACAACGCCGGTGCGGCATTGGCGCGAAGATCCCTTCCGCGGCGCTCTCTCTCCTTCTTCATCGGCTTCTTGATAATCGACGGCTTCTGGAACGCGGGCTCGACTTCCATTTGTGTGATGAGTCCCAAACTCTGATCGATCGCTTCCATCGTTTGCTCTTGAACCTCGGCGGCAAAACTAACACTGAAATCATATCAAATTTTGTTATTTTTTGTCATGCACTTTCAAGCAGGTCGTCTCGATTACCGTTTCTCCTCTTTTCGCCGCTCGTCGATCCTCTCGCGCATCTTGACCTCCGACGACGCTTCGACTTGAATGCTCGCCTTGTTCTCGATCCTCTCATCGACGCGTATCACGGTTTGCTCGACGGATTCTGTATACAAGACAAATGGTTCATCTTCATGCCTGCGTGCAAGGTTGTGCACAACACCCTCCACCATGACCTCAACCATTCGGCGTTCGATGAGCGCCGGCTGCGTATCGATGCGCTCTTCGCCGCGCGCGCGGAACCCGAACGCTCCGAAGATCCAGCCGCGATCCTCGCTGATGAACACCGTGCCGTACTCGGTCGCCTGCTTGTTGAAATCATAGGCGAGATTGAAGATCGTCTCCTCGCTGACGCCCGATTGCAGTCCGACGCTGTCGCATTGATTCGCCGCCGCCCATTGGCCGAACGAGCCCATATCTTTGATGGTGACGCCGAATCGCAAGTCGAGATCGAGCGTGATCGATTCGTCGCCGGCGGCGCGCGTTCCAAACGCGCCTTGAACGATTAGCTTGTCGGTCGTCGACACATAAACCATATTAAATTCGGTTGGCTGCTTACAATAATCATAGCCGAGATTGAAGACGGTCTCTTCGGAAGCCGTCGATTTCATGCCGGTCGAATCGCCCCGATTGCTCTCATTCTGTGTCGAACTTGCGCTATTATAGATCACGCCGAAGTGAAGATCAGCGTCCAACGTGATCGTCGCCTCTTCGGAAGCGCTCACCGCGATCTCGACGGTCTCGCGCCGCGACGTTGGCTGCTCGAATTCGACCAACTCGTCGCCGTCGCGCTTTCTAAACGACGTCGTGTTCCAAGCGGCAAACTCGGTGGCGACGGTGCTGTTGAAGGTGACACTGTCGAGCATCGGCGTCGCGATCAGCTTCTCGCTTCCACCTTCAGCACCCTCCTTCTGAAGCCAAGCGCTGACGCAATCAGGACTGACTTCGCTGGTGGCGAAGCACGAAAATGAAATGATGCCGCCGTGCCTTGCCAATTCTCTGACGCCGTCGGCCTCTTCTTGCTTCTGCTCCCTTCGCAACGTGTAATGAATGCCGACGGCCATTTCGGAAGCTTCCGTTGATCGGAAGACGATTGGCTCCGACTTGTTAATCGCGTACAGTGAAATTGAAGTCGCCTCGACGCTACTTCTTGGACATTGAATCGCCTCATCGAGACGCGCGCTCACCTCGGTGGTCGCTCCGATCGAGACATTGATTGCCTCAAAGTTTCCAATTTTGCTGACCCGTTGCGTTGACTGCGTCCTCTCCGGACCGCTGAGATTCCGTTCAATACTGATTTCTTTCTCATCGGCGTAACCCGATTTGAGTGCGACGGCACCGCCGTACGCGGGAATCTTAACAATGTGCTCGTGCTCATCGTGCTGCTCGTCGTTTCGCAACTGAATGTTGTTCGTCTCGTGCTCCTCTCGTGTCTCCTTGACTTTGAGCATCGTCGCCACACCGCGATTCGCCGCCTTCAATCGGATCTTCTCATTGTGGCATTGTCCGTTCTTGACGAGACTCGACGTGACACCGGCGGCGGCTTCTTGCGTCGCCGACGCGAACATCTCGACGGGCGTCGCCTCATTTCGAATCACGATGTGACGTTCGACATGAAGTTCGCTGATCACTGGATACACCAAATCGTTGGTCACCTCGATCGCCACACTCTGCGCTGCGTTGGTCTGCAATCGGAACGAGCCGCCGTATCGCGAAGCGGCGAGCACCTCTGAAATGTGGTGATGCGACGCGTCGCGCTGATAGTGCAAATTGGTCGTCTCCTGCACCGAGCCCGCCTCGCGAACCACCATTTCAACACTCGGACATTGACGCGCGACGATGCGCTCGATGCGCGCTTCATCAGTCGCCCCATTTTTGCATAGCGACGACGACGTTGACGTCGAGGCTTCTTTGGCGCACGCGCACCTCAGAATCGGCGTCTCTTCGGTGTTTCGATCGATGACGATGACGATGGCGTCGAGGTCGAGATCGCGCGAAGCCTCGAGCGCCTCATTGATGGTGACGCTGAAGTGTTTCGACGCCGACGTGTCGAAAATCACCGGCTCTTCGACGAACGGCATTCGCAGCGTCACGTCGATCTCCTCCTTCTTGTCCTTCCTTGCCAACTGGGTGGCGATGTTCTCGATGTTGTTGGTCGTCTCCCGACATGTGTACGCCGTCGGCTCGCCAAGATTTTTGCCTTGAAGCGTTTGCGCGATGATCTCCTCGGGAATCGGGTACGCGAAATTCTTGTTGAGATTTGAGATGACGATGGTGGTGGCGGAGGTTTGAATCGAGAGTCGCTCTTGATTGCATATCACTAGTCGCTTCTCAGCGTCGCCTTCGCGTTGCCTAACATTTTCCAAAGTCTTGTCAATGATCGTTGAGTCCTCCTTGGCGCTCTTGGTGTTGAGCACCTGATCACTTCCACGTCGAGCCTCGTCAAGTGTCCTAGCGACGCTGAGCTCGGCCTCCTCTTTGTTGTAGACAAGATTGATTGTGTGATGCTCTTCGCACGCCTCGCGCACCGTGAATCGTCCCGATTCCCGATTACAATCCACTAGCGTTTTGGCGACGACGAACGCGTCGTCGCGCCGATTCCACACATGGTTGACGTCGCGTCGAATGTTTCCAGCGGCCAGCGTTTTCAGCGCGATGTTGGGAAGCGTGTTGGCGATGATCACCACCGACTGCGCTTGTAGATTACTCGGTCGCGGGCACAATAGTGTGCCGCCTATGGTGGACGAGCTGAGCCTCGCTGCGTTGGCGCAAAGCTCGAAAGCCCCTCCAAATCGTCGATCGCTAATGATTCGTTCGGTTTTGTCGAAAAGCGCATGTCGTGTGAATTGCTCGCTGATCGTCTCCTTCTCGATGGTCGCTTCGATCATTCGCTTCGCAACATTGATCCCCTTGTTGGCGTGCTTCAGAATCGTCTTGACGGTCTCGCGTTCGCCAAGCTTCGACATCTCCTGCGAGACAACCTTGCGCTCCAAACTCGCTTGCTTCGTTGTCATACTAATTGGCCGCTCGGCGTTGCCCACAATGATCGTCATGTCGACGCGATCATCCTTGAGGCCTGGATTCCGAACATCGGCGTTGATCGTCGCCTCCTCGCGTTTCGTCGCCGCGACGTTGAGCCCGTAATTGCCGCCGCGTCGCGCGACGAACCACGTCTCATCTAAATCAATGTGCTCGTTGGGTTTTCGATAGATCGGGTGCACGTTTTCAACACACTCTTCACACTCATAAACGCGCTCGTGCACTGCTTCCGAGTTCGCCACCACTAGTCGATAGTCAGCGGAATCGCGCGCGTCGCGTCTCGCGAGATTCTCGTTAATCGTTTGCGTCGTAACACTAGTCGCCATCGTTCGCAATTCAACGCGCGGTGATGTGTTGGCGAGGATGGTGCGCATCGACGCGTCCATGCTGCTGATGATTGGCTTGATCACATCGCGTTCCACACTCAATTCGGTCTCGTCGGCGGCGTCGCATTTCAATTTGAACTGACCGCCGAAGCGAGTCACCGCCAGCGTCCTCTCGACATTCTCCTTGACGTCGTCGACGTCGAAATTGCTGTAGATCGTCTGCTTCTCGTCGCGCGACTCCCGGAATTTGAATCGCAAATTCGCTCCGCGATTTTTGTCTTTGACGACGAGCTCGCTTCGCTCCTTCTCATCTTGCCTATCAATGATGGTCGCGAATGTGATCTTCTCATTCGTCGGCTCGAACGTCCGAAGGCTCGCTGGCTCGATTCGATTGAAATCTTTGAATGTTTGACAGTGCGTCTCGAATTGCTCCGGAATATGGAACTCGGGATTCCGAAGGGCTTCAACGTATTCCGCCGCACTGCAATCCAGCGACTTGTCCTCTTTGTTGGGAATATCGATGAGCTTGACGTCTTCCTCGACCTCATCCGCTTTTCGCATTGTGTAGAACATCTTGATGTTATATTCAAGGCATTCGTGCACTCGAATCGTGTATGGAACCGCTTCATTCGCGCATGATCTCACCGTCGTCGCCTTCTCCGCGCCTTCCGGAATGTGATAGCTGAAATTGGCGTTGACCTCTTCCGTCGTGCTCTCGATGACAGTCATCTTCGCATTCATCATCGGCTTCTGAATCTGCTTGAAGTTGATCTTCTCAGACTGTTGCGATCGTAGAAGGCTCGTTGTGATGGTCTTCATCTCGTCACCAGCGGCTCTGGTGTCCAACTTGTAAGCGCCGCCAAAGTTGTTCTCTCGACGACGGCATGCGACGGATTCGCGCTCGTCGGGAATCGAATAGGCGGTACCGATGCCGACGATCTCTTCGGACGACTCAAACGTTCGAATCGAGATTGGCGCAATCTCGTTGGCAATGATAACGATCTTCTCGATGAATTCGTTGCCTTCTGGAATACGCCACGATTCGCTGACGTCAGATGTCTCGCAAGTGCTCGCGTTTGTCGAATGGCTCAGATGGTGGTCGCGGGCGATCGCGACGACGCATTCCTTGTCTTCAAAATGGATGCTCTTGTTGTTGATCTGACCGTAGAAGAGACATTCATCGAATTCGAACTCGTCGGCGTCGAACGCGACACCCTCGCTGACTCTAGCGATCGGCCACTCGATGTCGGACTCGACGAGCTCGCCCTTCCTTCCGATTAGCTCAATGGCGAGCCGAACGCGAACGTCGGACGACTCGTCGAGACGCTTCTTGACGTTCTCGCCGCGATTCGGGATGACGATCTCGCGATTGAGATGCTCGCTCGGCGGCGTCATGAGCAAATGATGCGTCGCCCAGATGACGTCGTTGAGCACGTCGCCGGCTTTGATGAACATTGGCGTCGCTGCAATATGAACAATGTGTTTGAGGACGGTCTCATTCGTCAGCGACGGCTTCGCCAGACGATAGCGATGAAGATTGATGAAGGCGTTGAATTTCGCCTCGCCGCATTCTCTAACAGTCCACTTCTCACGCATTCGTTTAATTTCAATTATTGTCTTAGGGGGACATTCATGAGGCTGACACGGTGGTTTAGATAAATTCGCGTCGGTGGCGATTAGTGCGATCGCGAAATCGCGAGCCGCCGAACACGTTGGCGCGATTTGGATCGTTTTCAAGCATTGCTCGGACTCGTCGGGCATCATCAGATAGTGATTGATGCGCTCGACCTCATCCATCGATTCGATGGTTTGAAGCGATGAGCGAACGACGAGCGCGTTTGGAAGCTCGACGGCGGCGTCGAGATCGGTTTCGACGCCTTGCCAATGGGAGAGAATTTCGATTCCATCGACTTCGCGAATCTTCTCGGCGAACCTCGCCGTTGGAACGTCGCGCTTCCTCACCGACGTCGACGCGTTCGTCGCGATCGCATTGGCGTAGTCGGCGACGGTCGTCGTCGTCTCTTCCGACGCCGCGTTGGTGGCGAACGTTGTCGAATCGCTTCGCGTCAATTTGGTGCTGATCTCGGCGATGCCACTCGCTGGTTGCGGAATCGTCAACTCGACGGTCGCTTCGCTTGTCTCGTCGCCGGCCGACATCGTCGAGAAGATCTGCTGGAAGCCGGTCTTCAGTGTGATGGTGTGCGTCGATGTCTCTTTGACCTTTGGCGCGCTTCGACGCACCAGATAGACGCCGCCGCTCGCTTCGACGTTGCCGAACTCGCGGAATTTCGCCTCGGCGGCCTGCTCGCGATTGATGTCGTCGACGAGCTTCTCGATCTCGGCCATATTGCCTTCGTGCTTCTCGATGAGCAGCTCCTTCTGAAGGCGATTGTCGTGGAATCGTCGCGAGCCCGCTTCGACGTTGCTTCGAGATAGTGACTTTTGAACGCCGATGGTGTCGTGCTGCTTGCTGATGACGGCCTCGCTGGACATGTAGACGTTGGCGGCGGCCTTGGCGCGGAACGACATGCTATCTTGAACCGCTTGCGCGATTGTCACCGACTCTTCAAGATCGTTGAGAAGCGTGTCCCATTCGGCACTCGTCGACAGCAGATTCCATTGGTTCTCACGGAACTTCTTGTCGACACGCTCGCGAGACTTGTCGCGAAGGCGAATCGACGTCTCGCCGTTGGCAAGTGATCGCGACGAGGCGATTCGCGAGTCGACCGATAGCGATTGCTCCTCGACGGCGGCGACGCTGGTGGCGATCGTGTCGATCGTCTTGCACTTGATGTTCTCGCATCGCGATTCGACGGACGCGTCTTTGACGATCGGCGAGATGTCGGCGGCGATTTCGAGATGGCTCGCCGCCAAACAGCAAAGATCCTCTTTCCATTTGCGATCGATCGACCATCTCTCCTCGATCTCCTCGATTTCGTCCCTCTTCTGCACAATTTTGCCGAACAGACTGCACACTTCGGCGTTGGCGTCGCCATACTCGTAGAGTTTGCCGGAAACGATGGTGTCTTTGAGCGTCTCGCAATTGATCAACTCGGACGCCTCGCGACTATCATCGCGATAGAGCATTTTTTCGGATTTGACAATTTGGATTTGGAAGCGACGCTCCTCGGAAGCGCGTGATGATTGGGCGATGGTCCGGTCGGCGACGCCGCCTCGCGTCGCTTCGATGCTGACATCGCGACTGGCGCATGACGATTGTGACGCCTTCAACGACTTTGACATTGATTCGCGATTCGTCAACGCCACTGTGGTTCGGTCGTCCATCTCGGCGATCAGTGTCTCGTACTGGGTGATGGCGTTCTCGTTGCGTGGTTCGGCTAGCCGTCCGACGCTCTGCGCGCGTACAACATCATTGCGAATCACATTGACGTTTTGTCGGCCTCCCTCGACGCTGATGTCGGCGGTCTTCTCGACGCTCACTTCTGACGTTGCCCTCAAATTCCGAGTGTCCGTCTCGCGACGAGCGGCATTCAATTCGACGCTGACTTGCTGATCGCATTCGGGCAGCTTGCTCATCTCGCTGTCGATTGTTGTGTGAAGACTGCGATCCTCAATTCGCCTTGACAAGCGATGCACCAGCTCGACCTCATCGGCCTCTTCGCGCTTCGACACGAGACGACCGACGCCGAAGTTTGTCGACGCTTCCGATTCGCCGTACTCGTTGATTGTGGACAGCTCTTGCTCTTCGAGAATGTCCGACGCGACGTAGGTGGCGTCGTCGGCGAATTGACTCGAATTCAATTCGAGATCCGCATGTGTCTCGGACACCTCCTCGTCCTTCCAGCATATCAATGGCTCGCCGCGATTGTCGATCACATCCCAATGGGTGCACAATCCGCGATTCTCGGTGACGAAATCGTGCGAGCTGATCGCCTCTCTCATCGCCACCTCGACGTGCTCATGAACGTGCTTCTCGCTTTTGCTTCGGCAAACGAGCTCGACCTTGTAGACGTCGCCGTCGACGCTTTTGCGGTGGAATGTGCCGGAAGCGCGCTCGACGCTCTTGTCGCGCCATCTCGTCGATGTCTCTTCGAAGTCGTGCGACGAGCTCACGAACAATCCGCTCTCCTCTTCGCGAGACTCCTTGATGTTGATGACGCTCTTCTCGGTTTTCTTGTCCTTCAGCATCGCTTCACTTGCCTTCTTCGAATCGGTGACTTGAACGAGCTCCTTCGACATGGATTGTAGGGAGGCTGCCACCGATTCCAACGAGGGAACACGATTGAGAATCGACGCCTCACAGCTATTGCTTCGGGATGAGGCGATTCGCGAATCGGTGAAAGTGCGAACGTCGGAACTGGCCTTCATGCTTCTTGACACTGATGAGCTTCTTCGCAATGGAATCGACTTTTCGGCTTCTTCGCGTTCCGGATATGGCGCTTCTAAATTGCAAGCACCCCATCCAAACGAGGCAGCTGATTGCCCGAATTCGCGAACACTCTTGGAATCCCTCATCCGCTCTTTGTCGACTAGCCGACTCGAAGCGTGCTCGCTTTCGTTGCCCTTCTCAAGCTTCTCCTCATGCTTCAGCGATCTCGCGCCGAACGTCATGTCGACCTTCTCGCGCTCTTGAATCTTTGCGATTGCGTCGAGCGATTCCGACTTGATCAAATTGGCAGTGGTGTCGGAGAACGCGATCTCGGAGGCCGTCGTCTTCAGTTGACTTGATTCCGACAGCGTGCTGGCAACTGTTCTCGCGGCGACTTCGGCGCTCGACACCGTCTGCCACAATCCGACGAACTCCTCCTCGTTGGTTTCTCGAAGTCTCGCCGTTTCGGCGCTGCCATGTCTCGAAGCGACACCTTGGTAATCGACATACTCGTCGGCATCGGAATTCTTGTGCAATTCGAGGTGCTTGTCGGTGAACCGAAGCGATTCGGCGAGTCTTCTCGATTCGCGCTGAATCGCGATGATTTGAAGATCGGCTTCGGTTTTGCTGATCTCGTCGACTTCGGAAATTTCCTCGTCTTTCGACGCTGTCACCGACGCGCTTCTCCTCTCGACGCGCTTGATGTTGAAGCTCGCTGATGATTCGGACGCCTGCTCGAGCGGCGCCACTAGGCGTCCGACGGCGCCGCGAACCGACGCCTCGTCGACGCCAAACGTCTTCACGTCTCGTCCGACGTCCGGCAAACTCTGAACCCATTCGTGCACTTGCTCCTGCTTCTCGAGTATCCGATTTGTCGACACATGCTCGACGCCGAACGCGTGCTCGACCTCCTCGATGCTCTTGGCGCGAATCAGTTTGCCTGTGGAATCAGCGGTTTGTTGTGGTCTACTAGCCTCTAATCCGACATCACACTCAACACACTTGGCCGCGGACACGCTAAAGGACTGCTGGGAAACGATCGCGGATGGCTCGCGATGAACTAAAATTGCCCTAGGCGCTGGTGGTTTCGTCGACAACCATTCGCCGAATGTCGCGCTATTCTGCGGTTCGACGGCGTTCGCCGACGTCGACGCGACAATCGACGCGCGTCGAACGCTCTCGATCGTCGACAGATCGCCGTCGCGTGCGATGCTCGCCTCGACATTGGTCTTGCTCAATGACACCGACTCTAGTGGCCTCTCAAGCGACGCTGTCGCTTCGGTCGACTCCTCGATTCTGGCGATACACGCCAATTGCGCGATCGTCTCGTCTGATGGCGCGCGTACGCCGCTGGCGGACTTGTAGAGGCGGCCAGTGGCGACGGTGACGACGGCTTCTTCCTCTTGGGGCATCGGTGGCATCAGACCACCGAGGACCCCTTGAAGCTCGCGATTCTCATCGCCGGCTTTGAATGAAGCGGCTTCTTGATTCTTAACTTGAACGATTTGTTGATTGCCGCCAACTTGTTGCTCATTCGCCAGATTGATAGTTGATTGCGATGTGGACACGGCGAAGGTCCTCTCTTGCGATTCTTTGGATTTCTCGATCACCTTGTGCTCAGCTTGCTCATGACAATCGTTCTCGATCTCGGCGTGTCCGCCGATTTCTGCACTCGAAGCGGCCTTCATCGACATGGCGACACCTTCTTGACTTTTGGATTTCTCGAGGACAACCTTCCGCGCTGTCTCGTTGTTGCTCAATGTGCTCCAGATTCCCGACGTCACCGCCTCGGTGGCTTCAGTGGTTGTCAATTCGGCCTTGTCGGATAGCGAGACTTCGGCGACACCTGGAGCTGGACGTCGATGATAATCGTACTTGCTGTTGGCTTCGACGTTCGTCGCCGCCATCGCCGACAGATCGCAAATCGACATTGTGCCGAGAAGTGTTGAGAAGCTGGCGATCTCCTCCTCGGAGACCTTTTTGAATTCGTTGGATTGATTCACTGTGACGAGCACGGCCGCATGAAGATCCATCATCGCTTTAGCTTCACGCGCTTGATTGATGTCCGCCTCGGCGAACGCTTCCTCCTCAGGTGGCGCTTGGATTCGTCCGACGGCGGCTCCAAGTGTCGACGCTTTGGATTCGTGAATTAGCGCCTTGAGATTCTTGGTGATCAACGCCTTCTGTGATTCTGGCATTGTGAGCGATCCCCAATCGACGTGTGGGATCACCTCGATGAACTTGGAAAGTGTTTCATCCGAGATGCCGAACGATGTGCTGATGATGTTGCGAAGCTCCACGGCAATGCATTGATCGTACGACTCGCTGATTTTAGTAATGTCAGACTCTGTGGCGATTTGATGATCTTCTGGAGCACGAACTTGAGCTCGACCCGAATCGGTGAGCGTCTCCGCAATCAGCATCGTGGACGAATCGTGCTCGCGTTGTGTTGACCAGAATCCTTGCGCGACCTCCTCGGAAGGTTGCGTAGCGCTGACTTCGGCGTGTTCTCGGCGATGTTCGCTGATGGTGGTTTGAGTTGACGATTGCTCGTCGCCGTCGCGTCGCATCTCGACGTGCCTTCTGGTGGTCGTCAGATCGCAACACACGAGAGTTGTCAGAATGGCATTGAACATTGCCGTCTTCGAATCGTCCATTGAAGCGATGCTCGATTCCTTCTGAATCTGAGAATTGAACGCTCGAACGCAATGGAGTGCGGCGTCGGCGGTTTGCCGAAGCGAGAACGTCCGACTGGCTCCTTCTTCTTGCTCTCTTGGAGGAACAAGACGACCGAATGTGGCAAGATTCCGAGTGAGCACCTGTGTCGCCGGTGGCTGCTCCACCTCGTTCCAGTTGACGCGATTCGCGATTGTTAGGAACTCTGCGATTTCCTCCTTTCGGATGCCGAAGATTGTTTCGAGAATCTCGTTGACGGTGACAGCTGTCCGTTGGATCTCGGACATCTTGATCTGAATGATTCTGATGATGTGCTCGACGTTGGAGATCATCAGCGTGATGGCGCGCTTCTCAGTATGCGTTAATTCGGTGCGAGTGTGGAGTGAGGTGATCCTCACGATCTCTCGAATACTCTCCGAGGCAATCTTGATGGTCTTGTTGTAGAGATCCTCGCCGATGACTAGATGTTCCAATTCGTCCAATGATTGAACGGCGTGCGTTTGAAGGTTGGCTTTCAGCGATTCGCATCGCTCTCGAGTGACATCTAAACATTCAGACTCGTGAACCATTTTGGGAAGTGTTTGGGATTGTGGAATCGATTGACTCAATGAATGCCTAGACAGAAAAGTGGCGATATTTCGATGCATGGTTATCGAGGCGTCGGCCGACGTCTCATTCGAGAAGATTGCTCGAATTTTGGTCTCCGACAAGCCCAACGCCGTCAGATTGGCAATCAGCGTTTCGTTATTCGCGTCGTCGATTGCGATTCGGAGCGTATCGGCGAGACTCTCGAAATCGGCGATTTCGAATGCGGTGGTGAGAAGCTCGCGGGATGTGACCTCGCGATTCTTATAGAGTTGAATTGCGGCGTGAGCCTCGAATAGACTATTGACGAGATCAATGTCGACGTTCTCTTGCCTGATGAGGTCTGAAAGCCTCGGAGCCTCGAATAGACTATCATCAAGATTTTCATCGAAGGCATTCCGAATTGCTTTTGGCAGATCGGTGGAAGTAATTAGGGAAGTGAGATTGGAGTAGGCGATCCTCTCCGATTCTGAGATTGGTCCAATTGTCTCTTGGATCTTCTCAATGACCCTATTCTTCAGCGTTGTGAGGATCTTGACAACATCCACCGAATCCTGTCGTCCAGTTGGGATCACATCGAGATCGACTTGGCTATCACTGAGGCATTTCATATTGGCCTCGATGATCGCCGCGTGCCTCTTGGAGACATTCAAGCTGGTCCAGTCGACGTTGGGAAGCGCCTCGAAGATGGCGTCGATGAATTGCTGGCTGACGCCGAAGCCGCTTCGCACAACCTCTCTGACGAAGTCATTAAGAATCTTGCCGGTTGAATAGACGAATGGTCGTTTCGTGAGGAAGATTTGCACGATTGCGATCATCAGCGCCGTTTGAAGCGATTCCGGCTGGCATTTCACTGGAACACGATGGGAAGCTTCTTCGATCCTCTTCGAAAGCTCGACCGACTTCGAGATCAATGATTCGACATTGGTGGTGGCTAGAAGAGTGCCTATTATGGTATAGGTCGCCTGGTCTTCTTCAGAAGAATTGCTGAAGGATGCTTGAATTGCCTTCTGGATGTTGGCGATCCCCTGAAGCTTTTGCTTCTCGGCGAGCTTCGCATCAACTTGCTGACCTTCAGACACTGATTGCAATATGAGATCCATGTCAAGACTCGAGAGATTCGCCTTCATCACTTCAGGAAGTCGCTGGGATGAGATGACCTTTACGACTTCTTCGATTCGATGCTTCGAAACGCCGAATGCCTTTGAGATGGCTTCGACGGCGTTGGACTCGGTTTGAATTGAGCAGCTCACTGCGCTCTTGATGTCTTGCAGCCTCTCGTTTACGATGACGGCGGTCTCGGCGAACTTGTCATCGGACGTCAGAATTTGTTGGATCGTCTCATCGGCGAGAAGCGGAATTCGAATTCGACTAATGGCTTCATTCGACAGTTTGGCGGCGTCGGATGTTCGGACGAGGCTCAACGCGATTTCAATCGTATTCTCGACATTGGTAGTGGCGCAGAGCGCCACGATGTTGGTGAAAACCGCCATACGCGTCTCGTCGACGTGCTGGAATTCTGAAGACGTCTCGACGACGGCGTTGAACGCCGCTTGGATTTGGGCGATCGCGTTTGCGTGCCGCTTTTCAGCGATCGAATAATCGACGGCTTCGCTCGCCGGCTTCGGCTGCATCAGATTGTGAAGCGATGGTGGAAGTTTGACATGAAGCGCGCGCAAATTGAGCTCCAGATTGTGTCGAATATCGTCGGGAATCTCGATTTGAGTCCATTCGGCATTCGCTAGATGGCGGAAGACTTTGTCGACGTCTTCCGTCGTCACACCGAATGCTTTGGCGATCACCTCCGTCACGGTAAGCCGGCGAATCTCCTCGCAAGCGCCTTCTGAAGATGGATTCGAGAAATCGGCATTCATCGAAATGAGACTGCAGGATAACGCCGATTCCAGAATGTGGACGTTGTCGGCGAGCAACTTGCTTGTCGACTCGAACTCGTTGGCGGTTTTCCAGATTCCGAAAGAAGACGATTCGGGAATTGCGTGGCGTTTTGCGATGGCTGTTGGAATTGCAATCATTTTTGACGCGATTGCTTGTTGGCCTTCTGCTGAGACGATCCTGCTGATCGTGACCATGCTCTCGATGTCGCTGTGAGCCATGACTGCGAGAAGATTGGTGAAGACAGCTCGTTCAGATTGTTCGAGCTTGTTGAAGGCCTCACTTCGTTCAAAGGATTCTTCCAGACTTGCTCTGAGGTTCAGCATGCACTTGACATTCCTCTTCTCAATCACAGAGGCATCTGCTTCCTCTTCCTGTGCCCCCGGAGGATAGAGCTTTCCGAGAACACTGGGAACTTCAGCTTCCATTCCTTTGAAGTTGGCAATGAGTGACTGGCATGTCGAGACTGGAATGTCGATTCTCGTCCAATCCATTGAACGGGTGACATGTTTCAGGAATTGCTCTAGTTGAGTGTCGGTGATATTGAATGCCTGCGCGATGTGCGCGCGATGAGATTCTTGGAATCCTCGTTCGATTTCAGCCGTCTGGGATTGAGTTTGGAATGATGATTGTGTCGATACGAAACTGGTCATCATGGCGTGCTCAAGCAAAACGCGCTTCTCAAAGATCGTGCTTCTTGCCGATTCGTATTCCGATGCGGTGCTCCAGAATCCTGTCACCGATGTTTCTGGAATGGCATGACTTGTGGCGATTGTCGTTGGAATCCCGAAGTTGTGAGATGTAGATTCTTTCTGACTCTCGGATGCAATGATCTTGCTGATCGTGATCATGCTCGCTAAGTCGCTGTGAGCCATGAGTGCGAGAAGATTGGTGAAGACAGCTCGGTCAGATTGTTCGAGCTTGTTGAAGGTCTCATTTTGTTCAAAGGATTCTTCCAGACTTGCTCTGAGGTTCAGCATGCACTTGACATTCCTCTTCTCGATCACAGAGGCATCTGCTTCCTCTTCCTGTGCCCCCGGAGGGTAGCGTTTTCCGAGAGTAGTCGGAGCTTCGACTCCCAGAATTTCGAAATTTGCAAGAATCGTTCGGCATGTTTTGACTGGAACATCGATGGTTGTCCAATCGATGGTGGTGCCGACGCACTTCAGAAACTCGGTGAGCGTCGATTCGGAGACATTGAACGATTTGGAAATGAGTTGCCGATGGGCTTGTGGCATTGATCGTACGGCTTCCGCCTCGATTGGTGATGCTCGCAAAGAGCGCTGTGCTGTTACGAAGCTGCTGATCATTGCCTGTTCTAGAACGCTTCGTCTTTCTTGAATTGTAGCTTTCGCTGATTCATATTCCGAAGCGGTGCTCCAGAATCCGGAAACTGTCGATTCAGGAATGACATGACTCGTCGCAATTGTTGTTGGAATTCCGAAGTTGCGAGATGTGGATTCCTTCTGATTCTCCGATGAGACGATCCTGCTGATCGTGATCATGCTCTCGATGTCGCTGTGAGCCATGACTGCGAGAAGATTGGTGAAGACAGCTCGTTCAGATTGTTCGAGCTTGTTGAAGGTCTCACTTCGTTCAAAGGATTCTTCCAGACTTGCTCTGAGGTTCAGCATACACTTGACATTCCTCTTCTCGATTACAGAGGCATCTGCTTCCTCTTCCTGTGCCCCCGGAGGATAGAGCTTTCCGAGAACACTGGGAACTTCAGCTTCCATTGCTTTGAAGTTGGCAATGAGTGACTGGCATGTCGAGACTGGAATGTCAATTCCCGTCCAATCCATTGACGTGTTCATATGATTCAAGAATTCTGCGAATTTGACCTCGTCAATATTGAAAGCTCTCGCCAGATCATGTCGAACAGATTGTCGCACGACGTTCGTCGTCTTCTCATGTTGTTGCGTCTTCGCCAGATTCGCGTGCATCGTCGTGATCGCACATGTGAGATAGTGTTCAACGTGTCGCGATCGTTCCGAGAATGTTCGTCTCGCCGATTCGTATTCATTGGATGTACTCCAGTAGCCTGTCACAGATGTCTCCGGAATGATGTGTGTCGTTGCGATGTTTCGCGGCAGCGCGACATTGTGGGATGTCGAGAATTGTTGTCCTTCGACCGACAGTTGCTCACAGATCGTGATCAACTTCTCTATGTCAGTGTTGGCAAGAACTGCCAGAACGTTGGTGTAGACGGCCTTCTGCTCTTCGTCGATCTTCTGAAAGCACTCGCTGCTCTCCCACGACTCATCGAGACATTCGCGAACGCTCAACATACACTGTAGCGTTCGCTTCTCGATGAATCGACGATCGGCTTGTTCGTCTTGCGGCTCGGGCGGCGACAACCTTCCCAGGAAGCTTGGAATCTCGATGTTCATCGCTTTGAAGTTGGCCGTGAGTTTCTCTTTGACGCCAACGGGAACTTGGATGTCGGACCATTGAACCGACGAATCGAGATGATTGATGAATTGCGACAAACGCGATTCGCTGATGTTGAACGCGGCGGTGAGAACGTGTAGCGGGTTGAGCTTCATCGTTCGCTGAAGCATCACACTCTCGTTCCTCTTGGCGATATGGGCTTGCACGTGCTCCTCGATGAACTTTGACGCATAGACTTGTAGACTCGAATGAAGCGATTCGACTTGCGAATGGATCACCTTCTTGGCGATGACCTTGTTCGCGGTTCGCGTGCTCCAGAATCCGTGGACGGTCTCGCAGCGTGGTTGTCGAACTTGAACCGACAACTTGTCGGCCATCTCATGACACGTCTCCATCGATTCGAGGTGTCGCTTGAGAATGACTGAAAGTGTTTCGGTGGTCTCGATTTGAGCGACGGTTCGAAGATCGACGCAAAGCATCAATCCGATGAGATTCGTGTAGAGGGCGGCGTCCTCGGCTGGAATTGCGTTCAGCTTGGACTCGCTGCTGATCACTGTGTCGACAGCCGCCTTCACACTTAGCAGACATTCAGCCTTTCTGGATTCGGCAATACTGATGTCATAGTATTCGTTCTGGTCGGCTGGCGCTTCCAGGCTTCCCAAGATTCCAAGACTGCCGACGTTTGGCATAAGTCGGATATTGTTGGAGATGTTGGCTCGCTGCTGGTCGGGAAGTCGAATTGAAGTCCATTCGACCTTGGAAATGATGTCGAGCACCTTCTCGATGATCTGCTCGACGATGTTGAACGCCGTTGCGACGACATCCCACGGCTTCACCGGATGCACTCGGCACACACTTTCGGCTTGGCTCAATTGGCTCAGCGACTTCTCGATGTGCTCATAGACCTCTCTTGAGGCGTTCGTCTGAAGGTAGGACTTGAACGCCTCCATCGTTGCCGATGTGCGCTCGTCGCGTTTCACCGAATTCCAGAAGCCTTCGACAATCTCGATCGCTGTCGATCGTAGACCTCGAGCAATTGCGGTGGAATTGGAAGCGTTGAGAATCGCCGCGGATTCCGCTGACGATTCCTTTCTGGCTAGCGCCGCTTCAAGTCGTTCTTCGGCAATTTTCGACGCGAACACTCGAAGCGTTTGATGAATCGAATCGATGTTGGCGGCGATCACGTCGACGGCTTCTTGCTTCTCGACGGCGTTTGTCGACCAGAAGCCTTGGATCTCGTCGATGGCGAATTGATTTTGAGCGCGCTCGATGATCCGATCGGCCAACTCGCCGCTTGTTTGTTCCGAAACTGACGTTTTTGCAATGCTCGATGCGATGTTTGTGGTTGTCGTTGAAGAGGCGATCGTCCGCAGATCATGTGTCACTAGTAATCCGACGATGTTTGTGTAGACGGCCGCCTCAGTTGGCGCGATTCGCGCGAGACGCGAATCGCCGCCACTGATCGCTGTCTCGATCGCCGATTTGATCGATAGTAGGCATTCGGCTTTGCGCGTCTCGCTTAGCCGGATCTCGCGATGTTCGGATTGCTCATCGGGCGCGCGAAGTTTGCCGAGAACACTGGAGTGTGCGAGATCGGGAATGAGGCGAATGTTGCGCGCGGCGTTGATTCGCTCGACGTCGCTGAGATTGATCGACGTCCAATCGACGTGCTCGAGAAGATTGAACAACTCGTTGATGCGTTTTTCGTCGATTCTGAACGCTGCGGTGACGACGTCCCACGGCTTCAAATCTAGAGATTTGGCGATCGCGAGACTCTCGACATTCTTCGTCAGCGATTTGTCGAGATTCACTTGCGCTTCAGCCGTGGCGTTGGTTTGCAATCGGATCTTGATCGCTTCCATCTTGTCCTCGAGCGTTTTGGATTGACGCTCGTCGTTCTTCGCGGTTGACCAGAAGCTGTCGATGGTCTCCTCGACGGCTTCGTCGAGATGCGTCGACGTCGAGGTGAGAGTTTGACGGATGGTCTCGCTGATGCGCGACACCATCTCACTGCGAGCCAGCGACGCTTCGATCGTCTCCTCGACAAATTTCGACGAGTAGACCCGAAGGGATTGATGCATCGATTCGATGGTGCTCAATACGGCTTCGTGATGTTGATGGGTGGAAGTCGATTCCCAGCTTCCGTGAACGTCGGTAACGATCGGCTCGCGAACGCGCCTTGAGAGACGCTCGGCGAGATCGACGCTAGTCGTCGATGATTCGTCGATTCTTGTGAAATCCGCGGCGATGCTTCTACTCGACTCAATCGACCCTAATGTGCTAAAGTCATGGCTCATCATCAAACCGACAAGATTGGTGTAGGCGGCGACGTCGGATGGCGACGCACGAGCGATTCTCGATTCGGTGGAGACGACGCTCTCGATGGCTGCTTTCACAGCGAGAACGCATTCGGCTTTACGCGATTCTGAGACGAGCACCTCATGCGATTCGCGTTGCTCGGACGGCGCTCGAAGTCTTCCGAGAACGCTCGACGCGTCGACATTGGGAATCAGTCGCAAATTGGTCTCGATGTTCGTACGCTGAACGTCGGGCAGATTGATCGAGGCCCAATCGATTTGCGATATCACTTGGAACATCTCCTGACTTGATCGCTCGTCGATGCCGAACGCCGTCGACACCACATCCCACGGTGTCGCCACACACGTTCGACTCGTCGACGCCTCTCTCTCGACGTCGCGATTGAACGAGGTGACGGTGTTGGCGTTCGATTCGTCGGCGGCTCTCGTCTGGAGTGCCACGCGGAACGCTTCGATTCGCGAGCTCAACGTCTCCAGAGCGCTTTCATCGTCGTCGGTTTGCGAATGCCAGAAGGTGTGGATCACCTCCTCGGCGGTTTGCCTCAAATCCCTAGTAATCGAGTCGACGCTTGATGATTGCATTACAACACCACTAGTCTTATAAGCCTCGTTTTGAATGTCATAGATGATTTGCGCCATCGAGTGAATCTCGCTGGACGCTAATGTGGTTAGATCGCAACTAGACATGACTGTCGCGACGAGGTTAAGGAACGCTGATTGCTCTTGCGCGACGTTGCGTCGAACGACAATATCGCGATGAAGTTGCTGTTGGTTACCGATGATTCGTTGGGAGTCAACGGCGAGCCAGTGCTCCTCGAGCACAACGATCAGCTGATTCGCGTGACGATCGCGTCGCTTGCAGCGCACGTCGACGGTGATCAGCTCACCGTCAAATGAGGAGGAAGAAGACCGCGACGCCTCTTGCGGCGATTGCTTATCTAATACCACCAACTTTTCTGGAATTTGTTTCGACCATCGTCTCATTTAGTTAGAAGAAGAGAAAAATTGAAATGAAATGGTTTATGAGGACGAACCAAGGATGGTAGCAGCAGTCACACACAGGCGACACTAAATTTATGCGGGATTGTTAGATGGCTACCAGCTAGCACTAGCATGAAACTAAACACGGCCGACTACTATGATGACTAATAAGCTCGCAGATTATCTCCACGTCATCGTCTAGCTCAATGTAGACGGAGCTCATTGCGTGACTGCTGCCACTGATCGATTTGGATTCTGAAAGCCATGGAAACGATGGAGTTTTTTGGGGGGGAGGGCGGGAAGCGGCACGATTGGAAAATTCTACTAACTCTCTCACTCTCGCTCGCTTCTCGATACAAAAGAATCGAAAAGATTACCTCGATGCTCGAAATATTCGGACTCGTAGTGGTGTTGCTCGGTGTGCTCGTAGGTCGTCGTCGTTGTTGAGCGCTGCTGCTGCTCGTCGCGTCGCGCTCGTCCGAACGCGGCGGCGGCGGCGAGCATTGAGAGGCGAAGCGCCGCGTGCGAATAGTTGCCGAACACTTGTCGGAACATGACGAACACGGTGATCTGAGCGGCGGCGTCCTTGCGACGAATTCGCAAATCTTGAACGGCCGATTGTTATGGTCATGGTGGTGGTGGTGGTGGATTTTGTTTCTTTTTTTTTGGGGGGAGGTTCGTTTTTTTTTCGCCCGCGCGCGCGCCAATTTTTTTTTCTGTTTGAATTCGGTTTTCAGGAAAGAGTGTGAAATGGTGGCTCGGTAGCAGGATTTGGGTGTGCTGTGGTGAATGAAAAAGCAAACAAACAAACAAACAACAACGGCAAAGGTGAGCCAGAATACCAGATCGACGCTGGTATCGTGCCTCTGTCCTTCTCGGTGTTGGTGCACGTGCCATTTTTGGATTGTACTGTATGAATGATTCAAACAAAATGGACTAACCGGTACACGCGTCGGCGACGACACTCGAAGCGCTCGACGCCTCGACACCGCTGTTCTTGAGCATCACCGCGCAACTCTCGGCGACGTGTTGGCATTCGGCGACGCGCGCCTCCGAGAACTGACGATGGCTGTGCTGAAAATTGTCGAATTCTGAATTTTTCCTGTTTCCAACACTTCCTCTCGCACCTTCATGCTTTGCGCGCACTCGCTCATCGATTTGCTCGACTCGTACTTCTCGAGATGGACGAGATTCGAGGCGTTGACAATGGCGTGCTCGCGGAATCGCGCCGCCGCTTCGATGGTGTTGGCGGTTTTCGAGGAGCCCTCGACGACGAACGCGTCGGCGGTATGGAAGATGGTCGCCGAGACGTGCGCGTTCTCGACGCCCGACTGTTTCGCGTGGTGGCTCGCCGTCGCCGCGTTGGCCGTCTTGCGGATCGTCTCGATTTCGGCTTGCTTGACGGCGCGATTCTCGAATCCGCTTAGCATCATCGCCTGCTCGTTGGACGTCTCGCGAGCGCGACTCGTCACCACCTCGGACTTTGTCTTCTCGCGCCAATTGATGGTGACCTCGTGGGCGGTTGGAATGCTGTTCGAGATGGAGCACGCGATCGTCGTCGACTCTTTCTTCAATTTCGGCCTCTTGATTTCCATCCGAATTGGACTATGATTGTTGGCGGTCTCGAACGTCGCTTCGAACAACGAGCTCGACTCATTCTTGACGAGATCGACGAGTGTCGGCGAGCCGCCGTTCCACGATTCTTCCGACTCGGATTCGTAGTGACGGGCGCCGGCGAGACGGAATTTCGTCTCGCCGCGTAGATGCGTTCCGTCTTGCCGCATCTCGTACATTCCGCCTTCCGCTTCTCTCTCGATCATCATCAACTCGTCCGACTCGGACTCGTAGCGTTTGCCGGCACTTTGGAATTTGGTCTCGCCACGAAGATGTACACCGTCTTGATGCATCTCGTAGGCGCCGCCTTGGGCTTGACGCTCGACATGCTGCACGACGATCTCGGCGACCTTGGACTCGTCGACGTGCGTCTGAAGCGTCTCCTCTTCCTCGGTCTCGTATCGCTTGCCGGCTCGTCGCAGAGTCGTCTCCTCCTCGAATCGCTGCCCCTCTCGTTCCATCTCGTAGCCGGCGGCTCGCTGCTGTCGGACGATCTTCGATTGCTTCAGAAGGAACGTGATGGCGGCGACAAGCGGCACGGCAATCTTCACCGTGTAATTCGAGGTGTCCTCCTAAACGAATTTATGATTCTAGCGATCTGAGAGAAAAAAAAAAACAATCGCTACCTTTTTGGCGATGTCGCAATCGGCGAACGCGTGAGCACATCTTGGCTCCATTCGGATGACGTTGAGATCTTGCGACTCTTCGGTTTCAAACCGACGAAGTCTCATCAGCGAACCTTCGCCTTCAAAATGATGGCCGTCCTTGACGAGTTGAATGTTGGCCTTGTCCTCCTTCTGCAGCTCGTCGACATAGATCTTCTCGACCTTCTCGTACTCGATCGGCGGCGGCGTTTTGGCGACGGTCTCCTCATAGTTCTGAATGCGTTGCTGCTCTTCGGCGAGCATGTCATCGGCTCGCTCGCCGATGACATACGTCTTCAAAATGTTGGTGATGTCCTCGACGACCTCGACCTCGATATGCGTCAACGCCGACACCGACTCGCCGTCCTCTTTGAGATCGCTGAGAAGACGCTTGCTGACCTCGGTGAGGTAGTCCTTCTTGTCGACAAACTCCGGCACGTCGAGGCTCGCCTCGCGCTCTATTTTCGTCTCGCCGTTCTCGATCAGCGTGATCTTGTACTTACTCTGACCGTCTTTCATCTCTTCAAGTATCAGACTCTTCTTTCCGATGGTCGATTTGATCTGTAACAATGTGTGGAGTTGGCTCTTCGTGCAAACGCCTACCTTGTAATTGGTGACGACGTCGCGAACCGTCCACGCGCTCGAAATGCAACTATCGACGGTGATCAAATCGGCGCCGACGATCTTCTCCATTTTGAGTTTGCCCTCGACGGTGGTCCGAACCACCGGCGCGCCTTGACGCTTCTCCTCGTACTCGATCTCGGTCTCGCGACGCGTCGTTGATGGTCCCTGCTGTTTGATGAATATCTCTGAAATTCGAATTGTCGATTGTTTGTGGAAATTGTTTGTCGGTGTGAGCCGCGTGCCTTTCTCATTCCGCTTCTCGGCTTGCGGCGACAATCGGCTCGATCTGTCGTTCCTCGCCATGTTCCTCTCGTCGTCGGTGGTCTCGACGCTAGCCGGATCCCATGTGAACACGTTGGCTAGTCGCAAATGGCCGCCGTCGATCGTCTTGACGCCGCCACCACGCTGCATCGAGCTCAGCGATGCCGATTTGGCGAGTAGCGTGTTGGCGGCGGCGGCTGTGGCGCGACGAGCCGGCGCCGGACTCGGCTCGGTGGAGAGCCGAAGAAGGTCCATGGTGGCCTCGTCGAGCTGATTGACGGAGCTCGTCGGCGCGCCGCGTGTCGTTGGTCCGTTTTTGCCGCGAGGCCGATACTGGAGATGGGCGCGATCGCCGAACGCCGTCTCGTTCATTGTGCGGCTCAACGGTCCGCTGGGCTCGTCGACGAAATGAACGTTCCTAGGCGAGGCGGGCATCGACACTAAAAAAGAAATGAGAAGCAAATGATTCCATACACGGCGATGCTAATTGATCTTACTCTCTCGAACATTGCTTCGACGGATTCGATCAATCGTCGCATAATCATCCTCGTCGGTTTGATTGGCGAGCGTCGTCGCCTGCAATTGTCGCGGTGTTCGGAATCCCTCGTGCGAGTGTGTTCTTCCCTGAAATCAGAAAATTGCTTCTCGATGGTCCGTCCCGTTCACGTACCCCTGGTTTTCTTTCAGCGCGCTGAAGTAGCTCCTGCTCGCGTTGCTTCGCGGTTTTTCGTTCGCTGACTCGCGCGTCGATGACGTCGTTGTTGGGCGGGGCGGCAGCGCCGCCGCCAAACCAACGCTGGAAGAAGCCTCCTCCAGATGTCTGACGCTGCTGCTTGTCCATTGTATTCTTTTTCTTCTTCTTCTTGCTCGTTGTCGTCGTGCTCTTATCCTCTTCGGACGCTGACTCGGCAGCTGGTCTGAATCTCAAACGCGCTGTGTGATGATCGACGCGAATCAACGCTGATGACTCACGGTTCCGGTGTTCCCTTCAACGGTCGGAAGCCGGGTTTGAAGCGCGCGCCGTTGCTAGCCTCTCTGCAACACTCGGGATGATTGCCGTCTTTGTCGATGAAATCGAGCGAGGCGTTGTCGGCGGCGACGACGACGATCGGCGCCGTCGACAGCGGCTCGACGTCCTCGCGCGCGTTCAACGACGACTCCCACATTGACGTTTGACTGAAACGGACAAGCGACGGCACGACGGATGACGACGACGACGACTTGTGCGCCGATGGTGGTGCCGAGCGACGCTCCTTCCGGTAGACGGGCGTCGGGATGTGAATCGCGCCCGGCACCGTGTACGCTTCGTCGGCGGCGTTGGTGGAGCGCGCGCGACGACCGCGTCGCCCATGACACCCGACTAAGCATCTCTCATCGGACGCACATTTACACAGACAACATGAACGACAACACACGCAGACCATCCAGCCAATCTAGAATCAAACGGGTTAGAAACAAAAATCGATAATAGTGATATTGTATCACAAGATATATATACACACACACGGCTAGGCGCACACGTTCAAGTGGCATTAGAGGGGGGGGGGGTCTCGCGATATTTGGAGTACCTGTAGGCCGAGCAGCGTCCACGACGACGACGACGTCCAACCGATTCCGACGCCCAACAATTCGAGAGGGTCGGGCAACAATTGGTGGGCGGCGGCGCACAAAATCGTTGTACAATAATTATGGCAATAATAATAGTAATAATTGGGCGCTTCGCGATTTTGACAGCTATTTGCCGAGGAGTCGCGCGTTGCGCAATCGCCTCGCCGCCCGCCGTCGGATTGATTCATCATCGGAATCTCGTTCATCTTGGTGACGCGTCGCAGTTTCGTTCGAATCCTGATGGGGGCGAGTTCGAAAGTAAATGATGATCAACTCATTTCGATTCAATCTTGATTCGACTTTTTTTTCTTTGCTAAGCCTTTGGTCTTGATTCGACAAAATTGCTACATCAAAATCGCTCGGGCTCTATTGACATTAGGCGTTGGCAAACAATGATTTGAAAGGTTAATACTAGTACACAGATCATGAAGCAAACCATGAAAAGCAAATAACAACAACAACAAGAGAAACAGCAAATTCAGAAGCTCAACGATGGCATAGTAATGGGGAGGATGGATAAAAAACAGCCGGGCGGGTTTTGAGGCTTGCGGGGTTTCGAAACACCCGGCCCGGGGACGAGAGCGAGAGATACGCGGGGAATGTGAAAGCGGCAGAAATCATCATCATCATCATCGTCGTCGACGACGACGACGACGACGACGATGCCTGTTGTTCACCACTCGAACTGATAGTTTGAGAAGAGCGAGCCGATGGAGAGATGCGTTGGTGCCGGTGTGTTACAACCAATATCTCCCAACCAAACCCCCCCCCCCAACCAACTGATAGGCGTGTTGTGTTATATGTGAGTGTATCTTCAAATCTTCGCCACCACACATCTTGGATTTTATATGATGAACAGTGGGGGGGGGGAATATTATTTTTTTTTCAAATTCAATTCGCGCGAAATTTTGAGAAACAGGGGGCAAGTGCGCTCCATTGCGCATCGCGAAATTAGCGAGTCAAGTTTGGATGGTAGATCGTAATGTCTATCGTTGAAGGCATGGGAAGATTGAAGCTGGACGGAAAAAAACCTGAAGGATTGCCGAGTGTGACCTTCTTTTCCGGGTCTCTCGCCGAAGCTGCTTTTTTTTGTTTTGCTCTTCCCCGCCGTTCTGCCTCGATGTCTCTATCCGCCGGGGGGGGGGGAATGAGGCGATCGATCAGTAGCGGGATGATATGTCGATGATGCATATGCTCTGGTACGATTGAGGCACGCGAGAATCGAAATAGGAAAAAGTCGGCGAATAGAAATTGGTCGGCGGCGTGTGCTCCTTTGAGGTGTGTGCATTTCTTTCCTCGCTTTTTTTTTTCTCCGAACTCGAGCGGCTGTCTAATTGGCCCGCCAATTATAATCGTTGGTGAATGAGCTTTTCACATGTTGACCGCCGACGGCTCAGGCTCGACACACTCCGATTTCCTTGTAATCGACACACATCCACCAGCTGTTTCACCTTGTGGCGTTTGGTGGTGATTTTTTTTCGTCCCCACACAAAATGGGCCTATTTTAATTGTTCAGTGTCGCCAGACGCGTTGCGGTTCGCGTGCGGTTCCAGATTTTTTTCTTTTTGGAAAATGTTATAAGAAAATAGTATTTTGTGGTTTTAGCATTTTTTTTTTCGAAAAATCAATAGTTAAATTTTTTTTGAAAATATTTAAAGGCGCATGATATTTTTTGAGTTGTTGAAACACTGAAATTGAGATTTTCAGAGAAAAATGTTTAATTTTTTATTTTCCTTCAACAGTCCAAAATTTAAAAAAAAAAATAGAATTTAAAGGCGCATAGGAGTTTTTGGAATTAAAAAAAAATTTTTTTTCTCCACTATCCCAATTTTGTTTTATATTTAAAAATGGTATGCAAATTTAAAGGCGCATACAATTTTTTTTCGGGGAAAAATATTTCAAGTCGCATTTTTCGAGAATTTTTCGTTGGCAAGAAAAAAAAAATAAAATGTTCAATTTTTAGTGTACTTTTTTTTTAATTGCAAATTGGAATCACCTCAAAAAAAATGAAACAAGAAAACAGAAGTGTCAATTCGACGTCTCCTTCTCGAATTTTTTTTTCTTTTCGCGGGGTGTTGAACAGAGAGGCAAAAAAAAACCCCCCGACGAGAATTGCGAGCAAAGTGCCGGCGGGCGGAGGGGGGAAAATAGGTTATAATTAAACTTCTGCCGTCGTCGTCGTCGTCGTCGCGAATTTCCATCTGTCGGCCACTTTATTTTATGATTTTGACGTCGTCGCCCCGAATGTTTTCGTCGTCGTCCTCCTCCTCCTCACAAGCACAAAAGCATTTTCTTATTATAATTATATATATATATATATATATATATATGCTGTCGCCTCAGCCAACAGGAAGCATCTAATTTGAAACCGACATCATATAGTCGGACGTCCGCGCGACTGCTGTAGATTTACGCGAATGCGCCTTGAAAAGGTCTCGCCACGTGTAAACGCTTGGTTTTTTTTTTCTTCTTTCAATTTAAAAATGATCGATGATGTTAGCTCGTGCCGAGACCAATAGAAAGAAGCAGCATGCTTGTAAATCTACCCGGACGACGCGCGCGCGCGCGTAATATTGGAATTTCTAGTCGAGGTCTCGGTGCGCCTTTAACATTGTCCGCGTAAATCGACAACAATATTTCCCCCCCATTCGCGCGGCGGCTTCGACGTTACTTCTTATGTATATATCATATAGTTGTTAGCTAGCCAGTATTACAATATGAGAGTCGAAGAGATGTGCGCGATGGGTCACCAGACGGGCGGCGCATTCGCTCGTTCGTTAGCCCATCTCGCGTGCTCTCTCCGATATCTGGAATTTTCGGTGTGTCGCGCGACGAGACCATTTTATTTATTTTGTGTTTTTTTTTTTTTTTAGTTGAGCCACCTTGTCGAAATGTTGCACTTGTTTCCCGCCCCCCGAATTTCTCTGTTTGCTCGCCAACCCATCGCCACCAGAGCGCTACTAAATTATTTCGGTATTTGTGGTCCTTTGATCTGATCCGCCACACACACACACGATGATTGCTTCTTTTTTTTTCTTTGAGCCGCTGGTGCGTTTTTTTGAATTGCCGCCCAAATTCGGGGGTCTCGTAGCGAACAAAAATTGGATTTTTTTTTTTGATTGGCGCGAAATTCAAATTTCACACATTTTATCCTCAAATACAGAACCTTGGTTTTTTTTTCGTTCAGAAAAATTGACTACATGCGAAAATGGCATTTTGTCGCCAATTTGGCGAAATTAGGGGCGCCTCTCTCTCTCTCTCTTTCTCTGCGTCTCTCAATCTCTCTTTTGATCTCCACATCTCTGCGTATCTAACCTCTATGCATATTTTCTCTTGAAACACTAGTTTCAAAAAAAATCGAGATTCTCGTTCTCTGCGTCTCGTGATTCTCATGATCTCTAACACCTAGATGTCTGCGTCTCTCTCTCTCTCTCTCTGAATCTCTGCGTCTCCTACATACCTCTGAATCTCTAGCAGCCCGCACCTCGTCGTCTGCCTCTAATTTCAGAATGAATTAAGACCCCTGTCGAAAATATCTTAAAATTCATTGGGGTTTCTATAGAGACCCCCCCCCCTACCAATTATTTATTATTATTTTTTTTATTATTATATTCATGTCGACGAAAAACGAAAACGAATAGATGGATGATGTGTACGAAAATTGAAAATGAAATTCGAATCGACTCAAAACGAATTTTTTTTTCGTCCTCGTCCCCCCCGAATTTCGTAATAATCCTCAATTGTTTCTATTCGTTTTTTTTTTCGTTTTTTTTTTTTGGCATAATCCGCTCGATCCCCATGCCTCATTTCATTGTATATGCGTTTTTTTTTTCTCTTTTCAAATGGATTCAGAATGACGAATGGCGCTCTCGGTTCGTCGTCGTCGCCATCGCGAATCAATCGACGACGATCGACGAAAGCCCTTCAGGACTTCTTCTCGCGGCCGTTCACCCAGAGGTGCGTTGAACTACACACACAACTACCGTAATCTACTAGGGCTACCGTATACCGTATAACTGGATTTGAGAAATGTTGTGGATCGTGTGAACGGAGAGAGGGGAAATTGGCGGCTACCGTAATCTTGTGTCTCAAAAATGTCTACAGTAATCTTCGACATTGTATGTTGGGCTACAGTAATCCTAGATTTAAAATATCTCGCTCTACAGTACTCTCGAGTACCTAAAAGTTTGCCTACCGTAACCCGGTCTCACGGAATATGCGGCTACCGTAACCAATGGTCTGAATTGATCTCCAAGAACTCGATGAGTCTTCAGAGCGTAAAGCTACAGTAGCCTAATGTCAAATGACTGTAGGTCTCGGAACTACAGTAATCCTGAAACGTCGATTGAAGAGCTCTCTAGTTTTCTGAAATGGGCCCAATTCAATAGGTCGAACTAGTGTTACCGTAATCCTCGATCTGAAAAAAAAATTCTCCTCAGAAAGTAGGGTTACCGAAATTCTCAAAATTACTGTAGGTCTCAAATCTACAGTAATCCCGAAACGTTGATTTCAGCAAAATCGCGTTGAACAAGTGCTACAGTAATCCGCGATCCTTGAAAGGCAGATGCCACGATGCCCTGGAAAATAATGTTACCGTAATCCTTAAAAAAAATTAGTTGATTTCAGCAATCTATGGGTTGAACTAGTGCTACAGTAATCCTGAATCAGAGAACTTCTGGTTCAATGGCCCGTAGGCTAAATCCACTACACCAATCGCGAAACATTGATTCTAGCCAAGTTTGAACTAGTGCTACAGTAACGCAGAAAAGGCATTTCGAGCAATCGGGCTACAGTAATCCTCAATCAGAGCAAGTCCGATTCGATGGTCCTCAGAATGTAGGCGTAATGGAATTGTGGGAAATGCGTAATCGCGAAACATTGATTCTATCAAAGATTTCTTGAACTCGTGCTACAGTAACCCAGAAACGGTAATTCGAGTGCTACTACAGTAATCCCTCAACAAAGAATTCGACAGTAATCCCCCAATTTTTTGGTAGTTTTTTTTCCCCAAAAAAATTGAAATGACAACAACCATTTTGCGAATATGTAGTGTCAATTCGTCTCCCTTTTATGGGTAGTGAAAATGTTTCAAAAGCACACACGCACCAATCTCGATTTGTTCTCATAAAATGCCTCAATGAATTATTCACATTGTTCATTTCTCTTTTTTCTTTTTTTGTGTGTGTTGAAGCAATTACCAAATTTGGGTCCCCCCCCCCCCCAACATGCTCCAACTCAAAAGGTGACGCATTAGGCACGCTTGAGAGCGTCTTGTTCACACTTGAAGGTAATGCACTTGTTAGAAGACGGACGACGACGACGTCTTCAGCTTCTGCCCCTCTCGCTTTTCTTTTCTCCTCCTCATCATCATCATCATCATCATTGCGTATTCCCGCAGATTTTTTGACGTGCCAGAATATCTAATCAACGTCCAACGTCGGCAGCCGTCTTTCGTTTTTTTTGTTTCTTCTTCCTTTTTTTTTCGACTGGCTTAATATATGTATATAATATATAGTTAGCGAAGAGAGATATGACGGCGCGAAAATTGGTCATTAAACCGTTGCCGTTGGGACTTGGGTGAGTTTTTTTTTTTGAGAAATTTGATAATTATCGATTTTCGGAATGGAAAACTCGATTTTAACCATTTTTTTTCTAAAAAAAATTCCGAAAAATTGACTTTTTTCGAGATTTTCAACTTCTTTTTTTTTGCAGAAAAAAATACAAATTTTCCATTTTTTATTTCGTTCCTTTTTACAAAAAAATGGAAGATTTTGAATTGAAAATGATTTTTTTTTGAAATTAAATCGACTGAAAAAATGCAGTTTTTTGACAAAAATTGGGACTTTTTGAGATTTTTTAATTTTTTTAAATTGAAAAAAATTGGAATTTTTAATTTTTTTTTCAATTAAGTTAAAAAAAATATATATGTTTTAATAGAAAATTCAGCATTTTTTTTTAAATAAAATAACTCAAAGATGCGTTTTTAACAAATTTTAACAACTAAATTAAAAAAAAATTTTTTTTTTAATCGAAATTCTGAATTTAAAAATTTTTAAAAAGAAATAACTAAAAAAATTCAGTTTTTGGCAATTTCTACTAGAAAACATTGAATTTTCTTTTTTTCTTTTCAATATTTTTCAACTCGAATACCCATTAATTAATAACCATATCATATAATTTAAATAACCATGCGAAAAATAATTATCGCAATTTTTTCAAATTGCGATTTTCTTGCGAGAAAAAAAACCGAGAAAATCGAATTTTCTTTGAGAAGAGAAGAAAAAAAATTGAATTTCTCAGTAGCCAATGGAAACGCCAAAAATCGTATTGTTGACGAATTCAATTTTCGGTGCTCGAAACTCAAGTGAGAGGGATGAGGAGGGACCATTTTAGCTAATCTCATTATATATCCTCTCTCTCTCTCTCTCTCTCTGCGTCTCTCTCTTTCTCTTTCTCTTTGGCTATACATAAATTATATATTATGCGTTTATAAATAACATGGCCCCCACGATGACAAATTGAGTTTCGAAAGTTGAAATGAGCGAAAGATTGTGGCGAAATGAGATGGGGAAAAGAAACAAACAGAAATTCAATCCCCTTTTTTTCCTTCCCTCTTTTACTAGTATTACTACGTTGGAGAAGAAGAAGAAGAAGAAAAGCTTCCTCGACATGCTGCTTTTTTTTATTTTAAATGGAAAGATTTTCCTCGGGGGAATTGAAAATCGCTCCTCACCGGCTCCTCGCATTCACTTTTTTTTTCCAGACGATCGCAATCGATAAGCGGCGCTCGCGTCTCGCCGCGAATTGTGGCAAACGGCTCGAATTGCGGAACACCGCGTGCGCCTTTGAGCATGTCGAACACCATCGAGATATCGATTGCGATTCAGTGAGTGCTTTTTTTTTCTCGAATAACAACAACAAAAATCAATTCCCCCGATTTTCAGCGATTTTGCCACGTCGGAAAGCGCCAATTTGTTGGTTTGCGAGCTGTTTGAGAATGACACCGAGTGCGAAGATCGGTGAGTGAGCGATGAAGAAAAAAAATGAAGCAAATTTGACATTTTCGCGTTTGTTTGACGTCGTTTCTATTTGTTTGATTCATTTTTAAATGTGATTGTCGTCAAATAAAATGCATTGGTTGCACGCGCATTGCGGACATTGCACTTTATCTTACGACAATTTTCAAAAATGTTTCAAATTTTTGGCCTAATTTTGTTGATTTCTTGTTTTTTTTTTCAATGAAAATTCAATTTTTCAGTTTCAATTCGCCAAAAATAGCGAAAATATTACAGGTGGACGAAAGTCGGAAATAGCAGCCCGGTGCGATTTTCAAGGAACATCGAATTTCCGAACAAATTCATCTATCAATACATATTTGAGAAAACGCAACTCATCAAAGTGATAATGTAAAGATATTCAAAAGAAAAAGAGGAATTTGCTTTTTTTAAAATTCTAGAACACGCTGTCAAGATGGAGCCTCATGTTCAGATGATGTATTGGCGAGCTGCATTTTCAAAGTCGACGAGCTGATCGGCTCATTCGGATTGCAGTTGCGCAAAAATTTAAGGTTGAAATTGTTTTAAATCGCCAGAAAATTCAAAAAATTTCAGCAAAACTTGCACAATATCGAACGCGTTGAATTGCACACAGCGCAATTCGCTTGAATACATTGGAGGCATCATTATTTCCGGTAAATCGTTGAAGAAATTTTGATTTTTTTTTTCATTTAAATTAATTTTATTTCAAATACAAATTGATTTTTGGCAAAATTCAAGCTCAATTTTTTAATGTGGATAAAAATTTGAATTTCAGCCGAAATGCCCGAAAAAGAGCAGCCGATTGTGGTGCAATTCGCCGGCAAATCGTTGGATCGCAAAGATTTCCTCTGGGACGAGACGGCGGTGTTCTTTCGCGTGTTTCGTCTCGAAGAAGGCAAAGACGACGACTCACTGGTGTTCCTCTACGAGAGCGAGGCGCTCAAAAATCACTCTCATCCGCAATGGGCCGAATTTCGTCTCGACACTCAAGATGCGGCCGACAATCGAAATAGGTAAGCGCGGCGAAATCGATCGATTCGCGCGAATTTTATCGATTTTGAAGGCTTTTGGAAATTTGGGTGATGTATCGCGACGTCGACGGCAAAGAGGGATACATTGGCAAATTTTTGACGACGTACGCGAAAATGAAATATGGTCCCGGACCCGACAACGTCTACAATGTCATCAATGATGTGAAGAAGGCGGCGAAGAAGAGCTACGAGCACAGCGGCAAAATGGAGCTCGTCAAATTCACTGACGTCTCGTTCTACTCGTTTTTGGATTATATCGTCAGCGGCACCCAACTCCATTTCGAGATTGGCGTCGATTTTGCCAGCGATGAGCCGATTCATGAGCTCGATCAGCGGCGATTCGACGGCGAACTTCATATGGCGATTCGGGCGATTGGAAGCATTATAAGGGATTATACACCGTAGGGGCTTCTTCTTTTATTAATTTTTCACAAAACTAGGATGAATCCTTTGAAAGCTGGAGATCTGCAAAATTTTGTTTTTTTACATTGCAGTAATCCAAGAAGGTTACTGTTGATCATCAAAGGCACATAAAATTAATGATTTGAATTTTTGTTCCCTTTTTCTTCTCGCGAAATCCAATTGTCAATTATGGTAGAATTGGAATTGCCGCCGTGGGTCTCGTATGGAAAAATTTACTTCATTTAACCAAAAATTAATTGAAAGAGCCTAATTTTCTAGGAATTTTAAGTATTGGCTATTTTTAAAAAAAAATGTCAAGCTCATTTCATTTTACGGGACGCAGAGAATTTTTGGAATTTCCCACTAAAATTGATTATTAAATTTCGGATTCAATGAATTTTGAGATTTGTCGTCAAACATAATGCATAATGCTTTGTCCGCAATTTGTATAATTTTGTTTTCGATTTTAGAAATCGCCTTTTCGCTGCGTTTGGAATCGGCGCCAAGATACCGCCAACGTTCCATGAGTCGAATGAATTTTTCATGGTAAGACGCGATGCGCATCGTTTGATTCAATTGACCGCCCGTGTTCCAGAATTTCTCGATTGATCCGATTTGTCGTGGTCTCGACGGCGTCATGGAGGCCTACCGAAAATCGCAGTCGCTCGTCACCGCGTCGAAAGAATCGAAACTCGCGCCGGTCATCAATTACGCGATTCGAATGTCGCATAGGTCGGGCTTCCGCGGCCTTCATTATCACGTGTTGGCGATATTCACACGCGGTCACGTTACCGATCACAAGGACGTTCAGCAGGCGTTGGCGTCGGCCGCCGACGCGCCAATCTCGATATTGATTGTCGGCATGGGCGACGGCGATTTTGGCGCGTTGGCGAAAATATGCGCGAAACGAAAAGACGGCAAACGCGAGTGCGCGCAATTCATTCGGTTGCGCGGCCTGCTGAACGCCGCCGAGTTGCCGTGGGCGAACAAATCGCGAATCGCCGAGACGGCGCTGCACAACGTTCCGAATCATATGGTCCAATATATGCATAGTCAGAATATTGCGGCGAAGCCGCCGATTCAGGTGTGCCGCTCGCCGTTGTTCCACAGCTCGTCGCTGATACCCGACAAGCCGACGCAATTCGTGTTCGAGGGCGAAACGACGATGATGCCGAATCTCATACCGAATCTCATGCTGCCGGCGGATTTGTCGCCGAGACCGCGGCCGGATCGACGCGGATCGGACTCGCGTAGGCGTTTTTTGACGATTGACGAGAGTGGTGTTTTTTCTTTTGCAGAATACCTCGATGTCGAGACGATGCGTGGCAGTTTGACGGTTCGCGTGCCGGAACGATGCCATTCGGTTCTTCAAACGAATCGCGAGCAGTATCAGCGAAGGCTGAAAGAGAGGGGACTGGCTAGGGTGAGTTTTCTTTGGGGGGAATCTTGGCGCACATTTCAATTTGCAGATGAAATTCCCTCGAGTTGAGCTGAGCACATTGGAATCGAGCGGTGGATCGACGCAGGACAGCTCGTTGTAATCATAAGAAACGTTTTGTTTTTTGTTTTTATTTTTTTCATTTCATTTAAATTATTTTGCCAAATTTACTCACTTGTCGCCAGCGAGAGACCAAATTGTATTTCGTTTGAAGAGCCTGGGTTTTCCTATAAACGATAAACACGATATTGATTCTTTTTTTTTTCAGAAAACCAGTGATTATTAAATAATCATGATGTGAATCACCTGCATCGCGTTGGTGTTTTTAGATTTTTCACATTTTCGTTCCGTGTTATTTCCGTCTTAACGACGGCAAAACTGGTGGGCCGAACCGGGGATTGAACCCGGGACCTCTCGCACCCAAAGCGAGAATCATACCACTAGACCATTCGCACAGGCAAAACGCGACGGATGAAATCCGGGCGAATCACGGTCCGTTATTGACCGTGCCAGCGTGTCGCTGACGTACCGGACACGGACGTCTTAGCGTATCCGGGAACGGACCGTGATTCGCCCGGTGGCGTTTTTCACATGCTTTTTTTTCTTCCGTTCGTATAATAATCAAAATTAAAATTGAAATCATATAGACAGCATTATTATAAAAGTTTTATTTAAGAAAAATCGAAAAAAAATTATTTACGAATCGCAATCGCTATATTCGTTTTGAATTTAATCGTATTCGATTGTAAAATGATTAATTCGTATTCGATACGAAAGAGTCAATTTTTTGTTTCACAATCAAATACATTAAAATTCGAAATGAATACACCGAGTTTCGCACCAAATACGAGTACATTCGGGTTTTTCCAAAGAGTAATCGAGTACCACAAATTTCAAACTTAATTTTCGATCAAGTTTGTATCCGAAATTTGTTGTATTCGATTCGAATCGAATTACTAGAACAAAAATAATTCTAAAAACAAAAAAAAAATATTTGCACATTCCATTTGCACACGCGTGTTCTACCTGGATTGGAACATTTCCATTAACTCTTCGATTTTGGCGGTTTTTCCGCGTCGTTTATCATCGCTGAAACACAGTATATAGCATATATATAACATTCGCGTTGCTCACTTACATGAAGTTTCTTGTCATTTCTCGTATATGAGAAACGACGACGGTTTCTTCCCACCCTTCACTTTTTATATCGAAGCCTCGGTGTAATATTTCTGAAAAAAAGCATAGTTTTTACCATTCAATTTCTCATTGGCCAATATGGACTAGGCGCAAGTTTTTAGCCGGTCAATGTTACTTCAAATCTACTTACTTCCAAGAATTTCGAAGAACTTGTCCGGTATTTTGGGATATTTCGTTCGTTTCGTTGACGAAGCGGCCGAATAAATTACAAAAAAATTATCTTTTTCGCATAACTGAAAGTAAATGTGTTCATGCAGTTGTACAGATTATGCATTACCTCATTCAGTATGTGCAGTACCGCCTTTTCAAGGCCTTTTTCAGGCGACTGTGCAATCCATTTTGAACAGTTTGATGGAGTTAGTAAATCGCCAATGCGCAATTTATACCCAGCTGGCATATCGATATCTTCGTCGACTTCTTTACCTTTTACAATATCGAAACTGTTGATATCTGTCTACAATTATTTATATATATATACCGTAAAACCTGTATTTGAAAGGCATCCTCTAATTGAACGGCCTCTCTAATAGAGCGGCACCCTCTAATTGAACGGCACCTTTCAATAGAACGGCATTCTCTGGTAAATGAAAATCAATCGGTTTCGAAAGAATTTCACTTTTAATCGTAATCAAATACATGAAAATTTCAATCGAATACGATTTTAAAATTGAAAATGAGAAATAAATCAATTGGTTTCGAAGATTTTTCCATCGAATACATTTTTTCAAATCGAGTTCGATCACTTTATCAATCGAATTCAAGCACATTAGTTACCAGATTTTTTGCAAGATTCGTAATTTAGTAATTGAAAAATAGAGCGGAACCCCTAAGAGTCCTTCGAAATATAGAGCGGCATGCCGTCTAATACAGGTTTTACGGTATATATATATATATATATATATATGCAGAAGTTGTCGGATGTCGACTATGTATATGTCCATTACAAAAAAACAACTTTTAACTAACCACTAAAACTTTGCTGGTATGGGACTCTCGTTGCCCGCGCTCCATTTGAAAAGCCAAGGTGGCCACAGTCGCAGCTAATACTTCGAAGTTATTTGAATGGTCCTTGCACTGCAAGCATTTCAAGACCTCATAAAAATCCACCGAATTCTTGTTTTTCATTGTACGTTGCAAATTTGCCTGAAAAGTACTATTCTAGTTTCTCAATTAAAATTTATGAGATAACGATATAACAACGAAAAAAACTATTAGAAACACAACATTTAAAAACAATCAAATCAATAAGATAGGTGGTGAATAGGGTACAATTCTGTCTCAATCAAAAACAAAACCGGCATAGCGAGGGACTTGCATTTCATTAACGAAGCACCACGGCCACGGCCTTACAATCGCCGGTCGATGCCATGCGCGTGTCGTTTTGTCTCTCAATGGTGGACATAGCTGCCATTTACTTGAACAAAGTATGCAGTATTTCCATCTCGCACATATGCTCCCAGGCCCTTCAAATCTTCTATTTGTACTAGCTCGCGAATTCCAGAAAATTGTCCATGCAAAAATCCTCTGAACAGCTTCACTTGATTGAGGAGGTTCCAAGCGTAAGTATTTGCTGGGCGTTCCAAATCCAGGGCCAACTTTTTAAGAACTTCGTCACGACAGCTTAAATTGGCAGGATGAATCGATTCGGCCAGAATGACTTTTCGATCGACTGAGATACAAACGGATATGAAGCGGTAACACCCATATTCGCCTGACGCACTGCTCGCAAAGAAAATGTCGTTGCTGGTCTTTGGTGTTGTATAGGCCGACTGCAGACGACCACACTTTAAATGCAGCTCCCCAAAATGATCTCCGATATGTGCATATGCGAGATCGTTAGTGTGGCTCAGTGCCACTGGCTTTTTCCATATGACCTCGGTGGGTCTCATTTCTGGGGTAGCTGCCAAAAATGAGGCAATGGTCTCGCTGGGGCCAGTTTTCCTTCTTTTTATCAGCTCGCGCCTCACTCCAATATGCAGCATAACTCTGAACATAGTAATTAATATTAGCAATTGTTTCAATTAAGTATTTTTAATATACCGTTTGGCGGCAGATTCTTCGAAGCTATTTGTTGCCTGCGCATTAAATCCTTTCAGTGCAAACTTGTAAAAGTGCTCGTAAGCAAAAGTTGACAGTGGAGCAATATTTCCAAACTGCCTAATGACATGAGGCAGATGGCAAACAAGCTCCTAAACGATATTACTTTCAATGATAAGCTTGAATTATAAGTTTTCTTACATGAGTCTTGGTCGTCATATATGCGCTTGATGCTTTTGATAAGAAATAACGTGCTACAGCTGTGAGATGCACGTAAAAACTTTCGTTTTTGTCAGCATTGCTATATAGTTGGTTCGTGATCAACATTAGAGCTATTATAATCAATCGAGCAGATGGTGTAATAGTTGGGCACACAAATGCGGCAAGTCCGAAGTTTAATCTGAAGAACTGCAAATGTGAATTCATTATTCAGGTGGATTTTGAACCCATTTACATTCAGTTTGTCTGTCCCATTTCTCATTTCCTTCGTTTTAAATTCCATTGGAATAACAGCCATTTTGCAATAATCGGAATATCCATCGATGTTCTTAAACAAATCTGAACGAGCTTTGGCGTTTGGGTTCAAGCATTCTAAAAAAATTTCCTAACGTAAATTTTTAAGCAAATCTTCAACCTGTCATTATTGTTTGAAATACGCCCTCGCTGCCGTTGTGCAGCAAGTCCACGATGGTGTGAAATGGATAACAATAATCCAAAATTTTGGGCATAACATTGCCAAACCCGTTTCTTGCGTTTCTTGCATTCTCTTCGGTTTCTTTTTCATTCCGAGCGGTGTACCCCATAGACACGGTTTTGTATCTGGTTCCTGCACATGAGCCGAAGAAACAAGTTCCTTCGGAATTGCACGCGCGCATTCCAAATAAGGCTCGCTTTGCCTGAAACGGTTATGTGTCCATGGTATATTGGTAGAGTTAAATGTATTATTAAGTTTTGTGGATCTTATAAACTAAGAATTTACTCACGGGCTGGTCACCGCTCCACGAAATAATACTGAAATCGAACTGTTTTCCGAATAAAACACGGGTTTTTCCTTCTACATCAGCGTAGATATATGGTAATAGGGTGTTCCAGAAATGTGTCGACGGATTCATATCTCCAACAGCAATTCCATGGAGTACCAAATTGTGAGCCTTTTGCATCTCGCCTGTTGGTATGTCGATAAGCATGAACGTTACCGGCCACAGCTTTTTCCTAAATTGTTCATTTATAATGACAACTTTTAAAATTGTTACTTCGTATTGCCAGTCAATGACACACCGTCAATACTACCAATAATTGAAAAATGAAGTTCCGTGTCCGTATCCATCTGGGACACTTTTGAAACATACTCTCCATTCAGATTGTGATGCTTGTTTGTCCCATTTTTTATTTCGCTTCTTATCCGATGAATATCTGTCCAGTACTCCTCCACTATCTCCGAGAGTTGCTGAATTCCTCCAATTCTAACATATTTAATTATAGTTCCACAACTGAAAACCCAAACAATAGATAAAAAGTGCCCAACGTCTATACCATTTTGCGAACATATTATTTGTTTCTTTCCCACAACTATTGCACACATAGTGCGCGTTATAAATAGTCATATTGTTCTTCCATAGCTGGAAGCTTTGCCGACGGAATGTTAAATCTTTATGAGAAGAAAGGAATCTCTTGAAATCTGTAATTGCCTCTTTACTTCTTCGTAATTTTTTCCTATTTACCCGCATCGGTACTTCGAGCTATGCACGCTGAAGTTACGAATGTCAAAACTTCGTCCGACACATTCGCTAAATACTGCGCCAAGTCTATTCGAAAATGGCGATTAGTATTAAGACAAATTACCTACCGCTGTGGGGACAATCTTCTGAAGATTTCTCATCGTTTTCCTCAACATCGTTTTCCTCAACATCGTTTTCCTCAACTTCGTCACAATTCACATCCCATTGAAACATTTCTTCCTCTTCATCGATGTCTATATTGAGCGACTCAGAAAGTTGAACATCAATCGGTTCAGATAAGTTATCTTCACTTGAAGAAGATACTTCTCTTGATCCTATTGTAGTCAAAGAGAGTATAGCAAATAGTTATGCAATTTTAACATACTTTTTGTTGGTAAAGATGGTAGAAATCTTCGATATGACCGTCCCATGACTGAAATCGTAGTCTTTATCAAAACTTGAACGAAAATTGGGAAATTTTTGTATTTATTTAAATGACCTAATGACCCATTTACAATCTGAAAAAACAATTTCAAAGGAACACTATTCATTTTTCAACTACAATGGAATAAAACAGTAACTTTTCCAAATAATGATACGGTATTGGAACCGTTAAACAAGTCGAGTAAACCTCAAACTTGGGTAATTAAACCTTCATTATTGAACGAAAACGAACAAAATGTTAACAAAGCGATACAAACTAATAACAAACTTGATGATACTAAATATGGTGGATGGTGGGCTTGGGGAAACAACTTAATAAACTGAAATAATACGACTAAAAGCATAAGTAATTGACTAAATCGGTGTTTACGATTGGGGACTTGCATTTAAATAAAGGTGAACTTCGGCCGCGGCCCTCTTTTTGCTGGACATTGCCCGATGGCATGATGGCGTGCGTCTCTTCATTTCGCACTCTCTCTCTCGCCCACCGCCTCATCGTCTCGCCCACTCTCCCATTTCCACATTATCTCTACATTACAAAACAACGAATATAAATATGGAGCGGAACAGTTAGAACGCATAACGGTGAATCGACAGCAGCGAACTTAGACACATCGATCTTAGGAAAGGAAGTCTCGAGCCGTGCTATGGTTACCGCATCGGTATCGGGCAACCTGCAACAAGAAAATTTAATTATCAGCCATCGGTCGCCACAGCTTCCAGTGAAGCCGTTATATTAAATATTAATTAACTTTTGTGTCGTAACGTTTCAGCCAGGAAGTGTCGATCAGTAAATAGTCCTTTGTTTGTCGGTGACATTTTCACTCGAAAAAATTGTCACGTAATTGGTCCGTTTTTTGTCTGTGATGCCTTTCAAAGAAATATTTCGTCCGTACTTAATCCGTTTTTTAGCCGTGGCGTTTCATACTGAAAATCAAGATCCGTAATTAACACGTTTTAAAAACGTGGCCAATAAATCTCCGGACTTTGTCCGTTTTTTGTCCGTGATGCCTTTCAAAGAAATTTTTGGTCCGTACTTGGCCCGTTTTTTAGCCGTGGCGTTTTATCCTGAAAATCAAGATCCGTAATTAACACGTTTTAAAAACGTGGCCTATAAATCTCCGGACTTTGTCCGTTTTTTTACCGCGGCGTTTTTCAAAGAAATTTTTGGTCCGTACTTGGCCCGTTTTTTAGCCGTGACGTTCAAATATCCGGACTTCGCCCGGACTTCATCCGTCGCGTTTTGCCTGTGCGGCCACAAAACGATGCGCGAAGTTTAAGAATTTCATATCCCTTATCAGCTTCATCTTTTGCAAATCCACGTGTGGAAGAATGGTCGTATCCCATTCTTAATACGCATTATCAGCGTTCGGCGAGCGTGCACAGGTAAAACGCTGTGATCCAGAGTTGAGTCTTCCGTGACTCAGTCAGCGTAAAAATCCGGGTACAAAACGTGACCAAAATGTGACTCAATTATAATCATTTTTGACACTCGGTGTTCAATCTAAGACTATTCTGTGATCCAAAGTTGAGTCTTTCGTGACTCAGTTGGCGTAAAAATCCGGGTACAAAACGTGATCGAACGGTGACTCTATCATGATCATTTTGGAGATTCAGCGTTTGGATGTAACAGAACGTTGTAATATATATATTTATTTAGTTACGCAGAGAAACAAATTTGAAACAAGTTACCAAGCATAAAATCGTAAAAGTTACAAACGAAGCGGATTTTGTGATCCGAAATTCTGGCTCTCGTTGACTGTCGAGATGCTGTCGTCGAATGTTGACACATTTGACGGCGATTCGGTATTCTGGTGGTCGTCGATCTGCGCCTTTCTAGAGCAACAGTTTTGAGATATAATAAGAATTGTCCAACTACCTGTGCTTCGTCAACTTCATCAGCAACTTTTCTGTTTTGTCTTTGTTTTCCCATAGTTTGCGATAACTAAAAGTTCAAAAATTTTAGTTCGGAAAAAATTCTTACATCTGATTTTTTATTGCTGATTCTACTCTCGCAAGAAGTATTGTCTCGATGAAGACGTTGGTCGCGACACGAAATCCAACTTTAAGATATTCTTAAGAGCACTTTAATTTAATTTTAACTTCGTTTTTTAAAATTTCGTACCAGCGATATATTCGATGACCTCTTTATCGATCGGCGCAGATTTCGTGCTTTTTAGCGAACTCGGCAGACTACATAATATTTGTCTTTCTCAGAGATCTACAAATAACTTTCATCGAAAGATTTTTAAATATTCCGCCCTTTCAACCTCTTCACATATCAGTGTATTTGTCTTAACTCATTTGATTTTGACCTTACAATCGGCTTCCTCTGTTCCTCTTTCTTGAACGCTTTAATTGCCATGACATCTAGTAAACTCGAAATAAATTTGTAAACTCGAAATAAATTCGCTTGGATTCGTACCGCCGCCGTTGGCTGCACTTAGGACGTTAACATCGAAATCCGCATTGTCATCATTGGGAAAATCGGACACCTCTGCGTCCTGCGGGCGCTGGAATAATTTTTAAAAACACTATTTCCTAAACACCCACCTTTTCGGTGTTACTTTCGCCCGTTGGCGATCCCATTTGAAACAACGACACGTAGGGGCTGAAATAATTGAAAAAACGCAGCGAAAACAAAAAAAACGAAATAAACGGACTTTTACTTTTTTTAATACTAATGTTGTTATGCAGATTTTGGCGAAAACTCAAAAAAACTGGTTTTGTACAATCTGAATTGGGTTTTAATTTTTTAAATAGTCTTTTACGGGTTTTATTTTGCCAAATCTGCATAGCACCATTAATAAATTGGAAGAAATGTATGCACTTTGACAGGAAATGTCGAAGAAAAAAAGAAAAAAGTGAGACGCAACCCGATCGTGATGACAACAGAGGAACAGAGGAAAAAACAGAGTTATCTTCATGGGTGGTCTCCATGTTTCGCGCTCTATCGCAATCGCACGCGCACGCGTCGCGTTACCTTTTTATTTCGCAAATTATTTTTTAACATATTTTCCCGCTAAATTTTAATTTTGATGTTTTCCTTGCAGAAATATTTTAAAATGGTTTTTTTTCCATTGTTATTTATTAATATTTTGTCCATTCTTGCTTTATTACAGAGAATTTTTCAGAAAACAACCCAACAATGTCATAAGCAGAGTCATTCGGATATTCGGTGTTCTCAATAGGCACTAGTTCTTTCTCTCCGGTTAGTTTTCCGTGAACTGTTTCAGTGAAACCTCTCAAGTTTCTATTATATCAGTAAGGAGTTAAATGATATTGTAAATAATCTGGATGTGTTTTAATTTTTTTAATGACCTTTTATGTCACTATGGATTTGAATTCTTAAGTAACTTTCAGGCCATAAAACGTCTGAAATTGTAATATATATTTAACATAGTCGACCAAATAAATTAAATTAACTTTTTTCAGATTACTTGATGTTCCACCAACGTGTTCCATGGACTTCTATCGTAAGTTTTTAATCAACTTTTATATATTTTTTGAAATAAAATAGTTTCATTTCATGTTTGTTTCATTGTTGAACATATCAGTTCGTCCACTTATTTGGGTCTCTTTGTTCACTGTACCAGATATTTAGTACTGATAGTTCTCGTTTCTTGTTTTAAACTGAAATTCGGAATCAAATGATAATTTTATCAAAAATAAACAAATATCAATAAAAGTGTAATGTTGTAACTGCAGCTCTGCTTGGTGGTCGTCTTCGAAAATACTTCATCCTCGACACATTCACACAAATCTGTCATTCCAATCCTGTTTTGTACTAATCTGAAACAATATTCCCTTTTTTGTAGTGGTTTCGGAGTCAAGTACGCTCCCAGTGAACGAATCGTGTTCAAATTTGGAACTTTATAATTATGTAGTGTTAATATGTGCACAGATGATGCATGCACTCTCGTGAGGATGGGTCACAGTTGACACTCAGCGTCTTGTCACTTGTCAAACGCCGAGCCTCATATGTGAATCAAAACGGGTCACACTTCATGCTCAGCGTTTTGTCATACGCCGAGCCTCAAATGTGAATCAAAACGGGTCACACTTCATGCTCAGCGTATTGTCAAACGCCGAGCCTCAAATGTGAGCCAAAGATGGGTCACAATTAACGCTCAGCGTACGTTCAGTCACAGTTGGTACATGTTTGACATTCGGCGTTTTACCTGTGTGGCCGAATGGTCTAGTGGTATGATTCTCGCTTTGGGTGCGAGAGGTCCCGGGTTCAATCCCCGGTTCGGCCCATTCTCTTTTTGTTATTTTGATGGTTTGTAAAAGTTTTTCCAATCTTAAATCGAGTCGTTGAAAAGATACCAATTATAGCGGTGATTTTCGGTTGCCATTCCATCACAAACCACTAATTTGTTTTTCCTTGACGAATTGCTGCGCTCACATCGTGTATATGCTGTTGTTGTTTTTTTTTTTGCAGCCATGAAACTACAATTCGCCAGCGTCTATAATTGCCCAATCGTCTACGCGAATCATTGCCACGTCATCAAAATGCTCATATTGCTCGAAATGTGCGCGATACTCGCCAACATGCTAATGTTCGGCATCACGATATACGCGCTTCGAAAAGCGACGTTCCATTATAATTTGGTGCGAATCGGCATTTTCATGATGGCCGGCTATTATACGCTGATGGCTGGCCGAATTGTGACATGCGTTTTCGAGATCGGCATCATTCGCCAGGGTTTCCCATCCACAAATGGTCCACTGTTTTGAATTTGGTTTCTTTCAGACGATCCCGAACACTCGATGGTCCTTATAATAGCGTCCTACCTTCAATATTACTATTTCGGGTGCGCGTGTGTCATGTAAAACGGTTCGATTTGAAAATTTGGCGCGATTTTCGATTTTTAGAAGTTCGGCATTTGCCGCTGAACGCTATTTCGCGACGAGATATGTCGCGATATATGAGAAGCAAAAAATGGTGTGGGTGATTTATGTTGTATGCAGTTTGGTGGCGATTTTGGCGATGATTTGCGCCATTCTAATGCAATTTGGTGAGAATTTTGCGATTTTTTGTTTTTTGTTTTTTTTTTAATCAAAAATTGCCATTTTTCAATTTTTCAGAGATCGTTCGAATATTGTATATGACCATATTTGGGCTCACGTTGAGCATCTCAAGTTTTTTTGTGAGATTTTTTTCCATGATTTTGAAACAATTTCAAAAAATTTTTGCAGTTTTTCATCATTCTTTATTATATGAATATCCGACGCCTTCAACAAGTCCAAGAGGTCAATGAAAGCTATACATTGAGCATTCGATTTCAACTGAATGAGAATATTGTCACAATGTCGGTAGGTTTGATGGAACCTCATGTTCCGTTGATGTGTTGGCGAGAACGAGGGACTAGAATTCCAAACTTCGGCCACGGCCTTCCCATTGCCGGCAATCGCCTCGCGATGGGGAGTGTCTGGTGCCTCCGCACTCATCGCACTCTCTCGCATTACTCACTCGTCGTCTCGCTGCACTCTCCACCACCCATACTATCTCATTCCAAAGAAAATTTTTTTTTGATTTTCAGCTGCTTCGAAATATCGCATTAATCAGCAATTTTTTCAACATATTCATGGGCGTTTTTTTCGTTGGTTCGTCTTCACTTAATTACCCACACTAATTAGCGAATTAATTAATGACAGCGTTCAATAGTGTTGAATTTCGCCAGGAATCGCCAATTCTCGCCTTATATTTTCATTTGATATTTGCCTACTCATGTATTTCGTAGGACGATTTTCGGAAGTTTTGTGCTAATGAAAAATTGTTTCCCGATTTTTAGGTATGCGACATTTGTGATTTTCGCGATTCTGCTTAGCGTCAAACGCTATCGCGAATATTTTTTGTCATTTCGGCCAATTCGTGAGCACCAAAAAATTATTATCGCAAAAAAAAAACGCGAATTTCCAGGCATATTTGTCGAGCCTATTTGTCGAAGCTGCTTTCGAAAGGAGTTCGGCGCAAGCCGCAACGTTGTCCGCAGATTGTCGGCTCAAGACGAGACCGACATCTATTTCTCGCGGCTCTCGCTTCAATGGGACCTTCCAATCAACAATAAATGATTTTTTTTTGATAAAATTTGTATTTTGTTTTTTAAAAAGGTTAAGATTTCTTTAATTTTATGGAAAAACTTAAAAATGCGCCTTTAAATTCCTATAGTAAATTTGCATTTTCTCAAATAATTAATTTGTTTCGCTATAAGAATTGTTCTTATCATTAATTTCCATGTAAATGATAACATCTCGCCACTCGGCAATCAATAATGCGGTGGCTTGTTGTATTTCTCCAATTTTTCAGCCTAATTACAGCCAAACATATCGATATCACGTGTGTAACCAATGGTAATTAATTCCAACACCAATACCAATAGCCTTTTATTTTTTGTGCAATAGACGTCGATGCTTCAAGCCGATATGAAGCGCTTACGAATCTTCTAAGCAATGATAATCGATTTTGGACGACAAAATTCCACAAGGTGCCGTGCTCCATGGAAAAATGCAACATTTTGAACATCACCAGGTGTGGATTTTTGAAAAATTTCAAATTTTTCTCAATAGAGCGCACTTGCAGCGTTGACACGATTTTTGCATCAATTGAGAGCCCAGTTATCAATTTGGACGAGTTTTTCCTCAGGTACGTCATCATTTTTTTGCAATTTTCATTTTTTCCAATAATTTTCAGATCCCTATTCTCATTTGCCCACGAATTATACAATAATATCGCGCTGAATGAGTTGAAATCGAAAATTCCCGAAGAATTGCCGAACGAATGGAACGATTTGATGATATCGGGAAATCTTGAAGCGAAATTGGATGAATCCGAAAAATACTCGTTTATTTTGTTTTTTAGTGACAAAGGCACGTTTTTTTTTCATTGCTGAAGAAGAAAATTCGAAATTTGAAATTTTTAGACCGATTCGAGGACTTCGAAGCGATTGTGCATGTCGTCGACGCGGCTCGGCGAACCAAAAAGAATGTGGGAATTGTGAATTGTAAAATGTTTCAAATTTTTCCCATCATAACAATTTTTGAAAATGTGAATTTCAGATACACGCCAATTTGCGATTCATTCGACGTCACCGGCGAGCCGCTGCTGATCGCCTTCGAGAATCGCGAACGCTATCAAAAATTTTCGGGCGAATTCCAGGAGAATCAGGTGTTCGATTGGATTCTAACGTAACTATTGAAAATCTCGTCGAAGCCATCTCTCTCTCTCTCTCATTCAGAATCGAGCAGCCCGACGTCACGAAACTCAACGAAGCCGCCGTGCCCTACTATCGAAGCGGTCTGATTCCAGGATTCGAGGAGGCTCGCGACACCGTCACAATGTTGTTCGTGTCGACGAAAAAATCGACAACCTACCAAAATTGGAAGAAAATCGCGCGCGAGAATCACGGACGATTCCATTTGGCGGCGTTCGTCTCACAAGACGTCGAAAAATGGTATCCAATTTTGTCCGGCCAATGAGAAATTGAGATTCAGGGCCCATCAGCCGGCATTGATCACCATGAAGCCGAGAGATGAGTTCATCAAAGCGTTCACACTTCACACCGATCTCAGCTATGCCAGAATTGTAGATTATCTTGAAGAAGGAGTCCATCCAAGTTTGGTAGCAGCGGGAATTCAGAATCTCGTTGGGCTATTACATCGTTTCAGCACCCACTATCATCATCCCGACAATTTTCCTACGCGCTATCATCTTGCGAGAAGCCGCTGATCATCTTTTTCGATCCGTTGAAATCGCGCGACTCGACGGAATTCCGCAAAACCGCGTCGAATCACCAAATGGTCCATCCGCGAACCGCGCGATTCTCATTGATTCAGGGATGGGACTTGTTCGGTTTATTCATCGCCAATTATTTCGGTGTGGGACCCGAACAGTATTTGATTGTTAGCAAGATGTGCGATGCGAACGAGCCCACCTATTGTTTGAGATCGAGCAAGATTGAGGAGAACAATGAGCACGAGATACTGCAGCTCATCAATAAAAAGGAGTGCGAGAGTGAGTCCCATCTTTTTTTTTCATGTGAAAGCGCCTTTAAATAATGAAAAAGAGAAACTGGATTTTGGTAGTTGCTCGTTCTAGGCACCATTCAAAGCCATCAGTTGCCATTGGATAGAATTGCGCAATTCGAGCGTCGCGAAGACGTCGACGACCTATTTGACGAGCATTCAACAAACGACGGCAATATTCATGAAGAGTTATAGGCGCAATTTCGAATTAAAGCATGTCGAACCATAAATGAATGTTGGCGAATAAATTAGAGGCGTTGCACTTTGACGGCGTGCTCGGAGATCGCGTAAACCGCCGCCAACATCTCTTTGCCTACAAATTGCGTTCTTTCATTTTTTCGACGTCACCCGATTTACCTGTCGTCTCGATGTACTCCGGCGGTAGATTGAACGCCGGACTATTCGGCGCGTCGGTGGGCCGCAACTCGACACCATAGATGTAGGGCACACCGAGGTGCTGCATATAGTCGATGCTGGTTCCAGACGCCGGATCTAGAATGGATGGTCTGATTCTGTTGTTCGTCTTCACTCTCTTACACATCAACTCCGAAATTGTGCCAAAATTGTAGGAAGCGCCGGTGGTGTTGCGCATCGATTGCACGGCGAGCTGCGCGGCTTTTCGCTGATCCAAATAGTTGGCCGTCTTCTCGTTCGTGTAGCCCCACGGCGACAAAAGCAGTTGGCCGTATGAGTGAAGGCTGACGTAGAGTATCGGATTGGTGACGTTCCACGCGATGAAGTCTTTGAGGCCGCGAATCTCCGGCTCCGAATACGGATGACTTCCCATGTAGATGTTGGAGCACGGCGTTCGATTCGCGCCCGCTTCACCCCAACGATAGCCCCAATTGCGATTCGCGTCGGCGCCCATACACCATTTGTTGACCGTCGTGTTGACACTTCGCGTTTTTCGCCAAAGACGATCCTAGAAATGTTTTTGATATTCGCCGAATGATGATGGTCCCCCTCCCCACCGTATTCCTACTGTACTCATAGCCGTCGGGATTGATCTGCGGTATGATGTACCAATCGAATTTGTTGAGACTTCGCGTCAATCGCTCGTCGACACCATAATTGGCGACGGCGTACTTGATCATGTAAATCGCCACCGCCGGCGCAATCCATTCGCGCGCGTGCACACCGGCGTCGATGATGAACGATGGTTTGTCGATGCGCGTCGCGCCGGGCTTGCTGATTTTCACACCATAGATTTGGCGATGCTCGTAGGACGTGGCGACGTGGTGTATGGTGACCATGTCGGATTTTTGGCGAGCCAACGACCGCATGAATCGCGTCATCTGAATTTTCAGACGATTATTCACACAAATCATTTACAGGATTGGTTTTTTTTAAAAATCTACATCGCCGTATGAATGATACATGTGCGTGTCGAAGTGGTCCCACGCGTCGATCGAGCGTTTCCGTCGTCGTCGCAATTTCGCGATTAGCCGCCGCTCTTCGCTGATCACCCTGTGAAACGCAAAAAATTGAAATGGAACGAAAAAATATGTGGACCTCTGGTAACTCAAAAAAAAATCGGATCCGTCAAAATTCGGCGCCGGAATCAACCTGATCCGATTGGTAATTCTACGGATAAGATTAGTTATTTGTCGAATTCGATTCGAATTGAAGTATGAAAACAAAACGGATTCGAAGAAAATCTAATCGGATCCGAAAATACCCAAAAAAAACAACCGGATCCGACAATTTTCCAATCTTATCCGTAGAATTACCAATCGGACAAGGTTGATTCCGTGGCCGAATTTTGTTGAATCCGATTGGTTTCGAGTTACCAGCGCCGAGACAAACTTTTGAATGTCGCCGTCGATGAGCTCGAGCGATTCGCCTTCGCCGATCGACAACATTCGGCGAAATTTGGCGGTGAACTCGGGCGCGACGAGCACGTCGGCGAACGGATTCGATTTCGATGGTTCCGACCAGACGTCGAGTTGAAGGCGCGACGTTTTTGTCGCCTTGAGGAATCAATGGAAATTTGTGTAAGCGATACAAATCATTTTTTGAAAATAATTTTGATTTGCAAATTTTTTTTAAAAACCCCTATGCGAAACGTTGTCCGCCAATTTGGTTTTAAAGGCGCACGCGAAACATCGCGTCGGTCTTTGCGCGAAAATCGCAACTGTGTTGATTTTTTGTGGCTCTCGCTTGATTGCATGAACAGAGGACCATTAATGATTTTCCGTTTCGCCTCAAGACCATTTATGAAAATGTCCCAAACAATTATAGATGGTTTTCGCGTCAGGACCCTATTTTAGAATGGCAATTTTCCCAAAAAAAAAATTGATTCAAAAAGCGAAAATTCATGTTTTTTTTAGTACTTCATTTTATAGGCGGAATCTGAGCCAAAATTAAGATTTGTCCACTTTCTTAGGTAGCTTATTTTCGCGTCGAGACCCACTAGAGTGGAAATTGGAATTTTTGACATTTGACGAAAAAAAAAGAATTTCTCGGCCAGAAATGAATAAAAGGAACGAAAATCTTTCGATTGGGTCTCGACGCGACAATGTAATAAATCGCGAACCTCGTCGAACTCGGTGTCGAACGCCTCGAGGTGTCGAAGTGTGTCGGCCGACGGATCGACACGGAATCGGTAGAGCGCGTAGCCGGTGTAGTCCATCATTCGACAATTGGCGACGGCGGCAATCAGCCAACACAGGCGAGCGGTGTTCATCATGGTTTGCGGCGACACGAGATTTCGAATGAAACTCGCCGTCACCAATTTTGGGCGGAGATAAGGGTGGCTGTGCAAATAAACAAAATTTTGGCGGGGTGTTGAGTGAAGGCGCTGAAATCGGGTGATTATGGTGGGGGTTTGGGCGAAGAAATGATTTCAGCAATGTCGATTCTGATAGAAGGAAAAAACCGGTTCCCTCCCTCCCAAATTAGGCTATTAATTTAAACAAAATTCGAAATGCATTTAGGTTAAGCGGGTTGGGTGGTTTCTTTTTTTTTTTTTTGACAAATGCTCGCCCATGTGTCACCCAGATTGTTTTGTTTAGAGAAAATCATTGTTTATATTTATATTTTTTTTCTTTTCATTTCACTTTTTTTTCTCATTGCGCCAAAAGTTGAGAAATTTGTTACAATAGGAAGTGTCGAACAAAAAAAAGAAGAGAAATGAGAGCGACAGGTTTTTTTCTTCTCTTTTCCAACAAAGAGAAAATGAATTTGAATCGAATTTTTTTCCCCCTAAATGAAATCTGTGATTTTTTGCCAGATTTCGTTGAGAAAATCTATTTTAACACATAATACTGAAAATAATTGTCAAAAATTGCTGGATTTTGTTAAGAAATCTGAAATTTCTTTCCGAAATTTTAATTTTAACAAAACATTTTCGAAATAACTGCTAGATTGCTTTCAAGGACTTTTATTGAAAAAAAAATCGAGCGACCTTGAACGCCAAAAAAATCGAAAAACAAAATTTTTGTCGAGCCTTCAAAACCGTGTTTCTACGAAAAAGCCGAAGGGTCGGACTCAGATTCGTATATCTTTTGAGCACATCTTCTTTGAAATGGTTTATGGGTCCCGTGGGAAAGGGGGGGGAACTTCAATGATCAAGAACATTCGATGTGTGTGTAGTTATCATATGAACAAACCGGAATCGACAACGAGTACTCGGAGAAAATTCTCCAAGTATCAGTTTTCGGTTTAAAAGTGCAAAAAAATAATTGCTTTCATAGAAAAAAATTGAAAACCGAAAAAAGTGGTGTGAGAGAAATCCATTTTTCCTTGAAGAATACTCAAATGCCAATGTCAATCTTACTTTTGAAAGTCGAACCTCAAAAGAAAACCGGTCGTGGAGAGTTATTTGCTCAGCGAGCCCCAGCCAATCTAGCTATTCGCCAATTTGTCGCTCATTCATTTATTGAGATCAAGTGTGAACGCCAAATTATTTCATCGACGATTCATGCAATCGTCCTGACGGCCTTCGGTGAACACGAAGTAGTACATGAAGAGGAAGAGGATGAAGCTGAGCGGGTAGAACACCCGACAGAAGTTGTCGAGATAGCGGCCCGTTTTGTGGTAGCGCGTCGCTTTTTGGAGAAGCGCCTCGCGCACTTCTTCGGTGATGTCGGCCGTCTTTCGAGCCGCCCATTTTCGCTGAAAATTCCGTTGATTGCGGGTTTTTTTTTTCATTTTTCTAAAAAAAATTCGAATATTCATTTTCAATATCACTGCTTTAAAATTTTCTATATGCGCCTTTAAATTTCTACAGTAATCTTAACAAATTTTGCTTTTCAAAATCATACAATTTCTAAATGTTTCATGCAAATACTTCGAAAATTGGGATTTTTGCTTTTTTTTATCTAGAAATTTCGTCACTACTTCATATTTTTCTATACGCGCCTTTAAATATCTACAGTAATCTTAGATTAGTTAATTTCGCTGCTCAAAATGAAACAGTTTTCATTTTTTTCCAAAAAAATTTATTTTTCATTTATAAACTTTCAAAAATGGGGTTTTTGGTCTTTAAAAAACCCTAGAAATTTATGCGCCTTTAAATATCTTTTTTTTTTTGCTTTTCAAAATACAGAAAAAAATCAATTCAATTACCAATTGATTTGCCCGTTTGTCGAATCCAATGACAAACAGCGTCTGAAGCAGCGTGAAGAACACGAAGCCAGTAATGAATCCGAACCATAGATCAATGGCTTTCAGATATGAAACGCTTGGAAGATGCTCGCGAGCACCCGCCGATTCCGTCGACAACGTCAACAGCACGGTGATGGCCACACCGATTCGACCCTCCATGAACTCCTCGGGAAGCCAGACGCCCACCCAGGAGAACATCAACGCCAACGACGTCGGCACGTAGGTTTGAGCAATGTGGAAGCCGACGTCGCGCTTCAGACGAAACACAGCGCGAAGGCACGAGAATTCGCCTCAAAAAAACAACAACAACAATTCATTCGTTCAAAATTGCGCTCTCTACCCGATTTCCTCGCGTTCGGACATGTCGTCGTCTCGTAGCGATCGATGTAGAGCTCGGGAAGTTTCACGTCGGGATTCTTGTCGATGGCGTCCTTCCGACGCGTGAACCACTCGAATCGCACCGTCTCCACCGGATAGGCAACTAAACCAGACAGAAATCGTCTTGCATGATGGATGTCCGTCATCTGCGGACGACTTACATGATTTGATCAATAGATCGCATGTCTGCTTGTCATGCGGATATTTGCACAAAATCAAATTGCAGCTCGGCTTAATTTTCACCCTTAATTAGTCGAATTAACTACATAATAAGCAAGCTTCTTCCAATAAACCTTGTTTCATAGAGCACGAGACCGTCGGGGAATATTCGCATGAGGAAGTTGAGGAACGTGACCTCGTGGAATTCGGCTTCTTTGGCGTTGGCGAAAAACGGATCGGGACGCCAGATCTTCTCGAGAATGTCCTCCTCCTTCACCAGTATCGGTTTGTCATATGGGTTGACGAGCCGCGCGTCGCGCCATGACATCATCAGATAGATATCCATGTCGTAATCCTGAAATCATCTTTTGTTTTGGTCTTCAGCCACCTTCCATTATTACCATCGTCGTCGTCTGAAAGTTGCTCATACTCTCGATGTAGATTCCGAAGCGGACGACGACGGCGCTTCCTTGGAACACGATGGGCGCCGAGAACGGATCATACTGATTCTTGTTGAGAACAGGGAGAATGAAGCTGCCGCCGAGGTTCCTAAAGCATGAGACAATCGCCTGATCGAGGCCAACCCTCTTCAGAAGGTTCTCACTTTGACGATCCATTGGTTCTTGAGAGGATCTCATCGACTTCGGTGTCATTTCGAAGTTTCTCCGCAAGCGCGGTGAGATTGACGCCGGCTAGCTCCAATGCTGTGATGTTCACGCCGATGGGACCCTCGATCTCGACGCCCTCGAAACTGCTGCTGTTGAACTCGTCGATGGCTTTGGGCACGAACTCCGAACAGATTCCCGGTAGGTACAAGCCAACACTTTCGAATCGGTTGAACGCGGTCGGATCGACTTCGAGGCCGAGAGCGTCGACGGCTTCACGCGAGGATATCAAAAGCACCGGGCTAGAGAAAAAAAGACATGGTCAAGCTCTTAATGGTCCGTTGTAGTCAAAAAACAAAACTGACTTGATAATGTCTGAGGCGTCAATTTCCACCCATGCATTGATATCACTGGCATTGCCATTGAGCTTGTGCTCGGTTTCCTCGATGACGGCGATTGTTGTCTCGCCGTCTTCGGTCTTTATGATCTGCTTGACGCTCAGCCAATCCTCATCGTCTTCCTGACTCGTCTCGATGCTTGCGATTTTCGATTCCGCCGCCTTTTTCTCATTCGACTCGACGTCGCGTTTCCTTCGTGTCTTCAACACCACGTGATGGTGTCTTCTTCGTCGTCGTCGGCTTCGCCGTCGCCGATGAATCAAATTGTCATCATCATCATCGACGATTACCTGATGCCTCACCTTGAATCGACGTCTGAATCAAGCAGAGGTTCGTTGAAGTCAAATTGCATAAGATTCCTTACTCAAGATCCTTGTAATCCCAAATATCATCGTCGTACACCTCGATCTCACTTGGGAATTCTGTGGTGGTGGTGGTGGCGGCAGCTGAAGCTGACGAATGGGTCACGAGAATCACTTGTGACGGATTCTCAGGGTCTTCAACGTATTCGGGAAAGTCTCGAATAGTCGTTGATGGTTCAGATGTCGTCGGCTCGACTGAATTCGGCATCTGAGAAACTGCAGCCAGATTTGGGTGAGACGTTGTTGTCGTCGACAACCGAACATCTTCCAGCATTGTGCTATTCGATTCCTCGGTGATGTTCGCTTCGAGGCCACCGCGTCGAAGTGGCGCCATCACACCATCGGTGACATTTTGAATGAGAACGTTGAGCTTGAGCGCTAGCTTCGAGAGCGCCTTCTCGTCGGGATTGAGCTCCTCCTTGAACGGCTCACAGATTGGCGAGAACGAGTCGACGCCGATTGTCGCGGCGTCTTCGCGACTTCGATACCAAAGGCTTCGGCCGTGATTCCCGCAAATCTCCTTGTAGAAAAGCCCGACAGCCTTAACTTTGTAATTTTTTTTGTTGAGATTCGTTCGAATTATCGCACCAACCTTGTAGATTGTGAGAAGCTCAACATTCAGCCCGAGTTCTTTCAGTCGACTCTTTTTGGTGATGAGCTCCGACTCCTTGAGCTCCTCTTTGAGCTTCTCAACGATCTCATCCGCTTCATCGGTAGCATTTGAAGCGGTCGAGTTCGCGTTGATCGCCTCGTTCGTCGCATTCCAATATTTTTGCCATGCGACGCATTCCGGAAGCGAGTCGACGGTTAAATTGAAATCTAGCGCCTTATAGCTGGCATCAATCCAAATAACTGTTCTAGAATTGAAATGTTGATTTAGAAAATCGAAAAACAAATTAATAAATGTTTATTTTTTATTGTCGGAATCAAACGACTTGACGAAAATTAAAAAATTATTGACAATGTGCCAATGCGTCTCAAGGCAGTGAGAAGCACGTGAAATTGCGTACCTTGTATTTAAGCGTACGCACATTTAATATTCAGTCAACGAAAAATTTAAATCTACACTGATTTCGCGAATTTGAATGCCCCGCCTCCTTTCAGTCGTTTGACGCCGACAATATATTACCTATTAGCCTCGTCTTCGAGCGAATCGGCGTATTCCTCTTCGACAAGCTTCGTCAAATTGTTCAAGTCTAATGCGCCTTTTAGAAGCTTCGCAATTACTGTAACAATCATTTAAAATGTGAAAATAAAAGAAGCACAATGAAATTGAAATTTTTGTGCAAATTGCCGTCGGATGATGTGCATCCGTAAACACTTTTGCATTTTATTTGACGACAATTATTTTTTTTTTAATTTTTTTATTAAATATTTCTTACAATCTTCTTTTTCCGGCGTTGCTGTTGTCGGCGCGATGGTTGTGGTGGCAACAATCGACTCGTCATGATCCAATCTAAACAAAACTAATAGTGTTTTAAGGTTTTCAAACGATATACGGTGCCACTGTATCGACGGCGCCGAACTCGACCTTCTCCTCGTTGTTGTTGTCTTCGAACGCGCGATTCGCCTGACTCGTTCGTCGACGCGAATCGGCGGGCGTCGGAAAAAGCAGAAAAATGATAAGGATACTACTAATCGGCCTCCACATTGAACGTGAGCATTAGTCTAGCAACAAAAAAAAATTGTGATTTCCGAATTTTAAAGAGAATTGAGACGAAAACGAACAAACGGTTGATAGGAAACAGTTGAGATGAAATAAATCATTTTGCGTGCGACGCTCGCCGGCTAATTCGATAATAAAAACCGGGTTCTTGATGCGATGCGCCTTTAAATCAATTCGTTTTTTTTTTTCAAAAACGTCTCTCCTTTTTTTGCGATGTTAATTGACTGGTTATGCGTTTTTATTTTTCGCCCAACAATTCTCAAGGTCGCCTATTTCATAAATTGCGAGAAATTCAATTAAAAAGGAAAGAAGATAATCTAATTGGATTGTGTAATTGGGAAGCGATTGATTTCCAATTATGGTCGGTGTTGTTTGCAGAAACTAGATTGTTTCGTTTTTTTTGCAATCTTTTTTGTCGCTTTTTTAAAAATCGAATTTCGCCGTCTATTCAATCGATATTTACAATTTATCAATAAACTATAATGAAATAATTAATCAATTCGCGCAAATCTCGCGATCCGCTCGGCAATCCGCGTTCGGCGCCGCCAGAAACAATCTGCCATTGTGGCAGACGCACACTTGCGTTTGCGGCGCCCCGCGTCCATCGGATCGATGAAGCTTCTCCATATAGATTGTGGATGATTCGAGGCGAATCTCGCCCTGCAGTTCCAATTTCAGATCGGATCTCAATGGCGAGCCTACCTGCTTGGACGAGATATTGATGTCTAGTAGAGAGTTGACGGCGACTTCACCGGCAGCGGCGAGAATCTCGATGTCCTGCGCGGCGTCCACCGAGACGCTTCTCGTCGGTGATTCGAGGCGAAGCGGCGCATCGGGTTGCGGACGAACGGACGAGGTTTGAATGGCGCCCTCGAACACGCTGCCGCCTTCGTCTGAAGCATTCATTAACAGAAAATTTCTATTTTAAATGCTATTATGCAGATTTCGCAAAAAAAAAAAGAATCTCTGAAAATTGCTTTGCAGAAAAAATTTTCCACCGCGGCCAGGTTTTTCTAAGCTTGCAGTGTCAGAGGTTTTTTTAAATAAAAAAATTGAATAAAAATAAATAAATAAAATCGTTACGATTAAAGGCGCATAGGAAAAAAATTGCAAGTTTTATTTTGCGAAATTTGCATAGTGCAAAATTTGCGTCGCGGCGTTTCTCACCAAGAATTCGCAAATTCTCCAATTTCAGCCCAATTTCATCGGAATCGGCGAAAAATAGCAACTTCTGATCATCGTCGAACACCTCGAATTTGTCGCACGTCATTTGCGCTTTTCCATCGGGCATCAGCGAAAATTTGGCGGCCACGTCGCCTTTGGTGTTGCGCGATTGAAGATTGACACCATTGAACGAGTCGATCGAAAGCGTCTCATCCTGGAAATGCGTTCAAGTTCATGGATGGTGCCATATGATGCTCTCTACCCGAAGGGTGCCGAGCTCCGAAAAATGGACGGGCCGATCGAATTGGGCGCGGCCTTCGACGCGAATTCCGTCGTCCTCGATTTTCAGCGCGCCGATGCCGTCCTGTATGCGGTTGGCGAAAAATCATTCAACACAATTTGCAGACGTTTTTACCGTTGAGAAATCGAGAACCGACATGATCCATATCGTCAGCGCGAGATTCAACACGATGCCGATGGTGAGGACGAGAATGAAAATGTAGAGGAATCGCTTCCGCCAACCGTATATTCCGACCCTGAAACGAGAAAAAAATTATTAAATTGATTGCGATTCTCTTTTTGGAGACACAGTCGCTTGCCTATAAATATCGGCGTCGGGCACCTGCTTCACATTCGAATGGATCACGGTGGTCTGGGTGGGAAATGGCGTAAACGCGCCGGCGGCCGAATATGGCGTCGTCGTTGGTGTGGCGGCGGCGATCATCGAATGGTGCGAAACACCGCGCGACATCGCTCCTTCGTTGCGCGACCATACCGGCTCGTCAATGGGACTCGATGGTCCCATCGAGTAGACCGGATAGTTGGGCATTGTTGTTGTGTGGGTGAGAGAGAGTTCCGAGTGAGCGAGAAGAAGGCGCCCACCGCGAAGCATCTGGCTTTGAGCGAGAGAGTGTGTGTCGCTCGGCGAGCCGCAGAGATTACAATTTCGAGTTGATGCACCTCGGAATGACGATGATGATGATGATGATGGGGCAGCGGGGATGGTGAACCGCCGAAAAGAAAAACGATGGTTGAGTGTAAAATTGGCCGACTAGTGAAGCATTCGCAGTTCATTTATTTATTCATGCGATGGTGCTCGCGCTTCTGATCCTTTTTGGATCGGCCAGCGCCAATAATGGTAATAAGATCGAAACAAAACAGTGATACCTGTCAACTTGGCGATTTTCTTGTTGTTTCAGCGTTCCCGCATTGTGTTGATATTCCCGGATTGTGGATGTCGGCGCTTTACATGGATGTCGTTGATTTTGTGGCGACTGGTGACACCACAGATCCGAGGTTGGTTCGAGAAAAAGGCCTAAAAATTGAATTGAAAAATATTTTTTATTGTCGGAATCAAACGACTTGACGAAAATTAAAAAATTATTGACAATGTGCCAATGCGTCTCAAGGCAGTGAGAAGCACGTGAAATTGCGTACCTTGTATTTAAGCGTACGCACATTTAATATTCAGTCAACGAAAAATTTAAATCTACACTGATTTCGCGAATTTGAATGCCCCGCCTCCTTTCAGTCGTTTGACGCCGACAATATATTACCTATTAGCCTCGTCTTCGAGCGAATCGGCGTATTCCTCTTCGACAAGCTTCGTCAAATTGTTCAAGTCTAATGCGCCTTTTAGAAGCTTCGCAATTACTGTAACAATCATTTAAAATGTGAAAATAAAAGAAGCACAATGAAATTGAAATTTTTGTGCAAATTGCCGTCGGATGATGTGCATCCGTAAACACTTTTGCATTTTATTTGACGACAATTATTTTTTTTTAATTTTTTTATTAAATATTTCTTACAATCTTCTTTTTCCGGCGTTGCTGTTGTCGGCGCGATGGTTGTGGTGGCAACAATCGACTCGTCATGATCCAATCTAAACAAAACTAATAGTGTTTTAAGGTTTTCAAACGATATACGGTGCCACTGTATCGACGGCGCCGAACTCGACCTTCTCCTCGTTGTTGTTGTCTTCGAACGCGCGATTCGCCTGACTCGTTCGTCGACGCGAATCGGCGGGCGTCGGAAAAAGCAGAAAAATGATAAGGATACTACTAATCGGCCTCCACATTGAACGTGAGCATTAGTCTAGCAACAAAAAAAAATTGTGATTTCCGAATTTTAAAGAGAATTGAGACGAAAACGAACAAACGGTTGATAGGAAACAGTTGAGATGAAATAAATCATTTTGCGTGCGACGCTCGCCGGCTAATTCGATAATAAAAACCGGGTTCTTGATGCGATGCGCCTTTAAATCAATTCGTTTTTTTTTTTTCAAAAACGTCTCTCCTTTTTTTGCGATGTTAATTGACTGGTTATGCGTTTTTATTTTTCGCCCAACAATTCTCAAGGTCGCCTATTTCATAAATTGCGAGAAATTCAATTAAAAAGGAAAGAAGATAATCTAATTGGATTGTGTAATTGGGAAGCGATTGATTTCCAATTATGGTCGGTGTTGTTTGCAGAAACTAGATTGTTTCGTTTTTTTTGCAATCTTTTTTGTCGCTTTTTTAAAAATCGAATTTCGCCGTCTATTCAATCGATATTTACAATTTATCAATAAACTATAATGAAATAATTAATCAATTCGCGCAAATCTCGCGATCCGCTCGGCAATCCGCGTTCGGCGCCGCCAGAAACAATCTGCCATTGTGGCAGACGCACACTTGCGTTTGCGGCGCCCCGCGTCCATCGGATCGATGAAGCTTCTCCATATAGATTGTGGATGATTCGAGGCGAATCTCGCCCTGCAGTTCCAATTTCAGATCGGATCTCAATGGCGAGCCTACCTGCTTGGACGAGATATTGATGTCTAGTAGAGAGTTGACGGCGACTTCACCGGCAGCGGCGAGAATCTCGATGTCCTGCGCGGCGTCCACCGAGACGCTTCTCGTCGGTGATTCGAGGCGAAGCGGCGCATCGGGTTGCGGACGAACGGACGAGGTTTGAATGGCGCCCTCGAACACGCTGCCGCCTTCGTCTGAAGCATTCATTAACAGAAAATTTCTATTTTAAATGCTATTATGCAGATTTCGCAAAAAAAAAAAAATCTCTGAAAATTGCTTTGCAGAAAAAATTTTCCACCGCGGCCAGGTTTTTCTAAGCTTGCAGTGTCAGAGGTTTTTTTTAAATAAAAAAAATTGAATAAAAATAAATAAATAAAATCGTTACGATTAAAGGCGCATAGGAAAAAAATTGCAAGTTTTATTTTGCGAAATTTGCATAGTGCAAAATTTGCGTCGCGGCGTTTCTCACCAAGAATTCGCAAATTCTCCAATTTCAGCCCAATTTCATCGGAATCGGCGAAAAATAGCAACTTCTGATCATCGTCGAACACCTCGAATTTGTCGCACGTCATTTGCGCTTTTCCATCGGGCATCAGCGAAAATTTGGCGGCCACGTCGCCTTTGGTGTTGCGCGATTGAAGATTGACACCATTGAACGAGTCGATCGAAAGCGTCTCATCCTGGAAATGCGTTCAAGTTCATGGATGGTGCCATATGATGCTCTCTACCCGAAGGGTGCCGAGCTCCGAAAAATGGACGGGCCGATCGAATTGGGCGCGGCCTTCGACGCGAATTCCGTCGTCCTCGATTTTCAGCGCGCCGATGCCGTCCTGTATGCGGTTGGCGAAAAATCATTCAACACAATTTGCAGACGTTTTTACCGTTGAGAAATCGAGAACCGACATGATCCATATCGTCAGCGCGAGATTCAACACGATGCCGATGGTGAGGACGAGAATGAAAATGTAGAGGAATCGCTTCCGCCAACCGTATATTCCGACCCTGAAACGAGAAAAAAATTATTAAATTGATTGCGATTCTCTTTTTGGAGACACAGTCGCTTGCCTATAAATATCGGCGTCGGGCACCTGCTTCACATTCGAATGGATCACGGTGGTCTGGGTGGGAAATGGCGTAAACGCGCCGGCGGCCGAATATGGCGTCGTCGTTGGTGTGGCGGCGGCGATCATCGAATGGTGCGAAACACCGCGCGACATCGCTCCTTCGTTGCGCGACCATACCGGCTCGTCAATGGGACTCGATGGTCCCATCGAGTAGACCGGATAGTTGGGCATTGTTGTTGTGTGGGTGAGAGAGAGAGTTCCGAGTGAGCGAGAAGAAGGCGCCCACCGCGAAGCATCTGGCTTTGAGCGAGAGAGTGTGTGTCGCTCGGCGAGCCGCAGAGATTACAATTTCGAGTTGATGCACCTCGGAATGACGATGATGATGATGATGATGGGGCAGCGGGGATGGTGAACCGCCGAAAAGAAAAACGATGGTTGAGTGTAAAATTGGCCGACTAGTGAAGCATTCGCAGTTCATTTATTTATTCATGCGATGGTGCTCGCGCTTCTGATCCTTTTTGGATCGGCCAGCGCCAATAATGGTAATAAGATCGAAACAAAACAGTGATACCTGTCAACTTGGCGATTTTCTTGTTGTTTCAGCGTTCCCGCATTGTGTTGATATTCCCGGATTGTGGATGTCGGCGCTTTACATGGATGTCGTTGATTTTGTGGCGACTGGTGACACCACAGATCCGAGGTTGGTTCGAGAAAAAGGCCTAAAAATTGAATTGAAAAATATTTTTTATTGTCGGAATCAAACGACTTGACGAAAATTAAAAAATTATTGACAATGTGCCAATGCGTCTCAAGGCAGTGAGAAGCACGTGAAATTGCGTACCTTGTATTTAAGCGTACGCACATTTAATATTCAGTCAACGAAAAATTTAAATCTACACTGATTTCGCGAATTTGAATGCCCCGCCTCCTTTCAGTCGTTTGACGCCGACAATATATTACCTATTAGCCTCGTCTTCGAGCGAATCGGCGTATTCCTCTTCGACAAGCTTCGTCAAATTGTTCAAGTCTAATGCGCCTTTTAGAAGCTTCGCAATTACTGTAACAATCATTTAAAATGTGAAAATAAAAGAAGCACAATGAAATTGAAATTTTTGTGCAAATTGCCGTCGGATGATGTGCATCCGTAAACACTTTTGCATTTTATTTGACGACAATTATTTTTTTTTTAATTTTTTTATTAAATATTTCTTACAATCTTCTTTTTCCGGCGTTGCTGTTGTCGGCGCGATGGTTGTGGTGGCAACAATCGACTCGTCATGATCCAATCTAAACAAAACTAATAGTGTTTTAAGGTTTTCAAACGATATACGGTGCCACTGTATCGACGGCGCCGAACTCGACCTTCTCCTCGTTGTTGTTGTCTTCGAACGCGCGATTCGCCTGACTCGTTCGTCGACGCGAATCGGCGGGCGTCGGAAAAAGCAGAAAAATGATAAGGATACTACTAATCGGCCTCCACATTGAACGTGAGCATTAGTCTAGCAACAAAAAAAAATTGTGATTTCCGAATTTTAAAGAGAATTGAGACGAAAACGAACAAACGGTTGATAGGAAACAGTTGAGATGAAATAAATCATTTTGCGTGCGACGCTCGCCGGCTAATTCGATAATAAAAACCGGGTTCTTGATGCGATGCGCCTTTAAATCAATTCGTTTTTTTTTTCAAAAACGTCTCTCCTTTTTTTGCGATGTTAATTGACTGGTTATGCGTTTTTATTTTTCGCCCAACAATTCTCAAGGTCGCCTATTTCATAAATTGCGAGAAATTCAATTAAAAAGGAAAGAAGATAATCTAATTGGATTGTGTAATTGGGAAGCGATTGATTTCCAATTATGGTCGGTGTTGTTTGCAGAAACTAGATTGTTTCGTTTTTTTTGCAATCTTTTTTGTCGCTTTTTTAAAAATCGAATTTCGCCGTCTATTCAATCGATATTTACAATTTATCAATAAACTATAATGAAATAATTAATCAATTCGCGCAAATCTCGCGATCCGCTCGGCAATCCGCGTTCGGCGCCGCCAGAAACAATCTGCCATTGTGGCAGACGCACACTTGCGTTTGCGGCGCCCCGCGTCCATCGGATCGATGAAGCTTCTCCATATAGATTGTGGATGATTCGAGGCGAATCTCGCCCTGCAGTTCCAATTTCAGATCGGATCTCAATGGCGAGCCTACCTGCTTGGACGAGATATTGATGTCTAGTAGAGAGTTGACGGCGACTTCACCGGCAGCGGCGAGAATCTCGATGTCCTGCGCGGCGTCCACCGAGACGCTTCTCGTCGGTGATTCGAGGCGAAGCGGCGCATCGGGTTGCGGACGAACGGACGAGGTTTGAATGGCGCCCTCGAACACGCTGCCGCCTTCGTCTGAAGCATTCATTAACAGAAAATTTCTATTTTAAATGCTATTATGCAGATTTCGCAAAAAAAAAAGAATCTCTGAAAATTGCTTTGCAGAAAAAATTTTCCACCGCGGCCAGGTTTTTCTAAGCTTGCAGTGTCAGAGGTTTTTTTTAAATAAAAAAAATTGAATAAAAATAAATAAATAAAATCGTTACGATTAAAGGCGCATAGGAAAAAAATTGCAAGTTTTATTTTGCGAAATTTGCATAGTGCAAAATTTGCGTCGCGGCGTTTCTCACCAAGAATTCGCAAATTCTCCAATTTCAGCCCAATTTCATCGGAATCGGCGAAAAATAGCAACTTCTGATCATCGTCGAACACCTCGAATTTGTCGCACGTCATTTGCGCTTTTCCATCGGGCATCAGCGAAAATTTGGCGGCCACGTCGCCTTTGGTGTTGCGCGATTGAAGATTGACACCATTGAACGAGTCGATCGAAAGCGTCTCATCCTGGAAATGCGTTCAAGTTCATGGATGGTGCCATATGATGCTCTCTACCCGAAGGGTGCCGAGCTCCGAAAAATGGACGGGCCGATCGAATTGGGCGCGGCCTTCGACGCGAATTCCGTCGTCCTCGATTTTCAGCGCGCCGATGCCGTCCTGTATGCGGTTGGCGAAAAATCATTCAACACAATTTGCAGACGTTTTTACCGTTGAGAAATCGAGAACCGACATGATCCATATCGTCAGCGCGAGATTCAACACGATGCCGATGGTGAGGACGAGAATGAAAATGTAGAGGAATCGCTTCCGCCAACCGTATATTCCGACCCTGAAACGAGAAAAAATTATTAAATTGATTGCGATTCTCTTTTTGGAGACACAGTCGCTTGCCTATAAATATCGGCGTCGGGCACCTGCTTCACATTCGAATGGATCACGGTGGTCTGGGTGGGAAATGGCGTAAACGCGCCGGCGGCCGAATATGGCGTCGTCGTTGGTGTGGCGGCGGCGATCATCGAATGGTGCGAAACACCGCGCGACATCGCTCCTTCGTTGCGCGACCATACCGGCTCGTCAATGGGACTCGATGGTCCCATCGAGTAGACCGGATAGTTGGGCATTGTTGTTGTGTGGGTGAGAGAGAGAGTTCCGAGTGAGCGAGAAGAAGGCGCCCACCGCGAAGCATCTGGCTTTGAGCGAGAGAGTGTGTGTCGCTCGGCGAGCCGCAGAGATTACAATTTCGAGTTGATGCACCTCGGAATGACGATGATGATGATGATGATGGGGCAGCGGGGATGGTGAACCGCCGAAAAGAAAAACGATGGTTGAGTGTAAAATTGGCCGACTAGTGAAGCATTCGCAGTTCATTTATTTATTCATGCGATGGTGCTCGCGCTTCTGATCCTTTTTGGATCGGCCAGCGCCAATAATGGTAATAAGATCGAAACAAAACAGTGATACCTGTCAACTTGGCGATTTTCTTGTTGTTTCAGCGTTCCCGCATTGTGTTGATATTCCCGGATTGTGGATGTCGGCGCTTTACATGGATGTCGTTGATTTTGTGGCGACTGGTGACACCACAGATCCGAGGTTGGTTCGAGAAAAAGGCCTAAAAATTGAATTGAAAAAAGTTGTTGTGCGTTTCGGCGTCGCGGTGTATTGCGGACTCGAGCGACTACAGTAACTAGGTGTGCAAAAAATTTTTGTTTGTTTTTTCAAGATTTCGGCTGGTAAAAAATGCGTTTTCTGGCCGAATTCCTAATTCATTTTTCAAATGTTAATTTTAGAATTCAAATGCAAACATTTTTTGCAATTCCCAATAATGAGAAAATGGCAATTTATTAACATTTAAAATTAATTATAAAGAGGTTTAAAATAGTTGGTGGCTTCAGAAATCACAATTTGAAAAAATATTGACAATAAAAAAGAGGAAAAAAAAATATTAAATTTGAAAAAAAATTGTGCATTTAAGCGTCATGATAAAATGCAGACCAGTTCGGCTACAGTACTCGAACATTTAAAAAATTCTATTTAAATTTTAAAAATCAATTTTTCAGATGGTATTGTCGGCAAGATGATCCGGATGGCGGCATCTACTTCAGTATGCGCATCGAGCCTGAGAATCTCAAAGCGCAATCGACGGAACGACACCGAATCAGCGGCGATGGTCCGATGCGTGCCAGGGACAATTCGAAGAATTGTATGGATCCGGGCCTCTATTGGTGCATCGAGGACGCGATCAGGGACAGCAAAAACGGCGATTGCAAATTCATCGCTGACACCATTGAATATCGCATCAACAAGCCGAATTATGCGGTAATTTGTGTGAAATATAAAGGATACGGTTTCGATGACATCATCACGGTAATTTTTATAAAACCCGCAAATCTGAAACGAAAAATCGCTGCAGGACCCGAACTATTGCACGTACGACGTGCCGAATGGCATGTTCACTTGGACGGTGGTGATCGCGAAACTCAACCACGCCATCCCTTTAATTCCATTGCCATATATGCCTGAAAATCAGTATGATATTCTGTCCAACCCATTTTTGTGAAAGAGAGGCTTTATCAAAAAAAAAGTGGTCTTTTCGCTTCCACCCCACACGCGCTGATAACGCTCAACACAACTTTTATCACTTCGCCAAAATTTTTCGCTTGTGATTCGTCATTAATATTTATAAAAATTTTCTAATTGATTTTTGAATTATTTAGAAATGAAAACTCTCGTTTTTCTCGCTGTATCGCTTTTCGCCGCTGGAAATGCGAATAGTAAGTTTTTTTTTGGCCATGGGTACTGTAGAGATTCAAGTGTGCACTACACCGAGACGACGAAATACACACTGGATTTCGATTTGGGCTTTATTTTACTGAATTTACTCGTTTTTTTCAGTTTGCTCTGATGACACCGGTCATTGGCTTGCCTCGCTGGCAATGGGAGTCGAAGATTACGCCTACGGTGGCTCAAAATTGAACAACCGGTAGGAAAAATTCGAATTCCCTCAATAAAAAATAAAATCGCTGGCCTAAATTTTGCAGCTATTATTGTTTCGAGGGATGCTTGAACACCGGCACCGCACTTCAAAACTACAAAGTGCTTCTCGCCGGAAATGGGACGACGATGAGCCGCGAGATCAACGTCAAAGAGCGAGGCGCGCAACTCGCGAAGCGTCGCGACGACGATGACCCGAACGCGGAGACGTGCATCGATCCAGTCTTGCGGCAGGACGTCGCCGACGCGCTCAAAAAGAACACTCAATGGCATTGCAAGGGCATCGTGAACACGCTCGTGTTGAATCTTAATCGTCCCGGCTGGGCGATCACATGCATCAAGTTCGACGAGTTCGGATTCGACGAGTTTGTTCAGGTTCGCAAAAAACGCATTCAATCAAAATCAAATCAAATATTCAATAATAAAATCTAAAATAACATAAGAATTTCGAAAACTAATTGAGACTCGATAAACTTAAAAATACTTTTAAAGTCTTATGGGCTTTTCTATAATTTTTGGAGCAAATTCGAAAAAAAGACACGTTAGTTTCTCAATGAACCTCAAATTATTTGATTATATTTAGCTGAGAGTTCTTTTTCGCCCAACTTCCAAATTTTCAGGACGTCAATTTCTGCAGCTACGACGCGTTCAATGCGCCGGATACCTACACAATTCGTCTCGCCAAACTCGACACCGCTTAAGAATTTCGAAGCAATTCCATTTATATAAAATTCATGCCAAATATCACAAAATCAATATTATCAGCATACAAAAATATGGCACACGATGGTTAATTTTGCGTTAGTTCATCGACTAGTGTTTTGATTTTTTCGCTGCCGGACGCTTCAGCTCAAGACTAGCTTTTCGTTTCATCGATTTCTTCGAATCATCATTAATCGAAGATTTCGCTGGAAAAAAATAAAAAAAATCAAATAATTAAAGTTTTAAGCTTACAAAGGAATCCCGAACAATTCTCGACACCACATTTACATTCGGGTATCGCACTATTGAGCATGTTCTCCATTTGATACGAGAATGTAAGCTCTTCGTCTTTTTCTATATCCTCGATAGCAACTATGGCTATTCGATGGTCATAATAAGCGCCATCATTCCGCAATTTTAATAGTATCAATTTTTTAATTGGTGTGCAATTCGGCCGACACGAATGATTGATATATCTGTTAAAGGAAAATGTTTAAAGGGAGATGCCGAACAAAAAGAACAATTTCTTATAGCGAATAATCTAGTCCAGACAATTTTTATCAATACTATTTTAGGTTCTCCTGATGGAATGTCTCTGGTAACTCAAAACCAATCGGATCCGACAAAATTCGGCCAAATTGCGGATGCGATTCGAATTGAAATATTAAAACAAAACGAATTCGAATAATTCCCAATCGGATCCGAAAATACCCAAAAAAAACCAATCGGATTCGTCAATTTTACAATCTCATCCGTAGAATTACCAATCGGATCAGGTCGATTCCGGAGCCGCATTTTGTCGGATCCGATTGGTTTCGAATTACCTGGCAATGTTTCCAGCCCTTGCCGCATCGATCGCGCGCCCTTCCGTCAATCCCATTATGTACAAGTTCGCCTCGTTATCGCGGGCGTTTCCAATCATCGCGCTTCGCCGCTCCAATTCCTGCTTATTTATAATCTCGCCAGCGTACTCGACAATGAATTCGCCCTAGTAGTCTTGAAATTTGCTTTTCGAATTTCCAACAAACATTGCACCTTTTTGATCGAGTCCGTCGCAAATAGGCCAAATCCTTTGTTGGTCGTCGCACGCCGCTCGATTTTCGGGTTCACCACTCGATCGGAAATCCCGCGATTTCGACAATTCCCATTTTTGGCGCATTCCTAAAAAAACCAAATTGTCGTCAAATAAAATGCACAAGTCCGCAGCGCCTTTTCAGATTGAATTCAAATTTTCTCGATTTCTTAACCAATTTCAGTGATTTTTGAGGTGATGCCCCTCACCTCCCTTTAACTAGGAAAATCCTTACCGGCGGGCATTCAAAAAACGTTCGCACATTCGCACAATCCTCCGTCGAGCAGCGATTCTCGTCATTCTCTGCACAATTGCACATGTTGACTTCCGGCTCGCAAATCGCCTTCTCGCAATCCTTCGAAAAATATCGCGCCGTCTAAATTTGTTCGAATTTCAGATTGAACGCGCGCAACTCGAAAAATCTCTCCCGACGTCTAATTTCCTTTTCACTTCCTTGAGAACCGGAAACACGCGCGGCGGCGTCAACATTTCATCGTCGAGAAGCGCTCTCCAAGCTGAAACGAGAAAAATCATGATCAGTGATTAATATGGACCTATTCAAGCAACTAAAACCGTATTTTGAAAAAATTGGCTAAATGCCAAAAAATTTAAAGGGGTCTCTATCCTTACACGGAAGACCGTAAATCTACAAGTTGAGTTTTGCGCCAAGACCTCTATCATTGTTTTCTGGCATTTTGCAAAATTGCACATTTCTTTCCGAAGAAATGGGTACTGTAATTAAATGATGGAGAAATTTGCGAGACCCATGAGACAATGGGTTGCCGTGCGTCTTTTTTTCCAAATTACGCTATAATTTTTTAGACTATCATTTTTTAATATTCTGTCAAATTCAAAACTCCAAATTAAGCGAAGCAGAATAAATATGATAGTCTAAAAAAGCTAATACGGTAACTTGGAAAGACGCACGACAACACATTGTCTCATGGGTCTCGCAGATTTCGTCATGATTTGATTACAGTACCCATTGGATTGGAAAAATAGAAAATTTTTATTGTATGAATAGATCCAATTTAAAAAAATACCATTCAATTGATTTTCCGATTGATTTTTGCCGTAGAGTTTCAGCGATTTCTCGAACATTGGCACACAATCGGCAATTGAGGCAATCGAAAATTGGCTTAATTTGCCGTCGATGAGCCATTCGACCAAACAATACCCAACGATATCGTAATATTTGTGTTTTCTGGAAAAAAAACAACAAATTCGAAATGTCGAGAAACGAGTTTAAAAAAAACCTTAGACGAATTGGCGTCGAGTGCCACTCTCTGGCGCGACCCGGATAGAATCTGAAATCTCATTCGTTGCGCACGTTTGGTGAAATCGCCGCCAAAACTCTTTCGCGCGCCATCGCACCATGATGGGAGTCCGCAATCGAACGCATTCGCCGGTCAGACAGAACTCGCACACGTCGATCGCCACCGGACGATTGTTCACCGATTTCACGGTTCGACATTTCGGATGAAATGAGCGAACGCATGACTTACATTTGGATAGCTCCTCTTTCTTATCTTCTGCAGAGAGAGAGGGAGAGAGGAAAACACCATTGGAAATTTTTGCCTAATAGGGCAATGAGGAAAAAATTAAAAATTATATATTTTTGCTGCCTACGAAATTCGGAAAAATGACGATTTCTTGGATATGTTGAATTTAAAACAATTTCCAACTTTTTTTTTCAGAATTTCGCAAGTTTCTTCAAATATTTGCAAAAAAAAATGTCATATATTAAATCATTTCCTCATTTTTCGACCTACCAATCTCGCAATCGCAACAAACCGTCAAATGTTGAGTGACGCGCGTTTTCTGACGATGCGATGGGCATACGATCATCTCGGTGAGATATTTGACGCCGTCTTCCAGCTGCAATCTCACCTCCAAATCCTTACAGCCCATTGGAGAGCAGTCTTTTTGGTGGAATGCGCGCATACAGAATGCGCATTCGACCAGGTAGCCTAAATTTTTTTGATTTTAATTGATTGAATTTAATGAAGACCGGAAAATGCCGACTGTTTTCGACGATCCAAATAGCATATATCGCAGAAATGGAGAGGACACAACAGCTCGTTTTGACATTCGGCTTGAACGATATACTGGGCGTTGTAATCCGAAGCATTGTATTTCTGCAATTAAGCAATTAGTGGTAATTAGACGCTTTGCTAATTACCATCAGACAATTGAGATGGAATTTCGTTCGGCAGCGCGTCTTTTTCTTGTTCACTATTCCGCTAAACATTCCGCGACAATTGAGAAGGTCGCCGTCGATTCGATTGCAGACGAAGCAGTGGACTAAAAATGGGTGTTGCTTGAAATTCGCTCGAATTCATACTTTCGGAATCTGGCGGGAACTTGGCATCGGCGAATATTGTCTTCGAGAAATCGTAATCGCAAATGAAATGTTTTCGCTTCGCGTGCGACATGATTTCCCTCGGCCACTTCACCGCCTCGATTTCGCGTGCTCGTAGGATTTCCTCGGGTGATCGTGCGTCGCGATTATCAACCTTGACCAATTCATGACCGACGCCTGATGTTGCTTTTGGCTGTGTCGGTTTCAGCGCGCTTCGCCGCTTTTTAATTTCCAATAGCTTATTGGGAGAATCGTCGCTTTTGAATGTGAAATCGATTGTCGGTAGGTTCTCATTACCGCCGGTTTCGAAAATATTCGCTGGAACCGGCATTGAGCTGAAAATTCGCCGCGAAAAAAGAGTTTCTGAAACGGAATTTGAGCCGAAAATTGAAATTGATCGCCGTGGTGTGCAGCAATGCGTCATGGTCACTACGTACTTTCAACTTACCGTAACTATTTCGCGCCGAGACTTGTTTAAAAATCTCATTTGTCGCTAGATTTTCTGATTTTTTTTCTCAAATCCTACGCATTTCCCCCCAATTTTCCCTAATAAAAATGGCCCAGGTTAATTTTAATTTTACCCTAGACACTAATGAAACGGCCTATAACATTTACAAGTAAGAAATTCGTTGTTTTATGCAAATTTTACCAGAAATCATGGGCATTTTTTTCTCTAGACTAGAATGCCCATTGGAATTAATGCCAGTAAAATCCGAACAAACCACCGCTACATTTTACTCAACATCGCAGGTAAGATAATTAGCCGATTAATTATGTCGTGAAGGGTAATTAAGGCTCACCTTCGCCGACTTGCGCCAAAATACGCCAACGTCAGCAATTCGTTGGGCCAGTCAATTGATCCGCCAATAAATTTGGAAGAAGCGCCAGAAGCTCAACAATGCCTAAATGAAGCTTCAAGTCGATATATGGCGAGTTTTTTGGATTTTCGCGAAAACTACGGTCTCGCGCACGAAAAAAGCGACGTTCTGATTTCGGCTGGTGCCCTTCAATGCATCGCAAATTCGGTTTTTCATCGAGAAAGGTCCATTTTTTTGCAATTTTTGCCCGAAACGATGAAAATTTGTGCAGGAAATGGAGACTTCGCGCATTTTTGGAGGTTGTCAAAGACCGAAGAGCAATTATTATTACACGCGATGACATCAATGGTGTTAATTGCGGCCAATTAAGGTAATTGTGTTCGGCGTCGAAATAATTTACTGATTTGCGCGCTCGTAGATCCGATGCTGACGTCGAGAAGGAGAAGATGATAAGCCTTTTGTCGAGCGATGAGACGAGGAATTGCCGTTGGGTCTTGTCGCGAATTCAATTTCGCGGCAAAACCGCGTTTTTGAATGTGTTCGGCGAATTCGATGCGATTTCCGATGAGGTTTCTGCCAATGCGCCTTTAAACCAACGAAATTTTTTCATGTTCTAATTTATGAATTTTAGGCGTTGAATGTGGCGGTGCTCACGAATAATGGAAGATCGTGCAAATTCTCGTTGTCGACGACGAATCAGGATAAAATGTGAGAGGATTTTTTTGATTTTCTGCGAATTTTTGGCGCGAAATTCGAATTTCTATACAAATTTAAGACAATTGCCCCACGGAGTGCCGATTGTTTTCAAAATTTGAAGCCATGCCGAATTTTTTTTTGGAAATTGAAAAAAATCGAAAAGATTTTGCTCGAAATTTGAAAATTTACCATTTTTTCTCAAAAATTGTTTGAATTCTGCTAAAAATGCAAAAGTTTCCGGAAACTTCAAATTAAAAATTTAGATTTCATTTTTGCTTGAAAATTTTCGAATTTAATTTAAAAAAAAATCAAAAAACTTCAAAATTTGCCAAAATTCCATTATTAGTAAAAAAAAAATTTGAATTTCTGTTCTAATAAAAACCAATCGAATTTTCTGGCGCGAAATTCAAAGAAAATTCAAAAATCGCTGAAATTCGCAAAAAGAACCCCAGAAATTTTCGATTTTCAGCTAGAAATCAAAAAAAAAGTTATTTGGAAAGAAAATTTTCAGCGATGAGTGCTTCGTCGAGAACTGGAGCCGCTCGTTCCTTCTCGGCGTCCATTCGATTCTGTTGGGAATCCGACGCGACGACGATCAACCCATCGAGTGCGTTCGCCGTCAGAATCTCCACGAATTCTGGCGATTCTACAATTCGCGAAACGATCGCGCCGCCGATTTGTCGATCGCCTGCGTCGCTCAGGCGATATTCAGCATTCGCGCGATGTTCGACGATCTCGGCTCGAGCAGATATAATATAATTGTGCGAAGTGACTCGCGTCGATCAACTTTTTCAATCGATTCTCAATTTTCAGGCATGTTTCACCGGCGAAATGCGACTTCATGTTGAATATTACGGCTATAGCTTTTGGCTCATCCGCGAAAAGTACTATATTGAAAATTCGCAAAAAGAGCCGCCGAAAAAGGTCGAGTTTTTTGCCTTTCGATATTCGCGACTGGTTTTTTTTTAGAATCTCCCCATTAAAAATCGCATTTTTGTCATGAAAAAAGCGCCGATTTGCTATTTTCTTAAAGAGGACACGATGGACGTCGGGCTGGAAATTGAAATATAAAATAATAATTTATTAATAGAAATAAAAAAATAATGGTTTTACTCGTTCACAATTGCACGTCGTTGGTGCACGCGCAATGCCCGTTGATGTGAGACGAGCAGATTTTTTGGTGTGATTCCGATTTGTTGAAATTGAGCACGATGGGCGGTTTCGAGCAGCAGATGAGGGTTTGGAGTTGGGTGGTGAGTTGATCTGCAAAATGCTCAACGATAATTCCATATTTGAGAGTTACCAATTTCATTTTTGGTATCTGTCGAGAATTCGTCTTTATATTTTTGCGCGAGTTCACTGAGGCGATCGCTACGCTCCGAGTAGCCATTCTGCAATATGTCGTAAGGTGTGGTGTATTGCGGACAGCATTAGAAAAATACCTCGAATGGCCACGCAATCAGGAGTGCGGCGACGGCGCTACTCGAAAACACCTCGGCGAATCGCGTTCGCCGCACTTCAGCGCATATCTGACGGCACGCTTCGGTTCGTGCCGACGCGTCGTCGGGCATCGACGCACGCTGATCGGCTTCAATCGTCTTCTGTGTGCAGCACATCGCATGCGGCGTGAAAAATTGGCCGAATTTGCGGCAACTCAATTGAAACTCCTCCTCGTCGTCGTCCAATGGATCGCACAACAGGAATTCCTTCCAGCCGATCGCCGAGTTGGCGAACTGAACCCGTCAAAAAAAAGGTATGAGAGAGAGAGAGAGAGGAAATTTTGGCAACAAACCTCGCCATCATTGATATTCGCGTAAGCTTTGAGGCCATACATCACCAATGGACGCGTCCCTTTTTTGAGCTCCAGCTCCACGTAGCCTCTCGTCTGTTTCGTGGACTTGTCAATGGTGCACATGGCTTTTTGAAGAAGCTCAAGCTTCACCCAATGCGGCGGGTACTTGAAACGCGCCACATCCATGATAAGCACCTGATCGGTGGCTGGATGGTAGGCGGCGAGCGGCGAGAAATGTCCGGCGCCGGTTTGTCCCAAAACGCTTCGATCGTAGCTGGCGACGATCACGTTGAGCTCGCCGCGAACCGACTGCACGACGGATTGGCGGAAATTCGCCAGAAATTCTAAATAATCAACCCAATTGTTTTGGTTTTGCAGACAAAATTTTCGAAACCTGCCGTCTCATCGCCATGCGTCACTTTGGTCTTGAGACGATTGCAATTGGCGAGACATTGGAATTGCGCCAAATTGATGCCGATTCTGGAAATTTGCCAAAAAATTATCGAATTTCCAAGAAGACTTCAGAAAAATCGCACTTTGACATATTTAGGCGTAGATTAAAATGCTTGGTGTGCAATAACGCTGCTTAAACTCTGCGGACTTGCATTTTATTCTACGCCTCAATATTTTTTCAAATACTTTTTTGCGGTTTAAAGGCGCATACCGTTTAATATTGTCTAAAGGAACACAGCAATCCAGCATGGATTCATGATAGAATCGCCAAGGAGCCTTCCAAACCTTTTCAGGATCCACTTCAAGCGCATTTAGAACCATAACTGGAATTTTAAGGATATTTCGAAAACGAGGAAAAGCTTACCCAGCGTGCTCAGACCACAATACGCCGGCTCATCTTGTGTGCGAAACTGGGAAGCCAATTTGAAATAAATATTGGCGTAACCTAAAACTGATTGCGTTTGTATCTTTTGATTAGTGATTTTCGCTTCGAGACCTTGAAGCAACGCCTCGGTGAACAATTTTTTGCCGATCTCGCTCGAAAAATCGACACACGTTTCGGGAAGCGGACGACGATAGAAGTTTTTCGCCGTCACCGACATTCTTCTGCAATGGCGAATTGAAGCGGCGAAAATTTTGGGACCAATTGGTTTTTTTTTTTGTTGCTGTTGGTGTGTGTGAAAGCCAGTTGTTTGGCCAATCACTTTTGTGTAACTCGAAGGGACCATGGAAAATGAGAAGAAACAAAAAATACATTTATTTCCTCTTGTGTGTATGTGAGTTTTTTACCTGACAATTTGAAGGATTTTCGGAATTTTTGCACTCCTAGGCCACTGAAATTTCACAAAATTATCATCGATTCAGCATTTTGCCTCGATTTTAACCTCATCATGATGCAATTTTATAGCGCTCGTTGGAAAAAAAATGCGAGATGGCCTAGGATTTTGGTGGCCGTGGCCGCGCAACAATAATATGGCCTAGAAATTTAAAATTCGAAATTGCAACGCGGAATTTTGATGATTTCTCGTTTTTCAACGCGATTTTTGTGGATTTTGCTTTTTTTGTTGCTATTTGCGTTTAATTGTTGACACGTTATCTTAATTTTACTTATAAATTGAATTCTGAACCCCAAAATATGTGTTTTTAAATACCCTAATTTTTGAAATTGTTGTCTCCAATTTTTTCCCGCTAATTCACTTGATTATTTCAGGTGTCACGCCCACACATGACTCGGCTAAGCGCGAGTCCAGATGAGAATATGAATCCGGCCGATGCGGTGTGTGCCGCATCAACACGTAAACGCATCAATCTTCAAATGCCTGAGACGCCGTCTAGGAATTCAGAAGTCTTTGATGATGATGACAATTGTGTTGATATCTCGAAACGATTAAAACCATCGAATCCAAGAGGTAGTTTTTGTTTGCTTGCTTTTTTTCGAAATTGCGGTGGTTTCAAAAAATCAGCTTTTTTTGTTCACAAAATATATAGTTGTGAGGAAGCTGAAATAATTGTTTTTAGAAAAAATTGCAGTTTCAAACCCGGTTAATTAATCTAAAAAAATTGGGCAATTTTGAGTTGAATAGAAAAATTCATCATTTTAAATTATTCTGTTCACTTTTTAGTGGAAAACGTAATTTGTCCAAGCAAAACTAGAATGGTCTCGAAGCGAAATGAATTTTTTTTAAATCGTTGCAGATGAGTTGGCGATTGCGGGCCGCGTTGCCGGCGTACGCCTACAAAACTTCATGTGCCACAGCAATTTGCAAATCGAGTTCGACACACGCCATAATAATTGCTTCTACATTGGCGGACCGAACGGCAGCGGAAAAAGCGCGCTATTCGCCGCGATCAACATCGGACTCGGCGGCAAAGGGTCCGACAACGATCGTGGCAATACGGTGAAGTCGTACGTGAAAGATGGCACCAGGTGATTTTGACATTCTTTTTGGTTCTCCTTCTGATAAATCAATTTTCAATCTGTTTCAGCTCGGCGAAAATCAGCATCACATTGACGAATGAGGGACAAAATTCGAATCCCGAATATGGTGAATTTGTCGAAATTGAGCGAAATATCACGCAGACGTCTTCAACGTATACTTTGAAAAGTATTAAGGGGTTTGGGAGGAACCGCAAAGGTTGGTTTTTTTTATTCCTCTGGGCATATTAAAAAAAAACGCGTTTTTAGAAGAGATTGTTAGCAAAAAGAAGGGCGACATCGATAAAATTGTGCGACGATTCAATATTCATTTGTCGAATCCGGCGTTCTGGATGAGCCAGGATCGATCGAGAAGCTTTTTAAGCGATTTCAAGCCGGCAACGATTTATAAGGTTCTCGTTTTTTTTTTGTCGCTGAGAGAATTTATTTGTGTTGATTTCAGTTTTACCAGACGGCCACCGAGCTTGATCGAATAAAAATGGCGTACGCGAAGTTTGCCGACGATCTCAACGATGTGAATAGCATTTTGTTTCGGAAAAAGCTGGAGTTGAACAAGCGGACAAAGTTAGTGTGCAAGTTGTCGTCGAATGTGGTGTTTTCTGTCTGTGGTTCACCGAGTTGGCTACAGTACCCATTTTTGCTGGAAAAAAATGAATTGAATTTCATTTTTGAGGTTTTATGTAGGATTTTGGACTTTTTATGGGCATCTTCGAAAAATTGATTTTTTTTTCAGTTTGTCTACAGATTTTCACAAAAACTTTAACTGGGCTTTAAAAATTACAAAAAAAAAAATCTTTTTTTTTCAGGGAATTGCAACGATTGCATGAAGTGCTCAGCATGCATAATAAAATTGAGGATGATCGCAAGAAGATCCTTCGCTATCAATGGTGTTTGATGTTCTGCGCGATTCGCGATATCGAGGACGAGCTTGAGATTGTCCGACAGAAGCAGAAGCACATCGAGGAGAAGGCGGCGAGGAACAAAGAGGAGAGTCTCAATAATCGTCAGGAGCGCGCGACGCTGATGCGCGACGTCGACGTGCTTCACGATCGGATTGCGGAGAAGAAGCAGGAGCACGACATCTTCAAAGAGGAGATCAATAGCGAGAAGGCGAAATTTCGCGACGAAAGCGATCAAATTGATGGGATTCATCACGAAATTCGGAATAGGAAGCAGGAAATCAAGTAGGAGAGAGATTTTTTTTCATTTCGAAATTGCTTTTTTTTAAAGACTATTGAACACGAAAATCATGGATGCGAAGAAGAAGATTCGAGCGATTTCGGAGAACGCGGCTGGAACGCAAATGAAGCAGAAATATGAGGAATTTGAGAGGAAGTATGAGGAATTGAAGGCGACGGTATCATTAGTTTTTTTTTTTCGCCCATTTTTTTCCAATTTTTCGCATTTCTAGCGCGAAACGATGGAAAAAAGCGGCAAAATTGTGGGTCTTCAAAACGAGCGCGATGAAGCTGAACGTGTGCTGAGTGAGCTCGAGAATCGGCGAGCCGACATCACGCAGGAGATGAACGAGATGAAGCGGCTAGCCGATGAGTGTCAGGAGAAGTTGAGGCGCGCGAACGCGGCGAAAATCAACAAAGTGAACAAGTTTGAAACAGAAAATTGCGAAACTGCGTGTTTCAAACAATTCTTTTTTGAAGATATGGACCGAAAATGAGTGAGATTGTTGCGGAAATCCACAAAAATCGGCACAAGTTTTCGAAATTGCCCAAAGGACCAATTGGTGAGTGTTTTTGTTTGATGTTTAAAGGCGCATTTCAATGACACTCGCAGCGAAATGTCGGAATTTTTAAAGATGAACGATTTTGGCGATTTGAAAGCGCATAATGTCAAAATTGACGATTCCGATTGGATTTTTTTAAGCGAAAAATGTGAATTACAATTTTTTTCTGAAAAATATCGACCGCCGCGTGAATTGGCTCGAAAAAAATTTGCGTGTCCCTCTTTAATTTTATTTTCAAATTTTTGAAGTGCGTTCTCGAAATTGAAGGATTGGATGAAGGCGCATAATGTGGAAAATTGAGTTGGGTCCATCGATTTTGAGAGACTATAATTTTTTCGCCGAAAAGAACAAACGAAACTATCATATTGCAATTTTTTCCCGTGATTCAGGCCAGTACATTTCGGTTGAGAACAAAAAATGGGCGCTGGCCGTCGAGGAATGCATTGGAAAATTGGCGACGACATTTATTTGCGACAATCAAATGGACGCGAAAGTGCTTCAGTCGATATTCGACAAGCTGAGATTGACGAAACGCGACGCGCCGCCGATGCACGTCTCGCGATTCTTGGGCAAACGTCATCAAAATTTGAGGGAGCCGTCGAGCGAATGGAAGACGATCTATCGTGTGTTGAAGTTCAGCGACGATGATGTTCAGTAGGATTTGATTGCATTTTTTATGTTTGATTTTTGATTGTCGCGTTTCTCATTTCATAGTAATGTGATCATCGATAAAAGCCAACCGGAATGTGTGGGTCTCGTCGAGAGCCAGGAGGAGGCGATGGAGGAAATGGACAGCGCGAATCCGCCGAGAAACGTGATCAAGGTGTTCACGGCGAATGGCGATCAGGCGTTCGCGCGCGGTCCCAATTCGCAGTATCGTTTCTATGCGGCGCGACGCGGTATAAGCAGTCAAGGGTTGTTTGAACCCGGCGACGGGCTCGTCGATCATGAGTAAGCGATTCTCGGCGATTGATTGATGTCATGTATTTTAGGCGTCTGAATCGGACCATCGATGATTGTCGGAATCGACTTCACGAATTGAATAATGACGAGTACAAAGAGGTTGGTGGAGGGGGGGGGTGTTCTTTTATGATTTGTGAAGAAATATGAATTTTCAGATTGAGTCGAAAATTCGAAAAATGCGACGTCAGCGCGATGAAGCCTCCAAAGCGGTCGATGCGTTTGAGGCGAAGCATGCCGACGTGCGTCAGCGTGAAATTCGAATGCAACGAGAGGTGCACGATCTCGAAGCGAAAATGGCGAGCGAGAGCGATCTTGAGGATATTGAGAGTTTGGTATTGGAGATTTGTTGATGGTCCGAAATTGTGCCGATTAATTTTTTTTTCCAGAATCGATGTATTGAGGATATGGAGGGAAGGATTCCGAAGATTGAGGAGCAGATTGATGAGTGGAAGCAGGTTGTGTCTTTTTTTTTTTTGTTTTTTTTTTGCTCACCGCGAACCCAATTGATTTCGAGAATTTCTTCAGAAGGAGGCTGCGATTCGAACGAGGATGGAAACGTTTAGCGCGAAAATTGCCCAACTTGAGAAGGATTTGAATGTTTATAAGGAGGAAATTGAAGCGGAAAGGGTAAATTTTGACATGGGGATTGTGGTTTTTTTTTAAATATTTTTCAAAACAAAAAATCTTGATCGTTTGGGCTCAAAAAAAGCAAATGAGGTTTTTTTGCACTTTAGCGAAAAAAATTGGCAATTTTTTTGCGCTTTTGGTGATTTTGCGAAAAATGGTGCAAATTTCGATTTTTTTTCAGAAATCTGCAATTGTCTCTTTTCGATTTTGGGAAAAAACCCGAAAAAATTTTGAAAATTGATTTTTTTTTTTTGCAAAATTGCGATTTTCGCTGTTTCACCCGTTTGAAAATCTTCGGTCGAATTGGGTCTGGTTTGTCCGTGTGGAGTACACAAGGGCGCGTCGAGACCATTTCTGGCTGGCGTTTTTTTTTGTCAATTTCTGGATCACAAAATTTCGTTAAAATTTTTTTTTGTTTTTTCAGCAATCGGTCGATGCGACGAATGAGAAGGTGATGCTTCTCGACGCGGCGTTCTCGAAGTTCACGACGAAAAAAGCGCGATTCGACGCGGATCGCGAGCAACTCTACAACGAGGACACGCGTCTTCAGGCGTGTCGCGACGACAAAATCGCGATGGTGAACGAATCGAAGAAATTGCTCGTCAAACCCGACGGTGTCGACGATCCGCCGGATTTGAGCGATTTTCCGCCGACGGAGCATGCCGAAAAAACGTATGAGGAGTTGAAGAAGCGAATCGAGATGCAAACGGAAGAGTTGGAATTGTTCAAAGCGCAACGGTTTGCCAATTTTTCGTGATTTTCAGAATTGATCCGAGTGTGACACTTGAAATGGTCCAGGAATTCAAAGAATCGCTCAAGAATGACAAGCGAATGTGTCGACGGATACTGGAAGTGCTCAATGTCAGTTGGATTTTCGTTTGTTTTCTTTTTTTAATTATATCGATTTTGGTTTTCCAGAAGCTCCACGAAATTCTTGAGCATCGCGTCGCCCTCTATCCGCTTCTCAAAAAGTGTACGGAGATGAAGGTGCGAAATCGATTCAAGGAGCTCCTTCAGATTCGAGGGTATCGCTTTTTTTTGGTTTGCGTTCATTGGACCCTCTTTGCAGAAATTTTGTGGGCGATTTGGAAATCGACAACGAGCGACAGACGCTCAACGTGATTGTGCGCTCGGTTCGCGATGTTGAGAGGGATGGAACGACGACGATCGATGGTGCGGATGATGATGATGACGATGAGGAGCCGGCGAAGAAGAAGAGCAAAGCGGTGAAGAGGACGAAAAAGGATATTCGCGATCTCAAAGGTTTTTTTTTGGGTTTTGAATTTTCGAATTGGTTCTAGTCCATAAAGGCGCATTAAAAAAATGTGATTTTGTTCCTTGAATTGTCAATGTGAATTTAAATGCGAAAAATTTCAATTTTTTAGTTTGAATTATTCCACATAAATTTTGAAAAATTTGAATCAAAGTACGGTAAGCATTAAAGGCGCACGCAAAAAATATTCATATATATTCTAAACTAGTTGAATTTTGATTTTGAAACAGGCCTATCCGGCGGCGAGCGCTCATTCGTGACGGCCGCTCTCGTGATGTCGTTGTGGGAAGTGATGGAGCAGCCGTTCCGAATGATGGACGAGTTCGACGTGTTCATGGACATGGTGAATCGAAAACTGGTGATGGACTTGCTCGTCGAGATGGCCACCGACCATTTTCCGTATAATCAGTTCATTTTCTTCACACCTCAAGGAATCAAAGAGCTTAAAAAGGTCGATGGGCTGCAGATTTTCGAAATGGAAAAAGTGCGGGATTGAATTTTGTCTTTTTTTTTATTTTTTGCTGTGAAAATGCCTTGTAAATAATTGTTTTCCTTGTTATTTTGTTCTGAACTCCCAAAAGCCCCCTTTAAAGCAAAAAAATATTTTTTTTTCAATTTTTGTTAACGGTGATCTCTGAATGAAAATGCTGCTTTATTAGTATTATTTTTTCATTTTCTCTCGCTCTCTCTCGAGTTTTAATATTATTTTTTTCACTCAATTGGAGATTTTCGCATAATATGGTTTTGATCTACAAGAAGATTATCTTTGACGGAATATTTTTCTTTTTGGATTTTATTATTTTTTTTTTTTGAGGGTGTATGGCTGCTGTCAATGTCCTATTGCAGTCGTTTGATAAAGGATTGAGATCGATTTGGATATCGGAGCAGTTGGCGACGATCTCGCGACTCGGACGAGTTTTCGAGGAGAATCCCGTGCCGACGTTTGTCAACTCGACGCTGGTTCGATTGGCTGAAGCTTTTAAAGATGGGTGAGAGTTTGTTTTTTTTTTTTTCAAAACGAAATGAAATTTATTTGAGCGAAATGGTTTTGAAAAATGTGATTTTTGCAAAATTTGAGACATTTTTTTGATATATTTCAATTAGAAAATATTCGAGATGAGCTGATTTTTTCGAATTTCCATTCTCTAATATTAAAATTTGATGCAATTTTCATAGAAAATGTGAAATTTTCAAATTTCCATGATTTAAAATATGATTGGCGATTTTTTGCAAAAAAAAAAGTTGCGACATTTTTCTTTCGATCGGCAAAAAATTTGTGACAAACGAGAATTTAAAGCATTTTTTTGATAATATTTTAAATTTAATTGCGATTTTATTTCGAAAATTGAATTATTGTGCAATTTTTCATTAAATTCCGATATTTCGCACAATTTAAAGGGGCCAATGCCAATAAAAAAATTTAAAAAAAAATTTCTTCCATTTTTTATGCATGAAAATGTCGTTTTTTATTAATTTTTGTTGGAACATGATAAAAATTTTGATTTTTTTTTGGTTCCAGCTCCAACGATTTACGGGTCGGAATCGCTCGCGCGCTCGGCCAATGCGGCTCGCATCTCTCGTTGGCGTTCTCATCGGCGGAAATCCTCCGCCGCATTCTCACCGTCAGCCATTCGAACGATCCGGACGCGCGCGAGGCGGTGCTCGACATGTTGGCGAGTCTCGCCGTCATTTGTCCGGACAACACGCAAGTGCATCACATCATTTGCGAATCGCTCTCGACGGACCATCGAGGCGAATTTCGGGCGGCGTGCGCGGCGATGAAGGCGTTCGCCGCGTTGTCGTCGGAATTCTCCGAGACGGTCGTCTCGCAAGTCGGCAAACTGCTCGACGAGCCGACGACGACCGACGCGCAAAAGATTCAATTGTGCGACGTGTTCGCGACGATGCGCGCCGACGCCCACACACTGGAGGTTGGTTTTTTTTTGTGTTTGTTTTTGAAAGCTCATGAAAGGGACCATCATAATTTGCGATTGATATTTCTTCAGCACGTGTTTGGGATTTGCGCGACGGTCTTGACGCGAAATTGCACCGACGAGTTTCTCGCCGCGTTTTTGCGCTCGATGACGAGTTTGTGCATTGAAGTGCGCTACACGGTGCCGAAACAAATCGATATTCTGCTCGGCACGCTGACGGCGTTGAAGACGAAAAAGAATAATAATGGGGCGGCGGCGACGTCGTCGTCGTCGTCGAGCGGCGGTAGCGACGAGCGCATCTGCATTATTCTCAAAGAATTGCGACGATTGGCGAAATATTCGAACATTTGGAGCGAGGAGCAAATTCGTCGATTCGCCGAATTCCTCAACGCCGAAATGTCGGCGGCGGCGACGTCGCGATATTTCGAAGTAGGCGTCGAGTTGTCGAGAAGCTGCTCGAGCGCCAACATCAAATTGTTGAAAGGTGCGTTCACATCGCGACACTTGGATCGTTTTAGATTTTTTTTGAGTCCCGGATCGCTTTTGAAACCATCATAATCAATTTTGATCGTCCTCAGAGATCTAGGGACCATTTTAAGTTTTTTTTTAGAATTATGGGTCTCTTTGGAAATCGTCAGAATCGGATTTAAACGTCCTCACAGTCAGAGCTCTAGGGGTCATTTTTGAGTCCCGGATTGCTTCTGAAACCATCATAATCGGTTTTGATCGTCCTCAGAGCTCTAGGGACCATTTTAGATTTTTTTAGAATTATGGGTCTCTTTGGAAACCGTCAGAATCGGTATTGAGGGCCCTCGGAACCATAGGGATCATTTTAAAAAATTTTAGAGTGTTGGGTCCCCACCGAACCATTACGTTCACCGTAAATCGTGCGGAATAGGGTTTTAAAGGTGCTCAAAATTCTAGGGACCGATTTAGATGTGTCGTCTAGATGTCCTGGTGTTGTTCATGGGCCATGATTGCAGATTTGGCGATATCGTCCACCGCTTACGGATCGGTCAAAAATCCGGCAATCAGCGTGCGCTACATTCAAATGGCGGCCAACATCTTCTGTAATCGCATCATTTTCGACGGCGAGTCGCCCGAAACAATAAGTACGGCGATGACGTCGCTGTCGGTGATAATTGTGGCGGATTGCACGAGCGGAAAAATGGAGGCGAATCTCGCGAAACGCGTAAGCTCAAAAAAAATTTTTTTTTGAATTTACCAATTCCCATCTGCGGACAATTGGACTTGCAGCTGTACCGCGCGATTGGCGACGTGCTTTGCGTCTATCCGTACACGCAATTCGAATTCTCGATGATAATCATCTCGTCGGTTTTGTCGGCGTTCGATGATTTGGCGTGTCTCGAGGACAATCTTGAGCAGCGTCTTGAAATGTTGTGCCGATTGATCGACACCGATCGCGCTTATATACCGGACATTCAAAAATGGGCGATCAATGTTTATCAGCGAAAGGTTGGTCGTGTGAATTATTTGGGGAAGTTTTTGCGCCTACTGACCTCTAAAATTGACGATTTCTCAATTTTTGTTATTTTCTTCGAGAAAAAACCTGAAAATTTCTTTGTTTTCAGCTTAAAAATTTTGAATATTCTCATTTCCAAAGAAGAAATGAAATTTGAGGGTTCTTTTATTTTTAATTTTTGCATTTTTTTCCACTAAAAATTTGAAAATTTCGATTAATTTTTTTTGCAGTTTTTCCATGAAAAATTTGAAATTTTATATTCGTAGTCTAAAAAATTTCGATTTTTCAAAAAAAAAAATCTGTCATCCAAAAAAGTCGAAAATTTGATATTTTGAAATCGAAATTGCGATTCGTTGAGTTTTCTCGAATATTCGTCGCAACAATGACGATATGCTTCAAGCTTCTCGTTTCAGAAGCCGATATTCGAGGCGTTTCCGACGCTGTTCGCCTATTTGGCGATCGCGATCGGCACAGAATTGCCGCCGGAATTTCCGAGTGTCATGTTCGACGCGTCGACGAGTCGATACGAAACGGCGAGAAGCGCATTCCGAAACGGACGATGGATCGATGTGGCGTTGCCGAATTTGGAGGCCATCGAAACGAAGGTAAAATTGGAAATTTGTCGTGAAAATGTTTTTGCGGAGAAAAAATGTCAAAAAAAAAAATGCTTATTTTCGATGACGGTTCCTTTTTGGGATTAAAGGCGCATACTAGAAAAATGTTTATGATTTTTGCATCGATTTATAGGTACCGAGGTTTTTCAGCGGAAAAAAATGGTTAAGAGCCAACAAAAAAACCAATAGGTGTAAAAGCAAATTTTTGGAATTTCCCCTTTTTTTTATGGACCTATTGATGAGATTTAATTTTTTACAAAGAAAAATTACATTAAATATGCATTTTTTTTAATACTTTCAGAATCTGGCAAAACTCGAAAGCGATTGGATATTGGCGCTTCGCGAGTTGGCCGCCGCGCAGCTCGTCGAGTTCACGCCGCTCGCCATCGACAATCAACAATCGCGTTTGCGTTCGGCGTTGTCGATTCTCAGCGTCGCGTTCGTCTATTCGAATCGCGCCGCGCATTTGCGCGTTCCGTTGGAGTTCATCGAGCGCTTCTTGCACACGTCGGAGGCGTTCTCGCGTTTGTTGTCGACGTGCGAGCCGTTTTTGACGATTCTCACCAGCGCGCTGAAACCGGGACACTATTACAATGCGATTGTGGCGAGACGATTCACGGTGGCGGTGAGAACCAATTGAAGCTTTCATTCGAGCGGCCGTGGCCGCCGAATTATTCGGCCATGTTGCATTTCACGTCTTTTTTTTTTGAAATTTTTTAATGCGAAGTTTTGCGAGTTCTTTTTTAGAATGTTCCGCCGATTTCTTTTACAAACGCATTTAATATACGAAAAATTATGAAATTATCACAGTTTTAGATGAAATTAACAAAAAATTGCGAAGAATATTGTTTCAGACGGAAAATGCCTTGAACATTACTATTTTTTTTTTGAAAATACTATTTTTTATAATTTTATCATGCGGACCATAAACTGGCAGCGATCATTTGTGCTGCCCGAATAGAAATCCTAAGGATGAATTCAGATAATTGCGAAAATCCAATTTTTCTTTTGAAAATTTCCAACATTTTAAAACTATGCGCTGAAATTGCGAAAAATGCGCGCCGCACTTGCACAAATTTGAAAGAAAGCGGAGTTTCGTCGAAATTTTCGCAAAACGGTTGAGTTTCAGCTATCGACGGTCGAGAAGATCATAATCGATCTTCAATCGTCATGGTTTTCGCTTTGTCGTTCGTCATTCTGCGCCGATCCGACGTCGTTGGACCTCATCACATTGTATTATTCGAAGAGCACCGTTCTCCTCGCCGCCGTTCAAATGATGCTCGGAAAAATGCCGCCAGAAACGTGAAATTAATTTTTCCTTTCTTCGTTTTTCTATATGCGAATTTTGTTTCAGCAATATCCAGCTGCCGCCACTCTCGAATCCGCGAACTTGCGCACAAATGCAACGCGAGAAGCTGCAATGGATAATCGAGAAATTGGCGAGATTGAAATTCAAAGAATTGCCGACATTGAATGTACGCCATTCAATTATTTTTTTTGACGAAAAATTGCCAAAAAGAGAATGTTTGCAGACGATTCAAGTGTTTCACACGATCATTGAACAACTCGCCATGACGCCGTACATGATGCCGCGATTCTTCTTTCAGCAATTCTACAACGTCGAATTCAAGGTTGTGACGCGCATCGTTGTGGTGAACTTGTGCGATTCCAGATATCGACGACGCCCCAAATGGAGGGCAATCGGGCGGTGAGCGTGCAAAACGGCGAGACGGTGCCGATTCGCGTCGACGGCGCGATTCTCTCGAATCATCCCTATCACATTCGATCGGTCATCATTATTGCCGAGATCTCGTCGCCGACGAATCATGCGGTAGGCATTGACGGGCGATTTAATTTCAATTTTTTTTAAATTTAAAGGCTAATCGATATTTGACGGAAACTGTGGAGCCGAATGAGAAGAATTACTTTAGCGCGCAATTTTTGCTGCAATTCAAATGGGTACTACATTTTTTAATTTATGTACTTTAGGTAGCGAAACTTAAACTTGGAATTATAATTCTTGAGCAAATCAAAACCATTCGGAATTAACTCGATCTGCATATTCGTCGGATCCGATCTGCTTTAATTTTTCAATTCAAATCGCATAGGTGCATTAAGAATTCGGATCTGAAAATATTCAAAAAACCAACCTCTGCTCAAAATGATCCATAAATCCATTTTATGCTCTCGAAAAAATCCATTGGAAAATCATTTTTAATGAAAATTTTCTAAAATACCAAAATATCTTTATAAGTTAGTTTTTGGCTCAATTTTCAGCAGCCTATACTACTTTTTTTTTCTAATAAATTAATTTTAGTCTTGCGACATCAAATTACGAATTGAATTCATCGATGCGACCACCAGGAAACAGTGGCGATCGTCGACAACGACAACATTGCCAATTATGGTACGAGAAGTGACGAAAGCCCGATGAGATTGAGAAAGAAATTGTAATTTATTAAAGTTTTAATCGATTTCAAATAAGAAATTTATTTCACTAATTTTTTATGTTTTTTAGTTTTTTTGGTCCCTTCCTTTCGAAAATCTGAACAATTCACGAGAACCTCAGAAAATTTGTCTTAAATTGAAAAAGCATCTAAGCTAAACGGAAAATTAAAAAATTAGTTCTATAAATGAGAAAAATTCAATTATTAAACGTGTTCGGTAAAATGGTCTCGCCGCGATGCACCGTAAACGTGCTCTTGCGCTCCAGCGGCCTTGCACACCGGGCGCATCGTCGGCAAGACGTCGTCGCATGCGTCGACGTCGTCGGACCATCGAGAGCCGTTCCCGAGATGCTGCGCATCGGGTTCTCCTGAAGCACACGGAACTTTTTGTCGTACTTCTCGTGCGCCTCTCGCCACGCCGCCTCGACTCGCGGATCCGGCTGCACAATGATCGGCCGACTCTCGGTCTTCGTCAACGGGTACATCATTTTCGAGTTCTCGTGAAGCTGCTCGCGAATTCGATCGTATTTCGCGCGGCGGAGATCGCGCATCGCCTGATCATCGTGCGATTGACGCGATTTGAAGTCCTCGAGTTTGCCAATCGACTCCCTATAAAATCAATGATGGCATTTTTTGAAAATGATGAAAAGAAATGAGAACCAACTTTATAATCACATTTCGCTCGACTTGATTCGTGTGCGTCATGCTCCGCATTCTGGCATCCCTCCAACCATGCTCATCGGGTCGCTCGGCCCACCACAACCAGTTCTTATCAGCCGGAACACCAATTCGCGACATTTCCATCGAAAAAATGGTCATTTTGTTTTTTTTTTTTTCAAACAAACAAAAAAAAAATAAAACCTGAAACTCGAGCTGCTTCCTCGCCAATTCCTTCGCGTGCTCCGCCGACTTCCTCTCGGCTTCGCGCGCGTTGGCAAACTCGAGCGCCGCACGCGCGTTACTCATCGCGTCCAACGCTTCGGCCGTCTCGAATTCGGCGATTCGCCGAACGCGCTTCTCCTCGACCTGACGATCCAATTCGGCGCGATACGCGTCTTGACGTCGTCGCGTTTCGTCGAGTCGCGCGCGTGGCGACTCGTGTCGAAATATGTAATTCTCTTGCTGAAATCGAAAAATTGCGCAAGCGGAGACGGCACAATCGGACTCACCGGCGGCGATTTTGTTCGATTTCGCTTCAATTCGATCAATTCGGCGTTGACGCGATCGATGTGCTCCCTCAACGCCGCATTTCTTTCAGCTTCTTCCTTGAAAACATAAAAGAAATCAAAACAATCTCCCAAAAAAAGTTCACCTTTTTGAACGCGGCTTCCTTCTCGTGCATCTCGTGATCGTAGATTTTCGCCCTTCTCATCATCTCCTCGTATTTTCGCCTCTCCTCGTCAGCTTTTCGTCGCAATCGATCCATATAATCGTCTTCGGCTCGACATTGCGCACATATTTCGCGACTGTTGTAGTCGTCCGACGACGATAAATGAGAATCGCGGATTGTCTGAAAATCGTTGCAGTGTTTCAGCGAGACTGGAAATTCTACGAATTAGATTTTTGGAAACTTCTCGTATCCGATTGAACTTCAAAGTTTTTCAAATTTGATTCATACGACAAGTGCGCTCCACCGCATACAACGGCGTCGATTGGGAAAACGGCGTCGAGATGAGAGAGTGTGCGATATGAAGAGAATCTAGCGACACGTGGCGTCAATTTATAGTTCGATTTTGACAAACGCGCTCTATTGCACGCTCTGAACCGACACGAGTGGCACTATAAAAGGCCGGCGAGATGGGCAATTTGGTCAGTTCTCGCAGCTCCTCGAGTTGCGAGCGAGCCGCATATCCAGCGGACTCGGTGTGCCCCGCATAACCTGCGGGCTCGCCGTGCCACCGGATAGCTATGTGGGCCCCCACGCGTCCCGCATAACCTGCGGGCTCCGCGTGCCCCACATAACCCAGCGGGCTCATCGTGCCCGCATAGCCTGCGGGCTCGTCGTGGCCAAGGATCCACTCGGTAAGTCGCATTCATCGCACTCCTTTTTCTCAATTCCCGGTATTGCAGATCCGATGAGCGCCACAGTCGTTGCTCATTCGAGCTCTTCTGATGTGCTATGTTGAAAGTGTCGGGGATTCTCGACTGGTGCGACTCCGTCAGCCAGTACTAACCCTACTGCAGTGTCGCTTCCAGGCCGACGTTAAACCCACATTCATGAGTAGACAGAGCACGTGAAGAGGAGTGAGAATGGGCGATGGCGAACGGTCGACGCTGCCCGGGGCGTCGAGTAGAGCGAGGAAGTGGATTCAAAAGGTAGGGATGGAGTCGCAGTCTATTCGAATAATTCGGATCATTGCAGGCATCTTATGGATCGAATGAATCGAATCGGAAGCAACGACAAAGAAGAAGCGACGAGGAGGAAGGGCAAAAGCGTCGGGAATTTGGTATTTTTTTGGCCCGGGCCTTTTTTTTACTTTTTTTTTTCTTTATTTTTTCTTTATTTTTTCCCTATTACCAGTCGTACCACTTACGACTCGTCCCCCTCTCTATCCCACCACTTGGGATTCTCTCTCCTCTCCGTACATTCGTACCACTTACGTCTGTACATCCCCCTGGTCCTACCGTTTGGGACCACTCTCTTCTTTTTTTCTTTGCCGGCTTCCCCTTCCTTCTTCCTTCCACCAGTCGTACCACTTGCGACTGTCCCTTCTCTCTGCCGTACCGTTTGCGGCTTCTCTATATCCCACCACTTGGGATTCTTCTCTCTTTCCGGTCCTACCGTTTGGGACCATCCTCTTCTTATTTTTCTTCTTTCAGGGGAAAGTCGTACCACTTACGGCTATGCCAGTCATTCCACTAATGACTGGCTTCCCCTTCTTTTTTTAAAATTTGTATCTTTAGGTATGTTTAGGTATCGCCGCTGCCGCCAATGGAAGGATCTCGCCGGTGAATCGACTCACCGGCACACATCCCATAATAAGTCTAAGTCTCTAAGTACCACTAGTCTCCCTAACTCTCAAACCCGCCGTAGTCGGCATTCCCCAGGTCGTAGTCGACCACCCATAGCCGTAGTCGGCTACTCCTCAAGCGCCTCGGCTTCCCGTCCCTCATAATCGTAGTGCCGAGGCGTTGGCTGGATGGCGGCTTAACCGTCGTATCCTAAATTCGGGTGATTGGCCTGGCAAGCCCTTCAGCCCTGATTCCGTAGCCGGGAATCGAACCCTACCCAAACGTCCCCGTTTCAAGTACTCTCGAGTGCTTGGTGGGCGTTATGGATGGTTATGCTTTAGAACTTTGCTTCACCGGGTGTCCTCCATACTAGTCAGGATGGCATCTGGCCCAGACCTATATTGACGTGGATTGGCCAGCTATGTCAATATGTCCAGCCTTTCGGGTGCACATGGACCGTGCTTCTTGGCATAGTAGCTTACTACTTTGTAGTGGCTTGCTACTACTTAGTAGTAAGCTGCTGTGCTGAGAACACAAAAACCACATTACCATATCACCAGTAGACCCGGGGCCCAGCCAGACGTGGCTTGCCCAACCACTTCTACTTCTATTATCCTCGGATGATAGTTGTGGGATGTCCTTGGGTGATCCCCATGGTGGGATCGGCGATGACCCACATCAGGTTTCGGCCTGATGCTGGTGAGCCTCTCCTTCATGTGCCGAGCCTCTACGTGGCGAAGGAGATCAACTGACTCGGTCGAGTCAGGCTAATCGGCACACGAATAAATCTCCACTTTTATTTTTGCGCCAAGACCACTTCCATTGTTTTTAATTAAAAAAATTTTTTTCCCGAGTTTGCACGCGTCGACAATACTAAAGTAAAAAATAAAAATTTGAAATTAAATTCAAATGAATCAATAAATGCGCTAGAGCACAAGAAATGCGTCAACACATTTTTCCCTAGCGCATTTCTTGTATACCGAAGATTTCTTTTTTTTCAGAATTTTCCAAACAGTTTTCAGCAAGAAATCTGATTTTCTCACAAAAAACCCTAAAAATCAAAAAAAAAAAAACGAACATTTTGCTGGTTTTCAAATCGAATATTTCCTAAGTCCCGTGTGACATCATCAACATCAAATTTCGAATTATCCGCCGCTGGTCGTCCCGCCATCAATCCATTGTCGATATCGTTGGCGATATTCTCGCCAAGATTGAATTTCAGCGAGTTCATCGGCGGCGTCTGAATCATTCTGCAAACGCATGTTTCAAAGGTGAAGAGTTTTCGAGAGGAAAACAATGAAACCTCGGCATCGGATCGTCGGGATAAATCTCCGACGGCAAGTCCATTTTGAATCGATCCAAATCCCTCAACTCGCCTCCATCATTTCCAGCCAAATTCGCCGGCATCGAATCGTCGACATCGGCGAATGATTGCAAATTCGGCGGAAATTCCATATCGCCGCGAATCGGCGACGACGACGACGCCGCCATCATCGGCGATCCTTCCGCAATCGGCGGCGGCGTCTCCAAAGGCGAAACTACAAAACGATTTTACAGGAATGCCTCACACTTCGTCGATCTCACACTGCGCGCTGTAATTCTTCAAAAGTCTCGCTTCTTCAGGCGGACGAAATCTCGGAGCGTCGAAGTTCTCCAGAGCTTCTAAAAATTGTGAGAGCAACAATGACAACAACAAAAATAGCAACATCGCTGCTCACCTCGAATTTTTTCGGCTTCCGTCGGCTCCCGATTGCCCATCCGATCGTAGAAATACACTTTTCCATATCGCATTCCAACTATTCTAGAGCTACTCACAAAAAAAAACTATAGGGAGAAAATGGCGGGAAGTGTGAGCGCAGAAAATTTCGTAAAGTCAACCGCCCCGCGAGCACGGTTCGCCGCTCACACCACACCATTCATATCCGGAGCAACATTTACGCCATTTCACGCATTTATTTCGTGGTGCAATACAAAATATATATATAGTTTTGAGGGAAAACGGGGGGAAATGCTATACAAGTTGGTTGGGAAATCACAATTCAGCGCATAATTATTTCGATTAAAAACACCCCAATCTCTTCACTCGACCGTCACCGACTTGGCCAAATTGCGCGGTCGGTCCACGTTGGCGCCGTTGAGCTCGGCAATGTGATAGGCGAGCAGCTGGAGTGGGATAACCGTCAGAATGTTCTGAACGCAATCAACGGTCCTTGGAACACGAAGCACGTGCTTCATCGAAGCGAGATCCTCCTGCGGCACACTGTTGTCAGCAATGATGATAGGCGATCCTTTGCGAGCGACCACCTGTTGAAGAGCGTTCAACGACTTCTGCAATCGAAAATCATCCATAAAACGGTATGCTAACGCCTTCTGAATACCGTGTAGACGTGATCATTGCAAATCACCATGCAGATGCTCAAAAACTCGTCGACCATCGCCAATGGCCCGTGCTTCAATTCTCCCGACATGATTCCCTCGCAGTGCATGTAGGAGAGCTCCTTGATCTTCAAGGCGCCTTCGAGACACGTGGCGAAGTTGAATCCGCGTCCCATGATGAGCAGCGATTTCTCCTTGTAAATGCGTTGAGCGATCGTGCGAACCTCCTGGTCGAGTTCGAGCACCTTGCGGATGTGGTCTGCAAATTTTCCGATAATCGAATGAGACAAAGAATCAAACTCGAATCGCACCGGGAAGATCATTGAGCGCCTGGATGATCTCCTTCCTTCTCACCGTCATCGACATACGATCGTCCGACAGCGTCAACGCGAACATGAGAAGCGAGATGATTTGCGACGTGTAGGCCTTCGTCGACGCCACGCCGATCTCGGGACCGGCGTTGATGTGAACACCGCAGTGCGATTCGCGACAAATCGACGAGCCCACCGTGTTGGTGAAGCCGATTGTCAGCGCGCCGCGCGGTTTGCAATATCTCAACGCCATCAGCGTGTCGGCGGTCTCGCCGCTCTGCGAGATGAACAAACACACGTCGTCGCGGAAAATCGGCGTCTCGCGATCCAAAAAGTCCGACGCGAGCTCGACGACAACCGGCAACTCGGAGAGCTCCTCGAGAATTTGGCGGCAAGCGATCGCCGAATTGTACGACGTGCCGCAAGCCACCATTATCAATCGGCGGCATCGTTTGATGTCGGATAGGTACGATTTGATGCCGCCGAGCACCACTTGGCCGCTGGGAAGGACGCGTCCGCGCATCGTGTTCACCACCGAGTCCGGCTGCTCGAAGATCTCCTTCTGCATGAACGTCTTGTAGGATCCCTTCATGATCTCCTGCAACTCCATCTCGAGAAGCTGCACCTCGCGCTTCTGCTCTCCATTGTCGGCGTGTCGCGAGATGCGATGAATCGTAAGAGCGCCGTCCTCAACCAAAGCGACATCGTCGTCCTCGAGGAACAACACCTGTTTGGTGTGCTCGATGATCGCCGACGCGTCGGAAGCGACAAAGTATTCAACTTCCCAGTCGGCCGAGTCGAATGGTCCGACAGCCGTCGTGTTGTCGGTCATCTCCAATTTCGCCGATCCATTCGACGAGCGAACAGCTGAAAATTCAAATTTCAGACAAAACGAGAAAAAAAAACTTTGAGGGGAAATGACGTTTCGCAAAGATTAAGAAAAAGACATGTTAGCTCCAAAAAAACACCGGGGCACCCTAAAGCCGGGAAATGGTCCCAGAGTGTGGTGTCAAACCCGTCAACGATTGCATGTAAGCCGACAAACGGCGATGATTCTCGTCCACGTGCGAGTCTTTAGATGAGATAAATTGCAACTTTCTTTTTTTTTGGGGAAAAATAAACAAAAAAACACCAACCGATTGAGAGATCCAAAATGTTGTTGGGTGTCTCGACGAACGACGACTCTTCGCGCACTGCAAAAAATTCAAATTTTTGAAATTACAACAAAAAAAAACTCACAATGAGTGGCATTTTTCGACATGAATCGACGACCTGGAAAAAATCAAAAAATCTATTCACCATTTCAATTAGAAACAATAAAAACATGCAGCGACACCCAACACCAAGAAGACAACAACAACAAAAAAATTCAACCAACCATCTGTCTGCTTATCGTCTCCCCAATTCCATCCAGCATCTATAAAATAATTTAGACAAAATATTCTCATGCATTCAAATTAGTGTGTCTCTTTCTCTTTCGTATTCATGCATACCTTTCGAGAACGACACCGGAAAATGATTGGCCTGCGATCGAGCGTTGCTCTTGATGCCGACGAGAAGCGGCGAGCCACGACGTGTGGCCACAAGCTGGCCAGGGAATCTCGGCGATTTGAACGCCAACGCAAAAGCGCCCTCCTAAACTCGACAATTTCAGAAACCAGGTTGGGTTTTTTTTTAAGACAAATCTCACCAATTGCTGAATGACAGTCTCAACGAGCTGCCTAAACGAAAATTCCGGATATCTGTCGTGAATATGTTGGGTGAGTTTCGCGATGACCTCCGTGTCGGTCTCCGACTCGAACACATGTCCCTTCTTCATCAGATACTCCTTGATCTGCTTGTAATTGTTGATGATGCCGTTGTGCACAATGAGAAAATCGTTGCTCTCATTACTGCGATGCGGATGCGAGTTGACGTCTCGCGGCTCGCCGTGCGTCGCCCAGCGTGTGTGCGCAATTCCGCAATGAATGTTGTACTCCATGTCCATGTCGAGGTCCGTCTGCTTGCGAATGTGCTCGGCCAGCACCGACACTTTGCCGGTTTTCCGCAACAGCGCCACCTTCGAGTGGGGACTTTCAATCTCGTTCGAGCCGTCGATGGCGATTCCTGACAATTTTAGGTGAATTTGAAATGAAGTAAAACAAAAAAAGAAACAAACCTGCAGAATCGTATCCTCGGTATTCCATACGCTGAAGTCCTTGCACGAGAATATCGACAATCTCCGAGCGCTTCTTCGGCGTCAAAAAGTTAAGATAGGCGAAAATTCCGCACATTTCGGTTTTTTTTAAAGTTTGGTGTTAGTAGTTGGCGAGACCCCTGCAAATACACCAAAAATGTTATGGCAATGACCATCAAACGGCGATAGCCATCTAAAAGGGCGGGTTTCTCGGGGGTCGCGAGAATCATTCAATCGAGGACAGGAAAAAAAAAGAGGAACACGAGGGAAATGACACGTCGCGATCGGGGCGCTGCTCTCTCAAATGAATTGAGCGAGCCGCCGTGCAAAACGGCGGAGAGGGCGCAGACAGCTCAACACAAAGCTTAATGCGCGCGGCACGACTAATTTTGGGGCTCCGATGCCGCAAAACGACGAATCAAAGTTCGAAAAGCGAAGACAAATGATTGATTCTCAATCGCGAGCCTCTTTTATAGCATTTCGCCGATCATACTACATTTTTTGCCTCGGAAAAAGTTGATCAAAAAATGGGTGAAAAAATTTGTTTTTTTTTTGAATGATGACGAAATGTGTGCAATTACATGTCACGGTGTGCACACCATCTGTCTACAGTACCCTGAAAAATAATTAAATTCTAGAAAAAATCGCCATAATTGGCAAAAAGACACCGAATTAAACTGGGAAATCAAGAAATTTTTATACGCTCAAATAATGCAACGTCATTGTTTACGAAACAAGAGAGCGGCGCGCGCGTGTGTTCGAAACGCGGCCCGATAGCAATAAATGAATAAAAATAATAAAAATCGTGACAAAAAAATTCAATTCTGTTCCGTGTTCACATTCAAATTCGCCAGCGTTTCGAACAATCGCCGAATCTCCTCGTGGGCGATTCCCAAATCACCAGAATCGACGTCAAACGACGACAGAAAATCGTAAAACGGCAGCATCTCGTCAATTTTCGCCGAAGCGATCGCAAACTTCCGGAAAAATTCCGGCACGAAACGCGCCCGAATTTTTGCCAATTCCATTCGATGACGCTGAAAAAAAAAAACGTTTCGGTGTGTGCAATTCGAGAATTCACTTATCGGTGTTTGCACACATCCACCGCTACAGTATCCTCAATATTTTATTTTTGTTATTTTTCAATCCAAAAAAGAAACGAAAGTGCTTTGTGTGCCCAAATTCCCCACTACAGTACGTCAAGCTCCAATTCGTTTTTTTTTTAATTTCGCGCCACAAAAAATCATTTCGTCGGTGTTTGCACACATTTCCCCGCACTACCGTACCCAACAAAATTAGGTCAATCAAATTGGGGGGGGGGGAACCACAAAAATGTATAGTTCAATTTTGATCACAATCTTCTCGCCGTCGAAACAAAAAAAAAAGGAAGAAACCAATTACCTTCATCGGATCGCCAGTCGAGCGCGGCGCCAAAAAAAACTCGCCACGCCATCCGTTGTTGCGCAAAAGGCTCTCGAATAGGGGCATCGCGTTTCGAATGTGCTGCGAAATCATCTCGCGTCGAGCGTTCGCGTCGATCGTCTTCCGTTTCATCGCCTCCTCGCGAAGTGTCATTTCGGCGCGCGCGCGAACCCTCAACGACGCCTCCCAATCGCGCGACTCTTTGATTTTGAGTCCGCCGATCGCCTCGAGCTCCTCATCGCGAACCGGCTCGTAGTTCATCGCGATGCCCGTCTTCAGCGCAATCGTCACCATATAATTGTGCAGATCCTGCAATTAGCCGTCCAATTATTGGGTTGATCGTCCGTTGATCATGGCCGCTCACCATGAACGTGCAATGCGCCACAAATTCTTGCATCGCGTGCTCGACTTTCGCCAACGTCTCGGGAGCATCAGCTGGTGCGGCTCCATCGAATTCATCATCGCTCAATGAGAGCACCGGACACGACGACGGCGGCTCGCACATCACACCCGAGAGCGCACCGGGCAAATTGTATTCGAACGCCTTGCGGAGAATCGAACGCACGTTCGTCTCCCATTTGTCTGCAAGCCAAAACCGAAAATAACTCATACGCCTTGAAGTTCGCGTTTCGAAGCGAAAATTTGAAATCCAATTTTGAAATGTGGTAAAATTGGAGAAAATGTCGCGAAAATGGGTCTCGGCGGGAAGAAGTGAAATTTCGAAATTTTTGGAGGGTTTTTTGCTTTAGTGTAAAATTCAATAGGCCTTTAAAACGTGTCTCGACGAGAAAAAAAATCAAAAAAATTTCAAGACATCAAACCCAAAAATTGTTTTCAATTTCAACATTTTTCGCCGAAAAGAACCGATTTTCAATTCGAATTAATTGCAAAGTGCGCCTTCAAATTTTGGGGGTCTCACAGCGAAAATTTGAAATTTCTGCTAGAAAATTGGGTCCTCAACACGAAAACGTTTTGTGTTCGTGCAAATTCGATAAAGAAATAAATTTGAGTCACCTTCCAGAAGGCAATTGCGAATCAGACGATTCATCTCCTCGACGGCCGCCAACGCCGTCTCCTCTTTGCCAACCAAAACCCATTGCCATCGCTCAATCTGCTCATCGATCGTCATCATCTCGTCGCGCAATTTGATAAGCGAGCAAGCATATTTCCCGAAATCGAGCTCGCATTCTCTCAATGATTGCGCGAATATCTCGCGTTCGGATTCCGTGTCAATAACTGCAAAAAAAAAAAGAAAATCAAAATCATGAAATTCGCCTTTTCGGGTCCCGTATGGAAAACTGATTACAAGAAGCAAATTTTCTAGTTATCACAATGAAAAAAAAGTGCATAATTTTTCAGCAAAATTAAAATCGATGGATTTTTGAATATTTTTAAGGGCTATTCAAAAAAAAATCCATTGGTCCCAATAGAAAATTCGAAATTAAACGCACTTTTCATCGTCTCCATAATCTCGAAATTGATTTGCGGCGAATCGCGCGGCAAAAATCGCGAATAGAACGCGGCCATTCGCCGATGCGGCGCGAAGCGATGACGAAGGTCGGCGAATTCCGAAGTGACGACGACAGTTCCGTGATCCTGAATACGAGAAGCTCAGACGAAAAAAAGAAACCAACGCTTACATTCATCTCATATCCCTTCAAATACGAAACGCACACCAAATGGAAGAACAAGTCCAAGGTGATCGGATTCACACCGGAATTCGGATAATTCGGAATATACCCTTCGCATTGGTGTTTGGCGAGGGCGAACAGCTCATCAATCTCATCATTGAGCATGTAATCGATGACTTTTGTCAAAACGAGCACCTCACCAGTCCGTCGATTCTCCGCGTCAAGCTCGTCAAGAATCGATTTCGCCGTCAGCGGCACATTGAATAATCTCTCGGCTTCACCAACCGACAGCGAGCCTTCGGCGGCGAGTAGGCGTCCGATGAACGCGGCGTTCGCGTGCGCCCAAACCTTCTCAACAATCGTTTCGGCGATTTTCAGCATCGGATGAAGACTTCCACGCATGGCGTTCAGCAGAAGCATGTGAGCATCATCCTCATCGCGTTTCGCCTGATTGAATGAAAAAATCAATTTCCAACAAAAATTCGATCTCACCATTTCAATCATTTTGCTCAACATTTTGAAGTACATCGCCCGATGTTGCCTCTTCTCTTTCGCATGATTCTTCGAGTCCACTTCCAGCGGCACATCATCGGGATTGCGAAGCATCGCATGCAGTCGCAATTGCGCCGCCAATGGTCCCATTCCGCACTTCATCGCCAATTCGGCGGCTTTCGCCGCCTCGCCGCACCTTATCAACTGGAACATGGTGAGCATTGCGCGTTGCTCATTATTGAAGTCCTCATCGGTGCCCCTCGCGTCCGGATCAAACGACGCTCCGCTCGATGGTCCGCTTATCAACGCGCGTTTGAATTCCGCGATCGAGCGATTCCGAAGGTATCCGGCGCATTCCAAATGGCCGACCTTCTTCGAAATGCCCAACTCGTATTGCTGCTCGCTGATCGCCTTCTCGCTCCATAGAAGGAGGGCGTAGATTCGTCGGAATTCGACGTCATCGAGAATCAGATGGCTCAAAAGCGACGTCTCGCGAGTGGCGGCGTACTCGTGCGGAAGAGCCGCGTAGATCGCCAACACGCTGGTGATTTGGACGGCTTCGCTGGCGATTCGTTGCGATTGAATCGAGATTTTCGCGTCAGACGGCATATGACGAGTTCGGCGTTCAATTTCAACGAAAATCTGGAATTTTTTTAAAAAAGATTTTTGACAAAAACAAATTTCATACATTATACAGCCTTGTCCACATGATCGGCGAGATTTCATTGCTCGCTGTGTCAAATTCACCAAACGCCAGGGAGCATAACTCCGAATAAAGCTTCTCGGCAAGTGCGACATGATCTAAATAACAAAATTCGCTCGTAGCTTCATTTCAAATGCCCTACAATTGCTCAATTGCTTATAAGCGGCATTGTTTCTCCGCGTCTCCACATCACTATCGACGTCGTCTTGTTGAATTTCGAACGACGACTCGAAATCTTGTGTGTGTCGAAACGTTCGGCTTACATCGCCGGACGCTCGTAAATCGGTGACCATCTACAATATGAAATCGGTGAGAGAATGGAAAATTAGGCGAAATTTGCGAAGAAAAAATAATTCAAGACGAAAATTTGAATTTGCTTGGCGCGGCCTAGAAACAGACAAAAACTAGTCCGCCGGCCATTTATGAATTCTGCAAGATTGCAGCAAAATCAAATAAAAACGGGAAAAAAATGAAAATTTGCATAAAATTGGAACCAATGAGAAACGTGAATAACACCATTTCCCATTATTTATTATTTTTCTTTATCGAATTAAGGACTCGAGAATGTTCGATCTAAATTATGGTCCAATTTTATTCACATTATCTGAACATGAAAAGTCACAAGACGCTGGCAGCAGCAATGACGAGGAAGGGTGTCAGGTGTGCCAAAAAAAACTAGCTGAAAACGCTGAAATAATAGATTTCTTTTCCAGACATCCGTCGTCGATCGACCAGTTCGCCATTTGGGCAAATTCTGTCTTTGCTATAATGATCCAAAAGATTGTACCACGTGCTCAACAATTTTTTCCATTACCGGAACCCTGAACAGCATCGAAGTTCGAATTAGAACCGATTCAAATTGCCGCGGGAGTTGAAACGCGCGACGAGACCCATTTTCAAGCCGAGCGCGTCCTTTAAAATTATATGTCTTCTCTAGTACACTCTCCATAATGCATTCTCTCTTACTTCGTCATTTTTTTTTCAATTTCGCTGAAATTTTCAGATTTCCGACGATTCTTGGAGTGAGCGCTCTTCCGCCGGCGGCTCTGAAGATGACGGCTCTTCTCTATTCGAAGAAGTTCTCACAAGCTTACTGGAATTCTTTTTTCTTCAAACCCCGTATTTTTGCAGATCCCCCACTCTCAACAACCGATTCCAGAGCCGTCAACATCGTCTTCGCACTACGACAAAACGCTGCACGAGAATCTGAATTTGGTGACGAAGCGTTTAAAGCTGAAAATCCTCGAACTCCAAGAAGCGAATCGAAGTGTGAGCTTCACGCTCGATCAGCTCATCGAGCTGCACCACTATCGACAAGAGGAGCTCGACGAGCGCCTCGAGTCAATCTCCACAAAAATTTTCGCCGAAGAACGAATGACGCCGAATCGCGTCGACCAATTCGTCGACGTGATGAACGACATCGAGATTTTCGAGCTTCTACTCGACGCGTGCCGAGCGAAATACCGAGAGCAAAGAAACGCATATCTATATAAATTGGTTTCGCGCAAATATTTGCATTCAAACATTCTCAGCTGTTTCTTCAGGCCGATGAGGATATAATGAAAAGCAATATGGAAAGGATAGTCGAGATTGGCGACAAAATTCCTGAGGTTCGTTGTCAAGCCGCCGTCATTCTTGAAGCGTCTTCAATTTGCAGTGCTGCAAAAAGCGGAAACCGACGGAAATCACCGAGGCGTTGAACGAATTGAGTAATCAGTTGGAAGCGATTGCGTCTCGAATCGAACACGACTTCTCAACGTGCCGCTCAATTAGTCCATGATTCTTGAAACTTCGTGATTTCGAGCGACTCAACGAATATGTCAATTCCACTCGTTCTCATCCACCCCCTGCTTCTTCTTCTCTTTTTTCGCCACCATATAAAGTTATGTCACTCAGGAGGCTTTTAAGCGAGTAAACAAATGCGATTTGTGATGTTCCTCATGAGATTAGGTCATCAATCCATCTTGCCCAGCTTCTTGTCCCCTAATGGAGTTCGCACTCATGATGAATTAATTTCTCGCGGCTCAAATAAAATTAGAGAAAAAAAACTCGAATTTGATGGCGCACTTTACGACCACTTATAGGAAACCCACTATTTTCTGTTTTCTTCCCCTCCGAGATGAGACACAAATTCATTGTTTAACAAATAAGCGCCGTATAGTAAAGATTATCCCCACCGGCTTAAGGTCATACAATATTTTCATGTCCTAGGGTATAATTTAAAAAAATGCGTGCTGTGAATAACAATATTTATTGGCGTCTTGTTTTTTAGCAAAAGACGCGATTTTCCATCTGAAAGTCTGGAACAATGGTAAAAGCTGAACTTTAGGCGGCTCGTTGAGGAAGCGATCATGCGAGTATTTCAAATATTTTTAAGTGCGCCTTTGGGAATCAAAAATTTTAGGAAACATCTAGCCTGGGGACTATGGTCTCGGCAGGATTCAAAATGGGTCCCATTTGGATTCTTATATTTTTAGTCGAGTTTATAGAGAAAAATCGAAATTATCTTTTTTAAAGTAACCAAATTCCAAGGCGCCAAGTTCAAATTTTCAAATTCCCAAAATTGGGCGCGATCTTCAAATTTCCGAAATTCGAAATCTGTTAACATTGGCACGAAATTGAAATTCAAAAAAAAAAAAACAATCCAATTCCGCGATGCGGAATGAAAATTCCAATTTATTTATCAAATTTTCCTCAATCCTTTAAGCCAGAAAAAATAAACAGCAACAAAAATTCTGTGAGTCCCGCAACGAAGTCGAACCCAATTTTAAATACTCCTCAATTTCATCGCCTTCGCACTTTTGTTCTATTTCCGTCGTCGGACGCGCTTCTTTCAAAATTCTGTTTTTTTTTATTTCGCTTAGCGCCGAAACTCAATTCCACTCGTTACATTTTTTTGTGGGTGGAGAAAACGCAATTTATCTCGTTTTTTTTCGCGCGTCACTTTTCTTCTCGCTGAAAGCGCACTAATTGACGCAAATTTGCAGATGAACAACAAACTACCGTAGTCGCGAACAACAATTATTCGATTCACACCAATTTCGGTAATCGCACCTCGATGCTAATTGCTCCAACACATACACACACACAAGAATTCTTGATGTGCTCCTCTCGCACAGCGGCGGCTCTGGCTCCGCCCACGTCCAACGCCACGCCCAGCTCAGCTCCAGCAAACCGATGCGTGTCAGTCCGTCGCCGCTTCTCACGTCATCGCCGCTTCTCGCAAAACCCCAAAAAACTTTCATATTTTCAGAAATTGAAACTTGAAGTAACACACACACAAAACACAAAGGAGGAGTAATGACGACGACGACGGCGGCGGCGTTCTCAATCATTGTGGTGGCGCTGACGGTATGCAGCCAATGCGCTGCCGGCGAACCAACGATTCGCGCCAAACGCCAATTGTCGCCGGCGACCGCACTCGAGACCGACTATCTCGCCGCGCTCTACGGCTACGAGGTTCGTCGGACCCATCACCGCTTTCGCGTCAATCGCATTCATCATTCAGGGCTCGCCGTTCAAACGAGCCAACAATCTGCGAAGCGAGAAGCGCCAAATCTCGCCGTCGTATGACGTCGAGGTGAACGCCGGCAATTTGCGCAATTTGCTCGACATCGGCAAACGACAAGTGTCAGTTGCCAGCGATTACGGCGATCAGTTCCAGGTGAGCACCGTAGTCATCGGCACACGGATGAGCTGCTCGAGGCAGATTATGCGAGCTCTTTGCTCTCGACTCCCCCCCCCCTCTTTTTTTTAAAGGCTTCTTCGATTATGCGCGCGCAAACACAAAAGGATGAATAAGCTTAAAGGCGCGTGATGTGGTCTCACCCCTATGCTCCTTTAAAGCGAATCGGAGGGTTGGGAGAAGGGTTAAGAATTTGAAAGTCGCATTTTGGCATAGCGACCCAAATTTAAAGGCCCATTCAAATTTCCACCATATTATTCTAAACAAGACCCAATTTCTGTTTGATGAAATATTCGTGCGTCTTGCGAGCTGACAAAAAAGAAGAAGCAGGAAAAAGACACGACTACGAGTGGGGGGGGACACACACACAAAAACACACGGGACATTGGGAGGGTGAAATTTGCATTTTCCTGTGTATCGACACGACCTAATTAAAAATTTCCGTTTTATTTTTTGAAGATGTACAACCGCCTATTCGACGCCGGCAAAAAACGAAAACGCTCGAGCGTCATCTCGCCGGCGTACAACTTCCAGACGAGCCTCGGCCTCAGCGAAGCGCTCGAACGCGCCGGATAGTGTGATCGCAATAATCTAGCTCACTCACTCACTCTCTCTCTCTATCGAATAAAATTTGTCTCGCTGTTTTTTTTGGATGTATTTCTTTTGGCACCACCGCGTGGGCGGGCAAATAAATACCAAATATGGAGCGAGGGGATCAAGCTGCTTAACCCTCCAATTAACTCAACTTTCTCTCCTTCACACCTCCACCGAGCATTCTCGTCATTTTTCTCTACATGCTCCCGCTTCTGCTCTCCGCTCTAATCGGCTTCTCTCTTGAATCGAACCCTTGTGATGTCGGTGTGACCCACGTGAAATCGGACACCAAGTTGCCTTCGAACTGCACGTCAATAATTGGTCGATTTTTAATCGATGGTTCATCGGATGTCGACGACGAAGCGTTGATCAGCATCTTCGAGAATGTCGCGTCGATTGAAGGCGTCGTCGAGATCCACAAGTCGAAATTGAAATCGGCGAGGTTTCTCGGTGTGATCGGCGAGCTCACCGGCGATCTGCTCGACAAGAGCCTCTCGATTGTCGACAACGCCGATCTCGTCGACATCGACGTCGGCGCGTTGCGATCAGCCGACGCCTACGTTCGAATCGTCGACAATCCGAAATTGAATTTGACGAACGCTTGCAAGCGACTCCACAACGCGTTCGGCAATCGGCGAATCATCGCCGGCAACGCCGAGAATTGCGGATGCAGCGTCAACGGACCACTGACGTATCCCGAATCCGTCGACTTTCCCGAAAATTGCACGATCGTCTACGGGCAATTGCACATCGACAAAATTCCGCCGCCGTTCGCGATTCTCGATCGCCTACGATCGATCAAGACGATCTATGGATCATTGATGATCACCGACACGAATTTGGAGACGCTCGGCTTCTTGGAGAATCTCGAGACGATTGAATCCGACAATCAAGCCGAGTACACCATCAAAATCGAGAGCAACAATTGGCTCGGCCGAATGGATTTGTTGCGATTGACGAAGGTCGCGTCGAAGAATCCCGAATCACGCATCACCGTCTATAATACGATGAACGTCTGCTTCGATCCCGAGCTTCTCGAGTTGTTCGTCAAAAGCGGCCTGCGATTCGACGTCTCGACCGATTTGTCGTTTTGCGATTTGACGAGTAGATTACGAATGGACCATTTGGGCCACCAAAAAAACACCCACTTCAAATTGCAGAGATCCGAAATCCAACCGGCTATTGTAGTGGTCCGCTTCACGAGGTGCCCGATCGTTGCCTCTACTATGTCGGCAACATCGAGTATAGCATCGCCGACGAAAATTGGTACGGCGATTTCGAGCCGATCACGGTGCCCGACGCCGATCTGACGAGAATCCAGCAGTTCGAGAAGATCTTCGGAATGATCTCGATCCGATTCAGCGACATCAAATCGTTCAGTCTTCCAAAATTGAAGGAGATCTATAGTCTTGGATGTAACACGACAATTTTTGAGGGTTTCTTCAAAAAAAAACTAGCGCGCTCAAAAATTTCAGGTGTTCGCGATTCAATTATATCATCATACGGCTTCGAGACATTCTATTTCGTCAAAAATCTAAATATGACGAGCTTCAAGACACCCAATTTGCAGGTGATTGATTAATCGTCAATTAAGGCAATCAATCGATTAAGATCGCCTTCAAGAACATTTATCTCGAGGAGAATGGAAATGTGCAAATTTCGAAGAAGGATTGCAAAAATTTCGAAAACGTGAAAAACGCGGATTTCACGGCAACAATCGATCGATTTCGGTGTGGTAAGTCGAAAATCAAATAAGACAAAATTTGGAAATTTGCCGCCAAAAATAAAATCGCTGAATTTCAGATTCGGATTACAGCCACGTTTTAACCAATGAACAATAATAATAATTATCATTATTAGTGTGGTTTAATGATTTTTTTGTTGTTCGAATAAATTGAAATACCTGTTGTTACCGTATTCTTCAGGGGGTCCCTCCCACACGACTTTTAATGCCGTCAAGCCTATAATTATGAATGTGGGGCTCTGAAATGGCAGACAACAATTTTGTTAGGCAAAAAAAAATGCCGCGATTTCCATATCTACTTTTTATACTTTTCAAATTTTCAATTCAAGGTAAAAATTTCAAAAAAATAAACAAATGTCTGTGAAATACCTTCTAGACCCTTGCGATGTCGGTGTGACCCACGTGAAATCGGACACCAAATTGCCTTCGAACTGCACGTCAATCATTGGGCAATTTTTAATCGATGGTTCATCGGATGTCGACGACGAAGCGTTGATCAGCATCTTCGAGAATGTCGCGTCGATTGAAGGCGTCGTCGAGATCCACAAGTCGAAATTGAAATCGGCGAGGTTTCTCGGTGTGATCGGCGAGCTCACCGGCGATCTGCTCGACAAGAGCCTCTCGATTGTCGACAACGCCGATCTCGTCGACATCGACGTCGGCGCGTTGCGATCAGCCGACGCCTACGTTCGAATCGTCGACAATCCGAAATTGAATTTGACGAACGCTTGCAAGCGTCTCCACAACGCGTTCGGCAATCGGCGAATCATCGCCGGCAACGCCGAGAATTGCGGATGCAGCGTCAACGGACCACTGACGTATCCAGAATCCGGCGAGTTTCCTGAAAATTGCACGATTGTCTACGGAAAACTGCATATCGACAAAATTCCGCCGCCGTTCGCGATTCTCGACCGCCTACGATCCGTTAAAATCCTCTACGGATCGCTTTGGGTCACCGGGACCAATTTGGAGACGCTCGGCTTCTTGGAGAATCTCGAGGAAATCCATTCAGGTGAAAATTTGCTCTTCAAAAATTGTATTCAATTTTTTTTATAGACGAACGAACCGAGCAGACGATAAATATTGAAAGAAACGAATGGATCGGCCGGTTGGATTTATTGCGGCTTGATAAAATTACCTCGAAGAATCGGGAATCGCGCATCACAATTTATAACGTGAATCGAATGTGCTACGATCCGGCACTTCTTCAAATCATAATTGAAAGCGGCTTGAAGCTCGAATTGGGAACAGAGGCGAAATTTTGCGATTCTGCAAGTAGCGTTTGTCCGCAATTTTGCGCGCGATGATTGCGGCGCGCGCGAGCGCCGCAATCACCGACACGCACAATTACACCAACATTTTCTTTTTGCAGTGTTTCGAGACCCCTCACTTTTCTGCACGGGACCCATCAAAGAAGTCCCAGAGCGTTGCCAAAACTACGTCGGCAATATTGTCTATCAGCCAACCAAAGATTATTGGTACTACTATGAATGCGAGTCGATTCGAGTGCCCGACGACGACATGGCGCGAATCCAAAAATTCGAGCGGGTGTTCGGCAAAATCGCAATATCGTGCAGCGATCTCGAATTTCTCGATTTGCCCAATTTGAAGGCGATCTACAATATTCAAGACGGCGAGGCGATGGTTATAACGAAAAATGCCAATCTGACCGGCTTCGAAACACCAAACCTTGAGGTAATTTCGAAGTTTGCGCCAAGCCAATTAATTAATTAAGTACGCATTCAAGAGAATCGTGTTCGAGGAGAACGGCAATTGGACAATCTCAAAGCAAATTTGCAAGAATTTCGGAGGAATCAAAAACGAGAAATTCTCTTCAAAAATCAATGAATTCAGTTGCGGTGAGCGGTTCGAGAAAAAATTTTTTCAATCAAATAATTTTTATTGCAGAAAGCGATTACGAGTACTATTTAAATCTGATGCAATCATAATCATATTTATTTTGCACGCAATACAATAAAAATATATCGGTTGGACGTTTTCATAAAAAAAAGGAAATAGAAAAAAAGGCGACAAGGAAGAACAAAAAAAATTGGGGGGCAGACAGGATATACTTACAAGCAAAATGTGATAAAATTCTTGATGATATCCTCATTTCTGCAAGAATTTTTTGAAATTTCTCGCCTTCCACTCATTTCTTCAACAACTTACATGACTTCCAACGCTCGCCGCGTCTTTGATAAGCCTCTCAAGCATCGTTCTCGCATATTTGATGCGATGGAGGTATTTCTGGAAAAAAAAAAAACAAAAATGCCTCATCAATTTTTCATCATTTTCTCACCTCCGGACAGCCATTCACTTGCAAATTCGAGAATTTATACACCAACATTCGCTTTTGATGATCGATAAACGTGACCGCCTGCATCAGCGGGCACATGAGCATTTTCAAGTGGTCCGAGAAGAAGTTGATCTGAACGGAGCCGTTCGATAGATGGAGCACAATGGCGGACTTGGTTCGGAACCAAACGCGAAGTGTCGGCAGACGGGCGAGATCATCGCCGGCTCGTCCCGCCTCGATGCCCTCGCCGGCTTTCAGCAAATGATCGTTCATATACGATCGAAAGTATTTGAGGAGGGTGACCTTCTTGCTGAGCGCCGTCGGCAACGCGTTATTCATCGAAAAATAGTGCTCGCGGTTGTTCTTCTCGATATAAGTCAGCTCATTGCCAGCCTCATCGAGCATAATCCTCGAGTTATCATTGAAGAGTACACCAACCTAAATTTGACAAAAACAAAAGAAACTCTATTTGAGGAGAGCAACGAAAAACCGAACCGAATTGTCGCACAACTGATAGCCGATGCCATATTTGTCGGAATAATCAACCCATTTCGAAATCCAGAACACCGGCAGGCATTCCGGCGACTGATAGTCGTCAAGAACCGCCTCTTCCTCATCGAGCTGTAATCGGCAAAAATTAAAAAAAAAAACAACATTTTCCACGTGGCGCGCTCATTTCTAGAAAAACGACACTCAAAACTCACGTCGGGAATGCGTTTCTCGAGGAATTCGGACACTTGTCGATACAAATCCGACAGGTAGGCGTCATTCGGCTCGCGGAACGTCGCCTCGGTCGCCTGTTGTTGAGCGCGATCGCGATCGGCGCTCGCCATATTCCGATAGACGGGCAAATTTGACGAGAGGCCGGCACGTGACGTCGCCGCCATCGCCGGTTTCGATTTCACGGCGGCGGCGGCCGTCGTCGCCGTCGCGCCGACCATTTCCGGCGGCATCTCGTTCTCGTCATTGATGAGCTGATCGTGTCCGAATTTCGGCACCATCGTCAAACACGAGACGGGCAATCGCGACGGCATGAAGCCGGTCTTGAAAAAGACGTCGCGAAGGATCTGCTTCGCCGTCGGACGACGATTCGGCACCGGGTCCAACATTTTGCGGATCAACGACACCGCCGCCGGACAATTCATGCTCGGTATCGTGTAATTGTTGTGTTTGATTCGCGAGTACGTCTCCTCGAGCGATTTCGATTCAAACGGCGGATGGCCGAATAGAAGAATGTAGAGAATACAGCCGACCGCCCAAATGTCCACCTCGAACGAGTGGCCCATTTTGTTAAGAACTTCCGCTAAAAAAATAAAATATTAAAAAAAAAATATTCATAAAAATAGAACCAACGAGCAATATAATTAGGAGTTCCACAAAGTGTCTTCTTCCTCTCATCATTCTCAACCGTCGTGGCGAGACCGAAATCGCCAAGCTTCACCTGCAGCTCATCATTCAAAAAAAGATTGCCTAATTTCAAATCGCGATGGATAATTTTCAAATTGTGAAGATAATTAACGCCCTCGACGATTTGATGCGTGAAATAGCGCGCTTCCGGCTCGGTGACCGCTTTTCGACGCTTGTGCAGCTCCATTAAAGACCGTCTCGGGCATAACTCCAATGTTATATAAACGTTGAGGCGATCCTTAAAAAAATCAACAAAACAAAAACGAAAATTCCCCCAAAAAATATAACGGAACGAACCTCGAAAAAATTATAAAGCTTGACGACATTGGGATGCGAGAGATTTCTGTGGATTTGCACCTCCTGCGCCATTTTATCTCTTTGATATTGCTTGACTAGCAAATGTTTCGGGACGACTTTGCCGGCAAGAACCTCACGCGTCATCACATTCGTAATCTCATAGCAATGCGCGAAACCGCCTTTGCCGAGGAATCGACCCTTCTCATATTTGATGTTCCTCTCCGGATCGACTATTATCGCCGGCACCTCCGGCGGCGCCTTCTCTTTTCGTACCACTTTTGCTCTTGCTGTTGTTGCAGGCCGACTCATACTAAAAAAATCCAATAAATATTGCAAAAAATCGCAAAAATCGACAAAAACGCGCAATAAATCAACTTCGAAAAAGAAGAAAATTCAAATCCAAGCAGCTGGCGCCATTAACACGTCGCGGGTCTCGCAGCGCGCGTACGATTTACGAGCCACCGCTGTCTGCGTCTCTTCACACCACACACACACTCTCTCTCTCGCCCAACTTTTATTTTTTTTTTCTACAAAACGCGTTAAAAATTTATTTATTTTTCCGTTTCGCTTCATTTGATTTATCAAGTTTCGCCACATTCTGCTTCTCCACATTTTTCTTCACCGCCGTCGCTATCGGATTCTTCACCTTCGCGTCGCCAACCGCTTTTTTCGCCGGCTTCTTCATTTCCACACTTTTCGCCTCAAACGTCTTCGGATCGTCCTCGGCCGATTTGCTATTACGCCGCCCAAGTTGCAATATAGTTTTCGTCTAAATAATTAAGAGAACTAAATGAGCGTTTTTTTTTTCTTGCACACAACCATTCGACTAAATTTCGCCTTCGAGTCCAATAAAATCGTTTTATCCTTTTCCGCAGAATTCTTGTCCTTCTCCTTCGCCTTCGCCATCTTCGTGACAGCTTCCTTCTCTTCCTTCCCCTTCTCCCCGCCGTCATCCTTCTGCTCGGCAAGCTTTTTTAGTTTCGGTTTCAATTGCGCAAAAGTTGGCCGCTCATCAGCATTCTAGAAAATTGGAATTTCCGAGCAAACAATTCAAACAATGAATTTTCGAGGTAAACTTTCTTGAAGCACTCTGTCATAATATCCGCCATCGATTGGGGCATCAGCGGCGGCGGTTTGTGCGGCAGCTCGCCATCCTTGACCGTCTTCATCACCGTCTTGTTCGACATGTCGCTCAGCGGCTTCGTCGCGCACCTCGAGAATATCTCCCAAAGCACAACGCCGAACGACCACACGTCCGTCTTCTCGCTGAAAATGCCCTTGTTGAGCGTTTCGGGACTGAGCCATCGAATCGGCGCCTGCTTCAGATTCGCCACCTTCACCTCCGTCGCCTGAACTGATAGGCCGAAATCGGAGATTTTCACGACGTCGTCGCCGCCGATGAGGCAATTCCTCGCGGCGAGATCGCGATGGATCACCGATTTCGACGCGATGTGCGTCATGCCGCTGACAATGTCCGCGGCGATCGCTGTGAATCGATTGACACTCGCGTCGGGTGTGTGTCGGCAAAAGCTCTGCGACAGTGATGAGCTATTCAGTAAGGGAGAAGCTTAACGAGTTACCCGAACGTTTCCCTTTGTGACGAGCTCCATTACGCACATCACCGGGTCCGCCAAACAAGCAGTTCCATAATACCGTATAACATTGTCGTGATCGAAAAGTGACATGATATAGGCTTCCTGGAATTATCAGCAATTCTCAATGGTCCCTAGGCTTCAATGACATGGAAGAACTCCTTCATCTGCTTCCTCTTCAAATCCCCTTTGATCATCTTCACCGCGCATTCCTTGCCCTCTCCATCTTTCGACTTTTTGAGGACCCCCTTCCAGACGTCGCCGAAAGCGCCGCCTAAATAAAAGGACCATTGGTTGATTGGTGGGACCAGTCGCGTTACTTCCTAGTTTCGTCTCCACTGTGATCATATGGTGTTGCAGGATGTCGTTCGGACGCGGTATCGGAATACACCCCTTCTCGGTCGTCGACCAGAAATTGATGAGCTCATGGAGATGGTCGAACTCGCGATTCTCGACTTTGGCACCGGCCGATTGCAAAAGACGCGGGCACGACCATTTGTTGTTCTCGAAGCGAAACGCAATGTGGCTGATCGTCTGTTTGAGGTTGAGCGAAATGCAGAACACCTTGACGCCGCTCTCATCTTCCGATCGACGCACCACAAATGAGTTGTGCCACTGAAAAAATAAAAGGATTGCGAAGAGGGGGGGGGGTCCTCGGGTACCTTTAAAAGGGGCTCGGCGTTCTCTTTGAGCATCGTTCCGTGATACCAAGTGTACGTTGACAGCACATTTTTCGCATATTCCTAGAGAATTCATTTTTTCGAGTTCAACCGCGCCGGGTCTCGTTGGGAAAATCTTCTTTTTGTATTTTTTTTCAAAAATAAAAAAAAGGATTTGAATTGTTATCGAATTGCGTAAATTGTATTTTTAAAAACTATCATCGCGCCAAGACCTCTCCATTATTTTTAAAAATTCAAATTCTTTAGAATTTTTCACGAAAAAATTGTCAAAAATTTTCGTTTTGCTGAAATTGAAGACGATTTTAAGTTCTCAATGTTTACTTTTTTGAAATTAAAAAAAAGACGCCTATATTTGGCATTTTGGAAAAATTGACGAAAATCTTCAAAAAAAAAAACAATAGTGCGGGCGTGGTTGAAAAAAATAGTTCATACACACGCACGCAAAATTACACACATTTCTTAATTAATTTTCAATGAATGCTCTTTTCATTACTAACAAAGAGATATTATTATAATAATTTGTTTTTGAAAACTGTAAAAATTGGCGCGAAATTCAAAAAAAAAATGATTTCCCGCCTCTCACATTGATCGCGTCGGTGTCCTTGCTGCTCGTCGTCGACGACACCGTACCCGGCGATTTCGTCATGTCCGATGTCGGCGTCGTCGTAATCGTGATCGTCGGCACCGTCGTTGTCATCGTCGTCGTCTTCGCGTTGTCTTCAATCATCACCTTGCCTTCCTCCTCATTATTATCCTTCGACGACTTCTTCTTAAGCTTCGCCGCCTCGTCGGGCTCCTAAAACACAAAAGCTCGTCCAGCTCATCGACGCCATCCCCCCAACCTCCTTTTTTCCGCCGTCTTCAATTTTCGTTTTCGCCTCCGATCCCTCATTCTGCATTTCTTTCAATTTTTCCCTTAAATTGTCTCGATTAAGTTCGCATTCTCGCAAAAACTCCGCACATATTCAGTTCGTATGGTTCTTCAATAAATTACAATATTAAATAATCGAAAAATCGGCGTCACGTCGACAAAAATAAATTATTTATTCACAAAGCGTTAAGAATCAGAGAAAAAAAATGCAAATCAACTCAGATGGGCACCATTTATCAGAAGACTATATACAGCACAAAAAAAATGAAAAGGTCGAGGGTGGAGAGGGAATGGCAATTATTAATCACAAATATTCCAAAATTATGTCAAAAAAAATAAATATTGAAATGGAATCGCACCTAATGTGAGTTGCTTCTCATAAACTGAAGAATATCCTTTTTGGTGATGATTCCAAGAACTTTTCCATTTTTGGTGACCAGCACCTGACGAAGTCCCAACTTCCGGAACATGTCGATGACCGTCTCCATCGGCGTCTGATCCGTCACTGTCATCGGCGCCTGGAAAAAAAACGACGATAGGCTCGGTCGGCACGACGCATTCCAAACCATATCGAGAATCTTGCGCAATCGTAGCGGCGCTGGCGCTCCCGGCTGAGCTTCGGGTATCTGATCGGTGAAGTAAGCTATCGAGTTCGTCACCACATACGGCTGCGTCTTGCGGGCGGTGTGCAGCGCCAGATAGATGTCCCTCCGCGTGACGAAGCCCACCAAATGCATGCTGTTCTGCGAAACGACCACAGGATATCCGTTGAAATCCGTCTGTCTCAGCAAACTCTAAATATGGCAAGATTTTCAGCATTTTTGCTCCCAAAACGCGTTTTTTTTTTTCGTAAATTGCAGACAATACTATTTTTAGCGCACATTCGCCCACCTCAATATCGCCGAGTGTCATTCCATGCTCAGTGATGACGCTCAATTCATTCTTCAGCTCTCTCAAATCGCTCATTGCCATATCATCCGATGGCGGCCGATTAATCGACGGCCTCATCGCTTGGGAGGCCACCGTCGAATACGGATATTCGCCTTTGCTATCCAAAAATGGATAGCCATTCAATTCAATGTGCGCTTCATAGATTCCCTTCAAAACGAAAATTCCATTAAGAGAGGCATTGGAGATGCGAATTCACCAACCATTTTACTAATTCCATCGCCAATCCATTTCGAGAACATCGTCGCCACCATCGTCGGCACAATGAACTCCAAACTGCCGGTGAGCTCGAACATGATGACCACCAGCGACACCGTCATTCTCGTGACGCCACCGAGCACCGCCGCCGCGCCAACCATCGCGTACAAGCCCGGCATGACGCAATCCTTGCCAACCTGACACGTGAAATAATCGGAATGGTCCGCTTGCGACTGGATCCTCTGGAACACCTCGCCAACGAGAATTCCGAGCATTCGCCCCGAAATCGCGCCCATTGCGATGGAAGGCACAAAAAGACCGCAAGGGACCTAAAAAAGAAGAAAATCTTAATTTTTATGCCTTTTTTGGTACCTTGATGCCAAACGTGAAGATGGTGATGACGAATTTGAACACCAACGCCCAAAGGAGTTGGCCGAACGCGGCGCCGATTCGATTCTGATCGCAGAGATCGTCGTCTTCCACATGATCCTCACAACGATCAAACAGCTGTTGGATCATGCTCGCCGCGCTTTTTTTCGTGAACGGATTGAAGTAGGCGATGGCGGCGGTGATGAACGTGATGATCATGACCTCATAGATCGGATTGCCGCCAAGCGATTTCGAGTTCTTCCGGAATTTCGACCATTTGATGTTGCCGAAAATGAACATACTTCCCAGAATGCCGCCGAACAGGCCGAGAATCGCGAACGGCACCAGCTCAATGAACGTCCATTTCATCATGTAATCGACGTGGAACAACGACGTCTGATTGCTTCCGAATGGGTTGACGAAACGCAATATGATGCCGGCGACGAGCGCGCAAAAAAACGATCTCCACATGGTTTTGAGCGGAAAATAATAGGAGGCCTCTTCGAGACTGAACAGAACGCCGCCGATCGGCGCGCCGAACGCGACGCTAACGCCGGCGGCCGCCGACGCCGACAGAATCTCGCGTTTTTTCGCCTCGTTCAATCCATATTTCGGGAATAGGTACGAGAAAATGTTGCCGATGCAGCACGCCAAATGGACCATCGGTCCCTCTTTTCCCAACGAGAGGCCTGAAGCGGATGAAAGGATCAATCCGACCGATTTGATGATGAACGTCCATTTGCCGAGATAGCCGCGAATGACGAAGCCGGAAAGGATGCACTTGATCTCGGGGATTCCCGAACCGCAAGCGTATGGCGCGAACACTTTGACGAGGAGGACGGCGAGCGTCGCCATGCCCACAGCCCAACCGATGTAGAACATCCATTCGAGAATGACGAACAGCAGACTGGCGCTGTTGTAGTAGTTCAGCATCCACGGCCATTTCGTCCACGCCTTACAATCGTCGTCTTTGTAGAACGTGTCGTTCGAGCTCCAACAGCAATGCTCTTTGTCGAGCCAGAATCGATCGGCGCACACGCCCGTCTTCAAATCGCTCATCCAACGCGCGCCGATGTCGATGATTCCGGCGGTGGCTCCCGACGCCAAACCGACGAATAGAACGCATATCCAGCCGGCTCCGGCGTCCCAACCCGATTGTAAAAGGCCCAATGGGAAGTCAACTCTGAAAATGTCCAAAAGAAAACGCTTAGCAATATATGATTTTTTTTGGATTTTACTTTTTTCTCGCGATCATCTTATGTCGTAATCGATCTCTCGCCAAATCGCGTTGCCAATCAATCGTATGAAAATCGCCATATTTGCTGAAAATTGGCGAATTCATCATATCGAATGCCGGCAATGCGTCGTCGTCGTCATTTTTATGGCGATCGAGAACCGCGCTGAATGGATTGAAATCGATCGATGAGCCTAAAACCCCATTAATTTTATGCGTTTTTCACATCGAAAATGCGAAGGGTACCTGTCGAGTCATGGTGTACAGTGGCAGCGTTGCTGCTGGCAAGTTCGACGTCATCCGTCGGCGGGTCCCGCCCGGAACGCCCACGATCCATTTCTATAATTAATTAATTAGGTTTGTTTTCAAAAAATCGTCATTTTAACGTTTGAAGAGCGGTTTATTCTAATGTAAACAAAGCATTTTAGAACTCATTTGGATTAAAATTAAAAACAAAAAACTCTAACCCTTTAAAATTCAAACTAATCTAATATAAATTTGGCGCGAAATTCAAATATCCATTAATTTTAACCAACAGCACGCATTAAAAATAATGGGCAATTTCGATTTCGCAACGAAGAAAAACAACAATAGCGAGCAGCAAAAATAGATTCCGAGAGTCGCTTAATGCGTCAGCGGTCGTTCACTGACGCGCTTTTAGTGTTGACACAAATCGCGTCGCTTGGCTTTCAAATTTCTTTTTGATTTATCTCCGCTTTTCGCGACTTTTTCCATTTTCTACGCGTTTTTCTTGCAGAAAATGTCAACCATCGAACAAGTTGAAGGAATCGCCAAAAAAGTTGATTATATCATTGCAAATGGCATGGACGATGTGGGTTTTTCAAAAAGTTAATTTTGCTAAAAAAAATTTTCAGGCGAGCGCTTGCCTCAAAATGCTCGAAACACTCTCCAAATTGCCAATTACTTTGGATATTATCACGGTATTTCACATGAATTTGCCTGAAATCCAATCATTTCTCAGAAAACCTCGATCGGCGTGAAGGTGAACAGTCTCCGCAAAAAAGTCAACGACGAGACCGTCGCCAAACGCGCCAAAAATCTCATCAAGGTACAATAATCGCTGATTTCAATGAGTTTTATCCAAAATCGCGTGAACAATTCGCAAATATCGCAATTTTAGGACTGGAAGACCCTTCTAAACGAGCCGACCGTCGCGAAAAAGGACGACGAAGCGCCGCCGCCAGCCAAAAAAGCGCGAAAAGAGGAAAAACCCGAAGAGCCAAAGGTAATTAATTAATTTAATCATTAATTCTGGTCATTTATAGAAGCCTGTGATGCCGGCGAAAATCGAATCGAAAAACTCGACAGATTCGAACGCTTCGAATTCGTCAAAACCGTCAGTGTTGGCGAATTTCGCCAGCGCCACCTTCCCGCCAAAGCATCTAGAAGGCGATGAGGTAAAACTAGGCGTAATTGAGAAGTGAAAAACCGGTGGCAATTGTTCAGCTTCGCCTCAAAACCGCTCAATTGTTGCTGTCGGCGCTTCGGTCCGGCGAAATGCCGCAAGGAACACTCGATCCCGAAGAGCTGGCCGTTCAGATCGAGGACAAACTCTATTCGGTGCATCGCGGCACAAATCAAAAGTACTCGGTGGCGGTGCGCAGTCGCGTCTACAATTTGCGCGACAAAAAGAATCTCGCGCTTCGCGAGAACGTGCTCACCGGCGTTGTGAAGCCGGAAAAATTTGCGGTGATGACCGCCGAAGAGATGGCGTCGCCGGAGATTCGCGAGATGCGCGACAAATTTACGAAAGAGGCGATATTGGAGCATCAAGTCTCGGTTCAGCAAGGCAAGACTATTATTATTTTTTTTGTGTTGCCAAAATTTTACATCTACTTCTTTAGGCACCCCATCGGACATGTTCAAATGCGGAAAATGCGGCAAAAAGAATTGCACGTATACACAATTGCAGACGCGCTCATCCGACGAGCCGATGACGACGTTCGTCTTTTGTCTCGAATGTGGCAATCGCTGGAAGTTCTGCTAGAATTCGCAGCGTCTGGTTTGATTAATACTTCTTTCTCTCTTTTTTTTTGTTGTTATTCCGCCACAAAGTTTGTACATTTAATAATTCAAATAATCCCAGTTTCTTCATTTCGTTTTTCGTCTCCACCCATTGTTTTTATATATACATATTATGATATTTATTAATTATTCTTATTATCATCGCTCCTGCTCCGCCTGTTATATATATATATTATGAAATTATTGTTGATAATCTTGCCGTTTATCACAATTCTGATTGGGGGTTAGATAAATTACGTGAAGAGCAAAACATTATGCGAGATCCTTGATCACCATGATTACATGATCCTTATCGGGAGCGATCATTATCTCGTTTTTCTTGGTACGCAATCTGAAATATTTATTTTTTTATTCTTTCTTTTGTGTCAAAAATCACCTTAAAAATGTCAAATCGTTGCTCGAATCGAGCTCGCGAATCGACGTCTTCGTTTTTTCGCACAATTGTTGAAGGAATGCCGTGTGGAGTTGAGTGGCGTCGTTGTCGATGGTGGTGTGAATCACGCGGCCTATAAGAAACATTTTGGAATTGAAAATTGCAATTTTGAATTTCCTCCTACAAAAATCAATTGGTTTTCTCATTTTTCAGCGAAAAATTCCAAAAAAATTTGCAAGAATTCTCGGAAATTGTCGCTAATCAATTTTTTCCAACAAAAATTTCAAAATTTTCTTTACAAAATTAGTTTTTGAGAAAAAATAATTTAAAAATCAATTTTTTACGGAAAATTTTCAAAAAAAAGCAAATTCATAGCAATTTCTCGAAAAATCAGCAAACTTTAAAAATTCAATAGGAAAAGCTGAAATCTCATTTTTGAAATTCCGAAAAAAATTAAAATTGGCTGAAATTTTTGTTTTCATGGGCGAAAAAAATGACTTTCAAAAATTCTACTCAATTTGTTTGAGAATTGCAAAAATGACTTAAAATTTTTTGAAAACCGTTCCGAAAAGCTGACATTGATTTTTTTTTGTTGGGGGAAACTAAAAATTAAAATTTTGTTTTAGTAAATTCTCTAAAAAAAAAATGGAAAATTTCACATTTATAATTAAAAAAACAGAATTTCAATATTTTCTTTAAAAATTGTCACCAACCAGCCGAATCGACAACAATAATTCCAGCAACTCCTTTTTCAGATTGAAGTCTTCGAATAGTCTCCTCAAAATCGGACATCGTCTGGAAAAAAATGAATAATAATAAAAACTAGGCCGGACGCAAAATAAAATTTGCTGGGAGGCAAACTTGCGAAAAGTGAGAGAGAGAGAATAAAAAAACTCAATTGGTCCGCTTCGGCACCCTGCAAATTTATTTTCGCGACCGCCTCGCCGTCGACGAGTAATTCAATCAAATCTACTAGTACGTCACAAAAACGAAATATATAATATATAAATAATAAAGAGTCAAAGGGGCGAAACTCTCGAAAAACGAATTAAAAAAAGCCGCAAAATATGTGAGAATCTTCATTGTCAAAAAAATCCGTATTAATTTGAGCATCATGGTACAAAATATAATTGTTATATTTTTTGGAAAAGCTCATTTTGAGCTTTTCTTCTTTTTCGGAGCATATTTCTCCTCGAGCGAGCTCAAAAAATCGTTATTGGCTTTCTCGCGCTTCGCCAGAATCATTGCCTTCAAATCGGTGACGCCCTGAAAATAGCAAATCGATTAATAATTTTTTTTTCTCGTTACCGTCGATTGTGTCATCTCTTTGAGAATCTTCTCCGCTTCTTTCGCTTCCTTCTCGGCGCGCTTCTTCCTCTTCGCTTCCTCTCTCGCCGACGACGTCTGATTATACCTCCTCGTCTTTTTCAGTGTTCCATCCGCAAAGCACTCGTCGAGAATCGTCTTGATTTGCTCAATATTCTCGAAGCCATACACAAATTCCATCATTTTGTTCAAATCGCCGTCGAATTGCCGATAATACTTGACAATATCATCCTTATGGTCCGCTGATCCGATATATTGATTGAGAAACTCATCGATTTCCTCTTTCGTCACTTTTTTAAATATTGATTTCCATCTGGTGTAGGATTCTTTAAAGGATTCGGCGTCAATGGTATCATCATCATCAACACATCCTAAAGAAAATTGTTTAAAATAAAAAATTGAAAAAAAAAAAACAAATACCTGTTTCATCATAGATTTTTCGCTTTTCAGCGTCGGCAAGAATCTCATAAGCCTTCTGAATCAGCTGAAACTTCACCGTATGCACATTTTTGGTTTCCTCGCTTTCATCCTTGAGTCTCGCCTTATCGGGATGCCATATCATCGATTGTCGATAGTACGCGGTTTTCACTGAAAACGATCGCAATTAATATCAAATAATTCGTTCCATCGATTATTTTTCTGTCGCACACTCTTTCTCTGTCGCTTCCTTTTTGGTGTGCAGCACTTCATACAAATTGCGTGTGTTGAAATTGGCGTCCAGTTCATCAAGAAGCATCTAGAAAATTGAATTATTGGGAAAGAGAGAAAAAAAAAACATAGAAACATGAAAATGCAAATATTTTTTGCCGCAAATCACCATAACAACAACAATTCGGAGAATTGCGGATGAAAAAAATTTATGAAATTTTAATCAAATTTGGAAATTTATAAAGCAATTATTCCTTACAAATCATTAAATTCCGCTTCAAGTCCTATTTTTATTCTAAAATTTCATTTTTAAAATTTTTTAGCTTGAAAAAAAGCTGCCAAGATGCAGAGAGCATGTCGAAATTCAAATTCACTGGCGTGTAATCGGTGCGCACAAAAAGCGTCAATGTTGAGTCGCTGGCGCAAAACGTGCCACAAATTTCAGATTTTTGCTCTGTAATTCCATTTTTCATATTTCGCAAAATGCCGAAAAATCGCATGCAAATTGTTTTCGTCTCGAAAAATCTAGTTTTTCTTTATTTTTTTGTGACCTAAGTACTAGGCGACCACGTTCGCATTGGCTGAGCTATCGGATCTCATCACCAATGACAATCTGAATATGACGATTCCAAAGCTTCTAAAACTATTAGATTCAACTTTTTTTTGAAAAATGAATGCAACAATCATTTTATTATTAACTATAATTAATTATGCGATAAAACCATCATCATCTTCGATTCGTTTAAGGCCGTCTTTCAACGATTTGCGAATGATCTCGAAATTTCTCGCCACAATTTCGTTCGTCGCCCAATTCGCACCAAATTCACGTCGCGCGTTTTCCGCGAGAATCGTCATCCGTTGCCACGTGTCGATTTTCAGACGACGACGTTGAGCTTCCAAATCGTGATTTCTGGAAAAAAATAGTTGCCGAAATTTAACGCCCCTTTTTTCTGGCTTCGAAAACCTAAAAATTTACCATATCGGGTTATAAATCGAATTTTTACAAAAAGAAACGCGAAAACAAAATTTTTCATAAATTTTCTTCGAAAAAGAGCACGCAGGTTAAAGATCATACTCTTGGGTAGCCTGAGCTCGAAGCTTCTTCGCCAACTGCACAGCGTGCTCAATAACACTTCCAGGGAACGTCGAGAGCTCAACAACCTCGAATCCTGCAATCCTTTTTTTGATCTACCACTCAAAAATCCAAAATTTTCAGCACCAAAATAAGCGTCTTAAACTTTTTTCCAAAATTAGCGTCTTAAATTTCTTTTTCGTATACCGAATTCACGCTTTTCCGTGTCGTTTTTATTTCACAAACAGATTTCCATAAAAAAAATAAAAGCTTACCATATAAGGGTCCTCTATAAGGACCACGCATCAATTTGTGTTTGAACTTCGAATTCCCCTCGTCAGTTTCATCGTCGTCGCACGGCGGTTGGAAATGATAGCTGCAATTTGGGATACCGGTAGCAATATATAGATTTGTAATTAAAAAAATGAGCAATTAAGAATTGGGTAGCAAAAATTAGAAGCTTTGTCAAAAATGAATCAACCGGTATACTGTAGAGATAGTTAGAGCTGGATACTGTAGGAGCCGAATTTCATTCAACAAAAAAAAACAAACATACTAACTTCTCAATTGCGGATGAGTGTCCGGCCAACGTCGAGATGTCCAAAAAATGGGTGGCGAGCAGCGTGTAGCAGCCGATGGCGAGAATCTTCTCGCATATCGCATACGAGATGGCGATGCCTTCTTCGGTGCTGGTACCTGAAATGAAACAAGTCGAATCGAGCGCATCCTAGAACAATCTCGATAGGATCGCGCACACAAAAATTCAAATCTAGGGAAAATCCAAAAATGGCCCGCATTCTCAATTTTCGATATGATCCCCCTTGAAAAAAATAATGCTACTTTCAGTTAAATTAAATAAAAAAAAATCATACTTCTCGCCAATTCGTCCATGACGACGAGCGAGTGTCGATCAGCAAATTTGAGAATCGTCGAGGCGTCGCACATTTCCGACGCGAACGCCGATTTATTGCGCATCAGCTCATCATTGTGTCCCATTCGTGAGAAAATCCGCGTGAAAACTGCACATGGCTTTTAATATACATAAAAAAAATTCATTTTTCGAATACCGGGTAGAACGGCGAAATCGGCCGGTATGAACGCGCCCGTTTGCGCCATTATCGCCAATTGGGCGATCTGCTTCAAATACGTCGATTTGCCCGCCATATTCGGCCCGGTGATGATGCCGAATCGGCGATATCTCGTCAAACACTACAACTCAATTCGGAGCGCGTCTCGCGGCGACACCTTACCGTATCATTGGGCACCGTCGACAGCGGATCAGCCCAATCGAGCACCGGATGTCGTCCGTTGCTCACCGAGAACGATTCGCCGAATTGCGGGCGTACGGTATCGCGCGACACCGAATACGACGCCAAACTGCACAAAAAGTCGATTGTCGATAATGCGTCCATCGCATAGTAGAGAACCGGTAAAGTATGTTGAATCTGAGAACGAAAATGTGAAATTTTAAAAAAAATCAATGATCGGACAATTTCGATCAAATCCGACACGACGATGTCGCTGGCGAGAAAAATTTCGGCGGCAACTTGCGAAATTCGATCTGAAAAATTGCGATTTCGATGCGAAAAACGCCAACGAAAGCGTCTACCATTCGCTGAAATGATTTTTCGCGATGAAAACGTGACGGTTGAACGATTTCGCGTCACATCGAGGAACATCTGCAAATTAGAAAGACAATACCTATGTCGTCAGACGCAAATTTTACGCGAAAATTCAATTTTCTACCTTGGGAATGATCACATTTTGCGCATTTTTCGTCACCAGTGTATAATGGAAGCCTCTCGTCAGCGAATATGACAATCGAACGGAATTCTCCTCGAATTTCTCAAAAATCTCCTCTTCCGCTGCAATCGAATGAAATCAAGGCAAGATTGGAGAAAAATTGAGTTTTCTACCAAAAAAAATTTGAAAAACTCACAAATCGCTTCGACTTTCTCCAACAACTCTAAATAGGCCTTTCTCGCGACGTCCAAATTCACCGAGATGCCTTCGCGTATCGCAAAACACTTCGAATTCCTCAATGCCAACGAATTCTTTTTCGAGTCGATCGGTTGATCGCAAATCTTGTCCTCAATGATTCGCATCATTTCCTCGAATCGCTCGTCTTTCAAAAATTCGATTTTTGCTTTTAAAAGCGTCGATTTGACGTCGGCAGTTTCAAGCGCATCTCGAATCACATCGATGACTTTCAGCGTTTGGACCAACTTCACAATCTGAAACGGAAAAATTTTTTAATAGAGGAAAAAAAATGCAATTTTTCTCTTCGCAACAAATCGTGAAACCGTGGTGAAAAAGAAATGTCTCAGTCTCTCAAATTCACACACTCTTTCAAATATTGTCGGCGTTAAACGACTGAAGGGAGGCTGGACCTTCAAATTCGCGAAATTAGTGTAGATTTAAATTTTTCGCTGACTGGATATAAAATGCGCGTACACTATAATGCAATGTACGCAGTCTCGCGTACTTCTCGCTGCCTCGAGACGCATTGGCACATAGCCAATAATTTTTTTATTTCGCCAAATAGCTTGACTCCGACAATACCATTTCATCAGATTTAAAAATTCAAAGCGCACGACAATTGTTCAATAGAGCGCACTTGATTACAATATCGCAAAATGCGCCAGTGAACTCAACGCCAGCGCATTTTGGGATATTTGGGTGCGCAATTCTTTTTTCACAAAAAATTTGCACCAACCTGATTGATGTTGGATTCGGCGCCTCGAACTGTCCACGAGGCGCTCGTCTGAATGCACATCGCCAACACCTGGTCGAGCTCATGCGTTCGCGCGAGCAACTGTCGCAGTTTCTCCCTCAACTCCTCCATTTCGACGAGCTCCGCCACCGAATCCTGGCGACTTTCGATCGTCGCCAAATCCGACGACGGTTGTAGAACGTTCGCCCTCAAATATCTCGCGCCGTTTTGCTTTAAAAAAAACAACACAAATCGAAAATCGAGCGATGGGATTACGGTAGAGACAAGAGAAAAATGGGCGGAGCGGATATTACCGTAATCGTGTGATCGAGAATGTCGACGAGACAACGACGCTGTTTGATTCCGCGCTTTTTCTGAGCAGAAAAAAATGAATTGGGGATTTTTCGAGGAAAAACATGGACCAACCTGCTCAATCTCATCGCACACAATTTCCAAACTTTCCCATGAAGCGTAATCTGACAAAAGTTGTAATTTTTCGTTGAAATTTTGAGAAAAAAAAAACGGATATTTTTATTAAACCAATTCAAAAAATTCAAAAATCTGAATTTTGCCAAAAAATATTTTTCGTAGTTTTTTTTTGTTAGAAATGATTGTGAATTTTTGTTTTTTTTTACAAAAAAAAATCATTTTTAGTCGACATTTTTTTAGAGCTTAACTAAAAAAAAAAAAAGAAAAATATTATAATTTTCTCGTTTTCCCTGTATTTCAGCCAAAACCCACTAAAAACTGCGATTTCTATTTAAAAAAAAATTGGCCAACTCACCAATCATACACGTATTATTCAATAGGATCTCATGAATTCGCAGCGAGTTTCGTCGAAAGTACACAAATCGCGTTTCGGTGATGTATTTGATGAGCACCTCGAGCGCCGCCATCGTCAGCTTCTTCTCAAAAATTTTGTCGGACACTCGCGACACCTCGAAATTCATCAACGATCGCATCGTTCGCTCGCCTTTGTCGCTTTTGAAAAATTTCGCGTTGAGCGTTTGAAGAAGCGACGTCGGAAACGCCGACGTCAACGCTTCGCCGAGAAGCTTCGATTGGCCTTTTTCCTCGTTTCCAGCAGGAATCACGATCTAAAATCGAAATAATGCGAACAAAAATAATTCTTGAAGCCCATATCCCAAAATGCGCCCACAGTTGGAGCACTGACGCGTTTCTCGCCGCCGAAATGAGAAAATTATTGAAGTATATTTTCAAGCCACGGTCTTAGAAAAATAATGGTCCCCAGATAATTTCTACGAATTTTTTTTCAAAGCTGGGTCTCGCGGCGACAAATTCTGATTGTAGCAACATTTTTTCCTAAAAAAACCAATTTTCTAAAAAATCACGTGCCCGAAATCTGGATCTGCCAACCAGAAGCTTCGAAATTCTTCAACTAATAAATCAATTCCTTACATCAAACGCTTTGTACACATTGATCATCGATTTGAGTCTCGAATACTCCTTCGAATCGACAAACTCGCAAACGCGCACCTCCGGCTGCTTCAGATCGTGCATCGCAATTCCGAAATGTCCGTCGAGATTCCCGCGTCCAGGCATTATCACTAAACAATGGCCGCCAATTAATTTGCAATCGCCACCGTCATCCGCTACCCATAATCACATCGAGACTCTGCCTCGACGAATTGAAACTATTCGACGTCGAATTCGCATGCGCGCCTCCGATTCTCGTTATCGAATCCGCAAATCCGCAATTTAAAAACCTTAAAATTACCACGAAAAATTCTTAAAATTCACTTCAAAAACCAGTTATTCGCGCTGGCGATTCGACACGTCGCCTCCTATCGCTATACATCTGAACCACAACGCTAATTATATATTGACAAATTATGATAATCAAGTATTCAAATTTTGAGTTATCACTGAATATTCAAATTGCAAACCAATTTTCATAATAATTATTTTAAAATAATATATTATGGATATGGGGAGGAAGGAAGAGCAATTACGATAAAAAACAATTAATTAATTAACAATAAACAGAAAGGGTAAAAGCTTGAAACCACGGGATGCTAAAATAACAAGAAAAACAGTAAATCTAGATTTAGGCGGTCGACGATGGAGCATCAGCAGCCTGATCGGCCTTCTTCTCAATTCCTTCCTCTGGTCGCATGGCCGGGAAAAGAAGAACCTCCTGAAAATGAGAAAACATTAATTTTTTTCGTTAATTGTGAAAATCAAAAACCAAAACGAAAAATCTACAATACCTTAATATTATTGTTGTCGGTGAGGATCATCGTCAATCGATCAATTCCCATTCCCCATCCTCCAGTCGGCGGCAATCCATATTCAAGAGCGTTACAGAATGTCTCGTCAATCATTTGCGCTTCGTCGTCTCCCGCATCTTTGTCCTAAATCGTCATTCGGTAATTTCCAGGATAAAAATGCTTCTGCCCACCTTGGCCTGCTGCTCGAATCTTTGTCGTTGAGTGATCGGATCATTCAACTCGGTATAAGCATTGGCAATCTCGCGGGTCACCGCGAACAACTCGAATCGCTCCGTCAATCCCGGAATACTTCGATGCCATTTCGCCAGCGGGCTCATGATTTGCGGATGGCCGATGAGGAACGTCGGCGAGATGAATGTGCTCTCCAAAAACTCGCCGACGAGTTTGTCGAGCAGGCGAGCAGTCGTTCTCGGCTCCGGGCACTCCACATTCTTCTCGCGGCAGATTTTGTCAAAAGCAAGGCGAGCTTCTGAAAATGAATACATTCAATTTACGACACTACCATCTCTCTCTCACCTTCAGTGTGAAGAGTTGACGGCTCCGGAAGTTTGACTCCGAGCACCTCGGCAAGTCCATCATACATATGGACCCTTTTGAATGGCGGCGTGAAGTCGACCTCATAGCACGGCTCCGTATCGGGCCCGTTTGGATGGTACGGGATCTTATAACTTCCCTTGATCGACATAACCATGCTGCTAAGCAAATCCTCGGTGATTTGCATGATGTCCTCATAATCAGCATACGCCATGTAGAACTCGCACGTGGTAAACTCGGGATTGTGCGTCAAATCGATTCCCTCGTTTCGGAAAAGTCGCCCGACCTCGTAGACGCGATCGATTCCACCAACAACGAGCATCTGCAAACAAATCCCTTATACGGACATTTTTAGGGGCGACGAATCTCGAAACCTTATGATAAAGCTCCGGCGCGATTCTCAGGAACAAGTCCATGTCAAGATCGTTATGGTGGGTGATGAACGGCTTGGCGGTGGCGCCACCAGCAATCTGGTTCATGATCGGCGTCTCGACTTCAAGGAATCCCAAGTTGTCCAAATAGCGGCGCAAGAAGGTGATGATCTTGCTGCGGATCACAAAGTTGTTCTTCACCGATGGATTCAGAATCAAGTCGAGGTAGCGTTTGCGGAATCTGAACACAAACGAAAATAAGGAATGATTTTGAAAGAAACTCCAACCTCAGCTCCTTGTCCTTGATTCCGTAGTGAGAATGCGGAAGCATGTGGAGACATGGGGTGAGCTGGACGACCTCCTTCGGCAGCAGCGACAATTCTCCGGTTTTGGAGCGCGTTGGCTGACCGGTGAATCCGACGATGTCGCCGCGCTTGATGCGATCGTGCATTTCGACGAACTCAACAGATCCGGTATGGAATCGGGCATTCGCCATAATCTGAAACAAAATTTTCTTCAAAATGTCTTCGTTTTAAATCTCCAACTTGAACGCGGGTTCCCTCGCCATGAATATCATAGAAGACAAGTTTGCTTCCAGATTCTCTCTTCGAGTAAATTCTTCCTAAACATGCGACCAAAAAATAATTGCGTTTCTCGCGAAAAGCTTACCGGCGACGGAAACGACGTCGTTGGAAACCTCTTCATTCTTCAAATGCGAATATTTTTCGATGAAGTCCGTCAAAGAGATCGTCACATTGAATTTATGAGGGAATGGATTATCCCCGGCTTCTCGGCGCGATTCAATCATTCGAACCCTCATGTTGAAGTATTCCTGAGGATCGGATGGATCAGCTTCTTTGACGATCTTCTTTGAAGCACCACCACCAGCGGCGGCGGCATTTTCGGCAGCTTTCGCGGCCTCCTTCTCCTGCCGCTCCTTCTCTTTTTGAAGAAGCTTGGCCTGCCTCTTTTGCTCGCTGCAAAAAGATTTGCAAATTTTCCATTTTATTTTTCGCCTTTTCTTCCGCTATCTTGGTTTCTGCTGCCACTAACCGGGCCGAATTTTTGAATTGCGTTATCGCGCGCGACACGAAACGCTGTTGTTGGTGATGGACGGCCGCCAAACGAATGAGCGAACGAACCAGATTGCTCATTTTCGACTTACTTCTTACTCAGTTTCGGCGCCACGTCGCTCATTGGGAATTTTGGAATTCGTTTCGCTTTTTTTGCAATGGGCCAAGAATCGAGATTCGAAATCTGTAAATTTGTGAGTTAACGATAATTAATTACCCGCGGTTATCAAACGGGAAGTGATAAGATATGATATATTGTCGACAGATTGTCAATCAAAATAACAATTTTTACACAAAAAAAAATCGAAAATTCGAAGAAAAAAGAATAGCAAGACTGTAACAATAAAATGATGAAATTCGAGCAAAAAAAATTCGATACTTTAAATTTTTTCATCAACAATATTTGTTCTTTTCAATTTCACAAATTTTACGAGCAATTTAATTTTAGAAATAATACAAATCAAACAAAGTGTGCAAAAAATCTAGGCAAACCTCAAAATCTTTTCAAATTCCTAAAATTTCCATTTTCCCTAATTTCGACATTTTTTCGCAATTTTCAACAGATTTCAAATGTAATTTTCTGTTTCTAGGGTGACAAATATCTCAACATTTCAACTTTTCATGTAAAATCCCCAAAAAAAATCTCAAAAAACAGGAAAAATTCGCCAAAACCCTCATGAGGGGGCCTTTGTGGAGGCGAAGCCATCCAACGAAATTTCGATGTCATTCTCAACGGAGCGCGTTTGCAACGCGCGGCAATTCAAACAACAAACGCGCGTTTTATTTATCAGCAAAAGAAAAATCGAAAACAATAAGAAAAAGAAGAAGAAAATGAAGCTCAATGTTTAAAAATCAAAGGTACAAAGTAGAAATTTGTCAAGAAAATGAGAAAAAAATAACATATATATATATAACGGACCTGCCGTCAAATAAACGAAGAAAGGGCACAAGAAGTGAATGCCTAAATTCAAAAAAAAAATTTTCAAAAAGGAGAAAAAAAACCGGAAATTTTTAGCACACAAGAAACACCAGTGAATGCGAAAGGGTAAAAAAATATAATCAGAAAAAAATGCTTCTATCACAACACGAAGAGACGAAAAAAACATAGAAATCTTTTTGTATTTTCTTTTTGGGTGTAGGTTTTGGTAAAACTCGTAATTCATTGATAATTAGGGAGAGGGGATGGATAATTAGGCCAATTAAGTGAATTTCGGTATATCAAAAAAAAAAACATAATACATCTCTCTATAAATAGAGTTATATAAACAGGACGATGGTGACCCGGTCAAATCAGCTCAATTGCTTTTCACGCTAGCCTTCTGCGTCTGCTGCTGCTGCTGTTGTCTCTCATACTCGCCGTCGTCAGGCGTCTCCTCTTTCACAACGAGACTCTTCGCATCCTCTTCGCGCTTGATCTCCCTTTCAAACTTCGACGGACCTTCTTCGCCTTCAGCTTCTCCATCGTCTTCCTCTTCCTCATCATCGTCGTCATCGTGATTCGGCGGCTCGCCGTATTCGATCTCCCGTTCGACAGTCAACGAGCTGCCGCTTACGTCTTTGTACATTAGTGAGTTGAGCTGCAAAAAAAAATAATCGAAATTTTTAACTTAAAAAAATTGGCCAGAAATTTTCAAAAAAAAATCTAAAAGAATTTTTTTTGGCAAAAAACATTGAATTCACAAAAATTGGACAGAATCTACTTTTTTTTAATTAAACGATCTAAAAAAATGCTAAAAATTCAATTTTTCTCAAAACACTTACATCCTGCTCATGCTCATCATCGACAATCTGACTCGGCATCCCATCATCGTCGTGCTCCGGCGTGCCGTTCATTCGACTCGTCGACGCTCGCTGTTCCACCGACGACGACGGCGGAGGCGGCGGCGTGATCGGCCGAATCTGCTGATACGGTTGCGGCTCGTCGCTGTTCGGACCGATGCGCGATCGTCGACGCGCGTTCATAAAAAAGTTGGCGACCGTCGACAAATCGAGCCGCAAATGTTCGGCAATCGTCTGCTGCATCTCGCGCGAGGGCCGTTGAGTTTCTTTGAAGATCGCCTTCAATAACAATCAGATGACAATTGCGATTCTAAGCGGTCGGGGGTCAACACAAGAATGATCGATGGATCGCATCTTGTGACCGATACAAGATCATCCGAAAGATAACATTTCATTTTTCAACGTTTCAAAAATGCCCTAGATGATCAAAATAATGAGAAATTTCAAAAAAAAAAAAGTTTTTTTTTTTGCTGATTTTAAAAATTCCTCCCTCCCCCACGAAATACCACCAATAATCCACGGATCGGATCGCCTAACCGCCATCAGATTCCGATCTCTCGTGCAAAATCTCGATTCGAACCGGGTCACCGTGATAAACCGGTTCGTCACGGATCAGTTCTGTTTTTTTTTCTTGGCTTTTTAAAGTACCGGTGATCCAATCCAAGATCTAATCCATACCTGAAGTGTCCGCTTTTGTATATCAGTAAAAACGAGACGTGGCCGTTTCGACGACGGCGCATCCGGATCCGCCGACGATTTTCTGAAGAAGACGAAAAATTTGCAAAACAAAAAATAAGAATCAAATTTGACGATTTCGGTGCGAAATTCAAAAACTTTGGATTCTTACCGTTGCTGTCGAACATTCTGCGCTGGCGTCGGCGGCGACATTCCCGAAACTCGGCTCAATTCGTCAGTTTCTGAAAATTTCAATATCAAAATTGGCAAGTTTTTCAATATTTCTCTCCGCCATCATTTACCAGTTTTCATGTCGAGAATCGCCAATCTCGTCTCCAACGGCTGCCGCACCCAATTGTACATTCGTCGAAACGTCTCGCGTCCCGATTTCAATTTATTCCACGGCTTCGGATTTCGTAGAAGATCGGACAACGTTCCCTGACTCCTGAAATTCCGGAGATGATGACGTCGAAAAACGTGAAACAATCAATCAAAACTCAAACTCACCGACACAAAATTCTCTCGGCGAAAATCGCCTGCGGAATCGAGTGCTGTTTGAGCTCGAACGCGATCCGCTTACACAAATCCTTCGTATCAATATAAATATCATCGTCGATTTCGGCATTCAAAGGATCATTGCGGTCCTGCGTCGAATATATTCGACGCTGCGGCGCCGGCGGTGGCGGTGCCGCAGTTGGTGCCGGTGGAGCCGGAGCCGATTGGATCGGAGGCGTTGACGACGACGACGATGACGGCTGACCAGCGCCCAAGTCTAAAAAATCGAACAGATGAGGTCAAATTGGAGCATTTTGCACCAAAAAGAGGTGTTTTTTTTATTTGAAAAAACAAAATAAACTCACTTCGATTATAAATATGTTTAGCATGAAAATCGAGTTCGCTAACATCTCCATTTATATGTATATTATTCACAGAAGGTCCTGCAACGAAAAAAAATTAAATCATAATTTCTGGAAAAATTTCAGTTAATAAAAAAAATGCGTACTTTTACTATAAATGATTTTTTGTGCATAACTGATAGTGGTGGGATCATCTTCAACGTCATCTTGAAACTAAAAAAAATCGGCAAAAATTTTTGATTCTCAAAATTCTCAATGGACCAACCTCGACGGCATGCGGATCGCCGCCGATCAACGAGGCGATCATCGTGCTGGCGAGCTCGACGTTGCTAACCGTCGGCGGTGTGTCGGCCTGCGACATCCGCTCGAGCTCCTGCTGCTGGATCAGCAAATGGCCGGCACCATCCAAATCGACTTCTTCCTGAAAATTCGGCACACTGATTACCAATACTCATATTAGGCATTAATTGGGTCCTGCGACCCTATTTGAAAAGGGACCAGGTCAAAACAAAAACCATACCTTAATATATCCAGTCGTCGAAAAATCCACCGACGTCCTCGGCCTCTGATCAAGATGAAGCGGTGACAATAAACCAGCGGGGCTGTTCGAGAAGCTGCAATCAGACAAGAGGAATAAAATGCGGAATTCTCTTTTTTGGCTTAAAACGAAAATTTTCGGCGTCTAAGCAAAAATTTTTTTAAAAAAAAAGTACACACACAACGAAAAGCACTACGACAACAATATAGAAAACGAACTCGTTGGGCTTATCGATGAATTGATGCATTCCAGGGTAACTAAAAAAAGATGAGAGAAACGATTCCAATATTGTTAGGCAAAATCGACGAACAAAATACCACCCATCCGAAATATTTCAGTGGCTCACCTTGTCGAATCGTTTGGCGCGATGCTCATTGGCGCAAGCGCCGCCAAAATTGGCGCCGACGACGATGAGACGTTTATCGTCGACGCTCGCGGCGACGCCGACAAAATGCCGCCGGCGGTCGTCGTTGTCGGCGAGTCGACGTGTGTCGCCGCGCTGCCCGCCGAATGCGGCGTCGTCGGATGCGGACTGATCGTGTCGAGGAAGTTCTCCGGCAACTCCTCGAATCCGCCATTTCGCGCTGCAATTTTTAATTGAACTTTGTTTTCCCGAAATATTAATGTTTTTTTTTACTAAAAAAGTATGCTTTTACAACTCCGCATTGGAAAAAATGAGGAATCAAAAAAATTATTACTTTATTGCATAAATAGTTAGGTTCATATTTTTGGAGAAAAAAAATCAAGCCAATTAAAATTTGAATTCCCACGCCGAAAAAATGCTCGTTTTGCAATTAAATAATTAATGCTATGCAATTAAATAATTAAAAAAACAATCTACACAATTTAAATACTTACCGGTATTATTTATAAATGTGCTCGACGGATCGATTTGCAAATAATCGGCGGCGTTTTGCCTCCGCGGTTTTTCAGATCTACAATTTCATTTTTGTTTTTCCAAAAAAAAAAAACCAAATTCAAATTGCCCGCCTGTCTTACCCATTGGCGGTGGTTGTAGTGGTGGTGGTCGTCGACGACGCTTCCATTCTCGTTCATCAGCCAAAAATGATAAAATGGCGGTTGGCGAGCCGGCGCAACGTAATCGAATCGCTCTAAATATGGAAAAAATCGATAAAATAATGTCGAACACGCGAAGATGAGGAGGAATCGACGACGAAATGGTGGGGCGGCCGATCGATAAACAAAGCGTGCGAGCGTCGGCGTCTCTTGCATCGCGCGCACTCTCTCGCCGCTCGCCAGTGCGCATGATGTGGGTGTCCCGTCGCGAAATCGCTGCACACCGCCACTCGATTACGGTAGGTGCGCAAATTGTTGGCAAATTGCCAACACCCTCGAATTTCGCCGCGGTTTTTTCCGATTCTCGATTTCGCCTCGATTATGGCTTTTCAGCGGGGTTGCGGCGATGGTGACGTTGGAGACGAACGTCGCCGATTTGCCGGTCAACACGTTTCGCCAATTGGCGTCGAGTCTCAACAAAAACGATATATGGCTGAAATTGGTTGAGGATGGCTCGTGTCCGATGTTCGCGTTGAGGTATATAGCTGAACAACAAAAAAAGAGATTTTAAAAAATTCGAGATTTCTCAGGTAAATGAAAATCAATCGGATTCGACAAAAAATTAAATATAAATTAACCTGATTCGATTGAAAAATAATTCAAATTCGATTAAGAAAACGCTTAAATTTAAAATTTTGATTTTGATTCAAAAATCTTCGAAATCGATTGATTTATTTCTCATTTTTAATTTTAAATCGTATCCGATTGAAATTTTGGAATAATTCGAAACAGATTAATTTATATTTGATTTAGATTTAAAAAAAAAAATTATTTTCGAATCCGATTGATTTTCATTTACCTGAGAATTTTTTTCTAAAATTCCAGAAAAAAAGTAATAAATGTGGGAGCTTTTTGGCGAATTTATTTCGTTTTGTTTTGTCTGAAAATTTTTTTATCGGAAATTCCAAAAAAATTTATTTTTTTAAGCGCCGACGAAATTGACCGCTTATATCGATCGGATAATCCCGGCGAGTCGCTTATTCGAAGATGGGGCAATCGGGGACAAACGGTATGGAAGCATTTATTTAAAACAAAAAAATTTTTGAAAAAATCAATTTCCAGGTGAAAGACCTGCTGAGTCGCCTTCAACAGCTCGCCAAATGCTACGGCGACGATTTCGACACTCCCCAATTGGTGCTCAATCGGAAATTCAGTAAGTTTTCGTTGAATTTTGCAAAATTTCTCAAAAAAAAAACCCCCGAAATCTACATTTTCAAAATTGTGCAGAAGATCTGCGTTGGGGTCGCGACGAGCACGTGATGGTGGCGATCGACGACAATCTCCTACGACTCGAATGCAAGGCCGTCGGCTTCCCGACACCTCACATTCGTTGGTATTCGTCGAGTGACATGAGCAATCCGGTCGGCACCGGCAAAATTCTCGAATTGACACGGTACGACGGCATTGCATTTTCGAGCCAATTAACTAATTAAGACCAGTTAGGAAAATTGCAAAAGACCAATCAATTAATAAACATAATTAGTGGCTAATTGAAATATTGATGGATAGCTATTTTCATAATTATGTAGGCTAATTAACTAGACGATTAATATTTTAATTTTTCGATCTAATCGACTAATTAAGGTGCAAATGCTCATCGGAGCACGTTTACAAGTGTGTGGCGACGAACGAGGTGCCGGTCGGTTTCGCCTTCTCGGAATTTTATCGGAAGCCCGGCAAAATGTACACGAGCACACTGGAATCGCGCCTAATCGACGTCACCTCGTTTATAAGGGACGACGAATGTAAGTGTTGGGACCCCCCTTGAAAAAAGAAAGTAATGCGCCTTTGAATTCTAGTGTGCGAGAGTTGTCGAGCGCGCGAGCTCGACAAATTCATCAAAATCGTCGATGATAGCGATGATGAGGCGAAAAGTCGAATTCGCACGGGTATTCGACGTCGAATTGGTCTCGAAACATTTGTTTTTGTAAAGTTGAAGGAACATCGTCGGACCATTTGATTGCGTCGGACAAGGTCGCTTTGATCATCAGCAATTCATCGTATGAGTACCTACCGGAGCTCGTCACGCCTCATTGTGATGCTCAGATGCTCGCCGAAGCGCTTCAAGTAGGCAATTTTTGTATTGTTGTTTTTCGACCTGAAAAATCGCATTTTTTGAAGCAATCATTATGAAATTGCCTTTTTTCTTTTAAGAAAATGGACTATAAAACGGTGGCTTTGGCGGATTTGTCACTCGACGAAATGCGTTATTTTATTCGCGAATATCGCAAACTGCTCGGCGACGGAGTTTATGGTAGATTTCTTTTTTTGGTGGTTTTTAATACATTCGCAATGTTTAGCGGTGTTTTATTTTGTCGGGCACGGATTTGAGGTCAATGGGCAATGCCATTTATTGGGCGTTGACGCGCCGGAGGATGCGCACAAGCCGCAGCACGCTTTGAGTATGGATTGGGTGCTTTCCGTGTTTCGCGACATCGATCCGGCGCTCAATTTGCTGTTGCTAGACGTCTGCAGACGATTTATACCGTAAGAAAAACGGAAAAAAATCTGAAAAAAATTGAAAAAGAAGAAAAACAAAATAATTTTGTGGGTACGGTATGCAATGTGCAAACACGTTGCACATAATTTGAACTACCGTACCCCATATTTTTATTTTCATTTTCTAAACAATAGCATTTTTTGTGCAGTTTCGAATGTATTCCCGCATTTGTGCAATATTCGGAGCAATTCAAAAAATACCATCGCGCTCATCGCAATATGGTCTACGGGTACTCGACGAGCGGCGGTATCGGCGCCTATGAGGTTTGATTTTAGGCCAAAATTTTTGTCTTTAGAAAAATGCTATTTTTTCAAGATAAAAGGCGAGGTCAACGGGGTTTTCATGAAATATTTAAAGGAGCACGTGAAGCTTCAAATTCCAGTTATAGATATGCTAAATAAGGTGCTAAACGGTAGGGAATGTGTGTGTTTTTTTCTAGTTGAAAAAAATTCCAGATATCGCCAAAGACAAAAAAGTGTGCGATGTACAAATCCCCGAAATTCGGACCACGTTATCGCAACCGCGCAGTTTAGCGGACCCATTGAGATGCGATGGTCATACGATCTCCTATGATAATCATAGTATTCATTGGAGATTGATGCATGGTAATTAATGAAGGATAATTAGCCCTAATGAAAAAAACCAAATTTCAGAATTGCCGGATCCGGTCAACGTGAAATTCGACGATGAGCAGCTCTCGGTGACGATTTGGTTTCAATTTTGCGGCAATTTCACGAATAAGGTATTGTCGACCGCGTCGCGGCGCTCGACGGAGCACGTTTGCTCATTGTTGCAGGTTTATGTACTATCATCGGTTGAAGATCTTCGCGATTCTCACGGCGACGACGACAACTATGAAGTTAGCGCGAAAGCGCTCGAGCATCGCGCCTATTTGTCGTTTCAAGAGGTGCCTAGAAATTTTTCTGTGGCGCGAAATTCAAAAATAATTTTTTTTTCTGAAGGAGATCACCGCGTCGCCGGCCAAAGAATACGCCGATGATATGGAAGGCGTCTCGCTCTACTGGATCCTATCAGGATTGCAGCGGATCAAAGGCGGCGGCGAGTTGAGGTGTCACGTCGAGCTCAAGTCGATCAAACGAGCCGATCGCGAAGAGGAACTAGCGGAGGAAGTCGATGAAGACGAAGAGGATGAGGAGCAACTGCAACTAGTCGCCGAGAAATCCGTCGATATTGGTCATGTACTGATTACACGAATAAACTGCCTATAAGGTTGTCTGATTTCCATTTTTCGTCGCAAAAATTGGGCACATGATATCATTTATTCGACAATGAATGCTGGTTGATAAATAGCTAGCTCGTGGAATCCAAAAAAAAGAAAAGATAGTGTATGAGAGAGAAAAAAGAAAAGAAAAAAAAAACAAAAAATGGATAAATCTGCGCAGCAGCGAGCGATTAAGACCAATAACCAAGTATTATTCGTATTATTAATGAATTCAATGATGGAGAGGAGACAAAAAAAACAAACAACTCATCAGCACTAGAGGTATTCAACAAATTGCACACTAAACCTGCGAGAGGACACAAAAAAAGATAATTTGCCAAAAAATAAGGGTAAAACTGACGGATAAAACGGTGTAATTATGAACATGATTATTATTATTATTATTATTATTAATATTAATATTATATATATAAAAAGAAAAATAGACTACCAAAATTATAGACATCACAATTTTGGGCGAAATTTGCTAGAACAAAAAAATGGTGACCAGACGAGAAAAAAAAAATTTGGTTAAGCATCTTCTAGTGATTCTCTTCGTTTGAAGTATCATCGTCGTCGTCTTCTTCTTCGGCTTCATCGTCCTCATCGATCACGTTGCCGTCGTCGTCGTCGATTGTCGACAGCACGTGATTCTTGTAGGCATTCGAGAGGCCCGCTTGCCAAAACAACACCACTTGGCGATCCTAAAATTATTTTTTTTTGCGAAAAAAATTAATAATGCATTTTTTTTCGAGAAAATAGCAAATTTCAACCAATTTTTGATGAAAATCGGCAATTTTTGCAAAAATTCTCACTATTCTTGAAATTCTCGTTTTTTGCGCATTTCAATGAAGAAAATCAAAAATTTGGCAGCGTCTTTTCAAAATACAAAATTCCAGGACAGGAGACCAACAAAAATATTTTTTTCAAAAACGAATCGCAAAAAATTCTAAAATCTTCCAAAACTCCGCTTTTGGCATTTTATACCTCGAAAAATTCCAAAATTCTCATTTCTCTCAAAAAATGACCGTTTAAGACATTTTCGAGTTTCAAAAAATCGCAAAATTCCCTAAAATAGCCCATTTTTGGCGTTTCAGATCTCAAAAAAAAAATCGCAAAATTAATGAAAATCCCAAAAAACCAATATTGCGCTCATTTTTCGGGCTCCAAAAAACAATTCTCAAAAAAAAAAACTCACATCCATCGTGACACCATTGATCAACTTGAACGCGTCCGTCTGATTCGGCTGATTGCGCATCTGATAGCAAATTTTCGCTTTGCTCATCCACGTCTCGCGCGTCGTCCGCAGCGTCGTCTCGAGCACCGTGTCGTTGACGATCGGATCGAGCAGCAAATCGCGAAAGCGCTTCACTATCTGCGGCCGCTGACCGCGCTCGTCCTTCTCGGGCCGCCGACGAACGTCGATGATGCAGTCGCGCAACGAGATGTTCTCCATCGAACCGCGCGGTGTGATTCGAATGATCATCACGTCCGACACCTCGAGCGGCACGTCGATCTCCAATGGTCCGCCGATCAGATTGAATCGTGTACTGCAACACCCAACATTTTCATTTCGATGATTATCAAGGTCCGCTCCTTCCGGACACAACAAGTGGGGGTCTAGACATTTATTTATTTGTCTCGCCGATGAATGGCATTGTTCAAACAACTTCTCGAGATGAGTCTGTCGCCGATCGACACGATCGAAAGATCATAACGGAGCCTCTCCGGCTCTTCATTGATATTTAATATCTCGTCTGCATAACAATAGGATCACAACGGTCTAGACTACAGTATAGCCATTCCAAATAGAGAGAGAGAGAGCAAGCTTCAGACTTTTGAGAAAAAATCGAAATTTCTATATATCGAAAATTTCAACTACCTGGTTTTTCTTGGCAAAATTTTCAAGTTTTTAAACACTAATTTTTTAAATTGAAATTTGTGAGCAAATTTTTTGAAATTTCTTAAAATTGGTCCCATAAATTAAAAAAATTTTGCTCGAAAATGTTTTGTGAGGCTTCGAAAAAAATTTTCGTCGAAATTTCCATATTTAGAAATTATCAAAATATTTGCCCAATTTTCAGGCTTCTCGTCGACTAATATTGAAAAAAATAGTGATTTCGTCAAAATTTTTGGCTTCAAATCGAAATTTCTCGAAAATTTTTGGACTTCCAATAAAAAAACCAAAATTTCGTCAAAATTCTGAATTTTTTTCTTGAAAAAAAAAAACATAAATTCTCAAAAATCGCAATTTCTTCACATTTTTTTAAATTTAGGCCATAAATCCAAAAAAAAGTGGGAAATTTCAATTTTTAGGCATTTGTCAACTGAAAAAACCAAAATCAGCTCAAAATTTTGACAAAAAAAATGCAAAACCACAAATTCTCGCAATTTTCCACTGAAAAATCGCAATTTCGCAACATTCTCGAAATTCACCAATTTTTGCCCAAAAACTTTTCAAATTTTGCGCTTTTTTTCGCTCAAAATCCCCCAGTTCCTCTCAAGTTCCCCACCGCCGAGGGGAGCAAATTTCCGGTGAGCTCTCAATTGTCCAAATTTGGCGCGAAAACCAGAATGAATAGAAAAAGGGGAAGAAAAAATAATCGAATTGCCAACCTATATTCGGGCAAATAGTGCTCCTTGTAGGTGGCGAGTTTGAGGCAACCGATCGGCAACAAATTCGAGACGGCCAACAAAAATTGACGGCTCAATTGGCGCTCTTTCGCAATCGCGACAATCTGCAAATGACACAGTGACAACGACTGTTACCGTAATCCCAAAAACGAAATGATTACCTGACCACCGGTGACAATGTGTCGTATGAGCAAATCCAAATCCGAGCCCTCGTTGCTCGCCTCCAATTGCGAGGCAATCCATTTGAGATTCGCCAGCTGATTCATCGACACCTGAAATCACCACCTTCACTATGTCAATTGTCATTAAAGGCGCATACAGTATCCCCAATTTAAAATTGTGAAAAAAATGTAAAAATAATAACAATTTTAAACGCCACATGATAAAAATTGTACCTTGAAATCCCATTTCTCATAATCATGATAGACACGCGGCTCGGCGCCGTTCGTCCGTATCCGAACGCCGGTTTGGCGACAGCGAATCGTCGGCGAGGCGGTCATCGGCCGACTCGCCGCCGCCTCATCATAATCGATCGGCGATTCGCCGACGGCGACGTCGGCCCGCTCTTGCTGGCCGGCTTGTTGACGTCGTCGTCGCGACGCCGCCGCCGCCGTTCCCATTTCGGCAAGCGGCGAACGCCGACGTCGTCGCGAACACCTCTCGTGTCGCGTCGTCGACGAATTCGAGTTCGGCGATTTACAACAATATGAGTAATAGTACGAGTATTGGAAATAATATGGCATGTCCATTGCCGGCGACATGATGTTGATGATGATGATGACTAATCGAATAAATATGACAAAATTATGGAATTGTGATTGTTGAGACGAAGCCGAAGAAGAAGAAGAAGAAGAAAAAAACAAACAAACACCCAAATATAGTTGAGGGTGTGATGATGGCGATGGCGATGATGATGATGGTGGGGGGCTGAAGCTGAAGCGGGCGGCGAGCGGGCAGCAGCAGCAGCAGCACTAGAGTATCCGACACACACACGCGCGCGAGCGCTCTTGGGCGGGACCCCCCACCCGACGACGGGGCGTGGTCGCGACAAGAGAAAGAGAGAGAGAGAGAGAGCGCGAGCCGCGCAAACACCGTCAGAGACGCAGTGGAGGGCGAGCGGTGGTGGTGGTGGGCCGCGAGTGGCCACCACCGGTATTCAAAAAAAAAATAAAAAATAAATGCGAGGAAGGAGGCGAAAAAAAAAGAAAGAAAGGAAGAAAATCGCCAAATTTCGCAATTGCCTCGAAAAACCCGAAATGGTTGGAGCAAGAAAAAAAAAACGCTCAAAATAGACCGTCATAAAATCGGGGCGCGAAAAAAATGCGAACCAATAAAACAAGAAAAAAGCGTACCGCATACTGATTCGGATGGTGAAGCTCCAATTCAACAATCGCCGACTCATCGAGCTCCATGAGCACCTGAAATACAAACAGCGTTAGTCAACCCAAAAAAAATAATAAATTGCCCCCCGCCCCGCCGCATTTAATTACATATAATTAACATCGGGTCCGAATATTTTTTGAGGGGGGCAATCGAGGGAAAATCACAAAAGGAAATTCTCAGCAAAGGTTTCCACAAAGTAAAAAATCTTTTTTTTTTACAATATTTCATCTCCAAAAATTCTCGCTCCCCTCCAACCGATCATCGATTCTCACAAATTTGCGCACAAATTGTTCGACGTCCATAAAAGGCAGAAAATTGCCGGTCGGTTGGCGTGTAGTAATAGTCATTCAGCCTCCGCCAGTCAGCCACCACTAGTAGCAGTAGTAGTAGTAGTGGTAGTACACAACAACATCATTAAACCTCTCCCCTCGTCGTCGTCGTCGTCGTCGGTCGCGGCGAAGGCCGTAAAACGTCAAAAGTGCATCGTCAAATGGGGCCATAATTACCGTCAATAAATCGCCGACACAATTAGCGTGATTCGACGATGGTTCTGCTGAGATGCTTCTCCTCTCCTTCCGTGCAAAAATTGAATTCCCCCTTCTTCCCCACTTCTTCCTCAATCGCCTAATGAGCATTTTCACACCAACTCGTCGAATGTCCGCAGAAGCAGCAGCAGATGTTTGACAACCAGGAAGTGCAATTAAGAGGAGCCTCACGGCGACGATCAAATTTCCATTCAATCGGCACTCATCATCGATGAGGTCGAATCAGGATGGTTGAGAGTCCTTCGTCCCAAAAAGGATCCAAATGGTCCGTTTCAAGATCCTCGGATCAAATCCATCGTTGCCCCCTACTACTACAGTAATCCTTCTGAATCACTCGCAAAAACACAATACGCGATGAGAGATGGGAAAGTTGGCACCACAGGTGGACAGGTGTGTCGCCCATCTCTCTCTCTCTCTCTCTCTTCCACCAACACCAATTAGCCAAGTGGTGGTGATGATGGTGGTGATGATGGTGGTGATGATGGTGGTGCCGCGCTAATTGAGAGCCAAAAACAGGTGTGTCGTAATTTGACCAAAAAAAATTATATTGGCTGCTGGGTGAAGAGGAAAAAGACCGCGCGCGCGTGCAAACATCCAATCGATTGCGACTGGCGAAGGAGAAATAAATAAAAAAAAAAAAGAAAATAAGCCTAGGCAAAAGAACACCCTCAAACGCTCGTCGGCGCGTACCCTTTGAACAAAACCCTACCAACAACAACCAACCAACCAAGAGACCACCATAAATTTCATGATGTGTGGCATTCACCATCGTTTCTTTTTTTCCTTTTCGCCTTCCTCTCTTTTTCCTCCACATAAACAATTTTTTTTTTGAGGGGTGGGGGGGGGGGGTCCGAAAATCGTTCAAAACACAAAGAAAACCCCGAAAAACCCAAATTTTGCAAGCAAAATTTCGACGAGTTTCAATCAAATTTTAAAAATTCGAAAAACAAAAAAATCAATTGCCACCTACCATCATGTCCTGCGTCGGTTTTCCCTCCATCACCTGATCTCTGCAAGTCAGCGTCGGCGATCTCAAAGCCCACATCAATTGCCTGCAAGTTAGAAATGAAAATAAAAATTAGTTCGGGTAGGTCCCGCAGAGAAAAAACTACGGTAGATCAAAAAGCAGTATTTTTCGAATAGCCCCGTTCTAATGGATTACTGTCAGTGTCTCTCAAAGCGACGGATTACTGTAGGAGGTCTCATACCGTATCCACCTTCTCTAATTACAGTATGCACCTTCAACTATTCCCCCACCCCCAATCTTCTGGATTACTGTAGGACCGGAAAAAAACACAATCCTCAAAATTTGGCGAGTATTACGGTAGGTCTCAATTTCTGTTATTGTTGACATTGCGTGTGAGCGGCTGGCTCACAATGTCATTTATTGGGGGCGCTCAAATAATAAATAATAATTTTAATGAAACGAGGTGCAAATTCTGCTCGCGCGCGTTTCCCCCCGCACTTCCTCTCCTCTCCTCTCGCCCCACAGCCCCAACAACAACAACAACAACAACAAATCCAATAAACACCTCTGACGAACACACAATGGTGGGGGCATTAATGTGTGGCGGCCAGGCCGGCCGGGCGGGCCGGGCAGACGGGGTGAAGGTCGCCCTCAATTTTCGCAAGCCCTATTAGGAAACGATGGTTCTCCGTGAAAGATGAATGAACACATAAACAGAAAGAAAAAAATATTTTGTGTGTATGAACGAACGATAGAGAACGGGTCTACCGGTTTTCCGGAACGCGAGTTTCTCGTTTTCTCCATCAGGACCCCCCCAAACAAATTTTTTTCCAACAAAAATTTTTTATCCAAAAACCGAAATGTGCACATTTTCGAGCAGAAAAATGTCAAAAACATTCTCAAATCATGTCAGTTTGAAGGCGAAATTTCACATTGTAAAAAAATTTTAATTTTTAGGAAATTTTAGTCAGAAAATTGTCAATTTTTGAACAGTTCGGCTCAAGAAAATTATAATTCCCATTTTTGGGCAATTTTTGTCAAGAAAATTCCAAATTTTTTGAAAAATTCCTCAATTTTTGTTATTTCAAGTCAGAAAATATGTTTTTTTGAGGAATTTTTAATCCAAAAAAATTTCATTTCCTCAATTCTTCCTCAGAAATTCAATATTTCAGCCAGCATAATTCTCTCTTCTCTTCCCCTAGCGCTTCCCCCCCCCCCAAAATTGGAACTACCATTATCATTTATTATTACACTAAAGTCTTGCAAACTGTGCATTATTGCGTCATTGCTTCTAATTGCGCGAATTATTAAAAAAATTGAACAATGTGCCAATTATCGTCATAGTGTACACAGAAAAATTAAAATTGTGCATTTTTGCGTCTCGGTGTACCTCCACCTCCTTTAAAATCGTGAAATAAAAAAAAAATAACATTTCAGGGTACCGATAGTTCTTAAAACAAAATTGTGCATTTTCGCGTCACGGTGTACCTAAAGCGTCTTATAAATCGTAAAAAAAAATTTGGTAAAATTAATTCTCAGTACGCAAAAACCTCAAAATTGTGCATTTTTGCATCTCAGTGTACCTTCACCATCTTTAAAATCGTGAAATTAAGAAAACTTAAATCTAAGTATGCCAAGTGTCTAAAAATATGACAAATGTGCATTTTCGCGTCACGGTGTACCTCCGCCCTCTTTAAAGCAGCGAATCGACGCCAAATTATATCGTAGTGTTCAAAAACCTCGAAATTGTGCATTTTTGCGTCTCAATGAACTATGTCTTAAAAAATCAATATGTGCATAATTGCGACAAGCAATATATTCCAACATTTCGAAATTGTGCATTTTCGCGTCACGGTGTACCTACACCACCCTTTAAACGCTCGAACCAATTTCACGAAGAAAAATCGCCATTTTCTGCATATGCATAAATAATAGTGGTGGTAGATCAAGTTTTCCTATGCAAATTGAGGTTTACGATCGCGGGCCGCGTATCGTCTTAAAAAAAGGTCACACACACCGCCTCTGGATTACTGTAGCCGATCGATGACCAATTTTTATGAGATTCACAATATCGATACGAGTAGATCAAGACTTGCTGCTGTCGATTTCTAGAAGAGGGGTCACGTCTTGACCACAACTCAAAAGGGACCCTTGAAAGACAACCTTCAAAACCCTCCGACATTCGGCTTATTAACATTGGGGGGAGGGGGGGAGGGGGGACCATCAAAAAGAAAAGCCAACAAAACAGATGTGACGAACGTCGACCTCATCGCGGTTGCGTGTGAACGGCAAACACCGAAACCTCCAACACAGCTGCCCAGCCCCCCTCCCAACGATTGATCATTGATCATCGGACCACGGGGAGATAGAATTCAATGGTCCCACCTTATATAGCTAATGGATGAATCCAATTACATTAGGTGCTTTTAATCTAATTGAAGAATTCGCGAGTGAGCACAACAGGAATCAACTCTCCCCCCGGGGGGAGGGGGGGGGGTCTAAATGTAAATTTATGGTCCGTACAAAAATCCGAAAATTGTATCCATTCTTTTTAATCGGCTACAATCAATGTCGTGGTGTAGATCAAATAAAAACAAATAAATAATTAAAAATGTTGCAAACCATTATTTGTGCGGCTTATTTGAACACCTTTCGAGTTGTATGTAGTTTTGATGGTTTTTGATCGGCTCGACTCTCATCTCTGAATCCGACGGCTATTCGGATGAACGAATCGTCGACGATCGCCAGCAGAACAACGCCAAATGCCAGAAAAGAAGACGAAAGGCGCATGGCGCGTGAATCGGCGTCCCATCACGATGGATCCTCGTAGATCGACACCCCGTATGGAATGGTCTCATCGCGAGATTGACGCCGAGGATGCACGATTTGGTCTCGTTAATCGGCAAGTCAATGCCACCAGAGGGTCTCGCAACGACGAGGGAGCCCCCCGTAAATCGACAACATCCAGAGGGTCTCGCAACGACCTCTGCTACACCAGAAGAAGAGATTCCGTAAATCGACACCAATGTGATTAAAGGCGCTCCAGAGGGTCTCGCAACGATCTCTATCCGTAAATCGACACCAATGTGCTTAAAGGCGCTCCAGAGGGTCTCGCAACTATCTCTATCCGTAAATCGACACCAATTTGATTAAAGACGCTCCAGAGGATCTCGCAACGATCTTCTCAGCCCCACCGGAAGAATCGAATCGCATCGCTCTCAAATGTGCGTCCGCTCGGCGGCGTCGGCCGACGAAGCAATTCGTAAAGCTCATAAAGACAACGTCTTTCATATTTCGTCTTTCTTTCGCTATCGGCACGACAGAAAAGAAGCGAAGAGGAGTGAGAAGAAACGACAAGAACATCGTTCGGACCACAATTAACATGAAAAATTCAAACATCTCGCGACGACGAGGGTGGTCCGTTCGTTCGGTTGGGACCATCAACAAAACAGAAAAAAAGAAGAAGAAGACGAGGAGAATAGGGAAAAGGGGGGAGGTTGGCTAAAAGTGCACACGGCCTTTGTTCACACACACACATTGACGGAATTAACAATGAGACATTCTTTCCGAGAAGAAGGGACCATCAAAATTTTGAAAATGGGACCATTCTCGACAGAAATCAACTAGCAAAATTTCAATTTCTTGCTTTTGGAAAAATCAAAATCGGTGCGACAAAAGAAAAAAAACACCCTCTCATCGATCCATCTAATCCATTGATCTCACTAAAGCAAAAAAAAAAAAAGAAGCCGCCGATTCCGGCCGACGATGGTTTTCACAAGTGTCCTCCTCCGCTCTCAAGTGCCCAATTTTTCTGCATCGGTGGTCGTTCGACGCCTTATTCGACGCAGAAAACAAATTACAATATCGATTCAATAGGCCGACGCGCCTTCATATGTTCGCCGAACTACACCAAAACGAGGGGCTGGAGAGGAAAGAAGGAAGAGGGGGGGGGGTCCAATTATGGCCAGAAAGTGGCCACGCCATCAAACACTTCGAAATGACATGGATACGAAAACAATACCATATTTGGAAACGAACACTGAGAAACGGATTTCAGCTCTGTGGCCAGAAAGTGGCCAGACTCTTTGAATCGATTTTTGCGCCAAAAATCACGCTGTGGCCAGAAAGTGGCCAGACCGTCAAAACGCTGCAAAATGACATAATCTAGATGGATGAGCGCACATTTCAACAAAACACGCCGAGAAAACGCGTTTGAGTAATGTTGTGGCCAGAAAGTGGCCACACACCATTCAAAACACAAAAAAAAAAACAATTCCTTTTTCAAATTCCGCCGCCTCGTCGAAAATGCGAAAAAAAATAAAAATCGAGGAAGGCCAGTCCGATAAAAATCGTTTTTTTTAATTAAAGGCACATTTGCCCCATATTATGGTCAAAATTGATTGCTCCAATGAAAAATGTCGGCAAGATTCTTTAATTTTCAAAATTCGTTGTGGCCACAAAGTGGCCGGCGTCTGGAGCGTCGAAAAAAAGATAAAACAAAACGCAATACATATGAGGGACCATTCGAAAAATGATACGACGGACGAACAATTGTCAAAATCAATAAATTAAAAAAAAATTTGCTCAAAAATCAATTTTCTTTGTCAACTTTTTCGAAAAACGAAGAGGAAAAAAAAATTGTTTGCGCAACACACACCGACCGTCTCGAATTTCGCGGCTGCTCGCTGTTCGATCGATTCTCAGAAGAAACGACGAGGGAAGAAGATGAAAATTAGTCGAAAAATTCAAAAAATTTCAAAATTCCCCATTTTTTTTCACATTTTGAAATTTTTGAAATCAAAATTTGTTTTTTCCATTTTCGTTGCAAAAAAAGCGACATTTCGATTTTTTCTATTAAAAAAAAACGCTAAACGCGTAATTTTGTTCAAAACTCATCGAAATTCGCCATTTTGCTCAATTTGTGTACTAAGAAACTCAAATTTTATGAGAAATTTCGAAAAAATCTCAAAAATTGCGCGAAAAGCCACAAAAATGCACAGAAAAATTGACAAATTGAGCTTATTTCCAATTTTGATCAAAAATTCAATTTTTCGCTTAAAAAATTCCAATTTTCACCAATTTCTATCCAAAAATCAATTCTTGCCCAAAAAATCGCACAAAATTGACAATTTGAAAACTAAAATGTCAAAAATATCAATTTTCAGCCAAAAAATCGATTTAAAATTCAAATTGTTGAGTTTTACTCAAAAAATTCAATTTCGCTCAATTTTCGCACTAAAAAATCATTAGTATGGGAAATTTTCAAAAAATTTTGTCTGGGATGAAAAAAAAAATCAAAAATCGCACTTTCTGTTCAATTCTCGTAAAAAATTGCCCAAAATCAACGAATTAAACCAAAAATTTCCAAAATGTCAATTTTTGTAGCCAAAAAATCCATCAAAATTCAAAAAAACCATGATTCTGGGAAAATTTCAAAAAAATTTTGGCTGTGGTGAAAAAAAAAATCAAAAAATCGCCATTCTCGTGTGGATAAATGTTCAATGTTCGGCCACAGCCAAATTTTTGGCGATCACTGATCAAGTAGGCCTAGACGATTATTTGCTTTTTGCTCTGTCGGTCAGCATCAGCATTCATTCATATATAAAAGCAAATATCCAAGGAGATGTGCACACGAGGAACGAAACGAGGTCGCCAGGGACCCTCGAAGAAACAAAACGCAAAAATTTGCACCACAAAAAATCGCCAATCACACCCTTCACAAAAAATCCTCGAAAAATGACAAAAAAATATTTTTCAAGCACATTTTCTTTTCGTGGCCTCAAAATTACCAATAAATCGATTTCCTTTTTCCACAAAATGGTCCCAACAAGAAAATAGGTTCCAGGACCCCCGCTCAAAAACGCTTACATTTTTTGGCGAAAAAACCAAATTGCAAAAATTTGCACCAAAAAATCGCCAAATTTGAGAAAACCCCAACCACACCTTTAAAAAATCCTCAAAAAATGATTTTAAAAAACTTTTCAAGCACATTATTTCTTGGCCTCAAAATTATCGATTTTTTTTCCCAATATGGTCCCAACAAGAAAAAAGGGTCCCAGGACCCCCTCCCCAAAAAAAATCGCAAATTCGTACCTATGAAGAATACTCCAAATGTCGCGACAGCTTGTAATCGTCGACAAATTTCGATCAGTATCGATTGCGATCTGGAAATCACCAAAAAAAATTGGAAATGACATTTGATGATGCAATTCTCAATTGGAAAATCGCAAAAAATTTCAAATTCAATTTGCAAAAAATCGATTTTCGACAAAAAATTGGAGAATTTTACAAAATCAAAAAAAAAATCGCGCGATTTCCATCAAAAATCAGCACTTTTGGCCAAGTTTTTTCTAAAAAAAAAATTAGAAAATTTTCAATTTCAAACCTGAAAAAAAAAGCTTTTTTTTTCCAGAAATCCGCAAATTTTTGAATTATTTTTTAGCTTTCTAATAAAAAATCAAAAATTCCCAAAATATCGACAGTTTTTTTTTTCCAATAAATTCCGAAAAAATGAAAATTGTTGAACGATTTTGAATTGTTTTCAAAAAATTTGCCAAATTTTCAGAGAAAATCCCAAATTTTTGGCAATGACAATTATGACAAATTCAATTTTAGACCAAAAAAAATGCCATAATTGATGAAAATTTTTCATGACTCGATTATTTAGGCTAAAACTGCCAAATTTTAGTCAAATTTTCTTCAAAAATCGCAAAATTTCAGTCAATTTTTCGCTAAAAATTCGAAAAACAAGGTCAACCTTCAATTTTTTCGAATAATGCAATTAAAAAAATTCCAAAATTCCGCCAATTTTTCGTAATTCGCCTAGCCAAGCAAAAACTGACAAATTTCAGTCAAATTTTCAATCAATTTCAACCAAAATTTTTGTCAATTTCAATAAAAATTCCCCAAATTTTCTTCTTCTTCTTCAAAAAAAAAAAAAAAAGAATCGCCCAAATCTGTTCGCTTCTCAAAATCGCCCACCTTCCTCTTGAACCATCTCGGCATTCGTCCGACCATACTCGCGTATTCGGGCCGCATGATTCCATCGTCGCCGTTCTGGTCAATCTCTTGAATTTCCCTCTCATACGTCGACGCCGCCAATGACTATACAGGAAAGGAAAATTAGAAAAAAAAATTATTATTATTATTATACATATTTGTCGTTTCAAAGCCGACTAGTCAAATATTCGCGCGCTTTGGCGGCCGCGTTGCGTATGCGTCGCGGTCGGGAAAAATGGAAATAAGAAATCGATTCTTTTGTGCTGTTTAAAAATTGAACTTGGATATTTTAGAATGATTTGAATGGCCGAAAGGACAAATTAGCTAATTGGGCAAATTGCCGACCAATTAATTATCAATTTACCTGCAATTTCGTCTTAATTGCGCCCAGCGAATTTTTGAAATAATAATAATTGTTGGTGAGAAATGTCAAATCGTTGCTGACGACAATCAATGAGAATAACCGCATGAAACCGCGCGCTTTCGCATCGGCCAATCTGCAAATTTTTTTTTTTTCAGATTTTCACACTAACAAATTGCCAGTTTTTTACTTTTTCAGATAATTTTTTGAAAAAAAAACTCTCTAAATCGACAGTTTTCAGTTTTTTTTTTTAAATTTTCACTTTAAAATTCAGAAAATCGACAATTTTTTCATTTTTTAGAATATTTTTTAAAGAGAACTCTCAAAAAATAGACAGATTTAATTTTTTTTTCAGAATATTTTTCGAAAAAAACTCTCAAAATCGACAGTATTCAGCTTTTTTTTTTTAAATTTTCACTTTAAAATTCAGAAAATCGACTTTTTTTTCATTTTTTAGAATATTTTTTTAAGAAAACTTTTAAAAAATTGACAGATTTAATTTTTTTTCAGAATTTTTTTTCGAAAAAACTCAAAAATCGACAGATTTCAGTTTTTTTTTTCACTTCAAAATTCAGAAAATCGATATTTTTTTCATTTTTCAGAATTTTTTTGTGACAAAAGTCCCAAATTCGACAATTTTTAGAAATTCTTTAATAAAACTTTCAAAAATCAACCATTTTTTACTTTTTTAGAACTTTTTAAAATAAAACTCTCAAAAATCGACAATTTTCAGATTTTCTGTTTTAAAACCCACAAAAAATCGTCACATTTCAGTTTCTTTTCAAATTTTCGCTTAAAAACTCTCAAATATCAGCAATTTTTTAGGATTTTTAGATTTTTTTTGATAAAACTTTCAGAAATCGACAAAAATCAATTTCGACATACCGAAACGTGTAGGAAAAACAGAATCCGTTGTCGGCGTCGCCAAACGTCACACAACCATCGGCTTCTTCGCCATTTCTAAAAAATTTAAAGGAAATAACCAAAAAAAATTCCAAAACTCACAATTCGAGCTCATTGACGTCAATCGATTGATTATGCTGGCCGTTTGGACTCGAAATGGTGATCGCCGACGATTTTTGCGCTATTCGCGACGACGCTGAAATTGTTTCAGTCAAATTCAATTTTTGGCAAAAAAATATTCAAAAAAAAAAACCTCGAATGTCGAAAAAATATGCGAAATTCTCAATTTTTTTCCAATTTATCACATCGGCCAAAAAAAAATGATAATTTCATTGCGGGTTGCGATTTTTCAAAGAAAAAAGAGTCAATTTTCCGATTTGAAGAACTTTAGGTTAAAAACTGCCAAAAAAGAGATAATTTTCAGGTTTTTAAAAATTTTTGCTGAAAAACTGCAAAAAATAGTTAATTTTTAGAATTTTTAGAAATTCTTTATCATTAAACTTACAAAAATCGAAAGTGTTCATATTTTTGAAAATTTTTGTTCAGAATCAGCCAAAAATCAACAATTTTCTGATTTTTGTCCATTTTTTGTTCAAAATCCGCCACAAATCGCAAATTTTCCGATTTTTAACAATTTTTGAATCAAAAACTGCTAAAAGTCGTCACTTTTCAGTTTTTTAACAACTTTTTGCTCAAAATCAGCAAAAAATCGACAATTTCTTATTTAAAATCAGCCAACAGCAACAATTTTAAGGTTTTTGACAATTCTTTGCTCAAAAACTGTCAAAAATGGATAATTTCAAGAATTTTGACAAATTCTTTATCATAAAACTTACAAAAATCGCAAATGTTCAGATTTTTGAAAACTTTTGGCTCAAAATTAGCCAAAAATCGACAATTTTTGTTCAAAATCAGCTAAAAATCAACAATTTTGCAGATTTCTGACAATTTTTGGTTCAAAAACTCTCATAAATCGACATTTTTCAAACTTTTTGTTCAACGCACACCCAAAAAATTTTCCAAAACTCTTCAAAAACCCATACCCGTCGCTTCGTTCAACGTCGTCTGATGGCGTTGCGACGGCGACGTCGGCAACGAGCTCGATTTTCGTGGTCCCGTCGAGATTTCGCAGCTAAGCGAGCGAAGGCACGCGTTTCGAACCCGCTCATAAACCCGTTCTTGAAGTGCTACCTGAAATTGGCGATGAAAAAATTTTTTGTCGCAATTTTCAAACAAAAAATTCAAATTCAAATTTCTCGGCTCTCAATTTTTTTGGGCTCTTTTTTTTGAGGCTCACCTCGGATGAAATATAACTCGTCTTATTTGGATGATCATTCGATAACAGACACGGACCATCACCGAATGAGGAACACGCATTGCACCTGCAAAATATTGTCCGAATAAGGGAGAAACACCAACAAAATTGATAATGAATTGTTGGAAATGACCAAAATTTTCAAAAAACTGCCAAAAAAAAATTCAAAGTTTCCACAAATTTTAAAATTTCAAAAAAAAAACTGTCGGAAAATTGTCGAAATTTCCAAAAAATTTCGGAGATAAAATTTTGACAAAAAAAAATTAAACATTTTCTACAAATTTCGCAAATTTCAAAAAACCTGCGCCAGAATTTCAAAAAATTGTCAAAAATGTTGCTAAAAACTGTCAAAAATTGAAAAAAAATTCTAAATTTTCCACAAATTTCAGCAAACTTCTAAAACACGCCAAAAATTGTCAAAAATTGTGAATGTTTTTTTTTTTTCGAATCTTAAAAATATGACAAAAACTGTCAAAAATTGTCAAAATTTTCTAGAAATATTCAGAAATGATAACATTTCCAGAAAATGCCAAAAAAAATTCAAAAATGTTTCCAAAAATTTCGAAAATTTCCAAAAAATCGCCAAAAACTTCTTAAAATTTGAAAAATTCCCAAAATTTGCCAAAAACATTTGAAAAATTTCCAAAAAATCGCCAAAAACTTCTTAAAATTTGAAAAATTCCCAAAATTTGCCAAAAAAATTTGAAAAATTTCCAAAAAATCGCCAAAAACTTCTTAAAATTTGAAAAATTCCCAAAAATTTGCCAAAAAAATTCAAAAAATTTCCAAAAAATCACCAAAAACACTCACCGATCTTCCGAATCTTCGGTGTTTCGAACACAATTGCCATAATGGGGGAATCCTAGATGATTCGTCGAATTGAGCAACATCGAACGGTCGCCTCGAAGCATTTCTTCATCGATTTCGAGCTGAAATCGCGCATTTTTCAACATTTTCGTTAAGAATTCTTGAAAATTCCTCCAAAACTCACTCGATCAACCGGTATGACGGGTCCTTGAGGGGCGGAGCTTGTCGACGGCGACATCGACGACGACGGACACGACAAAATATCGTCTGAAAACAAATTTCAGATTTTTGTTTCAGAAAATTATCAATTATTCAAAAATTTATGTCGAATTTATTTCCTTTTCGTAAAAAAAATCGAAAATTTTCAGAAAAATTGACAATTTTTCAAGCAATAAAAATGTTTTCGCTTAAAAATTCTGAAAAATCGACAATTTTTAGATTAAAGCTTTTTTTTTTTCTTAAAAACTCGCTAAAAATTGGTGAATTTTCGAATTTTTCGCGCAATAAATTTCACAAATTTCAAATTTTTATCAAAAAATTTCCAATTTTCGCCAGATTTTGCGCAAAAATTCGCCAATCTCTGGGATTTTTAGAATTTTTTTGGGTTGAAACTCTCAAAACTCGTCAATTTTTAAATTATTAAAAATATTTTTGATTAAAATTTCTCAAAAAATCGTCAATTTTTGGGATTTTCAGAATTTTTTGTGCAAAACTCTCAAAAATCATCAATTTTCAGATTTGTAAAAATATTTTTGCTTAAAATTTCTCAAAAATCGTCAATTTTTGATAAAAAAAAGAGCATTTGATAGTAAAAACAAGAAATACTCACCAACAGCATCGAAATCTCTCAACGGTTGACACGTCATGACGACTCGCGGACCATGATTCTCGCAAAAATGGCAGAGGGCGGCGACGGCGTGCATTTCTGAAAATCGACAATCAAAAATTTCGAGAAATTTCAAACATTTTTCAAAAAATTTATGCCAAAAACCAACAATTCTCAACAATTTTTGTTTCCATTGTCGAAACATTCAACAGTTTTTTTCGAGATTCCGCAAAAAATGAGATCAAATTTCGAAAGTTTAGATCAATTTTGACCAAATTTCGAGAAATTCTCCAATTTTTTCACTGAAAAATTCAAATTTTCGACGATTTTACAGCAAATTGAGGCGAAATTGCGATTTTCAAAACGAATTTCAACAATTTCCATTTTTTGGGCAAATTTAAATTCAAAACCTCATTTTTAAAGCAATTTCCGGAAAATCTCCAACGAAACTTCGAAAACTGTCAATTTTCAGCCGAATTTTATTCAAAAATCGCCATTTTCTCATCAAAATTTTCAAATTTTCAGATAAAATCCCAATTTTGGCAATTTTATGACAAATCCAATTTTAGAACAAAAAAAAATGCCATAATTGATGATAATTGTTCATGGTTCGTTTATTTTGGCTAAAACTGCCAAATTTCAGAAGGATTTTCTTCAAAAATCGCCATTTTCAGTCAATTCTCGTTAAAAAATTTCAAAATTCAGTCAAATTTTCTCAAAAAATCGGCAATTTTAATCAATTTTTCATGAAAAAATTGTCAAATTTCGTATAGTTTGGCGTGTAAATGAAAAGGCGCGAAAAAAAAATGGCCAATTATTACACACACACCCGTCGAGCGTGGGTCTCGCCACGAAATTTGATATGGCGAAACGCGGAAGAAGAGTAAAACTCAAAAATCGTCAACCATTCTTTTCTAATTTTTTTTCAGACGCCAATTTCTCGACGAAACCCACTTGCCTTTCTAAATGGTCCTTCTAAACAGAGAGACGTTCGATTCGCTTTCGGCAGACTCCCACAGCGACTAATTCTACTGGAGATCTGCAAGACGTCGGGTCAAAACAAACAAAAAAGGGCAACGAGCGAGATAGTAGGGAGACGCAGAGAAAAAGAGCGAGTGGAATATGGCAAAAAGTAGATCAAAAAAAAGGAAATCTGCAAGGGTTTTTTTTGGCGTGAAACCCATCAATCACACCTCCTCATGTTTGACACATTAATTGACGAAGGACCTTTCAAAACGTTCGCCGGTAGCACGAGCGGCCGAGAGAAGCCACATGTCGTGTTTCTCATCACAACCGGAAAAATGGGTGAGTCATGTTCAACCGGCGACTAACCGGATGCCGCTTCTTCTTCTTCTTCTTCTTCGTCTCACATAACGTTATCAACATGACATGATTGGTCCAAATTTGGTCCCGACGCGACGGGGGGGGGGGGTACGATAGCTTGAATTCAAGATGTTCTGAAAAATCAGACCTTGCATAACCGGGTAGATTTACGGGGTGCGTCTTTTCGATATGGTTTCACACCGACTAGCCGGTAGTTTTGAAATTTTCGGCAATTCTCAAATGGCCTAAAAATTTCAGGAAATCCGCAAATAAGGTTCAAAAAAACGAACAGAAATTACAACAAATGAGAATTTTCCAAAAAAAAAGGACAAAAACTGATTGAATTTTTTCAAAAACTAGCCAAAAATGTCTAAAAATCGTTGGAAAAAAAATCCCACAAAATTTGAAAAATCTCAAAAGCCAGCAAATTTTCAAAAAAAATTGTTGAAATTCGAAAATGATTAAAAAAAACGTCAAAAGAGCCAAAAATTGAACGAAATCATTCGAAAACCTGTAAAAAATACCGAAATTTTGCGAAAAAAAAAATGCAAATCGTCAAATTCATCAAAAAAAAAGTTGTAAAAATGTCAAATCTTTCCAAACTCCACGAAAACAAAATAAATAAAGGTGCCAGAATTTAAAGGGACATGAAATTCAAAAAAAAAAGAAAGACATAATGTGTTGAAAGAAGGCAACCAAAAAAAAACAAAGACGACTATTTTGCGATGCAAAAAAAAAACCATCTGGCACATTGCAACATTCAGGGCGCTTTTTTTGCTGTTGTTGTTGCAATTTTTGCACAAGGCACCGAGAGAGAGAGAGAGAGAGAGAGAGAGAGAGAGAGAGAGAGAGAGAGACGCGAACAGTGTGCTCGTCGTGATCGCGCAAATAAATCACCACTGCCTCCTCCCATCAGTATGATGACGCAAATCTTTGAGCAAACGAGAGCCCAGCCCTGGTACGTACGTACGTACGCACGTCAGTCAGTCAGCCCCTCAATGGTTATCACCAGCCGACATCGCGTCTGGAATTTTACAACCGATTCCAACAATCACACCATATTGGCCCCATTTCTTTTTGAGAGCAGAGGACACAAATTTCAGGCGCGGGTTACGGTGGCAGTAGTTCAAGACCCATAAGAGATCTGTTGTTTTGCCTGACGATGCGCGTCGCAAGACCCAAATACAGAATTCAAAAATACAACATTTTTGGTGCTTCGCATACGCTTTGTTTGATACGCAGCCAAATCGAATCAATAATCGAGCGGGTTATTATCATTATATTACGGTAGCACTAGTTCGAGAAATTGAAGCAATCCAATAATAAGAATAAGTGAGAATAAAATAAAATGGTCCCTAGACTACGGCAGCACTAGTTCAAGCGTTGTAGGACCCACATGCCAAAGAAGTGACGCTAGAATGAATTTGAGATAAGAAATTGAAGCAATCCAATAATAAGAATAAAATAAAACGGTCCCTAGACTACGGTAGCACTAGTTCAGGCGTTGTAGGACCCACATGCCAAAGAAGTGACGCTAGAATGAATTTGAGATAAGAAATTGAAGCAATCCAATAATAAGAATAAGTAGAACGAAATAAAATGGTCCCTAGACTACGGTAGCACTAGTACAGGCGTTGTAGGACCCACATGCCAAAGAAGTGACGCTAGAATGAATTTGAGATAAGAAATTGAAGCAATCCAATAATAAGAATAAAATAAAACGGTCCCTAGACTACGGTAGCACTAGTTCAGGCGTTGTAGGACCCACATGCCAAAGAAGTGACGCTAGAATGAATTTGAGATAAGAAATTGAAGCAATCCAATAATAAGAATAATTAGGACGAAATAAAATGGTCCCTAGATTACGGTAGCACTAGTTCAACACCACAAACACCACCAAAATGGAATCATGACGAAAAACAAAAAAAAAATGAAATCATCACTATTTGTTTTTCCGGTCGATAGGGCGGGGCCAATAAATAAATAAATAAATAAAAATTGCTGGCTGATGAGTCATCAATCAATTTGAATAAACGCTTTCATCGAGTATCAAAAAAAAAGAAGAAGAAACGATTAGCATCGAGAATTTTTTGTTCGGTGGAGCCGCGTTGAAAACTGACAAAATTGGCGAATTTTCGGGTATTATAAACGGTAGTCGAATTTGCATTTTTTTTCCCCCAAACGTTTCGTCGGCCACGTGGTTTTTTGCCGCCCAAAACGATACAATTCATGATATCAAATTGCAGTCGAGTGAGAGAAAAAAAATTGCATTCGGTTGAAAATGATTATTTTTTTTTCTTTTCTTTTTGTTGATTTCTCGAAAACGAAATGACGCCGAAAAAATGCGGAATATTTCGATTTTGATGTCACAAAAAAGCAATATTTTTTTTATTGTCGAAAATTCACCAAAAATTGAAAAAATTCGCAAACAACCTGCAAGAATTGACATAAATTCTCGAAAAACAAGAAAAATTTGTCAGATGTACGCAAAAAATCCGAAAATGTTTTAAAATCGCAAAGATTTCAAACAGTTTTCCAAAATAAATCTCAAAAAATCGGAAAAAATCCGAAAATGTTCAAAAATGGCAAAAAATTTCGACAGATTTTCGAAATAAATCTCAAAAAATCGGAAAATTTTTAAAAATTGTGAAAAATCGCAAAGATTTCGACAGATTTTCGAAATAAATCTCAAAAAATCGGAAAATTTTTAAAAATTGTGAAAAATCGCAAAGATTTCGACAGATTTTTGAAAGAAATCTCAAAAAATCGGAAAATTTTTAAAAATTGTGAAAAATCGCAAAAATTTCGACAGTTTTCCGAAATAAATCTCAAAAAATCGTAAAATGTCCAAAAATCGCCAAAATTTCGCCAGATTTACGCAAAAATTGCCAAATTCCACAAATTGAGATGGCAATTCTCGAAAAATTTAATAAATTCAACTCGATAAAAAAAAAATTAAAACCACACTTTTTCAATCGGGTGAGGGAGAATTTGAAGAAAAAAAAAAACAAATCAAGACGTTCAGCGATCAAAAATCGAATGGCCAAATTTTTCTGCGAATTTCCGGTTCGAAATAAAAAAAAATAATAAAAAATTGAAGAAAAAAGACGGCGGCGGCGGCGCCACTGAACAATGTGTCGCGTGTTGGTTTGTCTGCGTCTCCGCCGACCGACGCGCTCTCTCGCCGCTCGGTGCCAGGCCGATCCGAACCGCCCCGTGATCGCGGCTCCGTTTCGCGATCATCGCCGTCCGATCGGACCCCCCCACCTTCACGAGTCCCTTTAATGGTCCCTCCCTCCCCCCCTCTCACGTCATCCATGAGTCGCTTCTCACGTGCCCGCTCCAATGCTTTTTCTCCACGAGGTGCTGTTGGGTGTGTGTGCGCCGCAAAAGCGTCAACCCTCGATAACTGCTGACGCTTTTCGCGATTCTTCGAAAATTTTACGAATTTCTTGAATTTTCAACAAAAAAAATGGATTAATAATAAAAATTTTCATATTTTTTTTTCAAAATTTTTCCCTATTTTTTTTTGAAACAAATCTCAATGAGAAAGTCGCTATTTCCGGCCAAAAAATGAACAATTTGAAATTAATTGAAATTTTTCAAAAAAAAAAATATTGGATCAGGATAAAACCCGAGCAACAATCAAAAATCTGCCAATTATTGAGCAATTTTCAGATAAATATGCAAATTTCAAAGCAAAAAAAAGGTAAAACCCACAAAATCGTCGCTCATAAAACAAGCCGAAGCGGGCCCAAGACAATAAAAAACAGCATAAATAGTGAAAAAGTCGAATCCAAATGACATCATAAAACAAAATCAAATCAAAAATATTTGATTGAGTTCCAAAAATTCGATTGGAAACATGAAATAAATGACAATTCGCAAGGCAAAAAAAAAAGTGTGCGTGTGTGCAATTGTGCGTCGAGCGACGCGCACACTACCGTAATCAAATGCGCCGAAAATTTCCACAATTTATCGATTTTTCGCCAAAAACGCGAATTGCATCAAGTACAACGAGGAAAACAGCGTCGTAATCGCCAATGGCGGCAACACCAAATACGCCGTCATATTCATATTGATGCCAGTGAGTCGAGTGTTGAGCCAGGCGTGCGTCAGAATTTGTTCGGTGTCGACAAGCTCGTTGTGGAATTCGTCGCCGGCTTTGCTGAAGAACATCTTCCAGGCCAGGCTCTGCGAAAAGGAAATCAGACAAAAATAAAAGAAAGAAAAAGAATTGCCAACCTTGAAAATGCCGATCGAGTCGTTGGCGCAGCAAATCGTGCCCTCATAGATGCCGTCGTGCTCGAAATGTTGGCAATTCGTCGGCGGCGTCTCGCACAATTTCGGGAGTACGATGATCGAATCGCGAATTTTCAGCGGCGTCTGCAATCTCAGAAAAACGAAAATCAATCGGATTCGAGGAAAAATTAAATTTGAATTAATCTGATTCGAATGAGTTCAAATTCGTTTTTGAAAATTTGAGTTCGTCTCAAAAATTTTCTCAATCTCAATTTTGAAGTCGTATTCGATTGAAAAGTTTGGGAAAAAAATTCGAAACAGATTAATTTACATTCGATTTCGATTGAAAACGAAATTATTCTCGAATCCGACTGATTTTCATTTATAGTCGGGCGTCCGGCGGCGACTAATGTAGATTTACGCGCACGCGCCTTGAAAAGGTCTCGCCACGCACGAATGCTTATTTTGCAGTTTTCACTTCATTTTTCTTGATGAGTTTCGCATTTCTTCGAATTTCCAACGTTATTCAATTCAAAAATTATCGAACCAGTCCATAAAATTTGAAATAACCTATTTCGAAAAAAAAAAATTTTTTTTTAATTTCAGCTCACTCACCGAATCAAAGCACGACGCGTTCAGATAAAACGTAAGAGCGCCGTTTTTGAGAAAATTGATGGCCGGCCGAAAAACGACGCCGCATTTCTGCAACAAATCCGAATTCTGCAATTTTTTTCTTCTTTCAGACCCACCATTCGTGCTCCGCATTCCTTATAGACGATCGGAAAATTGTGATGGCGTTCGACTCTTGTCAGAAACGGGCACGCCTATAAATGGAGAGAAATAATTTGAAAAAAATCAATCAATAAATTGCTTACTGTCGAATTTGTGACGAGATTTGTGAAGAAATGGGCGTCGACAAAAAATGCCAACAAAAAATTGGCGAGCAAAATGTGAAATTGCATTTTTGGAATGAGTCATTTATAATAAAATATGTGTCGTCGCGTTGTTGCGCATTTTTTCGCCATTCTGCCGATGGTGGCTTCCTCGATGGTTCCCCTCGTGTTCCCCGGCGAATCGTTGAAGGCGATTCGCGGCGAGACGCGCCAATTCCTCGAGACGCACTTCTCGGCCGCCAATTATTTGCCGACGTGCCAATATGATGCGGTGTTGACGCCGATCTACTATTTTGCTGGCGATCGAGTCGCGCTTGAATGCAATATGTGCGATGTTGGCCTCGTTTTTAATGGGTAAGCTAGTTTGCATTTTTAGATTTCCACCAAAATTGGCGATTTTTTTTTTGAAAAAAAAAATCAACAATTTTAGCGAAAAAATGAGGATTTTTGGACAAAAATCAACAATTTTGATAGAAAATGGCAATAATTGACGATTTTGGAAGAAAAATCAACAATTTTTGACTAAATTTGGAAAAAAATGACAATTTTTGGAGAAAAATTAGCAATATTGGAAGAAAATGGCGAATAATTGGCGATTTTGGAAGGAAAATCGACAATTATTGACGAAATTAGGAAAAAATGACAATTTTTGGAGACAAATTACGATATTGGAAGGAAATTGCAAAAAATTGGCGATTTTTAGAGAAAAATCAACAATTTTGGCGAAAAAATGATGATTTTTGGACAAAAATCAACAAATTTGATAGAAAATGGCAAATAATTGACGATTTTGGAAGAAAAATCAACAATTTTTGACTAAATTTGGAAAAAATGACAATTTTTGGAGAAAAATTAGCAATATTGGAAGAAAATTGCAAAAAATTGGCGATTTTTGAGAAAAAATCAAAAATGTTTGGCGCAATTTCAAACAAATGACGATTTTTGGACCAAAATCAACAATTTTGATTCAATTAAAAAAAAAATGACGACTTTTTGATCAAAATCATCAGTTTTGGTAGAAATTGGCGATTTTTGGGAAAAACTCAACAAATTTGATAGAAAATTACAAAAAATTGGCGATTTTTTAAAGAAAAATAAAAAATTTTCGACAAAATTGATAAAAAATGATGCCCTTTTGACGAAAATCATCAATGAAAATAATTTTTTTTTGGAAATTTTCAATTTTTATCAAAAATTTCGCGAAAAATCTCATCAAAATCGATGAAAATTGCCAATTTTTGAGGCCAAAAAATTATTTTCCAAAAAAGAATGAAAAAAATGACGATTTTTTCTGTTGCAGTCGTCCAAAACGATGGGCTCGCGTCGAAAACGTGACCGAATTTCTCGCCAAATCGCATTTGTTGGGAACCGACGATGGTCCGTTGGTGGAGTTCGTCGCGAACGACGACGACGACGGCAACTCGACGACGAACCCGATTCGCCAATCGAATTTTTTCGACGCCAAAGGCCAACGAATCGCGCCGCACGTTTATCGACAAGATCGCGGGTTTTTATTCATCGAGCAGGTTTGAATTGAATTTCGGGAAGGAATGCGAATTTTAAAGGCGCATTGTCTATTGACAATTATTCGCGACGCGATTCGACGATTCTCAATGGCGATTCAGTTGAGCAAATTTAAAGGCGCATCCATTTCAAAGCCACTAGTGTTTGCGTCTCGCGGCGATTCTTGAAGGCAAAAAAAGAGTTGCGAATTTAAAGGCACATTATATAAAAGGGTCTCGACGCGATTATCTGTCTCTCTCATGTGAGTCTCAATCGCATCCACGATTCTTAAAGGCGCATTCATTATCCAAGAAAAAAAACGCAATCTCGAATTTTAAAGGGGGTCTCTCTCCGTCTATCTGACACGATTTTTGGCGAATTTAAAGGCGCATCACTCAGAAGGGATGTTCAATTTCTGGGCGGCCTCTCGTGTGGGGACTCAATTTTGAAACGACATCAAATTTCTTGAAAAATCGGCCGGAGTTCAAAAACTTAAAGGCGCGTCCATCTCAAAACTCGCGGTCTCGTCACGCCACAACCGTTTAAAGGCGCATCAAATTGCAGGCTCATCCGCTCGCCGGCGGCGTCTACTTCTGTTTCGACGATCAATCGCGCGCCTCGCAACGCCACTTCTACATCGTCATCGCGTTGGCGCCGCCCGTCGAATTCCAACAGGACAGCCTCTTGTCGGCGCGGAGTACACACACACCCATATCGTGTAGATCAAACCAATGACGAATTTCGTTTTTGTTTTAGGCGGCGGTTGTCAGACGTCGAAGCGCATCTATCCGAACTTCAATCTCGTCAACGAGCCGCTCGAGTACGGCGATCAGGCGGCGTGTTTTCGCGAGAACGGCTACGACGATTGGAGTTGCTACGATGTTTAAAGGCGCACACCAAAACAAAAAAGTGTGACCCACCATAATATTTAATTCTCTACAGCAAGACGAGATCGAGCCGATCGACGGTTGCGAGAATCCGGCGGCGTCGTGCAAGTGTGACAATCGTCATCAATGAAATGCTTCCGAATCTCGTTTAGGGTGCCAATTCGCGACGAGACCCTTCCGTTGGAGGTGAAGCTCTCCCTAACGCTCAAATGGTCCGAATGGTCCGAATGTCGGGACCACTATCAGTCGCGTGACGGTACGACCATCGCCACCGCACACAACCATCAGTAGTTGCAGGTCATTGCTATCTGAAATTGGACAAATCGATACCGCCAACGGCGGCGTTGAGCTCGAAATGGGCGTGGCTTCGCGAGTTGAACGATCTCGGCAATCATGTGGCGTTTCGCGACGGCGTTCCGCTGTTCAGCACGCTCGTCGCCCGCTGGATGTACGGCGTCGCGCGAATTCACAGTTGCGTCGACGCCGAATTGGGCGGCAAATTGGAAATGGTGAATTTGCGACATTCTTCTTTGAAATTCACACGCTTTCCCCCAGTTTGACACAATTTTTCGCACCGCAATTCTGCCGGCAATGAATCTTGAGAAGCATCCGAACAACGCGTTCAAATATTGCATGAGGTGAGCCCATTTTTGGCGCCAAACAATTTTCTTTTGTGCAGCAATGTTCAAATCATGGATTTGCCGACGCGAATCGGACGATATGTGATCCAAAAACGGCAATGTCAGGCGATGAATTGAAATAAAAAAAAAGAATAAAAATAAAGAAATTCTATTCAGTTAGTACGACACTCCAATTAACACACACGCCCTAAATTTAGTGCGTCGCGGTCGGGGTTGGTTTGAAATTTGAAATTTGCCTTTTTAGAAAAAATGTGACCGCCAGCTTCTGACCTAATTTTTTTCGAGGATTATAAAGCCTATTTAATCGCTGCCTGTTTTTTTAACACCATCAAAAAGAAATTGAGCTTATCAACAATGAATGAATAGAAGTGATTGAAACGCGTCATGGCCGAATAATTGGCGGCCGTGGGGCCTCACGGCTAGCGGACTCGCGGCGGATAGTTCGAAATTTGACTTAGGAAATATTCGATTTAAAAACCAGCAAAATTTTTGTTTTTTTTTGGAGAAATCTAGAATTCTTGCTGAAAACTGTTTAGAAAATTCTGAAAAAAAAATGAAGAAATCTTCCGTGGACGAGAAATGCGCTAGGGAAAAATGTGTTGACGCATTTCTTGTGCTCCAGCGCATTTATTGATTCGTTTGAAATTAATTCCAAATTTTTATTTTTACTTTATTATTGTCAGTTCGTGTAAACTCGGGAAAATAGCTAAATAAAAAAAACAATGTCAGTGGTCTTGGCGCTAAACTAAAGTGTAGATTTACGATCTAAAGGCGCATAACGCATTTTTGGAATTTTGCCAATTTTTCGGAGCCACAAAAAATTGGTTGTTAAGCGAAAAATCTAAATGACCCTAAAGAGGGCCGTTGGGATTCGTGTGTCGATTAGCCTGACTCGACCGAGTCAGTTGATCTTCTTCGCCACGTAGAGGCTCGGCACATGAAGGAGAGGCTCACCAGCATCAGGCCGAAACCTGATGTGGGTCATCGCCGATCCGACCATGGGGATCACCCAAGGACATCCCACAACTATCATCCGAGGATAATAGAAGTAGAAGTGGTTGGGCAAGCCACGTCTGGCTGGGCCCCGGGTCTACTGGTGATATGGTAATGTGGTTTTTGTGTTCTCAGCACAGCAGCTTACTACTAAGTAGTAGCAAGCCACTACAAAGTAGTAAGCTACTATGCCAAGAAGCACGGTCCATGTGCACCCGAAAGGCTGGACATATTGACATAGCTGGCCAATCCACGTCAATATAGGTCTGGGCCAGATGCCATCCTGACTAGTATGGAGGACACCCGGTGAAGCAAAGTTCTAAAGCATAACCATCCATAACGCCCACCAAGCACTCGAGAGTACTTGAAACGGGGACGTTTGGGTAGGGTTCGATTCCCGGCTACGGAATCAGGGCTGAAGGGCTTGCCAGGCCAATCACCCGAATTTAGGATACGACGGTTAAGCCGCCATCCAGCCAACGCCTCGGCACTACGATTATGAGGGACGGGAAGCCGAGGCGCTTGAGGAGTAGCCGACTACGGCTATGGGTGGTCGACTACGACCTGGGGAATGCCGACTACGGCGGGTTTGAGAGTTAGGGAGACTAGTGGTACTTAGAGACTTAGTCTTAGTCTTATTACGGGAAGTGTGCCGGTGAGTCGATTCACCGGCGAGATCCTTCCATTGGCGGCGGCGGCAGCGGCAGCGTCGATACCTAAACATACCTAAAGATACAAATTTTAAAAAAAGAAGGGGAAGCCAGTCATTAGTGGAATGACTGGCATAGCCGTAAGTGGTACGACTTTCCCCTGAAAGAAGAAAAATAAGAAGAGGATGGTCCCAAACGGTAGGACCGGAAAGTGAGGAGAATCCCAAGTGGTGGGATATAGAGAAGCCGCAAACGGTACGGCAGAGAGAAGGGACAGTCGCAAGTGGTACGACTGGTGGAAGGAAGAAGGAATGGGAAGCCGGCAAAGAAAAAAGAAGAGAGTGGTCCCAAACGGTAGGACCAGGAGGATGTACAGACGTAAGTGGTACGAATGTACGGAGAGGAGAGAGAATCCCAAGTGGTGGGATATAGAGGGGGACGAGTCGTAAGTGGTACGACTGGTAATAGGGAAAAAATAAAGAAAAAAAAAGTAAAAAAAAGGCCCGGGCCAAAAAAATACCAAATTCCCGACGCTTACCAAATTCCCGGGGCCCACATAGCTATCCGGTGGCACGGCGAGCCCGCAGGTTATGCGGGGCACACCGAGTCCGCTGGATATGCGGCTCGCTCGCAACTCGAGGAGCTGCGAGAACTGACCAAATTGCCCATCTCGCCGGCCTTTTATAGTGCCACTCGTGTCGGTTCAGAGCGTGCAATAGAGCGCGTTTGTCAAAATCGAACTATAAATTGACGCCGCGTGTCGCTAGATTCTCTTCGGATCGCACACTCTCTCACCTCGACGCCGTTTTCCCAATCGACGCCGTTGTATGCGATGGAGCGCACTTGCCGTATGCATCAAACAGTAGGTTGCGGAGATTCGCAAATTCTAACAAATCTCGATTTATTGGGAATCGTCATCAGCTTTTTTTGGTGAATTCAATTCTTCGGAATCAGTCAACCTCGGAATGGGGAACCGAAAAAGAAAAATTGGAAAAATTTTGAAGTTCAATCGGATACGAGAAGTTTCGAAAAATCTAATTCGTAGAATTTCCAGTCTCGCTGAAACACTGCAACGATTTTTAGAAAATCCGCGATTCTCATTTATCGTCGTCGGACGACTACAACGGTCGCGAAATATGTGCGCAATGTCGAGCCGAAGACGATTATATGGATCGATTGCGACGAAAAGCTGACGAGGAGAGGCGAAAATACGAGGAGATGATGAGAAGGGCGAAAATCTACGATCACGAGATGCACGAGAAGGAAGCCGCGTTCAAAAAGGTGAACTTTTTTTGGGAGATTGTTTTGATTTCTTTTATGTTTTCAAGGAAGAAGCTGAAAGAAATGCGGCGTTGACGTACCACCAAACGCTGGGTCCCAAAAAGTTCCGTGTGCTTCAGGAGAACCCGATGCGCAGCATCTCGGAAACGACTCTCGATGGTCCGACGACGAGACCATTTTAACGAACACTTTTAATAATTTAATTTTTCTCACATTTATAGAGCAATTGTTTTTTTTCCGATTAGCTTAAATTTTTTTTTCAATTTAAGACAAATTTTCTGAGGTTCTCGTGAATTGTTCAGATTTTCGAAAGGAAAGGGACCAAAAAGAAACTCGAAATGTTGATAATTTTGAAGATTGAAATAAGTTTTTTATTTGAAATTTATTAAAACTTTAATAAATTACAATTTCTTTCTCAATCTCATCGGGCTTTCGTCACTTCTCGTACCATAATTGGCAATGTTGTCGTTGTCGACGATCGCCACTGTTTCCTGGTGGTCGCATCGATGAATTCAATTCGTAATTTGATGTCGCAAGACTAAAATTAATTTATTAGAAAAAAAAAGTAGTATAGGCTGCTGAAAATTGAGCCAAAAAACTAACCTATAAAGGTATTTTGGTATTTTAGCAAATTTTCATTAAAAATGATTTTCCAATGGATTTTTTTCGAGAGCATAAAATGGATTTTCGAATCATTTTGAGCAGAGTGCCCGATTTTTTGCGATTACTCTGGCATCTCAAAATCAACCGGATCCCATTTCTTATTGCTCCTACGCGATTTGAATTGAAAAATTAAAACAAATCGGATTCGAAAAATCTAATCGGGGCTTTTTTGGAAAACGCACTGTAGCCACAATGGGCCTTGGCGCAAATCAATTTTTTCCAGATCAAATTGGGATTTGTGCTCTACTTCAACTATTTAATATCGAATTCTGCAATGATCGACCGCCGATTGGGCCATTTTCTATCGATCGAGCTCAATTCGGATATGGGCAGCAAAATCGGCATCCCAATCGGCTACATTTTCGGAAATATCGATCGGATGAAGCTGATATGGCGATATTTGAGGTTCAAACGCGAGACGAAAGTCAATTCGACGTACGCTACTGATCAAATTTCGTGATTTGACAAAAAATTCAAGTCAAGGTTCGTATAAATATTCTGAAATTCGTGCAAGTTGAGCACCGTTGCTAATTTTTGTCGAAAAAAATGAATAATTTGTTTCAATTTCAAAAGAAAATTGCCACTTTTCCAACAAAAAAGTCATTTTTTTCAAAAACTATGAAATTGCAACAACAATTTGTTTTTAAATCAAAAATTTTTTTATTCAATTCAAACGGTATCACCTATTATTCGCTGCTCGCCTTCAAAAAGTTCTCCTAATTAAATAATTGGCATTAATTAGCCTAATTGACTGTTGAAACCTGGGTTTTTTGCGTCGCGATCAGCTCCTCCTCTTGTTTGCGAATCCGCAAATCATGGAATTTGTGATGCGACGTCACCGCGTCGTCGTCGGTCTTCATCAGATTCGAGGCGCGCACCAAATACGCCGAGCCGGCGAACACCGCCACGTAGATCAGTTCGATGATGGCGAACCAATAATCGCTGATGCCCTCCTCATAATTAGCCGATAATTGGGACGAGTCTGTAATTGGGGCCAATCGGGTCCGAATTTTCGTTTATCGAAACCAAACCATTCATTTCAACAAATTTCTAGTACGAGAAATGAGGCGATCGTCACGTTGTTCTTTTTTTAAATCGAGATTTTGCCTTTCAGAAATTGTAGATCAAAACCAACGAGAGAAGAACACAAAAAAAATTGTTTATGTCAAAATCGGTGCAATGGAGCGCGTTTGTGGCCTCTCATCCGTTAGGCGTCTTCTCGTTCTTGGATTTTTCCATCGCGTACGGATCGGAACTCGGATCGCTGACGCGTCGAAGGACCATCCGAAAGTTGCCCAACAATTTTCGCCGATATGGTCCGATGTAGACGAATGAGCCGAGCGGCGACAGCACGGGTATCATGATGACCAAACTGAACGTGAGATAGTCCAATAGCGGGTTGTGGAGGAGGTCGAGTTGGCCGGCGACGTAGATCACCACCGGAATGAAATAGAATAGGGGCAGAATCGCCTGGTAGGTCAACGTCTGCAATCGAAAATACAATGGATTGCGGACGAAACGTCAGAAAATGGTGCCTACCGTAATCAGTGTCAAAAATTGCGGACTAAACGCTATTAAATAGTGCCTACCGTAATCAGTGTCAAAATTGCGGAATAAACGCTATAAAATGGTGCCTACCGTAATCAGTGTCAAAAATTGAGGACTAAACGCTTTAAAATGGTGCCTACCGTAACACCAATGTTCACACCCACCATGAGAAGCTGCGATTGCAATTTGCGCGAATTCGAGTTCTTCTGGACGCCTTTGAACGAGACTTGCTCAATGATTTTGCGTCGCAAATGCAGAATAATGCAATAGGCGGGCACAATCGGCAATGTGATGTGCAATATCGCGTACATTGTGGCGAAATTCAACACCGACAGCGTTCCGTAGACGCATTGATTCGTGAAATTGTAGTTCGGTAGACGCGCGACGAGAATCCGACGAACATCGCCGGCGTCGTCGTAGGCCAACGGGAAAATTAGCTGAAATTTTGTAGCAAAAAAGATGTCAGAAAAGCCAGCCTAATTATAAATGACTCTGCTACGACAAGCGCTGAGTGCCTGGACTTATATACCACCTATCTTTCGTGCTGCGGACAACAATCGAGGCCGCGCCCTTGTCTATACCCCCAACACACGGAATGTTCGTATTATCGCCAAAAAATTACCAATTGCACAAAAGACGGAATATAAACCATAATGATGACAGCGGCGAGGATTCGCCGTGACGGCGCGCGATGATTCAAAACGTAAAACCGATAGGAGAACGATAACAGCAGGGACCACATTAAATGCGTCAACGCGTGAATCAAAACGCCGTACCTGCAAAACAACACCAACAACATAAAATGAAAATCGTCGAAGGAATCGCCGACGGCGACCAACAACAAAAACCCTACCCGGCGAAACAATACCAAGTGCCAACGTGTCGGCATGGTCCCATCGACGTGAAGCCGAGTGTGACGCCGATCGGAATGATTCGCGGCTGCGTGAAAAAATCGGCGAGGCACGTGGAGAAGTCGAGAAGTGCAAAATTGATGACCAACAACGAGTAGGTCTTGATGATTTTCGGCGTATGGAATATCGCCAAATACGCCAACAGGGTGTTGAATCCGCACCCAACAAGCGACACAATCGAGTGACCAATCGAGAAGATCTCGTCGATTTGCATCACCGCCGAATGATTTCGCTCACATATTTTCGCAATATCGCCTACAATTTCTTATTTTTCGTGGCCAATTTGCGATTTTCGATTTCTTAAATGGCGGCAAACAAATAAGGAACGAATTTATGTTCAAAAAAATGCAAAAATTATTCTGATCCGTCTGATATATATAAATATGGAAACATGGAAAAATACAAGCAACTAACAAAAAATGATGATTATGGAACAATGAGTGAAAAGAATCAACAATCAAAAAAGTCAATATATCCGTGCATCAGTTTGCACTCGGTGTTTGCGTACCCCACCACCTACCGTAATGAAGAAAAAAATTGGAGAGGTGACAAAAAAGAAAAATAGCTACAAATCACAATAACCGATAAATCACGTTGAAAAAAAAACGATAAATGTTAGCATGGGGGAAAAATGAAAAACAAAATCCCGACGAAAAAAATAAACCCAATTTCTTTCAGCAAAATTCGGCAAATTTTCTCGATATGAATTTTCCAAACTACATATAGCATATACATAACGAGGTGAGCGGGACGAGCTCGCTCATAAAACGAGCCTCACAATACTATGATAGAGTCTCATCAAGTGCTGAACGTGAATCGGAAGACAACTGAACCGCTCGCCAGTGCTCTGATCAATATTGAGCCACGATAGCGCGTTGTAGGACTCGAGCACATGTCGGAGCACTTCTTCGGTGTGATGCGCTTCGAGCGGATGCACGTACTCCTTCTCTTTGGTGTTCGTTTCCATTGGAAGGTCGTCGCTCTGAAGAAAAAAAACCGAGTTTCTCAATTTGTTCCAGATTTCGGTCGACCGCGATGGCAAAAAAATACTTTCTCCGAAAAAAAATCGGAGAGGCCCAGAATCTTCAAATAACTCTCACCTTGACGTCAGTGATGTTAATATGCAGCGACGATCGCAAATGCACCGGAATACTTCGCTTCGCCGATGGACAACTCGCCCAAAACCAATCGGGCAACTCCGGCGCCGGCGACGTCGATATGTAGAATCCCGACGCGAGCGGCTGATTCTGATAATCAATGTTCGCGTACTCATCGGAAAAGAACGCCGCAATTCCCGTCGGCCGTTGCGACGAGCTCGTGCCCGTCTCGGTGAGTCCGATGTCTTTGACAATCTCCGAATCGCCGTCGTCAAGATCGCCCATAATATCCAAATTGCCAAACTCCCAATTCTCATCCGCCTTCTGATCAGCGCTCTGATCCTGATTCTCGTACTGCAAAATACATAGATCAATCGTTCAACGTTCAATTCTCTCTCTCTCTCTCTCTCTCTCTCTCTCTCTCTCTCTCTCTCTATCCCACTTACATTAATCTCAGCTCCAACCGGGAAGGTGATAATATGAGTACAAGATACATCATCGGGCGTCATCAGTTGTCGCGCCTTCTTATTTCTGAAGCAAAAAAACACACATCAAGTTGAAGACGTATAGAAAGGGGGCGTGGCTTACGCTTGAGCATCCGTCTCGAAAAAATCGGGAAACACTCTCAAATGCGGCTCGGGTTCGAGCGACACCAGACAAGCCGATAGGATCGACGGGGTTCCGACGATTCCGGGCATCTGGAAACGAAAACAAAAAACAAACGCGTGCAAAAATCGGCGAATCGCCCGAAACGCACCTGATTGCAAGCGCGACAAATGTCCTTCAATCGCGACGAGTACTTCAAAAGCGACGTCTTGTTGAGCAGATGCGCCCACGCGCGGAATTCGCCGTGTCCGATGCGTCCGACGCGCCCAATCACCAATCGCCAACTCTTCACGTCCGACGCCAACACGCCGAGAATGAACGACCATAGGCGTCCCATCGCGTGCAAAATTTGCGTTCGCTCACGATAACGGAACAAGCTGAAATCAGATGAAGCCAACGTCGCGCCATCAAAAAAAAAACAAACAAAAGATCACTCACTGATGCGGCTCGTGTTTCGCCTTCATGTTCACCACACAATTATCGATGAGCCTTCCTTGTCCGTCAGTCACCGTCGCCACGAGAAAATCGGCGCCAACGAGACAATAGGAGACAAACAGCACCTGCTCGTCGTTGTTCGCGATCACCACCTTGTCGGAATCGGTGGAATAGAGCGCCGGCGAGTTCGCCAAATACATCAAATTCGACGGCACTTTGAACGCGTAGCACGTGTTGACCGGCTGCGGCGGCATCATTCCCGGCATCATGATGTTGCCGCGAATGATGCCCTTGCCGCGAAGCGACATCATCTCGAATTGTTTCGCGTTGATCGCCTCGAACTCGTCGATCGTTCGCAGCAAATCGCTGCCCGGCCCGAATGCCGTCATACATCGCGGTTGGACAAGCTTATAAGCTTGCGGCAGAAACACCCTCGGATGTGTGTAGACTGCAATCGCCAGCGATTTTACCGTCTCATATAGCATCGAGCCCGGAATGCGTTCGCGTTCTTCAAACTTCACAACTGAAAATTCAACGATTCAGCCATCTTCATTAAAAAAATGCCGCTTACAATTGCTATTTCCATTCTTCGCCATCAAGTCCATCGGAATCTTTGGATCGTTCAAATAATCCGGCGCCGCCAGAATCACATCCTCCATCTGATCGAGTCCAATGATCTCCATCTGCATTCGAATTCGCTTCTCGACCGGCAAACGTTCGAGAATCGACGTGAACGCTCGAATGAATGAAAGAATCGCGACGCGCATATGAAGCGCCGTCTGATGATCATTTCCCCAAGTGAACGGATTCGCCTTCAAGAATCAGAGGCTAAAAGGACGAACGCCCATCAAGAAAAACGCCTACCATATAAATAACGATCACATGAGGAAGAGTGGCGGGATCATCCTTCTCTTTGCCGCCAATCTCGTCGTAATCAACCGGCGGCTGAGTCGACGTCGGAAACGGATTCGGCACCAGCGTCTCCCTCTGAGTCCACTGAATATTCGCCGCGCCCGTCATCAGCGATGACGGCTCCGAGAGGAGTTCGGTGAGCGACGGCTGCAGGTTTCGCTCGTTCTCAGGCACTACAATCAAAGACAATCAAAGACGTTCGCTGTAAACGACAACAACGAAAAGCTTACAAGTCTCCGGAATATGAACCATTCCCGCTGGAATTGGCGACGGCACCTGATTGCCATCGGCTTGTTGCTGCTGCTGTTGAGGTCTTGCTGCCGACTCGGTAGCATGCGACGCCGACGTCGTCGAACTCGTCGCCGCTTCCATCGTGCCACTGCTCGTCGACGTATTATTTCCGCCGCTCGAGGTGCTCGTGTTCGCGTTCGATGCGCTCGGCGCGTTCGGCAAATTGGCGAGCTTCTCCTTCGCCGCCGCCTCGCGCTCTTTCTTGAGACGCGCTTCCACCGCAATCTGATATCGATAGCCGTGTCGTTGGAACGCCGCGTCGTTTTCGACAAGCGCCGTCGTCACCATATCCTCGAGCTGCTGTAGGTACATTTTGAGGCGCGTCAGAAATCCCGTCGAATCGTTGATGTGTTTCGTCATGTTCGCGAATTCGGCCGACGTCGCCGCATAGGGTCCCGAGAATTTGCCCGTCGGTCTTGCCGCGCCGCGAACCCTCAGAATCCCTTCGCGATTGTAGAACTCGTCGGCTCGCATCGTCGGATTGCTCGCCAAATTGTACAATTGCTCTTTGCGCTTCGGCAGACACGGCGGCTCGACGTCATCGCCAATCGCGCCCATCGTCTCAATCTTCTCGTGCTTCATCACTTTCGCCTTTTTGCGTTGACGCTGAATTTTCGCCGCGTTCGGATTCGCCGTCTTCGTCGTCACCGGAAACGGTATATGCCGTCCGAATCGCATCTTCTCATAGCTTCGCGACAAATAATCGAGAAACATGCTGCACTTCTCAAAGACGACGTCATCGTCCGGAATCACCGTGATGTACATCACATCCTTCGGCTGATCAATCGGTGCCAATTGAGCATGATTATAAAGTGGCCGGATCTGAAAGAAAAAAAGACATAACTCTTGTCATCGTCGTCTAAACTGAACGCCTACCATCGGCGCCGCACGGATCGCTTCCGTCGGCGTGGCCACCATAACGGCAGGGACCGCTTCAGCACAAGCTGAATCATCCTCCTGAACCTGCTGCGGATTCTGAAACATTTCGTTCACGGGAATTCAAAAACCATTTCCTTACCAATCGATTCTTCAGCGTCTTCGCGACAAACTTCTTCCAAGTCAGCGGCCCTTCAATAATCCCATTCGTCGTCTGCTGCGTGATATTCCTCGCCTTCTTGATTGCCGCTTCCAACGACGGCGTCACCGCGTTCATGATCGCCTTCAGCTCGCTGACGTGCGGATCGCGAATCTCGTTCGCCGTCTGCAATCCCCACGGATGAAAGTAGGTGAGGAACTTCTGCGCCGACGCCGTCTGATTCCTCGACGACTTCATCGATCGCATCGACATGTCAATTGCCGAATTGCCGATGAGCAGAAGCTCGACCGAATCGACGTGCGATATAACGTATTCCGATGACGACGACACATCCATTCCAATCTCGACGGCGTTGGCGGCTCGATTCGCCAGCTCCGCGACCGACGCCACTTGCGCCACCGCTTTTCCATAGCTGTGCGTCTGCGAGAGATGCCGAATCTGATCGAGAACCGCCAAATCCGATTGCGAGTAGGGATCGAACCACGACATCGTTTTCGACGCTTCCAAATCGCCATTGCCAAGATCGATTTGCGGTGTGACGGTGGCGACCGAGTTCACCAACGCCGTCGCTTCCGTCGAGTCTTCCGGAAACAGTCCCGAGCAGAACGACAAATAGCGATGGCGAATCGCGCTGAAGCCGCACGTACACGGTCCGGCGTTGTTCGAATGGAATCCGCTCCAATAGCCAATGTTCTGCTCGCGCATCATCGCGTTATGCCCGCGCAGCTCATCGTGCGGCGTGATGTACAATCCAAGCTCACGCGATCGAATCGAGACAGTGCACGCGCAAATCGGACACGAATCCATTGTGGTGTCAAAGTGCAAATCGAGAATCGTGTCCGACATCACGATCGAGATCACAACACTCTCGCCCTCGAGAATCTGCGGCTCTCTCGGCTTATAGTGCTGCATCATTCCGCTGATCGTCTGATTCTGCGACATCAGCGGCAGCTGTTGTTGTTGTTGCTGCTGCTGCTGAATCTGCTGAAGCGTCGGCATCATCGGATATGGCATCGTCGACGCTCTCGCCATCATCTGATAGCCGCTAGTGGACGGCGCGCCGAATCTCGGCTGATTCACAAAATTGTTCAGCTGCTGAACCGAGCTCGGCCTCATGTTTCCTACATACGGCGACGGCATTCCAGGTCCCACCGCCATCATCGGACCACTATTCTGATAATAGCCAGGCGGCGGTTGCTGTGGTGTCATCTGCTGATGCTGCTGTTGCTGTTGTTGTTGTTGTTGTTGTTGCTGCTGCTGCTGCTGTTGCGCCGCCGCAGCCCGATTCATAATCTGCTGTCGAAGGATCGCATACTGCTGCGGGTTTCGGAATTGCTGTGGCGGCATCTGATTGAATCCGCCACCAATTTGCTGCTGTTGCGGCGGCTGCTGCATCGGCTGATGGTGTTGATGCTGCTGAAGCGGATGCTGTGGTGGCTGTTGATGATTCATTCCCTGATAGTTGGCAATCTGATGCTGCTGGAATTGATGTTGCTGTATCGGCGGAAGTCGCTGTTGCTGCTGTTGTTGGAACTGATGCTGCTGAATCGGCGGAAGACGCTGTTGTTGCTGTTGGAACTGCGGATACCGCTGCTGCGGCTGATTCGGATGAAACATCGGTCCCGGCGCGAATCCACCACCACCAGCCGCACCGCCAGCAGCAGGACCACCATTATACGGCGACATCATCTGCATATTCTGGAATTGCTGCTGGTGCTGATAATTGAACTGCGCCTGCTGCTGTTGGAATTGCTGTTGCTGTTGTAAATGCAACTGCATCACCCCGGGATGCGGGTTGTGCGGCTGCGTGTATCCGAAATGATACTGCACTTGTGGATACGACGTCTGTGGCGGTGGTGGCGGTGGCGGAGGTGGCGGAGGTGGCGGCGGTGGTGGCGCCGGCGTCGTCGTACAAATCAGCTTGCCAAACGAGTCCGGCGGCGGATGCTCGAACATCACATGATTCATTCTCGCATAGATTTTGCCCCACTTCTTCTCCGGCAACTTATTCTCAATCGCGAATCGCTCCGACAGTGGAATCTTGATTTTTCGCGGCGGCCTTCCAAGCGTTCCCTTCTTGAGCATATCAAAAAGCTTGTTCTGAAAATCAGATGATATTTGAATTGTTTCAATTCCATCCCTCTTACCACTTTCGCATCTTTAAGCCTATTCCGAATAATCTTGACATTTTCCGCTTCATCGTCCGAATTGGCGTCAACGACGACAGCCGGCTTCGCCGGTTTTCGCGTCGCCTTCCTCATCGGCTTCTTCTCTTCGACAATCACCGGCATCTGATTCTTCACATTCTTACCGGGAAGAATCGGCGAATGAAGTTGATGATCGCCCAACATCATTTGCACCGATGGCGGCGTCGGATAGATCTGATTCATCCCTTGAAGCTCAACAGAAGGTGGTCCCCTCGAGTACTGAAAACAATGATAATCGTTGAGAATCTCTTTGCCTCTTTCTTGATTCCGCCCACCCCAGTGTCAGCTCCAACCGACAGCGGTCCGCCGCGCTGCATCTCGTTGCTCGCCGGCGGCGACAACAATCCGTCATGTCCGACCGGCTCCGCGTCCATCGCCTCGCCGTTCAAAAAGCTCGCCGACGTGCCCTCGCCGAGACCCTTCGCCCGGTCCGCCTCGTCATCATCCGATTCCTGATATTTCGAAGGCGACGGCGATTGCGGATATTGCGGCGAAATGAGACCCGTATAACATGGAATTGGACATTTTGCCGTCTCGCCGAGTCGCTCCGACATCAAATTGATATCGAGCGCCTCCAACTCGCTGATGGTGGTGAGACGAATCGGTTTCGGCTTCGGCTTCCGATTCCAGAATCGTCTTCCATGCGCGGGAAGGTCCCTCTGAAACATTTCAACAATTTCAAACGCGACAATCTAAACGCTTACAATCGCATTCAGCTCCTTCGCCACCAGTTCAGGCGCCTTTCCAGCCTTCATCTTTCTCATATGAAGCTCCTCAATCTTCCTCAGCCTCTTCAAAATGTACCTTCTCGGCGTCTGTCGAAGCATGCGCTTCCTCAACAACACAAGCCGCTTCTTCACCTTCCTCGCCTCTTTGCCCTTCGCCGTCTTCGCCAGCTCTTTCAGCTCCTTCATCTTCTCCTGCTGCTTCGGCGTCATCTTCACTTTCACTTTCATCTTCTTCTTCTTTCGCTTTCGCCTCGCGAATCGTCCAAACCTCACCGGATGGAACACAATCTGATGATTGCGCTGGCCCTTCGACACCTTCTTCACCTTCCACCGTCCAGTTTGTCCTGGTAGTGGCTCCGGTTTGATTCTCATCGCTTCCAGAGTCGGATCATAGAAGCAATCATACAATTCCGTCTTCTCTTGACGATTACTCGTCGGCGGCGGCGTACGATTTCTGAAAACATGATTGATTCTATGACGAGAATGGAAAATTCAAAATTCTTACGGTGGCGGCTGGAAAATCGTGTTGAACGTCTCTTCCCGAATCTCATCGGCAGGATACGCCGGCCAATCGCAATTATCGCACGGCGAGAGCGCGTTGACAGGCGTATAAGGTGATGGCGGCTTCTCATCGTATTCCGGCTCGGAATCCGAATCCCAGAATTTCGTTCTGAATCATGTCATGTTCAATTTGAGGCTCGTCTGAATCGCAAACTTACACCACGTCTTCCTCGCAACTCACACTCGTCACAATATCGCTTCGATTGAACTTCAACCATTTCGGCGGCTTCTCATCATTGATAAGCCACGGATCGTCATCAGATCGTTCGCGAATCGCCGCCACCACCTTTTTGCCCTCCTCGTTCACCGACACCCCATAAACCGGCGATACTATCCTTCGAATTGGCCTCGTCAATTTCTTCGGCACCGTTTTGATCGGATGCGGCGGCTCGGGAAGGCACTTTTTTCGTTTTTCCCGTCTCAATCGCGTCTTGTCCAAACCCGACGTCAGCGCTCGCCGCAATATTCCAAAATTGCCTCGCAATCGCATCGCTCTCGAACCCGTCTGATTCTGCGCTCGATGGTACGCCGATCGTTCGGGTTTGCGCAAAAATTTGAGATTAATGTTCGAATAGAGCGTCTCATTCGCATCGCCGCAAAGAAGTGCCGGCTCTACAACAACAAATATCGATTTTTTTTTTTAATTCTTGTCAATCATCTTACTTTTCGACACCATTCGAACCAGCGACGTTCGGCACACATCGCATCCGTTGCCGAAACCGGCGCAACTCGTGCACTTCAACCCATACGGCTGATAGAATCGCCAACGGCAGAATCGCTCATCGATCGGCGGAAACGGTTGCGCGAATCCGCCGATCGGACGCGGTCGCACCTGCCGAATGACCTCGTGCGGCTCGGCCAGCGTGTACTGATAAACGCCTTGAAGCGGGATCAGCGAGCTCGACTGGTTCACTACGAATCGATTTCGAGGTCGGCGGCCTTGCACTGGAAAAAAAAATATATTGCTTATTCAATTTTCGAGTTAAATTTTCATAATTTATTTACAATTTTTCAGTTTTGAGCAATTTGAATTAGAAAAAATGTCAAATTTTGAGAAAAATTACCTATCAACTCCTCTGGCACCGTATTAATTCGATAGCCAAGCGCTTCCCAAACATGCCGATCGTCTTCCAGTGTGAGACAAATCAGTTTCGATGGGTAGAGCATTCGGACCCCATCAATTTCAACAAGAACCATTTTTGGGACCTTGTCCACCTTTTTCGTCTTCGGATGCCCACTATCCTCAACATCCTCGTCCGAATCGGTGATGTCGTCGTCGCTTCCCGAACCCGACTCATCATCCTTGCGCACGCTGCTCGACGCCTTCGCTGCTTTCGCGGCAGCGGCGGCGGCGGCCGCCGTCGCCGCTGCCGCCGATCGCATCGTCTCATCGACATCATCAAGCGTCTCGTTGCAATCGAGCACACCGTACTGTTTCCAATCATTGAACTCGCGCTCGATGTTCGCCTGCATTTTCGGCTCGCTGAGCAGCGGCAATTGATTTTGGACAAGATTGCCGCGCATCGAGTACGGACCAAGAATGACGGCGAATCGCCGCACCGATTTGTGGTCCAAATGGCGGCGATGAAGTTGAATCAGCGTCGGTTGGCGTTGAGTGCACATGTTGATGCATATCGAATTGCCGCCTTGGACGACGAACTCGAATCGGAATGCCAATGTATACCTGAAGCAAAAATTGAAATTGTATGCGATTCACCGAGACGCGAAATTGCGGACGCCATAATTCGAGCATTTCATATAGTAAAAAAAATGCAAAAAAAGCTAGAATTTGTTTTCGGAAAAATGACACCTACATCGGATACATATAATGCATGCAGATGTCGCGAGCTTTCAGCGGCTTCGTGAACCATCTCCCGAATCTGATGTACCCATTGGTCATCAAGCATCTCTCAATGACGACGTGAATCGCTTTGAACAGCAGAATTCGAACCTCATAGCTTATCGTGGTGCCAGTTGAGGCGCTCGAGCAAAGCTCCTCATCGACATCTGGAATTTCAATAATTCTTTGACATCTCGAAATCCGAGACACGCTTACCGAGATCCCGACAATACGATTCAAGAAATTCCGGGTCATCGTCATACCAGAACACCCAAAGCTCTTTGGGCTGATCATGGGAGAAATGGGGAAGCGAGAGCGGATCGTTGGAAGTGCAAGCGTTCAGCGTCTGTGTTCGACGCCAAGCCGTCATAACACCTTTCTTAAATCAACAATTTGCGATTCCCTCTACAATCAGCACCAACGATACCTCTAGAAGTCTACTATAAGCTCTCAAAATTGGATCGCTTGTCAATGGAATTCCGCGCGCCACGTTCCTCGGCGTCCGATAGCATTTCCATTTCAATCCATTGATTTCCATCTAAAACAAAAATTTAAAAAAGAAGTTGAATCCGTTTAATCCAAATCCGCTTACCAACGAGAACACATTCGTGAAGCAATCCTCGAGATTCCCATTATTCTGTGCGCTTGTGCTCGCCTTCGCGCTTTTCGCCTTCTTCGGCGCCGCTTCCGATTTCGCGTCGCCGTCTTTCGACGACATTCAGCGGCGCGGGCGATAACCAATCAATTACGATTCAACAAATTCTCCTAGGAAACCTAGAAAATGAGAATTTTCGAAAAAAAAATAATTATCAAGACAATAAAAAACAATCGCGAAATTTCAAAAAAAAAATCGAGGAGGCAACTTGAGCGAGTGCTCTTATTCGAACACGACCTACTGTCTGACCGCCTCGCGCGTCTCTCGCCTCGCCGCACTCTCTCGTCGGGCCGCGTCTCGTCGCGCGCGCTGCGGTCGCTCAACCACTCCAACGCTCGCCTGATGCCTAGCCTCCCTTCACACTTTCGTTTCGCGGGCCTGTCTATGTGTGTGTGTGTGTGTGTGTGTTGCGTTTCAGCAGCACTGTCGCTGTCGTCAATAACGCCCGCTGCGAATCATGCGGGAAATAGCGAGCAACGCGGCGAGACGTCGGCGCCACCCAGCTGGAATTGGAAACAGAAGGACGGCCCGGCTCATCGCCAAATCATCAACAAGAAGAAAAAAAATGACAAGACGAATCAATAAAGAAACGCGAACAACAAAAAAAACGAAGAACAAAAGTGCGATTGAATTCCGCAATACGGTGCACTATTGCGCGACGGTGATTGCACACTACCGTAACCCGAAATTGCATTAAATTTGACGAAATGTTTTTTTTATTAATTTCTTTTCAAATTAGACCAGCATCGATTCTTCGTGCTCTTTTCGGCACAACACCAGCAGAGTTTTGACTTGGCCGCCTTCCCACTGAACAATTTTGCCTTTGACGACAACCCCAGCCCGCTCATTCTTCATGTCGACGCAACCTGAAAGAAGGTCGACGAATTCTCGATGGAACAATGCAATTCGCACTCACCGAGAAATTTCGCGTTCTCAATCGAAAACAACGCCGGCGCCACATAGCTCATATGGACCGGCATGTAATTCTTGTCCTGAAAATCGGCGGCCTGCTCGTACGGCAACCACACATACTCATAGCCGCTCGTCGTCGCCGGCAGTTTGATGAGCAGCTGAAGCGAGCCGACGGTGGGTCCGGTGAATTCGCGATTCGCGCTGAAAAAAAACAAAACGAGACGTTTCGGCGAGAAATTCTCATACTCGATGAACGAGGCCTCGATTTTGCCGCCGACCGGCCACGCGCGTCCCATTATCGGTTTGCCGTGACGATACCACAACGCGACGAATTGCTCTTGGCTCGCGTTCGGCGGCGCCGCCAACACCGGCCGATGCGACGGCCACGCGCTTCCCCAATTGTAGTCCTCCCACTCGTTGATGCACAACGGCTTCTTCACTTTGGCGAGTCGATGATCCTCAGCGGAGCATTTGCGCCCGTCGATTTTGCACAACACGTGAAGATCGGACACGTCGCGCGTAGTTTTCTGCAACTTTCCCAAAAAAATGACGATCGAATCGATTTCGGCGTTCGTCAGCGTGGCACGCGTTCGATTTATCAATTTTCCAATTATAATATTGAACGACAATTTTTGAAAATTCGAATTTCGCGGGTTGTCAATTAAAGTCTTTTTTTTTTCAAAACAACCAAATTATTTAAAATCCATAGAAAATTGGGCTCTTTCGTCATTATGTTGGATAAATTAAGAAAAACTCGCTGGTAGGAGTTTTTCCATACGAGACCCAAGGCGGCAATTCAAATAATACATTAATCGCTATCGCAAATTCTTTAAAGGATCAACGCAGAAAAAACTTTGAAAAAAAATTGGCCCACAGAACCGATTGAGCAATTTTGGACCGCCAATTCAAATTTCAACTTGCACAGTGGAAATTCTAATTTTCAGATTTTTTTTTTGAAAAATAAACATTTCTTTACAGTTAACGAACAAAAAATGCCAATTTTTTTCAGGATTTAAAAATTCTTCCAAATTTGGATTTTGACAAAAAAAAACATTAGGGAAGAAATTGGGTTTTAAAAATGTCGGGAGTTTTCTTAAAATTTTTTTTTTTTTTTGAAATTGCGGTTTTTCAAAAATAATTTCGGTTTTTTTTAATCGAAAACGCGAATATTTTTCAAATTTTTCCTTGAAAAAAAGAAGATATAGTAAATTTGGGTTTGAATTTCTACTCAAACCGGCTTCTCAAATCAATCGCTCAAACTCATTTTCATATTATGAGCCTTTAACAATTTATTTTCTGTTTTTTTTAAAGAGTTTACTCGCAATTTTCACGGAAATTTCTCGAACATCACAAAAAAACGATAATTGATAATAAAAATGAAAAAGAAAACACCAAAATCACTAGTTTTCAAATCTTGCAAATTTTTGGCAGGTCTCGCAGCGCTCGATTCTGGCTTTTCAGAAAGCAGATTATTTCGAAAAATTTTGAATTGAAAATTCCAAAAATGGGAATTTTGTGGGTTTCTAGACATTCACAATTTTTTTTTTCATTAAAAAAGAGAAAAAGAAAACCAACTCCTCACCACATGATTGCCATTGTCCTCGACGAAATTGGCGACTTTTTCAGCCGTATCCAAATTGCCGAGCAACTCGAATTTCGTCCAATAGCACGGTGTGCTCGTGCCGCAACGGACCATCTCAAATCGTCCCTCGCTCGACAGACTCCGCGCTTTCGCGTACGGCACCCAATCATAATGGAACCTCTTCGCCTCCGAATCGACGTCGAATTTGAGCAACTGAATTTGTCCGCCGACGTCGCCGCCGCTGAACACTTTGCCGTCGACGACGAACGTGCACTGCACCACACCGCTGTCGTTCCACGCGCGTCCCATCACCGGTTTGCCGTGACGATACCACAACGCCACATATTTGTTCGTTTGTCCCGGCGCTTTTTGCACGTGCTGCGGAAACGGCGTGCCGATGTTCTGAATCGTCCAAACGTCGTCAATCTGCTTCTGCAACTCAATTATTCACACCGACGCCATCATGCTGAGAATGGGGTGGGGGAAACGCGAGCGGCGGCGAGGACAACCTTCTCCATCTCGAATCTCTTATTGATTAGTAATCAGATGGCAAAAATTTATAGAAAATGAGCGACTCGCAACGTGTCAAGGTCACATTTCATGATAATTTATTATGTGAGCACCAGCCTTCGGATAATCCCTTGATGATTATCTCGCCGCCTCGATATTCCAATATTCATCACAACCGAGGCGATGACGACGGATTTGAATCTCAATGAAATTCGTAAGGTACGTTCATCAATTGTTTTTTTTCTTGATATCATTGCCGCAAACGGGTTTCGACTACAAAGAAACCAATAAAACAGAATTGCCCAATTTCAACAATAATGGGCAGAGTCACCTGTTCGCCTAAAAATAAACCAAAATTCCAAATATGTGCATATGGGAGTTTATAGTCCACGGAATTAAAAAAAGCCAAAATTTTTATTGATTTAGGTTGAAAACAATTTTTATAAGCAATTTTTGGAAATTGTCAGCTTTTTGGGAATTAAAAAACATTTTTTTTGAGTAAACATTGATCAAATCGCTTCAAGACTCCACAAAATTTGAGGATAATCGTCTTAAGACCCAATTCGCTTCCGATGATTGGTTAAAACGTCGAGGAAATGTGAAAATTTGCAAAATTGCAAGAAATCAAATCTGATTCGTCTCTCAACACCCAGTAGAAAAAATTCCGATGAAAAAGCTCTGAAATCAAAATTTTGCGATTGATTCAAAAACACTCAACTATTCGCATTTTCCGGAAATTTATTGTGAAGCCAAAAATCATTTTTCCGGTTCAACATTTCACAAAAAAATGACATCCGCGTCTTTGAAATTGAAATAAAATCATTCTGCCGTTATTAGATGAATCCCTCAATTCTACATTATCATTCACCGAATCTTCTGGAATCCCCGCCCCAATTACATGTAAACATGATAAGAAGAAGAAGAAGAAGAAGAAGAAGACGACGACGATCGGTTTTTGCGCGATTCGAAACGATAAAAGCAGCCGTTTGATTTATGATAATCGTCGTCGTCGTCGTCGTCTGCAAAATCCTCCACCCCCCTCCCCTCAAAAAATTTTTGTCATCCTTCTCCACCTATCGAAATTTAATAGCCAAAATCTGGTTCGTCTCGCCGATTTTCTTAAAAATGTTCACGTAAACGTGGCCCCCGTAAAATTTTATGTGTGCGTCCAAAGGCCAAACTTGCGTTGTGGAAAAAAAATAGCCAAAAAATTGACCACGTGGTTGTTTCAACCAGTTCTGACCGACCACGCCCCCCTCACCTCCTCCGACCATCTCCTATAATTGGCGGGGTTCAATATAAACTTGTCACTGTCATCCAAATTCTAACAACCACCCACCACCACCAACAACAACAACAACAACAGCCTAAAAGCGAAATGCCGCCCGCCGGTCAACAAGATTCCGATTTTCTGGTTGGTCCACACCATCCATGCGCCTTTAAGGGTCTTACCACGTGCGCGAACTTACCACATCGTTTTTGCAGAAGTACGCGATGGAGTCGTACGTGGCCGACGTGAACGCCGAGATGGGCAAAACGACGATCGTGTTCACGCTTCGCGAGAAGGCCGGCGCTTTGGCGGAGACGTTGAAGCTTTTCCAGGTGGGACCCTAAATTGATTTTTTTTTGTCTCTGAGCAATTATTCAAAATTTTACGAAAATTCGTCGATTCTCATCGCTTTAAAATAAAACTGTTAAATCCATGCCGAAATGTCGATCGACAAGTAAACCTTATCTGAAAAATGGTCAATTTTTAATGAAAAAAAAAATTGTTTTGATTTTTCCACAACAAAATTCGCAAAAAAATTGAGAATGATTTTGAATTTTGCATTATTCCGTGCCAACACCCGACGCACAAATGCAGAAATTGCGTTGCAAAATTACGGTATCTCGTGATTCAGAAAAGAACTCAAATTCTGCATGTTGAATCCATTGCGACAATCAAAATATTTGCGCAAAACCAAATCCAAATTGATTTTTGATGTCAAAATTCCCCGAAAATGTGACCTTTTTGCGAGATGACGAGCCGGTTCTTCAACGCCGACCAGATTTGCGGCCAAAAACAAAAAAATAATAATAATAATTGGCGCATGATTGACATTAACGCTTCAACAGGCGCATGACGTGAATTTGTCGCACATCGAGTCGCGACCATCGAAAACGCATCCCGGCAGCTATGAGGTGCTCGTCGAGTTCGCCGCCGACGCGGATCCGAAAAAAATCGAGGAGATCATTCAACATTGTCAGAAGAACACCGAGAAGCAGGTCATCGTGCAGGATTGGAACACGAAGAGCAAACAGAACAAGGACTCGGTGCCGTGGTTTCCGCAGAAGATCGCCGACATCGATCAGTTCGCGAATCGCATCCTCTCGTACGGCGCCGAGCTCGACGCCGATCATCCCGGTTTCAAGGACGCCGAGTATCGCGCGCGTCGCAAGTTCTTCGCCGACATCGCCTTCAATTTCAAACAGTGAGTGTCGCGAACAAAAAAAAACTCAAAAAAAGGGGTTTCGCCTCGCCGCAACTCACATGCGGCCTAGAAAAATTGTCCCCAAAATTTGGTTCGGCCACGGCCACACTTGATAGATTAATTAATTAGAACTAAATGAATACGCTTATATTTTGTGTGTTTACGGCACTTGCATTATTTTTCTAGACCGCACGTGGGCGAGCCGAGAATCCTTTAAAAAAAAACTCAGAAAACCTAGGCCGCGGCCAAGTTTCTTCGAAGTCATGATTTTTATTAATTAATCGCCGCAAGAATCACCTAATTTTCTAATGAGCTCCTTGAATCATAACGATTTGAAAAAAAATATCCAAGTGTTTCTATTATGATTAAAGGTGCATATAATTTTAATTTTTATTAAAAACTATTGTCTCGATGGCCGCGGCCGAATTTTCTGCGCTCAATTCGATGAAAATCTCGCTTCAGCGGCGACAAAATCCCGCGAATCGACTACACCGAACAGGAGATCGCCACGTGGCGTACCGTCTACAACGAGCTGACGACGTTGTATCCGAAGCACGCGTGCAAAGAGTTCAACTACATTTTTCCGCTCCTTCAACAGAATTGCGGTTTCGGTCCCGACAAAATCCCACAACTGCAGGACGTCTCCGATTTTTTGAAGGACTGCACCGGCTACGTGATTCGTCCCGTCGCCGGACTATTGTCGTCGCGCGATTTTCTCGCCGGCCTCGCGTTCCGCGTCTTCCACTCGACGCAATACATCAGACATCATTCGGCGCCCAAATACACACCGGAACCGTAAGACGATTGATTGATTGATTGGTTGAATGTTGGGATCGATGATTGCAGCGACATTTGTCACGAGCTTCTCGGCCACGTGCCGCTGTTCGCCGACGTCGAGTTCGCGCAATTCTCGCAGGAGATCGGGCTCGCCTCGCTCGGCGCCCCCGATGACATCATTGAGAAGCTCGCAACAGTTCGTGCACATCGCTTAAGTCGCATTGTCGAACAACTCACAATTTCAGCTCTACTGGTTCACCATCGAGTTCGGCCTCTGCCAACAGGACGGCGAGGTGAAAGCCTACGGCGCCGGACTGCTCAGCTCGTTCGGCGAGCTTCAATACGCGTTGAGCGACAAACCCGAAGTGTTGCCGTTCGATCCGGCCGTCACCAGCGTCACGAAGTATCCGATCACCGAATATCAGCCGAAATATTTTCTCGCCGAATCGTTCGCCAGCGCCAAAAACAAACTCAAATCGTGGGCGGCGACGGTGCCGCGGCCGTTCCAAATCCGCTACAACGCCTACACGCAGCGCGTCGAGATTCTCGACAAGGTCGGCGCACTTCAGCGTTTGGCGCGCGACATCCGCAACGACATCTCAACGTTGGAAGACGCGCTCGGCAAAGTCGGCGCGCTCAAGCTAAAGTTTTAATCAGCCAACATCGTTATAATACTCAAGTTGTTGAAATAAACATAACTAACTCTATCACATAATTATTACACATTATCACATTACACATTATAATGATAATTAAAACATAATTTATTATCTAAAAGAAAAGACGATGGGAGAATCAATCATTCTGATTCACTTTTTTGGTGGAATCAACGGGATTTCGGAACGCCCGATAAAATAATTAAAAAAAAAAACAGAACAAATAAAACAATGGAATGTAACTATTGAAATTCAAAGTCGAGCACATCGTCCTGCTGATCAATATATTCAATTTGGAGTTCGCCGCGAGCATGAGCATCTTGAAGCTCCTCCTCCGTCATGTACTGAACGCGATCGCCGTCAAATTGCGAGTGTTGAATGATCTCATAGTTAGTTTCCGGTTCGACATCCTGCTGAACAGGAAAAAAACGATTAACCAAATTAGAAATAAAGTCGAAATCTCACCAAAACCACATTTCCACCATCCGGATATCCAATCTCATATTCCACCGGCTCCGTCCTCATCAACTCCTCGGCACGCTGCTGCATTTGCTGCTGATGGAACGTCTCCGCCGTCTCCATCTGATTCGGCGCCGCCGTCGTCGTCGCAGTCGCCGCCGCTGTTGGAATCGTGAACGCTCTCTCATCCATCAACTCAAACATCTCATCAATCGGCTCGTCCTTGATCTTCGCCACCATCGGCTTCTCATGCGCCGGCTTGTCGTCATCCACCACCATGATCTCGCCGATCGCCTGCGCCGTCTTCTCATCGACATGCTCGTTCTCAGCGAGCAAAATGTACGACGGCTCATTGTTCGGCTTCGCACCATAAATCACCTGCACTTTGTCAAACTCAACATCATGCTCTCGTCGGAATCGCTCGAGCTGCACCGGATCGGTGATGAGCTCACCGAGTCGAATCTTATGCTCATCCTTCTTTCGTTCAGCTTCCGATCGTTCATCAATATTCGCCTGCAAAACCAGAACAAATCAATGATTCATTTAGATCGTCGTCGGTCATACCCCACTAATCGGTTTTCCGGACGTCTCCGGCATCACTTCGGGATGTTTGAGCCGCAAATGTCGAATCGCTCGACATATATTGAATGGTTTGTGAAGGGCATACGTCAGATTGCAAATGAGACATTCGACGAGTTGCGGATGCACAAACTCCATCGAACCATCGCCGATGCGCTCCAATCTCGCCTTGACCAGCTCGTACTGCATGCTCTCCATCTCGGCCGGATGGAACTCCTTGTAATGCTTGATGGCGCCGGCAGAGATCACCGCGCCATACACCGGCCTTGCGCACAATTTGCACTTCCATTCGCACGCCGAGAACGCTTCAAAATATTCCGAGTTCGTCGGGCAGATCTGTCTGCAAGAAAATTAAATCATCAGACTCTCAAATCGATCATCCTTCTTATCAAGGATATAATTCTCACCGGAAGCACGGCTTCACAAACTTTCTCTTCATTCGATTCCTCCTTCCAAACGTCTGCTGGCTATTCGTGGTGTTTAGCTTTACTTCCGCGTCGTCGTCATCATCGTCATCGTCATCAATCGCATCATCAAGCGTTCCAGTTCGTATTCGTTTCAAGTATTTCTCAATGGCCTAAAATTGAAGGTTAAGCTCCAATTAAGAAATCGTTCTAGCCAACCTTATCCAACGCCTTCTCATTATTATATTTATTGTTCAATCGTTCGCTCGCCACATGAAACTCATCCGGATGACTGATCCCAAAATCCTCGCCGTACTTCTCAATGAGTCGCGCCGACAACACCATCTCCTGTAGGCACAACGAGCACTTCGGCACCTCGACCTGCTCGCCATGAACTTCCGAGAAGTGCATTCCAATTGCCGCCTTGTCCATGAACATTCCGCACCAAATGCATTGAAGGTTGTTTTGCTCCGAGTCGGTGTCGACGACAGCAAAATCCTAGAATCAAATGGCATTCATCCGACGCCTCGAATCGACTCGACTTACGTGAAGCGACAATATCTTTGTCCCACGCGACGGACTCTGCTCCACCTTCCACGCGTTCGTGCATCGATGCTCGGCGGGATGCCACGCGTTGAAATGTCGAACAAGATGGATAATCTGAATCACGTCGATGCTCGCAGGTCACATCAACAAACACTACCTCAAACTTCTTGTTCAGCGACACGACCGCTTGACAGACGTCGCATCGCGCGTGGAATCGATCGACCAACGTGACCGGCACCTTTCTGCCAAGCTTCTCGATCATTTTGCGACGCAACGCCATCTCAAGTTGCGGCATACTCATCTCGTTCGGATTCACGCGAATCTGACTGACTTTGCGCAATTGTCGAAGGCCGCGCGAGAACAATCGAACGTTGCTCGAAAATTGACCGCTCGCGCCGGCACCATCGTCATAGTGCCGAAAGCCGTTTTCCATGTTCTTCACCTCTTGCCGCAATCTCTTCTTCAGCCAATTCTCATACGGCACCTCTTCGAGCTCGACGCCAGGCTGCAGAAATTCGGGATGCATCGTCGGCAGATGCTCGCTGACGAGTGTGTCGTAGACGACAATCTCGCCGCAGAGTCCACAACAAATGTTGCGACTATCGAGAAAATTGAACTCGACGTTGCGCAGATCGCACGACGGCTGCTCGTGACTCGGCGACGCGCCCGGATCCACGCGATTCGGCTCGTTCTCGTCGTGCTCGTCCCTTTGCGACGCTTCCGCCGCCTCTCTCGCCGCCTCCTCATTGATCACCGTCGACGGCTCGACGAGTTGTCCGTTGTCCGTGATGAGCTCGACGACGATTCCCTGCTCGTCGATGAATATCGCGTTGCCGTGCTCATCGCGCGCCAATTGCACAAGATGCGCTCGGCCGCCGGGCGAGCTCAGCCGAAAATTCTCGCCCGTCTCCATCATACTGACATCGATATTCAGCAAGCTCATCTGTTGCCCGTCATCGTCAGGCTTCTTCTGATGCGAGACAAGCTCCTGCTGACGACGCTCGACCTCCTGAACGACCTCATCATCCTGCACCTCTTCCGGAACAAGCTGAGGCGGCATATCATCCTCATCATCGGCGATCGTATCCTAAAAAATATTACTCAACCAAGATAATCAAGGGTCCCATACCGCTTTGGAAATCCCTTGAGCATGATGTTCCATATCATCTTCCGGATTCTTATCAAGATCATCTAAAAATTGACGATAAAAAATATTGTGAATCCAAAAAACCCATACTTTCATCCCTAATAACATATTGGGTTCCCGTCTCATCCATAATCATCTCATCACTTGCGCGATTCACCAAATCGTCATCCGTATGCACCTCATACACAACATTCACACCATTCTCCTCGACTTCAATGTACTGCTTGTGCGGCACCGCGCGCTTCTCATAGTTCGCCTCCATCGCCATCATCTCCGACGGCCCGTCGCCTTCATCGATCGGATTGTGCATTATGATGTCGTCCTCAGCCGTCTCCATATCCATCTCATACACTTTCGCCGCTTCATACGCAACCGTCGGCACGATTCCGGCTCGCGCCACATGTCGCGCTTTCATTTTCGGCATATGCTCGCTGGGCAGATCGAGTCCGGCTTCGCGTTTCCGCGATGACATTTTCGACGGCATCGGCGGCGCCGATCCCGACGTCTTCTCTTTGGTCGACTCCGACGACTGCGACGCTTCTTGATCATGCTCCGCTATGACCATCCGAGGTGGCGGCTGTTGATGAGCATGACTCGAGCTCGGCCCATGATGCGACGGTTGATGTTGGGTTCCAGCGCGCTTCTCGACGTCATTCTCACGAACTAAAAATCGCAAAATTTATTCAATATGCTCAAAAACGCAAGTGTTACCACGCCTCAACAGTATCTCCCTCTCTTTGGGAGTCATCTGCTGCGGCGGCACCGACGGCTTTCGCGAATGCGGAAATCCGGGCGGCATCAAATCTTTCGGAATCGGTCGACGATGCGGCGGCACCATGTGAATCGACGTGCCCGGCCTTCCGCGCATATTCGCGCGATTCGCCAGATTCTTCGGTGCCGGCGGTGGTCTATCATCGCGAATCGCCTTCGATGGAAGCGGCGGCGGCGGCGATGGCGGTGGTGGTGGTGGTGGTGGCAATGTTGAAGATTCCTCTCGCTCTCTTCCACCACCCGATTCCTCTTGTTCGACGTGCTCTTCATGAGCGGTATGGGTATCTTTGATCGGCTCAACGGGCTCAAGAAGCTGCTCATGCTCTTCGGGCTCCTTCTCAATGCGTTGCTCCACCTGTTGCTGAGACTTCAACTGCTCCTGCTGATGTTGCTCCGGTCCCGGTTGAGCTTCCTCATACGCCGCTTGCTCGGCCTCTTCTCGCGGTGTCATCGGCTGCTTCTCAAGTTCAGGTTCGTCCTCCGACGGCGGCTTCTCCGCCTCAGCTCGTTGCTTAGAAGCCTCATGCTGCGGTGGCTCTGCGTCCGCCTTCGTCTCAGATTGAGAATGTCGCGTCGATTGTTGCCGCTCCATCTCGAGAATCTTTCTCGTCGGCTGTCGCGCTCGTCCCGCTCGCGACACATTCTTCGACGTCTCTTCGACAACCGACGGCGCCGATTCCGTCGATGTTCCCTCGTGTGGCTCTAAATCAAACGACCATCAAAATTTTTGCGTCTAGGCCAAACAATGCCCCACCATCGTCATAATCAAGCTTCGGCGGCTGCGATGGCGGCGAGACGCGCGTCGACGCCGCGAAGAACGGCTTCCTCGGCGGCCGACCTTTACCGCGACTTCGCTGCCCCATCGGCGTCACAATCAACATCTTCTGCTGTTGTATTTGTCTGAAATTCAGCAATCAATTATTCAGAGTGAAAGAAAATTCCAACTTGATTTTCAGCTCCTCATCATCCTTCTGGTCCATTTCAACAATTTGCTGCTCTTGATAGAAAACGCCATCGGTCGGCTCCTCGGCGACGACCTCCTCCTCATCATCGTCTTCGAATTGAGCACCGTCGCTGGTTTCCGGCGCGACCGGCACGTAAGAAGTCAGTGGATATTTCCTTGGACGGCCTCGACTGCGACGCGGCGAGTCAAAATATCCCAATTTTCCGCGCAACGTCGTTATTCCTGAATTTCGCCACTTCTTTTCCTTCAATCAAAAATTCGACATGCGCCTTCAATTACCGTATCCAGAATATTCACAAATTTCGCGGAAATCGTGTCAAATTTATTTTTTTTAAAGCAATAGGTTTTTTTTTTTGGTATTCGGTACGTCGTTTAAAGGAACACCAAGTCTCGCGGCGGCTCATCGCGACGAGACCCGCACCGAAATACGAGCAGCACAAACCTGACTGAATTGTTGTTGGCGGCGGCGGCGCCGATTTCTCGTGGTGTGACGACATCCTTCTTGTTCCTTTGAATTTTTGTGTGCGGCTGCAACTCGTCGATTTGTGTCACGAAGCGAAAAAGTGTGTGCGCGCGCGGGCGTCGATGTGTGGTGTGGTGTGTGTATTCGCGTTTGTATGTGTACGCTACCAACTGGAAATCGATTCGTTGCGAGACGCCAATGTCGGCCGCCTCCCGTCGACGGCCCACTATTTCGTCGGCCCAAAGCGTCGCCGCCGTAAGACCGATCGACAATAGAGAGCAATTCGTCGCGAGAGACGGAAAACTGCGCGCGTGACGAGACCCGCGAACGATTACAAAATTTTTGTTTTGTGCGAAATCGCACGCAAAAATTTTTTTCTGCTTTTTTTTAAAGGTCTTGTAAATTTTTATTAAATTTTTTTTGGAAAAACTTCAAATTTACACAAAAAAAATCAAATATTTCGGTAGAAAATTTCGAATTTCGAAAAAAAAATTTGAATAAAAATTTTAAAGCAAAAATTCGGCAAATTTTTTGAAATTGTTCAATCAAGCGCTTATTTTTCAGAAAAACGAAATGTCTAAAATCTTTAATTCGCGTGCATAAAAGAAAAATTCTTTTTTTTCTCTGAAATTTTCAAAAATCATCTATTCGTATTTTAGAACTCTTCATTTTTAGCTTTAAAATTCAAATTTCTTACTTTTAAAAAACAATTCTAAAAATTCAAACATCAAATTCAATCTGTAATCTCAAACTACTAATTTTAGAATAAAAAAAATTCAAAAATCTTTAATTTGAAGTGCAAAAACGAAATATTTCGAAATGAGGAATTAAAATTGAAAATTAAAAAAAAATCGAATTGGAACTGTCAATTTTAGCTTAAAAACTCAAAATTCGACAAAAAATATTAAATTTCAAGTCCAAATTCGATCATTTTAATAATTTCTTCTTGAAATTTCAAAAATGTTTGAATAAATCATCACAAATTCGTAATATTACATCTAAAAATGCAAATTTTCCGCGTAAAAAAAGGTTTTTAATATTTTATTCTAAATATATAATTCTCATAAAAAATTAAATTTCCTGATTAAAAAAAAAACCCAAAGTGATATTTTCAAACTTCCTTAATCTAAACTCCTAATTTTCAAATTCATCCAAAAAATTGTGGGGAAAAAACGAAAACAACCCACACAACACACGCGCCGCGACCGCGACGCATCCGCAAAACATTCAAAATACAAAAAAGGCAAAAAATAAGTGCATTCAAGGTACCGATAAGCATGCAAATAACAACACCAAACAAAAAAAATAAACACAACCATCAAAAAATATGAAAAATGATTTATTAATTGCAATAATTAAGAAAAAAAAAGAAAAGCACCCATAAAAGTGGTTCACGTGATTCACGCGAGTATCCGCCTTCAAATCAATCCATCCAATTCCTTCATAAACTCGTTATAAGCTTCATCCGTCGATTTGGCCTGCTGCTGATTCTCGACGCGCCGCTGCGTCGTCACCATCGACGATCTCGACGGCATCGCCTTCTTCTCCGGCTTCCTCATCAACTGCGTCGGCACCAGCTTCACCGTCTCCTTTCGCAGATTGCGAAGCTCCGGCGCCGCCGACACCGTCGCGCTCGCCTCCGACGGTCCGCCGCGATTGATTTGGGGCGCCGATGAGATGACGGCGTCCTCGTGCTGGAATCCCATCGGATTGTATTGATGACGGTACGGCGCCGCGGCCGACATTCGCGGTGGCATTGGCGGAGCGAATTTGGCTGCAAAAAAAAAACAAATTGAGCAAAACCCCAATTCGAAATTGATTTGCTCAATGAGAAACTTACGATTTCTATAGATATTGGATTGTGTTGGATACGCCGGCATATGTGAATCAAAGTCGGGAACTGCAATTATGATAATTAGTCACTCATTTATTAATTGGATGCAAATTTGTAATTTTATTCTAAATTTGTGATTCTCAACTCGAACCGAATCTCTGGTTTAGAAAAAAAGACTTTCTTTAAAAAATTGGTAAAAATCGAAAAAAAAAAGATTTTTCGCCAAAATATCGAAAAATGCTTACTCGGCACCGGCGCGAGATCATCATCCTCCAATCGTCCGCCCATCGAATAATCGCCTTCCTCCTCGCTGTCGCTGTATTCCGGCGCAACGCCGCACGGCGGTCCAGGCGGTTTCGATTTCGCCGGTCTCGGCGGCAATTTGAAATCCACTTTTTTTCTGGCAAAAATTTTATAAGGCTTTGAAACAAAGAAAGAAAATCGATTTCTTATGGAAAAAATCCTCCCAAAAATTCTACGAATCTCGTTTTCTTTTTTTCAAGACTGATTTTTGAGGGAAAAAATTCACAAAAGGCTCGATTTTTGCGCAATTCGCATCAAAAAATTTTAAACAGCAAAAAAAAATAAACCAACTTCAAAACCGGCGGCGGTGGCGGAATGAGCGACGTGCTTCTCGCCTCGCCGGCGGGCAACGGAATCGATTCCGGATCGGCGTCTCGCGCCAATCGTGCCTGAACCGCCAACGTCGCCAGCCGTTTACAGTCGGCGTTGAATATCGCGAGTTTGTCGTTGAACTTCTTCAGCTCGTCTTCGTCTTTCGACTGCTGCAACGTCATCCGACGCTTGTTGATCATGTCCGTCAGCACCTTTTGCTTCTTTTTGAGAACATCCACATGAAATGGTTGAGGGTCGAGGCCGAGAACTGCAAAAAACCGAAACTACAAATTTTGCTTAGTTGAAAAAAAATCGCAGGCTTCGAAAAATCGCCGATTTCGACATTTTTTAGCAAATTTTTAAGGAAAAAAAATCTCAAAAATCAACTTTCAGTCAGTTTTTTGAGTATTTTTACAAAAATGTGTGCATAAAATTCAAAAAATGCGCATTTTTGCAAACAAAATTTCGAAATATTCTCAAAACATCGATTTTTTGTTCAAATTTGAAAATTTCAAGGTAGTGCTCAAGAAAAAATCGAAAATTTTTAAATTAATTTATTTTTCATCCATATACCCATGAGAATTTCGCTTTTTATGGTTACTCGTGAAAATTTTCATTTCAAATAATTTAATTCAGATACCAACAATTTTGTTGATAATTATTTCCAGCCAACATTTAAAAAAATCAGTAATTTTCCACAAAATCAAACATTTTTTTCAAATTCTTCACAAAAATGCCTACTTTGCCGTTCCAATATCAATAATTTGCTGATCGTTTCGTCCATATTCAAGTATTTCGCCATCGCATGCCGAATCTGCTGACGATCGCGCTTGTTTCGTTTATTCTCCCGTTTTCGCTCCTGCTTTCTGACCTGATCGGTCGGCGCACGATAGCGCTCGCCGCTTCTCGTCTTCGCCATCGACGGCATCGTTCAGCGATTCTGAAATCGAAATTCGATTAAAACTCGGTGTGAAGGCGTCCTGCGCGGAAAAAAATGGTTTGCAATGGTCCACATTTGCAACTTGACAACACAAATTCAAAACTCGAAGAAGAAAAAACAAATTTGAACCAATAATTTCGATTTTTAATGAACAATTACAAAGAAAATCGAGAAGCATTTTGAATTCCCCGAAAATTGTCAAACAACTTTGGAATCTCAACACAAAATTTACGGAAAATCGAAAAACCTGACATTTTTTGGTGAGACTGAGTCGGAAAATAATGAAGAATCAGCAGAATCGCTTCGTTGATTCTAGAAGACAAATTCTAGAAGCGAACACGATAATTAACCAGCAGGACACGAGAAATTTAAAAAAAAAATGATTTTTTTAATTGATAATTCAACATTTTAAAAATGAGCCAAGCCGACCGCGATTTTTTCAAATTTTTTCATGAAAAAACTTCAAAAATTGCCCTAAAAATTCGAAATATAATTTTAAATACTGAAAAAAAATATTTGCAAAAATTGTTTTTCCTACATTTTAAACAATTAGTAATACCTCGACAACTCAATTTTTACAAATAATTTTCACCAGGCGACCGACATTTCAGCTATCCACATTAATTTTTTAATAGCACGGTTTTTTTTTTCACTTTTGTGTGCGCCTTTAAATCTTCAAAAATATGCAGTTTTTTCAAAATTTCTGAGCAGATTGCGCAAAAAACTAATTTTTCCAGTTTTCATCGCAAAATCTGCATAAAACCATGAAAAAATTATCATGGACCAATTCATGAAGTTTTCTCCTTTACAAAAATTGAAAAAAAAATTACATTAAATGGCTACATTGGAAAATCGTGCTATTTTGTAAAAATTGCTTTTAAAATCCCAACTTCAAGCGTCACATTAGCAATCGTCCACGTTTGCAACACCAACTAATCAGGAGCGCGATAAATAAATGAATAAGAATGTCGGCCGATCGGCGGGGTTGGGGGGTGAGAGAAGAAAAACTAGAACTAGAGGGGAGGGGGGGGTCATCAGGGGAAGAAGGGGGGAGGGGAAGGCGAAGCTATCGGTCGCCAGGGGTTGCGAGGCGGCCGAGAGAATGAGAGACGCACACAAACATAAAAACGCACGCACATTTATCGATGCAAGTTCATCTCGTCGCCTCTGTCTGGCCGGCGAAACCCTCCTCGGCGATTCTTGACGATTTTCGTCGTCATGGTTACTTCGCTTACTTCTTCTTCTTCTTCTCCTTCCTTTTTTTATGTTGCCTGTATATATTTAAGTGAGGGAGGGGAGGGACCTCAATATGTGTATATATATACGTGCGTATGTTTTGCAGAAGGTGAATGACCGACGACGACGATGAGCCACGCCCTTCGACGAGTCAGGAGTTTAGCAGCGTTGTCGAGAAATTGAAACAACTGTGAGACCAATTTCGATTGAAATCAAACAAATACCTCAATCATTCCCTACCATACCTAATTAGAGAGTAATTAATTAATTAATTAATTACTTCTCTGCCAGAAAATTTGAAAGCGGGGGGTTTCGGACCGAAAAATATCAACTGTTGGAACTTTTTTAAATCATTTTCTTAATAGAATTTTTTAATTCGACTTGCTGAAAATCCTATTTTTGGGCTTAAAAGCGTTAAGGAAATTTCGTCGACATTCTAATCAAAAATTGCATTTTTGAGCCTAATTGAAGATTTTTAACGGAATTTGTTGGAAATCCTAATCATAAATCCCAATTTTTGGTTTGATTTAAGATTTTTAAAATAATTTGTGGAAAATTATTACCAAAAATTTGAATATTTGGCCTAATTTATTGATTTTGAAGGAATATTTTATTCTGAGTTAATTTTTTTTCGAAAATTTTAGCCAAATATTCAAAAAAATTATAGTAAAGTGCATATTCATAATTTTTGAGTAATTTTCAACTAAAAATTTGTAATTTTGTTTTTTTTTTGCAGCTAAAGTGATAAAAAAATGAAATTTGAGCCGAAAATTGAAATTCTTAATAGAAATTTAAAAATTACGACATTTTTCATTGATTTTAACCAAAAAATCAACAATTGGAAAATTTTAATAGATTTGCACCAAAAATATCACGTAAGTCCTTATTTTTTGTTTCAAACCTCTCAAAAATCGTGCAGAAAATTACAATATTTGCGGAAAATTCTGTTTTTAATTATTTTTTAATGAAAATTTGAAAAATATAAAGAAAAATTCGTATTAAATTTTAAAAAATTCAAATATACATATTTTGACTACATTTCTCAAGAAAAAGTTCTAAACCAAGGTTATTGGTTCTTTAATTTGATTTTTGAGATTAAAATTATTATTAGCAAATAGAGATTGTTAAATTTTTTAAAATATACGGAGAATTTGACGATTATTTTTTAATCTCTAATAAAATTATTGATCAAAAATTAGTGAATTTATTGCAATTTTGTAAAATTTAGAGCGTGTAAAAAGGAAACTGCGAATTTTTGGAAAAAAATTTCACCGATTACATATTTTCGAATAAAAATAAATTTTTCTGATGCATTGCTTTATTCTAGCTGGAAGTTTTTAATTTTCTAAAAAATGTAAAAAAATTTAATAATCCTTTATTTTGTAGGGTTTTCGCAAAGTAAATATTGAGAAATTCAATTTCTCATTTTTTTGTTTGGTAATAAATATTTGATTTTCTAGAAATTTGGACATATTACGTCATTGAATTTAATTTTATTGAAGAAATTAGACAAAAATCACATTAAAAATAATAATAATTAAAACTTAATTAGTGCCTTCGGCAACGAAAAATTAGAAATTAAGATTTTTACTGAAAATGTTTAAGTTTAGTGAATTTTTGAAAAATAATAATGGAAATGTTGGGAATGACGCTGCGCAAATAAGAAAATTAGGTAATTGCCTAATAAAGCGTGAGAATCGAGAATAATTAGCGGAATATAATCGAATAAGTTAATCTTTTAATTGTTTTCGTTTTAATTCCCAAAACTACTTATTTTTCCAAATTTTCCAATGAAATTTACGATAATTTTATGAGAAAAATGATAAAATAATCGAAAAAAACTGAAATTTGAGGCACGCATTCGCGGAAATTCAACGAAAATGCGAGAAAATTTCGAAAAACGATGAGCGCAAAAATTTCGAAAATAACAAATTGTCGTCAATTTCGGCGCATTATCCGCGCCGGTGTACACCGCGACGCGAACATGCACAATTAATATTTGTTGAATAAAATTCTTCCAGCTCAAATCGAAACAACACCAATCGGAAGCGTGGCACGTTCGACATCGATGCGTTATGGCGAAAAAAATTCAAAAACGAATTGCCACCGACGACGACAACGAATGGGCATCATGTAAAATTGTAAGCCCTAATAGAAACCCTACAATAATTGGCTGAGCCGACGCGGCGCGCTTGCTCGCTCGCTCGCCTCGCTGATTATCAAGGTTGCCGTGGAAACGGCAAGCGGCGACGTCGCAAAAATGAAACCAATATGGAGAGAGGGAGAAAAAAAGCATATTCGACTCTGCTTTATTCTCATCGATATTAATCAAAACATTGTTCAGAAAACCCGACGACGACGACGTCGACGTCGAAGAGTTGACGAAGAGGAAGAAGAAGACGAAAGACACCATAATGAGCGATGAGTCAACGCAGCGAGCGCAGGTACGAGACGATTGTACCCTAATTAAAGGCGATTATGAATGGTTTGCAGACGGCTTCCGTTGTCGCTCGAGCATCGTCGTACGAGACATCGCCGAGAGACGGTGATGGTGGTGAGTAGTTGATATTCTTTCTTTTTTTTGCGAGTTTTGTCAAACATCTGGCGTCACGCCAATGATAAATTGGTGTACGTTGGGGGGTCTCGACACGAGATTTTGCGAGGCAAATGTCGCAATAATCACATTTTCGAATGGTTAGCATCGGCCGCAAAAATGAGATACTCATGTTACAGGTGGGGGGGGGTCTCGACGCGAGTTTAAAGGCGCACCGCTCGCTAATGATTTGAATGCTCACCTTAAACCGAACCAATTACTCGAGCCAGCCAGGTTCTCCCTCTTATTCATAATCGCCTTTTGGCCTCATTTGGTCGGATGGCTTCCTTACACCTGCCGTCTCCCGAATAATGGGCGGGGCTTTACCACCACCGCCACCATCCATCTACTGGTGCAGCCACCAGCTCATTCGGCCTCCTCCCTTCTTCCGCCAGCCCACACCCACACCAGCGCGCAACTCCAACCGATAATGGTGCTTCTCGATATTCCGCGCAATCGGCGCTTCATCAACGCCAATGAAATCGATTTGAGTCTCGACAGCGAGGAAGACGTCGATGATGGTAAGGCGATTCGTTCGATTTTTACCTCTCCCACTCACTTATTCCTTATTTGGTGCCAACCCGCTCATTACCGAATTACGAGGTGGGCTAATGTGGTGTGGACAAGGCCAGGTGCACCAAAAAGAAAAAAAACCACAATTTGGAAGTGCAATTTTTTGTGTGCGCCTTTAAATCTTCAAAAATATATTTTTATAAGAAAATAGATCCTAGTGGCTTCAATGTTATTGGTGGTGTGAGGTTGGCGCAACTTTGGCGAATTGCTAGGTACAAATCTAATAACATGGTGGTCGACGCCACCATTCAAAATTGCTGGTTTATTTCACCACCTCTCGATATCACCAGTATTACGAGCTCACCCCCAATATGTGCACCTTGAGGCTCGCGCGCTCGTCTAGCTTCTCGTCGGCCACACAGCAGCAGCAGCAACAGCAGCCCTATTCGATGTCTGATATCGATTCATGAGCGAATGAGTGAGAGAGAGAGATTAGAGAAGCTTATATCAGTATATCAGACGTCGCGCGGCTTTCGGCGGCTCCCAAAAATTTTTGTTTATTGTTGTGTTTACCTATTTCAACTAATAGTTTCTAATGCGTGGGTGTGGTGGCGGCCACACCAATTAGGGTGCAGGTGGTGTTGGTCCCTATAGGTTGTGATGGTGCGCTGTTTTGACTGCTTAATTAGAACTCGCTACTATTCATTCGCCTTTAAATGGGACCATGAATTAATATGTATGCGTGCGAATAAGGAGGAGGGGGGGGGGTGCTTACAAAGAAATTGTCGGTCCGAAAAAGGACACCACTTCTTTTTTTTTTCGACATTGAGTGCATCGATTTGCTCACCTTTGTGTCCACCCACAAACCCCCACGTTTTTTTTGTTCCCTCCTCTATTTTTTTTGGTTGGCCTCTTAAATAGGGGGTGGGGGCGTCTAAAAATTTTTTCGCGATTCTCAAAGCAGCGTTCGATTCGTGACGGGATCCGACCCACCATAGGCCCTAGTAGCTAATTGCCAACGATAATGAAATTGGCAAATTGAATTGGTGTCGATTTACGAGCCAATCAATCGCGTCGAGACCCTTGGAAATACACAATTTAGTGGATTTATGGAATTCGCCGCGAGACCTAATTGATTCAAGACACTTAAAAAAAAACAGAATGAGGGTTGTTGTAGATTTACGAGATGGGGGGCGATCGAATTGTGCTAAGTGACAACCCTAGGCAATCGTGCTAAGACCTCATAATTGATCTAGTTGTCGATTTACGAGCGAGGCTAATATAGTTGGGATCAATAGGACCCTATAGTTGTCGATTTACGAGTCAGCAATTGGGGTAAATCGATTTTTCTCTCGTGTTGAGACCCGAAATACGAAAAAGCATGAGGATCCTGCCACTCAAACAAAATAAAATTGCGTTTTTTTTTTACAGAAATGGAAACCCTCCAGCCAAGCGGCACAACAACGATAACCGTTGCGCCGTCAACACCGCGTACCTCGAATCAATACGAATTTCCGGCGCTCGAATATCCAAGGTGAGGAATCGCGTCGCGATTAGCGCGAGATTGAATGCGTGGCGGAATATTGTTGAAACATGGTGATGGTGGGGGCATCAGGGGCGACGAGTATTGACTTGAGCGAAAACATTTTTTCGATTCTTGTTTCTTGTCGAAGTGTGTGTGTTTATGGTGGTGGGGGCGCTCGATGGAGAACGACCGACCATCTCCAAGGTGACACTCGGATTGCGAGACAACGCCGACTAGCGGAGTGTTGCGCGCTCGATGCCTATGATGAGGGGTGGGGGGAGGCGGAGCTCGATGGAGCTCCGGCGTCCCGGACGACGGTTCCTACGGCTACGCGCCGTCCCCGGGCAACGCGATTCGACGTACCAAGAAGCAATAGTGTTGATGAGTGAGCTCCTTGGATACCCAACAGAAACACACACATACACACTCGGGGCGCGCACACGCAAAATGCTTATATATGCCTCTAATATGACCAACTATATATGAGAGTGGGTGATGATGATTCTCGAGATCCAATTTCGGTGTGGGACCCATTTGTCACAATTTGCCCGATTTGAATGAGACGCCTTTAAGGGCATTGCCATTTACAGTGATTTGATCTAGCCGTCAGAGAGGGTTTCAAGCGATTCCGATTTGAAGGCGCTGATCAAGCTTTCGTCATAGTGGTCGATGATGGGACCCAAATTAGAAGGATCGCCCCAGCCCCACCCCCCACCTAATTCGCGTTTAAAGAATCCAAGAATCATTGATGAGCTGTGACCCGCTACCGTAACCCGCTTCGGCCCCCCCTCCTCCCCTCGCTACCGTAGTCAGGCGCGCGCGCATCTTCATTCGCTATTCAATGCTCGGCGCAACACTAATAAATTCGGGACCACCTCCATCCATAAAGCCGGGCCTCTATTGTAACCATAGTTTCGGACCAAAAACGCCCTTTTTGGAGTGAGGGGAGGATGATGAATCGCTAATGGGCGGCACACACACAGTCAGTCAGTCAGTCAGCGCCCACACTCATTTTGTGTCAAGACGCATCCTTCCGGCGGCTGGCGCAACGAAGCCAGGTGTTCTTCAACGCCATCGAATCGACAATGTACTTGCCGCAGTGTAATTCAATGTACAGGTTGGTGATGGCTTCATCAACGGACCACCACCACCACCTCCGACGCCCCCGACACCCCCACATGCACTCATTTGGTGCCGTCTTTGTTGGTCCCTATTAGTTACTGTTGCCATTGGCCGCCATTGTCATTGTTGTTGCCTGGTTTTTACCATTTTTTTTTCTTGCCTAACCCCGCCCATTTTTCCAATTACCATAGACACGAATGGCAATTTGATCTACATATATGGTGGAGGTGGGGCGAAGGGCGATCCTGGTTTAAAGGCGCTGATCATTTGGATCTAGCATGGGGCGGGAGGGGGGGGGGTTTCAAGGCGCAATGTGTTCTTAAAATCGGGCCAAGACCAAATTTTTGTCTTTCACTCGAATTGTTCGGTGTCCGATTCGAGTAAAAAGGGGGGCCCGCAGATGGTGCAGTTGTATTGTGCAATTCATTGGCGCACTAATTACCGTAAGACACCTGTCGCGTCGTCTCGAGACACAACCGAGACGCTCGTTCAGTCTTCCGACCGAAATATGACGATTTGCAGTTCGGTGACGCCGGCGACGTACACGGTGTACGCGCCCGAACCCAACGGCTATGGATACTATCAGGTAGTTCGACGAATCATCATTGTCGATTCGATTCGATTCGCATTTTCAGTATCAGTCGAATATGCAGCCGAGTCCGCAAGACACCAACTATATGGTTGTCCAACAGCAGCAACAGCAGCAGCAGCAGCAAGGAGCGACGTCGCCTGGATCAGTCGATGACAATGATTCGAATAGTTTGGGACATACGACGCGAGCGTCGCCGGCTACGGTAGGTGTATTAGAAGAGAGTACGATAGTCGAAAAAAATTGCGTTGATAATACAAAAAATCAAAATTTGCCTGGTTTACTGTAGCTTCTAGAAAATTACCGTAATCCGTCAGAAGCCTGCTTCCCCTTCTCAGGTTACGGTAGCTTAGCCTCATTATAGAACATTCCTATTGCACGTTATGAGCTTTCGTAGGATTACGGTAGCTTGGCAAAAGCTTCAAGATAGACTGTGGTAACGATTACTGTAATTGCATATTTATTGGATTACTGTAGTGTGTGGCACTTCAAGAAGCGATGAAAACGATTACAGTAATCCATCCCATCTGCAAGAGCTACTGTAGCTTCTCGAATGATTACTGTAGCCACATTGTTCAATTGTTTGAGCTTCCCAGGATTACGGTGGCTTGTTGTCATATAATACATAGTGTAGGATACTGTAGTTGTTGGAAATTAAAAAAAGAAGAGCGGTGGTAGTCTTGTGGATTACGGTAGGCCTTCTAGATTGAGCATGAGGGGGAGGAGTACGGTAGGTTTAAAACGATACCCCCCCCCTCAAATGATGCTGGAGTTTTAAGAAATGCATAGTTTTCGAGAAAGCGTCCCATCTAGAAGCTTCCCCCCAAACTCGAAATATTCTTTTCCTTTTTTTTTTGCGACAAGTACATCTCCACCTTGTCTCCATAGAAACCCCCCCCCCTTCTTCCTTCCTTCCTTCTCCTCCTTGATTTTGTCGTGCTGGATGTTGTTGTCTCAAAATGGTCCCTAAAAACGGGGGGAGCCGAGGAGAAAAGGGAGGTAGGGGGTAATAGCTCAGAATGCCAAGAGGGCGGAAAACTGCCGCGAAAAAAAAGGTATTTTGGCGACCGGAAGCCGCCGCGCTCCGGCAAGAAAAGAAAAACACTCCCCTTCTTTCTTCTTCTTCTTCTTCTTCACCTTTTTTGTCGTCGTCATCGATTTGAGAGAGGGGGCCGTTTTTCATCACCATCATCATCGTCTTCGCGAAAGCTTAATCCAGGATTTTGTCGCCTCGGCTACCCTTGGCAACCATCATCAATTTATCCATCGTGATGAGATAACATTTGGTGCCACCTCCTAGCATCCTTCTTCCCTCCTCCTCCTCCTTCTCCTCCTCTAGGCAACTCGCGAGCGCGCGTCTTCTACCTAGTCGCCGCCGACTCAATTTTTTGATGACGCTATTGAGCTCGAGCATTCACGGTCTCATCTCCGAGTCGCGCCTTCATGTAAGTCGACGCCTTTCGTACTCCTCGCCGCTCGCCCCCATTCACACCGTAATCGATTCATTCTTTAGATCCAATGGCTTTTGGATAACTATGAGACGGCTGATGGCACCTCACTTCCAAGATGCACCTTGTATGATCACTATAAAAGGTAGTCGCGAGTCGAAAGCGGGGAGCATCTCAATGGAAATATACTTTTAAGGCATTGCGTTGAGCATCGCCTCGATCCGGTGAATGCCGCCTCGTTCGGCAAACTCATTCGAAGCGTGTTCCTCGGCCTACGAACGCGTCGGCTCGGCACACGCGGCAACTCGAAATACCACTACTATGGGATACGCATCAAGCCCGATTCGCCGCTGATGCACGCCACCGCGGCGGCCGCCAACGCCGCCGGCATGTCGAACAATCACATCGCCTATTGTCAAGATGGCTATTCGGAGACGGTCAACACGGTGGCGTCTATCAAATACGACGAATGTCCGCCGATGCACGCCGTCAAGCGAATGAAGACCGAATCATCGTCGTCGTCGTCGTGTCGAGAGTACGTCGTCGTTGACGCGATAAGCCGTTGACGCTAATCGGATCGCTCTTATTATGATTATTTGTTTTCAGCAGCGTCTCGCCGATAATGAAGCACACGGCGGTGTTGGCGCGTCCGGCGCCGCCGACATCGCAGCCGCTCGAGCCGTCGCATCGGCAAGTCACCGACGAGGATCGCAACTCGATTGCCGATTTGCCGCTCGTCTCGCTCTCGTTTCAAACGTCGGCGAGCCTTGAGGCGAACTTGCGCAAACTCATGCTCACCACCGAGCACTTGGAGAAGTTCATCAACTCCTACAATTTCATGTGCAAAGAGATTCTGAGTTTGGTGAAGAAGCTCGAGTTCGACGGCGTTCAGGATTGCTGGATGAGGTTCTGGCACGGCAACGAGTGAGTCCTCATTTTAATTACCCCACTTAATTGCCTTCTAGCTCCACGTTCACCATCACCAGAGAGGAGCTTCTCGCGTTGTGCACCGTCGAGCAGGTCCAAGATTACATCATCGAGGTCGACTTGAACCTCTACCAGACGATCGTCGATTGCCTCATCCCAAATGTGCTAATGTCGCAATTAAGCAGTAATAAACGCAATTTGCCGTCCCAATTATCCTAATTAGCTAATTTTAGCATCGTTGACGCAAACGTGTCGATATTTCGCGAAGAACATCGACATCAATCTCGGGCGTTGTCTCCAGCACAGCGGGATACCCGAGAAGCTGCAGAAGAAGAAGCTCCAGGCGGTGAGGTACATGCAAGTGGGAATGAAGAGGTAACGGATCCATGATGAATCGGTTGATTGGACATGCGCAACGAATTCTAGGTATACGTCGTTGAATCATTTGGCGCAAGCGGCGAGATCGGTTCTTCAGAAGCAGGATCAGGTCGTTCAGATGTACAACGATTTTAAGAAGTGAGCACCATCGGATTGAGCGCCTCTCAATCTTGATATTTCAGTGTCGACATGCAACAGGTGCAAGAGCAGGCCGGCTGGATATGCGGTTGCGACAAAACGATGGTCGAGCACATGCACGCGGCGTTCAAGACGAACCTCGAACGAATGACGCCGATGACGGAATGGGCCGAATGGCTCGAGAGCATCGTCGATCAGGTGCTTGCGAAGTACCACGACAAGCCGGCGAAGGACATCGCCGAAGTCGGCAAACAGTTCCTATTGAATTGGAGCTTCTACACGTCGATGATCATCAAAGATCTCACGCTTCGCTCGGCGACGTCGTTTGGCTCGTTCCATTTGATTCGCCTATTAGCCGATGATTACATGTTCTATTTGATCGAGTCGAAAATCGCCAAGGCCGGCAATCAGCAGGTCATCACCGTCATCCATCAGCAGTGCAAATCGGCGACCCACGAATACATCATACCGACGAATAGCAGTCAGCGGAGTTTGGATTCGTTTAGTTTAGATGAAGTCAATAGTGAAGTGCCATCGTTGTAATATTTGTTTCTTCCTTTTTTTTTCCTTTTTTGATGATCTCTCTTTCCATTATTGGATAATACCAACGAAAATTGATCTCGGTAGTTCACTACTTACCCCGCCCATCCCCCCATTTGTGATTGACCCTAATTACTTAATTACCTGCTAATTATTGGATCCATTGAAACGTTTTCCCCCATTTTTTTCTGTGTAATAAATTGCTGTTATTTTGATTTTTGTTTCAAAAAAAATGTTGAAAATTGATTTGGCTTGATTCGTTGTGTAGTCCACACGGAGAATGTCAAATTTTTTTTTTGCTGACATTTTTGCAAAAAAAATTCTGACAGGTGGTTTTTTTCGAGAAATTTCGACGTCGTTTTTTTCAACAAGAAAGAAATTTTAAAATGATTTCCAAATTGGCTAATTAGCTTAATTGCCTTGGAGAAATTTTGACATTGTGACAATTTTGAAGAAAAAAACTGAATTTTACTAAATTTTTTTTGCAAATTTGGCTAATTAGCTTAATTATCATTAATTACTGATAATTATGAAAAAAAATACAATTTGAAACAATTTTTTTATTTTTCAAAATTTTGCATTTTTTTTTTCAAGAAAAAATCGCGAAAATTTCAAAATATTAATTTCAATTGTTTTTATTTGACTAATTAGCTAATTGCCATTAATTACCAGAAAAATTAAACAATTTACAAAAATTTGACAAAAAAAAACCCGCCTTGTCGGCCGCTGGTCAGGAGAGAACTTCCGTGTAGTCCATACGGAGAAGAGCGTTTTGCAAAAAATCAAATTTTTGATTTATTTTTTTTGCAAATTTCAATTGTCAAAAATTGTTAATTTCTTCTTAATTTCCCTAATTATCTTAATTGTCTTAATTACAATATTGTGTAGTCCACACGGAGAAGAGAGCCTAATGCAAAATGTCGAAAATGTCAGCACCTGAATTCGACATTTTCAGCGATTGCAAATGCGGAAGAAATTTTCCAACCAATCCTGTGTAGTCCATACGGAGAAGAGAATGCTAGTGGTTCGATTCAAACGCATAATCAGTATATTTATGCTCATATTGAGATTTGTGTTGAAAGGCAAAAATAATAATTTAGGAAGAAGAAGAAGAAAAAAAGAGCCGAGAACCCGAGAATTGAGGAACATTGCGATTTATGAGTGTCACCAAAATTTGCGCGAAAATATCTGGCGTCGAACTTGATGCGGTCCGACGCTCTGAACGCTCATCATCTCGCTGACGATGTTCTCGAGGACGTCCTGCTGCGGCACCTTCCACACGTCGTCGCCGCCGTCTTGCGCGATCTTCAAACGAGAGCTCAATCGAATCAAGGAGGCTGATCGACTTACATAGAATGAATGGGCGCTGATTGTCAGAAGGCCAACGACGAGAATCGCGACGATGAGTTGACGAATCATTTTGGGTCCCGCGAATAATAATAATAATAAAAGACGAGTCGAGTTGTTTGTCGAGGCCGTCAGAAAATGATATGCAATTTTTTGCTCGTTTAGTTGACAACGCCCCGAGGCACACACCGCCTTTTATAGGCGGCCTCTCCGCCCGCCCTAAACAGAACAGGTGATGAGTGGTGGTTACGTAACGCGGCTGCGAATAGCCGTTTCACGACGGTTTGGTATTTCGATGCGACAGCTGAAATTAATTACGACATTGGGGGGCGAAAGCAAGTGGAAAAAAATTTTTTTGAAATTTGTGCGTCAGAATTCTGTGCCAAATTCGGACATTTTCGACTTATTTTTTTGGCTGTTTGATTTTTGTTTAAAGGCGCATACTGAATGTCGATTTACGCAATCTTGTTTAAAGGCGCATACGGGTCCTAGCGCGAATGTAAAGGCTCATGCCGGTCCTAGTGCGAATGTCGATATACGCAGTCCTGTTTAAAGGCACATACGGGTCCTAGAGCGAATGTCGATTTACACGGTTTTTTTCAAAAACGCATTGATCCTGACGCAAATCAGTGTCCATCTCGGAGATCTTGTTTAAAGGCGCATATGGATCCTAACACGAATGTCGACAAAAAATCTATGGACACATTCGGTGTGGTACACCGCATGGAATTAGGGGTCCCCCGGTCCGAGTTATTTTTTTACGCGCATATGATTCCTAACACGAATGTCGATTTGTGTGTGTGTGCACGGCGACGTAAACATGCACACAATTGTTTTCTTATGGTCTACAGTAACAGAACAATGAATTAATCCTCACCACGATAATTTGAATATTAATAGATTTGGATTTTAATAACCGCAAACTTGATAGAACCCTTAAAAGGCGTGGCAGATATGGATAATTAGCGGATCTAAATAAAATCTGCAAATTTTCTAATTGTGCTCAAAATTGATTCTCATTAGAATGTGTGCGTTTGCGTCACGATGATTGCACATATCTCAAGCGATGTACAGTAACCCAAACGCTGACTTTGAAAGGGTAGCAAGAATCAAAACTAATGCGATTTTAAAATTTTATTCATTTGAAATGCAGAAAAAATAAGGATAATAAAAATGTGAACAAAAAAACCAAAAAAAAGAAACTCGTACGGGGAAAAACATGTATAAGCTAAACGACCCACAAAACTCAAAAAAAAACTCTCTTCGAGACATCTAGTAAGACACAATGAATCAATTAATAGCGATCGTTACCGGTGGTGGTGGTTTGCAAGAAGTTTGTCGTCGGGAACAGCAGCGGATTGAAGAGCAACGGCTGCGCGAGCATCTGATGGTATTGAAGTGCGGCGACCGGCGACGTCGACGCGCCGAACGTGCTTGTCGAGTTGTACATTTGCTGATAGGCGGGAATGTGTTTTCGGCAGCGCGCGCGACGATTCGAGAACCACGTCATGATCTTCTCCTCGCTTAATCCGGTCTCTTTGGAGATCGCCTCGCGCTCAACAGCGTCCGGATAGGTGTTCGCCTAAAATAGAATTGAATCGATGAAATCGATTTTAGACCATCTTGATACCTTGAATGCCGCTTCCAGTGCATCCAATTGATCGGAGGTGAATGAGGTGCGATTGCGTCTCGCTGATTCTCCGGTGGCTGACGACGGCGACGTCGATGAACACTCATCATCATCGGAACTCGATTTGTTACACTCATCTGCAAGATAATAATCACAATTAATCGCCACTCTTACACAACCACCACCAATGTCCATAAATTATTTTGGCAACTTTGGGGTCTATTGCAAAATTCGATTGTGGTGGTGTCGATGTTATCGGGACGCGCAGCGCGAATATATACTACCCGGGTGGCGCAACATGATATATTGACAACGTCGACCGATTAGGTGGAAAACGATGGCGGAGAAACGCCGATGTGTGACATTGCACCTATTAATTGCGGAATTGCGCGCCTCCTTAATTGAAATTCGGCGCGACACAAGCATACGGTAGACAATCAGAATAAAAAAACACGGTTTCCGCTCTTTTTCGAAAGTTGGTGTTGCAACTAAGTTTTTAATTGGTTTTATAATTAATTAATTAACGGATCGCTAACTTTTTTGGTCGCACCCTATGAAACTCGGAACCCCCCAGACGTCCAATTTCCAAATACGGCGAATTTGGCGCATGTTCATCTATTGACAGGCAATAAAATTGGTGGGGGGATTCGCAGCCCATTAAAACTTCGCGAGGTCTCAGTCAGCTACCGTAACTACCTTATCAGGCGCATCGCCCAATAAAACTGGGCACATTAATTCCCGGTGATGAGGATGATGATGATGATGATGCCCCCACCCGCAATTAACCAACACAATTCCAAGTTCAACAATTTTTTCGCGCCCAATTGATTCGCCGTCCCATTCATGAAATCATTTTCCGTTCAAATGGCCTTAAACGGACGTATGGTTCTTCGCGTGGGTTTTTGACACGAAGATTACGGTATTATTATCATCCGGCTGGATTTGTTTACCTTGAACACACGACGCTAATTGAATTCGGTGGTGACAAATGTGTGAAACTTTCTTCTTCGATATTTGCTTTTTTTCGAGTTGTTGGCAGAACGTACCTATTGAGATTCCTAGAATGCTGTCGATGCTGTAGCTCAGCCGCTTCCTCTCCATCTTCTTCTCGCGCAGCAATCCACGAGAGCGTATCATTTTGCTGATGGCGTTTGCCGATGGCACGTTGCTTCGGGTGCACACTTCTGCAATAAACAAATGAATTTGAATTGAATCAAGGCGGGGACCATTGACAACCTTTCTGAATGAGAACCTCGCGAAGCTCGCTGGCGCTCATGTGCGGATTCTCCTCGAACGCGATTATTAATTGTTTTTCGACGGCTTGGACGGTGAGTCGCGCGCGCGGATTGCCGCCAATCTGTAAATTAATGAGCGTATTTGATGCCGATGGGAAACAAAGAAGAGGCAGCGTGAAGAATTCAAATTCGACACAAAAAAAAGTCCCACCGGAATCCCGCCATCTGTCTCTCCCCGTACAACAACAACAATTTCCAGCCATCCAACCTACCGTAACTCGAGGTGGTTGTTTCGAGATGCCGATTTTTAGGCGAAATAGCGGGCGTGACGATGAGGCGGATGTACGCCACCCCGTGGTGACACCTGCAGCGCCCCCACACACACACACACAAGAATAATTGATAGGCGCCAAAAATGGCAAAGCAAAATGTGTGTTTCAAAAATTACCTGTCCCGGTGATATTGATCCCGTTTCCGCGTAGCGATTCAGAATTTTGCTGACGGCGCCGTGCGAGACTTTCAGCTGTCGACTAATATGGCACGGCCTGCAAAATACAAAATAGGAACAATTTGCAACATATCATTTCGCGCGACTTACTTGATGCCCTGTTTCGCCATTGATATAATCGCTTCGCGGATCTGCAACGGAAGCGGCCGACCATTGATGAAAACGCCGCCGAGTTGATTGACACGTCCCTGGAACACGAGAAAAATAATGCAAAAGAAAAATTAGAATAAAACGAAACCACAATCGGCGGTCTCGACAAAAAGTCTCGCCGCGACGCGCTAATCCATCATTTGAACACATCGCCAAACCAATGATTGATAAGCAATTAGCGTGGAAACCGATGTAACGGTGAAAAAAAAACGAGAAATTTAGGACGAATTGAAAATTGCACGCAAATATTGGTTACGGTTGGCTCGGATTAAAGGCGCGCGCAAATTTATGGAGCGCGGTCTCGAAGCGGTGACTACTGTCGATGTTGAAAATTTGCAATTTTCTCGCATTTTAAAGAAGTTTAGCAATAAAATTGCGGTGTTTTTCGAAGAATTAATTATTCTAATTGAGCATTGCACAAAAATAAAGGTTTTGGGATGTTTTAAATGATAGAAAAGCGGGGGAAAAATAAATAATTTTTTTAACTTCAATCCTACGACAATAGGTTTTTGAACCCGCCTTCAAAAAAAAAAAATAAAATTAAAATATGCTCACCTGTCCTAGAATATGATTAAACGTGATCGAATCGGTTGTCATGGTTGACCTGAAATGATCGCAAAATTTCTTAAAGGCGGCTGAATCACAATGAGCATGACACACAAATAGGTGAAGCACAATATGGAAATCGGGGTGGCCCGACAGTCAGGTGTGGCGATTTGAGGTGTGTGTTGCTGATTAGCGACCGCCCATTTTTCGCGCGCGGGCGCATCATCATCATCATCTCTCGGGTTACGGTAGGCGGCCACGCCCACCTCCGCGCAAAATCGGTAACATCAAAGAGGCGAAGTGTGGTTTCGCGCGGCGGCGAAGCGATCGAATAGTAGTATTGGTGTGTGTGTTATCACTTGAATACAATAAGGGGTCCCACAAGGATTATGCGATCTTGACAAGATCATGATGATGAGAGAATTCGGTACCTCGCCCATCGGCGACCCCTAGTGATTTATGTGTGCTTCGCGCGAAAAATGGTCAATATTGTCTCGTTGATTTTGACGTTTTCATTCCGAAATCCGCCAAAAATGCGTTGGCTCGCTTCGAGACCCGTTCGGATTACGGTGACGGTTTTTTGAGTTTCTCCAATGGGCTACGATTCTTAAAATTGCAGAAAACCCGTTTTCTCATGGTTACTGTAGTTAATTTTGCGTGCAAACATCCAATCTTGAAATTGCAGAAAATCGTATCTAGTTATTTCAATGTGCAATTCCATTGACGCAAAAATGCAGAATTTTTGTTTCCAAGCGACTGTAGCATTTTGACACACACAAAAGTTGCTGAGGGTTACTGTAGCCCACAAAAACGTCTCTTGAAATTGCATTGCGCCTTTAAATACGGCATTCAACAAAATGAACATTTTCGAAATGGTTGAATGGCTCTGAAACTGAGTTGGATCTTGTGTGCGATCACACCGACGCCAAATTGCAGACACACGAAACGTTCAAGACATCCGTCGGTCGCCTTCACCAAAGCGATTGCGCCGATTGCCCAATTTGCACTAATCCGGCCCATCCTCAAATCCAATCCGTATCAATTGAAGAACCTTGTTGGAATTAGGACACATGTCGATAATTGGTACCTGTCAAACACACAGGCCCCCCATATTTGGGAGGGGGGTATCAATTAGCGAGCAACACACCGCCGCCGCGCCTTTAGCAATTCTAATAAGTCATTTTCAAGCCGAACTACACTTTGAGATTAGATAACACGCAATATGGGCGCCAATTTTTTTTTGATGATGCCGGACTTCAAATGATGAATGGAAAATTGCCCCCCTACCTCCTATTGAGTGATGATACCCAATTTGGCCATTCATCTTTGATAACGCGTTTCGAAACCGCCAAAAATAGCACATTTTGATGTTTTTGCTTTTTTTTTTTGTCGGCGAATGAACACCGCTTAAGCTCGATTATCACATTTGCCCTATGGCTCGAATGTTGCGCAATTCGGCGTGATGACGATAATAGCGCTGATAACCAACACCATCCTCCCCCCCCCCTTTAAGGCGGCTGCCTTTCAACTAATAATTATTGGGCATGCGCCCCGCGCGGGTGTCACTCACAATACCACTATCTTGACATGTTCATCATTTCGCACCTCTTCGCGCACCCACCGCGATTATTAATCGATGCATTAATAATTGAAAAAAGAAAGAGAAAAAAAATCGAAAAACATTTTCTGCAGGAAGTGGGATTCGAACCCACGCACCCATACGAGTACCACTCGGTAAAATTTAGCGGGACCCGCGCGGGTAAAGTGGCGTTTGGCGGGGGCCGCGCGGGGGAAGTTGGCGGCACCTTCGCTGGTAGCTCTCGGGGCCCGCCGGTGACCATCTAGAAGGGGCCGCGTGGGACCCGCGCGGGACCCGCGCGGGTCCCGCCATCAACAGAAAGACTAGCTTTATAAAAATACGTATTTATTGTGAAAAAAAAAGAAAAGAAAAAAATAAATAAACAAAACACATAATAACAATTATGACATAATCAATTTTCTGCAAAGGAAATATTGAGTGAAAAGCGAAGGAAAATGAATCTTACTGAATGGAGTCGATCTCCTCTTGGTTCTTCTCCATCAAGGCCTTTTTCCATTTATTCCAACGAATATGGCCATCAGTATGATCGCCGTTCTATAAAATTATTTCGGTCGGTTAAAGCGCAAACAAAATGTATAAAATTTCATACCTTGCAACTGATTAGCCTTTTGTTGCCGACATCGTAACAGTACTCACGTATATACGTCCTAGAAAAAAAAGTATACGGAATTCAACTAATGAAAATGAACATACAATGTATTGGTGAGCATTTCGTTGAAACGGCGCTTCAGCTTCATTCGACGTTCCATCCGATGTTCGAGTTCGATTCGTCTTTCGTCATTATTTTCGCCGAGAAGGATGAAAAATGGGGCGCTAGTGTCGCAGTTTTTGTGTGACAAAAAGTCTGGCGGTATGTGTAGATCGACAAGATCGTACAAAAATTCTGCATTTTTTATAATATTTGTTTTATACATTATAAGTGGCTAGAAATACCTATTATGGAGGATGCGACTTGATCGGGAAAGCGCTCAAACGAAAAGGCACGAGATGACTTTGTATTTGTTTTTTGATTTGGTGTATATGAATACAGCCAAATCAATGGAGCTGGCATCGTTGCCTAGAATAATTCGATATAGATGAAAGAACTGTTTAAACACTCACTCTTATCAAAACCTCTCGAACGATTGACGCTAATTTTGAGTAGACGTCGCGCCCAGTTGGCTGGAACGTTTCATATAGATCGTTCAGATTTTGTTGCTGAAATAAATCGACAATATTACATCGAAATGTTTAACATTTTAATTTATGCGCTTCTTTCGTCTATTAGGTGGTATTTAGCAGAATGAATTCTCGGCCATAAACAACATAAAACTAGGCCGATTTATCGGTATTTGTTGGAAAAGCGAAAAAACTAGCACCCTGTGCCGATAAAAAGAAATCTCAAATTTGAATTACTGGCCCGAAAAAACGATTGTCCACAACTAATCAGGGTGCTCGTTATTTGTGCGATGGTAATACAGTTCTCCAGATAACTATATACCCTCCCCAATTTTGTCGAATAACTCGAAGCGTTTTTTTTTCGATTCTTTCTATTCTGCGAGGTCAGAGACATCGGTTGAGACGTTATGAAACATACAATGAAAACACAATGGCGTACCTCAAACGGATCGTCGCAATTGATCACATGTTGAGCTTTTAAATATCCTTGACTTAAGTCGATCTCAGGAACCGAGTGATCGCATACAGTCACTTTTTGTTCGTTGTTGTCATCGGCATTTATCTTTTGGGCCAAAACGTTGAACTGAAAATTAGACATATTCCTATTCATCATAATTGTGTCCTGGCCGTCTTTTCGGCCCCATTTGACATTAACCCGGCAAATGTCAAGTGACTCATGCTATTTGACTTGACTTTTTTTTTGAAACTTTGCAGAATTGTTGACTCTTTAAAAATTACTAAGCCTTTCATACTTGCGGGTGGTCACCGTCCACCCAATTAGGCCGTCGCCGCCATGGCCCATATTTTTCCGATATTAAAATTTTAAAAAAATATAAAAATATATATATTCTCATTCAATCCATATTTTATCCAAAAATTAATTATTTCTTTTTTACTGTTATCACGCGGGTGAATATGGGCGAGGAACGGCGGCCGGGCGACAGTTTCTGCCGCCCGCGTCGAAGTCGTAAGATCCCTTTCTACACGTTTTAATAACATTCCCAAAAATTTTTTAATCATGAATCATCGATATTTGACCATATAATACTCCTACCGTGAATCCAGATCCTAACATGGCGCATCGTAACTCTTCAGCTCCCTTTGTCTCCTGATAGTCCATCCGAATATCGATCAATGGCATTGGATGTTTAGACAACCGTAAGGACAATTCCTATAAAAATGTATTAACACTTGGAGTAAAGATTAAACATTACATTCAACTCGAGTGAAGAAACCTTACGATCTTTCAATCCTTCATCAAGTAACTTTCCAATTTCTAAAAAGCTCGTCTGCTTCTTTTTAAATTGCATTGCAATTGAGTCTAAATGAAAATTGACATCCCGCAACGCTTGAATAATTACCAATTATACTGGTTTCATTTAACGAATTAAATGCTGCTTGCATCGAAAATCCACTGGAAGACGTTTGTTTTGCTTTCTTTGCGGCAGCCAGTACTTCTGAAAAACACTAGTTAGAAATGGTGTGAATGGAAATTTTTCAATCAATGCTAATCAACATTGCTTATGCATTAGAATGTCATCGATAAACCTTAGGAAACACTAGAACACTTTTTAGTGCATTGAGGAATTTTGGAATTTTCTAAAATATATTTTAGGAATTCTTATATATGAGGGGTTTAAAAAAGTTTTCTTGGAGTATTATAATATTTTGATTCGTTTTTCTGAGAACAAAAAATAAGCGTACCTTCGGCAGTTGCTCGTTTAGCCATTTTTGATGTTGATGACGACCGGAGGTATAAAGAGGAACTTCATGCAAAATGGTAAGAACCCTATTCAAATTTACGAAGGTATCATAGATAGAACGTAAACGAATATAAGAAATATTGAAATAAATTGAAATCAGGTGTCAATGATTTATTCAATTAAAAATAAAATAGGTAAAAATTATTACATTTAAGAAACGCTCGAAACGAACGTTGAACGATCATGCTCAATCACTAGGCAATATCCCAACACACAGGCTGATTCGGTAACTACTAGAGGCTCTAACCCGACAACTTCGAGAAAATACTTATTAACGGCACATATGTCATCCATTAAAGATGTTTGGGAGGAATCAGAACAAGACACACGAATGTTTCGAAATGGACATGTCGTTCTAAACGGTTTTATACAAACATTGATTGAACCATTGTGTTCAATTGCAAATTCGAAACTTCCAAAACGTTCATTCCTTGTTTGTTTGTCCAAGTAACGTATGAAGCAACATTGCGACTCTTTGGTTCTCCCATATGACCTTCCTTCATAAGTTCTCCGATTGATAATGATCCTATACCTTAAAGAAACTAAGTGTTGATATTAAAAACACCATTTAAAGCAACCATTGTTTAGTGGTACCAGCTATACCGATATTGAGAAGCTCATCTGCTAGAAACGGTGGTATTTCGCGGATGGATGATGATTGAACAACTGAAACTCCGCTGATCATATCGTTTAATTTCTTTGATGATAAGCGAGAATTTGCAGCATACAACATTCGTGCCAGTCGCTGACGAGCAATGAATCTGAAAGTGTTAAAAATATTATGTGACCCTATAATTTCAAACCTTTTTCCTATAGCTTCCGGCTTAGCACAATATATTGAAATGTTTCTAGCTAATTCCTGATTAGCTCTTTCAAAGCCAGCAGCGGACGTGAGAGCGGGGCTGCCAAAATCCTCCATTTTCCGCAAACAGTGATGAATTATTGTCTAAAATGGAATATCTACGAAATATAATGACACTATGCAAATATTGGATTAAAACTCTTTATAAACCATGTTTTCCACAAGCTGAATGTTAAGCTTTTAACAGATTTCACCAGTTGTTATCAGTTCATCTCCCTAAATCTGCATAGTGCCGCCTGTGATCACTTACATGCATCTTCATTGTAAAGCAACCGGCAAAACCATTTTGACCATAGCGATTTAAAGCCTCGCCGATTCGTTGAATACTAGGAACTTTGGTTTTAGGCATTCGCAAATCTTGAAGAGCTCTAGAAATTGCCCACTGTCCCAAAGAAAATAAGGTAGAGTTGATATCCTTTTTGAATAAGACAGCAGACAATGGAACCAAAACAAACATGAACTGCAAAACAGTAGGTTTACGATATGTCGATAGTATGAATAAGTCACCTCATCTATTTCTCTTCCAGTTTTTTGAGCTCCTAATTCAAAGCTTGAAAGACTTATCACCGGCTTTCCATGAGTGATCATTTTTGTCTTAGTAGCGATCATCTGAAAAAACATATTAATTTGTAACTAATATCTGCTTGCCTTTAGCGTATTCAATTGATATGGCTGAAGAACTAACCCGGGAATGACGGATTTCTTATCGCTCAGATAGTCTACAACATAATTTTAATTTACTAGGCATTCAATTAATAGGGTGCAACACTGTCGTAGTTACCTCGCATTCTATCTTTTGTAATCCCCTCGCTCACTAAGTGTAAATAATCGAAAAGATGATCATATGTAGGTGGTAGAGGGGTGCGATTATGAGCTGAATTGATCAATACATTAGAAAATTTACCTTATTAGTTATACAAGGAGGAGTATTGTAGTATGTATAGTCTTTCTCATTGCCTGTGCAAACATAAGTCATTTTGGACCCGTTGTGTTGACCTGAGCATTAAAAGGATTTCAAGAAATTTAAATATTACTGACCGACAATATCGCACCTTCCGCAACCGTTTTTGCTTCCCCATGACGGTAAATTGAAGAACTTTTTACTTGCCTAAACAAAACTTTAAACTCCGCTAACATAAAGATCTCACATCCATGTCAACGATGCATGAATATATTAGAAGTTTCACTTCAACTCTCGATCCTTGCCATTCTTTAATTATCGGTTTTGCATTTAATTGCTCAATATTTGATAGAAGCCTGGTAAAAAGAGGCGAAAGATTCAAATAGGCATTGCTTTTGCAAATCATGAGGCCAGCCAAAATCATGAAACGGTTATCATAATCGTCATAGGAATGAGTCCCATACCCAACCAATGACACATACAATGGCCAAGCGTGGCCCCTGTAAAATGTGGCTTTGAGGTTTTCTTTTTCGTAATGCTAATCAAAACCATTCATCGAATTTTTCGAGTTACGGTGCTATCTTTAAAGAAATACATTTTTTCGATTCCGCAGTTTACGGAAGGAGCAATCTCATTGTCATGCAACCCTGGTATGAACCGCGTATTAGGATATTCAATTAAAACTTAATTTCTAATGCATACACTTTTCCATTTTTAAAGCAGTTTCGTATACTTTTTCAAACATTTTCATGGCGCAACGGCATACCTGAATAGGCCTTTTCGTTCGAAACCGTCGTAGTTGTGCTCGTTAGCACTGTTCAGACACGCCCATTGATGCAATATTTGTGATTGTTACAACGATGATCAATCATTATTAACATTGTGGCTCGCTATGAACTATTGCTTTTTCTATTTGTATTTTTGTTGATTTTATAACTTACTTATATTTTATTCTTGCCTCGTTTATTAAATAAAAGGTTTAATTACCCAAGTTTGAGGTGTCAAAACATTGGTGCATCGACAATTCGAACTTGGACGCAAACGTGTGCAGCAGAGAAGCCACTCAGCTGTTAAGTGGAACGTTTGAAGTCGACGACATTGGTGTGAAGTCGAAGACATTGGTGTGACGTCGAAGACATTGGTGTGAAGTCGAAGACATTGGTGTGACGTCGAAGACATTGTTGTGAAGTCGAAGACATTGGTGTGACGTCGAAGACATTGGTGTGACGTCGAAGACATTGGTGTGACGTCGAAGACATTGGTGTGAAGTCGAAGACATTGGTGTGACGTCGAAGACATTGTTGTGAAGTCGAAGACATTGGTGTGACGTCAAGAATTGGCTGGACGTAGAAGTTGGATAATTTTTGGACGACTTGGTTATCACCCTGTTAACCCAATCGTCGTTTGGAACAATTTCTTTGATTCGTGGGCCATCAGACAACAAGTGATACGGAGCTTTGGAAGCTCACCAGTTGCCTAGGTTTGGAAACCAACTGGTTATCGCGGACGACAAGCGGAGTCGAGCAGTGCAAATTTAACAAGTCAGTTTATTTACGATAGATTCACCCTGTTCTTCCTTTTTTTTTTGAGATAATCTTGAATAGTTCTAACATTTGTTTATTTTCCAAACTCGTGTTGTTACCACGTAGGCCTGAGGGATCTAGTTCGGAAAAGCCGACGGCTATAGGATTCAGAAAACTTCCGGAATTGCAATACATTCACGAAATTGCATCATCTTTCCATTTTCTAATATCTTTTTCTTATCTTATCGATTCAGCTCAATATTAATCATCCCTATAACGCTAAAAATAATTGGATTTCTGGTTGCCCGTTATAATTGCATGACTAACATATAACTTTGCTGACAAAATGTCAAGTCTGTCGAGTCTGTTGGGGCTATGTACCAAGGCAGAAAAATTGTTTGAAGAAGAGTATTTAAAATTAGTTGCTAAGCAAGGAGTATGGGAGAGTGTAGCTAGAAACCATGAAGCGTTTGAAGAACTGGTGGATGAGATAGAAGAAGAAATGTATAAGATGGAAACTCTAGCAACGAAGGTACAAACAAGGTTGGATAAGTTGGTTGAGACGATAGATGAGCTTGAGGAAACGACACAAGAGGACGAAATAAAAGTGAAAACCAAAATGATGAAGAACGAAGAAATTCAAGACAAAACTGATCGCATGACAAACTTGTACCGACCGAAATTATTCACACTGAAGAAGAAGTTGAAAGCAAACACAGGAGATACAAGAAGACAAAATGTTACGGGAAACAAACCGTTGAACATCGGACTATCAGAAATACGAATACCAGAATTTCATGGGAATCCAAATGAATTCGTTGCATTTTGGACCATATTTGAAGAAGCCGTTCATATGAATGACAATATGTCAAATGTGTTGAAATTTTCATACTTGATGAATGCATTGAAAGGAAAAGCAAAGATTGCTGCAAGCAGATTCCCAGTAACCAATGAAAACTATCCGCAAGCAATTGCCTTTATCAAGGAGAAATTTGGAAACGACAAAATACGAGTGAAAGAATTGGGAAAACAACTCAAGAATTGTAAAGCACAGTCGAGTAAGATCGAAGATCAACAGATGTTATTCGACGAAGTAGCGGCAACTTTGAATCAATTGGAAACTAGCGGAGAAGCAATGGATATCGAAATGACCAGAGAATTGATTACGAAGAAATTCTCGCGAGAGATCCAAAAGAGTGTCTACCGAATGCGTGAAGAATCACCGGAAGATTGGAATTTGACCACACTGATGAAAAGCCTGGAAAAGACTTTGAAAACGGAAGCGAATGTTGAGAACGACTGTGAAAACGAACAGGTCAGAGAAGTGAAACAAAATGTGGTTCGAAGAAATATAGTTAACGAAAAACAATTCCGGTGTTATTTCTGTGAGAAAAATCACCGCGCAGACAATTGTCCTAATTATTCTTCTATTGACGAGAAATGGAAACGAATTAAGGAACTCAAAAATTGTTTTAATTGTTTAAAATCTGGGCATTCCTCAAGAGAATGCAGAAGCGAGAAATGCAGAAACTGCCAAAGAAGTCATCATCGATTGTTGTGCAAAAACATAAATAACAGGAACAATAAGGCACAAAAAACAACAGCGAAGAAGAAAAATGACGGAGGGAGTCATCAAAACGTTTCAATACCAGTACGACAGGAAGATCAACGAGAAGTCAGTCGAACACGTCAAGCACATCAAAATTTTGTGAATGGGACAGGCGACAGCTATTTACCTACAGTTCAGATGAGGGGATACAGCCCAGCAACGTCGGAGTGGAAAAAAATCGTCGTGATGCTTGATTCTGGAGCGAATTCGACATATGTGAAAAAGTCAATCGTAGAAGACTGGCAATTGGAGATGATTCGCGAAGAATGGGTGAAACTACAAACATTCGGACAAATCGCGAAGAATCCAGAAAAATACCAAGTTGCAAAAATCTTGATAGACAAAGGAAACAACCAAAGAATTGAAGTTGAAGCGACAGTAAAAGATTATCTTGTGGAACCAATCGATAAACCAGTGCTGGATGACCGTGATTTAAAGTTCCTGGAAGACGAAGGTATCACTATCAATCCGGAATGCTTAAAAACAATATCAGATCCCGATGTAGTTGTTGGTAATGATTACATTTATGAATTCTGGATGCAGCACACACTTCCATCAGGATTGACATACATCTTAACCACAAATGGTGCAGTAATCACTGGACGTAGAGCTGACCATGATGATATGAAGATGAAACAGGAAAACTCGACACGACGAGTGAATACGGTAGTGCGCAACGTCGTAGAAAACGTCATTGAATTTGAAGAAATGAAACAAGGAGAAATCGCTGGACCAGTGAATGACGAAATTCACCAAGAAAATGAATTGGTACTAAAACGAATTGAAGATACAATGGAAAAACGAAGTGATGGATATTATGTGGAGCTACCGTGGAAGGACGGAGCTGAGACTCTACCAACAAACTTCACATTAGCATTAAAAAGATTGGAAAGTGTTTTCAGATCCTACCCTATTGAAATACTACGTAAGATTGACGAAATTTTTAAAACACAGTTGAATCAAGGAGTGTTAGAAACAGTCGGGAATCCGGAAAAGTCAGAAGGAATTGTTCATTACAACCCTCATCGTCCAGTGATCACACCAAACAAACAAACATACAACGAAGGTTCGAGTAGTAATTGACGGTTCAGCACACTACAAGAATGAGTCTTCACTGAACGATTATCTTTTTCAAGGACCAACAATGATGCCTTCATTGACAGGAGTTTTAACACGGTTTCGAACAGGAGAAGTAGCCATCGCGGCGGATGTTGAAAAGGCTTTCTTAAACGTCCGAGTCATAGAAAGAGACCGAGACGCAACGAGATGTCTTTGGGTCAAAGATGTTGAGAAGAGCACGACACCCGAAAACATGCTAATTGTTCGATTCACTCGAGTAATATTTGGACTAAACTGTTCACCATTTTTGCTAGCAGCAACGATTCATAATCACTTGACAAAAGATAAAGAAACCCCTGAAATCGCGCAATCAATTTGGGAAAACTGTTATGTTGACAATGTAATCTTGACAACTGATTCATCAGGAACGGATATATACAAACAATGCAAGCGCCTGTTTGATGAACAAAATATGAATATACGCGAATTCATGTCGAATTCGAAGGAATTCATGGAT